TCCTTCTTAATATTATATAGACTCGAGTTATCTATAATAAGGCCTATTAGATAAAGACTATTCGCTCGATACTTTACTAGGCTATCGCCTTTCTAAAACGCGATATAATTTAGTTCTTTACAGCTATATCTATATAGAACCGGACCCTAGATCTATATAGCTATCTAGCCTTTCTCTATAACCCTAAAATATATAACAAGACCGACGCTAATAAGAATAGGGTAACTATCCTTCTATTTCCTAATAATAGTTAAGCCGACGAGACTATAGACCCTTTAGATATTTACGCTAAATAGTCAGAGCTACGTACCGCTCTACCCGACCCAAGGCTATATACCCTACTAGACCTAGCGCGTTTTGTTAAACTAGCTAAGGGTAGCTACCTAACTACGGTTACTAGCTTTAAGGCCTTATTTATCCTATTCTAGCTCTATCTCCTTTAACGGGATATAGGGGATTTACTTATATTAGAGAATAAGGTTACGATCTAAATTAGCGAGGAGATTCCGCGGATATAGATTATGATTATCGAGCTACGTTATAGCCTAGGTAACTAAGCCGAGTATAACCAGATCTACTACTAGTTAGTACACACGATAAAGAAAGGTAAGGGTATAGATAACGAGGCCTAGCTATAGAAGGCGCCTAGCTAGATTAACTAGAAGGTATACTAGTCCTTTTCTTTTATCGGGATATACCCTAAACTAGATCTTTTCCGGTAACGGACCCTAGAGATTCTAATAACGACCTTCGCTAAGACTATCTATAAAAATACGTTAGCGGCGGACCGGGGGTTTAGTCTCTTTTACGTTTACTCTATCTTAGACCCGAGTTATCTTATATTAAATAACTAGGTTAGGATAGTCTATTATGTGGCTAAGTAATATCCCTATCTCTATTATCTCTATAATCTTTTTAATCGGGAGGGGCTCTTTAAACTAGTAGGGTAGAGGCTGCGTTTCTTTATCTTTTACTATTAGCTGATAACGGCGTGATTAATAAAGATATTCTTATTTACCCTAAATATCGATTATACGACTATTAAGGTAAATATAAGCCCGATAGACTATATAGCGGCCTTATTAAAATTTATGTCTAAAACTAATATCTATATAGTCTTTATAATTATTTATAATATAGGAGTAATAGGCCTTAATTTCTACGCGTACTATTCCCGGGTTATATTATTTAAGCTATCGCTTAATTTTAATAGTCTTTTCTAGGCGATTAGATAGGTATACTATTTAGATTAGATAGAGTAGTAGAGAGCGTGGATCCTATTCTAGGATTATATAATCTATTATTATATCGAGTTTAATAATATTTAAAAGATCCTATCTTAGTTAGTAGCCTAACGCTATAACGCTATCGTAACGCGTTTAGCCGAGCTTAAGCTCGCGTGAATAAAGGGTAAGAAGGTTCTGGCTACTAGGGACTATTAAGATAGGGCCTTTAGGACTAATATAGTTAAGGAGGATAATAAAAAGAAAGAAGATCGTGGCTCGGATAGTAAGGCGAGTATAGAGGGCGACTGGATGGATATCGATAAGGACGACGCCGCCGAAGAGGAAATCTAGTAGGCCGAGGATATTACCGCGCTCTTAATAGAATTCCTATAGTCTATATTAGGGCTTAGACCTAGTTATACCGACCGTGGGATATTTAAGGATATTAAGGATATCGATATCCTCCCTAGCGATTCCCCTAAGAGGACCCTAAATAAACGTAGTATAATAAATTATGTGATTTAGTAGGAGGATAAGAAGGCGGCGGCCGCTGCTACCGTTACCGTAAAAAAGAAGAGGGAGAGAGCGGAGCGCGGCGATAATAGCGGCGACGACGATAATGACGACGACAACGATAATAGTAGTATTAATAGGGCTAGGGGAAATAACGATATAGTAGTAACTCCTCCTCTAGTAATAGTAGATAGAAGAAAAAACGTGGTAAATATATATATAGCTGATTAGATTTTTGCTTATTAATAACCCTACTAATTAATTACCTATCCTAGAACTAAGGTTTTAAGGTCTATCTTAGAACCCTAGTTCTAGGATAGGTATCGGTAGGTGTTAGAGGGGCGGCTCCGTCTCTATCTTTACCCTCTAATATAGGCTAGATTATTAATTCGGATAGTCTCTAGGTATAACCTTAGAGACTAGAGTTCTGCCTATTGTGCTAGTAAGAAGACCGGTAGCTTATATAGATTATCTGGTAGCTAAGGTACGCCCCTTTTTTTCTTACTAAGCGACCTTCCTAGAGTCGACGGGTTGATCTAACTATAGGATAAAGATAGTGATACTATCTCTATAGTCTCGGAGGGTGAGCTTACCGATTACTCAGCCTTTTTCGATAGGGATAATCTAGAGACGGATAGAGTATCGGCCTCTAGTATATCTTAAACAAGAGACTAATCTAGGTTATCTATTAACTAAGTCTATTATAATAGGGGTTAGTATCTAGTAAAGGGGGGTCTTATACTAAGATAGATAGAAATAATATAGATAGTAACTTATTAGTCGCTAAGCCTACGCTAATACCTCCAACTTTTATAACTAGGCGTTAGATTAGGGTGCTTCGGCAGCGAAACCGGTGAGCGGTATTAATAGAAGGGCGTGGAAAGAAAGAAAATAAGAAAAAAAAAAAAAGGGATAGAAATATGCTTAATAAGAAGGGTGTTTAGTTAGGGGGGGGGGGGGGTCGAGCGATTCTTGTGGGATTTAGTTTTTTGTGATCTTTTTCTTTTTTTTTTTTTTTTTTTGTCGGTAATAGTGGTTTAGTAGTGATAGACGCGTTAAGGATCGAAGGCGTACTATTATATATATAAAGAATCTAATACCGCTATTACTAAGGCTATATATTTCTTACGTAAGATAATAAGGGTATAAGATAATAGGGTATCTAAAAATATTGGTAATAGGGTATATAGGTTTATATTTTAAAGGGCTTTAGGGTATCTTAACTAGGATTTTTGCCTAGGTACTTTAGGATAGTATTAGCTAGATAGGTAATATCTAGTGCTACTTTATATAATAGTATTACCTAAAAAGGAAAGTTTATAAAGTATTAAGGTATCTATATCCTATAGTATAGTTTCCTAAATAAGGATAGAATTATATTACTCTAGTTCGAGGGTGGTATTATTAATTAGATATATAACTCTATTTTATTAAGAAGTTTTTATTATAGTAGATATTATATAGAGGATATAAAGACCCTATATATTAGAACTAGGGTTTTAAGTATTTATATCTATATTATTAAAACCCTGGTTTTAAGGTAAGGGCTAAAGTAAGGCCGGTAATATTAATAATACTAGATACTAGTAATAATAATATTAGTTAGTAATACTAGTAATACTATTAATACTATTATTTATATTAATATTATAGTCGGAAAAGATATAACTATCCTCAAGTTATTTACCCCACAAAAATCAGATACTACTAGTTAGATAGGATACCTTCTTTATCCTAGATCTTGGACTTAACGTTATCGATAGATAATACTAGACTTAATCTTAGGGGTATAATAGTCTTATTAATAAGGGTCTTAATAAAGATCTATATATTATTATATAAGTAAAGAACTAGATATAGGGTAGACTCCTTCTAGATATTATAGTTAGATAAAGTATAGCTATCCTCTAGTTATTTATCTATAAAAATTAGGTATTATTAGTTAGATAGGATACTTTTCTTATCTTAAATCTTTAATTTAATATTATTAATAATATTAGAGGACTTTATCTTAAAGATAATAGTCTTATCGGTAAGAGTCTTAATAATTATAGGAAAAATTAGTATAAACTAAATAATAGAGATAGATAGCTAGGAAATATATAGATCTATATATTACCGCGTAGATATAGGACTAGATATAGGGTAGACTCTTTTTAGATATTATAGTTAGATAAAGTATAGCTATCCTTAAACTATTTATTTTATAAAAATTAGATATTAATAATTAGTAATAATATTAGTAATAATAATACTACTAATATTAGAACTAGGGTTCTAAGTTTTATAAAATAGTATTACTATATATCTTAAAACCCTAGTTTTAAGATAGGGGCTAAAATAAGGCTAGTAATATTAGTAATAGTATTTATAATATTTATATTATTATAAATATAATTATAGGTCTTTTAACCCTTTTTTTTAATAATAATTAATTAATATTTAATACTATCTAAATAATAATAATTATCTCTCTCTATCTATTTTATTCTTTCTATTTTTATTACTTTATTATTTATTATATAATCTTTTCTATATAATTAATTTAATTTAGGGACTATAGCTATAAAGGTTAAAAAATTAAAAAAGAGAGGAGAAAGAGAGAGAAATTATTCTTTCTTATTTTTTAGTATCCTTTATTAAAATTATAAGTTTATAATTTTCTATCTCTTACTTTATTTATTATAATAATATTACTAAGATTTAATATAGAGAGAGTTCTAGATAATTAATATTACTATCTAAAAATCTTTATATTTAATCTCTTTTAGATAGTTTATTAGGAGTAATCTCCTCTTTTTATCCTATAATAATATTAGACGGACCTAATTACCCGCTCAATACCCTCGTACATCCCGTTATAGTATCGGTCGGGCCTAATTATCTACCCGATACCTAGATCTATCTACCGAAACAGCTGATACCTGCTAAGACCGACCGGTACCCCCCGGACGCTCGGACGAAATCTAGCGGCGTTTTCTGACCGATACCGACGGTATTCCCTGCTAGGCGTCAAAAGCTGAAACACAAACTATCTGGTCGGTTCTCTGTTCCAATTAATTCCCTTGCTGCAGTCTCTCCAATTAAATATTGCAGAAGAGGATAGCGGTGAAGACGTGGTATATATTGGCCGGACTTACCTTTCAGCCGATAATCATATGACTTGCCGCCATGTTTATACGCTCGCGTTCTCCCCCCTTTCTGCCAGCTTCTTACGCCTATGTTCATTTCTTATTTCCCGCTACTGCTTGACGACCAATAATGGCACAGAAGCAAGTAATCTATGATATCGGTCCATTTATATCAAGCACCAAAAACACGGACACGCAGTTGACGGTTCACGTCTCCAACAAACGCTTTAAAATCAATCTCCTTACTTCCCACTTCGAAGGCTCTCCTGCCCTACTAGCTGAATATCTTCGACACGTTCAACGTCAAGAACCAGAGTGGATCCCTAATGAATCTGAACTGGACGAGGATGGGGATTTTGAAGACCCCCTCGATGAAATGCATGATTGGGTCTTGCAACCATTTTTGCCAATCTTCCACGAAATTGCTCCCCTGGATCCGAGCCAACATTACACTCTCCTGGACTGCTTGTTTGCAGAAGAACTGCACTATACAGTGCAGGTGATTGATGACAACTTGGTTCCGGTTTTTCTCAGCAGCACCAGGAACATAAAAAATGATATTATTGGGGCCCGTTTACCATCTTCCGTGGACTGCTCGATGTTTCCAGTCTATCACCCTAGGGAAGTACAGGTTCCAATTAATGCCAATTCAGCTGCACTGCCAGGAATACCTCGCAGAGTATATATCCATGGGCAATCACAACCTAGCTTCTTCAAGATAGTCTATGGGGGTGATGTGGGTATTACCACAAGAGAGATTCGAACCTATGCGAAGATCCGTATAGCTAAATACAATCCCCCAATTTTTACATCAAAACTGGAAGGGCTGGTCCAAAATGATGATGGACATGTCATGGGATTGGTCTTATCCTACATTGAATGTGATGGGGCTACGCTCTATTGCATTGATGGACATGATCCCAAATTTTCCGAGCTCCGACAAAAATGGCTTGATCAGATTTCGCACACACTCGAACAATTCCACTCACACGGTATTATTTGGGGAGATGCGAAAGCAGCTAACGTGCTTATTGATATTAATGAAGATGCATACCTGATTGACTTTGGAGGAGGTTATACTGAGGGTTGGGTTGAGAAAGAAAAGTCTAACTCAACCGAGGGAGATCTTCAGGGACTTGAAAATATCAAGCGGTACCTTTTTTGAATGTATTTTAGATGGCTATCATTCTGGGTTCTTACCGTCTACTATTACTGATGCAGGCCGAGGCCTGTATAAGACTTCTCGATCAAGACGACTAATTTTTGCTTCGTCTATATATCAATATGTGATTGGTGTGGAATGATTAGTTCTGCATGGATTTACTATCAGGACATCTTGATTTTGTATGTTGTTTACTTTTGTGTCTGATTCTAAATTTTCTGAATTGTCAAATATATCCTTTCCTGGGCTCCTTTTCTCTTAAGTCCTTATCACGTTAGCCACTATCATATTTAATGCCTGCACTATAATACACGATCTAGATAATGCTCAACTCCGTTTCCTTAGATTAGGTGGGACCTAGAAGGTTTAGGATGGAATTTCCGAGCCTTAAGGTTTAGCGCTCTGTCGGTGTTGGGACTGGGGTTCTGCTAGCCTTTCTCCACCGCCTCCCTGACCGCCCGCAGCGCACCTGTCGGTGGCAGTAGGTAGCTTCTCTTCTTCTCTCTCGGACAGACCCGACAGACAGACAATTTGATTCTCTCTCTCTTCTGCTCCCTTTCCTCAGAAGTTCTGCTTTCCTGGATTCCCCTAGTGCTCTCTGAGAGATATCATATACAGCCGAGATGATACCTTGGTTGTTGTATAGGGTCTATATCGGCGATCGGCTCTCAATCAGTTTCTAATAGGTCAGACGCAATCAGGAGGATGACTTGGTTGGATACTGCTGGCAATATCCACCTGCGTCAAGCAGATTTGCGCTCACCGGATACTGCAAGGACCCCGTGCCAACGAGGCGCAGCAAGGAAGAAGGCGCTCGCAGACAATGCGCCTGCCTGTGGTCTCGTTTCCTGGCGTCTCAATCCTGCCTGGTATTCTAGCGTCCTAACTACGTGAGTGTGCTATTTGGACAGTTACTAACTATACTATATCATTGTTTGATCCAGAATTACTGCCTGGCTCTCCCTACAGCCGACAAATCGATCGATTTTATTTCCTCTGCTGCCTACTCTCGGCTAACTCTCTAAGCCTCTGCAGAGGACCGTGATTACGTATCGGCGTATCTCTGCCGTGTATAGAGGAGGTCGAACGAGAAAAAATGACTCATCCTATTCCCCTCAGTCGTCACGAATTCACTCTTCTCCACTGGCGGTTACACAGTAGAGGCGCCTATTGTCTCGACAACTCAATTTGAGCTCATTAGAGGGCCTCGCCGCCACTAACACCCGCCTTCTTATAACGCAATAGTCTCTTCACCAGGCTGCAACACAAGGCGCCATTGAACATACTGTATCGTTTTCTTGGAGGATATCGACGCCGCTGGAATAGATCGCAGGGACGATGCCGATACAGACCAAAAGAACAATTCAGGCTCTAGAGTTACCCTTTCCGGCCTTCTTAATATCGTTAATAGTGTCTCTTAAGAAGTTCGGGTACTTATTATAACGACTAATCATATCGAATACCTTGACGAAGCATTTATTCGGTCTAGCCGGGCGGACAAAAAAGTATATTTTAAGCTTGCCGATAGGAAAATTTCCGTTTAACTTTCTCACACAGTCTTTAAACAGATGCCTAACTACAAGCAAACCAAGAAACAATTCGGCGACGAGATAATTAAGAGACTTACTGATATCTTTGCTTCTAAGGTACTAGATAAAGTTTTTAGTCTAGCCGAAGTTTTATTATTCCTATTAGAGCAGAAAACTCACCCTTTAGTACTATTACTAAAATTAAAAACTAAGTAACGAAGACAAAGATAGCGAGCCTAATAAAGAGAGAGGGTTCTTAGATAGAAGAAGGATATTAAGAATAAACAAAAGGATAAACGCAATAAAGAGATAAACGAGTATTTTCCCAAGTATACCACCCCGACGGTATTTAGTTTGTAGATAGGACTTTTCTCGCTAATTAGGTGTTAGTTGGAATACTTAAGGCGTTTCAACTTATTTTTATATCAACGGGTTATTTCCCGGCCCATTAGTTATTTTGCTACCCTACCAGTCTTGCTTCTTGCCCCGCCGATCTTCGACCACCGCTTTTTCCAGATGTTTCCTATACTTTCACTCCTTAATTTTGAACGCATCTATCAACTGCAACCTTTATATAGACAATGGCTTGGTGTGGTGAAGTATTGAGTATGGATTTGACGAGAGTTTCACAGATCTCTGGTCAACTGTTCTGTCCAAGGCAAGTGCGATACAAGGACCTGTCGTTGTTGAGGAAAACAACCTCCGACGATTGGAGTACCTAAATAGACGAGTTTGGAACATTGCTAAGCAAGTTCCATTTGCTGACTACCATGACCCAGATCAAAAACATCGCCGCTATCGCATATAATCTCGCCGAGGCGGACGTCAACCAGGTGAACTACGAATACCTGGAGGTAGCCGCCGAATCAAAGAAATTTTTAAAGGAGTTTGGCAGAGGAAGTCCTGTTGATAGAATGTATGTCTAGCAATATACCTAGGAAAGTCATGTAGATAATCTCGTTCCTCAAGGTTGTCGATCGGTTGGGCGCTTATCGCAATATTTTTGGTTAGTACACGACAGTCCATAATATCGGACCCGAAGATTCATAGTTGAATCAAGGATCCCCGCAGCAATATACCAAAAATGCCGAGGAGATAATCACACATCAAAAGAAGACCTTTATTACCATCACTTGAAGCTTGTGTAGATACCCCACGGGTTATATCCGCCGCATTAGACACCTCGTATTTTATTATTCTTTCCTATATTCTTTATTGCTCGATTCCCGCGAAAAAGATCCTTTATTACGTATCAAGTGAGACGCCAGCTAAATGTTCTCGCATGCCTTATCCTTACCCACTCCTTGGACGGCACTTTATTGGCATTGTGGGAAAATTCTGAGCGGAGACAAGTCTTATTTCTACGTAGGAAATGGCTTGGCCAATTCCCACGCGCTTCGAGTAAAAGCATTATGGAAAACATTGTAGAAAACTGGTTCAGTATATGCAATGCGAGTTATAGGAACACATCATTATTATAAATGATCTTAGAGAGCACTAGGGGAAGCCAGGAAAGCAGAACTACTAAGGAAAGGGAGCAGAAGAGAGAGAGAATCAAATTATCTATCTATAGAAGAGAGAAGAAGAAGAGAAGCGAAGCTATCTCCTACCTATAGGTCCGCTGCGGGTGGTCAGGGAGGCGGTGGAGAAAGGCTGACAGAACCCCAGTCCCAACGCAATAAATACCTTGGTATATACTGTACGGGGAGGTCAGGTGACCGGTCATTTCATCTTCCTTTCTCCACCTTCCTCCACTCGACCATTGAGAATGGAATTCGGGGATACGACACTGAAGAGTCCAGACACGAGATCTGCATTCGCCGATGCGGGAGAGTGAGGGGTCGGAAAGTCAAGTGTGTCATCGACGACGTATCACATTCCCTAGACAAATTGATCACCACCGTGATACGGTGCTGTAACGGTATTTGAGGCTGAACCCCCCTTTTGATCTTTGAAATGGCCCCCACAAATACGTCTCCTCTCGTAAAACCCTATTGTATAGCTGCCAGCCATTGCCCATCTTTTTCGATCAGTCAGGCGGTCTTCTGGGCCCCGACGATTTGGCACATTCAATCATCGCTTGGCCCCTGGGCATGCAATAATGCCATGGTCTGATAATTTAAGATTCCCGACCTCTGCAGAATCGTCATACTGCCTAGAGCATCATGGTCAATTCAGTCTCGGATGGCGGCCAGACGGCCGATAGAGGGCCTCAGCTGTTGGTCCTGATGTGGACATTGACCAGCCTCGCGACTATCGTTGTTATCCTGAGGTTTTGGAGTCGTCAGCTGAAAAGAAAATTCGATTGGGATGATGTCTTGATTCTCCTATCTCTGGTATGGCTTCTCTTCTCCCCTATGCTGTATAGGGACCAAACTCAGACCCACGAACCAATGTGCTGCAGTGTTGCTTCTACGCATGCTCGGGTTGTCTTACGGCGCTCTGCATTCATCACGGCCAGCGTCATTTGCAAGACGTGCTCCAGTTAGGAGATGCCGTTGTAAGACGAGTTACCTTACTAGGGTGGATCGCGTCAGCCTTTGGAACTTTAGGCCTTATGGCGGGGAAGGTATCTATCGCCGCCCTTTTGATTGGAGTCTTTGGGCCCACGGATTTGTTCTGGCACAAGCTATTTCTCTGGGTTTTCTGCGTTGGGATAGCCGTCCCGGTGAGCACCGCATATGCGATTTTCGGTCTCGTTCAATGTTCACCCCCTGCTGCTTTGTGGGATAATCGAATCCACGGGAAATGCGTTGATGCACAAGTCGTGGCTGACTACGGGGCTTTTACTGGAGGTGCGATTTTCTACCCTGGGATAGACATTGCTTGCTAACACAAGAAACAGCCTATTGCACCTTCGTCGATGTCTGTCTCGCCCTCCTCCCAGCGACTATTTTCCTTCGCCTACACATCAGACCGGTCCAAAAGTGGCAGTTGAGCATAGTGTTCGCATTGAATATCCTGTGAGTAGACCTATTCTCTGTTCATTTCTCTTTCCAAGGCGAATATCTCATGCCATTAATTGGTTTTCTAGTACATCTATTTGTTCCGCCATCAAAAGCTACCATCTGGCAAAACTGCCAAAATCAACCGACTTCACCTGGGCATCCTACGATGTTTACGCTTGGCATACAGGCGAGTCGTTTGCCATCCTCTTCTGCGGCACCATCCCAATCTTAAAACCCGTTCTCGATTTTATCCGGCGACAAGAGATAATTTCGTCATGGCGAGAAGGATGGAAGTCAAGGTCGTCAAAATCGACAACACAGAAGACTAGTTCAAGGTCGTGGTCTGACCACCGCGTACAAATTGGCACTATATCTTCTCACGAACTTGGAAAGTACCGATGGGATGAAACTGATCGAGAGTCGACCCGGGTGCTAGTTGGGAAATACGGTGATATATGAAAGCTACGAGCGGCCTACATAGTAATTCTAATGTGTGTTAACACAAAGGCATAGTCAAAGCCTGAAATTGCGAGAAACAGAACAGAATTCGATTGCTTTCCGGAGATCTTCTGATATTCCCTCTCTCTGGGAAATACCCAAACTCCTTCTTTTTATCCTTTTTATTACGCCCTTTTCTACACCCGTACCCATCTCTGCCATGTTGAGACATGGTGCCAGTATCACTATCGTAGGTGGAGAATCTCCACGAGTTCGCTACCCCGACTTTCGGAGCGGTCGGTCAAGCGCATTACCAAAATCTATACCACGGACTGCAATAATTTATCTTCACTAGCCAATACGACAGTCGGAGTTTAGTCTCCATAGTTTCTTTGATTTAAATAGACCCATATTTTCTATGTGCGTGAAGAGAACTTAGGGGCACTCGGATTGCAAGAAAGTAAGGCCTATCGCTGGATAAAGATAAAAGGGCCATATGGATATTGTCTGCAATCTCTTTGTACTGAGACTGAGTCTCCTAATATATCCTGTTTCTACATACTTATGTCCTACCCAGAGTCGGTGCTTCCTAGACTTTAATTGATATCAATCACATACAGACAGAAAAGTCCAGATGCGCCCAATGTACTATTATTTTAACAGAACTTCTAGTTCCTTACTCCTGTGCAACAACTCTAGTAATCGCAGCGTTTTCTTGCGCCTACTCTTGGAGAAAGCTGCGGAATTCCTGCTCTTCCCTGTTTTTCTCCAGCTGCTTCTGCGTATTGCACCATGACATATTCAGCGGTAAGCAGCCTTTGGCAACTCCAGCACAGCGGGTAAAGCAGAGTCTACTAGACTGCTATCTTCTCTATAGGACAGTTGCTTATTTAATATTAGAGGCGATATTCAGATATGCATATAGTGGGATGAATGTAAAATAGTGACCACATATATAGTCTGGTCCTAGAGAACATTTACCCCACCGTCTCTCCCATCTCATTTCTTCACTCTCATCTATTGGGCCTTCAACCAGAATATGGCCTCTTTCCCTCATATCCTAGGTCTTCCTGACCATGTTCGGTGCCAGATCTTCAGAGAGGTAGGTATGCCTTTTCCTAGGGGTGAATCTATCGATCTGTGCCCCGAGGAAGATGATGGACAGAGGGAGTTTCAAATCAGAGCGACGAACGGCCCTCGCAGTCTACTTTTCACAAACCGAAAGATCTCCCAGGAGATCTCCTCAATCATATATTCGACCAATCGAGTGTTCATTCAGTATCGAGACCAGCACGGTCTTCACGCCCTTTGCAAGTTGCGGCCCACATCTTTAAAGTCTTTATCACATCTGACGCTCCTTCTCAACGTTTCATCTTGTGACGATGGCCTCACTTGCTGTCGTTCAAAGTGTGACACCAAGTCATTCCGAAATCGATGCCCCAACCTCGACAGACATGACACACCCCTGCATCTCTCGACGGCACGAGGGCAGGAGGTGATCTCGGAATGGAAAAGGATTGTCCAGCTCTTGAGCAGCCACATTTCCTCTCATCGACTCCGGCTACATGTGGTCTGCGACGTGGCAGATTTAGAGACAGCCGAAGAGATCGCCCAGCCATTCATCGAATTTCCACTACTTCGAAGCTGTGATCTTCGTCTTGGGCGTTATCCAAATGATGATTTGCGAAAATTAGCGACCAAAACCACCCACCGGGCAACAGGTCAAACAATGCGCCACTCAGCTGACTTATTTCGATTTCTTCACCTGCCGCTCGAGATCCGCCGCCACATTCTGGAGTACACCGACCTCTTGACTCCGTTGGGTGAAATCCAATGGAATCCCAAAGATGGGTTTTCCATCCGACACGCTTGCGAGATATGTGATGGAATATATGGAGTACCTGACCCCGACGATGATTCCTTCGAACATTATGCTTGTCAGTTCGTGAAGTGCTTCAAACAAGAGAGAACCGGTTGTTATTGCGCTCGCTACCATGCAGCATTCTCTTCTCACTGCCGATTCTGGGCACCTCCAACCCCTCTATTCCTCGTCTGCCGGTCTCTGTTGGAACTAGCTCGATCGGTGTTTTTCTCACGAAACCGATTTGTCGTCCAGCCGGAAACAGGCGATATGTTGGCCCCCGAAACAACATCGTCCCGTCTCGAAGCCTCGATTTTCTTGACGGGCGTTGTTCCACCGAATCAATTACACCAATTAAAATTCCTGGAAATTGTTCTCCCGCCATTCGATCCGGGGTATTTCTCGGCATCTTGATCCCGCCTACAGTGATTGGTTCCAGACCCTCGAATTTCTGCAGGGCAAGTTTAATTCTTCAAATCTCACGTTGCGCATCTACCTGCAAGATTTCCCCAACGCCTCTATGGCCACCGATGTGCGTAAAACCTTGACTCAGGAACAGGGCGACGCGATACTGCAGGCCTATTTCCGCCTCGTATCGCCTCTGGCAAGTCTCGGCCTACCTCAAAGATTGTTCGTGCATGCCGCCTGGCCTTGGTATTGGAAGAATAACCAGATAGGATTGTCAACAGCGTTACATCGCGAAGACCTAGAAAGAAGGCTGGAACAATCTGCAATGGGCGATGGGTATGATAGCTCTTTCGCTGGCAAGTGGCAAGCACGAGAGAGCCAGTGGTTGGTATATCACAACAGGCTGCTTTCCATGGGCTTTGGAGACCAGTGAGAGAAGTAAGATACCCCAAAACAGAATGTTCTCTTCATCTTTGCTTCCCTCTCGGAGGAATCAACAGCTCAGCTGTGGGTCCGACTATAAGGGGCGGCCATTAGCGCATTCAACAGCCCCCTTTACCTAGGATCACGATCCCATATCATTTGAGCTTTTGACCCTTGACCTCCAAGCTTAGACCCTCGATCGAGTGCACGGAGGCAATGTGATACTTGATCGTAGACCCATCAGGACAGACTTTGTGTTTTGATTCCCGAGCTGGCCTTGGAAAATACTTGCCCTGTGCACGCGAGGGTCCAAGCACGTTGTTTCTGGCCCCCTGAAGATCCACCGCGGTGAGCCATAGCGCACGGAACCGATTGCTATATTTCAACCAACGCAAAGAAAAACTAGAAAACCACTTTCATGAAGATTTGCTCCCACTGAGACTTAGTTGACCGTACACCATTTCGCGAAGCTCTTTTCTCTTCTTTTGGCTTAGTTGGACTCCTGCCGCAGTTGGCATCGTACTCCTCACGTACCCAAAGGAATGAGATGGTGTCTGTGAAGTTCGAGAGCATTGACAGTGGGCCTTTCGGGCAAAGTATTTACAAGCGAGGGTTTGCCGAGGAAATCTGATCAGCTTCGTTTTCAACTAAGGGGACGCGCTGTTTTATCAGATATAAAAAGTCAGTAACACTTAACAACCTTACGATGGAACTTGCAAAATAATGCGATGACTATAAAATATCCTACGCTCCCATTATTTCCATATATTGTTTAGTGACGCCATGCTCCATATCTACGGCGTCCATATGATCTTCTTATACTGGGTTCTGCTCTTTTTGTTGATTGTTCCTGACTCTTATCCAACCGGAATTCCATCTGTTTTACTAGCGGAGCGATGGCCGGATGTTTCCAACGAAGCCCCAACCTGGCACCAGGAAATACATGTTAGCGGAGAAATGAGCTACGGAAGACTGCTTCAGGTAGCTCGTCGTCTCTGGCGGTCAGTCGCGGCGGACAACGGCCGGTCTAATCGCAGACTCTGTATGACCTCCACAGGAGCGTGCTTTGTCGCGGCACTATATGTTCCATCGTCACCCCAGGAAACGCCCGCTGGGAGTCTTGACGGATGGATCTACGCCTCTACAGTTCCCCGAGGAAGGCGTGCCGATGTCATGAAGTACATCGTGAGTGATGCAGTTGACGAGGATGGCCTAGGCGTCAACGGCGGCGACTTGGTATGGTGGAAGTCCGCTCGGGGGAACTGGAGAGGGTGGCGCGGTACAACCTTTCATGCCGAGGATGGATGCTTTTTCAATTACGAAACCTCTGGCCGAGCGTGGTTTCCCGGCAGCAGTCAGACCATCTATCCACATGGCTCCAGAATTGCGATATGGGGCGTATACGATCATCCTCGTCTGACAGACACAGAATGGCAGACAGGCAGGGAGATTTTTCCATGTCGACCACATCCCGATCGCATGGATAGAGGAAGGAACCCGAGTTGTTTGGAGGTCACTAGTGATTTGGCAATCGCGGTTGGGAATTCCCCTTTACCACAACGACGACTGCCATCCAGTTATAGCGGTTCGTGGGGCGAAGAGCGATGGGCTCGAGTGTTGCGATGCGCGGAGCAGCGCATGCGAGCGCACCAAAGGCATCGACAGAGCCGCAAAGTTAGAGATACCAGTTTCGATTCCTCGGGAGCTTGTGCATATACAGCCTGGCCGGATCAAGATCCATTCAGATGGGAGGAAACCAGTGATGACTGCTAGCAAAAATGTCATATATTGTTATATTAGCGCTAAGTCCGAGCCATTTGCATCTAAATAGTCAAAATAAAAATAGATGGCATCGGAAAGGTCTACTAATATTGAATACGTTCATATAACACTGTCGATTCCAAAGGCCACGCCATGTACATAAATGAGCCTGTGGAACTAATGCAATCATCTATCTTCTATACTGCCTCTGCTTTGATTCTCCTTCTAATTTCCCCCTCGGTCTTGCCTCGGCTTGCTGTGCGAATGGGTATTCTTGGTTCGACACTTATAGGGGGGCTGGGGGGGTTTATCGGCATCTTTACTAATTTTTATTCGTTAATCACTAAACGACATCAACTCTCCTCTATCTATTGGGTTGTTTAATTTGTATCGGTGCTTCTCACTTTATACTCAGTCTCTGCGTTGGGGGGATGTCATGTGACCGCCCCTTCCTTAGCTTCATCCATCGTCCATCATCCCAAGGCTTCTGCCAACCACTTAAATGAAGCTATCTAGAAGGGTTATCACCCTTCAATACCACATTTTGCATGAGCAGTAGTTAATATACCACGGCCCATGCTCCGCGATATATACACACAATCACTGGCTGGAAGCAAGCAATCGTGTCAACATCTCTGAAATCCTGGCCAGGGGATCAGGTCTATCACTCGTCTATTTCCACAGCAGTGGGGCTTTAAAACTCACACTTTCTTGTCAGGCCAGTCATGTCGACAGTAATCATCAAACGCAAGCGTGCGAGGAAGGCGTGCATTCCTTGTCATCAGCGTAAGCGAAAATGTGACACGATGTATCCTTGTGATATGTGCACCACCTACGGATACAACTGCAAGTACACAGAAGACAACATCACTGGTGCTATAGGCGACGGTCCATCTATTCCGCCTCCAGTCAAGCGCGTAAGCCTCGCCAACGAAAATCGGCTGACGAGTCGGACCGCTACAAACCGCAATTCGACCAGCCGGTCTCATGGGGAGCCAGACCACGGCGAATATCACGAATCATCGACGAGCAATTCCACTGTTGTGGCCGGCGCGTCTCCGGGTATCTTCGACGAGCAGAAGTTCCGATACTCCGGGGCATCGGCGGCCATGGCATTTCCGCACATCCTGGGTGTGGCTCTCGGTTCCGACAGTCCTCCCAAAATGCGGTCGTTTGCCTATAACTTTGGCATTCGCCCGGAGGAGGCGTCCAACCCTCACTGCTTCCTCGGAAATCTCATTTCGGAGGAAGACCTTGATTCCTCTCGGATGTATACTTCTCGGTATTAGGCCCCATCGGCGACGTAATCGACCCAAGAATCTATGCTCAGCGATGCCGGGACTATTTTAATAATTCCGGTAACAACGCCGTCGCTTTTGCCGCCGTGGCCGCTGGCATCGCTGCTCTCGGGTCCTTCCTATCCCCCAAAAGGCATCCACGGGAGCCTGACCTGGTGCAGTACGCCAAAGCCATTCTCGATGACCCGTCCTCCATGCGTTTGCATGGCATTGACCACATCGTTGCGTGGGGCATGCGAGTCATGTACCTGCGGGCCACGACCCGGCCCAGCAATGCGTGGATCGCTTCGTGTACGCAAATGCACCTCTGTGAAGCGATAGGGCTACACGAGGAAGAGAACATCAAGAAGATAGCGTCCATCGCTGGCGCGGCTGTCCATGGACATGATGCTGACCGACTGAGAAGAATTTTCTGGATCTCATGGGCCGGGCATAACATGCTGTCCTATGAGTATGATCGTTCTCCTGTGGGATTTCGGTCTGTGACTTGCCAGCCTATCATCTCGATATCAGGGTCCGTTGCCGATCAATTTGTACAACTGATTCAAATCATTCCATCTCCCAATTCTCCGTTCCAGCACGAATTGCAGCCTCTCACTCTGAGTGAGGAGCTATTTAAGCGGCTCGAAGTGCTGGGTGACCTCAATTTTACCCATCCGTTCCTGGTGGTGACGAAGGCGGATATCGCGTTTTGCTTCTACCGACGCCTTTACCAGCTCAAGATCCGCCTACCAGACGACATAATTCGGGTCATCATTGATAGCGGCAGCGCCGCGGTGCAGGCGGCCGAGCAGCAAGCTAGCCAGAGGCATCTTCTCTGGAACGTTATCGGCAGCGTTTTCCAGTACACCTGTATCCTGTTAGCCATGGACACGCCGGCGGCTTCTGCCCATATCGGCGCCGCATTCAAGGGCTTGGAGAACCTTGTCAAGGCTGCCGATACAGGACTGACCCGTGAGGCGTTGTTGATGGCGCGGCACCTACTCAGTCTTAATATGGCAAAGAAGCGAAAGGAACTTGCTCAGCTGGAGGCTGTCGAGGCAGACTATGAATTCTTTCAGGCGCCACAGGCATCCGAGGCTCACACCGCGGTGCCAGACATTGATTGGGAGGTGAACTGGGATCAATTCTTCATCGAGCCATATTTGTCCATGCTCGATCCTGACATCCAGCTATAGTGATGTAGGTGATAAGTATTGATCCACTCCAATCAAACTGTCATTCGATACGTGAAGTATCAAACTGTCGCGTGACATCCTGTAAATCTATGGCACCTCGCCACGGGGTTTAATAGAGTATCCGTAAACTTATTTTCCTTCTCAGGGGGTTTTATCCTTATTATTCTTGAGGTTGAAGAAATGCTCGGAGCTCTATTGGTCTCTCGGTCCGTAGGCGAATCAATACTATATACGCCTTGTGCGGCTTTATATGCGGCCTTATATGCGGCTATTGCGGGGTTAGTTTCGCAGCGCCGCACTGGCCAATGAGACAGTGTTTAGCAGACCCCATAGTGGGTCCTGCGGCGGAAAGCGGCTTATCAGCCTCCCTCCGCCCGCTGTAGTTCCTTCGCCCCCTGCGCTATCCTCTCCGGGCGAATCAAGTCTGATTTTCTAACCTCATGAACCCGGTATAGTCTAGAGAGGTGGAGATGTTTTTTGCGCCATTTTCGAGTACGGCAGAGATGACAATTGTGAAATGGAGAGAACCTCAGGGAACTACAGCACTCGAGACTGGGTCTAAAAAATATAAATAGACAGGTATTCCCTGCATCGAAGAAGGATAGACACTTCTACTCTTTCACACATTTCAACACCTTACACGCCTCGTTCGACTCTGCTATCAGCGCTTGATATATCCAGAACAATCAACCCAACCATAATGTCCAAGTACGCCAAAAACCAGTCCGTCGGCTTTAAGAACGACATCGAAAAAGTCGCCATTGTTGGCGTAAGTAAACCCCTTAACAACAGCCCAAGGTTTTCACAAAGGAACTAACAATCATACTTAGGCTGGGGGTACTATTGGATCGCATATTTCCAATGCCCTTCTAGCGACCGGAAGACACACAGTCACGGCCCTTTCCCGTGAAGGCAGCGGTAACAAACTCCCCGAGGGCGTCCGAGTCGCCTTTGTCGACTACGATGATGAGGCCACCATTGTTGCCGCCCTCAAAGGCCAGCAATTTTTGATCATCACCATGGCCCCCACCGCGCCCCGGGACACCCACAGCAAGCTTGTCCAGGCGGCCGCCAAGGCCGGAGTTCCCTATATCATGCCGAACGGGTATGGCGCCGACATTGACAATATTCAACTCGGTGAAGATACATTGCTGGGGCCCATCGCTAAGGCCAACAGGGATGAGATTGAGAGGCTCGGCATGCAGTGGATCACAGTGTGCTGTGGGTTCTGGTACGATTACAGCTTGGCGGGTGGTGATGCGCGCTTTGGGTTCGACTTTGACAAGCGTACCCTAACAATCTATGACGATGGCAACACCAAGACCTCGACGTCGACTTTGTCGCAGGTTGGGCGCGCTGTGGCCAAGGTCTTGAGCCTCAATGAGCTTCCCGAGGATGAAAACGATAAGAGCCTTACTCTGTCGACATTCCTCAACAAAGGCGTGTACCTGAAGAGCTTTGTGATCAGCCAGAACGACATGTTTGAAAGTGTCAAGCGTGTCACCGGCACGACCGATGCCGACTGGACGATTTCCCATGAGGAGAGCAAGAAGCGATACGAGGGTGGCCTTGCGCAAGTGAAAGTGGGTAACATGGCTGGTTTTAGCAAGATGCTGTACGCAAGAGCTTTTTACCCCGATGCTTCCTCCAACGATCTCTCAGCCAAGGCGCAGAATGAGTTGCTTGGATTGCCGGATGAGAGTCTGGACGAGTCGACCAAGGTGGGGATAGACTTGGTCAAAGAACTGCAGCTTCGTGTCGAGCGTATGGCGGCCTAGAAGAAAACATATCTATATACAGTATTTGAATCGATTGATATGGAGAAGTTACTGTTTGATTACTTCCAATTTCAATCCTTTGCTGGTAGATATTTTCACTTCTAAGGATACTATATATCAAGGCTTCTCATTCTCTCGAGCTCTTCCAATGGCTGTCCAAAAACTCGATCTCTCTATTGCTAGTTTGATCCTTTAGGTAGCTATAGCAGTCCGTAATTTCAGCTTTGCTTACGAATAAAAAAAAATGGCGCGCTCTTCGAAGTATACCAAGGTGGTATTATATCCCATGAATATCCTAGCCAAGTATGCACTACATCAAAGGGTCATAAATATAAATAGACTTCAAAGTTGCACCAGTAGAGCTATGGTGTACTCATGGTGTTTTGCTCGATAGTTTTAGCTATTATGGAAATTGCGGAAATTACTATATAGAATGAATGTTCCTAGTATCACACATGAGACTTTACGAGAAAGCAGGTACTATTTTTGCAGAGAAAAAGTGATGATTGAATTGGAAATAAAAATTGATATTGAATACGCTAAGCTTCATCACCTTGCTGGTCTGGGGCCCACATATGCCCTGAGATCTTGCAACCATCACCAATGCTATCCTTGACCTTGTCCGACACAAAGTCCGTGAACTTCCCACTTTTCCCATCCGGCGAGGTATATTCATAGTTTGCGCATGGGCAAGGATTATCCGCATGATAGTAGCCATCCTTGCCTGGGCTATTATTTTGGTCGCTCATCACCTGCTGCACGCCAGAGATGTAAGCCAAGTCCTTTACCTCGCACATAGGCGGATTGTAAAGACCAGGCTGGTTAGCACTTGTGCTGGAGAAAATTGCCTGCGCGTTTTGCATCCCATTATCGCCAGATAGGACTTTAGTCCAGTCCTGGTCCAAGAGTGTATAATTGAATCCATGCTCCACTTGACCCCAGACTCCGGAGGAGATGACGTCCCATGCAGTGATTTCTTGGCCGCGATAGTTGATTGGGTCCTCAAGCCACGCACTTGAAGATGAACCCTCACTGCTGGGTCGCGTGAGGAGAGCCATGCCGAGATCGCCCCCTGGACCGAAGTCCATTTCACACGTAACAGAATATTTCCAACTGGGGTCATTTAGCCAGCGCTTTTCACACGTCTCTTTGTCAAATCCCCATTTCTTTCCGTTGTACTGGACATCATCGCCATAGCGGATGAACAAAATGTAGGCATCGTTGTCGGTCAGGGCTTTGGTGACATATTGAGCGACCATCAGTTTCTCAAACCATCCAGTGGTGTTTGCTCCATAGCCTTGGGCATTGAAGGCGTTGTAAACATCATTGGTGACCCAAGCGCCACCTTGAAAAACTTTGTACAGGCCGTCTTGGCCGGTTCCTTTGTTGGTCAGAACCTCGGGGAAGCCTGCCATGACCTGGCTGAGCATGTTTTGGGCGCCTTGTTTGTAGTCGGAGCTTTCTCCAAATTGCGTATCGCCGTTCGAGGGGTTTTGCAGAGCCCCTACATTACCGGCAATTCCAAATGCATTCGATGCAGCGATGGCTCCCGTAACGAGGAAGCCCGTCCATGCAACCTCTGGCAGGACCACATCGAGGAGAACAAAACCGGCAATCATGATACCGATCACAGCTGACATAACGCTCATGATCTTGTTCCAGGTCTGTTCTGCGGCGGGCTTCCAGATGTGATGGACAATCGCATCAATCTGGTCGCCGATTGTGCCTTGGACACCTTTCGCTGCCTCATATAACATGTGCATAAACTTGGTGAATCGGATAACTGCATCAGTCATCATCAGTCCTCGAGTTTCGTCGTCGGTAGGGCGTCGAAGGCAGACGTCGGAATCTGGTAACGGGCAGTCGAAATCTTGGGTGATATCACAGGTTGGGTTGCTGGCATCTTTGGCAGGTAAAAAGTCCTTCATCGCCTGAACTCGAAAGTCATCAAAGTTTGTGATATCATTCTTGCTCAAGTACGATTTCATGAACTTGTCGACTTGGTAGGCTTCCCATTGCGTTTGATCACCGCTGTAGTCCCAGCTGGTGCATTTCTTCGCCACTGGCAAACCACATGGCGGCACCGCGACAACTTTCAGCGGGTACTTCATCTGGCTGTCACGAGTCTTCAACCGTTTAGCAAAGCGACGTCGCTTGGGTGTGTCTTGCACAAGCTGGCCCGTCACCATCAGGGACGATTGCATGTCTTTCGTGACGTTCATATACCAACTGCCGTCCACGCGTTGTTTCATTTTTCCATCGAATACTTGGTTCCCGGAGATGCCGGTGCATATGCTGCCCTGGCATGAGGCTTTCATCTTGGTCAATTTCGCACCGGCACCGGTCGTAATGTTCCAAATGGAGCCTTCTGGGCCCCAGCCAGTACCCCCAGCCCGAAAGTAGACGTATCCTGTGGGGATCGACATTTTCGTTTCGTATGAGTACTTGCTGGAGGTGCAGATACTTGGCGGTGCCCCCACCGTAAACTGGGTAGCTATAGTCATATAGGTATCCTCGCTTGAGCTTGATGAAGTTGGTGCGTTTTTCAGGGTGGATGGAGCAGGAGGAACATTGCTCTGGGTGGATGGAGTAGGAGGGACATTGCTCTGAACAGATATCGTAGGGGGTATATTGCTCTGGGTCGATGGAGCAGGGGGACCACTGCTCTGAATAGATAGAACAGGAGGTGTACTACCCCATACTGATGGAGCAGGTGCAGTACTCCATATTGATGGATTGGGATGTACACCGCTCCAAAAGGATGGCGATGGGGACAATGATGGAATCATTTCGTTGCCGTTTCGTTTCTCTTAATTGTGAGAGCTTTCCGGTGGGACTCGAAGGAAGATAATGATGTAAAAGCATAGATATCACGAAGGATGAGTATGGTACCACACGGGAAGTCATGTAAGCTTTATATGATAGATGCTGACCCTCAAGCGTAAGTCATGAGCTATTGCTATGACCTTCGCCATGACCAACCCACCCCTGTCCTAAGCCTCCACGGAGAAAATCGTGCAGCGTAGCATCGCAGCACAAGTTTTCTGGGGGCCATGAATGAATCGTACATGTATGTGTGATGTGTGGGACCATGATGATTACGTCTTGAACTGGTACATGGACTAGTAACGGGACCATCCACACGGAGTCTTCGGAACATAAGATCTTACTATTAAAATCTTGCTATTGAGATCTCACTATAGAGATCTTAAGTAGTCTAGGGGTACTAACAAGACCAAAATAAGCATTCAAAGGAAGACAATATACTCATGATCTCACATGGAATAAACATGGGGACTGGAAACAAGCCAGGAACAGATTAACTGAGAACTCGGAGATGCTTCAATATCCAATCAAGGTTACTAGCACCAAGATGAGGAATGGGGAAAGCCAAGAATTACAAGTTCCTTGGCCTGCGACAAGCTACATTAACAGACACCCTTACAGTCGGGCGAAATAGGTGAGAAACAGACGTTGGAAAACATGTCCCACTGAGCACTCCCCTAGATGGGAAATATCGACGACTATCGGCTTGGTATGAAGTCATGTATGCGTTTAGGCGTACACACAACCACCCGATCAGGCAATGCATAATGGACCCCAAGATCCTAGGCTATGAATCAGTCTGCCGATCCCCATGTGGGAGGGCGACTAGAGCGGGAGTTGCATGGCTATGCGATGTAAAGTCTCCAGAGGCTTAGTTGTTTCAAAGTTGGGGGCTAAACCACCAAGTTTATCCCGAGCATCCAATCAAGGGATTCGGCAACATGCATAGGGTTGGGTCACCCGGGGTGGTGTGCATCTAGTGAGATGTGCTGTCTCAACTAAAACACGGCCCCCCGTGGGGGAAAAGACTACGGGGAGTCCACAAAACCCTAAAGCCACAGTACTCCAACGTTGAAGCGAATGAGAGGGAGGCATAACATATAAGAATAGATCATGTTGTGTGTTCAGGCGTCCTGAGGATATTTTAAAATTTCTAGTCAAGCGCGTGGAGGTACTATATCAAGTCTTGAGGTCTATTCAGCCGTTGATGCTAATTTGAGAATGATGCAAAACATTACTTCAATAGGGTACCTAGCTAGAGAACTCCCGTCAGTAGTCAGGCATCCCCTTGATGTATTCCAAGTTTTGGGGTCGGTTTGAACCGCCGGCGCCAGTTCATAATAACGCAAAATCTGACTAGTAGTACTAGTAGGTATACCGAGGTTACGTGCTCCATAGTTATACCCCATACCTTGGGGGCAACCTTCCCCGAGACGAGTAGATCACTCGAACATCATTTTTGGCCCCCTAAGATCTTTATTGTTCCTATGACTCAATCAAGGTTTTGGCCCCTTAAGTGACTGTCAAACGGTATATACGGCGTCCCAAATCAAAGCGCGGCATCAAAGCGCTCCAGCTCTAGTGGAGTAAGATACATCCACCACGGGTGATAGTCAAGTGACAATCTTTCGGAAGTGCTCCGAGGCCCATCGCATCTCACCCTTTCCTTTCCCCACAGCTCCAATTTTTCCTTAACATCTCACCAACCTTTTCTGCGTTGAAACACACGCTAGGAAAGGGCGCACGCAATCTGACTTCCAAGCCAGTATATTCTCAGCTACCCTACCACTTGTCAAATTCTCATCTAGAACTCACATCATCACAACCCCCTCCCCAGCATGCCTCAAGCTACCTTGCAAAGCAGTCCAGAGCTCACCATAACTCTGGATAAAGAAACTACGTTCACCGCCGGTGAGACAATTTGTGGCCGTGTTATCCGCAAGTCCCACATTGTGGACCCGGATGCCTCGATCATTGTCCGTCTATACGGGAGAGCCGAGGTCAAAATCCATTTTGCCGGGGGTATGACCCAACAAACATGGCGCAGCTGTTTCAATCTTTTCGGTGGCTCGAGGGACAGTGTGAACATCCACCAGGGACCCCTGCATATCCCGCCCAATAGCCCCGAATATGGGAGCTGGCCGTTTGCTATTATACTCCCCACACATCCCGACCCGGCGTCTCTCTTGAGAGATAATGCGGATGAAAGGAGTTATCTGCCTTTGGGTGATGTCTCATCACAAGCGTTGCCCCCCACCTTTTACGTGAAAGCCACGGCTATCGGTAGGGTTGTCGAAGGATATGTCCAGTATTACCTGGAAGCGACGCTGCTTGGTAGCGGTAAGAAAAAGTACCAAGCCACTCAGCCATTTTCTGTGCGCCCGATCTCATCGCCGGGTGCAATCACCGACTTCGACACCCAGCATCGTTCCGAGTTTAGGCGGAGAATAGTCTCGCAGCGCTTAGTCCCAGGCATGGACTCCAAACTGTCCGTCGGCCAACAAATGAAAAAATTCCTCGGTTCATCCAAAGTTCCGGGCTACTCATTCTCTCTCCAGTTGGATATTGCCACTGTCCTACAAATTGGAAATCCTCATACGATTCCTCTGCGGCTGCGAATAAAACCAATCTGGGAAGATACAAGTGAAATCCTCAACAATGTGCCGCAAACAATTCTAGTCAAGCAGTTCACTCTGAGGCTGGTATTGACAACCCACTACACTTCCAAGCGGTTGAGAGCGAAGGAATTGCAGGATACGTCCTCGCTCCTCTTGGCAAATCATACTTCGAAGCAGAGTCTCAAGGACGCTCATATAGGTGCACCCACAACTGCAGATATACTCATGGTGCCTCAGGATGACGCATCTCCACCTCTCGATCTAGGCATTGCCCTGGGAATACGAGCATCTAAGGGCTCTCAGGGAGAAGAGATATATCCAACATTCACAACTTATAATATGAAAAATGAGCATCATCTCGAATGGGAGCTGGAACTCGCATTGGCAGGAGAGGTTTCTAAGCATGACGGAAAGCAGCAAGTTACTGTGATGGGGCCAAGCTAGAGCTTTTTGGCCGGCACTAGGTGCGCGAGACTATGAGGTCAGTGTGTGAATATAGCATGATAGCACCAGACTTATTAGTCTTTATACCCTTTACTATATCCAACAATGTTCCTGTATTTGCATTCACTGGCCCTGATCTAGGGGATTGCTATTAAGTATGAGCAAGCATACGACATAGTTGAGCAAAATAGCTAGGTTTGTGATGGGATTGACGAGATAAAATGAGATCGAGAGAAATAAATCAGCAGTGCCCATGTCCAGCTCTCTACGGCGGCTCTTTCTTCTAGGGCTAAGGCATCTACATAGGCAGCCGGTGGGTGGGTGACTAATCATATCTCCACAACCTTGGAAGAACACCAAGGCACGTTCGCATCTTTCACATCCAAGAATCTATCAAAGTGGGGTTTGATACAGGATTGCTGAACTTTCGGTGATCGGTGATCAACACAGATAATCACTGAAATTGGTCATCTCCATGATCAAGATATGGCGCATGATCGCCCATAACTCTCGATCGATCCAAACACGACAAGTCCTACCGGAGGCTTGGTAGCGACGCAGTTTGCCTCGTCACCAATACGCTCAGTTCCGGGTATAGCGCGCTCGATGGTCTCATTCGATGAGTTTGGACCCCAGATATCCATGTCCAGGAGTCGAGCGGCTCTCATTATTGCTTTCATCACCTGCATCACCGGCATTGGGAATCTATTAGCAGGGCTTCTCACTGTAGAGATTCCGGTGATCGCAGCAGATCTTGACATTCCACCAACACAGCAACTTTGGGCCAACTGCTGTCTTTGCTCTTGCATGCGGCTGTACTCTACTCCCCTGTGGGGCCGTTGCGGATATTGTTGACTGCCGTCGTGCGAGTCTACTTGGTGGGCTGCTTCAAGCGGGTAGCGTTTTAGGCGCTGGCCTTGCCACGAACTTAGTATAACTGATTTCTGATTTTACTACGGGCTGCCGCGGGTCTCTCTGCGTCATTATATCTACCTAGTGCTGTTGGGGTCGCCGTATATATCTTTCCTATAAGTAGTAGCCCCCGCCTCTGTAGTATCACTTTTGCCGCTATAGGGGTTGATCAGGCTGTTAGTTTGGGCTAGGATTAGTGTTAAGGTGTGTATTCTCTGACACTGTGGGTTAGCGCTAAAGTTTCTATGCTAGCGCTATTCTTAATAGTGTCGTTATGGCATTAGCACTGTGGGCGTTACCACGTGGTATCGATAGCGGCGCTCTAGGTTAAGGGTTATTCTCGCGTCTTGTTTGTGAGGTTAACTAGATTAGTATATTATTTATAAGCACTTATCTTGCTCTATTTTTATATAAACTAGCTATGATTACTAGACTAGGTACGGACTAAAGTATATATTAACTATTTAATATTATGTTGCTATATATATATATAATTAGCTCTTTTATCTATATTTAGGTTATAGATACGTCGTTAGACTCGTCTTAGTCGTCTAGCGTTTATTCTAAACTCTATATAGCACAATCTACCCTTTATAGCCACCTATATCACGGTATTTTTTATTCAGGGTACCTTAAACGCTAGTAAGTAACTCACTCCTTTTTACTTACAAGATATTCGTGGCGTTTCTACTCTCACGTCATTCTTATATTTTTTGCCAGCCCCAGTTTGCGGTTTATTGATGAATATTGCTATTTTATTTCTTGGGCTAATAAGCACAGGTGGCACTCTTCAAGACGCAATCGCTGATATGATCCCTCCGCTCGAGCTAGGAGATAACCTCTGGTAATTTCTATAGCTATTCAGAATGTAGATCAATGCGGGTTGTCCTCATTCTGATCAAAATGCTCCCTTGCCTATGGACTCCGGAGACGAATGGCCTTGCCCATGTAAAAGATGAACGGAATGGGCACCAGCAGAATAGAGATAAAGCCCAAAAGGCTCGACGCCTACTCGTAGTCCAACTTCTGATACATCTGCGTGGCAAATAAGGGAAACCCAGCACCGACCACATTGCGCACCAAAATGACGCCCGCCAGGGCCGAGGCCGAGTAGGTCTGGTAGCTGTCAACAACATAGTTGAGTATACTCAAAATCACAATATAAATGCCAGCCCCGAAAAAGGACGACGCGATGATCGGCACAATCCAATGCACCGATCGATAGCTCGTCCACCCGAACCAAAATAAACTGATCGGGATCAAGATGGCGCCACCACGCGCCATCCACATGCGTGCCTCGGGGACGCTCTTGCCCTCGTTGGCGGCCACGCGGCGGAGATAGTATCGCTCTTGGAGCGGGTAGAGGTAGAATGCAATCAGGGGGCCGATCGCCATTCCCAAAAATGCAAGGCCTTGTTGACCCACATTGAATGGGTGTCCTTTCGGGGCGCCGAACACCAGGGGGATAGCTTCATTAAACAAATACACCAGCCCATAGAGAAAGCCGTTATAGATGGCAGAGAAAGTCGTGATGGGCTCCGAGAAGAGGAAACGGAATGGCCGGGTGAGAGTGATCGCAAATAGCTCATGCAGACCTTTTCTGCCGTCCGCATGCGCGTCCATGGTCGATTCTGCCGAGCGCAAGTTTTCTTTCTTCATCTGTTTGCACACCCGTCGAGCTTTCCGCTGTAAAAGGATGGTGTGGCGAGTCTCAGGGACCGAGATGACCAGCAAAACCCAAATCCCGCCTGTCATCGCCATCAAAACCCAGAAGATCCACCGCCATCCGGCATTCAGTCCAATGTAGCCGGTGACAACGAGAGCCATTGGTGGCCCAAAGGTGCTACTGAGGCCGTAAACAGCCATGGGGCCGCCACTTTCGTTTCTCTCCCACAAATCACTGATGCTCCCACCGGTGTTTGTCATGGGCGCGCCTCCGGCACAGCCGGCGATGAACCGACATACCAAAATGGTGCCGATATTTGGAGCTAGGGCGAGGGGCAGCTGGAAGATAAACAGGCAAAACTACGACACCACGTAAACCGGTTGACGACCGTAGAATTCGGACAGTGGTGCCAGGAGCACAGGGCCAATGGCATAGCCCAGGACATGGAGAGATAAGCATAATGTGGTGACTTCTGCTGAAACCCCGAATTCCTCCTGGATACCGGTCGCACCCGAGGAGATGCCTCCGGCGCACCAAGTTCTGGATCATCTTAGCAAGCTGTCGATGGGTTGTGGGAATATGGCGACGTACATTAGCTTTAGCACGTGACGCTCCCGCTAAGCGGTAAGAAGCTCCGGTCTGTTACTTCCTTTGCTTCCTTTATTCTTGATTCTTGATAACCTGCCACCATGGAGAAATTGGAGCAGTACGTACCGACGAGTTCGAGTGACAGAACTAAACGCGTTCTACGCGCATTCATCGACCATCTACCCGCAAATGGCAGAGCGAATTTGATTCGTCATCTCCAGTCTTTGCAGTCGAACCAAGAGATTCACGACCATGCCGAATCCCTAGTGAATGGTCTTCTAATGCCGATGCGGACTCTCCGATCTACGCCCACTATCTCCCCACGTGCTGGAATGGAAGACTCCATTGAAAATGTCGCCGCACACTCCGGTAGTTCAGCAGCCCGAGAGGCTCGCTTGAAGAGAGACTGTCTTACCCGCGACGGCCTAAAATGTGTCGTCACAGACCGTTATGACGAAAATTCTATGGACCGAAGTAATACTAATATTCGGACAACTTACACTGAATGCGTCCACATCATTTCCTTTTCCCTTGCAACCTGGAAGGATGAACAAGAAGAATTCGCTAAAAACGTTATCTGGACTAATCTGACCCGCTATTTTCCGTCAATCGAAAACCAAATTCGCTTTACGCGGGAATCCATCAATGATACGTGCAATGCTATGACAATGTCTAAGGCTCTTCATCCATCATTCGGGGCGTTTGATTTTGCATTTGAAGCAACTCCGCGACGACATACATACACACTGAAGAATTACAAGCCGCGGCTGCTAGACGATCTTCCCGAAAGTGTCACTTTTACCCGCCATAACTCGCACTTCTCCCTTCCGAGCCCTGGACTGTTGAAGATCCATGCAACAATCGCCCGCATCTTTCATGCATCTGGAGCAGCCGAGCCCATTGAAAAGGCAATCCGAGATCTTGGAGAGACTGCTCTCCTAGCTAAGGATGGTAGTAGTGATATTTCGGCTATGTTAGCCGCAACGTCTCTTGGAGTTCTTGGTTCGCGCGCTGGGAATATCCAACAACCTGGATTATTGTTAAACCCAACCACGAAGGGTTAACTCACTTTATACACAATCGTACTTGTATCATATTATTATTGTTGTATCCATGGATATTATTGTACATTATCGTATAGTAAAGCGAGTTAGGCAATGTGGTAGAGTTGGTTTCCTCAGAAATGAGGCGACGATATTTGGTCAATTCACCTATTCCAACCCTGGAAGGTTGTCGCCAACCTTCCCTGAAACTACTCCCTCCCCCCAGAGTTGGCCCCATGCAATACCCGCCCCAATCTCACGACACTAGCGGATCTTCATGCTCGGCAGCAGATCATCATTGGCCCGTCCACCCCTTGGTGCCCGTTCCCCGGCCGGGATGGCATTCCCGGGCGAAGTTTGTCCAGTCGCAGCTGGCCATTCAAGGGCCACGTTATCGCGAATCTCAGGATCGCCAGATTGTGGTGGCTGCCTTATGAAGCCCCATGAATTCTCCTCGACCCTGGCTTTCGGGGAACTTCTGTCTAATGCTATCATGCAGTGTCTAACGAGACTGTTCGTGCTCAGTGCACTCGCCCCAGTCATGGCTTACCCGGAAGGGCTTCCGGAATGCACAGTGAGAGATCACTGTCGGGCAACCGGAGTGGTATTATGCTGACGATAACAGACACACTGCATGTCCACCGAGCTCGTGGGCACCGCCTGCAACGCAACCGATATGCCCTGCCTGTGTGCCCACGAAAACCTCCAGCAAAAAATCACCGCGTGTATGTTCACGACATGCACAATGAAGGAGTCTCTTGGTACGATCATTGCGCCCGACCCCGAAATCCAGACTGACGCGAGATTAGCCACGCGGAACATCACCGGCAACCTCTGTCATGTCCCCACTCGCGACCACGGCAAGATTAGTTTGATCATCACATCTGTTTTTGGAATTCCTGCCCTACTAGTAACGGTAATTCGGGCATCGCAGTTTGTGCATCAGTTTGGGCTGGAAGATGTCTTCGCGGTTATCGCCATGGTATATCACTCCGGAGATCGAAATCTGCTCGGGTGCTACACTTCTAACACTCGGTTAGATCGCGGGAATCGTCATGGCTTCGATGTCATATTCTGGTCCGTTCTTTCGCACTCGTCTCGCGGTCCGGAAAATGCTGACTTCCTATAGCAATCCATTATGGCTTCGGACGTGATATATGGACCATCCCATACGACAACCTGACATCCATCTTGAAACTCAATTGGATCAATCAAATGTTTTACATGGTGTGTATGTCGGCAGCCAAGTTGGCTTTCCTGTGCCTTTATTTGCGCATCTTCTTCAACCCGACCCTTCGACGAGCCATTTTCATTCTCATGGGGATTGTCATGGTCTACTTCTTATCCTTCTTCTTTCTCATCGTCTTCCACTGTACCCCGGTATCATACGTCTGGACCAGCTGGACCGGTGAAACTCAGGGATCCTGCATTAGCTACAACGCCATCGCAGTCGCCGCTGCAGCGACCAACATTGCTCTTGATATTGCCATTACTGTGCTGCCTCTGGGCGAAGTAATGAAGCTCAACCTCAAACCAATCAAGAAATTGCTGGTGATGGTCATGTTCTGCACTGGATTCTTGTGGGTAACCCCTGAAGAGCAAGGCGTGTGTGCATGGCTAATTCTAAAATTTTCATTCAGTGTGATCATTGTCAGCATCGTTCGGTTCAAAACCGTGGTAGCGTTTGCCCACAGCTTCAATCAGACGTGTATGTTTTTAACCCCATCTAATCCATACTACGAGGCCCCCGAGCCCGCTGCTGATGCACTGCAGATGACAACGTTCCCATGGCATATTGGTCTGCCATAGAATGCTACACCGCTATCATCTGCGTCAGTATGCCGACCGTACGTCGGTTGTTTATCTCCATTTTCTCTTGCTGCGGCACTGCAAACTCGCATGCGACCCCGACACAACGCCATCGCTCCAAAGATCTGGTTATTTTACGAACGACCGACACTAGAGTCAGTCGCGAACCGCGGCCCCGACAGGATTCGGATACAATGAATTTGGTGGTTGTGGAGCGCACGGGCAAAGTAATTCAACAATAAATATCTAAGAAAGGCACACTTGATCTGCTTCTCTAACCCGGAGTCTTCCATCGACCCTTTGGTGACTCGCCTAGGACCGCCAGCCTCAGCACTGATCCAGCATCTCGACCAAGGCGTTCTTTTCGTCCGACGTGATGGTTAGGTTGTAAACCGACTTCACCTTCACCCACATCTCGGCATACGTACAATGGTACGAGACTGTTGCATAGTCAGCATCGATGGTATTCGAAACATCGCCGACTTACCCAGGGAGGCTGCCATTCTTCCGGACCCTTGTCCCTCTTCTGGGAGTTGACGTTGTCAGTGACCGCCAACAATTGTGGATGGGTCAGATCGTTCGCGAAGGCTTGTCGATCTTGGGTGGTCCACTCAGAGGCTCCCGACTACCCATGGTCAATCTTGTTTTCTCAGGGGCGGGGCGGGGCCATTGCTCACCTTCCAGGCATTCGACAGTGGAACAACGTGGTCGATGTCAAGATCACTCGAGGCGGTCCATGTTTCTCCGTCGTATGGCGAGTACCACGTACCACTGGTGGCCGTACAGCTAGAGCTTTGAACGACGTCTGTCCCGTCTCGTTTCAGTACAACCTCTCGCATATCACATTTCCTACCCAGGTCAGTTGCAATTCTTTCTACGCAGTGAAGACCTGGTACCACCTACCCGCTTTGGGTAATCCAGTGAGGAAACTTGTCACGGCTATAGCCATCCAGGGATCGATCCCGGGTGGTGATGGTGCTGGCTCGGGAGTAGGCAACGCCACACCCAGTGAAAACTGCAGGATGAGCACGCCCAGGGAGGCTGTCGAGAAACGGAAGATAACCATTATCATTTTGCGGGGAGGCCATACCTTAGGTCATACCTTTGACCTCAGTGCAGGATGCAAGTTTAATACACTAGGTGGATGGCACAAAAGCCGCCACTACCAGGAATGTAGGATGGTATTTATGCTACTCGAGTCAACATTGCCCTAGCCTCGCCGAGTCATACTCTATAGCAGTATGTCAAAGCTGCTCGTGCAGAAATCCACCCCTCAGCAGCCATAACGCTTAACACTATGCGACATCAGCACATCCCGTGTCTTGGAACGGAACCTGGCGTTTCACGTTGGCAAATCAAAGCCCGGCGAGTGGTGATGATCCTTGCAGCCCGCTAGTAAGCCCACACGATAAGAAGAGGGAATGGTAGCAATCCATTGATCTGTAGACTGCAATCCCCGAAATGCGATTTTTCCTGGCATAATCTTTCAGCTCGCCAAACATTTGCTTCGGCGTGGGAGAATCTCCTTTCCCGAGGGCGTACATTGTAACCCGCAAAGGACTTAGGGTTTTGTGTGAGCGGAGGTCATCATTGCTCCTCCATCCATCTGCCATGGCCATGATTTTCACCGACGCCCGCGTGTTCTGCCCTGACTCCTTGAAATCAGATCGGTTTTTATCCACTCTCGTCGTCTCTGGCGACCGAGTCGAGTACGTGGGTTGCGAGGGAGACGAGCCATTTCGCCAGGCACAAAAGTCAGGAACAACGGTGGACTTGGGCGACCGAGTTGTTCTGCCGGGTTTTATCGACGGCCATGTCCACATTCTCAACTTCAGCCTGTCCCTGCAGAAGCTTGACCTCCTTCTACGTAAGTCACTGGGTGATATTCGTGAGGCTATCGCCATCTATGCGGTTGCACACCCTTTGGAGCCACGCATCCTGTGCCGGGGTGGATACAGTCGGTCACGCAAGGCCAGGCACTCGCCACGACGCTGGACGACTTAGATATACGTTCAATCTACATTGAAGCACTGGATCTCCATTCCACTTGGTGCAATACTACTGCTCTGCAAGAACTCCAGCTGGAGTCACTGCCTGAACCCTCAGGAGGGACGATTCATCGCTTAAATGGGAAACCGTCTGGGTTACTCGACGAAGCAGCCCAATTCAACATCTGGCCGTTTCTCGATCAAGTCGCATCGATGGAGAAGAAGCTAGCAGCCATTGATGCCGCGGTGGCTGCCCATCGATGTGCAGGGTACACCGGTCTAGTGGACATGGCGATGGACGAAAGGAATTGGGAAGCCCTGAACCTCTACCGCAGCCAATATGGCGAGCTACGATTTCATATGGCAGCACATTGGCTGATCCCATACTCGGAAGATCACCGGGAAATTTGCAACCATATTGACCGTGCGATTGAGCTCCATCGGGAATTCATCCGGTCCACCTCTCCGGACTTCTGTATCAATGGGATTAAGCTAATCTGTGACGGCACTGTGGACGGCTGCACAGCCGGCCTGCATCAGCCTTACGGTGGCTTCGGCGATGTTGTTGAGCCCATATGGCCTGCAATGCAGCTGGCGTCGGCGATCCGCCGCGCCACAAATGCCGGGCTACAGTGTGCCATCCACGCTATCGGCGACCGGACGGTTCAACAGGCTATTGATTGTCTATCTCAAGTCCCCAATCTCCGTGACGGTCGACATCGCATAGAACATCTCGAGCTCACAACTCCGGAGGATGCGAAACGCCTTGGCGATCTAGGGATTGTTGCTTCAGTGCAGCCGGTTCATTTGGACCCCGCTACCTTTGGTGCATGGCCTGAGTTAATCGGTTCATATCGTTGCCAGCGAGTCTTTGCATATCGAGAATTTGCTGACAGTGGGGCTCCCCTGGTCTTTGGCACGGATGCTCCCACGGCGAGACACTGTCCGTTGCCCAATCTCTACAATGCAACTACACGCCACTCGGCCCTGGGCCCGTCTCTGACCGAGACGGTCAATCCGAAATTTGCAGTTCCTCTTGCCACGGCTATCTCGGCCGCAACAGCAGGGCTGCCTTTGCCTGCTTTGCTGACTCCTGGACTGGGAGCTTGCGACCAGGCTTCCAAGCGAACTTTGTGGTTTTGGATATGCATTGGGACGCAGATCAACTGCTCGAAGCTCGTGTCCGCCAAACATTTCATAGGGGAAAGAAGGTATTTGATGCTGACGATTAACAATGATCCAACCGATGCCTTTTTTAGAGGGTGGAAGTTGACGTCAAATCTCATCGTAGTCAAATTTGAGTACCAATATCGCGTCTGCCGTCATCTCCCATGCTCAACCCCTTGGTCTCTAGATCAACTGGCACTCAATAATATGCTGTCGGCTTTGGATCATGTTATTCGGGTACACACATAAATGTTTAGCTTTTGAACGCTATTATAAACCTAACCCTGTCTTGTACTGAATATGGAAGAATACATCTTTATATTAGAGGTACCATGGGAACGATCAAACTTCACGAAGAGCCTTTTCTGGCTGGTGATAGATAATCCTCGTAAGTGTCGACCTGGGCATGGATAGTAGTAATTTACGCGGCTCCAAACGGCCCGCCACGAACAAGCTTCACTTTGACCAGGAATCTTCTTAACCTAGATTTGGCTATATATACATGAAAAAAATCGACTCTAGCTCAGCCAAGCGTTGGAATCTATATCAGACTCAGTAATGGTATCGAAAGTCCACGGCATAGTCGCCCGACTGGACACGCCGGGTGTCCTCTTTTTCCCCACTGGTAATCTGCTCCTTGACCCTGTTCTCATGCCGCAAATAAAATCCAAGGCCGGTGACCACTCCTTGCGCGAACACCAACGATCCCAGCGAGAAGGCATTGCCGAGCACATAAGGGGTCTGGCGATAAACCTGCCCTGCCACAATGCCGGCACAGTTGCCCATGGTTTGCTGTAGACCAATTTCCAAAGCCCGACGGTATTGAGGAGCCACGTTCACGTTCAACCAGGCTACGTTCAGACCCACCCCTGTGTAAGTCGTGATGCCGCAGAGGAACGTGGCAAAGTACTTGACCGCGGTATTGTCGACGGCCAGAAGCAAAACGTAGCCAACAATTCCAAAAATATTGGATGCAAAGATAAACTGAAACAATTTAGCACTGAGCATAGTCTGCCAGGAAAGTCAACGCGTACCGACGCAAATTTCGAGTACCGGTCGGCGCAGAAGGCCACGGCGACGAAGACAATGGCGGCCCACATATAGACTGGAACGGTCAGCACATTGCTCATCAGCGAGTCATAGCCCATGCTCTTGAGGATAGTCGGCAAAAAAGTGCTGAAGCCGTAGAGCAGGATGTCTTGACAGAACTGGATCACGCCGCTCAGAAATAGTTTCGGGTCCCCCAGGGCAATGCGCATTTCAGTCCAGCTAAACTTGTCACTGCCCATATACTTGCGGCGCTGCTCGTTGCGCACGCGCATCATCCATTTCTCCTCGCTGGAGAGGAAATATGCCTCGGCCGGGTTGTTGGGCAAGCCAAACCAGATCAAAATGGCACAGACGATGCTGAACAGGCCTTCGATGATGTACACCCATCTGGACTGCGGTGAGCCACGATCCCATGTTTTTGATGCCATCTTCAGCGATTTCATACCTCCATCCCTCTTTTCCTCCAATCCCGTCCATTTGAAGTAAACCATAGGCTAAGAGACCTCCCACGGCACCTGAGATCGCGGCACAGCTCATCAGATAGGAAACACGTTTTGCTTGTTCCTCGCGGCGATAGACCATGGTCAGGTATAGATTAAGACAGGGAAATAGGCCCGCTTCGCAAGCGCCCAGGATGAGCCTCGTGGCATACAACGACCCCACAGACTGGATGAAGCCCGTGAAGATAGTGGTCAGAGACCACACAATGCAGAGCCCAGTTAGGATATTCCGCGGTGTCAGTTTCTTCATGAGCACTGCCCATGGGGCCTCAAACAGAACATAGGTCACGTAGAAGATGGACACGGCGGTTGAAAACTCGCTGTCTGAGGCTTGAATGTCTTCGGGCATGTGTGCTACCTTGACATTACCTGCGGTCTTGGTCAACGGTGTATTTCTTCCTTAAAGCAACGCGGGCATCCTCAACCTACCAATGCTGGACCGGTCCAAGAAGCATGTCAGGTAAGTAAGCATGATGATAGGCACAAAGGCAGCATCCAATTTGACCAGCAACTTGCGCTCCTTCTGTGGATCAAGTACCACATCCAATGCCTCACCGGCCGAGGCGTCCATCATCTCTGGGTTTGGATCCTTTTGCATGGAAGACTTGTGCTCCAAGGCAGAGGCATGATCGGAGACGTCGTGCGACATGACATGGAATTCTCGAGGGGTCCGAGGGGTAGAATTCGATGAGACAAAATCCCAACCAGCCTTTCCACAGACACTCTTTAAAAAAAAAAAAAAAAAAACAAAAAGAGGCCACGAGAAGGGCCATGTGGAGCACCTGCTATCTCGCGGTGATAACGTCGGATTGGCTCCACCGATGGGGGCATCGGCCCGACGATGCTCTGATAAGTCGACATGCGAGGAAACTGATCGCCGGCCTTTGCCACTCCGTGCCGCACCTGCTATCTCCCCTTCACGGCGATCATCACTGCATCTGGCAGGCCCAGCTTGAGCCATCTGCTCAGCGACGTGACTGGCGTGGGCGTGTGGAGAGACCCCGACTTTCCCCAGACCGTCGGTATGTGGACCCCGACGTCTCCACAAAAAGAAACATTCGACGATAGCCGAGGCTATGTCGCCGGGAAGTTAAAGCAGCTCTCACCCCTGGCGCGCCATGGTGAGAGCATTGCCATCACAGGATGGGGAGCATTGCTGCCACCGCTCATGAAGCGCGCTTGTTGTGTCGCCAGAACCGGCTGACCAACACTGCGGGTATTGCACCAGGCTATCTGCAAGCTAACTTGTTGGTATTGCCGGCCAGGTATGCCGCTGATTTCCATGACCTTTGTCTGCGCAACCCAGTCTCTTGCCCGCTACTGGGAATGACTGCCGTTCCTGGTGACCCCCATACCATCCAACCGACAAGATGCATCCAATCCACCGATTTTGACATTCGCACGGACTTCCCCCGGTATCGGGTATATCGTAGCGGGACGTATATCGGGAGTTGCGAGGATCTGCGGGACTCATGGAGCCCAGAGCATGTGGGATTTTTGATCGGCTGCTCGTTCTCCTTTGAAGATGCCCTGGTAGCAGCGGGCCTATCACCACGCCACCACAAAACAGGGTCCATCGTGGCCATGTATCGGTCAAAGATACCGCTGTTGCCCGCGGGGATCTTTACGGACGCACAATGTATCGTGTCTATGCGACCTTACCGGCCAGAGCAGATTGACCGCGTCCGGGAAGTCACCCGGCCATTCCTCTCCACACACGGCGAGCCTGTGGCATGGGGATGGGAAGGCGCAAAGCAACTGGGCATCTTCGACATTGAAAAGCCTGACTTTGGTCAGCCGCAGCTATTCGAGGAAGGAGAGATTCCTGTATTCTGGGTAGGTGCCCTTCCATTCGAGGACGGATTAGGCTGACTGGATTCCACCTGGGCAGGCTTGTGGAGTGACGCCGCAGATGGCTGTGGAGGCCGCAGGGAACAGAGTCGATGGACTTGTCTTTGCCCATGAACCAGGGCATATGCTGTTGACCGACTGGACCGTGGATGATCTGCAGCACTTGAAGCCCGGGATTGTCTCGGGGCATAGACAATAGTCTATGATACCGAGAACTTGAGATCTATATAAACTGTAGAAATTGCTCTATATTTACAACATAGATTTCCCTTGACGACATAGGCCACCCTTTGTATAGCAACTTTCCTGCCCTTGCGAGGTATGAACGGCGGAAATTGGGTCAGAAAATGAACGAGTTGATAAAAGAGGGCTGTGAGAAAAACGAACTAGACAACAACAATATATACAAAGTTGAGAGAGCTGGAGAGACAGAGGTTTTAAACCTGTCTAAGTGGATGGCTGAATTATGCCGAGATGAACTTCCACACTTTGGCGGCGATGCGACTATACCGAATCATTACTCGAAGATAGGGTGTTTTCTCTGCGGGCTCTGGTAGCCAAGGATCAATATCCGTGTCTTCCAAAGCAAACGGCATCCCAGTCCCGAAGCTCCAGCGCCTGTCCAAGACGTAGATTGACCAAAACAATCGAAGCACGCGATCCTTGCCCTCAGCCACAATAGCTGGCTGGTCCAGGGTTTCTTGCCGGTGAAGACCCTTCTCCAAGTACATGCGCTCGACGATGCCGATGGTCCGCCATGCCAGCGTTTCTTCGTGCATTTGAAAATAAAAGATAGACTGCAAGTTGAGGTCAGCATCGTGATCTCGACGGAGTTTCGCTTCTTGCCACAGTAAGACACCCCACCAAACTCAAGAAGATAATGTTTTTCGTCTCTGGTGTTCCCCACACACAGTTATCCTGGACCTCCCGTACACTGTCAAAGAGAGCGATGGCCTGCTCGCTGCGACCACTTGCTTCTGCCGTCAAGGCGCATGCTTAAAACCAACTGGAGAATATGGATATCCTCACGATCAAGTCCATTTTGCCCACTGGAATGTAGTCCCTGACCAATTGTACGGTCCATCGGTCCATAGAGCAAGTGGACTTGATCTAGAAGTTCCGAGAGCTCCAGGACTGGATACATGATCCCCATCTCCTCTTCATACACACGACATAGCCGCAGAGCCTCAGTCTTCGCCAGGTTCCACAATGGATCGACCGTTTGGCAAGGCTCCATAGGATGAGATGCCGATGGCGATGCCATCGGGGATGGTTCCTGGGTCAAATCGCCTTCATCGCCGGCTTCATTCCGTTCGATAATTCCGCGGCGTTGCAAACTGGTCCTAGGCAGGTGAAAACTAAACGCGGACCGCCCCCGCGGAGAATTCCGCGCCCCACAGGATCGGCGTCCAAGCCCTGGAGGAATTCGGGGATGTCGATTGCTAATCCCCTAGGTATCGAGTCATCTATAACAAGGGACTGACTGCTGAAGTAGTAGCCGAGGTACATTAATATCCTACGGTTGAATAGGTTTTTTTTCCGGGAAATTCACAGCGGTATATACTTCATTACCGCCAAATGATATCCATGCTTAATATGATACTCGGGGATGCTTCCTCTTCCCCTATGTATTGTACTTGAACAGTTCATAGATCCTTGGTCCGCTCATCACTCTCGAAAATCCACTGCTCCAACTTCTGCGGGTCTCGCGGAGTGAAGCCGACCTTGAATGGCTTCGGCTCTGTGGTCAGCGCAGTGGGGATAGCATTGCACTCGATTGCATTCAAAATCGGCCGATCCCCTACGTTCGTTGCCGGCCGCATCTCAAAGGCCGTGATCAGACGCAGGAATGCCGTGTACAGCTCGCGATTCGCGAGATGAGAGCCGGCACACATACGGGATCCCGCTCCGTAGCCGTAGTGTGGAGTGCCAGACCCTTCGCCAAGCTCCAGATATCGCTCAGGGATGAATTTATCGGCTTGCTTAAAGTGATCCTCGTCATAGTCGGCCGCCCAAGCGTTCTAGACAAGTCAGTACAGGTCACTATGTAAAAACGGAACAAGCAAGACTGACCATAAAAAACGTCGTCCCGGCCGGGATGTTGACACCGTTCCACTCAATATCCTTGGTACTCTCACGGGGCAGGCAAATGGGGATGACCGTCCAAAATCGCAGGGTCTCCTTGACAATTGCAGTCACGTAGGGCACCTTCTCCTCGACCAGGCATTTTTCCCAAGCATCACCGTCCGGATAAACCTTCATGATCTCCTCGTACGCCTTCTTTTGGATGCGTTGGCCGTCCTCCGAGGCGAGATATGCAATTGCCATAATCAAATTGCCCGGAATTGTGTCGATTCCGGCCGCTACCATAGTCAAGCAGATCGATTTCACCTCGGCTGGTTCGTTCGTCAGTTGTGTTTGCCTCTGTGGGACAATCCAGATGCGTACCGTCATTTAGCTTGGCCTCAGGGTCTTTGAGAATGTTACCAGTAATACACGGCTTGTCCGTGCCCTTGGCAATCCGGTCTTTCAGAATTCCCAACAGGTAGGTCAGGTACGCGTCACGTCGAGCGCGGAACTCCTGGGCCCCGTTGTTCATCTTGGGGAAAATCCGCAGTAGTGGAATGTAGTCCTGCCAGTTATTCGAGGTGCTGCGGAAGTTGGACACCCCCCGTTCGACCTCGACGATCTCACGCAGCAGTTGGTCATCCACATTACCCTCAATGCGAAACCCATAGTTGAGGGTCAAGCTGGTGTTGAGCGCGAATCGTTGAAAGTAGCTGGTTGGATTAATATCACGTGTACCGCCTTTGCTATCGCGGTACAACTCCTTGATGCTAGAGTTGGCTTCAAGGTCAATGATAAGCATGTAAGACTGCGTGGCTGACCGGTTGAGGGCCGTTGCTGCAGCCTTGCGGCGTCGCTTGCAGGACTCATCCCAAGGGGATGTACCGATAGTAAATCCCTGGGAGCTGGAGACGACGCTATGAAATGTGTGGAAGGTCGGCCGGGAAATCAGCGCCGATTGATCTTTGATCCACAGCTGTCGCACCGAGTCAAAACTGTTGGCGAAAACAATGCGCTAGCAAGACGTGAGTCCAAGGTCTTTCTATCGAGTCATTTCTAGAATTCCAAAGTCTTACCCTGTTTCCCATGCGCAGTTGGAAAACCGGACCAAACTTCTTGGCCCATTTGCCGGCAACCACTGCGTGTTGATCCCCCAGTTGTAGCAAATTCCCGAAGAGCGGCACCCCGGGGATCTCCGGTAAACCCTTGATCTTGGGGATATCGGTCCGGTTTAGGTATCGGAGAATCAAGTACGCGACCGTCACCACGGCGATGGCAAGTGTTTGGGGTGTCATAATGGAGGTTGTCGAGGCAAGAAGGGTGGTGACACCAAGCGGGGAGAGGGTGTGCAGCTCTTATAATCCCCGCAGGATATTCGACGGAGACTGCAGAGTGAACGGCATATTTCCGGCTGCTCTTGCAGTACTTCGGCTCCAGAGACGGCTTGACGATCATCAAGCGCCAGGGACGACAGCCACAATCAGCATGTCCAACTGTCCGGGGCCGAAGAGACCCACTTGGAGAAAGAAGACGGTCTTCTCCACATCGCGGGACACGCGGAATGCCCATGCCGTGTCTCCGCGGAAGATGGCGGGTCCATTCCTGCAGGTGGAATGAAGTGGCCAAGGTGTTTTGATAACTGCGGTTTGAATGTGACGTTGGAACCACTTTCGTCGGCGCAACGGCATGCGGAATTGGCAACATGCTCGAGGGGTACGCAAAAGCGATGGAAGGAACTGAAAAAGATCAAAGGACTAGTTTGTGGAGCAAAGAAGAAAGAAAGAAAGACAGAAAAGGTTTAGTGTGGTGAGAAGGAGCACAGGGGATATCGGCCCTTGGATGTCAAGGCCAGGCCCTCCAGAGATACTGCTATACTGGGACATGGCAACCGTGTGAATACCCATGGAGACACCCTAGAACAACCGGTCGTTAGATATAACTGCCTACAATTTTTAGACAAAATGAAAATACAAATGAAGATAAATTATAGGTTCATAATTCATGCGAAAAGGCCTCAAAAATACAGAAGACTATGAAACATATCACAAGAAAACCAATATATACACAGCAAGCTCCAAATGAGAATAACGGGTATCGTGAACAGTGACATCAAAGGTCAAGACTATGTCTATGCCCCGAGCTGATTGGCACTCACTCGGCTGGCGCGACGGCTGGCACCGCGCTGCCGGTCAGCCTCGAGGGTTTGCGCGAACTTGCTGCTGGCGCGGATCTCAGGTCCCTTCCAGTAGAAGATGTAGATGGGGATGGTGACAAAGATCGCCAAACAGCCCAGAATAGTACTAGCCCATTGCAGGTGGAACTTGTTGCCGATGTTGCTGTACATTGGGGTCGCGTACATGGCAGATATGCCGGCCAGGAAATCACGAGCGAAGCCATTGCCACCGGTGGCGGACGCAGAATACGGTCCATAGGAGGCCACCATGTAGTCAATCGTCGCCATATAGATGCCGTAGTTGGCGATGGCGATGAGGAACACAAACACCAAAGGTACAATCCAATGGGTGTAGTCCGGCCCCATGGATGTCCACGCAAATCCGAACAACCCAATTGTCTCGAGTGGGGCGATGAACAGTAGGAGCAACAGCCGTCGCTCCGGAATACGGGCGGCGTTGCCCTCACGCTTCCGGATGTGACGCTGACGTCCAATGTCCGGCAGGAAGATGCCGTATGCGACAAGGTAGCCAGCAACAATGGCGATGAAGCAGAGACCAATTCGGAGCGCATCAAAGTTCCACTGCTTGAACACCAGGTTGAAAGACTCAATACATGTGAAGATCAAGGCGTCAGAGAACCCAGAAAGCAGCGACAGGAAGAGGACGATAGGCTCTCGCAGAAACATCTCGAACGGACGGCGCCAAATCGCTAAGACCTCCTTTCCGCTCAGGCGAGGCTCTTTCAGCTCATTCGGACCATAGCAGTTGGGATCCTCGCCGGTCTTGCGGCGTCGCTTGGCTTCCTTGTCGATCAGGATCGTGGCGCGGGTCTCGGTCACAAACAGGAAATGCACCAGCTGGGTGACCCCTCCAAAGATTAGCTGAATCCAAAAGTTCCAGCGCCAGTCCAGCCATTGCTGAATCATGCCACCAAAGATCGGGCCGATGGTGGTACCACCGACCGATGATAGCACCACGTAGGCGACGGCAAACCCTTGGTCATCGGGATCCCACATATCAGCCGTCATCCCTAGGGTCACAGATCCACCGGCCGAGCTCAGCCCACCGAGTGCACGGCAGACGACAATGGTCCCAAAGTTCGGGGCCAGAGCACAAGGGATCTGCCAAATGTTGACTAGGAACAAACTGAGCTGCATAATGGGCCAGCGGCCAAATTCCTCACTCCAGGGTGCCCAGAGCTCACAGCCAAAGGCGTAGGTGACCAAGAAGATCATCTGGCCCACTCGAGCCGCCTGCTCACTAATATGAAAGTGCTCCGCCAGCGGCTCAACCGCGTTGGGGTATACACTGCTGTTGAAGTTCATGGACATTTGCACCGTGAAGATGACGGTGAGAATGCCCCATCGCTTGTACCACGGAAAGCTGAACCCCAGTTTATCCCAGCAGTCATCTTCGGTCAATTCTCGCTTGCCGTCGGACCGGGTCTTCTCCCCGGGCAGCAAGGTACCGCTGCCATTGTCTGGATCTGCCGCATCTTCGGCATGGGAATCGGCCGGGACGTTGCTTAGGCTAGCGGAGCGTTTATCGTTAGAGGGGCGACCTTTCTCGGACGACTCGACCCCCTTGGAGGGAACAATCCCATCTCCAGATGCCATGATCGGCAAGTGGCGACACAAACTCCAGATTCCTGAGACGTGGGAGTGGAGAGAGGAAGGCCAGGAAGCAAGGGATAGTAGATAAGTGGTATGTGTTAGGGAGAGAAGGGGGGTTCCGTAACACGAGGGAATGGAGAATGGAGAGACAAGATAGTAGGGCAGAACCAGCACGCGGTTTCTTTATATTGCAGCGCTCTCAACGCCCCGGCCCCATGCGAGTACTCCACTGGGAATCCTACGTAATGCGATGCTTGTTCGCATGCAATCGGAAATCTCGGAGTGTGTTCGTCTTGGCCATTTGCACTCATTTCTTTTGAGGGTGTATGAGAACCCTCTTTTCCCGGTTTTTTTGGCCATGTGCCTTTTCCGTCCCTTGTCATTCCCATGTTTCCCTTCCGGGAATGCTCTGGAATGTTGGCTGAACGAGTATGCTGGCTGGAGGGGGGTTGGCCGCAAACGCGATCTGCTCCGTATATGCCAAAATCGGCCTCATCGACATCATCGATCTCTTGTCGCATGTGGTGATTGGGGCCTGCGCTAACATGGCTCCACTGGGCGCCTGTCGGTTGTCCCAAACCGGTCAACCCGGCGTCTAACCGGGCTGGAGGCTGTCCTTTAGACCTGTTGGTGATGTCAGAGCGAGGCAGCTGGGCTGAACAAAAACCGGTTGCATGGCCCTTGCGGTCGATCGGCATTCGGGATACTGCGATCAGTGCGCGGCACCGGGCAACTCGGCATCATCGTGTGGTGCAATCCGACCGGCATCCTTGCATCGCTGGGCTGGCTCAGGCACTGGTCCCCTTCGACTTTACTCTACTCAGTAGGTGGCTTTGGACGCGGTGACATCACCATATCGCATGTCTATTGAATCCTGGCTGTGTGTATGGACGGGCAGGTCGGGTTGTAACAACTTAACAACTGTCGCTTACTGATGGCGTCTCAACAATTCGTCCACCCACCGGGCCAAGGTACCCTGATGTCTGGGATTGGGCACGTTGGACACGTCTCCCATGGTTTGGTTGATCTCGTCCACGCCAACCACGGCATCCTCTGGAATCCCCCGACGTCGCTTCCAATTGCGCTCCGTGTTGGTCACATATCCTTCTCGCCATAGACGACCATAAAATACCCGTGCCTCGTCCGCAGTTCGTAGTCGGAGGATGTCGTATGTACTGGCCTGGGTGAGAGCAGCATCGCGATCGCGGCTCATTTGCCCGTCAACCACCTGCACATGGACGCCAAACGAACGGAAGTGAGCGCCCCACATCCCATCTTCGGCGGGTGTCACAAAGATGGAGACTCGACTGGGGGCAACGGAGTACGCGAGGAGATACGCAAGGGCGTCGGCATCAACCCCGCGTGGGAGCGGGCCGATGACGAAGTGGTGGCCACAGTCGATGGCGTGGTTGATTCGGGGCACATAGTGGGTATGAAAGTAAGCTTCATCGGGGCCGGTATCGACAGGGCCCGAGATGAAGGCGATGGCCGGAGCTCCACTGCCTCCACTGGGACTCTCCATCGATGAGCCGACGAAGAACTCGGAATTGCGCGAAAGGGGAAGAAGAGGGAAGAAGAGGAAATTCTCCGGAATCCTTCGCGCGGTTTTTTTTTTTTTTTTTTTTTTTCCGGGCCGAAAATCGCTCAAACTGTGACTGATAACTGTAAGAAGTAATGGGAGGAGAGTGTAGAGTGGAGGAGTAGAGTAGGTAGAGTCAATAGTCACAGTCCACAGGTATATATTTAGCTCGGCTACCTTTTCTACTCAGCAACAGCGCTTTACAGCTCTTTGCGTAAACATCTCTCATCTGTATACACTCTCATCTGTATACACGGCTGACCTTCGCTTCGCTCAGGCGGCTTTGAAAGATATAGTGGAGAATAAAACTTAGATTCGAAAGGCTTATTCACTGAATTCTATCCTATTTTGGGGGTTTTATTCTTCATTAAATATATAGATAGCTACATTACTACTATTACTATTATTTTGTTAGTTTTTTTTTTCTATCTCTACTTTCTCATCCTTTTTCTAATCCCCTTTTCAGTCTATTTTTACTATTATCCATTTTATCTATCTTTGTTTTATTCTTTTTAAACAATGATTTACGACTGTAGCGGGTGTAGAGGGTCGGGGGGTGGTCACGTAGGGGCAAAGTCGAATCCTCTCGGTGTAGAATGACCCGCTTCACATCGTCTGATATTATTAAATTCTGTTATTTTTTACAATATTAAAGATATTGGATCATATTTATTCTCTCTACAATAACGGTACCATGAGGAAGGATCTGTACCCGCAACCGTGCGACCTTGGGAATCCACGCATGCCGCCCTCTCTCCCTCCTACACATCTCATGGCCTCCCAATCCCTCCCTCGCTCGTCTCCACCGTCCCCTGTGCTGCAGCCTCGACGCCCGAGTCTGGATCTGCATGACATCCGATCGACCCGGGGCCAACGCGTCTGGGGTTTCCTGCGATCCTCCAGCATCAGCTTGCAGGACCAGGCATTTCTGCGCCGCGGATCCCATCTAATTGGGCACAGCAACCCTCGTTACGAATGGTGAAGCGCGCGAGAAAACGCATCTCAGTTCATTGCTGATTTGTCTCGGAAACAGGCACCGCTATTATCGATCCCCCGACTCCTTGAAGGGTTTGCCCAAGGCCATGTACGCTTTTCGGTTCCCGTGCACTGAAATTTGTCCCTAATGTTTGCAGACGCCGATACTATGAGCGCAATAACTCCCTCATCTCCCAATATCTCTATATCGATCGTCTACTAGACTCCTCTCTCCCGCATAGCCTGATTGAGGAATACAATGGCTGTCACCTACATCCACCAGAGAGTTTACCGTCAGACAACGGTGCGGCCGAGTCGGCAAGTCGAACCAACCCCAGGATAGCAAAGATTAAGCGCACCCCACACAACCTCTATCGGATCCCCGACGAGGCAGCCCCCTTGCTCTCATCCGCACAGGAAGAGTGCGACCTCTCACAGGCTATGCCGAGCATCGAATCACACGGAATGTCTCCCGAAGCAGAGGAGCGCCTAGTCAACCTCGCCATTCGCATCAATTTCGTCGCGAATGTCGTGCTGCTCGCTTCCAAGATTGCAATCATGGTATTGACAAGTTCTATGTCGGTCCTGGCAGGTCTAGTGGATGGGGTGTTGGATTTTCTAAGTACGGTCATCATCTGGGTCACCACAACTTTGATCCGCCGACAAGACCGCAACCAATATCCCATCAGTCGGCGCCGGCTAGAGCCGCTCAGCGTGTTGGTCTTTTCGGTGATCATGGTGACTTCCTTCTTCCAGATAGCCCTGTCATCTCTAAACAAATTAACGGCCGAGGACCACACGATCGTAGAGCTTTCCATCCCTTCCATCGGGCTGATGGCTGGCACAGTGCTGATCAAACTCCTCTGTTGGGTATGGTGTCGCTTGATTCCCAGTCCCAGTGTTCAAGTCTTGGCCCAGGATGCGATGACCGACGTCGTCTTCAACACATTTAGCATCATTTTCCCGCTGAGTATGTACATGGTTTCCCCCTAGTGGACCCCCCCCCCAAAAAAACTAACCATGCTCCCAGTCGGTGCTTTTGCCAGACTCTGGTTTCTGGATCCCCTCGGCGGTCTTCTCCTATCGTTATATATCATATGGAACTGGGACCAGACCGCAGGGGAACACATCCGGCAGTTGACAGGCGCGGCAGCCTCGCCCACAGATCACAATATCCTATTGTACATGACAATGCGATTCTCCCGGGTAATCCTGAAGATCCAAGACCTGAAAGCCTACTATGCGGGCGACAAACTCAACGTCGAGGTTGACCTGGTGGTGGACGAAGGGACCAGCCTGCGGGATAGTCATGATGTTGGAGAAAGCCTGCAGTACATTCTCGAAAGCGTGCCCACGGTTGATCGCGCCTTTGTGCATTTGGACTATGACCCGTGGAATTTACCGAGCCATATGAATCAGCTGGACCGGTAGTGCATCGTCCAGATCAATGGACATCCGAAAGCTTCCTGATGCCACCACAGATCTTGACTCAATTCATTATCGTAGAAGAGATAATCTCACAAATAAATCCATTCATTTTAATTGTACAGGTTCAACATTTGAAACACCACAAGAAAAGGATGATGACGCAAACTGTCTCTGGAGGTCACCGAAATATTCTTACAGATGGCAAGCCCTAGAACGCCCAGTCCTGCTCCTCGGCTAGCGAGGGGGCTGTGATGGCGGAGGCAATGGACCATGGAGCCCGCTTTGAGTTGATCCCTGACTATAGACCCGATGGTGGGTTGGCGTAGAGGCAGCGTCACTCAATGGTCCGGGAGCTCGCTGGTGGAGAGCGGGAAGCGGCCCTGACGCCGACGGGGGAGGGGGTGCATAGTTCATGCCGGTCCCGCTGACCGAAGGGTGTAATGCCGACGGAGGGGTGTATGAGCGCCCCAGGGATGTCAACGGCGGCATCGATCGACCCGGTGCTTGAGGCGGAGGAGTGCTGTGCCCATAGGGCGATGGGCCGCCAGGCAGACCAACTGGAGTGGAACGGTGGGACTGCGACTGATGCGACCCATTCACCAAGGTCTGCACATGTTGTTGATAGCTGTGCGCATGTGACGGGGCGGGTGCCGGGGTGGGTGGTGCAACCGAGGAATATGGTTGACGCGGAGGAAGGCCAAACAGACTGGTGGACTGGGCTGGCATCGCTGGCTCATGTCGTGAGGTATATGCAATACTGCTCGCCCGCGAAGGAGGTGATCCAGGTCGGTAGGTCGAAGGTTGAGCAAGCGTTTCGCGCGAGCCAGACGCCGACGAGTGCGCGAAGACATTGGGATAAGAGGACCGCTGGTTTGCAGCGGGTGGTGGGGGTGTCGGCGCCGGGGATGGAGCTAAAGAGACTGAAGATTGGGATGGAGCTGGTGCATAATGTGAAAAGGAGCTCTGCGAGGCTAGAGATGTGGGCGGACGACCACCAGGTGACGGTTGAGGTGGCTGTGCTTGCGGCTGCGGAGGAGTTTGCTGTGCGCGTGGGTCAAACCGTGCCATCCAGTCATTGTTCGCTGAAGTGCCGGGTCCACTTGAAGGAGGCCCATAGTTAGGATAGTCGGAGTAGCCTCGAGACTGTGGCTGATACTGGCTTTGCGAAGTGTAAACGGCAGCCTTCGGCACAGCCCCTGACGGGGCAGTCTCCTCGGGGCGGGCCGAGCCGGTAGGAGGGTAGACGGACCTCGGTGGGGGTACAGACGGCGGCTGTTCATTGGCAAGCCGCTTCCGGGGTTGTGGCTCCTCGGGTTCGTCATTGAGAATGCTCATGATATTAGACCGTTTGGCAGGAACTTGACGAAGAGCAGGCTCAGGAGCGGGAGTGGCGCTGGGGCGCGGAACATCTCTGACCGGAGACAGAACAGGACGAGGGGAGTGAGACAAACCAACGGGTTGGCCGGAGAGCGAGTAATAGGGTCGCTGAGCAAAAGGGTCCCGGTGAACAGAAGGAATTTCGAGCTCTGGTCTTGGAATTTGGGTAGGTGACCCCGGTTGTGTCAAGCTGGGATGACGCGAGTGAGCAGTTGCGAGGAGGGATGACGGCTGCTGCGTTGACATGTAGGCCTGTGCGGACAGAGGCTCCATCCGCGCCAAGTCCGTCGGCAGGGGTGCTGGGGTGTGTCGCGAGGGGATCTGCAAGTCTGTTGCACGCGCTGGCGAGTGAGACAATATTGCAGAGTCCCGGCGGTCTTCAGTAAAGTACCCAAGACGCGGACCAGGCATACGGTGTGGCGGCGGTCCTACCTGGGCCCGAATTCCTCGAGGCGGTTCTTCGCCGAGGGCAATAGTCGACGGAACGGGAGAACCAGCAGAAGCTTGAACCAAGGGTGGGTAGCGGCTGGCGTTCCGTTCTTTTTCAGATAGGGTCCGTGCATGAAGTGGCATGGGTTGAGGGGACAGGGCGAGAGGTCTGCCCTTGGAGGGGAACCGTACCTCGTCCGCTTCGGGGACGGGTTCGCCATGGGGGGCAAGCGGTCGAGGTATGACCGCCGACGGAGTCGCCTCGTACCGTCGTTTGGGAGCCACACTAGGGACCGGAAGGGGACCTGTGGGTTCACCACGAGCTTTCTTGTCCTCTGCGATAAAAAGGATGTCCTCGAAATCCTTCTTACCCGAATCAAGGCGGCGTTGATAGTAGTTTTTCACCTACATCATCCACGTTAGTGAAACGTCGCCTCATGGCAGGGAAATGGGGTGCCCTCAACCTACCATCACCGTTGTCTTTGTCTTCATGAAACTCGAAATACCCTCAAAATCTCGACCGAAATGAGCAAGCAACAGGGGAAAGTCTCGTTGCTCCGGTACAGACCAGTAGCTGGTCGGTTGCAACGACCCATACCCAGTCTCCTGTGGTTTTGTTGCTACAGCAGGTTCGGCTTCGGTGGATTCGAAGATATACACTCCCTCCCTGGCACGTCCTCGACCTGTCCGGCCTCGAGGCACAGGCAGATGGGGTTCTCTCTCAGCTGCTTCTCGATCCGATGGGACTGTTTCGATTGTGCCGTCTATACCGATTTCCATCTTGGGTGCTGCGGTCAATGGCATATTGCCCTGTACGACTTGTCCTTGGACCTTTTGCTCCGACTGAGTAGTCTTGGTGCGTCGCTGGCTGCGACCACCACCTCCTCGGCCGCCGCGCCGAGCAGTCGGCTTCTCAACGGGCTCGCCATCTTTGCCGACTTGACCCCGACGCCCAGCGGGAATGGGTTCCACTTCATTGGAATCACCAAAGGTAGGGGCGGCAGCGCGCCGCGGGCGCCCAGTATCGGTGACAGCGGGAGTTTCCTCTTCGCCCTCCAAATCTGGTTTGACCACCCCCAGATCGGCGATGAGAGCGTTGGACTTGGGTCGGGAGGATCGTGCTTTCCCCTTGCCCCCACGACGACTCCAGCGCTTGTTGAGCTTTGCCTTGTACTTGATCTCTTCTTTGGTGAGATAGTAGTGAATAATACACTGTTGATAATCTCGACCAGGCAATGACTCCGCAATCTTACCCCATTTCTTTGGGTACGCCATAAAGGCATTGGTGAAGATGACATGTTCCTCCGGAGTGAAGTCGTTGACCGGTGGGAGGAAGCCAAAGACTTGCATGGCGTTGTCGGTTGCGATGATGTTATTGACATCCTTGAAGATGCGCACCTTTTCCTCTCGTGGCTCTAGCATGTCCGGGATGACAGCTTCGCGAGACAAATCGGGACGAGCCGTGGCCATCTTGGTTCGTCGGCGTTCGAGCTCCTCCTGAGCTGAGATCTCAGACGCTTTCAGCGCATTGAGGAAATCAAGCTCGCTGTTTCCCTTGTACCGCCGCCCTTCGCGGCCTTCTGGAACAGGAGCCGGGGTGACTGGCACAGGGGGCGGCGGCGAGATCGGGCCAGGAGTCACGGACTTTTTGTCCTTGAAACGATCGCGTTCCCAAACCGCCACTCGCCAGGGTTTGTAGTAAGACATGTACTCCTCCCGAAGGACCGCATTCTTTTGCGCAACCTCTTTCTGTCGTTTTGAGAGCTCATGTCTAAAGGCGTCTTTGAGACGCTCCTGGGTGGTGGCATTATCATGATACACTTCCAAGTCGGAAAGGGGTGTAGGCGGGCCCGAGTGCAAAAAGGTAGACTGTCAACAGTAATCTGGTCATGCGACGCGACAGGCGGAATTACTGTTTTTGCCACAGGCGCTGGCTCACGGTCGACCAGAGCCGGAGCAAATGACACGACTCGCGCATTCTCCAGTGGTTTCGCAGTCTCTTCCTCCTCCACCGATGGGACTGGCTCCAGTGGTCGTTCCGGGGCTTCACCATGAGCCAACAAGCCAAGTAGCTGAATCTTCATTAGAAGCGCGACAATGGTTGGGTCCTCCAGAGGAGGAGGGGGCATCTCGGCCCGAAGTTGTCGCATATCCCTCTCGAAAATCTGCCTTCTTTCTTCCAGGTATTCCTGGGTGAAAACAACATTCTCGTCATCTTCCTCGTCACTGGATTGCCCAAAGTCGGGAATCAAAGCAGATTCTTCATCGGCCGCCTCTTCTCTTCTCACGCCAGTTTCAATTGTCTGCACTGGGGGGCTAGTAGGACGAGTGTCGAGGGTCATGGATGGGCTCGAAGAGGTTGCCTTGAACACATCATGAGCTAAAATTTCGCCGTTCTCCGCCTTCTCGCTTTGGTCGGGCGACAGCGTTCGAGGGCCTTGTTGGCCCTCTTCTCCAGCGACGTGAGTGGCATCGTGCTCATCAAGAGACTTCCTTTTCGATGGCGCGTTGGAAATCGAAGGTGTGCGGCCGTAGCCCGGACGAACCCATTGTTTACTGCCCTTCGGTCCTCCTCCGCGCGGGGACGGGGCCTGTCTTTGTTGTAATGCTCGTGGACCAGTGGGGATACTCGATGATTGCATTCGGGGAGAAATGGATGGCTCCCGAGAAAGTGCCCGGGGTGCTGGTGGCGGCTGTCTGGTAAAGGTTGGGGAAGTGGACAGAGAGGTGGGTTTGCCGGTCACAAGTGGCTCGTTGGAGCCCGAGATCGAATCTCGTTTTACCATTGCGGCCGGTGCAGTGGGCGGCGACAAGTCTGACAAATGTGTCGGTGGCTTTGCTTTCGGAAGAGACGCTTCCTGCTCTTTGCCGCCGTCTGGAGGCACATAACGGCGACTCCGTGGCTCCGGCGCTTGCGGTGGCTCACCGCGTTCTGCTTTGGGGCCGGTGGGAGGCTGAAGCACTGGCCGCTGGCCTCTTTCATTCCGATCCTTAACCGCCGGACCCGACGGGGGTGCCGGGATTGGATCACTGGAATCTTTTTCAACAGAAGTACTTGGTATGGGGACGGCGACAGAACCGAACGCGGGTACCTGAGGAGCAGCCGGAGGAGGCGAATGTTGGACGGCTAGCCCCAGATCCTTGGGGGCTTCAGATCGCGGGGGATAAAGATCAGGTCTTTCAGCATCACGACCATTTCCTGTCGCATCCAGGCCCGAGGCCATCGAAGGTTTGCGACCTGGGCGGTCAACGGGTGGTTGATCGGACATGCGATCAGGCGGTGCGGGGCCCATGGTCACAGGCAGGGGAGGAGTAGAGGCAGTAATTGAACCACTAACCACGCGACTTTCCGCCCGGCTTGGGGGACGTTCGCGCTTCCAGAGGTCGACTGGTCGTTCACGGTCGTCACGATCGGGTCGTCTGCTATCCCAATCTTCTCGCCGATCAAATCGATCCCGTCGATCCATCTCACGATCTCGATCCCGGTCACGGTCACGGTCCAGCATCCGGTCGCGATCTAGCGCACGATCCCGATCCAGGTCACGATCGCGCCCACGATCGCGCCAGCTGTCACGAGATCGACTCCGTCGACGAAAAGTGTTTCGGTCATCAAGATATGATGGGCGTCCACGGCCCCTTCCACCTTCCCAGTCTCCACGTCCGCGGCCTCGAATCGAGCCACCACGCGGGAGATGGCTGCCGCACGGAGGTGGGCCATCGGGACCTGCTGAGGAGGCGGACAAGATGCTATCCCGGGAATTGCGGCGCATGCGAACCAGGTCAAACTCGCGTCCTGACGGCTCCCTCAAATCACGAAAGTCGCGCGTGGGTGAACGTGAGCGGCCTCGGCCAAATCCCATCCGAGTATCTCGGGGGTCGAAGTCACGGTCTCGGCGGCCCCAGTCCCGGTCAATGTCTCGTCGAAATGGTGGAACATCACGGGAGTCTCGAAAATCACGGTCGCGGTCGCGGTCACGCAGGTCTCGATCTCGGTCTCGATCTCGGTCTCGGTCTCGAAAGTCCCCTCGGCCATAGCCGCGGCCACGACCGCTAAACGGGCCTCCTCTTGGAGAATCAACCAGGGCTCGTGGCCCTCGGGGAGGCTCTCTGTCAAAGGGTAAATGTCCATCATCCGGGCCACGGGGATTCACAGGTGCTCGACGGTCCCCGAAGCGCTGAGGAGACCGGTCTCGGGAATTGAACCCGGAAGGAGGAAATCGGGACGACATCACCAGGGCATGCTATCAGTGATGGTGTGTGGAGTTGACAAAGAAAATGGTTCAAGAACTGGCTGCATGGGACGAGGCAACACACACCAACACCGATAGCAAAGGGAAGTTGGAATGGATCAGAATGCGACTCCATTAAGACCCGCACGTGATGCACGGACCACGTGAAGAATTAGGTAAGAGGCGGCAGGCGGCAATCCTCCGCGGGGTGTGCAGAAAAACTTGTAGAATATGGACTGAGAAGAAGCTGGCAAGCTTTTTCCCTTTTTTTTTTTTTATCTCCTTCTATTGGTTTCGATCTGGGGGATCTCTTCTCCCTACTTGGCCTTCCAATATGGCCTCTTCACTCGCTGATGCCCCCCCAACCTCTGCAACCGGCTCGGTCCTCGTCTCCTCGCAACCGGTTCCTGAAGGATCGCATGAAGTCCATGGGGTGGACTTTGATCAGTTCCAGGGCCGTGATATTACGGTGGCTGAATTGGTGGACAATCTGACCCATACAGGATTCCAGGGCAGCGCGGTTGCCGATGCTGCCCGTATTATCAATGAAATGGTAAGGCCGAGGTCTATAAGAATTGGGGGGACATGTCTCATCATGATATCTTCTCAGCGTGCTTTCCGTCACCCCGAAACCGGTGCAAAAACAACCATCTTTCTCGGCTATACATCCAATTTGATCTCGTCCGGTCTGCGAGATACCTTGCGATACCTCGTGAAACATAACCATGTGTCTGCCATTGTGACCACGGCTGGCGGGGTGGAGGAGGATCTGATCAAATGCTTAGCTCCCACCTACCTCGGGTCGTTCGTGACCCCCGGTGCGGGCCTGCGGGCCAAGGGACTGAACCGCATCGGCAACCTCCTGGTGCCCAATAACAACTACTGTGCCTTTGAGGACTGGGTGGTTCCAATTCTGGACCGGATGTTGGAAGAACAGGAGGCGGCCAAGCGCAAGGCCCGAGAGACGGGAGACGAGGAGTACGAACTTCACTGGACACCCAGCCGCATCACCGAGCGACTGGGCCGGGAGATCAACCACGAGGACTCGGTGCTCTACTGGGCCGCCCGCAATCAGATCCCCGTGTTTTGCCCTGCGCTGACCGACGGATCGCTGGGGGATATGCTGTATTTCCATACCTTTAAGTCATCCCCGCAGCGATTGCGCGTGGATATTGTCGACGACGTGCGGCGCATCAACACCATGGCGGTTCGAGCGGCGCGCGCCGGGATGATCATTCTGGGTGGTGGTGTGGTCAAGCACCACATTGCCAATGCGTGTCTGATGCGGAACGGGGCCGAGCACGCGGTATACGTGAACACCGCCCAGGAGTTCGATGGGAGCGATGCAGGTGCGCGACCCGACGAGGCCGTGAGCTGGGGCAAAATCAAAACAGACGGCCAAGCTGTCAAAGTGAGTTCCCCCTCCCCCTTATCAGTCTGCTTTTCTCTCGATCTGATACTCATTCTTCATCTCCAAACTTCAGGTGTATGCCGAGGCAACCGTGGTGTTTCCCCTCATTGTGGCTGCGTCGTTTGCTCGGGCAGTAAAGAACTGAATGGGTGTCCACGAGGGCAGATCATGCCGGATCCCGTAACCGACCCAAATGCTTCTCCATCGGTGGAGCACCAATGAGGCCCACAAGACTCGAGAGGGACCCGCCAATTCCCCTCGCGCAATCGTGGCACCTCGAGGCTCTCTCTCCAAGTGTGATACTCCCACGGTCTCAGTATCAGAGGGGGTGAAACCACCCTCGTCCCTCTTACACCTCCATTTCACAAATCCAATTAAATTCCACCCAGACTCAAGCCTGGATCTCCCAGGAACAGAAAAAAGAAAAAGGGGTTCAGTGGCAATGGTCGGCAAGAAGGATCCGATCGGCTCCCCGTTGCCACTCAGCAAAAATCGGCATTTAAGGTTGGCCTGGGCAGTGGAGATGACCCACTTGGACGATCAGGAGAAATTCTCACAGACAATCACCATGGTAAGGGATACATCCTGTTCCGTGTACTTCTGTGTGCCTGTAGAGGACATAGGAGAATTCAATAGAGTGGAAGTCCTGTGGTTTATACATAGGGGGGTGGAGAGAAGAAAAGAAAAAGAGCGAGTGGAAAGGCCCCCAGTTTTTGCCTCCGAATCCCCGGATCTTTTTCTTATTCATCTTTTTTCTTTTTTCTTTTTTTCTTCTTTCTTCTCTCCCAATTCCTATCATTCTGTTCTCTTCTCCTGTTTCTTTCAATTCCCTTTCTCACCTTGACACCTCTCTCTCTCTCTCTCTCTCTCTCTCTCTATAGATATCGCCCCATCTCCGCAATCCTTCGTTATCGATAAGCCTTATCTCTTCGCACCGTCATTAGACTGTCAATTGTGGCTCTGATTCAACGCGGTGTGCCAATTCGGCTCTCCTTTTCTTCTTGATATATATATATATATACCCTCTATAGGCATCTGCTGTTGCCATGGACTCTGATCCCTCGCCCCATTCGGAACCCAACCAGTTATCTGGTCTGGAGCTAGAAGGGAACAATGTGCGGCCAGTTCAGACCCCAGAGAACTCCTCCGAGAATCCAACGTCTCCGAGTTCGGAGACAACCCTCGAGCAGTCTCCAGTCTCCAATGTCTCTTCGTCGACAGAACCGCTGGAACATGCCTACTGGGCCGAATTCGAGGAGGATCCATCCACTCCAGATGAGGAGGAGATAAAGGAAATTGAGGGTACCGATGGGGATTACAGTGCCTGTGACCGTGCGGACAACCTACTCCCTTGGGATTAATGACAAGACTCGTTGACCATCTCACAGATGCCTATTGGGAGAGCAACTTCTTCCGTGACCTGGACGACCCCGAGTATATACCGACGGAAAAGGCTCGCTTGACCTGGCAGATCAAGGGCGTTCGAGGAACCCCCACAAACCCCAATCGCGATACGATCATGCGTTCACCTCCCGCGTATATTGGTGGTTACTGGTGGCGAATCAAGTTCTACCCCCGGGGGAACAATGTTGGCTCGCTGAGTATCTATCTCGAGTGCTCTCGAACGTTGCCCAGCCCCGATGAAAGGCTCCCCGAGTCGGAATTCAAGGTCCGTCGAGGCTCTGCCGATGCCGTTCTTAATGGAACTCCCGAGGTAGACGTACAATCCCCGGCTACCACCGATTCGGCAGTCTGGTTTGAAGAATTTAAATCACGGTACCCAGCCACCGGACAGAGGGATGGGGAAACCCCATCCGACACGTGGCGGGTGTCGGCCCAAATTGGTGTCATCGTGTATAATCCAGAAGAGCCACGGACGGGGTGGATGCAGTCGTCTTCTCACCAATTCAATCCTCACAACTCCGACTGGGGGTGGACCTATTTCCATGGCCCATGGGACCAAATTCACCTACGTCGTCGAGGCCAACACCGGGCTTTGCTGAATAACGATACACTGGCATTCGACGCATACATTCGTGTGGTCGAGGATCCCACGAAATCCTTGTGGTGGCACCCAAGCGACTCGGAGCCAACCTGGGATAGTCTGGCCCTGACCGGCTATCGACCCTTGGGGGACTCCGTGGTCAATCACAGCGCAGAGGTTGCCGGGTTGGCTTCGTGGTTACATGTTGCTCCCTTCTGCAAGATCATCCAAAGCGTCGATGTCCTAGAACATCTCACCAACTGCAATGTGAAGCCTAAGCCTGTATGCGACGCTCTGCAGAAACTCCTGTGGCAGCTGCGCTGCCGCACAGAATCCTTGCAATATGTCGACACAGACGGCATCACGTCTGCCTTGCGCAACCTGAACGAGTTTTCAAGCGACGTGACCGAGTTCTGGGAGCGTTTGCGCCGGACGTTGGAACTGGAACTCGCTGGCACCGATGCCGGCAAAGAGTTTGCTGCCTTGTTCGATAGCCCATCTCTCCATTCTCTTGCAACAGAAAATCAGACTACTGCCATAAACATGCTGCCAACGGACTTCAATTCTCGCATCCATGTCTCGGCTGATCAAGCGAAATCCACGGGAGAGGGCATGAAAGAGTACTTGAAAGCCAAATCCGGTCGGTGGTCACTCCCGCCGATGCTTCATATAGAGCTTGGTCGACATGCATTAGACAAGGCGATGCGCTGGCAATTGTTGTACAACAAAGTTGATTTGGATGAAGAGCTGGACCTCACTCCATGGGTTGTTGATGGCCGGGGAGGCAAATACATACTCTATGGTTATGTGGTTCATCGCGGCCGCCGCACTTCCAGCAAGTTCTTCAGTATCCTCCGGCCCGCAGGCCCGGGTACCACATGGCTCGCCTTTGACGATGGTAGCGACAATCGCGTGGAGGCCTTAACACAGAAAACGGCAATGGGTCCGCATCTTGGCCTGGATTCCTCCCAGCCTATTGATCACAAAAAGGGCCACGATATCCCTGTTGTTGCCATGTACGTCCGCAGTGATATGGTTTCGGCGCTGTTGCCCGGGCCGCAGGGTCCATGGCCAGTTTCGGAGTCTTTGAAACAGTACTACGAAACTGGTTTATATGCATCAGCCACAACGGACAACCAGAAACAAGTGAATGAGAATGTCGAGATTGAAGTCTATTCACTGCCTCATTACGATCAGCTGGGCAGTCTGTTTGACATGTACGATCTCATGTCTCAAGCAAAAGCAACCAATAATGTCATGTATTTGACGCTGCCCCGTTCTTCCCGCGTCGTCGAGCTGCGCAAGAAGATTGCCCTGTGGCACTCAACAAGGACTGGTGAGATCGGGGCTGAGCGTGTTCGTCTATGGCAGATCGGTCATAGCAAGGCTTCATTTGGGCCCTCATCGGCATTTGATCGGGTCGTCGATTTAAAAGCCCCGCTTGAATACTCATTGGGCAGCCTTCGCTTTTGGATGGAGACGATTTCGGAGGGTGAGTGATCGCAGAACCTTTTCCATTCCTTGTGACAACCAGGGACTTTGACTGATTCTTTGAAATTCTAGAGGACGCCCAATTATTCGCCATTCCGGATCCGCCTGTAGAGATTGCAACTGATGACAAGCCTGATGAGTCTGTTGTTGAGCGTGAGAGCTCTAACACCCCGGAGCCCTTACCGTCCGTAGCGGTAGGAGATGCTGTGGCCAGCTCATCGGGGAATCGTCCCAGCAGGCTAGTTGAACCAAGCTCCAGTGATGCAGCAGTTTCACTGCCTTCTGGCTCTCCGGAAGGTGACGCCATTGCTGCCGAAAGAGCTGAGCATGATGCTGTCCTGGCAGCTGTCGCTGCACATGATCGTCAGGCCACAAATGCTGCTACGGAAGACTCAACTGAGCATAGCACAACCGAGGCGGTGGTGGAAACGCCCGCTTCTGTCCGAACTGAATCCGTTCGGTCAGAACCCACGGCAGAGGGGCGCGCCAATTCCGATATCACCTTGCCCGTGGGACACACGTACTACTTCATTCAGATCTTTGATGCGGACCAACAGGTTTTGCGCACGGTTGGCTCATTCTTCTCCAAGCTTGAGGCAAACGTCAACGCGTCGATTCGGAAGCATCTGCAGTGGCATATCCGGCGAGACTTCCTCCTGTGGAAACGAGTGGATGGAACCACTGTTACGGCGGTTTCTCCAGCTGAGAACTTTTGCGAAGTGGTTGTTCCACATGGTGCATGCATTATTGTAGGGGACAAGCTGAGCAAAGATAAGTGAGTGTATTGAAAAACTGTTATCATGACTGTTCTGGATGCTAACCAAATGTGTAGACGTTCTCAACTGGGCACTTCCGGGTTGTTCTCCAGCCCTGATCGCTTGATTCAGTACTTGTGGGCTAAATCTCGCGGCCACCCAATCCAAGGCTTTTCAGGCATCAAGACGGTTGAAGCTACCTTGACGAGCGACTATTATAGCGGCGAGTTGTTGAAGGGCTACTACCACGGACGTGGCAAGCACATCTCCGGCACAGGCACTGTTTACGAGGGTGACTTTATCTTTGGCAGACGCCAGGGCCAAGGCAGGATGGAGTACCCGACAGGCGACACGTATGACGGCGACTGGGTCGAGGACGTGCGCCATGGACAGGGCACCTACATTGAGAAAAAGACAGGCAACAAATATGTTGGTGGCTACAAAGATGGCAAGCGGCACGGCAAGGGCATCAGCTACTGGGAGGTGGCTGACGAGGAGGCGGATCTGTGTCAGATCTGCTACTCGGAAGAGCAAGATGCTGTGTTCTGTGACTGCGGCCATGTCTGTGCCTGTGTGACTTGTGCCAAACAGGTTGACCTTTGCCCGATCTGCCGCAAGACTATCAAGAACGTCATCAAAATCTATCCGACATAGATCTACTGTGTCCGAATCCACGGTGGCTTCGAGGTTGTATTGGGGTTTTTTGATTGATTTTATTTCTGACTGTTGGGTTTCAGCTTATATTGCAGCTTTGATAGATGCGTGGCGATATATTCCTCTCATACCCCCTTGGAGAGGACATCCACGCCCCTTAGATTGTTTTGATTTTCATGTTTCTAGCCAGGGACAATGACGGAGTGACCTCGGAAAACTATATACATGACATTGATTTAGTTTTTCGATCGTGATGAAGCCGAGGCCTACCACTGTGTTTCTGAAGTGGACTTTCGGTTGGCCATGCCTTTGGATAAATAGAGCATGTATGTGGACAGTAGCAGCTATGAAGATGACTTTGTGTCTACCAGGTTTTCCGGCTGCCCTATAACTTCAACTCGAGGCCGCACCTTAGCTAAAGAAACCAGAAAAAAAGTGAAATAGAAAAAAGGTATATTCAATGCGCCACTCCCCGCCCAAACACAGATGCTTTTCGGTGTGCCGCAGGAAACCATACATACAATGAGGCAATCAGGTATCATAGATCATTTGCTCGCCTTCTTGGACTTTCTCTCCTTGTCTCCCTTCGTGGCCTTCTTTTTATCATCCTGGCCATGGGCAGAAGACTTCTTGGAGGTCTCGGCCTTCGCGTCCTGCTGCTGGCTGGACTCCTTCGACTCGCTTGACTTGAACGACTCGCCCTTATTCTTCTTGGGTTTGTTCAGGACAGCCTTAGGGTTGAGACCCTTACGACGCAGGCGGTTACGCTTAGCACGAGCAATCCGATCAGCGTCTTCATCCTCCTCAAACGGACCAAAGGCACCGCCCTCAAAGTCCATTGCGACTCCGTCCTCATCCGCAATGGGGGTCTTGTCAATGACCTCGTCATCTGTAGATGCTGTTTGCGAACCGCGACGGGCTGAGTGATCTGTAGCAATAGCTGCGTCATCCGATGATTTGGCCGGGGTCAGCCCGGTCTTCTTGAGCTTGCACACGTAGAAACCGTCAACGTTCTCACGGTGAGGGAAGTAGCGTCGAGTGAGGGCCATCTTAGCATCGAATTTCTTGCCCATATAGCTCGTGAACCCGGGGCTGCCGAAATCGCCCAACCCAGTGTCCACTAGCTTGACATTGGGTCGCTTGCGGAGCACGTACTGCACCACGGCCTCGTTTTCCTCCACAGTCACACTACAAGTTGAGTAGACAACGTACCCGCCGGTTTTGGAAGAGTGGTCGACCGAGTCGATAGCGGCTAGAAGTAGCTGTCGCTGCATGTGTGGGATAGCAAGGAAGTCGCGCTCGTTCTTCGAAGTTTTCACGCCCGGGTCCTTGGCGATGACACCAGTACCCGTGCAGGGAGCATCCAGCAGCACGCGGTCAAAACCACCCATGGCCTTTGGGAATGCAGTACGCGCATCCAGGTTGGTCACGATGGTGTTCTTGCAGCCCAGACGGTGGATGTTACCGATCAAACCCTTGGCACGGGGTTTGCTGGCATCGTTGGCGATCACGCAGCCCGTGTTTCGCATTAAGGCTGACATATATGTCGTCTTACCACCAGGCGCAGCAGCCATATCGAGAACGCGCTCGTTGGGTTGCGGTGCAAGAGCCATGACGGGGAGGAAAGAGGAAGCCGCTTGAAGGATGTAGTGGCCGGTCAGGTACTCGGGTGTGGCACCCAGGGGCACAGCGGATTCGAAAACCTGCAATCCCACCTTAGACCATTTGCCCACGGGTTCGAGCACGACGCCACGGTTGATCAAGGCCTGGGCCAGTGATCGGCGATTTGTTCGAAGCGTGTTGGTACGAATGACGACAGGACGCGGTGTCTCGTTGGCTTCGAAGAAAGCGAAGGCCTCCATGGGAGTAAAGAGGTTGAATAGCTTTTCGGCCAGGAATCGAGTGTAACCGTAGTAAGTGCAAATGTCACTGAGCAGCAAATCGAGATAGTCGGCACGAGACTTGTCGGGCTGACCCAAACTTTTCAGGTCTCCCAGGACACGAATGTTGTCTGTAATGCGCTGGCGTAGCAATTGAAGATCAGGCGCAAGTCCCTGTTGGCTTTCGTCTGCGAAGAGATCCGAACGGTCCCCGGCAATGTTGGTCTGCATGGCTGACTCCTGCAACTCCTGCTCGGCGTCTTCTAACTCGGTCTGCTTGGCAGCATCCAATTTTCGTGAGAGGCCCTCCATGTTGGCTGCAGTCAACTTTTCCTCGGCATCCGACATATCTTCGTCGTCGGAAAACATAGCTTCCCGGGGATGATCCTCGTCGTCGGAGTCGAGGATCGAGCCATCCTCTTCCGGCTCGTCATCTTCATCCTCAAGATCAGACAAGCCTTCCACCTGATTCTCGCTGTCCATTGACCTTTCACTAACACCGTCGAGATCGCCAAACTCATCATCGTCCTCTTCACTATCCTCCGCGCCGTCTGAATCCGAGTCCATCGGCACCGGCTGCTTTTTACCCGAAACTGCCTTCTTCTGCATTGTGCTTCCGCTAGTTCCGTTAACCTTGGACTTTTTCGGAAGGACTTTCTTCGGCCCAGTCTCCTCAGCATCAGATCTTCGCCGTTTCTTGGCCGATGCCGTAGCCTTAGGGGCCGAATCGGCCTCGCCGGCCTTGCGCTTCTTCAGCATGGAGAGTTTCGACTCATCCAGCGGGGCCGGGGGCCCCTGCTTCTTCATGCGACGACCTTGACCCATGGTGAAAATATGGTGCTTGATGATTTAGAAGTCTCCTCTGGCGAAGCCGCTTTTTTTTTCTGAACTTTTTTTCCCCGTTGAAGCGGTAACGGGGGGCAGTAAGTCAGAGTAGAAGGCGGTCAATATATACAGTGCCTCATAAATAAGGCACCATTTACCTGGCGTAGATGCTGGATGGCCTCGGACAGTCCTTTGCTGGAACGAGCATACCTTGCTTTGCTTCTCTCTTTCATTTAATCTCTTCTTCAATTCCTCCATCTTCACCCGTCATGACTGAATTAGCCTTCACCAAGTCCTACCTGTCTTCGCTGGATTCACGGCCCGTCAAGCTACGTGCTGACCATGTCTTTGATCCGGAGCGGATTGGACTGCGAGTCCCGGTGAGTCTCCCCCAATATTCCTCCGAGGATCAGAAAATTCTCCTGAATAAATTCTCTGAGCTAGTTTTGATCGCTAATGTTTCCATCAACAGTACACACTCCCCCGCCTCCACGCCCCGCACCCGGAGATGCCCAAGAAAGTCAAGTCCACGCAAGCACCAGGGGCATCGAAATCAATCACCGTCCGTGTCAAGTCTGCGCGTAATCCCACCCTCGAATTCTCCCTTTCCAACGCCCCTCTGTCCACCACCTCAGTTCAGGACCTCCGGGACGCAGTGCGGAACCGCGTCACCGATGCACAGGGTTCCTCCGTCCCACTGGACAAGATCAAGATCCTGTACCGCCGGAAACCGGTGACCGGAACTGGAAAGACAGTGGCTGAAATTCTGGCTGATGAGCCAGAGATGCTGACTGGCGGGAAGGAGGTCGAGTTCGGGATGATGATAATCGGGGGCGCCAAGGCCATCGAGAACGAAACTCAGGAGGAAGCCGCAGAGTCGCGCGATGTGTCTCCGCCCAAGGCGGCGGTCGGACCCAGTGGTGAGGAGGTTTTGCGGACGGAGACTTTCTGGGATGATTTGCAGGGATATCTGGAGCAGCGGCTAAAGGACGATGAAGAGGCAAGGCGATTGAGGGTGTTATTCAAGGATGCCTGGAAGTCAGGTCGTTGAAAGATTATTTTCTCAATACATCTAATAAATTTCCAAGGTACCTTTTATTCTGAGTGTCTATGGTTTGAAACTGAGTCGGCGACTCGGCTGTAGTTACACCGGCAAGGCTCTTGCACACAGGGGGGTTTGAATATGGATTCGCATGGTATACACACACAAGAGGTGGATGAACAGTCAGTCCACAAGTCCGACAAGAAACAGACTTCATCCATCCCCATGAACGAAGAGAGGAAACACCAGGATGCAACACCGTCACGCAGTCAGGAAAAGGGCGTCCGATGGGTCAATGGGTAACAAAGCAGGCATCGAAATCAACCGAAGGAACAAGACCGGGAGAAAACAAAAGGGTACACCAGGGAATCGTTGCAAAACGGCATATTATCAGCGTCAAGAGTCAAAAGTACATGGAGAAGGAGAAGAAGAAAATGGAACACAAGCGACGTAGAAGAGTACCATATGCCAGGCAGCTTGATAGGACACCATTGCAAATGCTCGAAAAACTGGACCGGCCAATCGCTCATCCGGTTCATGGGATCATATAACAAACAGCGAGGAAGAAGAGCGGGAGTAATACACACACGATGGTATCGCACAGGAAAGAATCATACATGTTGGTCGTCCCACGCTCGGTTATCTTGAAAAGACCTTGACCACTCCGTCTCCGCCGCCGCTGACGACCCAGCGCCCGTCACGGCTCCAGACGACAGCACAGACACCTTCGCCACGCATCAAGCGGTGACTGGTCAGTTCCTGGGTGCAGCTGCGCTTCTCAAGATTCCAGAACCGCAGGCTTGCATCGTGGCCCGCTGAGACAAGCTCATGCCCATCTGGAGACAATGAGAGCGAGGCGATGGCGGCAGGATGAGCCAGCATGGTGTACGTGCATTGGCCTACAACCAATATGTTAGTGGATCATGTCAGTCGAAGAAAATGGGGTGGTTCCACGTACCACTGTTGGCATCAAAGAAGCGGATGTAGCGGTCCTCGTAGCCACTGATAATCACACCCTCTACGTTACTCGATCCGGTGGCGCCGTGGACCACTTCCTCTTCGGCCATGGTCCGGTTGGGGTCCAAATTGGCGGTCCCGTCAAAGCCGACGGTCGTGGCAACCACAGAGTTGACGCCAGTAGATGGAGTACCATCGTACGTTTCAAGACTGGCCATGCCCACGATTTCTTCGCCCGTCCTCGTGTCGTAGACGAGAATGGAGGCGTCTGTATAGGAAACAACAAAGTTGACCCCAGCCAGGGATAGGGGGCTAATGCATGTAGGAGAGGGGGAGTCGCTGCGAACGATATGGTGAACAAGGGTGTGGTGGAAGGGAGTAGAGGTGGCGATGCTGGGCTGTGGAGAGGATGGGAAGTTGGATCCGGAGGATATGGAATTTGCGCGTCGGCTTCCACCCTGGCGGCGCGATCCCGCTTGGGGCGAGAAGATTTGGGGAGGAGCGCTGACAGCCCATATCAAGATGCGACCATCTGCTGCGCCCGATGCCAACAAAATGCGATCCGCTGGACCGTAGTGGCTACACGAGTCACCAAAGACAGAGCCCGCCGTCCCGGGAAGAACGCAAAGTCCCCATACCGCATCGGTGTGTCCGTCCAAGGTAGCCTTGGGGTCAACACGACCGCGCTCCCAAACCCGCACGCTGGCATCTTGGCCACCGGAGAATACCCATCCGTCACCCAGCACACGACCCCCGTTGGAGATATTCTGTGATGGCGAGCAGGCCGCCAGCGAGGTCACGGCCCCGACATGCCCGCGGTGGGTGAAATAGCTCGTTATATCCAGGTCGTTGCTCGAGCTGGGGCCATGGGCTCCAAAAGTGCCGTAGGTCGCAGGGATAATCCATCGTTTGATGGTTCCATCGTCGCTGCATGTGCAAATCTCGGGCTCCGACGGACTGCCGCCACCAGTAAAGATCACAGACCGAATCACATCCAAGTGCCCACGGAGTGCAAACCGAACCTTGAAATTGGAGTCTTGGTGCTGCCCGAAACCAGCGCCAACATCCCGGCTATCAATCGCGCCGTCACTCTTGCGCCTGGAGCCAGAGCTCTTCCTTCGATGGGAAAGAGACCCGCCTCGAGACGGAGACTTGGAACGCACAAAGTTCGCGTTGGGGAATGCATCCGTATCAGGGCGATGGGGCGGGATTGGCTCGAGGCTTGAGTCTTGTTCCACAGGCTCATCAAAGTTCCATCCGTCCACATCCTCTGCCCTCTTGTCGGCCTTTTGCTGCGGCTGCGCGTCGTCTTTAGGGGGGACTGGGGGCGCCTGGGACTCATACCCCTGCTTTGTGGCACGATCATCAGTCAAGCCATGCTCATAGGCCTGCTTGCGATTTTCAATAGCCGCAGCAGGGGTCTGTTGCGGCTCTGGTAGTCGTCGGTCTAAGGCGTCGCGAGGAGCAGACGATTGGCCGTACTGGTTGAAATTCCGCGACATGCTCGCGTTCTCAGCGTAGTGACTAACCACCGGCTGGTGGTTTGGAAGCGGTACTTCGCGCGCCATCATCTGATTTGCCTTTTGCCGCTGCTGCTGGATATAGGCCTCTTCCAAATTCTGCTGCGACAGCTGCTGATTTCCATACAGCTGGCTTGAAAGATCGGGGTCGCTCAGGTCTGGCGGAGGGTGGGACGTCGGAATGACATGGTAGGCGACCTCCTGTGCACACTTGGATAAATAAACCCGCGACTTGTCTCGCTCGTCATCCTGTCGGAAATCATCCTGGCTAGGGTTTTCGGGGTCCTGGTTCGCGTCGAGCTCCGAGGGCAATTTGGGATGTTGCACTAGTCATCACTCAATCAATACCGAACAATCGCGTTCCCATCGGAGAAGATGAATACATACCTTTCAAGTAGCTTATGCTTTCACGCGCCATTTCCTTGGGATCTTGGGGTTCCTCGACTTTCTCATTATTGGAAAGCTTCTTCGACTTCTCCCTCTCCTTCTTCAATGCTGTTTCCAACAACCGAACATGTTTTCCAAGCGATTCGTGTAGACGTTTGCTGGTGCGCAAATCACCCTCCAACCGCCCAATGCGAGACTTCATTTCTGCGCGCTCAATCTCCCATGCGTTGCGGTCGCGCTCATGTCGGTGCCATTCGGTCTGCAGGAAACGCATCACGCCTGAGACCGAGGGATCAGTCAATCATAAATTTAAAACTAGAGAAGGCAGGCACGCTCACCCTGCAGTGTATATTCCGTCCCCTGTGGATGTCCGCCATTGGAAGACCCATCACCCATCGCTCCGGGCATTCCTCCGACTCCAGCCATGGCAGACGGGGATTGCCAGGCCATGAGCAATCTCGGCAGTCACACGCTTCCAGCAATCGTGAGAAATCCAGGAGAGAAGCAATCCAGCTGACCACGTGAAGGGGATGACCGTCGAGGTCGAGGTGGGTGCAAGTGTCCGTTTCTCCTGACCCGGTCAAGTCGTACCCGCACTCTGGCAGTAAGCGAATTCAACCCCCAAACCGGGAGCGACGACGGCCAGGTACCACGTTTCACGGCGCGTCAGCTGAATGAAACACACGCAGGACTATTTCAAGAAGAGGAGAAAGATTCGACAATGATCTCTTGAGGTCGAGGGAGAACTTGCATGGGCTCTGTTGTTATGGCGAGTCGGTTGGCTTTTCGGGGGCGTCCTGACCGCCTTCTGGATCGGGGTCGAAGCTGTAGAAGCTGCAGTCCCAAAGTCGAAGGGGAAAAAAGGAAGAAAATATTACTGATGTTGGAGATCTGGGTTGGAGGTGGATTTCGACTTGTCGAGAGCAGCCTTGAGGTGTGTGACTGCGATGTCGACGCGGGGAAATTGTAGGTCCTCAAGAATCATCCGGCCATATAAGTATTTCGTATATCCAATATCCCCCATGGACCATATAATTTAAAATTCTCTTCATGCTGGGAAGAAAATTTCTCTAGAAATAAGCCCAGGATAGTTTGGTTTTTTATTGGAACATAGTTCATGTCCAGTGATCTCGCCAATTTCTCGATAGCGATTAGCTCGAGGATCTATGTATTTGTCTCGCTCCATCGTAGATATCATTCCCACATAGTCAAGCCCATGGTCCTTGACTATCATAGGGATTTCAGATAATTCATTTTAATCGAATGAAGAATGCAACGATACACTATAGTATTAAAGTGCTAGGGATTGTGGACTCATCATGGGAATTTGTTCACATCGCTAGGGCTATCCTAAGGACAGTCACATTTGCACCACTAAACCCCCAGCTATACTAGGTCCGTATGAGCCCTCCTTGCGTAGTTTATGCACTCGGACCACCATGCATGGATTGAGCCCTTGCCCAAGATTTGCTCTTTGATTGTGTCTCTCTGCGTCTTGGCTCTCCTCTCCTCCCATGGGTTGGCATTGAGACCAGAGCGCAGTTCATACCTAGGGTCTTCTATGGGTATGGTGAACATAAATAGACCGGGAATCGCCGGAACTGCATGCCACTGTTCGTCGCCAAATTAAAAATGGTTAGATTCATCCAGTCTCATTAATCATGGCACATAAACAGGCAGGCCATAACCTTTAAATGTATTCAAACCGTCTAGAACTCTAGTTCCTCGATCTCCATTCCACAATCCACGCATGTTTTGACCCCAATCCCTGTCTCAGGATTCTCAATGGCGCGCCCCCATTGATGGACATGCTTTCGACCATTGCTCAGGTCATCGCCAAACTCTCCACCGGAAGCTCCTTGTCGGTTGCGCCGGTAGGCTTCGACACGCGTACGTTTCTTCAAGTCTTGTAGTTTGTTTTTGAACTTGGTCTCCCGCCGCCGCTTCTTGTCACTCTCTCGTCGCTCAAACTCAGCATCTAGGGCCTCTGTGGATCCCCATTTTTTAGTGGAAAATGCGTATTCCTCGACTTGGTAGCGAAGATATAGCATCATGTTATTCCATGTGGACTTGTGTGGATTGGGGCGTTCAAGGCGCGGGAGAAGTTCTTCATCTCGAAGTTCAGCTATGAGCTTGGTTAGCAAGAAACATCTCGTACATTTGTAGAAAAACCGGCAACAAAACACTCACGATCGGTCAGAAGATAGTCCTCTTTAGCCTCGGTTTTGGTCAAGAGGCTGTACTTCTCCGGGTATTTTTCTTTACATGAATGGCAGACGCAGCACTGGAGCATCTCCTCCCACTTCCAATCAATTTCAAGACTCCCACATTCACGACATATCTTTTGTTGGCTTTTATCATCCAACACACTCAGCCCAGGCTCAAAGGGCCCCTCGCGGTTTCGCCGGAGAGACTGGAGCAACTGGTGGCGCTCCCACTCTTTTTGAGTCATATGTGCTGGTTTCTGTTCCTCCTTGCCATCCGACACATGGAGCGCCTTATTAAATGGATCATCTTCCTGGGTCAGGAACCCGCCTTTTGTGTCGGTCATCTTGCTGAAGTCATAATCAACGTAGCGCGTGAAATTCCGGGCGGGCTTTATCGAATCAAGCGGGCGATCTGAGGAACCCGCATGCGTGCGGGCATCGCGCACGCTCACCGGGGGGTTGGAAGCTGTCATCGAGGCAAAGGTGCGTTTGGTTCCCTGGGCGGTTTGCGTGGGGCGGGGTGTGGCCGATGGGGAGGTGGTCGAGCTCTGGGCTAGTTCTGCTTCACGCTGCTCTCGAAGTGCCTTGGCTTTCATGCGGCTTACTTCCTGGCAACGGGCATGTCAGTACGTTATCGAAGATTCACAAGTATTCAAGACAGGTATATACCATTCTTCGTTGCTGCTCTGGCGTGAGTGGGCCTCGGGGGAGCTGCCCTGAGCCACCATTCTCACGCTGCGTGGGAGGTGTAGAAGATCGCTTTGCCGACATGATGATGCTCGTCCGTCGTCAGCACTGCAGTGATGGGGATTGAGATGGATTCCCGAGCGAAGGCGGTGATCATATCACGTGATTCGACACACTCTTGAAGATGACTATGGATTAATCTGCGAGGTTGTCCTCCCTTTCCTGGCCATACAAAACTTCACACACGCCCCCCACCGGCACATCCATGACCGCGTCGGTGCTCTCGCTCCAAATTCCCTGCCAATTGACTTTGCGGTTCTGGGGCCCCATGATTTGATACGAGGTCGCGCCGGGCTTCATCTTAGCTGCCCCACCGGGTCGTGGCCGTGCTTTGCCGTCAATGACCGCTACATTGGCGACTTCGTCGACAACATTCTCGATGCTGTTCATGGGCAGAGTGAGATACCCAGTGTTGTATGTGGCGAGCGCGACGTAGATGTAAATGAGCAACATCACCAGCCAGGATGGGATTGCCAGCGACCACCAGCGGTTGGGGTAGTAATAAATCCCAAGCTGGTGAAGGAACGGGGATGGAAGATAGGACCAAAGAACATAGATGACTGGATTTTGAGATATTTGTTAGTATGCGCAGTCTTCACATGTACGAGGGGGGTCGTCCAAGGAACCTCTGCGGGTCTCATACTTACGAAAGGCTAGCGAAGATGCCAGGTATAACACAAACCCATAGTATTCATAGGTGGGCACCTTCGGGCTGGCGCGCGGAACGGTGGTTGCACGGCGAGCGGACTTGGCCACGGCGGCCTCGGTATCGTTGGGAGTCTCAACATCCGAGCTGTCAGGGGTGGTTGGACGCGAGGTTGTGGTTGAAAATGGTGGACGGAGAAGCGAAGTCAGTGAAGGTGATGGGGGTAGGGGAGTCGGCGGGCGATTGTAGAAGGGCGGCGCAAAGGCATTTGGGCCGTAGAGCGAGCTCGAGGACTGTCGAAAAGGGTGGTGTTTCCCAATCCCATCTGGCAAGTCTTCATCATCTGAATCTGAAGAGGATTGGTGCTCAAGGGAGTAATGGGATTGGAAATCAGCGTCATCCTCTACCTCGATCTCGTCGTAGCCGAGAGAGACTAGACTCCCGTCTCGCGCATAGCTCTCCTCTGGGCTGTCAAGGTTATCAACTGACAGGGGTGGAAAGGGCTGGTTGGATTCCCCAGACACACTGAATCTTTGGTCTTGGGGGACGAATTCCTCCATTTTGAAGACTTGGAGCAAAGACCATGTCATCAATGTTGACGGATGTTGACTTCCTTTTTTTCTGCCGGACACTGATTCACCGCTCTCCAACAGACAAACTGAAGCCACACGTGATGGGGGGAGAAAATAAGATATTCACGTGAGTCGTTAATAGCGGGAGCCATGCCTAATAAAGGATAACGTTATATCAAACCATTATCCACCAGACACACCAGCGGCATACCTAGTATCATGCCAATAGCCATTAATCACTATATCACGAAGGCTCACTTCACTTCTACTCTTCAAGAGTGGAGCAATGACTTTTATTTTTAAGAATTTTAAGATGATAAGATGTGCAAAGAGTTCTAATCCTAATACACGCACTACTAAAAAAAGATGCCTCCCAGCCGCGCGCTCTCAATTACAATCGCGGCCTATTCTTTTCATCCTTTCCTATTTAACTCTTCTTTTTGCTATCTTTCGCCCAACCCTCTTTTCCTCATTCTCTTGCTCCCTATTTCTTTCTCCAGATATTTCTTTGTTTCTCAAGACCGAACCTCAGCAAAAACACAATACCAGTGGTGCATAAGGAGCCATGCCACTTCCATACTTGCCGACGGAGATCTGGCTGAAGATTTTTGAATCTTTCGAAGGTCCCTTGTTTGATGACGGCCTGTATGCCGTCTATTCATTGGCAATGTCAAGCCGGGACAATTATCGGACTTTTATCCCCCTGCTGTACCACTTCCATGCGAAGCCTGGCAAGCATCCCCACGCTCTGGACTGGGCAATTTCGAAGGGGATGGCCAGTACATTGCAACTCGTGGTTTATGGCATGCAGAGACTTCCCAACCGAGTCCAGATCTGGAACGAGGCACTTCTCGTGGCGGTCGTCGTGAGCACACCCGCGGTGGCACTGGTTCTACTTCAACAAAAGGGAGTCGACCCAAACTTTCGGCCAGATCCCAAGTTCCATATCAATTGCGCATCACCCTTGGCAGTGGCAGCCCATAGAGGAAATGTGAATATGGTCGGGCTACTGCTCTCCTGCGACAAGATCAAGCCGAATGTGGGAGATTATACAGATCGATCTCCCATTTCCTTTGCTGCTGCCAAAGGCAGCCATGCAGTCATCAGCATGCTACTGCATCGACCCGATGTCGACCCGGATATCCCTGATCAGAAGGGTATGACGCCGCTTTGTTACGCTATCATTTCCGGCTCAGTTCAAACTGTGTTGGCTTTTCTGGCGTGGACCGATGTGGATGTCAACGCTAAAGTGAAATTCAGGGATGACCGGAAGGGCTGGTGTCCTCTTCACTTTGCCCTCGAATCAGGGCATCAGGAAATCGCGCGGTTGCTCATCCGAGCGCCTGGTATTGATCTTCGATACCAAACTGGAGTCGGCGAGACTCCACTGCACGCGGCCGCTCTTCGTGGATATACAGGCATTGTGAAGGATTTACTTGTCAGGGGAGTCTCTCCTGACACTCAAAATGCCCGCTCCCGCACTGCGATCTGGAATGCCGCAATTTCTGGCCACTGGGCCGTTGTGAAGATACTCCTGGATGCCCGAGCTAACCCTGACATTGCTGATGCCGCATCGAGGACACCACTGATGATGGCGGTCAAGAATAAGGATGTCACAATGGTGCGAACGTTGCTGAACACGCAGCAAGTCTCAGTCCACGCCGTTGATAATCGCGGGCGGTCAATCTTGTCCTATGCGGCGGAGGGCGGTAGTCTCGAGATCATCAACTTGCTGTTGTGTCGCATGCCGAATTTCGATTTTGACGCGGTGGATGCAAACGGGAAACGTCTTGTTGCATACGCCCGAGCCAAGAATCGTGCACAGTTGATGGCCTACTTTGCAGCTATCCGGTTGTTGAGCATTGCCCGTGATAAGTGACAGGTCAAAGTACAAGAGAAGGATCATGGGTGAATGACGGTCGCAGCCAAAAAGGAGACGGTCTCGATGGGAAAACATGTCTGTTCATCTATGAATCCAAAGTTCTGTTGATCTCCGTAAGAGTCATGGTGGCGGAATGGTGTAGATGTTTAATCGACTTGAGAGGCGAAGACAGTAAAAGGAAGAAGAATAGCAATAAAAAACAACCATCATGGTCTGAATCAACAACAGACAAGATCAGAAACAGGCTTGGATATCTGCAGGGAGATACAGTCCCACAGACCTGCACCGAGTCGCACGTTCAATCAGTCCTCGAACCACTTCGGTGGGGATGGACGACATCGAGAGATGACATCAAATCGAGTACACAGACCAAGGTATCTGATCGCCTGTGGAACGTGAGCATCCCACTCGGTCGATGCCCAACCTCGAGAGCTTGGCTCAAGATCCATGCCTGATCAGTGCTGCTGCAGAACTCGCAATCTCGCGCATGTCCCGTCATCACCGCCACCTTCTCTTCTCCCGTTCCCCCTTGCATCCACGAAGAAAAGACAAAAGTGACAAAGTGACAACCTCACACCAAGTGCGACTCCCCTCCATGACGATGACAAGAAAAGAGGTCCTTTGTCGCAATGCAGCCCTATTGGATGGAGTCAATCAAGACATGTCGAGCGCACTGATGAAGAATGAAATCTGAGCGATTGACTGCTCATCTGTGCCAGAAGCAGTCAGCCTGCATTTTGGCGAATGGGAAAATGCAGCTCAAAGAACATGCCAGTACGTGTCACTGGAATGATTGGCTCTTTGCACGAGGGAACAGTTCCCCGGGGGTCTCAGGGGGGAGGAAGATGAGCGAACTGTGCGATCGGCGCGTTCTCCACTCGATAGTTCGCATCCTCGACCCGCCTCATTCCGTCACTTCGTGCCAGGACATCGCCTTTTCAATCAGAAAAATACCCCCCAAACCGGCTGTCAGACGGACGGGGAAGCATTGTGACAGTTCCGTCTGGTTTGGCTACAAATCAGTGTGTATCTCGGGGTATTTGGGACGTGGGAGGGCCCGCAAACTAGCAGATCGACGCGACAGACTATCGCGTCCCGACAATTTGGCTATTCCAGACCCACCTATCAGCTCGCCTGTCTCGTCTCCGTAAATCATCTTTCGAGTGACAGGTCCAAAACTGCGGGCCCACAATGCAATGTGGTTCATTCGAAGGGGGGCCCGGCAATCAGCCGTGACGGAGAAATTATGGGTCAAAGCCTTTTCTTTTCTCTTTATTCTCTGCTTGTTTTCTCTCGCAACTTCTTGGCATGTATTAATACCAGTCTTGTCCTCTGACTGTGGGATTGTCGACGCAAGACAGCCTTGCGGACTTCTACACCTCCATCATGTCGAGTCCAGTCGTATGAAACCCGAGAACTCATTGCCATGGAAATTACCGCTGACCTTCTCTAGGACCCGAATAGTGACCCCAACGTGGGCTCGTCTCGAGGTGACGCTTCGTCGACTTCGGGTGATGCCCTCGGCGAGGCCACTGGTGGTGGTGGCTCGTCGGGCTCGGCGCTGATGATGACCGTGCTTCCGGCCTTGGTGTATGCGCTGTTCTGGTTTGGTCTCTTTCTGATCTGTCGACGCACTCAGCGCCGGTGGTACGCCCCACGATCCCACTTGCCCGACCTGCACGAGCATGAACGGAGCCCGGAGCTGCCATCGGGTTGGGTTAACTGGTTCGGGACCTTTTTCAAGATCGAAGACAACCACGTGTTGCACCACTCCTCGTTGGACGGTTATCTTTTTCTACGGTTCTTGCGCGTGCTGTGTGCGACATGTTTCACCGGCTGTCTGATTACATGGCCCATCCTGCTGCCCATCCATGCGACGGGCGGCAACAACAATGATCAGCTGGATATCTTGAGTTTCAGCAACGTCAAAGACAAAGATAAATATTACGCCAATGTATTAGTGGCCTGCGTTTATTTCAGTAAGTGCTTGCTCTTCCACTCCTACTCCAGAGACGGTGTCTGACGGGGCTCCAGCGTTCGTCTTCTACGTTGTGACCCGCGAGAGTCTGTATTATGCGAACTTGCGCCAGGCCTACCTCAACTCGCCGGCCTATGCATCTCGGATTTCATCGCGCACAGTGCTTTTTATGTCAGTTCCGGTGGAGTACAAGAACGAAAAGAAGCTGCGACAGGTGTTTGGCGATGCGATCCGTCGCATCTGGATTACATCCGACTGCTCGGAGCTGTCGAAGAAGGTGAACGAGCGCGACCGTCTCGCTTTTAACTTGGAAACAGCCGAGACCAATCTCATCCGACGAGCCAATAAGGTCCGCATGCAGGCTCGCAAGAAAGGGGAGATGTCGTCGGACACCTGTTTGGACTGCGAGTCGAGCAATCCCACCTGGTCGCATAAGGTCAAGCGGCCTACGCACCGACACAATTTCTTCGGGGAAAAAGTTGATTCTATCCACTGGTATCGGACGGAACTAGCCCGCATCACTGAGGAGGTGGAATCTCTGCAGCGCAAGCATCAGGAAGGCGATGCCAAACTACTCTCGGCGCTCTTCATCGAATTCAACACCCAGGCCGATGCACAAATTGCCCTGCAGACCTTGTCACATCATCAACCCTTCCATATGACGCCTCGCTTTATCGGGGTTTCTCCCCGCGAGGTGGTTTGGTCTGCACTGAACCTCAGCTGGTACCAGCGCATTATTCACAAATTTGCGGTGCAGGGGTTTCTCGGGGCGTTGGTGATTTTTTGGTCGTTCCCGGCTGCTATCGTCGGAGCTATTTCCAACATCACCTACATCTGCAAGCTTATTCCCTTTCTCAAGTTTATTCTGAAGTTACCCGACTTTATCAAAGGCGCTATCGAAGGCTTGTTGCCTTCCGCTGCTCTGGTGGCCTTGATGGCTCTAGTACCGATCATTTGTCGCAGTATGATCCCTCGCCTTACCCTTTTTGCATGTTCATACGCTGACGTCTCTCTCCCACCCCAAAAGTTTGCGCCAGAAAATCTGGGTATCCATCATTGGCCCGTGTCGAACTGTTCACCCAAAGTGCGCATTTTGTCTTCCAAGTGGTGCAGGTGTTCTTGGTGACTACCTTGACGTCGGCTGCGTCGGCTGCAACGACACAGATCATTCAAGACCCCCTGTCGGCCAAAGACTTGTTGGCACAGAACCTACCCAAGGCCACTAATTTCTACATCTCATTCTTCCTGTTGCAGGGGTTGAGTATGAGCTCGATGGCTCTCGTCCAAGTTGCCAGTGCGCTTGTATTCAAATTCGTCACCACTTTTTTCGCGTATTCTCCACGCCGTCTCTTTCGACGATGGGCGGAGCTCGGTAGTCTCAGTTGGGGAAATGTTTTCCCAGTGTTTACTAACATGGGTGTGATCGGTAAGTGACAACAACCCCCTTGGACCAAGCCTTAAATTAACGAATGATTCTAGCGTTAACGTACTCGTGCATTGCGCCGCTGATCCTGGGTTTTGCGGGCTTTGGGTTGTACCTCGTGTACCAGGCTTATCGATACAACTTCCTCTTCGTATATGATATCGAGATTGACACCAAAGGCCTGGTGTACCCACGGGCACTGCAGCACCTGTTGACAGGAATTTATCTGGCGGAGGTATGCATGATCGGACTCTGCGCCATCAGGGGCGCCATCGGCCCAGTGGTCATTATGGTGCTGTTTGCCATTGGCACGATACTGGCGCATATTTCTCTCAACGAAGCTCTGGAGCCACTCAACAGTTTCTTACCGCGATCCCTTGATGCTGAAGAGGAAATGTTGCAGGCCAAAGAGGATGCCATGGCGGAAATCAACGAGAAGCGGCGGAGCCCTCGCGTGGTTGCGTTCTGGAAATGGTTCCATCCCAACGTCTACAAAGACTATGCCTCGCTACGTCGCAAAGTGCGCCGCAACGTTTCCGAGGTCTCATATACCCCAGAGGAGACGCGCACGGCCTACTTTGAGCCGTGTGTGGCATCCCCACCACCCACGCTGTGGATCCCGCGCGACCAGTGGGGGTTTAGTCGCCATGAAATTCTCGAGACAGATCCCACTATTCGGATCACGGATGAGGGCGCGCACCTGGATGAAAAGAACAAGATTATCTGGGACAAATACAATCCGGACCTTCCGTTACGGGAGAGGAAGACTCTCTATTGATGGCCTGTTGTACCCTCAAAAAATAATGATTGGATGATGTTATGTTTCTTTCTGTGTACAGTAATAAGCGGTCTCTGATTGAATCTGTTGGCGCATAGGGTGATCTATCGGTCTCGGGGGGATAGTTGGTATCATACTGGGTTTCGTTCAAGGTATGGCCAATGAATTATAACATCATTTTTGCTTAACCTCATCGGGAATCAAGGTATAATGTACTACACTTAAAGATATTCAATTCCTAACAAGATACGCTGAGAAGCTCAAGTCCAGGCCTTGCACTTAAACATCCAGAGTAAAGTTGACCGTATTCAGAGCGCTGTTATCTCTTAGAAAAGATTTCAAAGGTGAAAATAGTCTAAGACGGAGTTGATTGCCGATGAGGTAAGAAGCACTCTCGACTTATCCTAGTTATACTGGCTACTGTAAATTTGTAATATTAGGTATATCTCTTAGTTAAATATCTAGCAAGACAGGATTAGATATATAATTTACAGTTTTGACTTGCTCGAGAGGACCTATCTAGATAGTCCAGTCGTCGACTAGGTACTCCCTACTAGTAGTTAGAGCCTTGACCGCGGCCACTTTTGACAGGCCACCCCAAGTGATTAGAATCGAGAGGATGGCACCGGTAACTGAGGATGCCGCAGCCGAGGTTGATGACAGAGTCGGGTTTTCCACTGAACGATCTGGACTATAAGGAACGAATCGCCGCCAGAGAACCGGAGAGTGAGGTCGGCGACGACACCGGGAGCTGTCGTGGCAGAGAGATGATCGATGTCTAGAAATGCCACGGCTGATCTCCGTTTTTAAATCCTTCGGGTCGGCCCGGCGGCTTGTTGCAGGGAAGACTAAGCCCGGATCTGCAACAGGCCCAGCGTGGAGTACGTAGCTAGAAAATAAAATAAAATAAAGACACGTCTAATCCTAAAAGCCAAGACAAGACTAGTCAGATGTAGGTACATCAATTCGTCATGGTCATTTCGTCGTTAAAAAGTCTTTGCAAGAAACCCCCGGAGAATCAGCCCGATGCATTTAGAAAGCCTCGTCACATCATGACACAGTCTTTGCTCCCTTCATTGGGTCGAATCGGTCCCCCTGCAGTTGCGCGTGGCCAGTTACTCCGTGATGTCCGATTGCTGGAATATCGATTCCGCGCGGAAGGAAACCTCGGCTGAGTTGGTGAATATCGCGGACTGTTGGCGGCCTGCTCATACGTGGGGGGAGGCGCGTTGGGATCGTCGGGGTCGGTGCCGTTATGTGGCTGGGACCCGTGGTTTGCGACACTCGAGGTTCGATTGGGAACAGTGATTCTCGGGCTTGATCGATTAGAAGCCCGAACAGGTTGTGAAGCGCGGGGGCCGCGATTTGAATTTTGAGTCTCACGCCGCTCCTCCTCTTGGAACTGTAGTGAAAGTGCATAGGCGTAATCAGCATCACGCTGCTCTTGTGTAGAGAAACCATCTTTGTGCTCTTCGCCAGAAGCAGTGGCACCAGCGGTGACAGCTGCACTGGAGGATCGGGGACCAGCAGGGCCAGACGTCTCAGTTTGGCCTTGGCTGACAGCGCGAAAATCACCAGAGAGGAATTCCGAATTGAAGCCAGTCACATCGACCAGAGATTCCCAAACAACCTCGGCATGGTTGGCGTAGCCAGCATCGGTGACCAGTGTGAAGAGCTGGCATGACTCCGGATGCTTGTAAAGTGTGGAAAAATGGTCGTTGCGAAAGAGGATTGAGACAGAGCCGGGCGCCAATTGAGTAGTGAGCTGGGTCAATCCAAAAGGGCTTAACTGCGTCGCATTCTCAATCTCCACAAAGCGCTGAATGGTTTGAATGTCCTCCATGGTTTCCTCTTCCTGGGGAGAGAGAGAATCGTCTCGCATTACGCGATCTTCAAGCTCTTGCTTGCGGAAAGGTAACAGCTGAATGTCTTCATGATACTGGGCGACTCGCGACATCGCCGCGTGCGTTGAGCTGGACCACGATGCTAGCCATCCATGAATCAGAGACACTCCAAATGTACTATACAACCTTAGGTCACTAGTTTGGAAGAAAGTTCCGAGTGAATCGGTCGATTCCTTGATCTTATTAGTTCGGTCGAGCTCGAAATGATAATGGATCGGGAACAGCACTTACAAGCGTCAGGCGCGGGTTGACATTCATGCCGGTATGTAGCATCGTCAGGAATTGAGTCAGGGCCTCGATATCTGGAAACTCCTCATCGGGCCTCAAACACGTCGTTAATTCCTCGAACAAGGCCTCAATCAACAGTCCCAGCGAGATATTCTCACGGGTTTGCAGCGCTTTGACAATTGGTGGTTGTGTCTTAGTATCAGCCCGCAACACCAGCGCGTTAATGAGGGCGAGCAATGGACACGGGCCGTTTTCATTTTGAACCAGAACCGGTGATTCCAGCAATTGCCCACTCTGATTCATCCACCTTATGTGCCGAATCGAATAGGTTTCTGATCTTTGCTCCTTCTGCCGAGTCGCGTCGACAGCAGAAATTCCAGTGTTTGACCCTGGTCCCGGTATCTGGCCCGTAGCAGCATTCAATTGCGGCGTTACGGATGATCCCATTTCTGGTGCAGGAGAGGCGGCCTGGTCTCTTTTCGCGTCGGGTGCGTCAGAGGAGTAGACCGAAGACGCTGGACGACGAGACCCCGTTTCGGCCGCCAAGGTACTGGGAACATCGAGATCAATGAGCTCATGGGAGGTAGCCGAAGTCGCGCTAGAGAACGTAGCCGAAGGAGTATTGATTCCGGCATCGGAGCCAAGTCGCTCGGGGTTATATAGTTGTTGGTCGTCATACGGATCCTCAGGACGTTGATCCGAGGGTTGTACAACAACAGCGGGTGCGTATGGGTTCGACTGTCCACCTTGCAAGTAGATCTGTTGAGGTGTTGAGACCCTTGCTGACGGCTGAGCCGCCCACGGCGACTGATTTTCAAGTGATTGACTTTGTGAGACGAAGGGTTGGGCGGGTGACTGAGAAGGCCCAGTCCACGAGGTCTCTTGTTCCGAGTCCAAGAGAGACAACCGAGCTGTCATTGGGATATACCCATCCGCTGAGAAAGAGATAGCTGGTCAGTATCAGAAATTTTTGCAAACAAAAGATGCAGAGGGGCATCGGGCATACTTTGACTGAGCTCGCTGTTTGACGAAACCGCGTGTGAGTTTCGGCCATTCCAGTCATGCTGGTCTTGCGTATCCTGGTCGGGTTCTGACGGTCTCGGTTTCAAGAAGGGGTTATTCGACTGCAACTGCACTGGAAGCTCCCCCTTGGACTATTGCGAGCTTCTTGAGTTGGTTGCCATCCATTCACCTCCCCTTCTTGTTGTTGGCCTGGGAACAGCGCTGATGGAACCAACTGTCCCTTGTTGCCTGCTGGTGGCGGGTGTGGCCCTTCGTAGCTACCGGAGTGGTCTGGCGTCCCCCCGGGTTGATCGGGCCATGATTTCGGGTGGCTGGTCGGAGACCCCACCTGTGGCCGTTGAGCTTCTTCAAGTGGCATCAGGTCAAAGGCAGGTGAGGTGTTGAGGTCGGGGGAATAGACGGATTCCTCTGAAGGGATTCGATTCAGGCGCGCCCGGCGGGACGAGGACGCAGAGTTGGGGGGAGGAGAAGTAGGTGAACGGGACTCGGGTCGAGCATTCCCCTTGCTGAGATTCTCCAAACGCGGTGGGGGCTGTTTGCGAAGCACCATGAAGAAAGAGGGAGGAGCTGGAGTATAATTAGAAAAGAAAGTCACCTAACCGGGGGGTCGAATCGCCCCAGACGCCCCGTGGTAAAAATAAGTCAGGCCGTGGACAGTGCCAGGTACCAATGAGCCATTGAATCAGATGCACGAAAAGGTTCAAAGAGCAAGGCGTCAGCTTTACCCCATGTGCAAGGAGAAGAGTGGAGCCACCGTGTCGAGAGCCATGAGATCAAGGCGCCGATCTCCTGTTATGACAGTACGGTATTGTTGGAGAAAAAGAAGGATTCTCACGAACATAAAAATGTATTTCTTTGTATTGTACCGTACCGCCCTCTGAGACTCATCTCATTGGCTGCTGCGCACTCGGCGAGAAAAGTCGCCCGGAATATTTTCAGCAGAACTGTGCCGCGGGTCTGGAGGAACAGGTCGACACTATGCATTCCTATATCCGGCCGGATCAGTTCGTCGCTATCTGCCTACCGTCAGACCAGACCCGAATTGTCAAGGTGATCCCCGATACGTATGTCCGCATTGGTCCTTAGGATGCGCAACAGCTAACATCTTTCAGCATAGTTCAATTGGGCAAATATGGCAGCTTCCCCGCGAATCAGATTCTTGGGCGGCCTTTCTACGTGACCTATGAGCTTCTGGACTCCCCCGAAAGTGATGGCCATCAATTACGGGCTGTTACGGCTACCGAATTGCATACCGAAACCCTCATCGCCGAAGGTGAGGCCGATGGCGAGGGGGAGGACCTGGAGATGGGCGGCGACGGGATCCCCATGCGCACCAACCGCGAGACGTTCGACGATTCATCCAGCCAGCGGTTGACCGTGCAGGAGATCGAGGAGTTGAAGCAGGAGGCCTCCGGGTCGGGAAGGGAGATTGTCGCAAAAATCCTGGAATCGCACTCGGCACTGGACCAGAAAACTGCATTCTCCCTGGCCAAGTACACATTGCGGAAGCGCAAGAAGTACATCCGGAGGTTCACAGTGCTCCCGATGGATGTGGGCCTCCTCACCAATTACATGCTGGAAGAGCGAGACGCTCAGCGGACGATGGAGTTGCGGGACGAGCACATTGGGCTGATTGGGTGTTGGGGCAATGTGCACCACAGCGGGGACGCTACCTTCAATTCCATTTCGACGGTCCAGCCAAATGGCCGCTATTTGGTGGTTGATGAGACAGGGGGGCTCGTCGTCGCTGCCATGGCCGAGCGCATGGGGATCCTGTACCCTCATGATGGCGAAGAGGATTCGGTGGACGAGCAAGACCCTCCTCCCGGTGATAACGGAGGTGAAACCAGGGAAACTGAGGTGCCCACGAAATCCCGGCGCAACCGCCGCGTGCCAATGTCGGCTTCGGGAAACACCATCACTGTGATCCACGCGTACTCACAACCCAACCTGTCACTCCTGAAGTATTTCGGCTATGACACGAACAACCCCGACGAATCTCATCCACTGCACACCCACCTCAAAACTGTATCTTGGATGCAGCTGGTCGACCCCAGTGCAGATCCCATCTACTCCAACGAACCACCCGTCATCCCTGCCACGGAACTGGCCTCCCTCAAGCAGAACAAGCGCGCCACATATTATCATAAGCGCACTCGATGGGAGAGAGTCAAGCGGGTTGTGGATGAGGCCCGTGCCGGCGATTTCGATGGTCTCGTGGTGGCCACGCTGCTGGAGCCTCCAGGCGTTTTGAAGAACCTTGTCCCGCTCCTGGCGGGCTCGGCTTCGGTCGCCGTCTACTCGCCGACAGTCGAGCCGCTCGTCCATCTGATGGACATGTATTCCACCGCGAGGAGAACGGCGTTCATCAATCGCAAGCGGGATCTGGAGGCTCAGAATGACGGCACCGTCGATCTCTCCCAGCTGGATGAGGAGTTCGAGGTCGATCCCACGCAGCTCCTCCCGCCAACCTTGCAAACCTCGCGCGTGCGCCCCTGGCAAGTTCTGCCGGGCCGCACTCACCCTCTCATGACAGGACGTGGTGGAGCCGAAGGGTATCTCTTCCATGGAATTCGGGTCGTTCCCACGACCGTGCATATCCAGGCTGCAGGTGCAGTTCGAAAACGACGGAAAGTGGCCACATCCACTCCGGCCAGCGATCGAGATGTGGACATGGCGCCCTAATTGTTTAACCGCTCTGCATACCCCCGGAGTATAACATCAAATCGCATCCATGTACGAGTATTATGGTTCATGTGGTCAGGAGTATCAAAAAAATCCATTCATACGCTGAATTTCATCAAAAAATGTACAGCAACCCTTGCGTCTACAAGCTCTTGCCCATGAACTTTCTCTTCGTGAAACTCAGCCAGAACTGCAGGGAGCGTCAGTTCGTCGCAGAGTCGTATCCACAGTCTGGAATTTTTCTTACCTTGGACGGTCCCACTCCACCGGGGTATAATCTAGCGTGTAGCCGGATGGCGATCTCCTGTCGTACCTGCGAGACATATCTAGTGATCGTCAAAAACCTTGTGTCAGCCCAAGACAGCAGAACAGGAGGGATAGAGACAGGGTCAACATACGCCCGAAGACTCTCTGCATCCTGACGGTCGCGGGGGGGCTCAAAAGCCTGGTTGAGTGGGAACGACACATCGCCGGGAATGGCGAAGTTGTCCAGGGCCACGTTGACCAGAGCCTAGCAATCGGGTGTTAGTGCATAACGAAGCCCTTGACACCTTTCTCACTCTCCAATATAGATTCTTATGCGATGTACCTTCTCTGCTTCGCGGGCATTCATCGTCGGCTTGACTTTCCCGAGACAGTCGCTGATGAACAGGGTTCCGTAGATGAGCATGCGGTCGGCAGGGCCGTTGATTTCGAAGTTGCGGAACAGCACATTCGCCCTGAAAAGTGACAGGATCTCATCCACACAGTCGTAAGATTCACTCTCGGGCGAAACGTCCATATCGGAGGTGTTGGCGGGCAGCGGGGGGAGGGTGTATGCGGGGCCGCGAGTGCGAGTGCGGAGGGGTAGGATGGGGAAGTTCCCTGGGAAGAGACGTGCGATGGTTAGTTCGGCATTCTCGAGACTGGTTATATAGCCCGGCGGTCGTCGCGGCGCTGTCTCATACCTATCACGGGGACATCGCGGTCCTCCAGGAAGACGGAGTGGTATGCCTGGAGGGGAGGGGGTCAGTGCGAGTGGGCAATTGGCGACAGGAACCCAGAACCAACCGGCATATTGAACCATCAAGCGACCAGCACTGGACTGAATTGTCAAGAGAGTAAAACCAGAAGACTGGACGAGCGTGTTGGGGGGGAGAGAGCAAGTGATGTGAGGCAGCGAGGATGTCATCCGGTGGAGTTCCCCAGCTCCATGATTTTCCGCCCCGAGCCTCTTTACGCGCAACGCGTCGCCTTGCTTTCTGACCGAGTTCTACCCATTTGCACTTCTTTTTGAACAGAATAACATACGGCAACTCCGTTCTGTCATTATGTCCGACTTCGAGGATGAAATGGACGTGGATGCGTCCAAGGACCTGCAATTCAGTTCCGGCAATGCCAATGGGAAGAAGAGGACCGCCGCAGATCTCCCTGTGGAGGCCCAGGATAATCTGCCCTGGTAAGCATCTGGGTCCTGCTATGCAATTGTCTCGATCAGCTTATTGACCTTTTCTGGCAGGGTTGAAAAGTACCGCCCGAACAGTCTGGACGACGTGTCGGGCCACCAAGATATCCTCGCTACCATCAACCGATTTGTCGAGAAAAATGTAGGGGATCACTGTTTTTCTTCATACACAGAGGTTAACCGCAAGGTGTCCAGCGACTTCCCCATCTTCTTCTCTATGGACCCCCGGGAACCGGCAAGACCTCCACCATCCTCGCCCTCGCGCGACGGATATACGGCAACAAGAATATGCGGCAGATGGTGCTCGAGCTAAACGCCAGTGACGATCGTGGTATTGATGTGGTTCGGGAACAGATCAAGACGTTTGCAAGTCGGTGTCCCTACGCAGTGGTGTCGACAACAGCTCGCTGACCACAATCAACAGGCACAAAACAGATCTTCTCCATGGCGCCCCAAGCGGCCGGCGGTTCATCTCTCGCGGGCTTCAAGCTGATCGTCCTCGACGAAGCAGATGCCATGACTGCGACGGCGCAGATGGCCCTGCGCCGGATCATGGAGCGATACACGGCCAATACGCGATTCTGTATCATTGCCAACTACACCCACAAGTTGTCCCCGGCACTGCTCTCGCGATGTACACGATTCCGGTTCAGTCCGCTGAAGGAGGCCGACATCCGGACCCTTGTCGATAAGGTGATTGAGAGGGAACAGGTCCGGATACAGCCCGAGGCGGTTGATAGTCTCGTGACTCTGAGTAAGGGTGATATGCGACGGGCACTGAACGTTCTACAAGCCTGTCATGCCAGCAGTAAGTTCCTTTCTTTTCTTTTCTCCAGTTTCTCAATTTTTTTTCCGGGTTGAGCTAATCCCGGGACATTAGGTATCCCCCTTCCGATGAGAGATGCCCCCAATGCGCCCCGGCCCGAGCCCGAGACCATCACCAACGCAACGATTTACGACTGTATTGCGGCCCCGCACCCCGGGGATATTCAAGAAATCATGACCACGATCCTGTCCACCAGCGACGTGACCTCCTGTCTCAACACCGTGCAGATGCTCAAGTCCACCAAGGGTCTGGCACTGGCAGACATTCTCTCGGCGCTAGCGGACCAGCTCCAGCAGCTCGAAGTGCCCGCACAGACACGCATCACGTGGCTCGAGGGTCTTGCAGAGATCGAATGGCGACTCTCCGGGGGAGGCTCCGAGGCGGTGCAGACGGGGGGACTAGTAGGGGTGGTGCGGAATGGCTGCGAGCTGATGGGCGATAAGGGGATTGCATTGGCATGATATGATTTGATATGACTGTTTTATTATGTGCAGGTTAGCATTTCCTAGGTTGGCATGGCGTTAGAGAGAAGAAGAAGAAGGAAAAGGCATGCCGATGCGGTCCGACGAGCAGGAAGCGGGGAAGAGACCAGGATCTCTGCGCTTTCTCTCTCTCTCTCTCTCTTCCTCTTCTTCCGTCTCCACTTATTATCGCAGCTGCCGCTAATTCAATTAGCTAATGACTTTCATTTGGCTTGTTTAGTGCTATCGGGTGTCTCCGCTGAGTTGCCCAGGGTCCCACGGCACGATCTCCGCGGATGCAAAGGCTGTCAATCCATGGCTACCAGACAAGATTGAGGTAGAAAAAGACTTCCCCGCTCGCGACTTTTCTTTTCTTTTCTTTTTTTCCTTCTTTCTCATGCTCCATTGATCTCTCGTCATGCGATTCTTCCTCGAATCCACTTTGTTTCTGGCCGCCCTCTCGCCCGTCAGTGCGGAGCGCGTGCTGGGTGCCTATGTCTTCGCACGTCATGGGGATCGCACGCCCAAAGTATTTGGCAACACTCGATTGACCAACCTGGGCTACCGTGAGGTCTTCGATGCGGGGTCGTACTATCACAACCGCTACATCGTAGCGGACTCGCCCCACCGAATCGAAGGAATCGACGAGAAGGTCGTAAACGCCAAACAGATCAGTGCGTCGGCCCCGTCGGATGCAGTGCTGCAGAACTCGGCAACGGGCTTCCTGCAGGGCGTGTACCCGCCTGCCCGTAATGCAGCCTCGGAGACCCTGGCCAACACCACCACGGTCGAGGCGCCATTGGATGGGTACCAGCTGATCCAGCTGTCCCCCATCTCCTCGGGCAAAAACAGTGAGGATGCTACCTGGCTGCAAGGTGCAAGTGACTGCCAGAGGGCCGGGCTCAGCAGCAACAACTACTATACCTCCGACTCTTACAATGCGCTCCTCAAGTCCACCAAGGACTTCTATCAGTCATTGTCCCCCATGCTGGACCGGGCCTTCACCTCGTCCCAGATGACCTTCAAGAATGCTTACACCATTTTCGACTATCTGAACGTCGCCTCCATCCACAACGCCACCAAAGACTTCCCGCACAAGTCAGACCTGACGGATGAGGTGTACCGGCAATTGTTGGCGCTGGCCAGCAACCAGCAGTACAACCTGGCTTATAACGCCTCTGATCAGGTCCGCGCGATTGAAGGCGCTGTTCTGGCCGGCGAGATCCTATCTGGTCTCAATGATACCATCACCTCGCAGGGCAAGTCCAAGTTGAATGTGCAGTTCGGGGCGTATGGTACCTTTCTCTCCTACTTTGGGCTGGTACAACTGCCTGCAGCGTCGGTCAACTTCACCGGCATCCCGGACTATGCGTCCTCCATGTCCTTGGAGCTCGTAACTAATTCCCCCGGCAAGGATTTCCCCGCGCCCTCGGAGATCGGCGTGCGCTTCATGTTCCACAATGGGACTATCACCGGCTCGGACAAGCCCACCGTCTACCCGCTCTTCGGCCAGTCCAAGACCCTTCTCCCTTGGAATGACTTTGTGTCTGAAACCAAGAAGATTGCCGTGGTCTCCGACGAAAAATGGTGTCAGGTGTGTGGCAACACTGAAGGCAAGTGTGCCGCTCCCTCGAGCTCCCACTCGGGCTCCGTCGACACATCTACCGCTGGTGGTTCCGGCGGCATGTCGCGCGCCGTGGCGGGCGTGATTGGCGCCATGGTGACGCTGGCGGTGATTCTCGGTCTGGAGGCCTTGTTCTTCCTTGTCGGTGGATTCCGTATTGCGAAGCGACGCAAGGCTGGCTCAGAAGTGGAGGTTCCTACGGTGATGACTGAGGACAAGAAGTCATAAGCCAGGAGCAGTGTGAAAAGGTCGAGGTGTTTGCTACAAGCTGGGCACTCACCAAGTCTGAGACTTGAAACGAAGTCCGCGAGTAACACTATAATAATACCATTGATTGCTTCTTCTATTACATATCTTTTTTACGTTGTAACTTGTGATCTTTCCACGGCCTCCGTTGAGTCAAAAGTGACCATCCCGCAGATTCACCGCCTTCTTCCATATAAACAACTCGTTTCCCTCTCTCTTCCCCTCCGTCTCCCACGCACAACATGCCGCGCCAACAGATCAACCTGGAGCCCTATCGAGAGGAGATTGTCTCACTTTTTCAGCACGGCATCAGTAGCGACGCGATCAGCCGCACTCTCGAGAGCCGGTATAACATCCAGGTGCGGGAGCGGACCATCCAGTCCCGACTCCGCAAGTGGGGCATTCGCAAGCGACACCGGACGACAACGGCCGATGAAGCCTTGCATGCTCGCATCAGACTGCTCTTCGTGCAGGACAAGCTGACCGACAAGGCCATGTTGAAGCTGCTGCGACAGGAGGGCTACGACATCTCCGAGCGAACCTTGCGCCGCCTACGCTTCCAGCTAGGGCTTCATGCGCGGGCTCCTTCGGAGCCAGAGCAGGCGCCCCTCAATGCCCCAGAGGCACCACCGATGATAACAGAAACATGAGATGAGATTTTGGCGAGAGGGCGATCCTCGCGGCTTGCCTGCAGCGCCTCTCCCGATGATCCCGCGCAACCGTATGACTTATCTGCTGGATGTTGCCAGCCGACCCGGGGAAACACCCAACCCTACAAATCGACCCATACGCGTCACCATGATCGGTACTCTTATCAAGAATCTTTTCCTATACGATACACCATATGCGGCAATCCATTGAATGGACCTTTTCCACTCTAGTCACTAGTCCTCGTGCTCTGGCAACGTTGCTGTCCTTGCGCATGTCTTGACACGGGTATCTTCACTCACAGACACCTCAATGGACGAGCTGATCAAGCCCGATTAATTAATGGGCCAACTCAATGGATTCCCATCCGTGCTTCGATTATCAGTGCGGTCCTCGGAACGACTCTTCGGCTGGTGAAGCCATCTAGACAAGCGACCTGGGATGCATTGAACTACGTTTAGCGATGCGAAAACCGCCTCAATCCTACTTCGAATGTTTCCTGTTGACGAGCGACTGCTCGATTGAGCACACGCGACGCAAATCCATAGTGGGTTCATGCTGTCGATACTGAGAATAAGGCCTGACATGCCTTCGGCGCCCTGTGTCAAGAAATTTACATCACACAGCCACCACTCGCCGCAGCTCAAATCCTATAGCAGACAACAGGTTCATGATCCAATTCAGATCAAAGCCAAAAGCCTAATCAATTGGTGGACTAAACAACATAGTGGTCACTAACATGGTCATAGTACATAGCGCAAATTCACTTTCAAGTCCTATATCTGTGCAAAATCCAAATCTTTCATGTATTTCCATGCCCTTGAATTCTCTTTCCATCTTCGTTTCCGTTTCTTGCGTGTAAAAACCAGCCAAATTCGAATCCGAGGGCTCAATGATCACGTGTCATGACGTTTCGCCGCAACTTTGGCCGCAGCTTTTGGCGCTCGGCCAAACCGCAGGGAATACCTCTGCGCCTTTCCACACGATAGAGATGGTATCGCCTTGATTGTTCAGTTTGAAATCTTCATTCCTCTCCGGCGCATGCTGTGAGCCAGCTTTTCCCCGTCAACATGTCTTCCCATTACGCCAGCGAACCCAATCCCACCGCGTCGGCCACACTGAACACGACCGTCGGCCCCATCCAAATTGCGCTGTTCGCAAACCAGACTCCTCTGGCATGCAAAAACTTCCTTCAGCACTGCAAGGATGACTACTATGCCGGGACGATCTTCCATCGAGTGGCCCCGGATTTCGTGATACAGGGCGGTGATCCGACGGGCACAGGGTCAGGCGGCACCTCCATCTACGAGTATCCCGAGTTTGAATATGATCCTGAGGCTCGAGACCCAAACGAGCGGGTGGTCCTGCGCGATGAGCTACACAGTCGGTTGCGGTTCACTCGCCGCGGGCTGGTGGGAATGGCCAAGAGCGAGGACGGGGCCTATGGCAGCCAATTCTTCATTACGCTGACCAACACGGAGCGTGAGCTGAATGGGCAATGTACTCTTTTTGGGCGATTGGAGGGCGACAGCATCTTCAATGTGCTGAAGATCGCGGATGCGGAGCGCGTCGAAGGCACCGAGCGCCCCGTCTTTCCGATCAAGGTGACCTCCTGCGAGGTGGGAGAACTGGGACCCTTGGAGGGTAAGTTGAAAGACCGAAAGACTGTCTCATCTGCGACAGCGGGCAAAGTGGACGAGAAGCATGCCCCGAAGAAAAAGAAGAAGGCAGCCAAAGCCGGGAAAGCGCTGTTGAGCTTTGGCGGCGACGAGGGCGATGAAGAAATGCCTATGCGGCCGGCGAAGCCGAAGTTCAACATCAAACTGGTCGCGGATGTGCCAGGTACAACCAATGATACAGAAAAAGCGCCCAAATCCCCATCAGCAAAGCCTACGCAGCCACGCAAGCGGCCTCGCTCGCCATCGCCGAAACGATCCCCATCAGAAGACCGCAGACAACGTCCCAAAACGCCAGACCCTCAGACTCAACTACCTCTACGCGATCCCGAATCCCCAGTCCGGTCTCCGAGCCCGGTTCCTCATCCTGCAAAAGAATCCAAGCTCTCGCGCACAAATGCCGAGATTGAATCACTCAAGGCCTCCATGCGCCGCCACGTTGACACGGGCCCATCAGATACCGGACGCAAGAAAACCGCTCTCGAAACCATGATCCCCTCGACCGCCATTCGCGGTCGGAAACGACCACCACCAGGGTCCGCCAATGGCGCTGCACGAGGCAATAGCAGTGCGGAGAACGAAGCATTAAACCTCTTCAACGCCTTCAAAGCCAAGCTAGAAGGCGCCGACTTGCAACCCGCCACCATGGCCTCCCATGGTAGTGGGTCACGGCCGGACCCAAGCCAAAAACCAACACAGGATGCAGACGACGAGGAAGCACAACTCTGTGACCTGCATTTCATCGCCAATTGCAAATCCTGCCAGTCGTGGGATCAGCCAGAGTCTACAGCGGATGAAGCGAGTCGCGAAGACCAGGGCTGGCTCACGCACGAACTTCGGTTTGGCAAAGATACTTTGGGCAAGGACCTGAACTGGAAGCGTGAACATCCAGACGACGCGGACTCACTGATGGTGATTGACCCTCGCGAACGCGAGAAGGAAGTGGTTGGCGGGCGCCGGCGTGGATTGCAGCGAGACCACGAACGAGAGCGCAAGCGGGAACGAGCGGGCGATTTGGAGTGGGATCGTACGAGGGAGCGGTAGACCAAATACTGAGATAATAAAGGATATACCCGGACAAGCCAAAAGCAATAAATAAAGTAAACAATCATTAGGGATCATGATCTGCCGTCGAGGCTTTTTGTTTGACGCTGCCACCGTATTCCCCAGCAAACCCATATGAACAAGATAACGCCGGTGATTCCATCAGTGTATTTCCCATCGCTTTTTGCGGTTTCACCCCCCAAAATCCTATGGTGCTCTGCACGATAGTCCTGGAATCCAAAAGACAAGAAAAGAGAAGAAAAGAAAAGAACGCCGAACAGGACCAAGACCAGAATTACGCTCTCCTCCGACGTTTGGTGCTGCCACCATCCTCTGCTGCCTCGTCGGGATTGTCGTCCAGCGTTGCTGCGGGACTGGTGGTCTCGCTATCCGTCAGCTGCTCGATAACACGGCCGGAATCCTGGTTTCCGGGTGCAGACTCGCCATCGAAACCAGTACCATCGAAGCCATAATTGTAGGTCGAGTGGCCCTGTCCCTGGTTGGAAGCATCAAAGAGATCGCCGTCGTTGGGGATGTGGTCGAAATCGAACAAGTCATTCGTGTCGCCGTCATCGGGCTGGGCCGCACCCACAGGCTCGTGCGTATTTGTGCCTGTTCCTGGCGGCTGACCAGTCGTGTTGTCGCCGAAGTCCAAGGAAGACTTCTTGGGGTCGTTTTCTGTGTCTCCGAGGTCGGTGAAGTAGTCATTGTTGAAGATCTGGTCGAGATCCAGCGGGGGAGGGGGCACGTTGCCGTCATGGTCCAGACCTGGGATCGTACCGTTTGGACTGAGCGGCTGGAGGAGATTGGTGAGATTCTGGACGGACCGGTCCTGTTCGGCTTGCATCTTGACCAGATTGTCAATCTCTTGCCGAGTGTTGGCGAGACGGCCCGAGTAGTTCTGTGGCATGGGTGGTGGATTTGGCGTCATAAGTGCATTGTTCGGTGACACCCCAGCGTTGGGATCTGCGGTGTTGGTCTCGTTGGCCATGAGCCGGAGCATATCCGCCCGCTGGTTCGGGGTGAGTGGAACGTTGCCGCCAGAGGTCTCGAGAGAAGAAAGAACATTGGGGAACTCCGAGAAGCTCGTGGGAACCCCATTCCTTGCATTGGAGTTTTGGATGGCGGACATGATGTCCCGCTGAGGGAAGGAATCGTCCATTTGCCCCGGTGGCACGGTTGGATTGCTTTGCCGAGGACTGTTATCAAAAACCTCCTCGACATGACCAGGCTGCGTAGCGCTAGGCTGTCGAGCATGGCCACGCGAGCGAGTGTCGTAGGGGCCGCTAGCAGCCGGGGAGACGGTATTGGCACGACCGTTCTCGTCTGTACCGGGAGGAGCCTTCAACAGCAGTGGCTGCTTCTTCATGGTTCGCTGTGCGGGAGGACTGTTCATGGCACCCAGGGCATCCAGTGGATAGTCGTCAACATCGACTATGTTCCCTTGGTCCTGGGAGATAGCCCCGGCAAAAGAATTCGCGAGGTTCTGAGGACCCTCTTGACCTTGCAGACTGCGGTTGTAAACCGTTGCCAGAAAAGTGAGGATGGCATTGATCGAGTTCTCGTGGCGGGTGTGCTGCTCTTGGAAATTAGCAGCCTGGGCGTAGAGCTGCTCATGCTCTTTGCGCAGTCGGGTAATGGTGTTAGAGATTATTTGCTGCTGTTGCCGGATGGCCTGGAGTTCGCGATAGACCCCCGATAGTTGTTCGTTCGGCATGGAACTGTCTGTGATCAAGGACAGCTGCCGTGGCCGAGCACGATCGTCACGCGACACGGGAGCGCCATCATCTCCAAACTCATCCAGGTCATTTTCATCAACATCCTCGGTCTTCACTCGCGTGCCACCTTTGCTGGATTTGCTTGCATGGCCTGGCGTGTTCTTCGGTTTCTGAATCAACCAAAGAAGATCCGGATGGCCTCGTTTGAAATATGGATTGGCGTATTCGCTGGGACTCTTGTTCTTTCGTTCGCTGGCGCGCATAGAATTATCGGAGAGTCCCACCTTCTTGTGGAAGCCGTACATATTAAGCTGGCGGACAAAGGATGCGTAATTGTTATGTTTGAAGAGCTCCGGGATCAACGTTCGAGCAAACTCATCTTCGTCCAGAACGATAAACGAGTTGCCATCGTCTGACCATCGAATCAAATCAGTATTTTTGGATTCGTCCAAGAAACTGCATTTCCCAGTTAGCCGCTTTACATGCATTCCATGGGACCGATTTACCCTACCTGCTTAGCTTCTGCACGAATGGCGGGATTTGCTTCCTCTTCGATTGCGCCTCTCTCTTTGCAGTCAGAGCCCGTTGGTAAAGCTGTTCTAGAGATTCTCCCCAGGCACCAGACTCCCCGGTTTGTGGATTTGCGCCATGGTCGGTATACTGAGTAGGGGGTTGCTCGTATCCGCGATTTCGGCTCACCAATTGATTCGGTGCTTGTCGGCGGGCGAGTTGATTCGAGCCCGCGGCTGCTGGGATGTCTTGGTTTGTCGTATAACCGACAGTGTTCAAGGAGGGGTCCGGAAAGGAGGCATTCATGGCGTTTGCAGAAGGGTTTTGACCCCATTGCAAAAACTGGTCATTCGAAAGCTGTGAGCCAGGGTTAGACGGAAAGTTCGGGACTGCGCCCAACTGAGGATGCACAACCGGGGCGGTCCCCGGTGCAGGTCTCTTGCGGGTCATCCCTTGAGAACTCATGATGGGTATGCTCGTTTAAGAATGCCGTAGAGAGCCGTGGCGATCAAATATCGACGAGAAGAAATCGAAGCGTTCTCGCCTGCTCACAACCACAGAGGGGTATAGCCAATGCGAGAAAAAAAATCTATTTCCAAAGGCGTAGAAAGCAGATGCCAACTTTGTATGTAAGAATTATTCGTCAAGTCGTTTCAAGCTCTCTGAGTCATGTAAGAAGTTTGGGTCCAACAAAACTCTCCGGCAAAAGAAAAAAATGACAAGGTGGAGAACGTTGAGGGTGGAGCGATAGTATCAAACGTCGAACGCAACGCGATGGGCGCAAACGGAGGCGGCGACCGGAGAACGGCAGGTCGACACAAAAGGGTGTTGTAGCAGTGAAAGTCTGGCAGGGCACACTTCTACCAGACACTTGAATTATCCGATAGTCAGAATGAGCGAGGGGTCCCGGACGAGGACCAGGAAAGGCGAACGAGGGCAAGGTGGAGCCGATACGATGATCGGAAGACACCAGAACACAGACGAGAGTGATCCGCGAGGCGAGCAGGAGGCACTGAAATCTTTCGCCCTACGTTTGGCGGCGACGATGAGGTCAATTCGAGTGGAGACATTCCCTGATTGGTGCCGGGCGGACTTAGTCAGCGGGTCGTGACAAGTCCAAGTACCTCGTCGCGCCATGTGATTTGCGTGGGGTCCAGGTACCAGTACTTCGACTACAAGTATGAGATTTCCCGATTTTTCGGGTGTTTTCATGGTTGAATGAATAGAGAGAATATAAAGGCTTGTATACGGGCATGGCCTGGAGGTTGAGATCTAAGATCCAGAAGAGTTTCAAAGTTAATCAACATTTGTGGGCTCCCCAATCAAGCGCTGGAACCCAGTCTGGATTTGCTGCCACAGCTCAGGCTGTGTTTGCACCAACTCCTCGACCTGCCCAGGTGCAGCCAGATCTTCCCTCATATGCGTTTCATTCGTGGTGCCATTCAACATGGTGACCTCCCCCAGTCCCATCACGAGTGTGTACAAGGCAGCTGCGGGAGTGATGTGAGCTTGGGCTGCGAGTTCCTGGACAGGCCCGGATCGGACAAGCTCTGGATTGGCGGACAGGGTCCAGAAACTCTGGTAGATAATCTGGTGCTCACGACAAAAAGCCCGCAAGGGGACATCAAACCGGGTGTCGAGATAAAATCGATTCTGCACCACTGCCGGTTTTACCTTTATGTGAGGTGATGTGGATAGCTCGTGGAGCACGGGTAGAGAACAATTGGAGATACCCAGGTTGCGGATGCGGTGGGGGACATATGTCTCCAGCGCCAACCAGGCTTCTAGATTTTGAGCCATGGTTGGGAGCGGCGAGTGGAGGACTAGAGTGTCGAGATAGGCATCATCCTCGGTGCCCGGGTCATTCGATGGTCGGAGATTGTGTAGAGATGCTCTGATAGAAGTGTGAACCTGCTCCGTTATGGATGCAGCGGGATCATACGGGATATTTTTCGGGTCCTGTGCCCTCACGGGACTAAACTTGGTTTGTATCTGGTCATGGTTCAGCGTGGTTCCCCATTGGCATTGAAGAATAGAAATGGGCTAGCCTCACGTATAGGTCTTCCCGGCGGACCATCCCATCGGCTATAGCTCGGCGGATCCCATCGCCCACAAGTGATTCTTGATAGTGACGAGGTTGGGCTGCTGTATCCACAGCCCGAAACCCAGCACTGAGTGCAGTGTAGACCAAGTCTGCACTGCGGTCTTTCTTCCACGCTGTGCCATAGATAAAGACAGGGATTGTGGAGACTGAGCCCTGGACAGGACGCAGGCAACGCTTTTCCCACATCTTGGTCATAATTCGAGACATGCCACGACTGAGATTGAAGAGTCACCTTGAACTGTCGTCGAGAGACCGCGGGGTTGATGTCATCTCCTGACTAAGTCACGTTCCCGCCCAGGTGTATGAACAGCACCTTTGCATATAGATACCTACTTCTCAGTGAATTCATCTCGAGTCTATTTGCTAAACAGAAATAGCTCTCTTGCTATGATTAGCCCCAGTACCAAGAGAATACTGGAGCCTGGAAATCAAGAGTCAATAGCGTGCATCTTGAAGTCACTTCGCTATATATAGCAAGTAGTAGATAAGGACAGTCGGCCGTCGGCAACATAGAGGGGGGTCGATATCCACTCTTTCACTATATGAATAATGTAAAGAACGTAGATATTGTAGATGTTTCCGCTCTTGGTCTTCTTTTTTCTCCATGATGTTGCCTGGCCCGAAGCATCAAATTAAACTAAAGCTGCAAAACTGCCGAGCCGAGTAATATCCGCCAATATACCCCACAGCGTGGCTTGGACATCTTTTAGTGACTTGGAGAATGAGATCAGGACTAAAAATCAAGTGAACGGGCCAATGGATGCTCTACAAGACTCCAACCGAGCATGGCGAGACTAAGGGTACAACACAGCCCCCTCTGCGTACCCTCGCTAGAGAAACAAAGCTGCAGAACCGCCAGTATCACCAGCCCGCGTGCAATTCAAAGCCTTGGCCAACTCTTGGCTGACTCGGGTATGATTCAGGCAGCTGCTTTTGCTTCATCAACATTGGTGATGCTCTCTGCCGATCAGTGGGGGCACCCGTCTCTCCATGAACGTCCCTTTGGCTTCAACACTAGAAGATTAGGGTCTACCCAAGGCTGAGCAGCCCAGCTGCCTTACCGAAGTGAAGACCCTACATGTCGGAGGATGCCGGCCGACGATCAATTCTGAAGCAGGAAAGCACTTGTCACAAAGCTGCTTGAATCGGCAGGGTAAAAATATATAAAGCCGCCCTCATTCTACCAGATCGGAATACACAGACATCAACTTCAATTGAGACTGAAAAATCAAATCCACTCCTCAAACATCTCCAACCATGCGTGTTCAGCAATTTTTCGCCGTTGCCGGCCTCCTCCTTGCCGGTAATGGGGTCATCGCCGCCAAGCTGGAGCGCGATGATGTCCCCAGACGCTGCTGGGAAGCCTGTGGTTCTGTGGTGGGAACCGCTAGCAGCTGCGATGCGCGACACGACAATGATTCTGCCGAGTTGAAGTGCATTTGCAACTGGGGTCCAGCTAAAACCCAGATCCCTCTTTGCGCTGCCTGCATCACACAGAGCAACCGGGATAATGACCGCGATCATGACCATGACCGTGACGACGACCATGATGATGACCGTGATAATGATCGTGACAACGATCGTGATTACGATGACGATAACGGTATGTTGCGACTGTCTGATGCAAATGGCCAACCACTGATACCGGAATCATCCCAGAGGCCCTTGATATCGTCCACTCTTGCTCTTTCAGCACGACCACGTACAATGCTGCAGCTGCCTCGAGCACGGGACCGTCATCCAGCGGCACTAGCCCGGCTTCGGACACGGCTTCCTCTACGAACTCTGCCAACTCCAGCGGGGGACAGGGCTCAGGCACCGCGTCGGGTTCTGCTTCCCCGGCCACTGCCACTGATGCTGGGGCGTGTCTGTCGGTGCCCTGGGTTGCATCCGTGGCTGCCGTGGTGGGACTGATGTCCTTTGCTTGGCTTTGAAGGCCGCTTGTTTGGCTCGAGAGTCTAAAGAGCAAGAGTGGTGTGTGTGTGGAGGGAATCTTTGTGTGATGGAATTTGATGAGATTCAACGACTTTATGCTTGATGATTGGTGATTGCCACATACACTGACTCTGTGTTTTTCCGTTCCTTACGATGTATCGAATGACAATACATCGCCAAAGATATGGAGAGAAATCGAAGCCATCATTCATCCGAACTCTGTGGCAATACCTCGGAGTATATAGAAAGGATAGAAAGGACATTAGACGAAAAGCCAAAAATAACCTGGAATTTAGGGTATCAACTCGAGGACAAGGTACATATATAACTGCCATGAACATAAACGTAGAAAGAACCTCATTCTTGCCGCAGAACCCCGTCATATAGGTCTTGATGTGTATTCACCAAATCATCCATGTCTGTTGGATGCTGATTCACGTCTGCCGAAGTCTGATTCACGTCTGTCGAATTCTCATTCACGTCGTCTAGACCCCCATTCATATCGACCGGATCTTGATTCAAATTTTGCGGATCCTCGAGACTGTCGCCTAGGTTTGGACCTTGCCCTTCTGGATCCTGAAGCTCGATTTCCAGTCCCGACCATACGTCCTCCCATTCAATCCCATATACATCACGGTAACATTGTTCCTTGCTCGGGCAACTGCAGACATCGTCAGTATGTACCTCCGAATTGCGATTCCTTTTAGTATAACTTACTTTAAGACCTCCTGCCCGAAGATAATATGCCATAGGTACTCAAAAACCCGTCCACTCGTGTCATCGTCCAGCTCCGTCTCCATGAGCCACCGGTGATATGCCTCGTAGTCGCTGCGAGGGCGTTGGAGCACCTGGCTTTTTGTCACGGCAAACTGTGCGCAGCAGGCAGTGCCCACCACTTCAGGGATGTTGGTATTATTGAAAATACGGATCCACGCTCCGGCAAACGCCAGCTCAGTGGTGCGTCCGGCCAGTTGTCGAAAGGGTTGGACCTCGTCGGGGCATCCCGGCTCCCACTGACAACGCAGATTCGCGTATCCGGCTTTGTCAACGTAGTCTAGCTGCAAACGCTGGACGGTAAGGACATTGTCCTGCTCGGGGAATTCGACATGACTGCCGAATTGATGCGCATGCAGAAAGACCATGTAATGAGGAAGCCGGTGATAGTTGTCTATAATGTACCGGAGATATGGGCTGCTTTCTTTGCCTTTGTTCCGTTCGACTTGTAGGGGCGCCTCGAAATCATCAACGACATAGACCGCATGTTGCCATCTAGAGTCACAAATCCCTTGTATTAGCATGATGGTTCTGTGATTCTATTCGGGAGATTGAGGACCACTCACTCCGGCAATTGCTCTTCGAGCCAGCTCGTGTCTTCATAGGACATCTGTCCCAATATAATGACGCGATCCGACTTTGGTGTGACCTTTGGACGAGGCGGGTGTTCTTCCCTATCAAACGCTCGCGAAGCAGCAGGTACTGGAATGGTCAATACCAGCGATTGTCCATTCTCTATAGGGTCGGTGAGAGGCTCAGGTGGTGAAGCGACAGTAGGTGACTGCCGCGACTGCGTAGATGGCTGCGTTGGTTCCGAGGTGGGCGTCGCAGTCGTAGTCGCAGTCCAAGCTGAAGCGCTTGTGACATCAGCAGTCTTCAACAGGACAACGACATCATCGACAGGGTCATTAGAGATCGAAACCAGCTCAATATGCGCGCCGCCGTTGGTGACCACGTAAGAGTCGCGAGCCGTCAGTTGACCGTGCGCGGGCCATTGCGATCTGAGCGAATTCAGATGCTTCTTCACCAGCAGAAGGGCGACCACCAAGATAATGGTCAGAGACACACGATAAGGCGTCTTCATTGTCCACCGTTGGGACCATCAGCGACCTCAAAACCCCCCCAGATATTGCATGGCCACAGCCAACTCCGCGCGGCTCCGGAGGGGGTAAGCCAGAACTTAAGTGAAGTGACGGACGGCCGCGCCTTGTGGGTCCCACGCTTATCCGGTTTTTTTTTTTTTTTTCTCTTATTTGAGGTCGTCGTCAGCATCATGACGTTCACGGGGCACGGGGTCAGTTCTTCACGCAGCCGACATACGAACATATTTGATTCATAGTAGAAAGATGGGCTTGCAAATCCCACATCTTGGATCTTTCCAACACCGTCCTAAGATGCTAACCGGGGGCCGTGATTATGGGAGAGTCGGGGGATGTGGGTCCTGGGACAAGAAATGCTGGCCCTTCCACATCCTGATGGGGGCGTATCAAGACATCTTTCATTTCTGGTTGATTTCAGGCGCATCAATTTTTTAACCATAATCATAAGAATAATAAGATCAATTATCCCAGTGATATTTGAAGGATTTAATTTATATTTCATATCTGTGCTTGCAATAAGCGTCACACTGGGTTCCCATGCGGATTCTATTGTAGTCCACCTGGACAGCTTCTGGAATTTCGATCTCTTGCATAGATCGTGCCTGGAAATTGGAGAATTGGCGTTGCCATTGCATGTCAGATTGCTTAAATTCAAGCATTCCATAATTTAGATTTATAGTTGTCCATTTACCAAGGAATGTCGATGGTCTGTGAAAGACACTTCTCACCTAGACTAGGATGACTATGTGAAGACGAAGCAGCACGTAGGCTGAAATCCCAGGAATATAGGAATCCTAGAAATAGGAAAAAAATAATTGAAAGGATCTAATTGTTCCAGTACCAAATAATTTCATGTTTTCACCATATGGGATTTCCGGGGTTTCTTAGTTCTCTCTCAACGTCTCCAAATCCCCCAATATATGACGTATGGGGCTAATTAGACGAACACCTCCAGGTGATACAGGCTGTAGGGTTGGAGAAGCCCAAGTATATTTGCCAATATTATATGGAATTTTTTTTAGAGGATTTCAGCCTCCATGAATCGTCGCGACTCAGGTGCGGACGATCATGTTCTCGGTATATTACTGGCCAAGACAGTACATAGATGGGTGCCTATTATCTCCATTTTGCTTGAGCAAGCTGAGCCAGAAAGCTCTGTTGACCTTGACCATTCTTTCATGCTCAATGATTGCAGCGAATGAACTGAGGGGCGTGGCGAAAGAAGAGGTGTTAGGCGGATGCTTAGATCGCGGCCTATGTATAATCACGTTGTGAAGACTCTTAAGGAGGCTACACCCTCGAATGCGTGGAACAGGACTCAAGTGCCTGGCTCTGCCATACTGGTATCTCTTAAAGATATCAGCTGGCCGGAAGGGTGTAACCAAGGACACATGGACCGATTACTCGGGGTTTACATGGTCGATCGCGAGAGAGGTACTCCCGTTCTAAAGGGTTTCCGTCCGATGTGTCTACAACTGCAAGACTCGAGCCTGCACATGATCTGACCATCATGCCGCAGTGAGAGTACGAGTGTAGACACTGGAAATTCGAAAGAACTCACAGTCATCGCCGTGCAAAGACCACAACCCCATCTCAAGGTCACGCGCCACCGAGTCTTTTCCGTTGCCAAGAGTGGCAACGTCCTGTATCCGGTCAAATGAAAGCAAAGGAAGAAAAGAAAAGCAAAAGGATCCTGATTATGGTCATGGAAACAGAGCCGGCGCTTCCAGGCTCCACCGGGGGTTGACCATTGGGACTTGACGTTTCCACTAGAGGGTTCCAACAACCCTCTTAGCGGGTTCTAGCTGGGATTCGGGGGCCCTTCCTAGCTATTCCGCGCAGCCACTAGCCAGGGGGGTATGCGCGGATCGTGGAGGCCAGGATGGTTCACGGTCGAGTGGGACAGTCTGGCATACGCATCGACACGATGCACTGTCAATCAGTGGGAAATATCGATGGGGCACAGGGAGAGGCCCGTCCCGCCGGGGCCGAAGAATTCCAATTATTGGGGGGGGGGAGTTGGTGAGGGCGTCCATCAGGAAAGGAGGTGGAGTCTGTATCCAAGTTAGCATAATTAGCCCAGAACGTGAGTAATGGAGCCGGTGTGTCACATCCGTTGAGCACGAGGCACGAACTGTTGGACTGATCAGATGTCACCGAAAAGAAGAAAAGAAAAAGAAAAACGATCTCGTGCGAGTGAAAAAAAAAAACAAAACCTTCAAAAGTACTCCGTACATCCAAGTCTTCTTTTTCTTTTCAGGGGGCTCTCCACACCCAAGCGGAGCCCCTAAACCCATCGAGCCTAAGGAAAAGAAAAAGAAAAAAAAAAAAGGACGCTCAAGAGATCACTAGGGAGGAAAAAAAAAAAGAAGGATGGACAGGGGAGCCGACCGCTGGGGCATCGGCGCTGATTCGGCAAGGCACCCGCTTCTCCCTAACTCAGGGGCCGATCTTCATGGATTTTATGAGGGGAGAAAGGGGGTTGGAAAGAAAATGAAAAGTTCTGGATGTTGTCAACTCTGGAACTGGTGTGCTTAAGCATTGGAGGCTATACTTATAACCATGGAGATCCATGGTTATACTTGTCAACATATTCCAAGCACAGGAAGAGACGAGAAACTTGCAATTCCCGAATACTCCTGGTACTCCTGGATAAATGGAATATTCTATATTATAGTAATAGAGTAATATCACAATACTAGTACGCACCATTCTGGTTGGTAATAAATACCCGTGGATGAGTATTACTAGAAGCCACCGAAATGGCTATAAGTACACATCGCTCCTCTGACAGTCCAACACCCTTGATTTTGTTCCATCCTATATTTTATGTTCTATATCCGATATCCTTCTAGGTATACCCTCGATTTGCATACTTCAATTCCTGTGTCCAGCTTATCGCACCTCCTTACTCCCGTGGTCTTGGCGGGGAGTGGACCGGCTCTCTTGCGCTTTCCTCGCATCTCCAAAATCCTTTTCTTCTTCTCCCCCGCTTCTCTCTCTGTCTCGCTTCCTCACTTTCTCTCGCTTTCTCTTCTCTCTTTTTTTTTCTGCTATCTTCTCTTCTCCCTCCACTCCATCTGTGTCTTGGGACTCGAGGTTTCTCGGAGGGGAAGTTTGGATCTGAAGATCAAAAGAAAAAAAGAAAAAAAGAGAACCCCCCTTTCTTCATGACTCGAGCACGACGTGAACTGCATGAGCGATTTGTCTGATTTCTCGATCATTTGGTTGTTTGGATTGTGAATCCCTTCTCTTTCACTCGAGTGTCTGGTTCCTGTACGCCAGGAACTTGGGATTCGGTTTATTTTCTTATTTTTCGCCCCGTCCACACCCGCACAATCCCGTTCCCCTCCAACCTCTTCCCCCCGTTGTGCGGTCGCTCTGATGTTCGAGTAGTCCCGGATCAAACATCGGGATTATCTTTTTCGACCTGGATTGTTTGGTGGATTTTTTTTTCGTGCCCACATTCCTCGGGTCCTCGCCTAGGAATTTTCAGCCATGAGTTATCAACAATCGGACATGTATCACGATTCCTCCGCGCGTTCCCCCGGCTCCCAGCGGCATCAACAACCCCTACATCGTCAACCTTCACGCCAGTTTGACGCTTACGGTCCCATGCCTGTCAATCTGTACGAGGATCAGATGGCCCGCTACGAGTCGGCCCGACTGGAGCGGTTGAACCCGTCGCTGCAGAACAACTCGTACGGCTATGATCTGTCAGGCTCGCAGACGTGGAATCCGAATGGATTTGCCAACGCACAAACACTGGGTGGCATTCGATCGGCCTCGGCCAGTTTGAAGCCGGCCGCTCGCGGAAGGACTGGCCTGCCCACGGTATGTTTGACTGAGATGACCTAGAGAAAATCAGAACCAAAACAACAACAAAAAAAAAAAGAAAAGGAAAAGAAGAAGACATAGCTGACCCCTTTGTGCACAAAATAGACCTGGCTCGATCAGCAGCCCGGCATGCCTAACACCTTCTCCAACCTGGGCCCCGGAGGACTTCAAAGTGCCGCGATGCGACCGGAACCATCGGCTTCGTCTGAAGCCGATGACGAACTCATCCCGACTGCGATCGTGATCAAGAACATCCCCTTTGCTGTGAAGAAGGAGCAGCTGGTGCAGTTGATGACAGAGTTGAACCTCCCCCTGCCTTACGCCTTCAACTACCACTTCGACAACGGCGTGTTCCGTGGTCTGGCCTTTGCCAACTTCACCTCGGCGGAGGAGACGGCCACAGTGATTGAGGTTCTGAACCACTTTGAACTGCAAGGCCGGAAACTGCGGGTCGAGTACAAGAAGATGCTGCCGCTTCAGGAACGCGAACGCATCGAGCGTGAAAAGCGAGAGCGTCGGGGCCAGCTGGAAGAACAGCACCGCCCCATGCCATCCTCTCAGCTTCACACGCAGAGTTCCATGTCCTCATTGACTTCGCATATCCCTGCAACCTCTCCGTCGCCCGTATCCCAGCGCGGTCAGAAGCTTGGTAGGTTTTTATGAAAACAAACACACCTGAACACGCGATGCTAATATATTCCCTCTATCTACAGATGTGGATTTGAACGACACCACGACCCTCCAGTACTATTCGCAGCTCTTGTTGTTCAAGGAAGATACTGGTCGCGATTCGGTGATTTTCCCTCCCAACCTGACTCCGTCCCACCGCCGCACGGTCCACACTCTGGCCCACAACATGGGCCTTGCTCATGCCTCTCGTGGCAGCGGCGAGCAACGCCAGGTCCAGGTGTTCAAGGTGGCCGCGGGCACCAATGTGAGCCCGCCCCTGTCGTCCATCCCGCCCGCGGGCCAGTCGGACAGCTCTCGTCGTGGCCTGAACCGTGCCGCCACCATCGACTTTAGCGAGGCTCGCAATGAGGGAGGGCCCGGTGCCTTGAACACTCTCCGTGGGCAGAACTCCGGCTTCCTTGGCGTCTTGGACTCGCCGAGCAACTTTGCCAATACCCAAAACCTGCGGGCGGCTAAGTCGTTCGCGGATCTCCGCTCCTACACCCCATCGCCCGTTCCCTCGTCCGCCAGCTTCCCGGCCGCTCTGCAGTCCAATGGAACGCGGTTACAGTACGAGGGTGCACCGACTGGAAGCTCCAACACCCCCACTCTCACCTCGGCGCCCTCTGGGTCCTCTCTCGGCGTGCAGCGTGATGACAACCTGCTGGTCAACAGCCTGGGTGGACTGTCGTTGGGCACGGGCATTGGCGGCCCAAACTCGAGCCCTCGTCGCTTGAGGGGCATGTTCTCTTGGGACCAGGACACTCAGCCCTCAACTGCAGGAACTATCGGTAGCAACCGTGGTATGGGAGTGGGATATGATACCCCGCAGCAAGAGCGCATGCCGATGCGCCAGCCCCGCGGCCCGACCCCTGAGAAAGGCCCCGGTTTTCGCCGCCAAAATGGCCACCAACCGCGTGGGAGTGATGAGCTTCGCACGAGTTCCGGAGTCGAGATTATTGTGGAGTAGGCCACAGAGAAGCGATTGACGATGGCGATCCCCCCACCTTTTTGCTTTTGCCAGCATCCGACTGATTTGCCGCGAGATGAATACCACTTGTATCACGAGGCCCACCCTTTGGGAATTACCGGCTTACGATTCGATGAGGGATGACGAGATGACACCAACAACCAAAAAAAAAAGAAGAAAAAAAATAAAGACCAGAAAATCCTTTTTACCGCTGATCTGGCCACGCTTTAGACGTTTCTTTTTGGGGCAGCCCACACCACCCAACGCGCTTTGGATGTACGCTTTTTTGAATTTCCCGAGTCGCCACAGTTCCCGCTCAATAAACCCCTGGCCTTTTGAATCTTGTTTGATACTTACGGGTGCCTTGCATGCAAGACCCTGGCTTTCCCTGTGTTCCACCTATGCCATTTTTTTTTTGTGGCCGAGGGGGACTTGACGACCCGACTATGCCGCTTGGTGAAACGCGATGCATACAACGAATGACGCCCAAAAAGACCTTTGCCGATGGCAGAAGAAACGACAATACCAGCATTTGCATATTCTTGTCTGTTTTAGTTTTGTACATGGGGTGACTCGCATCTGTTTAATGTTTCTGGCCCTATCTTTACCTCTTGACGCCGTATCCCCTAATTGCTTTTCGGGACAACTCCTGTTTGGCCGGGCGTGGTGATTTTTTCTTGTTTGGTCTCTTCCCCCCTCTTCTCTCTTTTTCAATATGCAGTGGCAATCTTTTTTTTTCCTTCTCTCTTCATTTCTTCACCTTTTACTTTCTGCGTGGATGTGACTTCCTCTTGGACCTCGTCGAGTATACCCAGATCTATATGAGTCCGCACTCGCTACTGACCTGGGCCTTGGTCTCGCTCGAGGAGCCATGGTGGTTTCCCCCCCCCCCCCTCTTTGCTATTTCCGCGGTCCAGGGCATTTTGATGTACTCAGATTTGGACAATGTACCTTTGACTGTTTCCTGATAGGGTTTGTGCTGAGTGAGACGCCACCGTATAGCCGGTCATCTAGAGTGTCTAGCCCTGGGTCATCGCCCGTAGTATGTCTCTCGGGAAATTGAAATCGCAGAAATAACTCAAACATTGCTGACGATTGCGCCAGTGTTCTCACGAGCGCAGGAAAATTCCGCCAAGGCCACATTGCGCAGATCTTTGTTTATTATTCTGGGCCTCCGTTCCTCCGAGGTATGCAGGTCCCTGTCGATCCCCCGTGCGCCCAGAGCCGCGAACTTTGTTCGGGGGGGTATCTTTCAAGAGGGAGTTCATAGGTCTAGTGCAAGTATGAGTTGAAAACTGTACTTACTCTATAGATCAATCCAGAGACTCAAGATAGACACATGGACAGCACTGAAAAGATAGCTTTACAAGTCGAAGCAGAAATAGCATTTCCCACACTACCAGGATATCCCCATTTTCCCATTACAGCGCCCTGTGAACTAGACATGAACATGGAAAGCAGACAAGAAAACAATCAAAGACCGGGGAATAGACAGAAAAGACAAAGAGAAAAGAAAATACATCAGAGGAGAGCGCCGTCAAGAACAAATGACAAAGATCGCGAGAGATAGTCCGATTACTCGGGCTGAATCGCAGATCGGGTCTAGAACTCGGGCTTGCCCTTCTTCTTCTGCTCGACCTTGAGCAACAGTGCACGGTTGATGCGCGGCAGGACACCACCGAACGCAATGGTGGCGCGGATGAGGGTGTCCAGCTCTTCGTCACCACGGATGGCGAGCTGCAAGTGTCGGGGCGTGATACGCTTGACCTTCAGGTCCTTGGCAGCGTTGCCTGCCAACTCTAGCACTTCGGCGGTCAGGTACTCGAGGACGGCCGTCACGTAGACCGCGGCTGCGGAAACTTATCAGCACTACTCGAATAGGCACGAGGACGAAGCGAGAAATGACTTACCCTTAGCACCAACACGCATCTTGTTTTGGGTGTTGTTCTTCAAGAAACGCTTGACACGACCACAGGGGAACTAAAGGACGCGAGGTGAGGTTAGCGGGGGGGTTGTTTGGGGCCAGGGGGTGAGCCGGCGATTCAGAAGGACCATGGTCAACAGTCAAGACGTGCGACCGGGCAACGCCACGCCTGCGAGTCCTGGAGCGACGAGGCCCCTATTGACCAGCGACAGGAAGCCAAGTCGACGCGTCGGCCGGTTTCCATCGGACATCGCATTGCGAGGATCTCATCTGTGCCATGCTTCCGAACCCACCGAGAGAGGGCCAACTGACCTGCAGACCAGCCTTTGCACTGTGAGACTTCTGGGCCTTCCCCGCAGCGTCGCCCTTCCCGCCCTTTCCACCGATAGACTTTCCCTTTCCACCAGGCATTGTGAAATAATTGTCCGAGAAGAGTCGCGAAGATGAATCAACCGCGTCAGAGACAAATCAAAGGTGATCTGACACGCGGGGGGATGAGAAGGCGATTCAGAAAGCGGGAGGCACGCGCGTTGTTGATGGATGGAGGAGGCAGAAATGTCCAAGCCTTCCGGGTCGCTTAAGACGGCCTGGCGCTAGTCCCAATGCGGTAACCAACCCAAGGTGTGCTTGTCAGTTCACCCAGTCAACGGTGCCCTGGTGAAGTCCAAGGAGAGGGTCAAAGTTGTCATTTTCAGTAAGACTCAAGAGGCTATCAGCTGGGACTTTCCAAAGATCCAGCTTCGGAAAGCCAAGGAGCATGGGAGGAGATAATACCACTGCGGGAGCGCGCGGCAATCTTCATCCTCATAGTCTCTCTGAATGACACTCCGCTCCGGAGTGAGTGAGTCCCCAATGTTATCGGTTCCACAGCCATGGTCCAGTCTCCTGTGTTCCGGGAAAATGGTGGTGCAATCGTCGATGCAAGTTCCAGTCGGGTTTGGTGATGAGGTGCAGCGGGGGCTCGTGGTCATGTGACCACGACCCCGAGATGTCGGCTCAATGGTTATTCCGGTAGAAAGCCAGGTGGCCCGCGACCCTCGACTTTTCAAATTGTATCGTTATCCCCCCCCCCCCGGGCAGTCTTTCCATCCTCCCCTGTATCAGGTCCTTTGTCAACCGGAAATATGGTGTCTCCTCAAGTGTAAGTCACCTCGATTCTGTTGTTGTATTGTGTTTTTTTTTTCTCGCCCGGAATACACCTCTACGCGGTCTACTAGCTGGTCACGCGCTGACATTGCATAGAACCAACCTAGCCATCATCTTGGTGATGATGCAGCTGGCTAAGAAGATTCCCTTCGATGACCCCAATGTCCTGCTCATGGTACGCGGCATGTACATCTTGTCGAACGTGATCATCCTGGCCGTGTACCTGTACACACAGTCGAAGATCAACCAGAAAAAGGGTAGGTGTCATGCCATCATGTGAAAGAGGTGTCTAGTTGTGTTAATATTCTTGTCTCTTCAGATATGACGACACTGAAATATGTCGAGCCCGCTCCCATGGGCAGTGGCGAGGAGCCCCGTCCCGTCACCACGACCAACATGGATTACGACAAGTCGCAGCTGCGCCAGTTGATCCGCAGCCAGCTCATGGGTGTGGGCATGATGGGTGTGATGCACGTGTACTTCAAGTACACCAACCCGCTGCTTATCCAATCGATCATCCCCCTGAAGGGCGCGTTCGAGTCCAACCTGGTCAAGATCCACCTGTTCGGCAAGCCGGCGACCGGTGATTTGCAGCGGCCCTTCAAGGCCCAGGGCGGCTTGATGTCTCAGGGTCAGCCCAAGAGCGATAAGGCGTCGATCGAGAGTGCCGAGAAGAATTGGCGAGGCGGTGTCAAGGAGGAGTAAAAGGAGGCGGGTCCATCCTGCGCGCCCATCTTCGGAAAGCATACCATCAGTGTGAACACGAGTTGGAACCCATAGAGAGATGCATGGCGAAGCCTGCTGTTTTTTTTTTTTTTTTTTTCTTCTTCTTTTGAATGGACTGTATTATAAATCAAACTTGCTTTCAAACCCATAAATCCATGGATCCATGACCGTACTGGACTGTGTTGATATTGCCCGGTAATTGTTCCATGCTGTGTCACTGCAGGATATATTCCATGCAGACCTTGGGGGTAGCAGGCAACGTCACATGGAGACCAGCGCCACGGTGGCTGGGCGTTATCAGTTGCCCGATGCCCCGATGGCCGTGGGTGGATTGATAATCCAATTGGCAATAATATAAAAATAATATAATATAATATAATATAAAGAAATACAAATATAAAGATATAATAAATAATAAATCAATAAATAATAAATAATAAAAATCTGCTGGTCCCGTGCCAGCTCTCTCGGTGACTGTTTCCGGGCTGTTCGCTGTCTTTACTCGATCGGTCCACCGCAGGCCAAGACGGCCAGGTTCGAGGGATTATTGAGTGATTGAATGATTGCATTCAATGTATTTATTTTATATTTCATTTTATATTTTTATATTCTAAATCTTATTTTATTTGCTGTCCTATGTACCGTCCTACCGCCCCCAATTCGTGGTATGTGCCCCTCCAGTCGTGGCATCATTACCTTTCTTTTTTTACCCCTCCATGCTCCGTCATACCCCGGCCCGGGTCCCTCCATAGACACCCTTCTACCTCGGGGTCTTCCGTAGATTATCGTGTGCTTCCCGAACCCCGAATTGTTAGGCAAAAAATATTCTCGAGCTCCGAGGCAATCCAACTTAAAAAGGACCCAGTGTCGGATCATCGTCAGCTTATTGGCAGAACGGGAGCTACCGAGGGGTAGAAAGAAGGCCAAATATCGTGACTCTTCCTGCTTTGCCCGGTGTATGAAACCGGAAATGGGGGGAATACATTCTGGGGCAAAGAGAGCTGCTCGGTGTGTGAGCGGTCCGTTGCGTCAGTCGCCCCTTCATTACTTCTTCCCCTCCCCCGCCAGTTTCTTCTTCTTCTTCTTCTTCTTCTTCTCTTCTCCATCTCTCTTGATTTCTTTCTTTCTACCATCCACTCAACTCTCCTGTGAGCTTCTTCTCCCCCCCTTCTACTTCACTTGTGGACTGGCCTAACCCCACACTCTTCGCTAGATCACTACCGCAATCATGGTCCCCAAGGTCGGCATCAACGGTTTCGGTCGTATTGGCCGCATTGTAAGTCTGCCCACATCCATGATACCTCCATCTTCTTCTATGATAACTAACCAGTGTCATAGGTCTTCCGCAATGCGTAAGTGAAAAAAAAGGGTCAAATCTGTGGAACCCCTCCATCTAACAATTTTTTTTTGTTTCAGCATCAACCACGGCGGTGTTGACGTTGTCGCTGTCAACGACCCCTTCATCGAGGTTCACTACGCTGTACGTGACTCTGGTCCATGGTCTATTTGTACCTATCTGCGACATCAGTACTAATCCCCATGACAATCCACAGGCCTACATGCTCAAGTATGACAGCACCCACGGCCAGTTCAAGGGTACCATCGAGGTCGATGGCACCAACGGCCTGATCGTCAACGGCAAGAAGATCCGCTTCTTCGCCGAGCGTGACCCCGCTCAGATCCCCTGGGCCGAGGCTGGCGCCGCCTACATCGTCGAGTCCACCGGTGTCTTCACCACCACCGACAAGGCCTCTGCCCACTTGAAGGGTGGTGCCAAGAAGGTCGTCATCTCCGCCCCCTCGGCCGATGCCCCCATGTTCGTCATGGGTGTCAACAACGACTCCTACAAGACCGACGTCAACGTCCTCTCCAACGCCTCGTGCACCACCAACTGCCTGGCTCCCCTCGCCAAAGTGGTCAACGACAACTTCGGTCTCGTTGAGGGTCTGATGACCACCGTCCACTCCTACACCGCCACCCAGAAGACCGTCGACGCTCCCTCGGCCAAGGACTGGCGTGGTGGCCGCACTGCGGCCCAGAACATCATCCCCAGCTCCACCGGTGCCGCCAAGGCCGTCGGCAAGGTCATCCCTGCCCTGAACGGCAAGCTGACCGGCATGGCCATGCGTGTGCCCACCTCCAACGTTTCCGTTGTTGACCTGACCTGCCGCATCGAGAAGGCCGCCTCCTACGACGAGATCAAGAAGGTCATCAAGGCCGCCTCCGAGAACGAGCTCAAGGGTAAGTCATGAGTACAGATCCCACTTAAATGTACTCTTTTCGTTGACTGGTTTTAGGTATCCTGGGCTACACCGAGGACGACATTGTCTCCACTGACCTCAACGGTGACGACAACTCCTCCATTTTCGATGCCAAGGCTGGTATCGCCCTGAACTCCAACTTCATCAAGCTTGTCTCCTGGTACGACAATGAGTGGGGCTACTCCCACCGTGTTGTTGACCTCATTGGTAAGTCATTCGCATTTCCTCTTGTCTTTTTTAAGACATTCCACTGACTGTCTTTTCCAGCCTACATCGCCAAGGTCGATGGCCAGTAGGAATCAGGACAGCGTCCTGGGGTCAGGAGTGTTCTTTGAGGTGCTCAGCCCTTGATGTGGTCTTGACAATGCATGTGCCGCAAGGAGCCGTGTCACCTTGTAGACAAAAAAACCAGATAACGTCATTTTAATGAAACGATACACTTTCTGTTAAGAACTTTTTCAAAAATATGGTCAATGTGTTTTCCCAGGCAATTGTGTTCCTGGCTCACAACCACATCTATGGATCTGAAACATCGGGCTCGGCTTTGCTGCCTGCAGATATGCCGCATATACACTCTGAATCTCATCTAATGGAAAAATTTGTGATGAAATAAATATCCATTACCCTTTCCCTAATTGTTTCCCTACTAAATCTATTTTCTAATTACAAGTGGTCAGTATCTAGCAGATCTACAACAAACCTGTAGATATCATATTTGCAGTGCTTAACCAGGAATTCTCCTCAATGATCACTTAACCAGCATCAAGGATGCTATTCTCTAAATATCTTTTGATCAAGCACACTCAGCAAATCTACTTAGGTATGTGCTAGTCGATAAGCCCACTATAAGATGGAATCTTTTGAATCAGCCCCACTACCGTGCAGACCGCCCTATATACTGCACCGCATTAGACTCCATATAGAAGGCGGTATAGAACACGGTGGAGGAGGCAATGTCCGGCAGTAAGAAAGACTGGCCCAAAAGGGATCCAGCGTGCACATCGTTGAATCCCCCATTATCACTTGAACTGTTCCTACACCCTCGTGCAGCTACGGGTACACCCACATAATCAAACCCAGGTCAGGTGTATATTGGTTAGTTGTCCTCAACTTACTACAAATAGAGTCTCACCAGTGAAAACAGGCTGCTCCACAGGCACCGAGTCTCGGCCGCGCGGTACCAGCCAGGGCTTGGTTATATACCCGTTTCAGGGTAGCCACTGGAGACATCTCAAGCTAGACATTGGACATTCTGTGGCTCTTTTGCCCATGAATTTCTTTTTGAGCATATCCTGAGTATTCTATCTGTCCAATTGGCTCACCCATGCGACAGTTGTGAGAGTGATCAAAAGACATTGACCCAGCGCAAATCTTGTCATGAGACATTAAGCTGCAATCGCTTTACCTTAAATTAAGTGGGCTAGCTTGTCTGCCTATGCGACTCAGTGCCATGGAAACAGACGAGGACACTGTTATGGGGGACCCCCAGAAGCGCCCTTCTCTTCCTTCCCACCCTTCTCTTAACCATCTTCCCCCCCCTACCCATCTCTCTTCCAGTGCAGATCCTGCTTTGGCACCATCTGCCCTTTCACAGAATTTACCTGCATCTCCCTCCCCTGGTTCCGAGACACCACAGACCTCAGACTCGATTGGCCCAGACGGAATGCCTCGACGCCGTCGCCGAGGTAGCAGCCGGGGCAATGTGGCTGCCCGGGCCTATGGTCCTGCTGAAAGCCTGCCTGTCAGGCGGGATAGTCTTTTGGAGCCAAATTCAGACTGGTCTGACGATGAGAAAGTGAAGGCCAAAGCCGGCCTTCCGGTTGGCTCACTTCCCACGGGCTACTGCTATGATCCGCGGATGCGGTATCATTGTGAGGTCCGCCCCACCGCAGATGTACACCCTGAGGATCCCAGACGCATCTACTACATCTTCAAAGAATTCTGTCTCGCTGGCCTTGTGAATCACCCCGAGGCTACTCATCCGTTGGCTCCCCAGACAATGGTGCGGATCCACGCCCGTGATGCCACCGAGGAAGAGATTGTTCTTGTCCACACCGAAGCTCATTATGCATTTGTCCAGAGCACCAAAGGTATGATTGATTTGACACTTCTCGGCTCTTACAAAAACAAAGTAACACTGACTTGGAAGTCTAGATATGAGTGATGGCCAGCTGGTGGATTTGGAGCACAACCGTGATTCTATCTACTTCAACAAACTTACATTTGCGTCTTCCCTCTTGTCTGCTGGAGGCGCCATCGAGACTTGCAAAGCCGTCGCCCAGCGCAAGGTGAAGAATGCAATTGCTGTTGTTCGCCCTCCTGGTCATCATGCCGAGTACAACAAGACCATGGGATTCTGCCTGTTTAACAATGTGTCAGTTGCCGCACGGGTTTGCCAGAAGGAGCCGAACTGCCGCAAGATTATGATTCTGGACTGGTATGTGCACCATCGATGGGCTTTGATACTTCCATACTGACTTTGGGCTAGGGACGTTCATCATGGTATGCTCGACCTATCCGTGCCAAATACTTTGGACAGACAAACTCACGCATTACAGGCAACGGCATCCAGAAGGCGTTTTACAATGACCCCAACGTCCTCTACATTTCCATTCATGTTCACCAAAACGGCAAGTTTTATCCCGGAGGCGACGAAGGAGATTGGGACCACTGTGGTGAGGGCCCTGGACTCGGAAAGTAGGTATTGGGGTAATTTCTTTGATGCCATTGAGATCTCACTGACGTTTGGGTAGGAACATCAACATCCCTTGGCCTGATCAAGGCATGGGCGATGGAGACTATATGTTCGCTTTCCAGCAAGTTGTGATGCCCATTGCTCAGGAATTCGACCCTGATATGGTGATTGGTTGGTACAAACACCGCGTGTGCTCATTTCAAGCGCTGACAGAGACCTAGTTGCGGCTGGATTTGACGCCGCTGCCGGGGATGTACTAGGCGGCTGCTTCGTCTCCCCTCCATGCTATGCTCAAATGACCCACATGCTCATGACTCTGGCCAACGGCAAAGTTGCAATCTGCTTGGAGGTTGGTTGCTGTCTCTCCCCTTGCGATTGAAAATTATTAACATCACGGGGAATATCACAGGGAGGCTACAATTTCCGATCGATTTCCAAGTCGGCTTTGGCAGTGGCCAAGACTCTGATGGGAGAACCGCCCGAACGTTTGCTGGTTACCTCCGCCACTGAGCATGCCATTGGAACTGTCCGCCAGGTGGCGGCAATCCAATCCCAGTACTGGCGTTGCATGTTCCCCAAGGCACCCGCGCATTCCGTTTGGGCCGACCGACTTCATGGTAAGTGTTCTAGTAGGGATGAATCACCTTAATGGGACTGACCATCCTGGTAGATATCCTTCGCACATACCAGAGCAAGCAACTCTATGACAAACACAAACTCACCCCGCTGTACATCTACCGCACGGGTATTTCCAAGTCGTTTGAGAACCAGGTTCTGGCAAGGTAAGTCCTGGAAATGAACACCATATAGGCTATGGATGTTGAAAGCTCACTGTGCCTTCAGCCCCAATTATTACCAGAAAGTGCCGTTGGTTGTTATCTTCCATGACCCGTAGGTACCCCCGCAGCCACTTGGAAGCACCGGCTGACCTGACCCTCTTTAGTCCCGAGATCATGTCCCAGCCTCATCCAGTGACCAACCGGCTGGAAGCTCATAACACCTGGATGGTAAGTTGACTACTCGCTCTTTAATTGAATTCATGCTCATGTATGATCCAGGCCGATGTGCAGCGAGAGTACATCGCATGGATTGTGAGCAAAGGCTACGGCGTAATCGACGTGAACATTCCCAAGCACGTTACCAAGGAGCCGGTAAGTGTTGTGTTGAACGCCAGACTCCTTTCTCTGGGGTTTCTGACTGGAATCGATCTAGGCTTCCGGGAAATATGAAAAAGAAGATGAGGATCGTCCCTCTGCCACCGAAGAGCTGGCAAGCTATCTGTGGGACAACTACATTGAGTGAGTCATGAATCCAGCCCCAAGACACAATAGCAGGAACTTGTGTGCTAACGCATTTTGACAGACCCAACGACACCGGCCCTGTCTTCTTCGTGGGCATCGGCAACGCCTTTTTCGGAGTGGCCAATCTTTTGATGAACAGAGGTACGGTTCAGGCCAGCCATCGAAACCAGTGAGCTTCAACTAATCCAAGTAAAGAGGGACTGTACAAGCACATCAACGGGGTCATCTCCTTTGTGGCAGAGACTCCAGTCCGCGCGATCGCGTCGCACACTCAGACCTGGTTGTCGAAATGGTACCGCGAAGTAAGTTGCTCCCTACTGGTAGTCCAACGAGAGAGAAGAAAAGGGGGGGGGGGGGGGTGCTCACATTGTTCTCACAGAATTCCCTGGTTTTCGTATCGAGCACCCACGGCCTGTGGGTGAACACGGAACGAAAGCAGCACCTTCGGCGCTATGGCGGGCTGGTGAAGTCGCCCAGCTCCGGATTGAGTGAGATGATGGCGCAGCACAAGGATCGTGTCTTTGACTGGCTTGCCGAGCGTGCCGATGCTGAGCCCGAGGAAGAAGAAGAAGAAGAAGACGCCGACAAGGATACTGCGATGAAGGACTAAGGAGGAATATCTGCGAAGGAAAGGCGCTCCTTCTAGAGGCCACACGACGCTATGCCACTGCTACTCGATGTTTGATTTGATTTATCTTTCAACATTTCATTTGTGATTCTCAATTTTTTTCTTCTTCTTTTTGCTATCGCAGAGAGGCGTTAGGCAAGATCCCCAGAGGAATTGCACCATGGTTCACCTTGGATAAAAATAGGGTGGCGTTGCGTACGCTTGAGGACTTTGATGATCCTTCGCCAAGGTCCCTTTGTTCTTCTCTCGTATCTTCCCCATGGCTCGCCTGTGAATCGATGAACCATTTGAGGTTTATTCCGAGTTGTTGACCGTCCTAGATGCAATCCCCCGATCGTGAGCTCGCCCTCATTGCTACAGCGCCAAGGGTCTGATCTGGCGGTGAGCTGTCCGCAGAGAAAGAGAAACAAGAACTAGTGCTAGGCGTCTAGTGTCTATCTCGACTGCGACTTCGATGGAGCATGCTGTTGAGAAATGTAACCGTGTCTCACCCCAGAGTCGGGCTCCCGAAGCCACCCGTGGATCCGCTCAGCCCATGAGAACCCGCATTCTCCCTTGGCGTGCATCATCCATATCCGACTCAACGCCCTTGGAAACTAGCCCAATTGTTTCCCATTTCCGGTTCACCTTTTCTTCTCTCTCGTATCGGTGTGTGCCTTGGGAATGCGGGGGTCTGCACCGTGGGAAGGCGATGGTTCGTTCCCGTGATGGTCGGCCTGACCACGTCTCGTTCGTCTAGTCGGATATGTCTGTCGCGGATGCATCGAAGAAACGAAAACCAAGCGGGGGTGGCGATGATTCACCAGAAACCTGTACTAATTTTAGGGACTTCTCGATGTCTCCATGAATGCCAGACCCTACCTCTGCGAATTCATCCTCGATGCACTCACTGGAGGGAAAAATCTATATAAGGAGCCTGGAGTCCTGGTCAACACTCGACTTATTTTCCAGATTTCAGTTCCTTCACAACTAAACATTTGATCATTTAAAAATATCTTCATCTTCATTTCCAAGAACCACTCGACTTCAACCCATTCCTCCAAACACAATGCACTTCACCACTGTCATCGCCTCGCTCGCTGCCCTGGCTCCTCTGGCCAGCGCCGTCGGCAACGCCAAAGTGCAGAACCACTGCAAAGATCCCGTCTACCTCTGGTCTGTTGGCGGTACCGTTGGCTCTCAGCAGACCATCGAGCCAGGTAAGGAGTACTCCGAGCCGCTGCGCCATGACGACAAGTCCGGCGGAGTGTCGCTGAAGATCACCACCAAGGAGAACGGGCTGTATGATGGCAGCCCCCAGACCAACTTTGCCTACACACTGGATGGCAGCAACGTCTGGTATGACCTGTCCGATGTCTTCGGAGACCCATTCTCCGGCGAGTCCCTGGTTGTCAACCCGTCCAAGGCCGACTGCCCCAACATCTGCTGGGCCAGTGGCGTCTCTCCAGGTGCCAGCCAGACCAAGACATGCACTTCTGACTCGGACGTCACTCTGACCCTCTGCTCGGACAAGTGCTAAGCGCCTGGAGCCTAAAGATTGGGGAGTTGGTGGCTGAGGCAGTGCAGAGCGACTAGGGATCAATTGAAGAGGAGAGATCTGGGGAGAGCCCCGTGCCGCTATGGGGGCAGGGGTTAGTGTTAGAGTTTCTATATGTCGATGATGGATCATGAATGCTATTGGATTTCCTTGAATCTCCCCCCTGTTGAGGCTGTAGGTGTCACCAGCACAAGTCCACTCCCCCTACAGGCGCTTAGGGCTCAGGCGCCCTCACCGCCCGGCAGAACAGGCTCACCGCTTGCTGCGGGATGTGGCACGGTGGGCCTCATAAACGGCTGCTCTTGCAATCTCCCCGTTTTTGTTGATTAGAGTCTTGTCTGTCTATATCCTTCGCGTGATCTTTATACATATTAATTGTTCAATTTCCTCTATATCCCATCCCTTGCTGAGTGTCGTGTGGCCTCGGCAATTGGCCTTATCAGAGCGCCGTCACGTCATTGGTTTCTCTGGGCAACCCGTCATTCCCTGGATGCCTCCAAGGTCCTCTGCAGCCAATCTGTGCTACCTTCTCAGTCATCGTCCATATTTGCTGTCACGCAGTGTGCCTGTCGGATCGCGGCCCTTTCCCCCGATCCTTTCTTCCGACCACCGGGCCCGCCGCTCGTTCTATCCTTCTATCCACCCTGCCTTCTCCGCCAAGTCCCCAACCATGGCTCCCCTTGAGCGCATCACAGAACACCTGGAGAAGCCAGAGCTTGATGACCGGGCGTACAGAGTGATCCGGCTGCCGAACCAGCTGGAGGCACTGTTGGTCCATGATCCTGATACGGACAAGGCGAGCGCCGCTGTCAATGTCAATGTGGGAAACTTCTCGGATGAAGATGATATGCCAGGGATGGCCCATGCAGTAGAGCACCTGCTTTTTATGGGTACAAAAAAGGTGAACTTCTTCTACACCGTACTTTATGTTTTTAATGACAGCCATGCTGATTGTACTTTTGCCTGCTAGTACCCCAAAGAGAATGCCTACAACCAGTACCTTGCCTCCCACTCGGGTTCTTCCAATGCATACACTGCCGCCACCGAAACGAACTACTTCTTCGAGGTCTCAGCCACTGGTGATTCCGGTGACCAGAACCCCAGCGGACAGAGCACGCCCACCGAGTCGACAAATGGCACCAATGGAACTAATGGCACTGTTGGTGACTCCTCGACAAGCTCCTCTGACGGCAAGTCACCTCTGTATGGGGCTCTGGATCGCTTCGCTCAGTTTTTTGTGTCCCCGCTCTTCTTGGAGTCGACATTAGACCGTGAGTTGCGGGCGGTGGATTCGGAAAATAAGAAGAACCTCCAGAGCGACCTGTGGCGGTTGATGCAGCTGAACAAGTCTCTCTCCAACCCGGCGCACCCCTATCACCATTTCTCAACCGGAAACCTGCAGACTCTGAAGGACGACCCGCAGAAGCGCGGGCTGGAAGTCCGCAGTGAGTTTATCCGGTTCTACGAGAAGCACTATTCGGCCAACCGGGCCAAGCTGGTGGTCCTGGGGCGGGAGACGCTGGATGTGCTGGAGCAATGGGTCTCTGAGTTGTTCGCCGACGTCGAGAACAAGAGTCTGCCTCAGAACCGCTGGGATGATATCCAGCCCTTTTCAGAGGAGGACCTCTGTACCCAGGTCTTTGCGAAGCCGGTCATGGACACGCGCTCCATGGACATGTACTTCCCCTTCCTGGATGAGGAGAACATGAACGATACCCAGCCGAGCCGATACATCAGTCACTTGATTGGCCACGAAGGTCCCGGCAGTGTTCTTTCCTACCTCAAGGCCAAGGGCTGGGCCAATGGCTTGTCCGCTGGTGCTATGCCCGTCTGCCCCGGGGCAGCATTCTTTACAGTCTCGGTGCGCCTGACGCCCGAGGGGCTGAAGGTGTACCAAGAGGTCGCCAAGGTGATCTTTGAGTACATTGCCATGATCAAAGAGCGCGAGCCAGAGCAGTGGATCTTCGACGAAATGAAGAATCTGGCGGAGGTAGACTTCCGTTTCAAGCAGAAGACTCCCGCCAGTCGTTTTACGAGTCGCCTGAGCAGTGTCCTGCAAAAGCCTCTTCCTCGCGAATGGCTCCTCAGTGGATCGCTGCTACGGCAATTTGACCCCGTCTTGATCAAGAAGGCTCTCTCGTATCTCCGTGCAGACAACTTCCGGCTGGTCATTGTCTCTCAGGATTACCCGGGGCAATGGGACCAGAAGGAGAAGTGGTATGGCACGGAGTACAAGGTTGAGAAGATCCCCCAGGAGTTTTTGGGTGGGATCCAAAAGGCCCTGGAGTCGACCGCGGCAACTCGCACGTCCGACGTGCATATGCCGCATCGAAATGAGTTTGTGCCAACCAGGCTATCGGTGGAAAAGAAGGAGGACGCAGAGCCAGCCAAGACGCCGAAGCTAATCCGCCATGACGAGCGCGTGCGTCTGTGGTTCAAGAAGGACGACCGCTTCTGGGTGCCCAAGGGGTCTGTCAACGTCACGCTCCGCAACCCTCTTGTGTGGGCCACACCTGCGAACCTGATCAAAACTAAGCTCTACTGTGAGTTGGTCCGGGACTCCCTGGACGAGTACTCCTACGATGCAGAGCTCGCCGGACTGGACTACCATCTTGCCGCCAACATCCTGGGATTGGATATCTCGGTGGGCGGATATAATGACAAGATGTCTGTTCTGCTGGACAAGGTGCTGACCACCATGCGTGGCCTGGTGATCAACCCGGATCGGTTCCACATCATCAAGGAGCGACTGACCCGAGCGTTCCGCAACGCTGAGTATCAGCAGCCATTCTACCAGGTTGGCGACTACACCCGATACCTCCTTTCGGAGCGGGGCTGGGTCAATGAACACTACATCGAGGAACTGGAGCACGTGGAGGCCGAGGATGTCACCAACTTCTTCCCGCAGCTGCTTGAGCAGACGCACATTGAGGTTCTGGCCCATGGGAACCTGTACAAAGAAGATGCTCTGCGCATGACGGACTCGGTCGAGGCGATCCTTAAGGGCCGTCCGTTGCCTCCGTCGCAGTGGTACCTGCGACGCAACGTCATGCTGCACCCGGGAACCAACCATGTCTACCCGCGGACGCTGAAGGACCCGGCCAATATCAACCATTGCATCGAATACTACTTGTATATCGGGCTCTTCTCGGACGCGACGCTGCGCTCCAAACTCCAACTGTTTGCGCAGCTGACGGACGAACCCGCGTTTGACCAGCTGCGGAGCAAGGAGCAGCTTGGATATGTGGTCTGGAGCGGGGCGCGTTACAATGCCACTACACTGGGCTACCGGGTGATCATTCAGAGTGAGCGCACGGCCGAGTACCTGGAGTCTCGGATTGATTCCTTCCTGCGCGAGTTCGGACCGGTCCTGGAGGCGATGCCCGAGGAAGAATTTGAGGGCCACAAGCGTAGTGTCATCAACAAGCGACTGGAAAAGCTCAAGAACCTGGGATCGGAGACTGGGCGGTACTGGTCGCACATTGGTTCGGAATACTTTGATTTCCTGCAGCACGAGACCGACGCGGCTCATGTGCGCACGCTGACCAAGGCGGACCTGATTGCCTTCTACCGGCAGTACATCGACCCGTCGTCGTCGACGCGGGCCAAGCTCTCGATTCACCTGAACGCGCAGTCGAGTTCCCACGCAGACTCGGCTACCCCGAGCGACAAACGGTCCCGTCTGGTTGAGGTGGTCAGCAAGCAGCTTGAGGCTGCCGGGCTTGCCGTGGATGGTACTCGTCTGGGGACTTCGTTCCAAGAACTGGACCTGACGGTGGTTGATCCCTCGCGGGTCTTGTATGTGGTCAAGAACTTCTTGGCCACCGAGCTGACCCCGTCTCAGGAGCAGATTGCTCCTGTTGTCGAGAAGCTGGAACGGAATCTCGGCCTTCAGCTGAAACAGCTGGGGCTGGATCTTAGCCGCGACGAGCAGGCCGTCAATGGCACCACGGCTGCCGTCGCTATTACCGATGTACCTACCTTTAAGGCTAGCTTGCCTGTCAGCTCTGGGCCGGTGCCGGTATCGGACATCACCGAGTACGAGGATTGTGACGCAAAGCTGTGAGCGGATCGGTTATACTATGGGGTGGGGGGCGGGGAATGGTGTTGGTGTTTGGGGGAGAGGGTGTGTGGTGCATGCAAAGGGGAGTTGGTTTGTAGAAGCGACTGGGTGCGATTCCCGAGAATATAAATCTTGACCATCAATCTTGAATTCATCCAGACAGCGTATTTCCCTCTGAAAAGTGCATCTATGCATCTTGTAAATCTCCGAATTTGGCAGGCGGTCACCATTGATAGGCGATAACAAAGTGAAGCTTCCAGCGGCGCCCTTCCCCATCCCAACACCCAGCCCGCCATGGCGACCACGACGGCTACGGCGATCCAGAGTGCTCGCCCGTAAGTGATGGCTCTATATAGTCTGGAAAGGATGGAAAAGATGCCAGGGCAGCTCACTGACCCAATTCCAGACCGATTCTCCCCAAGAACTTCTCCGCACACCAGCCCGAGACGATTCGCCTCTACCCCCTGTCCAACTACACATTCGGCACCAAGGAGACACAACCTGAGGAGGACCCATCAGTGCCGGCGCGACTCAAGCGCCTGGAGGAGCACTATGAGCTACACGGCATGCGCCGGACGTGTGAGGGCGTCCTGGTCTGTCACGAACACAATCACCCTCACGTGTTGATGCTGCAGATCGCCAATGCGTTCTTTAAGCTGTACGGATAATCAACTCATTGTTACAATTATGGAGACACTCCGCTAACTAACATTGTCTTCCAGGCCGGGCGACTATCTACACCACGAAGACGAAGAGATCGACGGGTTCAAGAAGCGGCTGAACGAGAGGCTGGCACCCGTCGGCTCGCAGTTCTCTGGCGAGGGCGTCAACGAAGACTGGGAGATTGGTGACGCGCTGGCGCAATGGTGGCGCCCGAATTTCGAGACCTTCATGTACCCGTTTCTGCCGGGCCATGTCACGCGCCCCAAGGAGTGCAAGAAGCTGTATTTCATCCAGTTGCCCAAGAAGAGTCAGTTTTCCACACTCCTTTTGTCTTTCGCTTTATTTGAATTGCTACTTACTCTTCGCAGAGGTCCTCTCTGTCCCCAAGAACATGAAGCTGCTTGCCGTGCCTCTGTTCGAGCTATACGACAACACCGGTCGCTACGGTCCCCAGCTGTCGGCCATCCCGCATCTTCTCTCGCGATACAACTTCGAGTTTGTGGACGAGAACGACAATGTCGTCGCCGCAACCCCCGGGACTCCTCTGGCGGAGCACCAGATCCCGCGCACCAAGGTTGTGGCAGGCGACGATGGGCAGGATACGGGGATGACGGATCTCGGAGAGGAAAAGGGCACCGATGGGCAGTAGAGGAGTCTTAGCATGGAGCCATTTGGAGTCAATAGCATGGTTTATTCACTGAGCTTCCGAATATTTCGTGGTTTTAGTTCTTTCTCCGGCTTTAGCTATGAGGCTGTGAAAGATAAGATGCACCGCCATCGCATAAACTCCGACGGACGCCCGAGCCCACGGCCCCCAGGCACATTTGCAGCCCCGCAGAACTATGCTCCCCTGCACGGCGAGTGACATGTCGAGTTGCACGCAGGAATGCCGATCCCCTTGGAATCCCCGCCAGTCATGCGTGGAATCTACGCCACAAAGGGGGCCGACTTGCTCGTCGCGATACCCCGCTTAGGTGCTCGACGTGGACAAATCTACAAAGACCACGCGGGGGCCCGGTGGATTAAACCAGCACGGGATCTATCACGATGCTTCTTCGCCGATTCTGGGGGGTTTCTGTAGCGGCCACGCTGGTTGGGGCTGCGCCGGCTCGGCCTGTTTCTCGAGGTGCGATAGATGAGATGCTATACTATTCCAAGAGTTGATCAGGGACGAATCGCTGAATGGTGCGACGCAACAGATGTCTCGACCGACGTGCTGGACCAGTTGACCCTGTTTGCGCAATACGCTGCAGCATCCTACTGCTCGAACAACCTCAACTCGACCGGCACGCCGCTGTTGTGCGCAGCGGGCAACTGCCCATCCGTGCAGTCAGCGCAGACGAGCACGTTGCACGAGTTTGACCAGTGTGTTAACCTTGCTCTCTCTCCCCCCTCTCTCTATGGATGCAGAAGACCATGATCAACTAACCATCAACCAGCTCCACCAAATTCGGAGACGTCGCCGGCTTCCTGGCTGCAGATAAAACCAACAAGCTGCTTGTACTCTCCTTCCGGGGCAGTCGTACGCTCAGCACCTGGATTGCCAACCTGGATTTTGGCCTGACCGATGCCAGTCTATGTTCCGACTGCCAGGTGCATACAGGGTTCTGGCAGTCCTGGCAGACTGTCGCCGACGAGATGAGATCCAAGATCGATTCCGCGCTGAAAACATACTCGGACTATACCCTCGTGTTTACGGGGCATAGTTTCGGGGCCGCGATAGCAACACTGGGTGGTACGGCGCTGCGCAATGCTGGATACAAAGTAAACTTGGTGCGTATTATTCTTTTCAATTGCTGTTTTCTATTTTGTTTCTTTGTTTCTTTACACCCACAGCAGCTCATAACTTGGCAGTATACCTACGGCGAACCACGAGTGGGCAACGAAGCGCTGGCCAAGTACATCACGAAGCAGGCCCATCTCTGGCGCGTCACACATACAGATGATATTGTCCCAAAGCTGCCACCGGCATCCTTTGGGTTCAGCCATGCCAGTCCGGAGTACTGGGTGACTAGCGGCGACAACAAAACCGTGACCCCGGCTGATATCCAAGTAGTCCAAGGAGTGGGTTCGACGGATGGTAATGCTGGGACACCAGAGCCGGATGTTTCGGCGCATAATTGGTACTTGTTGAATATTGATGCGTGTCAGTAGACTTGATTCTGTTGGCAGGTTTCCTGTCAGCGTTGCATACTGGCACGATGGATATCGAGAGATGAAGTATATGTGAAAAGCCTCTAGTACATATCTCTCCAATCTGTTAGGGTGACATGATTAGAAGTTGAAACATTGATAGATTGAATCATCATGTAGACTATATAGCATCGACTGTGCCCTACTAAACTGTGTCTCGATATCATCGGTATTCTTTTTAGCGTTAGACCAGTCGCTGGCCCACGCTTCGCTCACTTTAGGGGATGTAGTAGAAAATGACGATTAAAATATAAAGCCTTCTTAAATAAACTTTCTCTTATTTAAGACCTTTTTTTATCTCGATTTTTATATCCATTTTCTAATCATTTAAACCATCTGTCAGTCGAATTCCTCGGGCCTCTTTCCTCTATATTTAGCGAGCGCTAAAAAAACTACAATTGGGAATTGCTTCGCCGCGGTAACATATTTCTATATTATAATTCCTGATATCTACACATCATATTTTCGGAAACCCTCAGCGCTAAATGGCGGGCGGTGCTTAACCGCCCGGTCAAGACGAGAAGACCAGCACTTCGTCTGAACTTCCTTTCATATCCTTTCCATATTTCCTTCCACATCTCAATCTCATTGACCATGGCAGCCTCCGTCCAAATCATGTCCGACCTGCACCTCGAAACGCATTCGTACGGTTTCAACTTTGCCCAAACCGCACCATATCTCGTCCTCCTAGGGGACATTGGACATGCGGCCAACGACCAGCTGTTTTCTTTCCTCGAGACTCAGCCCTGCCACTAATCGACCGTGTTCTTTGTCCTCGGCAACCATGAACCATATCACTCGTCATGCAAGACAGCCAAGTCCAAATTGCGGACATTCTCAGAACAAGATGAACAAACGACCGATGGGCAACTTTGTCTTCCTCGACCGGACCCGATACGATCTCTCTTCGGACCTCACTATTTTGCGGTGCACCTTGTTCTCGCAGATATCCCCACAACAGAAATTTGCGGTCGAGAGCCGTCTGGTGGACTGGAAGGATATTCTGCGATGGACTGTGGATGACCATAATGCCGCGCATCAATCGGACCTCGCTTGGCTGAATGATGAAGTCTCAACGATTGCTGCACAGGAACCGCGAAGACGGATTGTGGGTTTCACTCATCATAGCCCGAGTATCGATCCACGATGTATAGATCCAAAACATGCAAATAGTGAGGTTTCGACGGGCTTTGCTACCGACTTGAGGCAGAAGACATGCTGGACTAACCCAATCGTGGCGGCTTGGGTATTTGGTCATACACACTTTAACTGTTGCTTCAGGGACGGGGACAAGGCGATTCTCTCAAACCAAATGGGCCACCATTTGATCCCCGCGAAGGGCTTTGATGCGACCTGGGTGTTGACCGTTGAGCGACGAGAGGGCACCTGATATATATCCCGGTACTCAAGGCAATGCTATTTCTCTGATGCATATATCTGATCAACACATCCATAACAATGCCCAACTATCCCCACAACAAAAATGTACAAAACAAGACCCACCGATCGGCTGGTGGCTGGGCTGTGTGGCGTGGGCGCGGAGACACCTTTCCACCGGTTCATCTTTTTCCACTTCTCTCCAAACATCGCAAGCTCCAAGGGGGTGGGGTGGAACCGTGGAGTCTGCATTCAACTGAAGATCTCACGATGCGATTCTGATCTCGTTAATCCCCGGTGACAGTGCCGCAACAGACATCTCATAATGCTCTTCGCCCCCGGCGGACCGCAGAGTCCGCGCCGGCGCAACCGCATCAAGGCGATTCTCCTCACGATCTTCATTGTACTTGCGCTCTACTGTCTCTTCTTCGCGAACTCGAAACCCACCAGACGATCCAAACCACACACCGCGAAATTCGAACAGGGCAGGGATACGCCACATGGCGTGGCCGCCCAAGACAACACCGATGAGCAGGCTCGTGCGGTGACCCGGAAACACAAGGAAATGGTTGTGGCCAGCATGGAGGATGATGACACTTCATGGCTGTCCGAATTCTTCCCCGACTGGTCCAAGAGTATCTATGTGGTAGACAACGAGGATGCGCCGTTGACTGTAACGCACAACAAAGGCCGAGAGTCGATGGTGTATTTGACGTGAGTTAGAAACCGACGCAGAACAAGAAGTATGGCAACTAACTCGAATTCCTCGGGGCGACAGATATATCATCGACAATTACGATCATCTCCCAGACACGATGCTATTTATCCACTCGCAACGCTACCAATGGCACAACGATGACCCCTACTACGACGGGGTTCCGATGCTCCGCAATTTCCAGGTCCCTTACCTGGAACGCCGGGGATATGTTAATCTGCGCTGTGCCTGGATGCTGGGATGTCCGGTGGAGATCCGCCCGCTGACTGACACACACCGCGAGGATGTGCATGCGGGCGAATACTACAAAACCGCGTTCATGGAACTTTTCCCTGGCGAGCCCGTTCCCGACGAGGTGGGGGTGTCCTGCTGCGCGCAGTTCGGCGTGACTCGTTCCAAAGTGCTTCAGCGGCCACGCCGCGACTACGAGCGGTTCCGGACCTGGTTGCTGGACACGCCGCTCTCTGACGACATGAGCGGACGCGTGATGGAATACTCATGGCACAGTATGTCTTCCTTTGCTCTTGATTTCTTTTCTTTTCTTTTTTTTTTGGCTCCCGGCGTGATATTAATTATTGTCTAGTGATCTTTGGCCAAAAGCCAGTCTATTGCCCCACGGCCCAGGAATGCTACTGCCAGGTCTTTGGACTCTGCGATTTAGAATGTCGTTCAGATGGCTCATGCCATAATCGCTATGCCCTACCGCCGTATTCCTCGCTGCCAGATGGCTGGCCGTATATCGGATGGAACGGTCAGAAACAGGACCCATCTCATGGACTGCCCGAGACATGAAAAAAAAAGAGATGGGAAAGAATGAGTAATGGACGGCAAGGATACGAGTATGCTCATCGTATTGATTGAGCGGGATAGCATCTCATTTCTGTCACAATCTGTGTCATCTCCAGGAAACAATACTGGCAAAAAAAAAAAAAAAAAAAAAAAAACCTATGCTGGTCGACACCACCCGGCCAAAAGTCTCTCAACAACCCCATTTTTCAGCACTGGCGTCGATGGTTTCAAGTCTAGATATAATCGGCCTTTTTTTCAGTCCTTTTTGAAGCGGTTGGAACAACCTCTACGTGAATATCATTGAATGTGTTGTAATCTGCTGTTCTTTTTGATTCCATTTAAAAATTCGTACTTCACAGCTCGACCCAAGGGTACCCCCCTTTATAGATCTAATTATAATGGAGTATATCGCGAGGCATTGTGTAGAACGTTGTGCTTCGTGGCGCATTGTAGAATTTCCTAATGCGGAGCCGAGGCAGTGGATCTCCCCGCACGCCCACCTCGACCACCCACCTCCTCTCCAACGCGGTGATTGTGTTCATCCGAGCATTCACGATGCTCATCATCGGGCTCACGGGGTCCATCGCGACGGGCAAGTCGACCGTGTCGTCACTGCTCTCGACCCCACCATACTCGCTCCCGATCATCGACGCCGACCTTCTTGCGCGCAAGGTCGTCGAACCAGGCACCGCAGGCTACAAAGCAATCGTGAACTACTTCGGGCCTAGCACACCAGATCTCTTACTCGAGGATGCACCAGATAGCACCAGCACACAGGGCAAAGCCCTCAACCGCCCCGCGCTGGGCCGGCGAGTCTTCGGGACCAGCGACGAGCGCAAACGTGATCGGCAGGTACTGAACGGGATCGTGCATCCGGCTGTGCGGTGGGAGGTCTACAAGGCACTGATGTATCACTACGTGCGCGGGCAGTGGGCGGTGGTGCTGGACGTGCCGCTACTATTCGAGAGCGGCATGGATCTGATCTGCGGCACGGTGATTGTGGTCGGGGTCCACGACCCGGCCGTGCAGATGGCGCGCCTACGCGCCCGCGACGCCCACCTCTCAGCCGAAGACGCCGAGAACCGCGTACGCAGCCAGGGCGATGTACGCTCCAAGGCTGCTCAGGCCGAATTCCGTGGCACAGCTACTGCGCGTGGTGTCGTCGTTTGGAATGACGCTGATAGGTTGGAGCTGGAGCGCGCTGTCAAAGGCGCTATGGCTAGTATCTCTGCGTCGAGTCCCCGCTGGTGGGCATGGACGCTGCTGATTGCGCCCCCGGTGGGCGTGGGTGTTGCCGCGTGGAATGTGATTGTGAACTTCGCTACCCAGAAGGGATGGGAGAAGAAGAAACAGGAGAAAAAGGCACGACTGTGAGCTTCTGCTACCACTTTTCTATTTCAAGTCTATCTCACTGGTTTTGCTGGGGGAGTTGTACATAGTGTAGTATACCAAGATCTGCTTAGAATGGTTGACCCTTCACCATTCATGAAGTATTGCTCTTATTGAGCACGAACGCCCCAATCTTCTACCTCATTTCGTAGACACAAATGATCATTTGAAAAGTATTGATTCGAGCGAAGCAAGCTCTCTATGTAAATACACCCGACTCCATGACCTATGCTGAACGCTAAACGCCAAATCCCAACCATCGAGGTATTTCCCTGGAGATATTTTTTGTCTTAATACCTCATCACGGTTTGAAGCTCACCGGCTCTTGCGCTTCTTCTTCTTTTGTGACGGGGCCCCTGTCCCACCCTGGCGCGAGCCGGAGATACTCGTTAGCTCGGACAGCCTGACCTTCTCCGGCCGGTTCCTTTCCTTTTCCTTCTTAGCTGCCTTTTCCTTGGCTTTGTTAATCATCGCTTCGACTTGTGCGGGATCAGAGGGGTTCATCATATTCATATCTTCGTCATCCGATTCCTTCTTCTTGTCGGCAGATTGTTGTGATTGTTGTGGAGTCTGGTAAGAGTTAGAAACGAGATGAGAGCCCCTCGACAACAGATACCGGAGGAATACTCACCGAGCTCTTCTTGCGCTTGAAGTTGCCGTAGGATCGGCGACCACCATAGCAAGCATCCTCGTCCGCATCCAACGAGTCGGCCGCCACCACGAGTGGTTGCGGCGCATACTGGTTCGTGGCAGGCGGCACATCCAGCACCCATTCTGTCTCACCAGCCTCGGCAGCTTGTCTGGCAACTGCTTCGCGACGCTTTTCCTCTTCCGCGGCAAGGGCTGCAGAAATAGCATCTAGGTCGGAGCGCGGGGTTCCCGGACTACCGGGCTCGGTGGAGAGTCTCGGGCGCTTGGGGGTGGGGGGATTGTCATCCGATGCAGGAGCCTCAGGTTCTTTGGCAGCTGCTGAGGCCGCAGCTCGCTGCATGAACTGCACCGGAGGTTAGCTCCGCTCGTCTGGGTGCTCTAGATTTGGCTTACCTTCATCGTCAGCAGACGTGACGACATGGTCTTTTCGGGCTTTGCAGCCGCCCCCGGAGAGGCTGGCATGATGAAGTATATTTGGGCAAAAAGAGTTGAAGCTGAAGCAAAAACCAAGTAAGTCGCAGCGGGCAAAGCAGCGACAAATCACGCGGCAGAAAAACCAAGTCCCGGCGGCATCTGGCTGGAGATAGAAGGCGGTGGGAGCCCACCAAACCACACCTCGCGGATTATTCAGAGGCGCCTTGCACCTCGCTCCTCCCGGCCCCAGCTGTTTCTCTTCCACCTCCTTTGCCCACTCGGTCTACCCAGCATGATGTCCTGTGGCCGCAGAGTTACGGCCTTAGCGTCGGTTCGCCCGCGCTTCGTTGTCCGCCCCTACTCGTCGACCGTGCCTCGCCTGTCCGAGAACCGCATCCAATCCAACGACCCGACCCCGCCGACCCCCAAGCCCAATGTCTCTGGGTCCAATGCCATACCAACTGACTCATTCGGATCTTGGGATGCTTCTCTGCAGGAGGAGCCTGAGGTCGCGGAGCGCATCCGCAGCCTCCAGGCGCCGAACCGGGCCAACACCTGGGCGGCCAGCCAGCAGCCCCGTGAGCAGGCGATGACCGGTCCTCGCTTCGAGCAGACTATTATGGAAGTGCAGGTGTGTTTGTGTTCTAATCTTTGTTCAATTGGTTACAGTTTTCTTTTGCTTCCCCCGGTCAATTGCTGACAGCGGATTCTATAGCCGCGACCCATGGCCGCCATTGAGCTCATCCACAAGCAACCGGTGCGGTGGACCAAGTCCAAGGTCGTCAGCTGCGACGGCGGTGGCGGTCCTCTCGGCCACCCCAAGATCTTCATCAACACCGACAAGCCCGAGATTGCGACCTGCGGGTACTGCGGGCTTCCCTTTGTACGTTGGCCTGCCGATCTGCACATGTGGATGATAACTGACTGTTTTTTTTTTTTTTTCATTCAGGCTCACGAGCACCACCGTTCGTACCTGGAGTCGCTGCCCGAAACCAGCTACCCCCTCCAGTCGGCTGGCGACGCTGCCGAGGTGAACGAGACCCAGCGGGTGACGGAAGGCGGACTGGAGCAGCGATAGACCACTCGCATCGATTTCCTTATGTTGGCGTTGATCATTTCTTGCGTTTGTTTGTGACCTGGTTTTGGGCCCGAGGCCGTGTACAGAATTACAGAATTTTGATCAATGGGCTACTCTGATCGATGGGTGACTGCCAAATTCGTTTGTAGGTATTTGGGTGTGTGTAGAAACTCCCTAGTATGTTCATGTTTGGTCTTTACACCGCATTGCCCTGCGGGTCGTCACAAATGCCCCCGCTTCATGTCATCGAGTCAGGCCTTTTCCCCCTGGATGGTGGCCACGACCTTGCGAGTGTGTCGACTCGTCCGGAACTCGAGATACCAAATTCCCTGCCACGTGCCGGTAGCGAGACGGCCATTGGAGATGGGGATGTTGACGGAGGCGCCAACAAGAGCGGATTTGATATGGGCCTGCGAGTAGATCAGTATTATGCTAGCTACCTACAGAGAGAAATCTCTCTCTCTCTCTATCAAGAATAAATAAAGAGAAGAATAGAAAGAATGCATACCGGCATATCATCCTCGCCCTCAGCAGAATGGCGATACAGCGTGCCCTTCCGGTCCGCGGGGGCAATGCGATCCAGCGCATCACTCATGTCAGCGCGCACATCGTCGTCCCAGTTCTCGTTGAGCGAGAGCGCACAGCTGGTGTGTTGCACGAACAGATTGAGCATGCCGACCTTGTAGTCGCGCAGCTCGGGCAGCTCGGACACGATCTGGTCGGTGATCAGGTAGGAGCCGCGGCTGCGCGAGGGGAGAGTGAAGGATTTCTGAAACCAGGACATGCTGGGCGAGCGCGAGGTGAGGCACAAGTAAAGAAGCAGAGGAAGAAACAATCCCACCACGAAAGCTCGAGGGTGGAGCATTGGGGGAAAGCGAAGAATCAGCATGCGGTGATTGGGGTGGATGTGGGGGCTGATGTCATTCGATACTTGGTCTGTTTTGTCTACTATGAATGTCGGAATATCTGAATATCATTGCAATACATTTGAATATCATCTGATTACAAGTCGCTGGCCTTCGGCTCGCTCCGGTGGCTTTAGGAGACGTAGTAGATACTCAAGATTGGATTTTGAAGCCTTATTTTGTCCTGTTTAATATGTAGATAGCTATTTTACTACTACTATCCTTATTTCACTAATACTTTTCTTTTATATCTTGTAACTATTTTGTTTAATCTATTTTCTAATCATTTTTTAATCCTCTTTTTAATCTCTATTCATACCCTTTTCCCTATATCTATCTTGATTAGTTGAACTAAAGTTGCCGCGGGTCAAGAAACTTGAATCAAGGAAGTATTTCGCTGCGTTCACATATTCTTATATTAAAGATATTATATGCTCTTGCTGTCCTAAGTTATACCATAAAATATCTACGTCGCATCGCACACTGTCGATTGCACCTTAGGCGGGTTGCTATCGGCGCTGCCCCAATTTGCGTCGCCGATTGCCTTGCCGGCGTCGGTGCTATCGTCGGCACGAATCTGCTCGAGTTAGTCTCACTGTCCAAATATTCAGACTGCCATAAGACAGAAGAAGGGCCATACGTAGTACTGCGGGTCCACAAAGTACCACCAGTCCTGACTGCGGAAGGCGTCGTTCAGCGACTGGCTGGCGGGATCGGTGAAGGCAGTACTGCGCTTGTTGAAGTTGGCATGTTTCGACCAGGAAACATACACCTTGGGGTGGTCTTCGTTCTTTACACCATTGGGATCTTTGACGTCGCCGGCATGGACCTGGTCAGTGGTTAGGGTGTTTTGAACATCACTCCAGGCGAGCCGGGTGTAGCCACTATGGGCCGAGAGCAGAATGGTTGTAGGCTCCCACTTGTCGTCGTCACCACGCGAGTGGACAATGATAACACGCTCCCAGTCGTAGTCATGACCCGTATCGATGCCAACGAACTCGGCGCCGTCCTTCTCATAGAAAAGGTTGTACACCACGCGCACGTCGCTGTCGTTGCAGCGCGAGTACGTGTAGTACACAGGAAACGCCGGGCCCGGGTTCCCAGTATCGACATCCGGGTTGCGACACTTGCACCCGACATCCGGGTAGTCACACTGAGCCGCTGCCGGCGTCTTGTGGTCGTTGTCGTACACGTCTGGCGAACTGGGCGACCCGCCAAACGCCCAGGTAGGATAGCATGGTGGCTGGTCCCGGGCCTGGCCAAAGAACCACACCGGTGCGTATCGGTCGGCGAGGTCCACGCTGCCGGCGTCCAGCAGCGAGCCCATCTCGTCGTCGGATATTTGGCTCACAGCGGCCACCGGACCGGCCAGAAGCATAGCAAGACTGCCCCACAACTTGAACCACATAGCGCTGGAGAAGAGAGTAACGGGAGAAGGAATTTGAACAATAGAGACCCAGAAATGAAAATCAGTGTGATTTGCCCGTGTGACCCCTGTACATGAACAGCTGGCGGATGGGGGAGTAGCCTCGGGACAAGACGCCGGCCATCATTTTATAAGAGAGACGACCAGCCCATGGAGGTCCAGGGGGAACGGAGACGAATTTCCTGTTCAGGAGATGAGCTGCTGAGGGTCACATCGTGCCGAGATCTGGTGAAAGCACTGCATTAGCATCGGAGAAGCCGAGGACCGAGAGGGAGATAGAGAAAGAAAACATGGGGGCCGACGGGGATCGGCATAGATCCATAAAGCCTTACAAGATGGGACTGCGGCCGAAGATGGCCCGACTACATGCACGCACCTATAGCCACGCAGATATAAATACTTAAGCTCGCCTTCTGACTCATTATGTTTCTTGTGGCCTACTCTGTCTCTCCAAGATGGAACCAACCCTGTTCATATACGATATCAACCGAAAGGCGGACATTTTACAATCAGCCCAAGTGGGCACTTCGAGTTTGTTACACGAGTATCTAGACACTCTGCAAGAGTTCCTCGAAGATGAAGCAGTCCAAGTGATGCACTCCAGCTATAGTCCTGATAGTGCGCATATCACCATCGACTCAGGCTGGATGAGGCAAGGAGATAACGAGTCAAGGTGTGGAGCGTCTATTTTTTTATAGAGACAGTGACTGATGCTGAAACGGAAACAGTCCGAGTACCAAACCATCTTGAGATGTCCCCAAACCACTTAAGTGTCGAGCGTGGCTCTTGTGTGTATCTTAGTCCACAGTGGGTGATTGGGACTTGACGATCGCGAGGGTTATCCACTTGGCAAAGTGGACATGCCCGGACTTTTCCTATGTCGAAACACGTTTTCGCGTAACGTGCGCTGATTGATAAATGCGATTGGCGGCCATTTCTGCTCTTCTCTTTCTTTTCTTCTGACGGATATCCCTCCCACGCAACTTCATTGTCATGTCGCCTGTTTTCCTTGCTGGACCCGGTGGCCATAGTCGTCCAGCAACTCACTGGCCCCGTCCATGCCAGACCACTTGGGAAGGCCGTCGGCAATGTCCATGGCCCGCTGCTCATAGAAGATATGACATCTATCATATACAGAGTCAGCATCCACCCATCAACCGTAACCATGAGAAGGAATCCACACACGTTGGCTTGAATGCCTCCCGTTTCTGGCGGTTTTCATCCTCGGAGCCATTGAAATCTATCGAGGCCGGGAACAGCAAGCAGACATTGCGGCCCTCGTCCATGAGCGGAGAGCGACAGAAAGAGCACGACACCTTGGTGGGCATCTCATACTCCTGAGACTTGTGAGCAGAGGAGTAAAAGGACAATCCACTCGCCCCCTTGGTGAAGGACAGGTCTTCTTTGTGGAAGATGGCCGCCCACTGGAAGGGCGCGCCGTGCATGACCTGGCATCCATGGCAATGACAGAACTTGGCGTTGAGCGGCCGGTCACGCTTCGACACGTACGAGATCTTCCCGCATTGGCAGTGGACACGCCACTGGACTGATCCAAGCTCCTTGGGGGTTGGGGGTAATACGGCGGACGATTTTTCCAGGCTTCGTTGTCGAGCGTGTGTTCCGGGGGTTATTGGTGAAGGCCGGCGAGGGCAGGGGAGCAGTGGTTTCCAAGATGCCCATTTCAGCCATGATGACGGATTTGGAGAAGAAAAGAAGGGATGAAGGAGAATTCTTCAGGACATGCGAGTGTTCTCCAGAGGAAAACTGGGATGGTTCTGCCTTGGCAGACAGGCTCATCGTGTGATGTCATCATGGCCGCCGCAATTCAGGTTTGTTCAGGTGGATCTAAAGAGAATTGAAGATTCAGGGAAGATCAAGAAATATTCACGAAGATCAAGGAAGATCAAGGTCTAGACCGACTTGGAGAATATATTGTCCATGTGTATGCCTGTCAGTATACTAAACATAAGCAAGTGGACTCGGTGGATCTCGGATATCCCATGTTTACCCCAGATCTACTCGAGGCACTTGACAATCCATGGGCTATTGCAATACTATACCCTACACTATTCCAATGCTATTCCAATGCGATTCTACTGAATACCTCATCTACTCATCCACGCCATTTGGCGACTCGCTGCATGTCTTGATTGGATGTTTCATCCCTGTTGCGGGTGGACCCTGCATCACGTCGTCTTTCTTTCACTTCTTCTCTTTCCCTTTCTGCTTCTTCACAATGCCTCATCGAAACCCTCCATCCCCCCTCCCCTAAACCTCCCCTCTTCCTCTCCCATGGGCCTCTTCACTCGCATCCGGGAGCGTTCTCGGCGTAGTGCGGGGAGCGCGATCGAGCCGCCAACGCCGCCCACACCCCGCGTCAACGGCCGCGACTACACTCGAAAGCTCCCTCGGCCCCTGCTGGCGCGCATCTTCGCCTTGGTGTGTCCGCATACAGTTGACAACTCTTACAGCACCTCTGAAGAGTCCATGACCGATGGCTGCATGCTTTGCGACATGCGCGACCTGGCGCACTGCGCGCTGGTGTGCAAGCGGTGGTTTTTGGATGCCCGCGCTCTTCTGTATGGTATCCCAATAATGTATGATGTGTCAATTGAGGGAGGAACCTAATGTTTTATTTTCTAGTTATACAAATGTTCGGATTGACCCGGTGCACTACTGCGAGCTCGAAATTGAATTGGCGGCCAAGCGAAAGCGCCGCTCCTTCTTTGATCGCAATGGCGACCCCATTGACGCACCCCAAGTCCGTCTGGAGCTCTTTATGCGAGCGGTGCGGGCGTCGCAAGGGCTGGGCAATATGGTCTTGTCGCTACGCATGCCGTACATGACCCGCGAGGCCAACAAAGCCAATATCGCTCGCACCATCTCTGTACTACCCTCATCTTCGCTTTGTGGATCTGCCGGCCGGTCTCTTCAGTGACGAGCCCTCGTGTCTGGCACTGAAACAGGAACTCATCATCCGATGCCCAGATATACGCCGAATGAGCTATCGTCGTGGCGCCGAGGCGAGTATTGCTCGTCTGCCGGGATCGCGGCTCTGGGTCAATCTGGAGATGCTGGAGTTGTCGGGCCTACAAATCGAGCCAAGTACTTTGCGAAATGGCCTGGCGGCATTTCCCCGGTTGTGCGACCTCACGCTGGAGGATCTGCCCTGGCTCGATGACTCTGCATTCACCGTGAACACGCCTTTGCCCCCATTTCCCGCGCTGCAGCGACTCACGCTGCGCAATACCCCCAATGTCACGGCAAGCGGGCTTGTCGCGATTCTTTCCGTTCCGGCCAACCAGGCCGCGCTACAGTCATTGACGCTTTCTGACACCGGGGTTCTTCCGTCCATGCTGCATGGGCTGCTATCTGCAGCCTCGCAGCTCCAGAGTCTCTGGGTTGTCCAGGAGGTTTCTCGATCCTTCCCGATGGAGCAGATTCCGGCCATGGCATCCAAGTCGCTGTCATTGCTGCACTATGAAATAACCTCCGAGGCCGATAATCACGGCATGCCGCCGGTCGCGGGCTCGTACTACACCTATCTTATTTCTTCCTTGATGTCCCGGGCCTTGCCGGCTCTGCGCGATCTCTATGTGCGCGATGCGCACTTTCCCGACACGCTCATGCTCACACCGCCGCCGCGACTCCTGGGCGGCGGAGAGGACGGACCCCAGTTGGTGGGCGGTGGTCTGTCGCAACCGTTGAACGTGTATAGCAAGGGGCTAGATGAACTCGAGTGGAACTTCACACCATACGACCCCGGGTCCATGGGGCGCCGCGAGGCCCGGACACGGCCCGTCAGCTTCCAAGAAGCGCAACTGAGCCGGTCCTGGGGCGGCGATGCGCGCAAGAGCGTGCTGGTGGGCAATGGCTTTGGCGGGTTCCTGGCTGTGCCGACCGAAGAAGAACGGCCCAAGAGCAGTAACGGATACAAGCGGGCCAGTCGGCAGGACTTGTGGCGGTGAGGCCATGCTTGAAATGCCATCTGGGAAGATGAGAGATTGCAGAGGGATGTGTCTCACGAAGATCATGAATGAGTACATATATGCATTTAGTTTTTATGGGCAACGCGCACATGCTGTTTTCCTGTTTCACATATGAGGCTGGGCCGAATTATTTAAGACGAAGGTGGTTTTCTTTTCTTTTCTTTTCAATTTGTCTCGTTCACAGCGTCGGGCCAGCCCTTGGGCAGCACCAGACCGCGCCAGACCCACTGGCTTTTAAGCTGTTCTTCATTCATATCGCAGTGACCGTAGGTCTCGCAATAGCAGGTCTGGGGATCGAGACAATACCGAGGACTTTTGCCAAACAAGACTGCGGTATATCAGTACGGAACTATACGAGAGTGAAAAGGAAAGAATAGGTCATACTATGCCACATATATTCCAGAACACGACCACTCGTGCCCATCTGCAACGTCGAATCAATCAGCCACTGCCGGATCCGCACGTAATCCTCGCGACTGCGCGACTGGATCGCCTCCCGCGACACTGCGAACTGGCTGCAGCACGGGACGCCCACGACCTCGGGGAGCTGGACGCCGGGGAAGAGCTCCAAGAACTGATCCGGGTATACCATGGCTGTTGAATGTAGAGGGTCGTCAGGTCGCTCGCGGTAGTAACGGGCTGGTTCAAGCTCAGCGGGGCAGCCGACAGCCCAGGCGCAGCGCAGGTTGACGTAGCCGGCTTCAAGGACGAAATCGAGGTTGAGGTCTCGAATGGAAATGACGGAGTCTGGATTGGAAGATAGGTAAGTAATATATTCTCAGAAAGAGGATAATAGCATACCATATAAAGGATTGTCATTATGCCATTGATAGCGGCCTCCGTGCAGGAAGATAGTGACGTCGGGAAGAGTCCAATACCGGTCGACCAGGAAGCTGTTGTATGCAATGAGCACCCACATATCCATGAGGGGGAAAAAAAAGAAACCCAGGCAACGCACGTCAAATACACCATGGCTTCATCGCCTTTATTCACCGGTACCGTCAAATTGGCTTCGGGTGGCCCATCGGCTCGATAGATACTGACTCGCCTATCGGATAGATGCTCGTCGACCCAGGACATATCCGTGCTTTGCATTGCAGCAAAGACGAGTTCCGTTTCGAGCGGCTTCGGCGATGCTGCGGCACTCGAGGGTTCGCCGTTCATGATCCGCCGGGATAGTAACAGGAGTGCCAGTGCCAGCCCCAGGCACATAGACATCCGGGACCGAAGCCCACTGTGGGGATGCAGCCAGCTCATAGTGACATGATGAGAGAAAGAGAAAAGAGAGAAGCGTTCGGAGAACGTGTGCCCAAGGGACCAAAAAATCCCCGAGGAGCTGACGTCAATTTGTCAGGGGCGTTTCATCTGTGGAGAAGACGAGATGAAGATCTCCAATGATCAGGACGAGGCGACATCGGGAAGCGATGATCGCGTTTTATGACAGAAGGGATCGACAGGTGGGTCCTTCACGAGAGGCCCATCAGTTCTACTTTCTACTTCTACTTCCTACACTCTCGAAAGATCATATATTAGGCCGAAGTGGTCGGATATGACGGGCGAAAGACACATTCTAGACAAGATTTCCAGGTATTGATTAGGATTTGCCTCGGGGGTTAGGGCTAGCTTCGGCCGACCTCAATGGGAATTGGATTTTTCTGTGCAATCAGGAAATCACTAAACTAATCAAAGGACCATTGGAAATTGACTGCGGCTTTAATTCTCCGATGATGTCAACATATCTCGCATCCGCCGGCAACCCTAAATCGAGCGACGACCAGAAACCCGCAGACTCAACCGTGGATCAAACCAACCGATAAAAAGAAAGCGCGAAGAGACAGGCCAACTTATTTCCTTCCACAAATCCATTTGCGCAGACGACAAAATAACCTCAATTGAACGGAAGACGCTCATCAACAAGTAGCTATGGAGCGATACTATACTCTTGCAGAAGGTACTCATCAAGATAATCTAGAAAGAAAGATCAAGAACTAAGAAGCCTACAGGATGTCCCTATGCCAGCAATTCCACCTCCGTGCAGGTCCGCGGGGGTGGTGGCGGTCTTGGATTGTTGCAAGACACGCAGCTCATCGAGACTCTGGCTCATTTCGCGCGAGAGAGAATCCCCGAGCGGTACGCTGTCCACTATACATCTTGCAAAGACACTCCCAGCTAACTACGCTCATCGGATAGAGTGGTTCATGCCAAAGCTGCTGGGTAAGTCTGGGTTTCAGTCTCCGACTCCAAAACTAGACGAGTACTGATTGCAACACCAGAGCATATGGCGACTTCACTGTCACCAATGACTGTTCCGACATCACGTCTGCGAGTTTCCTGAACCAAGTCGGCAAGACGACTCCCGTCCTGTTGCGCATTTCCACTGTTGGACCTGAGGCTGGCTCGGCCGATACCGCACGCGATGTGCACGGCTGGGCGATGAAGTTGTATACCGACGAGGGCAATCTGGACTGGGTGTTCAACAATACGGTATGTAATCCCTATGCGCGTTGTCCTGAATTGTATTGTATTCACTCACACCCTTCAAGCCCGTCTTCTTCATTCGAGACCCGATCAAATTCCCCTCGCTGAACAGGTCGCATAAGCGGAATCCACAGACTCATCTTCCTGATCCGAACATGGTGAGTTTCCATTCAGTGTTTAGAGAAATGCCAATGCTGACCTTTCTTAGTTTTGGGAGTACGTCCACCTCGAATAACTGAGGTCTATGTATTGTACTAATCACGACTATGCTGATAGCTTTCATGTTGGAAATCCCGAAGGATTTCATGAACTTCTCCATCTGTTCAGTGATCGAGGAACGCCAGCCTCTCTCCGCCATATGAATGCCTACAGTGGACACACCTACAAATTTACCACAAAGGTACTTGAACGAACATAATGGATGTCTATTCGCCTTTTGCTTACGCAGAGAACAGGATGGCTCGTTCAAATACGTCAAGATCCACATCAAAACTACCCTGGGCATCCGCAACCTCACCAAGGAAGAGTCGACCCAACTTGGAGGAGAGAACCCAGACTTCCTCATCCAGGACCTCTTCGAAGCCATTGAACAGGGCAACTATCCCGTTTGGAATGTCTATGTCCAAGTGATGGACCCTTCGCAGGCTGAGAAGTACCGGTGGAATATCTTCGATATGACCAAGGTTTGGCCGCACGAGGATTTTCCCTTAAGGAAAATCGGCAAGTTGACGATGAACCGGAATGTAAGTTTCAATCACCTATTAGAAGAAATTTCTGACACTGTATCCTTATGACAGCCCCAAAACTACTTCACAGACATCGAGCAGGCCGCCTTCTCGCCGTCCACGCTGGTTCCGGGCATTGCACCATCCGCGGATCCAGGTAAACCATACCAAATTTCGAATATTGATGGATCAAAACTAATATCTCCACTAGTCCTCCAAGCCAGACTATTCTCCTATCCCGACGCAGCCCGGTATCGGCTGGGTGTGAACTACCAGCAACTCCCAACAAACGCAGCCAAAGCACCAGTATACTGCCCATTCCAGCGAGACGGCCTGATGAACTTCTCCAACAACTATGGCGCCGACCCCAACTACGTCGGATCCTCGCTGCAGCCGACCAAATTCTACCAGGAGGTCAAAGGCATTGGACCCAGCGCCCTCAGCACCTTGACCGAGCATGAGCAGTGGGTGGGCCAAGTATGTAGCTTCCAGAGCCACATTACCGATGAGGACTTTGTGCAGCCCACGGCGCTCTGGGAGGTCCTGGGCAAGGAACCCGGTCATCAGGAGAGGGTTTTTGGCAACGTTGCTATTCATCTGCGCCAAGTGAAGAGCTCTAGGCTTCGCCATGCTGTTTATGGTATGTTCTATTTTCCCCCTCCGATTTATGTTTTTATTTATACTAATATTGACTGAAACTACCTAGATTTGTTCTCGCGTATTGCCCCGGACTTGGGTGCTGGCGTCCAAAAGGCAACCGAGGCCCTCGTTTCGTCCTGAGGAGGGGGGATTCCCATCAGATTTGTTTGAGAATAAGTAGTAATGAAAGTTTGATTTATTCTTATGACTAATATGTCTTGATCTTGGACAGTTCTGTCCTCGGGCATGCGGGTTACACTAGTGACTGGTGGCACCAATGCGCTGGTTAGTGCCGTGGGTTAGCGGATACAAAAAGTGCGGACAGTAAATCTTTCTCTCTTTACTGTACTTGATTTTTGTCTTGTCTTGCTGGTGTGTGAGAGAGGAGAAGCAGAACAATCCACCTGTTGTGTAGCTGCCAGTCCCGAAGCCCTAACGTTACCTTCCATCTATCATCTCATTAAAATGGCTCGCCTTGCACATCCAATCGGATCATGCGTCTTCAATTGACTTTCACAGGAAATAGAGAGCCAGCCAACCATCAGCATGACCGTCGCTAGCCAGGAAACCCTAGCCAGCCTTCCCTGTCCCACAAGAGCCCTCGAGCCCGGCTCCAATTTACATGGCTCCATGTTTTGCACAAAAGATCCCATTGGATTGACTTGAGAGACTATTTCCCTGGTTATCAATGGTAAGGATTAATGTTTACATCATCGAACCCATCCCTGGTATGCACCGGGCACGCCGCCAGTCATGAGGTCATTCAGCGCACTTCTAGACAATGCAATAGGAGGTTGACGGCTGTTATATCTTGTAGGTTTTTCATTCGAGGAATGTTTCACTGGTGCTTGGATCGCAAGAACACACGCAAAAAGTGTCACAGCTTCCTCGTTCTCTGACAGAAAACTTGAGGCAACTTCTTGTTCATTGAAACCTCTAACCTAGCGCCTTGAAAAAGAAATTTAGCTTCATTTTCTTCTATTGCTGCCCGAAATGGAGCTCCCAGCCGAGCTGGACACCACGAATCGTGCCGATGAATGGGTGATCGAACAGGGCATGGCAGGCCACAAGCTGCCGATCCTGGACCAAACCGGAAGCGACACCGTCCACCTGTATCCCTCACGTCAATCCAAGCTGACCAAAGACGAAGAGGTAATTGAGTCAGTGGGGGATCGCAGCAAGCTGTTCGCCCGAGAAAAGGACGGCTGGAAAGGGTATAGTTCTTCTTCCGTGCGGAGAGAGAGAGCAGCGGATATAGATAGCTGGATATCACGCTGACCAAACACCTATTGGAATCGCTAGATATATTGAATGGGAGAGCTTTCCAGAAAAAAGGCCAAGGCACACAAGGTGCTTACCGCGCAGACCTTCGCCCAGAGTCCGGATTTCATGTTCGGGCCTATTCCGGGCACCAACCCCGTGCTCACGGGCGATGACTTCAAGGAATGGCATCAGGCCATTGGGGGTGAGCTGACAAGTGTGGCAGCCGACTCGTGGCGGACAGTCCTGCGCGAGAAGCATCCGGACATGCTGCATCTTCTGCAGTTTCCCTACAACGGGGAGCCACCGAAACGACTGGTCACATCCAAGGTGGTCACGCCGAACCCGTTGCACTTCGTGCGCAACCACGGCGGCATCCCGCTGATTGACAAGGACAAGTGGAGCCTATCTCTCGATGGGCTGGTGAATCATCCGCGGTCGTATACGCTGGACGAACTCAAGGACGAGATGAGGTTCCCGCGCATGGAGAAGCTCGTCACGATGCAGTGCTCGGGAACGCGTCGCATTGAGCAGATCAACATGTACGGCGGGCAAGGCGATGAAGTGCCGCAGGCGCCGTGGGCGGAGGGGGCTATCGGCACGGCGCGGTATGTCGGGATCAGTTTGAAGAAAGTGATCAAGGACTGTGGAGGGCTCGTCCGGCCCGCCAAGCACCTCGAGCTATACGGCGCCGAGACCTACATCAAGGACTTGGAGGCGATGAACTACGTGGTCAGTGTGCCGTGGTCCAAAGTCAAGGCCAACGAGGTAATCTTGGCCTGGGAGATGAACGGAGAGCCACTGCCTAAAATCCACGGATACCCGTTGCGAGTGGTTGTGCTGGGGTATATCGGAGCGCGCAGTGTCAAGTGGCTCTACCGCATCAAGGCCATTGAGAACCCATCCCGAGCCCCCGTCCAGAGCAAGGAATACCTGTATTTCAACCAGCAGGTCGGCAAGTACAACATGCGGCCAACAGACGGAATCCAGATCCAAGAGATGCCCGTCAGCTCGGCGATCATGTCGCCATGGACGAAACAAGCCGTCATGCACACCGGCAAGATCCGGTGTAAGGGTTGGGCGTATTCGGGGGGAGGCCGGTGGCCGGAGCGAGTGGAGTTGTCGGCCGACGGGGGGTTCACTTGGTACGAGGTGCCGCCGGAGAAGCTGTCGAAGAAGGGCCGCTGGACGTGGCGGGTGTGGGAAATCGACCTGCCATGCGACGTGGAGGGCTGGATTGAGATTGTGTGTCGGTGCTGGGACAACTCGCTCAATACACAGCCGCTGAATGTGCGCGCTGCCTGGAACTGGGGTCTGCATGTCACCTCTTCGGCGCATCGGATCAAGGTGTATAGCATCAACAAGAGCCGGCCCGTGACGAAGCAGCGCTTGGACAAGTATGAGCAGTTGGGGATTCCTCTGGCCCCGCTCACTCGCTATGAAACCGTCCCCGGGCAGTCCATGGAGGAGTATGAGCAGTTTTGGCGCGAGCATGACCCGCGCGATGTGGATGACTGATATTACTCTGGGATTCGTATTTCGTCATGAGAATCTCTAAGACGTCACGCAAGCCCCTGTCTTCTACTTGTAAGCCTTGAAACTGATCTACAGTTGTCACCGTAGAAAAGTGTCACTTCATCTCATCTCATCTACACTAGATCTTCCAAAGAAATATAGGCTATAGACAGGGACCACAGACCCATCATCATACATGTCTATCGTGAAATCGTTAAGTCATACAAAATACACCGCGCCATGCGTCTGCTCCTCAAAAGGTGTCTAGGGAGAAGAAAAAGAAAAAGACGCTCGCTCATGCCACCAAGACTCAATCACCAGCAATGCTTTTTTTTTTTCGCCGGTCTCTGTTGAAGATGCAAAACATTTACAGCGAATTTATTGCCCCTTGCCCAAGATCAATGTCCGGGCTTGGCGGGGATCTGTGCCGAGGACCGTGATGAGATACTCGATACTAGAAGACCAGTGAGTAAATAATACACTAGCAACACACAAAGGGATAGGCAAGCGCTTACCTAGCGTCGGAGGCCAGCCGGCGTTTCTCGTTCTGGAAATCCTGCTGGCAGGCATCCCATGTCGTGGCCCGTTCCTGCGGCAGCACTGTTTTGACGCGGACCTTAAAGGATGCACTCACCGGCCGGTGGTCGGAGGCGAAAACCTCATGCCGCCGGTAGTCGAGCTGCTTGACGCGGCCAAGGCCACGGTATAGGACGCGGTCACACCAGGCAGGAGACCGCTTCTTATCGCTGGAGTCGTACTGGGCGGTGCCGACATCGTACTTATAAGTCGGTGCGAACGCGATGGGAGCTTCAGTGAAGCTCCGCAATCGGAAGCCGGGGTTCTTCCGGCGCGAGGCGAGCAGCTGATCACGCTCGAGGAGCTTGGGGAGGTTATTTTGACGGATTGCATCAATAATGACATGGCGAGGGATTGCGTCGATGCGGTAGTTGAGGTCTCCGTTCAGGATGCATACTTCGTGGTCCATAATCATCGTTCCATCACCGCCACTGGCATACTGGTCGGACCGCACCGTGAGGCTATTCTCCGCGGGCAGGGATTCCGCCTCGAGAATAGCAGCGATGTCGTTGTTGCGATTCGCGGTCTGTGTCTGGCCGGCTGCCAGATGGCAGTTCACAAAACACATAGAGCTATCATCGAGCACAAACCGAAGAACCAGGGCACCTTTGTTCCCGTGCAACCCTCCCATCCCCCGCTTGATCTCCGATGCACTGAGGCTCCTAATATTGTGGCGTTCCTTGTGCTTGACGAAGACACAGGTGAACAGACCAATCATGTTCGCGGAATGTAACAGAACATAGCTTTCCTCGAGAGGCATGCATTCATGAAGAGTGCGAGTCAAATGGTCGATCCATACTCGGTACTGGCGACTCATGTGTTCCTTCTCGCCATTTTCCTTCTTCTTGCTCCCGAGGAGTAAGCTCTCTGCGAACGCAAGTTAGCAACTGCAACATGACCACAAAAGGAAAAAAGGAAATACTGGACATACTGGCTGTGATCTTCTTATTCTCAAGGTCAACAAGCTCTTGGAATCCAAAGACCACAATCTCTGGTGGATCCTCTGGGTTGACAGCATCTCGGATGAAATCCGACGTGCGAACACTACCAGGAGTGGAAGCACCCGCGTTCCACGTTACAATGACAGTCCGGATTTCACGGAAGGTGCAGAATTCGACATCTTTGTCCTGCATTCGAGCATCTGTTGAAGGTTAGAGACATTCCAGGACTCCAACGTGGAGAGAAGCTTACCCAGCCAGTCATCTTCCAGCATACCATCCCAGAGGCGGATGCAGTTGTCCGTACCAAGGGAAGTCACTTGCAGGCGGTTCATGGTCCACACGCTGCTCGTGTCCAGCACGAATCCGCAGACAGGGCTATCATGGGCGTGCCAGTCCTTCTTCACAGTCCAGGGGTTGGTGTTGACATCGTAGACATAAATCATGCCTGTCTTGTATCCAGCCCACAAATAATCACCTACAAACCCGAGACAATTGATCTTGTAGACGCTGACATTGACCACGGCCAAGCACGTGTAGTCAGTCGACGAGTAGACGGTCACCTTGCCGTCTGCATGCCCCAAATATACTCGGCCACCATCTCGGGTGGTGTAAGCTCCAGACGTTACGTCACCCGAGTGCTGCAAGCCAAGTGGCCGTTTAAATACTTTGAACGAGTTGTCATCGCGCGCATTAGGGCGATAAACATGAACATCTTTGCCCGTAGCTAGCCAAATCTTGTCCCCTACCACCATGGAGAATGTATGGCCTCGGGCAACTCGTTCGTGGGGGCTGTGGTAGCTATATTGCAGATTGGGGGTCCCGGTCTCATCCGGCAGCCATACCAGCAGACGGCCTTCGTCATCCAAAGTCCACATTTCTTTTTTGTGGCGCAGAATCTGGATGACCTCCCGCCGAGAAGGATACGACCGCGTGGCTACAACAGATTGAGATGCAATGTCGATCTCCTGTAGCTCTCCGTTGCTAGTTCCCAGCCAGATGCGCTGGCCTTCATCTTCGAGGCCTTTACCGGGCTTAAACGCAAGGCACAAGCTCTTCACGGTTTCGCCGTGACTGTGACTCATGACTTGTTCACCGGTAGTGAGATCCCAGGCTCGTGTCAAGTAGCCAGTTGTGCACGCGTACTTGCCACACACGTCAAGCAAGCGAGTATCGTACCTCGTGAGGATCTCTCTGGGTCCGGTTTTGTAGAATGGGGGCCGTCGGTTGGCCTGGGATGCATCCGGATAATCGGTCCGGGAGATAGGCGGCTCATCAGCGGTTTGTTCTTCCTCTTCCGTGTCTGTCCGTGCAATGCGACGCTCAGGTAGCGACTCGCGGGACCATGACTCCTGGCGTTGAATATGCCGCTTTGTTTGAGTCTCGCTGGTATGAGGAAAGGATGGCGCGGACCTAGCGACTGGCGTCATCTGCGCAGGACTGTTCACGCGCTGTGGTGAATCTCGTACCGGGGAATATCCGCCCCGGCGCGGGACTCCCGCCGGCCGAGGGGGGAGCCCCGGGCGATCGTGAGGACTGTCGCTTGCTCGAAGTCGTTGTGTCGACATGGGTGGCGCGGTTGACGCCGACTCAGGAGATTTCGAAGGTGCTGAGGGTATTTGTACCATCAAAGGTTTAGTAGCCCGCGAGGGTTCCGGGACAGGGCGAGCCCTGGAGAATCCCAATTCTCGAGCATCTTGTCTCGCATGGGCAGTAGGAGCTGGTAACCGGTCCTCAAACAAGCGCCTATTCGGTGGCTCAGTCGTGGACCGGGGTGGTGGCGGTTTGGGAATAACTCTTTCCGTATGCACTGGCTTGGTAGTCGGTTTTTCCGGGCTGCTAGGAGGGGTATTGAAGGGAGATACGGCGGCATCTTCAGAGGGATCTCGTTCTGATCGCGGGGCTAATGAGTTGGCATCGGAGTGGGATAGCATCGCTGGCTTCGCCGGGATTTTGGGCTTGTCTGCGCGATTGGCCGGTGGCGGCAACGAAGCGCTCTTGGATTTCCGATCCGCCGGACTACCGTGTCCAGTGATGGCGAGCCCACCGGGCGAAAGCCGGTTGATTGAATCCCCCACGGGTACGGATGAGCCAAGTTTGGGGGTTTCGGGTCGAGGCACCGGTATTGGAGACATCGACTGGCGCGGGCGATGGGTTGGGCTCCGAGACGGGCGATTGTCCTCCTGATGGGATGGTGTCTGATCTCGCTGGGAGCTCCGCGGAGGTGATTGCGGCGCATCAACGGTCAAAGTTGGGGCAAGCTGAGGCGACGAGTGATGTACGCTCATCGAAATGGGCCGACCACTTCGGCTGCCGGGGGACCCGCGAGCACGGGAGTGGGCGCCGTTGGTATGCTCATAGCGACGGCTGTGTCTGTCTTCGCCCGCCGAGCTCCATGGGGAGTGTGGGCGGGGCAGGTCCAACGAAGCTCGACTGGAAGACCGGGGCTGGTCGGTGGGATCGGGGGTTCTCAGACACTGGGTTGCGGAGTCGCGTGGGCTGGGAGCCAGGGTGGAGGGGGATCTGCGGTGAGCAAGATTTTCGAAGTGGGAGAGCAGGGAGGACACGGGTCTCTGCTGATGCCAGATGGTGTCAGTCCATGAGCGAGATCACGAGAGATAGGTAGGTTGCGAAAGCGTACAATGGGGGCGTCATCCGTGTTGTCCGGCTCTTTGCTGGTTCCCTCCATGGCCATTACCGCGAATCCTTCACCGATACCAGCCGGAAGGATCGATCATAAGCTTGATTGTTCGTGCCTGAAAGTCCCGTCGTGGATCTTAGTGACGACACAGCGGGAGTTCGGAGGCTACGGGGGACGGGGTAGTGATGCCGGGAGTAGTGGGAAGCTTGAGGGGGGGGAGACGTAGAGGGAAAGCGGCACAAAGGCCGAACAGTAAAGAGAGACCGTCAGAGGGTCATGCGAAGAGAAAAATCGATCAAGCCAAAATCCGCAAAAAGAAAAATCGTAGCAAGTCGAAAAGACAACGAAATGGAGTGGCGGGGAGTGAAGAGTGGAGGGAATCACGGGAAGTGGGCAGATCACTTGGTTCCTGAACTTCCCCCCGACTCTCTTCCATTGCCTTTTGGCTGACTTCGAATTCCCGCCATGTGGTGAGCATATTTCTTGTTGATCTGCTCTGAAATCCTCTTTGTCAAATAATTGTCGTAATCGCCGAAGCTAACGTTACCCGCTCGCAGTAAACACATCCTCAACGCCCAAGTGGCCATCCGTTCTGCTTGCTGTATGCTCGACACACGTGCCCATTTTCCCTGATAGAGGACTCATCGAATATTTGCTTCAAAAAGGTCGGAAATGGTTTGATTGCGCCGAATGCCACCAGGAACAGGAGTCGCATATGCTCCAAAAGTCCGCCGAGATGGTATGGTCTCCAGTCTTTGTATCACGCCAGTGCATATATCCCGGTATTCTGATCTTTGAGGGGATAGGTGTTTGCTTGTAAAAAGTGCAAGAAGTGTTTCCGCAAGGATGCCGCCGAGTTCGAGGAGAGGTATGCCCATCGAAGGCCATGCGGTGCCAGAATCGCGGGGGATTGACATTCTTTTTTTGAAAGCGACGAGTACTGCCCGCATTGTGACAACCACTTCGTCCTCGAGGCCGTGACGCCGAAGCCTTCACTGCAGGTGGAAGGCGATGATGCGCGTATGGATAGCAGGTTAGTCGAGGCAGGACAGCTCTTTTACGTGGCGGGATACTAACGTCCACTAGAATGCTCAAGGACGACCGCGTTCGCGCCGATCAGGAACGGTCGCTCTTTAATTTCCGGGACGTGTCTGACCGAATGGGATAGAGATGGGGGTGTAGAGTTTGGAATTTCATGATGCTGACGATCTGATGCTTTTCTGCTCTTCTGCTCTTCTGCGATGATTTATTTGGGATTTAAAAAAGGTGATAGACCGACGCTCCCACAGCATCAATACCCTGGTGTGCTTTGGTGTACAGTACGAAAGATAGTAGGCACAGGGCGTGTGTTCAAAAGATTCCATGGTTTTGATTTCTCGTAAAAGAGACCAGCGCTGTAAACTAAAACAAATTCCAAGATCCATTGGCCTCAGGGGACCAGATACCCGTCGAAGCCAGTCTAATCGGCCGACTCCCGCGTCGACTCTGCCGTCTCGCCGCCGCCGGGTCGAGTCAGAATAGCAGCAGTAGTGGTCCCCGTGCGACCGGTCTTCTTCTTGGCGGCTTCCTCCTGCTTCTCGGTCTCGATAGTCTTGACGTACGACTCGATCTGCTCATCCGGCAGCATCTCAACGGTCTTGCCGGGCGCCATGATAGCGACCTCGATGTTCTTTGCGCCTGTCTGCACAACCTCGAGCAGCGACTTGATAGTCAGCTGGATGGTCTGCTCACGGTCCATGTTCTCCTGGTGGTTGCGCTCAAGGAACTCGCGGACGGTCTTGCTGGAACGGCCGATGGCGTTGGCTTTCCTGTAAACAGAAAGAGTTATCAGTCAAGGGTCTTACACGCTATACGGTATATATAAACACATACCAGGCCGAGTAGATTCCCGATGGTTCCGTCTGGTACAGGCGCGGGGTGGAGTCGTTCTTGTCGAAGCCGACCACCAGCGTACTAATACCAAACGGGCGCACACCACCGCTCTGTGTATACCTCTGCTGCACGCTGGCTATATATTTCGTGATGTATTCGATGCTGGCGGGGTCCTCGACCGTCAGACGGTGCGATTGAGCCTCTAGCCGGGCCTTGTCAATCAGGATGCGGGCATCAGCATTGAGTCCAGCGAAAGCGAGACAGGCGTGGATGTCGACCATGGCGATCTTCGAAGGCGTAATGCGGGTATCTTGGAGCTTGAGAGCCGAGCGCTTCTCGCACCCGAGGACGACGATGTCCGTGCCTTTGACACCGACGGCGCAGGTGCCTGTCATTTATCTACCATCAGCAAATTGCTTACCATAATATTGTACCGGTTCGTAAAGCTGACGAATCCGTTGGGTGTCGCTGCTGGGGATCGGGGGATATCGTCTTACCTCGCTTCACAGCCTCCATGGCATATTCCACCTGGAAGACGTGGCCATCGGGGCTGGAGGGATGGTTAGGAAGAGGTTTGGGGAGCTGTATATCGGCCTGAAGACTTCATACCTGAATACTGCGAGAAGTTAGCAACCAATATCTTCTATGGAGGACCAGGAGCTAAGGGAGCTGGTCCGTGGGGGAGCTAGGTAACTGACCTGAAAGAGCTCGGTCGTATCCGGACATTGTGGATTAGAGATGATGGAAAAGCTGAGACGTAAATCGATGGACCAAGGAAAGAAAAATGGGCAACAGGACAGCAGAAACGTAGCAGAGCGCAGAGCAGTCGGTGATGGCAACAATGACGAGGTCCCGGGCGGTGGACGCGAAAGCCTGCGGTTGCCTTTCGCTAGCGCAGCCGCGCGGGTAACCTCAGCACTGGATGTGCTTGAACACTCGATGGACTGCAATTTGAATTGCAATTTGAAATTCAGGTTGAATAGCAACTCGATACAAATGTCTAATGTGCAAATGAATAGTAGTCATCAAAACCACCGGGTTTACTAGGGCTGCAGTAGGTAAAAATGCCGCTCGATTTCCACACCTCCGGATCCTATACAGGAACATCCAGATGGGAGAAGACATATATAAATATCCAAAACAGTCTTTTTTGTTGCATTTGCATGGATGAAAGAGATCCTCCGATGCCTCAAAAGTAAATCCCCAACACCCCCAACGGAGTCCGAACCATTGTATATCCCACCCATGAGATCAATTCCATGAATTCTCCGACGCTTCCCATGACCAAAGAGTGCAGAAAGGGGACGCACAAAAAGCTCTAAAAAAAATGCAATGTCAAAGTAGGTCGAACGCTCAACCCAGGCTCACAATGCGTCCATGTTCAAGACCGCAAGGGCCAGGGGGAAAATTCCAATCGTACCCCCGAATCAAATAGATCAAATAAAACAGACGCGCACCAGATGAAAATCAACATGGGGGAGATTTCAACCGACTGAAGATCATCCCCCAAAGCACAGGAGACGGCGAGGCGAGAGAAGCACAAACCCGGAACCGTCGACACGCTACCCGCCTGCTCCTTCCCACCCGATGCACCGGAACCGCAGAATCCCTTATACAAATGCGTATCAACGAATATCAACCAACGCATATACCTGCCACAATGCAGGGCTGCAATATGGACAACGTAATTGTGAGAGCCCAGTCCCTGGATCGGGCTTGAGTGATAGGGTGAACGATCTCCCGCTTACGCGGGAGACTTGTTGGCACCGGCGCCGTTACGGCGAGAGTGGGGGTCATCCGCCACTGTCAGGCCCCCAAGGCCTGTTGACAAAAAGGCAAAGGGATCACTGGACCCATCAGAGCCATAGAACGCTCCATTCGAGGCGCTAGTTGACGGCACACCATGGTCCGCGCCAGTGAAAGCGGCCTGCGTGGCCGGGTTCCCGAAGGAGGCGGCCGAGTGCGAGGTGCTGGTCGAGCCATACCCCGAGTTCATCTGACCCATCGGGGGGTACGCAGTCGGGGCATTACCCAAACCACCAGACGGCAGGGCGTAGTTGTTCGGTGGGCCGCCAAACTGCTGGCTGAATCCACCGAATCCGCCGGCGGTGGATGCGAAGGGCCCCGGGGCGGGGGTGCTAGCCATAGAATTGGGGCCCATGCCGAATCCCGACGGAGGGTCCATGGGCGAGGGGAACGCCGAGTCCGCCACGACGGCAGCGCCTGAGCGAGGCGCACCGCATCGGAGGCAGTTAATATTCTTGGCGAAGTTGTGGTAACCGCATCCCTCGGAGCCACACTTCCAGTCACCAGCACGGAACGGAACCACTCCACCATTGCCACCCATGCCACGGGAGTGGCCCATACCGTGACCGCCGTGACCCATGTGAGGCGGCATCATCGACGGCGGGCCATAGCCGTAGGCTCCGTAATTCATTGGGTCCGGTGCAGCCGCCATGGCGGGGAACGAGCAACGGAAGCACGCCGTACGACGCTGGAAATTGGAGAAGCCGCACGACGGGCAGGTCCAGTCACCAGGGCGAGGTCGGTTCTTGGATGGCGGGAATGGAGTAAGAATCTCTGCTGCCCGGTCCAAGACTCGGCTCGAGGACGGCGACACTTCAATTGCCTTTTCGTTTAGCGCCCTGCCGTTCATGCACAGGCTTTCGGCAGCCTAGTGTGATATTAGCGGAAATCCAGGAAAAGAAGATGAAAATGAAAAAAAAAGCTAGAGATCCCCCAAGGGTTGAGGTGGCCAACAATGGGCATGAGGATCCAATTGAACGCACCTCCTCATGGGACGAGAAGACCGCAAAGCCGGTCCCCGTGGGCTTGTGCTGGTCCGGTGTCCGCAGGGTCCAGAAGGCGATCGGACGACCACCAAATTGGGTAAACCAGCTCTCCAACTCCGATTGCGTGGTATCGTGGGGCAGACCGCTCAGGTGAAGAACCTTGCTCCGCTCAGCCAGGAAGGCGCGGACATCGGCATGGGCATCCATCGGACGAGTCAGGATCTCAGGGTGCTCGTGCGGCGGCTGCGACTTGCGGATCAAACCCCGCAGCACCCGGGCCAAGGTAATTGACTCTTCCATCGCACGGCGGGGCGAGGCAGGGGCCAAGGCTTGCAGGTGGAAGGGGAGGTTGTGCTTGATGGGGGCGGACGATTGAACGGGTTCCACCTCCAGGGCCGCACAGATGTTGGAGAGAGAGCTGGGACCGAAGGGCAGCGACTCGGGGTGGTGGGTCTGCCAGCGTTGATATTCGGTGCGCAGGTCGAAGGTGCGGGAGTGCTGCAGGTATGCGGGCAGCACCACGGCCTTGTCTCGGGCCTCGCGGGGCAACTGCACCCGCAGATCCCACGAGTCCAACGTCACAAAGGCAAACTCCAAGTGTTTGCTGGTGAGGTGTTCCTGGGCGAAGGCATCGAATCGAGAGACAGCATCACGGAAAGTACCTGCCGAACGAACATGTTCCCATGTCAGGGTGGTCAAGCTCGCTTTTCCACTGGTCAGCCGATGGCCCCAATAACCACGAAAGGCGGGAACAGAACGAAAAAAAAAAAAAAGGTACGATGAATTGGAGGGGTGGGCGCAACTTACTGCAGAGTGGCGTGATGGGAGTGTTGACGGGCTTGACGAGAACACTTTCACGGTGCAGCTAAACCATTGAACAAGAAAAATATTGGTGAGCTTCAGGCTCTCGGGGAAGAGGATTTTCGAGTAGAACAACGTCGGGGGGAGTGTACCTCCTCGCAGGATTTGGCGTCCAACAAAATCCAGCCCAGCTCAATCACCTCGGCGGAATCTTTGGTAACATAGACGCCATGCTCATCGCAGGTGGTTGCAACGTGGATGACAATGTAGCGATCCAGCTTGGGGGTGGGTGCTGAAACGGCCGCCATCGCTGACTTGGTGCCAACGAAGCGGCAGGGGAAGGGCCCGGGGGACTTGAGGGAGGGGAAGAAAAGGCGCCTCTGCAGGATCAGCAGAAGGCAATGGGGGAAGAAAAGGGGAGAAAGAAGAAAACCCGGAAAAAACAAGAAAAGCCCGGGGAAAGAAAAGAGAGAAAAGGGAAAGGGGGGGAGAAGAGGAGAAAAAGAGGCTTGTGGAGCGACCAAAAAGAAAAGTTTCGGGTTCACGGGGCGGAGATTACACTGGCATGAGTAGCATTATGTTACTTTCTATTTCTTCTCTTGTATTTAATTGTCTTTTTTGTCTTTTTAATTGCAGACAATTCATCCCCCCTGAAGTCTTCTCGGACTCGCAGTTTCTACGGTGCAACCCCAGCCGGTCCAGATCCCGGATATACATCGGAAGGCCAGGGGGACTGATTGATTCATTGATCATGAATAAACAATGAATATGATGATTCTTCCTCTTCTACGCAGTTCTACAGCGCAATAGATTCGGATTAATTGCGCATGGTTGCCTTTCCAAGTGGATACCTGTCAGAGCATGGCCTGAGCAGCTCCGATATCAACGGAAAAATGGCCCCAGAACAGACCAATTGACTCTCGGCGACCGGTGGAACAGAACGGAGAGGCAAGAAAAAGAGAAACAGAGAAAGGGAAAATTCCAGCGATTCGGTCGCGGGCCTTGGGTCGGCGTTGCTTGAATCCGGTGGGATGGAGTATACCGGCTGATTCCCAATGGGCGCTGCCCTGGAACGCCGTGGACGATAGATGATATTGAGAGTGGTGCTCTCATTCTCTTGACTATCGTGACTATCTTCGCTATTCTTCCATTCGAACATCGAAACACCGAAACATCCGACAATCGATCGGCATCACGTGGCGATGACAGGGTCACGTGTTGCTTTACTAGAAACTATGGAATAGTAGCCTGTCAAGAGAACAGCAGGTTGTTCGAGACGTTCATATGTGAAATTCAACCTGTAAGCAGTCGGACGTGGTGATGAAATATTCTCATCGAGAAATTACGAATTGGCTTGGCCGTTTAACACCCAGACTCGATATCAAGATATTGATATCGAGCAGTTCTGCCATACAAAAAAGAAGAAAAAGAAAAACCAATGGGCAAAGACCAGGATCCAATATAGGAAGAAACCAGAGTACCGCAAAATAGACAGGCGTCACATCATGTACAACAAACCCACCCAAACCCAGCATTTCCAAGACACGGGAGACCCCCCAACCACGACCAAACGCCGGAGCCAAGAATCAACGGCATTAAGAAAAAGAGAGAAAAGAAAAACACCATCATCACTCATCAACAGCCTCATCCTTGATCACAGTTCCCCGGCTGGTGTCGTGGTCATCCTCTTCGGCTTCTTCCATAATGCTGGGTTCCATAGGGACCATGTTCCGGCTGGCAGCATCACCCTCAACAGAGGGGCGGACACTCCCAGATCGCACACGGCTGTCATCGTGGTCACCCTCATCTTCCTCCATGATGCTCGGCTCGACAGAGACATGGCGACGACTAGCAGCACCAGTAGGTTCCACAGAGCGACGCACACTACCGGAGCAGACACTGGCAGCATCACTCTCAGGATCCTCGGTGCCTTCCCGAGGGCGAGTGCTGGCGGCACGCGCATCCTGGGCCACGGCAAGGATCTTGAGGACAGCATTTTTGGCCTTAACCAAGGCATTGCGGCTGGAGGCTTCACCGGCGAGTCCCTCTTCGATGGTCTGGTCCAACAGCTCCTTGACCTCTTGCGCCAGCTGGACATTATCAGCGTCAATTTCAGCCCCATTGGCGCTGCGGATGCTGGTGCGGAACTGATCCTCGCCTTCAGGCGCACGCGAGCTAGAACGGGAAGGTACCGTGGGAGCGGCAATGTAAAGCTTGCTTAGCAATGAGAACAGAAGCTTGCGCTCTTCTTTGGTGCAGCGACTGTTGCCAGCACTGACACCGAGCACTCGCTCCAGGATATCCTTGACCAATGCGAGATGCACCCACCCGCAGGCGCTGGAGCTGGCAGCTCCACCGGCCAGAACACGTTCTCCGCCGAGGCCAACGACCCGGCGCTCGTCAGTCCATTCAGCAAGCATTCCAAGAACACCAGTCATGAGCGCCTTGACCTCGCGCTCCCCGATGCTCTCATCAATCTCGCCGTCACTATCCTCCTCAGCTTCAAGCGAGTAGTGTTCCTCTGCGGCGTTGATGACGGCACGGATTACCGGAACAGCCACACGTCGCATGTGGTTGGTGTTGGCAACACGGGAATGGCAGTACACAGGGAAAAAGTACGCGAGAGATTGGCGGAGGGCAGGGATTTCACGCGTGCGGGGGTGGAAAAAGGACACCACGAGTGACTGCAGCAGAGACTCCACGGCGGCTTGGTTGAGTTCCTGGATGGCGGGTGGAACGTTGGGTCCAGAAGGAGTGAAGGCGCTGGTGAGGAGCAACTTGGACAACGCCATGGCTGCTCCCGATTGCACGCTGGGCGGCGAGTTGGCTCGAAGGGCTCGGGCAAACACCTTGAGCAAGGGTCTCTGGACGGCAGGCGGCGTCACTGTCTCACCATCCGGCTGAGTAACTGGAGTAAGCAGTGAGGGATGTGTCGTGACCATATCGCAGAGAATGTGCAGTGCCGTTACTTGCAATGCATCGTGGCCCTTGCTGTAACAGTGAATAAAGAGTGTCATGTTCTCCTCGGCGAGATTCTAGAGTTCTGGGGTTAGCAAAATATCACTCTCTACCATATGTCAATGTCGTTGACTGACCTTGTCAAGCAAACAGCAAAGACCCAAACACAGAAGACCGCGCTCCCGAATCGGAGCCTCGTGGCTTCGGACGGCAGGCACAACAAGGTTGTTCAGCATTGTGACTAGGTTGACGTTCTGCTGCAAACTACCCTGGACATTCTGAAGCATACATTGAGCAATATGCAGACATTTCATGTTCACCACAATCTCGCGGACGATCTTCGCCTTGGCCTCTTCCTTGTTGAAGGGAGTTTCATCTTCTGAGGCGGGAGTCTCAGATCGGTGACGGCTGCTGGTGTCGTCGCTGATTTCAGACTTGGCAGACACGAAGCTATCCTCGGTGGTGATGGTGTCGTGAACCTCGGCAATGGCTTCTAGGACCACGCTGCAGAACTCGCTTTCGGCCGCAGCATCGGCTCCACAAACACATCGGAGGGCCTCAATGGTAAGCTTGGTGCAATCTTCTGGAAGTTCAGGAACTGCTAGAGATTCTCGTAAGAGAGAGAACATCTTCCGTCGGCCAACCTCGTCACTATAATCCAGGGTAATGGCAATGTGAAGCAATTGTTCGACAATAAACTCGTGCTCGACGGCATCGTCATCATTTGCATCACCGGACTCTTTGGCGATCCTCTTTCGCTCCAAGAGATCGGTGGTATACTTAGAGAGGAAGTAGGCCAGTGCGGTCACTTCGGGCATCTTCTCATCCGCAAGACTGTCGTACTTGCCTTCGTTCTCCACGCGACAAAAGTCATTAAATGATCGGAGCAGGAACGCGGATTCGGCTGTGAGAGATTCCCAGAAAGGCTCATCAAACACCACCGCCTCGCGATAGTCTGCACGGCCCTCCCAGAAGCTGCGCATTGCTTCATGGGCGATGCCACTTTCCATTCCGGAGTTGACCACGTCAATTCTCTCCAGGAGTTCCAGCAGGGCATTGATATTGGGAGCAGAGCGTTGACCGGTCACTCCCTCGTTTTGCCCACTATTGGTGCCGGCACAGTCCTCAACCCATCGGTCGAAGAAGAGCTTGCCGGTTGCCTTGCGCACACTTTCATCACGATCTCGCAGACCCCAGCGAAGAAGCTTTTCTCTCATCGATAGAGAAAGATGGCGGAAGTCACCCAGGGTGGGCAAGAGACGCGAATAGAGCGCTCGCCGGGTCGCTGCATCAAGATCGCGGGCTCGCTCGAGGAGATATGGCAGGGTGACGGGGGCAAGTGGAAGATTGGTGAGAAGATTTTTCCGAACATCGGCACTAGTGTCGTTCTGCATAATCTCGATTAATTTCTCGAGAAGAGCAGTGGAATTATCCTCGTTGCCATCGTCCTCTTCGTCATTTCCAGCCAGTCGTCCTAGGCCCATTACTGCTTGCACTCGTACGGAGGACTCCTTGTCACGAATGCGCTTCAGCAAGCCCTGTCGAATAGTGTGATAGAGATCGTCATCGATTGACTCAAGCGAATTCACAATGTGGGCGATGATCTGTGTGGCGCGGAACCGCACCATTTTATCCTTAGCAGCCACGAGAGGCACCATGAGGCCAACAAGACTCGAGGTCAACCGTGCACTTGGGGTTTCAGGGAGAACTTGCATCTCATCTTCATTGTCGGCATTGGATGTAAACATCTCGCCATCCTTCTCTGCGGCATGAACCAAGAAAGTGCCCACGAAGCGCAGAATGCGATCGCCGACAGGTTCTGTCTTCTTGATTGGAAGAATTCGGAGGAGACAACGGCCGACCTCAACATTAAACTCTTTTTCGGCGACAGTCTCCTCGCCTGGGATCTGTAATCCCTCCTGCTCTTGGTCTTTGGCCTTATTATTTTTCTTGGAGGCGATGCCGCAACACGACTCCTGGAGCTTGCGCAAACGCACCACAAGCTTTCGGTGGCCGGTGGTAGATCGCTGAGCGTCCACAAAAATTGAGCACACATCGCGACGCAGATTGGGGGACGACGATGGTAGTGCGGGTTCTTCAGGGATCGCAATTGACGGGGTGACAGAGGCGGCACGCCCAGATGCAGAGGGCTGTGCGGATGACCTCCGTGTGGTCGCAGATGTCGAACGGGCGGCGACTCGACCAGGCATGGTGTTGGGTGTCGAGGGGCGATTAGTGTAGGTGGAAAGACACCACGGACGTCGCGGGGAACATAAACGCAAGGAGTTTCGGGCGGTAAACAAACAGCCCAAACGGGGAAGTGCGATAAGGGTCACGTGTTGGATGACTCATCCCGAGTATCGGAGACATTGAAGGCGATGGAGGGACGGAGAACCTCGTCTCTACCCAATTGCACTCCAACATGTTTCGTCAAAGCATCCGCCGCTTTGGTACCACCGCGCTTCGTGCTGCGGAGGGGTCGACTGCATACGCCACCCATGTGTCCATGGTGCAGGGCGTCGTCCATGGCCTGACGGAAGGTTTGTCCCGCTCCCGGCCTGACCATACTCTCGTGCATATAGAGCTAACGTATCCCCTGCGCAGCGATCGGAAACACTCCGCTCATTCGGTTGAAAAAGCTTTCCGAACAGACTGGGTGCAATGTGCTTGGAAAGGCAGAGTTCCAGAACCCCGGAGGTAGCGTGAAAGACCGCGCGGCACTGTTCGTGGTCAAGGATGCCGAAGAGAAGGGACTGCTCCGGCCAGGTGGCACGGTGGTTGAGGGTACGGCCGGCAACACGGGCATTGGTCTAGCGCATGTGTGCCGGTCAAAAGGCTACAAGCTGGTGATCTACATGCCCAACACGCAGTCTCAGGGCAAGATCGACCTGCTCCGCCTGCTGGGCGCGGAGGTGTACCCGGTCCCCGCTGTGGCATTCGACAACCCGCAGAACTACAACCACCAGGCGCGACGCCATGCCGAGTCTCTGGAAAACGCCGTATGGACGAACCAATTTGACAACACGGCCAACCGCCAGGCGCACATCGAGACCACCGGCCCGGAGCTGTGGGCGCAGACCGGAGGCAAGATCGACGCCTTCACCTGTGCTACCGGCACCGGAGGCACACTGGCCGGTATCACCCGCTACCTCAAGGCCACCAGTGACGGCCGCGTCAAGAGCTTCTTGGCCGACCCACCGGGCAGTGTTCTGCACAGCTTCATCCAGAGCGGTGGCAAGCTGGTCGAGCGCAGTGGCAGCAGCATTACCGAGGGTATTGGCCAGGGCCGTGTGACAGACAACCTCCAGCCCGACATTGACCTGTTGGACGGCTCAGTGAACATCAGCGACGAGAAGAGTATCGAGATGGTCTACCGCTGCCTGGACGAGGAGGGTCTATACCTGGGCGCTAGCTCTGCGCTCAACGTGGTGGCTGCCAAGGAGGTCGCCGAGAAGCTGGGCAAGGGCAACACCGTCGTAACGATCCTGTGTGATGGCGCCTACCGGTATGCGGACCGGTTATTCTCCAACACCTGGCTGGAGAGCAAGAACCTGCGGGGTGCCATTCCGAAACATCTGGAGAAGTATATTGTGCTGCCTTGAGCGTCTAAAGTGTATGAATTGTGAATAGACAAATGTATTTTGGACCGTCGATCCCAGTCAAGCCCTAACACCTTTACGCCTTTCAGTCGATATGACCACTGGAATTCTGCACAACAGTCAGGTTTCTCGCGCGACCATACCCGCTGTATCCCACGCCCCTCAGATTCCACTGCGAGTGCTCCTGCTGCGTGTTCCTCGCGGCATCAGTAGCCCGACTGACGATCTCTCTGCCCGGCCCAGGAGATAATTCTACCTGCGCAGCCCACAACACCCAGCACCATTTACGATCCGGGCTAGCGCCAGTGAGTCGGGCCTCGGTCCAAGACAGGCCTTCATCACCGGAAACTTCAACCCGAGCAACGGGTCCGTCCGCAGCCTGTGGAAGCGCATATCCTTTCACCTCCAACATTCCAGACGCCGGCACAGAAACAGTCTCGTCATCACCGGGAACCGCGATAACAGAGTTGATCGGTGTCTCATACATGGGCGACGTGCAAGACCAGTACTTCTCTGCCGATGCACGGTCGATTGCGTCCGGCGGGAGGACCTTGTAATCGCGCTGCTGATAGAAGTTTGGGGACTCGCGACTCTGGACTGTGATGCGGTCGAGCCATTTCACCCATCGAGCACCTGCGATACCCGGGAGAACCACGCGGACGGGGAATCCGTGGTTTGGAGAGAGTGTGGCACCATTCATCTAGAATATCGGAGATATCAACACTGCACAACGATTACCAGATTACCAGCTGGATAATCAAAAGAAGGGAAAGAACGGAACTAACCTCCAGCGCCAAAATGGCATCGCCGTCTTCTCGTAAGCACCTCTCCAACGTCACGCTCGCCCCGAACCAAGTGTCTTCCTGACACCGGACCTGATAGCAAGCAAAAGCCACATGGATCTCACAACCAGGACAGGTATGGGTAGCGTCGTCGCGCAGCCCAGCCCTAAAAAGCACATCCCGAATCCGAGGACCCCTCCACTTGCAATTCATAACGGCCGCATCGCCCCAGTCAATGCCTTCCACTTCGCGCAGCAGCATGCGCATTGCGTGCCGACGGTTCCCGGCACACCCAAGTGCACAGGTGACTTCATGCTGCGCGAACTCTAAGCGAAGCTGGTCTGGAGAGAGAAATAGCGGTGTTTCGACGAGGCCATCGACTCGGATAACGTGCTTCTCGCTGCGTAGGTGTGGAATGGGGCCATGGTTGCGGTCGTAGTTGAGGTCTTGGGGGGTGATGAATCTGGTTGGTAATGAGAATGTGTTGCCAAATATACAATCTTCACCCAGTGAATATATACTGCTCAATCAGCTCTTTGGCGGGTGGTTCTCGATTCAAGGGTTGGTCGGTGGAATAGTCAAGCTGTGCGATTTCTTCCCGAGTACCATTGGAGATTAGGTCCATTTTCTGATCTCGGATAGTTGTCCATGACGTGTTTCATTGGATCTTGTCAGAAGTCTACAGCAGACTGTCATACTATGGGTGCTGTTACGTCACAACTCAGGGAAGAAAAGTCCGACCAGAGGCAAATCTTAGACTTACTAGTACATTAATCAATGAGTATATCTATATTAGCATGGAAAAGCAAATTGAGTATTGTTGGGCCTAGTCTTTTCTTAATTGGATAGTGTTAGACATCCATAGATGATGGATAGCCCGAGTGGGTATCAAAATATACATCTGATGCCTAGAAGTATACATATGAGTAGGGCATAGATATAGAATGATAGAAATGCAATAGACGATAGAGAACTCTGTAGCCAATATCATTTGGTATCGAGTCTGAGCGGGGGAATTTCCGGATGTCTATCCACGCAGAACATGCAGATATTATACAAGAGCGAGTGCAAGCGACAGAGAACAAACAAATCTCCTGCCCTGCATCCTCGGAGTACATCGATGTACCTCGAGGATAGAATATAAACACATTCAAAGCAACACAAAAGAAAAGAAGAAAAGCAACCCGAACACCCACAATGCTTCTGGTCTATCCCGAAAATCGCCACGGCGCCGCGAAGAGTGTACAAGCCGAACAAGGTCAAAAACGAATCGAGAAAGTAAGCGGGACAGTCGAAAAAAAAAAAAAAACCGCATGAATGTAAGGCGAGCCCACGAGGTTCTGACCCTCGAACGAGGCTTACTCCTCCGAAGGCATCCTCATGTAGGCGTCGATAGCAGCACTGAACGCAGCAAAGCCTGCACATCCAGCGGCAGCCGCCTGGGGACCAGCCTTGGCACCCAGGATACCGCCAGTGACACAGCCAGCGGCGACACTGTTGGTGAGGTCGTTTTTAGCGCGGAGGCCCTCGATACAGCACTCGGTGCCCGAGTACAGCGCGCCGACAATGCCAAAGTTCTTGGCCGACGACCACGAGCGAGCACCCATATCCTTAAAGCCGCGACGGACCTGCTCGCGCCAGGGGAGATTGGCAATTTCCCGGCCCTGGGGGGTGAAGGGCGAGTCGTAGGACATCTAGATGCCGACACGGGGCGGTATTAGGGCATTGCTGCAGTCTAATAATGGGGGAGGGGGAAGAAGTTGAGATATGCGCAAAACTTACACTGGCCATGAAGAGACCGAAAGCTCCACCAAGTCCGAATCCCATTGTACCGGAAATGACGGTCTTAATCGGGCACGATTCCATCCCGGCTTGCATCTGTTCGCCCCAAAGACTGTTAGTGTCTGCGCGTCGCATGTCGCTCCGGTTGAAACACAGTGACGAACCATCTTGACCATTGCCTGCTCCTGCTCATTCATGCCCTGCATCCCTGGTGCGCCTCCCATGCCACCCATCGGCGGCGTCATGCTCGGAAAGCTCATGATGAAAGTGGGTGCGGTGAAGCCCGAAGGTTAGGGGTGTTGTGCACGAGGATGCCCGGGCGTTGAAGGTCTGAACGGAAATAGAAGAATCGCTGTAATGCAAAAGGGCGAGAGACACGGATGCCTTTGAGAAATAAAACGGAGCAAGATCCACCCGCGACTCAAGTAGATGCGGCGACTCTCAAATTTATTTTTTACGGCGAACCACGGCAACCCAGATGGCACATCACATGACATCCCGGGCCTTTCTCTTTGGCTCCAGAATTCAAGTCTATTTTATTTTATTTTATTTAGGATTGTTGTCTTCATTTATTCATGAGTTAGATTTCGAGATTTTCATTTTGATTCATCTCAAACAGGCTGGTACAGACTGAAGATAGCCAGAGGGGATGTCCCAAGGATACAGTGCAATGCTAAACAACGCTCTTTCGTAGATGGATGTGTGCAAGTCATAGCCTGGCGTGATTCCGTGGATTGGGTATCATGCCAACGGAGACGTTCAACGACGAGGCCGAAGAAGTAAAGGAAAAAGAAAAGAAAGCAAAGAGGAAATAGTAAATATACACATGAGCGAAAGAGACCGGACAAGAACAGAATCCCCGTCTTAGTCCGCTTTGCTACTTTTGCTCCGGCTGCGAGAAAGAGAACCTGACCGCTCCGGAGAGGGCGAGATGCTCCGCTCCCACTCAGCCATCAGCGTGGAGGCAGTGCGTTGGAGCTTGGAGGGCGTCAACTTGGAGATTGCAGGCCAGGGAAGGCCCTCGGGGACGGTCTGATCGGGGGCGGTGATAGACGGGTTGGTGTCGCCAAAGCTAGGGGAACGGGAGGAGTCAGCGCATAACGAGGTTTTCATAGATGAAATCAGAAAAAGTCGAACGGTACCTAGCACTGGTCCGTGGGCTGCTGCCCTGCGTGATGGGCGATTGGTCGTGCTTGGAGGACTCAACCGTCGATCGACTGGACGACGGCGTGTGCGCCACCTTCGGCTCGGACTGAGGCGCGTCCCAGTCGTCCCAGTCGTCGACCGTATCATCCTCCTTGTCGGCTTGACGGCTGGTGGGGCGGCCGCGGTGCTCGGGGTCGTCGGTTCGGCTTGGGCGGTTGGCGAGGTCGTTGGTGTGGCGAGCGGTCTGGGGCTTCTGCGCCGGTTTATCAACGCCGAATTCATCCCAGAAAGACGTTGAAATCTCTTCCGGCTTGGTGGTTTTACCAGATATTGTGTCAGGCGCTGGCGCTCGACCCTGTGAAGATCCCGACGACCGTGATGATCGGTCCCCCGCTACAGACAGCCGGTCCCGGCTCCGGGAATGGGCTGATGAATTCCGCTTGCGCCCGTTGGGCGGTGCCAACGACCTAGAAGGCGACATGGTCCGGTTTTGTACTCCATTGACAGCATCCTCGCCTACGGTCACTTGTCGAAGGTCCTCTAAAAAGGTCCAGAGACCCTCACGTAGGTCCGAAGCCATTTGCTTTCCGGTTCGCATGATAGTCTCCCCGGACGGCGGAGGCACTGTGTTTCGTAGATGAGTGAGCAAGTGCTCTGGCAGGTGGCTGTCATCGACGGGAGTCCCGATGCTGGAAGTTTTGTTGCGCTCCAATGACGGCAAGGTGGCAGACCGCGGGGCGCGGGCCAGGGGGTTGGATTCTAATGGTGACGGAGCGGCATCGCCACGCTGGGGGATGCCGGGCACGGTGGCAGGCGTGAGAAGAGACAGGGCCCGCGTGTGCGAGCCCTGGAACACCCGTCGGCCATTGGCTGAGATCTTGGAGCCGGCGGTGGCTGCAGCACGGAGACTGCTTCGCTGCTCCAACTCCCGACTGCGGCGTTCTTGGGAAACCGAGGAACTTCCAACCGAGCTGATACTTTGCTCCCGACGGTGCAAGCTTGCCCCATCGGGTGGTCCTGGCTGGTCTGGAGACCGCAGCGGCTTCATCTGCTCGGCTTGGTAGTTGATCTGAGTCCGCTTCCGGGACTTTTCAGCCTGTGCCCACTGCTTCTTGAGGGCTTCGAGCTCGATCTCGGCCCTGTGCAGTTCCTCGCGGAGCTCCATGACTTTCCGGTCTTGAGACGCGATAGCCCGAAGGAAGTCATAGCTATCGTCCGGGCCATCGAATGGCATGGGAGTCCCCGCGGGGAGCGCGGGGGACGGGCGGGTCGAAGACTGCGTGATGGGGGTCATGGATCCAGGCGAAGAGACACTGGGATCGGAGGGGAACACAGCGGGCTGGTTCAAAGCGAGATTGACGGGAAAGTTCAAGGTCAACCGCTTGCTATGTCGGGCGGCGGGGTTGGCACGGGGAGGTAAGGAGAAGCGTTTCTGCTGGGAGAAGGGCTCGGAACGAGAGAGACTGGGGTGAGGGGATTCGGAGGCAGGCTCCGGCTGGGTTGGCGAGTCGGCCGGAGGCGACGGTGAAGTCTGGGACGCATCCGGTGGCGGCCCGTGGGTGACGCCATCCGTTCCCGGGGAACTCTCCATGATGGACCAGCCAGCAGGAGAGACAGGAACGAGTCAGGGCAAAGTGCAGCCGGGCATGGGTGAAGAAAAGCAAGAAAGAAAAGTGACAGTCTGGAAAGTCTCTCCTGAGCCCACATGAGCGGGCCCTGGACCGCGCATCTTTTTCCCCGAGTTGTTTCAGGGGGCGTCACAGAGGTGTACCCGAGGTTGCCCGATGGGGAGGGGAGGCATGCCGCTTTGTCTGAGATACATCGCCTACATTTCTTACTTAGGAATGAATATAGAAATGAACAATAAAGAACACAAGAAGACCAGGAGAGAATCAATCAATTCTCTACCATGTGTTGGATTATCTGCTTTCCCTTCATAGTTGAATCCGTGATCTCGAAGTAAACAGGCATCCCACGCCGCCCTAAGCACACGTTCCTCCGCACGAGGTAATATTACAGCCGCATACCGTCCGTATGGGCTGCCCCACTGCCAAAACCCGTGCTGAAGCTCCCAGGCGCTAAGAAGCTCATCACGTCTTGGCGGGAGAAAAAGGAAAGAAAAGAATAGAGAAAAGAAAAAGAAAATAAAAACAATGATGGAACTTGGCAGACTCGAGGGTATTTACAATGAGGGGTTCGTTGTGCACGCGTCAAGGTCAAAGTATGAAAATAGTGAAGAACGTGAAGAAAACAAATCGCAGTGACGCTGCTGTCGGCAACTGGGCACGTTGCGGCTCCACTCTAATAAGATACCTGGGCAACTATCGCCAGCCCTACTGCCTACTGACCACCAAAGATATAGAAAAATACAACTAGTAATAGACATGCCAATCAATTCCAGCTCATTCGAGTCGTTTTCATATAAATCCTCACGTACATCACACAGGTCAAGGGTAAAAACAGCGAAGGAAGTGAAGAGAAAGTTATCTATGAAGAAAGACAAACAAGAGGCAACAGACATATTACCCATGATAATCACAAGCCTTGCGCAAAGGCCGAGGATACCAACAAAAAATATTACACCAGATGATCAGAACGCCAGGTCCAGTCCCACCATCCAAAAGAAGAAGAAGAAAGCAGAGCGAACGGACGCCAAGGATGCAAGGCCAATGGTCAGTTCGCGGAAGAGAAAATGGAAGGTTATACAAACAGGCCGAAATGCCAGAGTCGTCTATACAGCGAAGGTGAATAATGCGCCGTCTAAATGCCCGGCCAGCGGTTGCGGAGTCCGTCCGCCCAGCGCTGGTAGAGGACATCGGAGAGTTCCTTGGTGTGTTCCATGCCCGGCACGTTCTGGCCAGGCAGGTTGGACAGAGAGGGTGAAGGGGGCTGGGGCTCGACAGTGTGAGTGGATTGTCGACGACGGTGGCTCTTCAGGTGTGGGTTGTTTTGAGCCAGCACGAGGCGTGGCCTCTGGGGAGAGTCCGGCTGGGCAGATTCAGGGATCAAAGTACATAAGCGGGCGTCACTAGTTCATCCCGGTTGGTTAGCATCGAGTAAACCACACGTTCATAAAGAATCACAGAGGAACATACGCTTGGAGCTTTTCGTTCATGGTCCGGATGATGTGGTAGAGGCCCTCCGGATCGGCCATCTCCAGATCGCTCCAGGCTTCGGCCAGTCGTGAAATGGCTTCTCGTTTCTCGCCGTCGCCCGTGGTCGAGAGGACTTCCTGGCAGGAAAGTCCCACGGCTTTGCTGTATGCACGCCGACCGAGTTGGGCCTCTTTACTCGTTGATCCCGGAGAATGGGTTTTCGGGCTGGCGTTCTCATCGACCCCATGCGAGGCCTTCGACGCGCCCATGGCATCTTTCGGAACTTTGTCCGATACACGACGGAATTGCCGAACGGTGGACGGACTGTTACCGAAACTCAAGTCGAGCCCTAGGGGCTGCTTGACACCGCTGGACCGTCGTTTTGTGTTGGCGCGCCGCACCGAGGGAGATCGCTCGGCACCCGGAGCTCGACGGACAGTCGAATTGGCCTGGTGCTTGGGTGGAGGAGGCGGCTGGGAGATGCGCATGTCTTGGAGTAGCTCGGCCGGGTCGGTCTCAGCCTGCTCCTCTTCGTCCCGGGTGGTCCAGTCCGTGCCCTTGGGCACCCACATGGTCGGGGCCTTGACCGTATCAAAGACCCAATCGTCATCATCTTCCTCCTGGCCGGGTTTGGTGATGGTGTTGCTAGCGATAGATAATTAGCCTTTGCGTTGCGCGTGAAAACCACAAGTATGCCCTTACAGAGACTCTGCATAATACTTCACATCTTTAGTCACCCCCCGACAGCCGTCCCATTCCTGCTTGCGTTGGATGAGCTCTTGCAAGGCCTCGGGCTTTCCGGCATTTCGAATAAACTTGTGACGCAGAAGTTCTTTGGCGCTAGGACGGCGATCCGGGTCCTTGGTCAAACACTGTGTAATGAAATCCTTGAAAGTATTGCTGTACTCGTTCCCTTCTAACCGAGGTGCCGGGTTCTTTGGGATGAGGAATAAGACTTTCATCGGATGTGTGCTGGCGTGCGGCGGCTCGCCGTTGATCATCTCGATGGCAGTAATCCCCAAGGACCAAATGTCCGCCTTGAAGTCGTATCCAGCCTGCTGGATTACTTCCGGCGCCATCCAGAACGGAGTCCCCACAAAGGTATTGCGCTGCGACTTGATGTTGACCAGCTGCGCGGCAACGCCAAAGTCTGCCAGCTTCACTTTACCGGTATTCGAGAGCAACACGTTGGCGGCTTTGACATCACGGTGGATCTTTCCTTCGCTGTGCAAATAGTCTAAGCCTTGTAGCAATTCCCGGCAGACAATCGCCACATGCGCTTCGTTAAACACTCCTGGTTTTAACTTGATGGAGGTCAGCGTGAGACTCCGCACTCTTTGACAGGGATGGTCCACGTACAAGGTCCAGACAAGAACCTCCGCCGAGGTACTCCATGACGATCCATAGCTTGTGTCCCTTGAGAAAGCTCGCCTTGTATTGTGTAACGAAGGCACTGGCGCAGGTGGCCAGGACAGAAATCTCCTGTTGAATCTCCTGGATATCATCTTCGCTGGATTCGAGGTCAATCTGCGACGAGATGTTTCGAGTCAATTGCGACAATTCCGACCAGAAAGGACCCAGAGAAAACGTACGTGTTTGACCGCGACAATCTCGCCGGTGGTCTTGTCAATTGCCTTGTAGACCGTTCCAAAACTCCCACCTAGTTGACACCGGGCCATGGGTTAGCCGATCGGACAAACAAGAAATTGACAATTGACGGGGGTTCCTGGCACTCACTCCCCAGCTCCTCCATCATCTGGTAATGGCTCGCCATATCGTCCGCCATGGTTGCGCAAAGATCGGCCCCAACGAGGTTCTATTTACTCCGATCAGACAGGGTTGCGATGTTGACGCGGGCGCATCCAGAGATAGTCAAGGTGAGCTGAAGCTTGACTGAGCTTCTAAACAGCTCTTTGGAGCAGGAGTCACAGATAGAAAAGCGAAGATGGGGCGTAAAGGGGTGGAGTATATTGAATGGTCTTTGTTCTAAACAAGCGCCGTCTCGCATGGCAACGGGTGGCCTGAGGCACCAGTGGGGAACCCAATAATTCGACGCAAGGACGATGTCCTCGACTGAATTACTTGTTGCAATGATGGTGATTATTGCAATTATTGTGGAATAATTAGAATAATTAACCCAGCTAGAACGATGCACGGCTTTTTATTTTATACACTACCCCATCTAGATGTACTTGTACGGGTTCATGATCCCATTCTATAGATATGTTAGCGACCAACCACCAAACAGCTACGTCAGCACCTACCGGGTCGTAGAACGACTTCAGCTGCTGCATCAGCTTCACCATCGTGTCATTCTGGCTGTATCCAATGAACTCCCGCTTGGCGACTCCCAAACCGTGCTCGGCACTGATGCTGCCCTGGCGTTTCTGGATCCACTCGTACACCCAGGGCTCGATGGCCTTCTCGACGTCCTTGTTGTACTGCCGCACCGAGACGTTCAGGTGCAGGTTCGAGTCACCCATGTGGCCGTATCCAACGACCGCGCGCACTGGGAAGGAATCGTCATCACCGACGAAGCCTTTCTGTGTCAATCGCTCGCGGCAGTCGTCCACAAGCTGGTATAGTTCCGACAATGGAATCGACACGTCGTACTTGTAGGTACCTCCCAGGTGGCTCAGGGACTCAGTGATCCCCTCACGCCAGCGCCACAGGGACTGGAACTGGGTCTCATCCTGGGCCAGCACGCCGTCGGCCACAATGCCCTCACCCATCACATTTTCGAGGAACGATTCCAGCTTGGCCATGTCGTGTTCGGCATTGGAACCGCTAGTCTCCACCACGCAGTAGAAGGGGTATTCGCCCTCGATAGGTTGTTTGTTGCCGGTGGACTCCTGGACCAGACGTTGGCTGCGACCATCCATCAGTTCGAATGCGGAGAGAATCTCCGAGAGCTGGCCCTTGGCGGCCAGGTAGGCCTGTTGGACCTGTTCGAAGCTCTCCAATCCAAAGTAGGCCACATTCACTGCCTTCGGTCGCGGCGGGCACAGAATAGAGACGGCAGTGACCAGGCCAATGGTGCCCTCGGAGCCGATAAACAGCTGCTTGAGGTCGTAACCCGTGTTGTTCTTCCGCAGGGTCGACAGGGAGTCGACGATAGTCCCGTCCGGCAGGACTGCCTCGATGCCCAGTACGTTACCGTGCAGGCTGCCGTAGCGCAGGAGTCGCAGACCACCGGCGTTGGTCGCGACATTGCCTCCAATGTGGCAAGACCCCTTGGCACCCAGGTCCAGGGGGAAGAGATGGTCGCGCTCTGCCAAGTACTGGTCGGCCACCTCGAGAATCACACCGGCGTCGGCAACAAGCACACCCGAAGCGCTGTCGAAGGACCGGATCTGGTTCATGCGCGAGGTGTTGATCACGATTTCATCAAAGACCGGCACCGACCCACCGACCAGACCGGTGTTTCCCCCCTGCGGCACAACAGCCAGCTTTCGTTCGTTGCAGTATCGCAGTACCTTGCTGACCTCCTCCGTGTTCTGGGGCTTCAGGACCAGCCGGGTGTGGCCACGGTACTTGCGCATCCAGTCGCTGTTGAAGGGCTCAATGTCGTCCGCCGCGTCGGTGGTTACGCCATCGACCACAGCCGACTGCGCCCCGAGCAGGTCCTTGAAGTAGGTCACATCGTCGGCGGTCACCTCCCCGAATTTCGGATCGCGCTTAAGGTTGGGGTATGCATCACTGGTGTATTTGATCTGGCGGATCTCGGCCTGGACAGTGGAGCTGGCGCTGAAGGTGCGCGCGGTCGCGCAGAGTGTCTGGGGAATGGCAGGTCGCAGGACCAAACGAGGGCGAGACACCCGGGTCCGTCGCAGGGCAGCAGTGAGGTTCCTGGCACCAGACATGGTGAGGGGTGTGGAGGGAAAGAGAACGGACGTTGGCAGATAAATTTTGAGCTCAGGTTCGGTGGAGATCCCGCTGATCTACCCTCTCGGCGAAATTCGGTCTTTGCTCAACTTTTCTTCTTTTTTTACGCCGTTTTTCTTTTCTTTTCTTTTCTTTTCCTGCATTTTGTTGGACTTCCAAAGCAGTCAACCAGTCACAACTCATGTTATTGAGTTCGTACCTTGACATGGGAAAGCGGCGCAAAGGGGTCTTCTCAGTCATGACCAACACCCCCTTGGGTTACCAACCTCAACGCCATGATTTCAGGTCCAGTCCTTACTTCTATTGCCGACCTCCTTGTGTCTTGTTTCAGGACATCGACATCATGGACTTCCAGGCGTATTATAAACTTGATGGAGGGGGGGGAGGAGGCTACTCTATGAACACGAGCTTTTGTACGACAACCGACGATGGGTATGTTCTAGTGAGATCTTCTGGAATCTGATCATTACCGACAGACATCTTCGGGAAACTGTGCAGCGAGAAGAGTCCTTGAAAGAGCGAGTCCATGCACTGCAGAAGATCACCGACAGTGAGGATGAGAAGGAGAAGGCACAGCTCAGTCAGTGGCAGCAGGAGCTGGATGACCTGCAGAGACAGTACTGGAATCAGATGCAATTGCTCGCGATTCATGAATCCTCACTCCCAACCGACCTGAGAAGGATGTATGGTTCGGTGCGAAAGAAGAATCCCAAGTGGTATCTCAATAGCGAGTTGAATGTCGACTGCGCAAGGCGAGGAGGGTGCTGTGGCCGGGACTGTGGCTGCTGCGCAAAGCGAGAGCCAACAGCCAACCGAACGAGAGGAATTGGCCACTGTTCGGTCAACTGTGGATGTTGCTCGCATATCCGGGGGTTTGATCTGACGGTGGAAGAGATGGAAAACGTGCACCAACAGCTCGACAAGACCCTGAAAGGCTCAAATCCCAACCATCTCATTGCTATGACTAGCGGCCTTTTTCCTGCAGCTCCAGTATCGCCTCCCAAGTCTAAGCCTCGGCGTCAACCTCAATCCAAATCCTCGATGTGGAAGCGAGTGGGACATATGCTGAAGCGTTGAATTGCTTGTGAAACTGCCCAATAGTTAAGAACTTGCTAAAAAACTCCATAGGTTGTGGGATTTGCTTCAGCTTCTCTCTTGTCAGGCCAGTGTTGGTTCTGGTCCATTGTATAGATCATCCTGTTGCCTCCACGGTCAATGCAGGTACCCCAGACATGAGACTACAGTCTATGAGCCAAAAATCGAGTAAGAAAAAGTAATTAAACCCCCTCATCTACTCATGATATATTCCCAGCGCCTTTTCATGTACATCCATGGATAAACCCAGTGAGAAATGCTGCGACAGCTGGACAGTCAGTTACGTCATGCGGGCCCCGCCATAGGAAAACAGGACCGATTTCTCTGTCCGGCCACGACTCTCTTCAACCCCAGCCATTGCCCCCCCAAAATGACTTCAACTGTTCTTGTGACTGGAGCCAGCGGACTCCTCGGACGCCAGATGTTCAACACTTTCCAGCATTCAGGTGTGCTGGTAGTTGGGCAGGGTTTCTCCCGCGCGACCCCGCCAACCATCCTCAAGGCAGACCTGGAGAAATCGGAGGAGATTAAGAATCTCCTGGACGAAGTCAAGTAAGAGAATGTGAGATTGAGCTACTGGGAATGATGCTGACCAGCTATTTTTACTGTCAGGCCCCAGATTGTCATCCATTGTGAGCTAGACATTTTGCGTGTCAAAAATTCAAGCTTGGACTTGAGCTGACCCGTGAATAGGTGCGGCAAACAAGTCCCCAGACCTATGTGACAAGAACCCTGAGCAAGCGCGCAAGGTCAATGTCGAGGCTACCCGGTCGTTGGCACAGGAATGCTCGTCGCGCGGGGCATTCTTGATCTACATCTCGACCGACTACGTCTTCCCGGGAGCTGAAGGTGAGGCGCCCTATGAAACAGACGCGGAAACTCGACCGCCGAATCTGTACGGGCAGCTCAAGCGGGACGGGGAATTGGCCGTCTTGGAGGCCACCCGCGACACGGGAGTCGGGGTGGTGCTGCGTGTCCCGGTACTGTACGGATCCGCAAAAGAGAACTCGGAGAGTGCAGTGAACACCCTGGTGGACGCGGTCAAGAAATCACAGGATGAAAATGCCGGTATCAAAATGGACGACTGGTCCCAGCGGTACCCGACCAACACCGAGGACGTGGCGCGGGTGTGCCGCGACATTGTCATCAAGTATCTGCGGGAAAAACGCAGGATAAAGGAGTTTCCACACATCCTGCAGTTCACTTCTGAGGACCGCATGACCAAGTATGAGATTTGCGAGAAGCTCGCCGAGGTGCTCGGGGTGTCGATTCCCGGCATGATTCGCAACAAGCAAGGGAATGACCCCAACGCTGGTGCCCAGCGGCCATATGACACGCATCTCTCGACCAAAGCCTTGACGGAGCTTGGTATTGATGTGCGGACAATGGATTTTGTTGCGTGGTGGTAAGTCTGGTCGTCCGAATAGGAAGATGCTATACTCACGGTGGCTGCAGGCGCAAACAGTTGGAGACCAATCGGTAGAGGGAAAAATGGGGATCTACTCGATCGATCCTGAAGGATGAGAAAAAGAAAAAGAAAACCTAGACGAGATTCAGCTCAAAGATGATCAAAAGGAACACCTTGGTTCAACACTTCTCACCGAGGATCAAATAGTTTGGCGTAGATCTCCTCGGTGACTCTATTTGTATGCACGATCCTTCACAAAGCTTTAAGGATCCCCGGCCTGGGTCGGGAGATGGATATCTATTTACAAAGAGGCCGTTTAACCTCCCGCTGTCCATGCTATTAACCCATTTAGGAGAGCCCGTCGCCCCCGCTATAGAAGGAGACGAGTCTATATATATTATCTTACCGTGGTGACCTTATAGATTAAATAATCCATCTAGCTAGAACCTTCCGTCTACAAAAGAAAAAAATATAAATAAGGCGAATTAAAACGTATATACCCTATTAGCGAAATCCTCCCTAATCCTTTACTAAGACTATAGAGAGCTAACTATTCCTATCTCTATACTCTTAATCTAAGCCTATAATAGCTAATTATACATAGGTCTTAGATAGAATCTAAAAGATAATACCTTTACTAAACTTAATTAGGCTTAGAGAGGGACTGAAGGTTTAGTAAAACGTCTTTACTATAGCTATAAAAGTCTCTATTTTTTCCCTATATAATAAAAGATATTAAAAGTTAATTATAGAAACGCTTGTTCGTTAATATTCTATATATATCTTCTATTAAGAATGAAAAAGATTATAATAGGCCTATAGTTAGTGTGGAATCATGGGCCACCATCCGTGCATAACCACATAGACTAAAAGTCCAACAATTCTGCTGACTAGTCAGCAGAATGTTATGGTGGATATATATAGCAGCGATATCACATTAGTAGTGACTTTATTTTAGAAATCTTTAATAGAACTCCTAAAGAAAATCGATTAGGACTGATAGAGCTATTATAAAGGGTCTATAAAAATAGTGAGGCATGAGGTTATTCCTAACTGACGGAAGGGGTAGATCAGGTGATCGCAGGCCAGTCAGTACGGTACTGCCCCTGCCCTTCTCCTCTGCCATCTTCATCAAAAGCGCGCGCTGCTTGGCATTTTGCATTTGGTTTCTCACCGAGTCCATCACGACGTTTCCACCATTGACTCTATCGGACAGTAACTGGATAACTTCCACATGACCTCCAACGCAGGCGGCATGTAATGGTGTCCAGTCGTCCACTCTTTCAAATTGACATCGGCACCGTTTTCAAGCAACATTCGAACCATGCTATCAGAGCCTCTCAGGGATGCTTTATGCAGCGCTGTGCTTCCTTTCATGTCTTGCCAGTTGATGTTGGCATTATGTTCTAGTAGCAATCGCGCTACTGGAACGGTTCCCCCTTGCGCAGTCCAGCAAAGGGCAGTCTGGCCAGTATCATTTTCGGCTTGGACACAGGCGCCACCTTCTAACAAAAGCCGTGTGATCTCCTCCTTTGTGACAGACCAATGCAAGGCGGAATCGTCATATCTATCCGTAGAATCGACCTTGGCTCCGTTCCGCAAAAGCGTCCGTACTGTTTCTTCGTGTCCGACCGATACTGCGAAATCCAACGCTGTGCTACCCCATTCGTCCCTAGCATTCACGTTGACACCACTGTCTAGCAGTTTCCGCAAAATTGCCTCTTGACCTTCCTCGGCTGCTAAAAATAGCGCTTTTTCGTGAATCTCGCTTCCAGCGTCCAGGTCACGGCATTGCTCCATCAGCTTCGTTATTAGCTCGACATCGCCATTGACTACCGCCCAGTTGAGAGCGGTTCAATCTGGGATATCACTGCAAGTCCAATGCAGCAGACTCGGCGTTGAAGGAAATATCATTAGCCTAGAAATTTCTGAGCGATTTATACAGCCACGGCGCGCTCGTCACTCCATATTGCCTTTATGATCGAGTAGTAGACGAAAAGGAGTTGTGCAAAAGTTGAGGCTAAGAAAACCCAACCTAAAAAGATACTGAAATGGACTGTATAAAGTCCAATCAGTGTGTTCACACTTTTTGTGGTCTAGCGGTCATTCTGGTTGACAAAGGTCAATGTCAACCAGAAAAAATGACCGCTGTTTCAGCGCCAAGCAACTCCGTATTAGTCAGCCATTGTCGTGACACTCACTAGTTATTTGTGTCGGCTATGTCGCAAGTTTATTGCTTTAGCAGTCGATATACGTGTCCAGATAGAGCAGATTGAAGGTATTTAGGAGAGTATTCCGCAGATATTTTTAGAGATCAGACCCTCATACATTCGTTTCTTTGGCTATGAGATTACTAGCGTATTCCGAACATCAGATTGTTTGACAACCTGACAATTTTGGTCGGATAACTAATTAACTAGTTAAACAAGCCCTAAAATGGATGACCCAGGGTTCGGCGGACGAGGGGATAAACTAATTTCCCACCTTCTCAGCAAACCAATCTATCAAATGACTAAGAGTCGGATGACTCCACGTCAGCGTAGGCGGCACATTTGTTCTCAGCGTCGCCTGCAACTGTCGTCTCAGACTTGCCGTCATCACGGAGTCGACTCCCAAGTCCGACAGAGCCGCCTTGCTATCCACATCCTCAGCTCCCATTTGCAGCACATTTGCGATGCAGCGGCGGATCTTCTCTTCGAGGTAGGCCTTGAGCTCCGGGGCGGAATTGGGGATGACACCATTGGCGTCGCTCGTTTCACCAAAGGAGCCAGCGCCAGAGTCCGCAGATGACCTATTGCCGACACGTCGCACGGCTATGTCATTGAGAATCGGTGTTGGCAGGGGCTCGCCGTCACCAAAGGCCAAACTGCGGAGGACGACACCGTGGTCCATGTTGTACTTGGCAAGATGTTGCCAGGCGTCGAAGGCCTCCTGGTGCGTTAAATCAGTAATACCCTTGCTTTCCAGCTCGGCATTGATAAAGTCCGTGCTGGCACCCATGCCCATTCCGCGCCAGGAGGTCCACTGGAACGCTACAGCGTTATCACCCTGGCGGTGGCGGTGCGTGGCCAGGGTGTCCAGGAAGGCGTTTCCGCTGCCATAGGAGCTCTGACCTGTGAAACCGACGAGCTGGCCGCAGGACGAGAAGAGGACGAAAAAGTCTACGCTCTTGGGGGGGAAGACCTCGTGTAGTGCGAGGGCGCCTTGCACTTTGGGTGCGAGAACCCGGGCGAAGGCGTCTTTGGTGGTTCTCATGACCAGTTGGTTGTCCAGGACACCAGCAGCGTGGACGACTCCAAGAACAGGCGGAAGGGAGAGACAGTCAAGGGTGGAGGAGAGTCGGTACGCAGCATCACGTGCGCTGATGTCCAGTGACAATACATAAACAGTTGCGCCCCGGCTTTCCAGGGTTTGGATCTGGGAAATGGCCTGTGCGAGCTCACCCTCGACGGTACCCCAGGTCTTGCGTGGGGGCAGAGCGCGCCGCGAGATGAGAATAAAGCGGCGGGCACCCTTTTCAACGAGAAAGTTTGCCACAGACAGACCAAGCACTCCCAGGCCGCCGGTGATCAGGTAAGTTCCATCGGCTCGGGGCAGCAAAGGTGACGTCTGCGAGGCAGGACGGAGCTTGTCGCGAGGGAGACTGCGGAAGCGGGCGGTGCGGGCCACTCCATCGCGTATGCGGATGATATCGGAACCTTGGATGTACCGCAGTGTAGACAGTGGGAAAATGGTGTCCTCTGTGTCAATGAGTCCACCGAATTGGTCTGAATGCTCGCTCGCCATGACTCGGCTCAGCCCAACCAGTGCGCCGTGGGCCAAAGCCGTCGCGGAGTCTCCCTCGGTGGCTTTGGGAGTCAGCACAAACAATTTGGATGCGATCGAGCCGTTGACAATAAACTTCATGGTTTCCAACAGTTCCCAGGTGAAATCTTCCGATGCTTGTAGGACCTCCTGCAGAGACTGCACCTCACCAGGAATATAAACAATGGCCGTTTCTTTGTTCAGCAGCAGAGAGCCAGCCTGGGCCGCAAGGTCTCTGGCAGAGTCCACCTGGAATGCTCGCACCTTCGCTGGCAGAGTCTGCGCATACTTCTCGCGCAAGACCAGGCTGTTAGAGACGACGACGACCCGGGAGATAGGCAGAGGCTCCTCCACGGGGCCGACCGGAGGCCATGCGATCTGATGCACCAGACTCTCTATGCTGCCATTGATACCAGGGGTACCTTCAATCTCGGAGAAGCGCATTGATGTGAACTTGGCAATAACCTCACCAGCATCGTTGCAGACGCTGACGTGGGAAGCAAGCGCGGTGTCGGACGCCTCTTCCACATACAACCAGCCGGTCTTGGGCGGGTTGTCGCGGGTGAAGATCTCAACCTTCTGGACCTGGGCAGGCATGCGCAGACGAGGCTCGTTGAAAAAGATAGTGGAGCCGACCGAGGTAGCGGCATCAAGAATCGGAGCCCATGACGAGGCATCCCAGGGTAAGGCGGTGCCAGCAGCAACATTGGGCGCAACATCAACACGTGCGATCATGTGTTTGGTGTTGCCGTAGTGCTCCTGGATGGCCCAGGGGAAGCCCATGGCCGACACGCCAACCTTGTCCAGATAATCGATCGAAAAGTCATCGCGAAGGCGGGTGCCGATGCGAGTTTTGACGGCGTCGACATCGATAGGTTCGGGGGTGGTAGGCAGGATCTGTGTGGACTCATTCTCCCACCGTGCGGTGGTGTGCGTTACCCATGAAACACCGTCAGCGGTGGACTCTTCATTCTGGGTCAGCCGTGACATGATCTTCACCTCATCCTGCTGCACGAGAATCTGCACCGAGCGAGGGGCATTCATGGCAACGGGCACGCGCAGCATGACGTTCCGCAAAACATTGGCCGCTGTGCCTTTTAACAAGGTGTTAATCAAACCCGCAGCTGGGACGATCTCTGTGCCATGCAGGGGATGGCTGCCAGGAAATGGCTTGGTGTCATTGTCAAGGCAAGTGGTGTAGACAACTGTCTGGGTACCGGCCACACCAATGCGCTGACCGAGCAACGTGTGCTTGTCAACGTCGTGAGTCAATCCCGTGTTGATCGGACCCGTTTCAATCTTACGCCAGGCGGGTCGATGTATCCAGGTGGTCGTAGGGAGGCCACTAGCCCAAGGCCCAGGAAGCTGGGTCTTCCAGTTGACCTTAATACCACAGCAGTGCAATTGCGCGATTGCATTAAGGATGTTCTTTTCACTTGGTTTCTGGCGCTGCAGCGTAGGCACGACTAAGTAATCCTCAAGACCGGCATCAGCTAATGTTTCGGTAATGGAGTAGGATACAAGCGGGTGGCTAGACACTTCGAGGAAAATTCGGTAGCCGTCCTCAATGGCTGCTCTGACAGCAGGCATCAGACGAACCGGGTTGACCATATTATTAGCCCAATATTTGGGCCCGCGAGTATCGCGGCCACGGGGATCCAGAAGGGAAGTGGAGTACAGTTCAGTGGAAGGAGACGTTGGGCCCAAGTCCTCCAGGGTGGCGAGGAGGGGCTCAATCAGTTGGGCCAACATGGGGCTGTGGAAAGCGATGTCGGTGCGGACGGTGAAAGTCTTGATGCCACGATCCTTGAAAGCCTCGACCGCCTGCTCAATCGCCGCCTTCACTCCCGCAACAACACAAGATGAGGGAGAGGTGTCAATCGCCGCCACAAGATCAGTGCGACCTTCAAGCTCTTGTGCAATTATAGAGTACGGCTTGCTGACCAGGATCATACCCCCTTGACCCATGACTTTCCGGTAGAGCATAGCCCGGCGAGCGACAATGCGAGCGCCATCTTCCGTGGTAATAGCTCCTGCAATGGCACTCGCTGCAATTTCACCTACAGAATGTCCGATGACAGCCTGTGGGAAAACACCCTTGCGATTCAAGACCGCGCTGATGCCAATCTGCATGATGTACGTCAGGATCTGGACCTCGTCCGAGGCACCGAAATCCCCGCTCTGGAGAAGGGCAGTAGGCGAGACTCCGATTTCTGCTTGCACAATCGCATCGAGAGGCCCAATGGCCTCAACAAAGACTGGGTTGAGCAGCATCTCCTTGCCCATATCAGTCCACTGAGCACCGTGGCCAGAGAACAGCCAGACTACATCCTTGCGCACGTCCGATCCGTACACGCGGTTCTGGGTGATCCAAGGGTGGTTCGAGCCTTCGATCAGGTTATCCAGAACCTTGACAGCGTCTTCATGACTGTCAACCACCATGGCAGCACGGTAGTCATGGTGGTCGCGGCGCAATGCCAAAGTCGTGGTGATGGCGTCCAAGTCCTGCTGACGACCAACTTTGGACTGGAGCCAGTCCTTCAACGTGCGCGCCTGCAGCGAAAGACGCTTCTCCTGAGGTCCTGACAGCAGAAGTAGGACCGGGCCGGTGTTTTGAGCACAGGGGATAGGTGCCAAAGGAGACTGAGGCGTGCTGAATGCCTCAATAACAGCGTGCGAGACAGTGCCGCCGTAACCATACGAGCTAACCGCAGCGCGACGGGGCTGGATTGTCTCGGGCCATTTGGTAATCTCCTGCACAACCTTGACACCGGCGGTCTCCCAGTCAACGCGGCTATTGAGCGTCCTCAGGTTGGCTTGGGGAGCCAGGACACCTTTAGCCACGGCCATGACGGCCTTGATGAAGCCCATGGCACCCGCACCGGCCTCTAGATGGCCTATGTTGGGCTTGATAGAGCCGATGAAACAGGGGCTGCCTTGCTTGCGGCCCACTCCGTACACGCCCGCGAGGGCGGAAACTTCGGTCGGGTCACCCAGCGGAGTGGACGTCGCGTGAGCCTCGACATACTGCACCGAGAGTGGGTCGATATCCCCGACTTTGAGTGCCTTGCGGGCAACGAGCTGCTGGGCCTTCGCGTTGGGCGCCATGATACCGTTGGTCTTGCCGTCCTGGGCCACGGCACTACCCTTAATAATAGCCTGGATGTGGTCGCCGTCGCGGATAGCCTGGGAAACGTCCTTAAGAATGATAGAAGCGGCACCCTCTCCGCGCCCGTATCCCTTGGCGTCGTTGTCGAAGGAGCGGCAACAGCCCTCAGACGAGATAGCGCCCGCCTGATCGAGGACGCGAGTCAGGCCAGGTCCACAGAGGGCATTAACACCGCCGACGATAGCAATCCTGGACTCTCTGAGAATGATCGACTGTATACCATGGTGGACAGAAACAAGTGAAGAGGCGCATGCCGCGTCGACCGCAGTACTGGGACCCATTAGGTTGAGGTGGTATGAAATACGATTGGGGATGCCGCAGTACGCACTGCCAATGCCCATCCAGGCTTCAACGTTAGGTAGATCCTCTAGCAAAAGCTTGGAGTAGTCGTCAGAGTTGACCCCCCAGAATACAGCCGTGTCGCTGCCTGATAGGTCCTTGGCTGGAATTCCTGCGTTCTCAAGGGCTTCCCAGGTGACTTCCAACGAGAGCCGCTGCTGGGGGTCCATCTGTTCTGCCTCCTTGGGTGAAATGCCAAAGAACTGGCCGTCAAAGGCCTCGATATTGTCAACGAAATAGCCGCGCGAGGTGGTCTGGCTTAGAATCTTGGGGTTGCGTGGGTCACGACGGTGGTAGGGCTCCCAGCGCATGGGAGGGACCTCACCCGAGGCGTCCTTCTGATCCAACAGCGACTGCCAGAGCTGCTCGGGGTTGTTGTTCCCGCCGGCGGTACGGCAGGCCATGCCAACAACGGCGACGTCGTTGTTGTGCTCCTAAGAGTTCTTGTCTTAGCGAGGTGTGGAGGTTATGGGAGACGGCAATGGCACTTACATACTGCCAGAACTCGGTGTTGGTATTGATGATCTCCGGAGACATCCTCTCCGGAGCAGTGGAGTCGATGTGGATAGGGGCCATTGTGATGGTGGTGGTCATTTTAAACCAACGGATTGATGTTTAGTCTGTTGAAGTTGAACTATATAGGTCTATAGATGTGTAATGTGCTGTCGAGAAATGACTCTTGGCTGCTGAATAACTACCAACCTATAGTCATAGTCTTCTGAAGCACATAGTCTCTAGGGTTCATATGATATTTTTCACGTAGTGTATCTGTAAGGTCTTCCTTCCATCTTTGTCTTTATGCAGACTTCTTATCTGGACATATGGAGTCTGCTAGCCCTGTAGCACGTCAGTCACAACATGTTCTGAAAGGGATAAAGAAAGAGCCCATTTCCTGGACTTAGAGCCAAGCTCCCTGTTAGAACACCGGAGTCATGGGGAACTTGTGATATCTACTTCAGGAGAGAGCATTCTATTTTGTGAACATACACCTGGACGTAATATACAGAAGTGCATAGCTCTGCATGTAAAATGTTGAGCAGGACCAACACATGTTTTACCAATACAGTGGGGTGACAAAAGTCTGGAGACCCCCTCCGATTCAGAAAGAGTTCTCGGATGTGCCGACCAAAAGGCAACTTATTTTGACGTTAGGACAACGTTAGCTTACTGAAGATTAATTCGCCATCGCCGTGACGACTCTAGTTAGTTAACTATCTCAGATCTGTCAGCACAAATGGTATTTTTGGGTTACACCAGCAATGCAGCGGTCATTTGAAACGAATGTATGAGGGTCTAATCCTCTACACTATCTACATATTCTACCCCTTAAATCCTTAAATTTATCACGCGTTAGCTTCCATAAGAGGTAAGAATCATCCCGATGATGGCTGAATTATCCGATGTCTTCGGAACCTCTGAGATAGCGGTCATTTTGCTCGACATCATCTTTATGCAAGCGTACCGTTTTAGTAATTACTATACATGTAGAGGTTGAACAGATCACGCAGAAAGTTTAGGGATCCACGCCCCTTGTATTGATTTCTTTTGGCAATATACTCTACTAGCATATGCCGAGTATCGCTTTTGTTGCTGTCTGTATCAACAATTTGGCTGCTTTAATTGCGTGATGAGGGGTGTTTAGGATTGTCTTCAGGTTGTCAACACAAATGGGTATTCGGGATACACCAGCAATGCATTGGTCATTAAACGAATGTATGAGGGTCTGAGTTTTTCAACTATCTGCGAATTCTAGCTGTATACGGCTGGCTTGGTACTCGCCAGCCCAGCGCAATGCCCGCACCGATGCCACCGCCGTGACTAGAGCCACTTCCCCCGCTAAGGGCGGAGGCGTCTGGGGGATTACCATGGTGTGCGATTGATTTGATGCAAAGAAAGTGATGCCAGAGCGGTTGTCGCCTTTTCTTCCCACCGGACGCAGTGGACTGTATATGGACTAATCTATCCCTATAAAGGGTGATGCAAGCCACCTGCCAGCTCCAACGTAATGTCACCTGGGAACTATCCGCATGCGGAAAACGGCTGCCGGGTCTACGATGACCCCTGCGAGTAGCCAAAGTTGTTGCGATGGCAGCCGGTTCATGACGTTTACCGCTATCATTCATCCAAGATGCCAGGGTGTCCGCTTGACGTGCTAAGCCTTTTTCCAGTGGCGCTGAGAGTAGTAAGACCTGAGGGCGTGGTGGATCTCCTGTCTTATCTTCTGACATGGGAACTTTGTATTCTTCGACGATGGTATGCGAAATAGATCCCCCGTAACCGTAGCTGCATGTTCCAGCGTAGCGTGGCATCTTTGAGGCTGGCCACTCCTGGGCATCTCTCACGACTTCCAGGCTCGACTGCTCCTAGTGAATGCGCGGATTGAGCTTCTCTAAATTGGCTTACGGGAGCAGAATACCCTTGTAAACCGATAGGATAGTTTTAATAAAATTCACGGCACCTGCATCGGCCTCAAGATATCCCACGTTGGGTTTTACTGAGCTAATATAGCACGGTAATTCCGATTCCTTTCCCTTTACCATATATATTTGAAATGGCAGAAACTTCTGTCGGATCTCCTAGTTAAGTGGATATAGTATAGGCCTCAACGTAGTCAACCATGATTAGATCCACGCCTGCAGATTTGAGCGATATCTAAGCAACTAATTCTTGTGTTCCCAGCGCATCTTGGGGACATCAGTGGAGGCGTCGATCTTGCCGAGGATAGTCTTCCACAGCTCTTCAGGGCTATTATTTCCACCAGCAAGTCGACAGGCCATACCCACTACCGCGACAGCGCCGTGGCAACTCTAGTTATTCAATTAGAAGATATTCTTTCTTCACTGGGCAATTTATAGGACACACGCACAAAGTCGTTGTCGTGACAGATAGACATTTTATTGAAAATAGATTACTGTTAGCTATTGCTGCCTCATATGATAGTTTATATTGAGGTCTTCACCAAACCCAACCTGTGCTTCACAATGGATCTTTATATTCGGGGCTTCCTATGGTAATCGCATTCCACACACTACCGCAACATTCCCCTTTTATCATCCGGCATATATATCTTGTTGTGGTACGGGAAGGGGGCAAATCAATCACTGCGGCATATCAAACAGTAACCTCATGAAGTAAGGGTTGAACTCCTTGGGTTACTTGACAGGTAGGGCTCTTAAATAAGTATGTGACTATTTGATCGACGTTAATTTTACCGGCTCGACCACAATACGTGTTCTTCCTGTTGATCCCCGGAGGATAATGTCTCCTGCATCTGTCACATGGAATGTCGCTAATGATCATCACCTCCCCATCATTCAAAACGTATGAAGCCATTTTTGATTGCATGGTTTCCAGAAAGATATGCAATGTTATGTATTACTTTACCGTCTGGGAGCGACAGGACTATCTCTCAGAGAGATGGCTAGTGATGAACGCGATGAGAACTCGATGATCGTATAAAGCTCCGAAGAAGAGGAACTATGTGAAGGCTATCTGAACGGGAAGGAATGGTGGAGCGGGTACTATACTCAATGAGGAAGGAGGCAGAGGTGGCCTCGATAGCCACTCAACGCTACCTAGTACTCTCACCCTTGTCTTCTCGGAGCCTCTCTTTGGGACACATGAAGGTAAGACTATGTACAGAATGGCTCCTCGCAATTTATGAATGTATCGTGGTCCATAGAAAAGCAGTTCTTGTGAAAGTGTCATCGTAAAGCTGTGTGACTGCATGCCCATTCCTCACGTCCGGCTGGGATGCAGGTGGATTTGTGAGGGAGATGATCCTAGCTGGTGTAGACTGTTCGGACGCGGTTGGTGCATATGTAGGGGTTGGTTGCCCGTGAGTATGATTTCATATACCGAGAAGACAAGGAAAGAAGATAACACTGGGATCAAAAAAAAAAAAAAAAAAAAAAAGGTAGAGAAACAGTTTGCAGACGAAGACGGGAAGGGGTTAGCATTCTGCCTTCCACATATGCAGCATGCTGTAGAAGTATTCAGAACAAGCTTCACATGAACTGTGCATCTGTATATCGACCAAAAAGGCAGTGCCAATCTCCTCCCTGCATTCGTAGGTTGGTGTGTACTGACAAAGGGGAGGGTGTGGATTATCTGCACATTGCTGTTTCAAGTAAAATGATGGAATATAAGGTTGGTGAAAACATTGTTGGAATAAGAGCTCTCCTGATCACTTGATAATTGAGATATGTGGGTCAGCTTGGTTGGCGGCGAGGTTACATGGAATATACTTGGTATGTAAGGACGCACCATGTAGTTGACATTTTGGGCGAGTGGCATAACATGCTAACAGCACATACATACGAGAAGTTCTCCAGATGACTTCCTCTTACAGAGTCAGACAGGTTCTCACTCCTCATTCCTTCTCTGTTTCATCAGTACTATATGTAAATCCTTCCCCCACAGCCCGCCAGTAGTACTATAGAATATTTTTGGGAGAGCACACCAAATTATCTCAATCCGTGATTTATCAGACGTGGTATTTCATTATCAAGAGCCATGGCGGAAATACCTGAATGGGACGGAGAAGGCAACGTCTCTGAACTTCTGAGAGGAGAAGCTGGGAAGCTCCTGAAAGACTACGCCAACATAGAACCCGAGAAGATGGAGGCTCACGTCAAGTATATCGTAAGTATTCTGATTGTCCTTCCATCACTTCAACCCCCTTTGAGATTGTGGTCTAATAGAGATAAAGGCCAAAAGTGGCTGGGATGTGATGAGGTATCCTTGTTTCCAAAAATTCGTCTTTCTCCACCTCGACCTCTCTCGTTGCCCCATCTACCAGCAGGTAATCGAGCAAACCCAGTCCGGACACTTGCTTCTGGATCTGGGGTGTGGCCTGGGACAGGATATCCGGCGTCTAGTGCAGGATGGGGCACCGGCAGAGAACCTGATTGGATTGGATGTCGTACCAGAGTATATTGATCTTGGATATCAGTTGTTCATGGACAGGTCGAAGCTGGCCTCTACATTCCTCATCCATGATTTCTTCCAGGATACGCCGGAAATGGACCGCCTGAAACATCGAGTCAAGATCATCAACTCTGGATACTTCATGCACCTGTGGAACTGGGAAATACAGCTGAATGCTGCAAAGCGCATGATCCAGCTTCTTGCACCCGTCAAAGATGCCATCATCACCGGTGTTCACTTCGGGAGCCAGTCGCCGGGCATGTGGGCTAAGGTTCCTCCTGGCCTCAGTCCCATGTTTCTCCACAATAAAGAGACATTGTCCGAACTGTGGATACAGGCTGGAAAGCAAACCCAGACTACCTGGACTATCCAGATTGTCATAGAGCACGATAAGTACTGCAGAGACATTGACCCTGATGGATGTCGGTTGAGATGGGCTCTTATGCGGCACTGAATTGAGCTCTCCACTGTAGGACAGTTCCAGGCCAAAGCAGGAGGAACTTTATTTAATTGAAATAGTACTTTTAAGACAGTGTTGGTCGTGCTTAGACCTCGCCAAATACGGGTTTGAGGAGAGTTTTGGCTTGAAAGAACCGCCCACGGGTTACCCACCGCAGGTTTCCGATCTTGAAACCCGCCCATTTAACCCAATGTTTGCATAATTTCAGTATAAATTTGATTAGTCATTGATGGAAGATAACTAACGTATCCGGTAAGCGAGCGGGTTACAGCTGAGCGGGCCCCAAAATATTTTATGCTAAAATTAAAATTCTTACTAATAATACTTTTATTATCCACGGATCAACTCTATATAACCTTATATCTCTATATTTATAATATTTATAGTGATTTTTTATTGAATATATATAAAAAATCTATATTCTAAATTATATATAAAACCTAGAAACGGTATAAATAAAGAAAATAAAAGGGGTAAACGAAAATATAAATAAAAAATAAAGATATATTATATACTACTTTCTTTTCGAGCGATAGACTTCTTAATATCTTTAAACTAATAATTAATATACTAGAAGATAAATAGGATATACTTATTATCGTAGCTAATTAGTGGTTTATCTTAAGATCGATTTAATTTATTTATAAAAGAAATACTTAATATTATAGATAAAAAATATATAATTTATATAGTCATGGGCCTTAGTATATATATTATATTTGTAACCTAAGTTAGGGCCCCGGACCTAATATTGTGTCAGAGTCTTCGACCCAAAACCCAACCCAGCCCAGGTTGGGTCCGGGTTATATAGGGTCGTGCGGAAGTCTAATAGTACACAAGGTTCGGTCTGCGTTCAAAGGATTACAGCTGCGCTTTAGAACCAATATCTTGTTTCCGGTGCTGAAGTGTTGTCTGGTTAGAACTACCAGCACTATATCAGATATCTCGGACTGATCAGTGATTAAATCTGAAGATGTCTTTGAAGGACTTACCTAAAATGCGATCATATTTCGAACCATGAAATGCCGAATGATACGAGTGGAGATGAGGTGCTCTGAGATCTAGGCCTAGACCTGAGACAAAATCTCCGTCGCCTATAAACTTTCTGGCTTCGTTCAACGTATCGGAGAAATCACTTTGTATTGTCAAACATTATTCATATTATAAAGAGGCAGAAGATCTTACAGAACTAGAGATTGCAGTGTGTCTGTCTTGGTATGTAGCTCTTTTTCAATCGTTTCTTTGAAATAGGTGGTGTCTCCGACTATGATTATAGTAAGTTAATATATACATCAAATTGTCTTTGAAGGTTTATATACAATCTTGCTCCCTTAGTAATTTCACTTCGGTTTTTCTTTCTCCACCGGCTATTCAACGATATAGTGTCAGGAACTCAATATTCTGGGTGTCAACTAATCGAATTATGACTTAGGCATCATGTGTAGCATCGTATAAACTTGTTGGCTCACTTTTCTTTGAGGCTCCGGGGGCCATTGTATATAGCATATCACTAGGACCATATATCAGAAGCTTCTTGGAGAACTTAATTTGGGAACCGATATATCCAAGAATGACTTACATCCCTTGGAGTTTAGTTATATAGTGGGAAATAGTCTTCCAAGAAACGCGAGATTACCCCAACTAAAATCAGTAGAGAACCTGGAAGGAAGCGTTGAGTGAAGCGCACACGATATAAATACACTCGATTGGCTATTGGCATAGTCGGAGAATGCATTTTACGTTATTGAATCCCTAGAAAGCGGGATTTTATACCAATTAAGTATCGGGTAGTGGAAATACCCGTAATCTGTAGGAAGTGGAGAAATCTTGTGGGTGTTGACCGCAATAGTAATTTAAAATTGACGAGGATGCGACAAACTAAATTTATAAAATGGTCCTATGAACTGTACATATGAGTTGTTGGGCTGGGTGTGGATTGTTCGCCCCCAAGGTCTGCTCCAAAAATGGCCTGAAAGCGCATGTATCAGCGCTGAAATCAACCTGGGATTGAGTCCCTTGGCAGCCCAGAACATTTGTTGGACGGGAAGAAACTTGGTCGGACGCGACAGCGGCGTAGTGATTCTAGACAATCCATCAGGAACCTGTGGATCTGACTGGTCTTTCAAGAAGTGACCTTACACCTCGATCACATTCTCCTTTCAAAAGTATGTTTTAGGCAAGAGATACAGCTTTATGCAGCCTAGTCCCTTGCTCAAGATATGGTTGAATATTTTGGATCAGTAGATCAAGGAAAGACCTCTACTTTATCCATGAATACTATCTCTCGAATTTCCCAAGGAAACCAACGGCTTCTAGTTAGGCCTGAAGACATAATTTATTGACGTCTCTATTTTCGTAGCTGATAAGCTGATTTAGCCAACTTCTCATACTCAATGATTATCCGCCCAAGCCTGTTGATTTTTCTTTGTCGAATAAATCTGTTAGCGATCTCTGGGGAAAGGAGAACTGTGGGGTTGATGCCCAAATATCAACTTACAGATCTCTTTCTATATTCTCATTTATAAGATATAGCTCCATTTTTGCAACCCCGGATTGAAGCCAGTTGGGGTGAATCACAACCCGGTGGATTCAGAGTCTTGAGCATAGGAAATTTGTTCCCTGGCATTTTGTGAAGCGCAGAGTTCAGTTCTTGCATCGTCATCGGTTCTTCACAAAGGCTTCGTTGGAGAATTCTGAGAAAGTACTCATGTTTCGTGAAGTCGTATGCAACTTGTAAACGCTTTCTCATAGTAGCTGAATTCTGCTCTCTGAAATCCTCAGGGGGTATGAATAACATTCTTGACTCAGGTGGTAACGCCAGCCTAAGAAGGGCTTTCCCAATATTGGAAACATCATCTGCGAAGGCTTCCTGCTTTTCACATTCCCGGTCTAGAAGGTTGTCGAGGTGAGTTTGGGGATTTCTAGTTCAGCTGAGTTCGGCCTTACCTGGTCTTTCTGTAAAGTCAACTGCCTTATCCCAATCGATGATTCTCCAATCGTTTGTCTTATCGGTCCTCATCAGATTCCTTTCAGCAGCATCCCGCTGAGCAATCCCAAGTTTGTGAGCATAAGACAACCCATCTGTCCATTGTTGGAACATAATAAGGGGGTCAAACTCCAGAGGGGCAGGACTATGAACCAGAGTCAATAAAGACTCCTCCAACCTTTCCATAATGACGAGAGAATGGAAGTCCATCTTTTTTGTGTGAAAGTTCTTAAGTGAATACTGAAAAGCCTTATACACTTCAGGTATAATACTTTTAGTCCCTTTCGGCGTTTGTAGCTTTTCCATCACACGCACACTATCGAACGCTAAACTGCCCTTTGCAGTTTTTGCAACCACCCCACCCCGGAATGTGTCATCTCGAAGTCGCCTTCCCTCCCACTTTGGGTTTTCAAGATCCGTGCCTACTCGGCGTGGCGCTTTGAATGTCAATATTGAGGCTTCGAATATATCACCGTCGGACCCTCCGCCCAATCTTGGGCCAAGTGAGACTATTCCACATGGCAAGCCATTTTTGCTAGTGCCAAATCCATAAATCTGCTTGCCATTTGGATGACTGCCTATATGCCATCCAGCCACTCGGATATCTGAACAGGTCTTCCCCTGGGCGGGAGATCTCTTTGCTCTTTGTAGGATGGATTTGAAGGGGCTGGATGAAGAGGGGCCCAATGCTGGAGGCAAGTCGGGAATAGGACCAGCGTAGACACAGTTTGCCAAGACCAAGCAGAGATATCCAAGTTTCAACATGACCAGGAAACCCAGGGTCTGACTATCCTTTTTCGGGGACATTGTAGCCTTGATTGTGGGAGATAATGGTGGAATCGATGGACCAGAGCGGGGGCAAGGCAGCAAGGTATAGGGCCTGGAGGCACGAAGAGGAATTGATTGGAGAGACCGCAATCGGTGGCAAGACCGAGGGATCGTGGCCCGTAGGAGGCGTAATGACAAGCCACAAACCTGACGGACCAGAGAGAAGATTGATTGACACTTCAAAGATTGAATGATGGATGCTTGATGAGTTGCTCATCAAGAGAGAAAAGACAATATAGACGGTCTGCTTTTACTCTGATCATGAACCTGGGAATATACCTAGGTAAAATATGATCCATTCTGAGGGGTTGAGGTACAAGATAGGATTGGCTTGCCCGGCAGGATTGGTTTGCCCGACAGGAATCGTTTCAGCTGAGCGGATTGCCAGATTTGATTACCAGGGGGCTCGGCGCCCCCTGGACCCCTACCCATGAGGGGGCCGCCGATATAAGTTGCAGAAAAGAGCGCTGTATCCACGTACTTGAAATCATTTTTATCTATGGCTCTAAAGCAAAGCTTTATCTATGCATTCATTGGTTGATGTACCGGCTGGCGCTTTAAGTGGCGGTTTGGCTGGCGCTTTAGGTGTTGGTTTGTCTGGCGATTTGGGGTATAACGCGGTTTACACTTCGGATGTAGCGCGGTTTGCCGCGAGTCTAGCCCAATGTAGTATAGCGCAAACATATATGGACCAACAATATTACACACTCTTTTTCTGTTACGGACTAGTGTAAGCTCAAATCGCTTAAACCGACCTCATTGTAGGGCGGAGGATTCGTGGGCGTCGCCGGCCACAACGCCCATGGAGACGACAACTTACATGCTTTTTGGCATTGCTGTTCGACATGTAAAGTCTACTATTTACCTTCCATTGAAAATGGGAATTGTCGTCTTTGGTGTGTTCAGAAACTGAAATTTCTTCTCGACTATAGTATCACGCATATCTCAGTGCCGGGCACCCAGTCAAGGGGCCCAAAATTTGAGCTTATTTTTAGGCCCCCGTCGACTCGCTTAATCGACCGGGGCCTAAACAAGGGTATTGATAGGGGCACCCCAAAACGCTTATGTAATATATTTTTTTTAATCTCTTTTCTAATCACATGATCCTCTCATCCTAACCACTAAAAACAGATTACCCTATTTGGCAATAGGGCAACTTCGACATGTATGCCCAATTTCGCCGCAATTCGAACACTTTGGGGGCGCCTTCCTTTTCTTGATTGGTCTAGCCCCCTCGCTCCTATCTGACATCTGCGTAGATTGCCTTTTTGGGAAAGCAGCAGGCAGAATTCGGGGATTTAGCAGTGGCTGCCAGGCGATATCAGATGAATCTTCAACCCTAATTCGCTAGAATGGATGAATATCAGCCAATAGGATTGCTTCTTTTTTGCGAGCAAATCAGCAATTCGATACTTGCATAGTAACCCCATAGTACTCGTCCAATAATTAGTGTATATACCAAGCGGGGCCTCTAGGGTAGCCCTACTAGCGTAGATTCGCTGCATATCAAACTAGCAGGGTAATAGTAGAGCAGAAAAAGTGATGAAGCAGAAGATAGAGTATATAAAGTATATGGTTGCTATAGTGATGAAAGTAGATGAAAAAAAAAGATTATATAAGCCAAAATCCATATTACATAAGAAAATGTAGTGCCAATAGCGAAAATCCTGTAGTGCCCCTATCAATGCCCCTTCCGTTAGTTAGGAATAGCTTCATATCTCACTATCTCTGTAGACCCTTTGTAGGAAGATAATAGAGATAGCTCTATAATAGGATATATTGTGGCTTCTTTAGGGGGAAAATAGTACTAGTATATAATATAATATAGTAGAGGGCTAGATCGGCGTAGTATTTCTGTTTTTAGTTAACTAGATAATATTATAGCTAACGCGGGTTAATATAAATATAAAGGGTTAGATAAAGCGGTTACCTCCGGCGAATAAAAAAGGTAGTATATTAGGTTAAAAGATAATACGTAACCGATAAGTAGGCCTAAGAAAGAAAAGAGGAGAAAAGGGAAGAGAAGAGAAAATATATCAATAAAGAGGAGAGGACTAGACTTCCGCATAACCCAACTTGGGTCGAAGATCTCGACCCAAAACCCAATGCCAAGAACCCAACAATAAAGTTTATTGTATAATTATACATAAAAGCGCCAAGACCTTCCTAATTAGGCCTATTTATACATACTTATGTATAGATTTAGGTCGAAAATGGGTTATTGGGTTCTTGGCAATGCCAAGATTAGGTCGAAAGTTGGGTTTTGCGGAAGTCTAGAGAGGACGATATATATTTTATAGATAGGATGGCAGATTTATAGGGCGGTAAACCGAACCGGAGACAAAGAGAAGGGTGCCATACCTAAACAGGAAGGGGGATACGGAACCCGGCAGGCGGTCGGAGGTGGCAGAGCAGCGGTGCAATAGGCGCCGTTTCCGGCGCCCCGTTCACCGTGTCAACTAATACTACACATAATACTAAACAGCGTTAGTAAGTGAAAAGACCAATATAAACCCTAGAGGTCCTTCCTATATAAAATATAGAAGCTACGATCTAAATATAGCTTAACGTTCTTTTTACCCCTAACTAGTTATAGGATAAGGTCTAGATACTAGACTTTTAAGGCCAACTTGACTATATTCCTAAAATTTAGATAGAGAATAGGGACTAATAACTAAAACCCTCTTTAATAGCTACTAAAGGTAATAAAAGATAAGATCTATAATTAAGAGCTATTTTTTAGACCTTAACGATTAGCGGTAAACTTGGACTCTATACAAAGCTTCGAGGATTGTCACTGGGACTATTCCCATTGCTGGCCCGAGTTGAGAAAAAGAACGGGAGATCTCCACTCAGTGGATCTCGGCCAGAACATCGATGTCGAGTTGGTCTACTCTGTTGAGCAAAGAGTGTCGGATCGGGTTAAGGCGAGAGAGAGCTGCAGAGGCGCATGCTAATAGTTTCTGTCGATCCCGGAAATAGGTTCCCCACGAACCACGCTCTTCTCCCTCTTGCTCCTTTGATGCAATATATCTTTCACCTTGGTCGCACGTCTTGAAAAGAATTGGTCTGACTTTGGAAGTATATATTTTCTCCAGCATCACTCACGTACACGCGCCCCTCGAGAAAACGCGCTATTAGGAATCGGGCGGTTTGACTAGAATGAGAGCCAAGGGTATTGCGATTAACCCCAAGCCTCTCACACCTTGGCAGCCCCAATCCCACCTTTGCCCTTTTTTTTTTTCTCCCCTTCGCACCCTTGTCCCACACTGCCACCGCTAGTTTGGATCAGTCTTTGAACCCTCTCTACCAGAGTTTCTGGCAGTCGCACACCTTCCTGCAATCGAGTGACACCTGGATAATTACAGCCTTGCGACAGAGAATGCGCTAGTTGCGGGGCGATAAGAACTGACACAGATCCTGAAACCGATGCGCCTCAATCAGGGGCCGCTCCCCAGCGACCAAGAACTCTTCCAGAAAATGGGCAAACACAATGTGGATGTTGCAGTGCAGGCAGCACCCATCAAGTTCTCCCGCTATCAGTCGGTGCGGAATGCCTTCAGCCCGCCCCGCGATGCCGAAGACAGGGATGGGTTGAATGCCTCGCCCGCGCCAGTGGGCGCGGGTAATGATTTGAATCAACCAAAGCCCTCGATCGCGAGAAGCATGTCTCGGTACCGGCGCAATCGGCCCTCTGCCAATAGCACTTCCTCAACAGTTCCTCCCATGTCCTCGAAAACGAATCCTACGCGATCAATGTCAACACCTCAGTTGCCAGGTCCAGCACGACAGATTCCCCAGGACAGATACCAAGATCAAGGGTTGGTGGAGCAGTTTGAACTCCTGGGAATGAACCCAACAGGGATGGCGCAGGGAGAGCAGGAGAGGGAGAGACACCGGCGACATGCAGCGGAACAATTGACCGGAGAGTCCCAGCCATCTCGATCAATTCCCGGGCGGTCCAACACTTCAGAGAATGTGTCGCAGTACGAGACAAGACAGGAGGGGCGTCGCCGAGTCGACACCAACGAGACTCAGGCCTCCGCCAATGAGGCCAATCGCAAGTCCTTCCTACAAAACCTCAAACTCCCACGAACCAAAGAAAGCTCCATGCAACACACCACCCCCAAGTACATCGAAGTCGGTGGAGGTGGCATCGTACCCGGCATTGATGCGCCCGTTTCCGCTGTCAACGCTGGAGAGCGGCGAGTCGTTGTGCAGCATGGAGAGACCTCGGTGGAACTTCCTGTTACACCATCAACGCAGGTCCAAGATTTGTTGCTGGCTGCTACGGAACACCTCTCCAAGGACATTGACCCCGAGAAGTTTATTTTACTGGAGTCCTTCCGAAAACTTGGCTTGCAACGGTCGCTGCGCCGCTATGAGTATGTTCGGGATGTCATGAACTCCTGGAGCCAGGACAGCGATAACCATTTGGTTGTTATTCCCCCATCCAGCATAGACGCTCTGGAACAACTCGATGCGCAGCACGTTCCGAGCGAGCAGCCTGCTGAAGCCACTGTTCATCTCTACTACTCCCAGCGCCCCGGCAAGTGGGATAAGCGTTTTGTGACGCTGCGCGCCGATGGGCAAGTGACGATCTCCAAAAAGGAAAATGGCAAGGATCAGACCAATATCTGTCATTTGTCCGACTTTGACATCTACTCGCCCAGCGCGCGGGTCATGGCCAAAGACATCAAGCCGCCCAAGAAAATCTGTTTTGCGATTAAAAGCCAACAGAAATCCTCCATGTTTCTTTCCACCGAGAATTTTGTGCACTTCTTTACCACCAACGACAAATCTATCGCGGATAACTGGTACCGCGTGGCTCAGAAGTGGCGAAGCTGGTATTTGGTCAACAAGCTAGGAGCGCTGCAGAAGACGGAGACAGAGGCCTCGCTGCCCAAGCGGTCTCTAACTCACAGAAGCATCTGTCGGCCGAGAAAAAGGTCGAATGAAGTGGCAAAGTCAGACTGGAAAACGGGCGACGCGGAAACCCTGATGCCTGTACGAGGGTCCATGGACCAGCAGCGGCCCACAAGCACCAAGGACCTCTTCACACGAAAGAAGACCTTACGTGAACATGCACCTCCACCTAATTCGTTCCCCAGGACGTTGGCAATCGACACGAGCATCGCCGAGCAGAGCGTGGAGAAAGGGACTTTGGTGCAGGGGGTCTCGCCCGAAGAAGTGGAGGCAGCCACATTTGCTCCTACAGGACTTCTAGGTCGAACCTATACCCAGCGTCAACACGCTATGCGCGAGCGCGAGGAGAAAGAAAAGCAAGCCAAGCAGGACCCCTTCGCAACGCATGGCCTACTGGACTCCCCCTCAATGCACTCGATTCCCCAACCTTCGGGCTCCCAGAACAGCCGAAGCAACATGATGACATATGCCCCCGAGGGATTCCTCAGCCGTGCCTCGTCTATCCACCAGAAAAACAAGCCTCTCGTTGATTTGACGCCCGTCTTCCATGAGCCACCGCAACACACGCGTAAGGGCCGAGGCGTCACCGTCGAGCCTGGCATGCCTCTCATTGATGCCGCCACGGGCCCCGACCTTATGCCGGAATCAATGGCCATTCCACCAGCGACTGCCTGGCGACGTCCAGCCGCCGATATACCGCCCCAGGCTCGGTCGCGGTCCAACACCGTCCGCAGCATGCACAACAGCGTGCGCCACGCGTCGCAGTCGCAAAAAGCCTCCACTTCCACCCCCAGCTCGCCAAACAACCCATTTATCCCGAATAGTCTACTGGCATGCTCCTCTCGGGTATCTAGCAGTCAATGCAGAACGTACACAGGGCACGGAGTGGCCACGGGCGACCGCAGCGCAACGCGGCCCATGCTGGATATGTCGCCGGACAATCCTTTCGCGGAGGGGAGTCTGCTCCGGCAATTGTGATAGCTTGATTGCATTATGATGACCAATTTACGATTTTACGGTGTGCACTCACGCTTGGGGCGACAGACGAAAATATTTGTCCTTCTTTTGGTCCATAGTTGGACTAGCACTCTGCGATTATAGGATCAGGTTCTATGGCAATGCGAAGTCTTTGTCTTCTACGCCTCAAGATCGGATGCTATGATTGGAGTGTGCTTTATGTTAGAGATACCCATTCATGTTGAATAGCAATACGTCGTGTTTACTTCTTGTACAGCTGAACAGATTTACCTTGCTCATAGTCTGCTACAAGCTTGCTATTACTGTTTAAGCTGTAGTAGCGAAATAAATATAGGTCAAGAGCTATTAAGGACTAGTAGATGTGGTTTTAGTCCAAGTTGAATTGTTATAAGATTTAGCCTCTAATTTACTACGTAGTTGCATCCATGGATAGACTATGCCCTACAGCCCGGGTCCATAGTAAAGTGTCAGGGTCTTCCAAGATCGTCGCGGGAGAGATGACAGTCCCGTGGGGCATGCTGCCAATTCCATAGAACTGAGATTGAACCATTCCCAGAATGACCAATTCTAGTTGTAGCCATGACGATGGTTGTTCAACTGACAGCTCGCCCCGTGCCCAGCATAACTCACTCCAGTTCATCCCTTGATTCGACGCGATCTATATTCCTCCATCACCACCGCCACACTCGTTATTCCCATCCCAGTCACTCGTTGATTTCTAACCCTTCCATCATGGACCTAAGCCGGTTCCGTTCAACAAAATTCTCCAAGGACCCTGCCACGACGAGCGACAGCGCCAGTCACGATGTCTCGCCTGAGAGACAGCCGAGCGGGTGGTCGCTGCGCAAGAAGCTGATTTTTGCGGCGGCAGTCACGGCGGCAGCTGTCATCGCTGTTGTCATCGGCGCTGTTGTCGGCGTCAAGGTCAACCGGTACCCGGACTATACGCCGCTGAACTACCGGCTGGTCGATACGTATCAGGGGAAGTCTTTCTTTGATAAGTTTGATTATTTTTCTGCCGAGGATCCTACCCACGGGTTTGTTGTGTACGTATTTTCTTTCCTCTTTCTATAGAGTCCAGGTTGGTGCATAAACTGACTGCTACCAGCTACGTCGACTCGATAACCGCACAGGATTTCAACCTGACGCACGCCAGCGACAGCTCCGCGGTACTGCGCGTGGACGCATCAACCCCCAACGCAATCGTGGGCCGCAACTCCGTGCGCATCGAGTCCAAGGCAACGTACGACACGGGCCTGTTCATGTTCGACATCGTGCACACGCCGTACGGGTGCGGTACCTGGCCCGCGCTCTGGCTCACAGACGGCTACAACTGGCCGGAGAACGGCGAGATCGACGTGCTGGAATCGACCAACGGCGGCAGCCACGGCAACGAAATCACGCTGCACTCGACCGACGGCTGCAACATGGATGTCAAGCGCAAGCTGACGGGCGAGGCCGTGTTCCAGTCGTGCGACAACTCCACGCACGGCAACGCCGGCTGCGGCGTTATCGGCCATCCGACCACGTACGGCGAGGCCATGAACGCCAATGGCGGCGGCGTCTATGCGCTTGAGCTCCGCGCTGCGGGTGTGCGGGCGTGGTTCTTCCCGCGCGACGCTCTCCCGGCCGATATTGCCAGCGAGGACCGCATCCCGGATCCCTCGTCTTGGGGTACGGCGCTGGCCGATTTCCCGAGCACCAAGTGTGATATCGGCTCGCACTTCCGCAACCAGAGCATCATCGCCAATATCGCTCTGTGTGGTGAGCTCGCCGCTTTGCCACAGTACTATGATCACATGTACAATTGCCCGGCGACCTGTCCCGAATTTGTCGCTGAGAATCCCGATGCCTTTGAGGAGGCCTATTGGGAGTTTAGGAGCTTCAAGGTGTACCAGGCTACTTGATCTTTTTCTTTTCTTGTTGATGAATAATGGGTACTTCGCTTATATGACGTTGAGGTGCTGTGACGGTGAGGGACTGATCTAGCTTGGACATGTCTGTTGGCTCTCCTGATTTCTTTTTGTCTTGCTTTGATTGGCTCAATATTGTGGATTGGCGTTATGGATACATGACTAGATGGCCGCTATGTTCATGGCCCTGATGATCGATAGTATACAGGGATGCGACTATACTCGGAGGTCGCTTGCTTGCTCCTTTGTTCTTACTGAATATCGCAGAATGCACTGATAGCTCAAATGTCTGTGAATGAACACTTGTACCAGCTGTCCTCGGGCACAGAGATTCCTGTGATCGGCAAACTGTGTCAGCGAGTTCGTGAATTCGGGCGAAAAGCCCACTTCTTTTGTAGTTCGCATACATTCCCCGACCCGACTATCCACCTGCGTAGATCCTGCTGGATTAGCCTGACTCTGCTTCGAGTCAGGTATGGTATATCCCCGACAGGAAGATAGAAATTGCAAGATCGATCTGGGGGCGCAAATCCAAGTGAATTCACCGATATTTATTATTTATTGGGGAACTATCCCCTGTCCCTAGTGAGACCCTGTCTTGCTTCAGTCACTGTACTTGCGCCCCCCCCCCCCTCACGATGCTGCTCACAATCCGGGGAGGCGTGGTGCTTCTCCTATATTTCATTGTACAGTATTTCCTCCGCCGACTCTTCACCCGGATCCGGTATGAAATAGGCGTCTACCGTTATGGGTGCAAGCATCCGCCAACGCTGCGGCCTTGGGACCCGATCTTCAATATCGACAGCATCATCACGAACCTGAAAGCGCGAGTCGAGCACCGGGTCATGAAGCTCGACCCAGCTAATTTCCAGAAGTATGGGCACACAGTCCAAAACCCGTTCTTCGGCCGAGGCGCCATCCAAACCACCAGCATCGAGAACTACCAGGCGATGATGTCAACAAAGGGCAACAACGACTTCATCGCAGCACGCAACTGGGCCATGAAACCCATGGCCGGCCTGGGGATCATCGACACGGACGGCAGCGCATGGGCGTACCACCGCGCCATGGCCAAGGCGATGTTCACGTGGGCGCAGATCAACGACCCGGCCAGTTTCGGGGTGCACTTTGAACGCATGATGGGGATGCTGCCGCGGGACGAGTCCACCGTGGATGTGCGGCAGATCTTTGATAAGATGAACATGGATGCGCAGTCGGAGTTCTGTTTCGGGGAGTCTGTCGGAGCGCTGTCGGAGGACGATGAGGAACCGCGCAGATTCATGAAGGAGCTGGGGAATGCCATGTTCGGCGCGGGCAAGCGCCTGTTTGCGGGGCACTGGTCGTGGTTCATCCAGGATAAGTCGTACTGGGAATCGTGCCAGTTTGTGCGAACGTTCATCTCGCGGTTGATTGACCGGGCTCTGGAGCGTGAGAAGAACAAGGACATCGATAGCGAAAAGACGCACCGCGTTCTCGTCTATGAGTATGCGCGCGCAGCCAAGACGCGGGAAGAGCTCGTCGATATGCTGTTCTGCCTGTTCATGCCGGGCAAGGACACGCCGGGGACCTTGCTCGGCCATATCCTGTTCGCCTGCGCGCGGAACCCACACGTCTGGGCTAAGCTGCGCAAAAAGGTCTCGGCGCACAAGGTCACATTATCTCCGACCTGACCATCTCGAAACTGCAGTCTCTGGAGTACCTGCAAGCCGTCATCAACGAAACGCTTCGTCTCTACCCAGTCCTCGACCAAACGGCGCGCACCTCGCAAACGGGTCTCACGCTGCCGCGCGGCGGTGGTCCGACGGGCTCGTCGCCGATTTACCTGTTGCCCAACACGATGATCGTCGTGAATTTCTGGTGCATGAATTGCTGCGAGGATCTGTATGGGGCCGATGCGCATCTCTATCGCCCCGAGCGGTGGGAGGAAAACCTCGAGCTGCCCAAGGGCTTTAGTCCGTTTGGGCTCGGTCCCAGGAACTGTCCCAGACAGAACCTGGCACTCTTTTGGATCGGGTATAGTCTGTGTGGCCTGGTACAGCGGATTGCGAGTGTTGAGAATAGGGATCCGGTCGAGGAGTTTGTCGAGGATATTGCGCTGACGCATGGGAGTTTGAATGGGGTGAAGGTTGGGTTGAAGTTTGAATAAGTCAGCCATCACTTACAGTTAGATTTTATAGATCTTGCGGGTTAAGGTCCGTAAATTCCTACAATGTCATAGAATGTCACTTTTTTTTTATACACATCAGATTAGATGAGGCAGTATATTTCCGAATTATCCAGAACCACGGGGACGGCGACGCGCAGAGCAACACCTTTTATATAAAACAGGATAAAAAAATCACTAAAACTTAACAATCCCGTTATCGTTCGCGCGTCGACCGAATCGTCGACTGCCGATGCACGAGATTGCCATTCGACGCCTGCGGCATATACCAGTCCTGGGTATCCAGCCCCGAGGACTGAGCAGCATCGGTGCGTGATTGCGAGAATGTGCGTGATTGCGACCGACCCAGAGACCCACCTCCACTGAGATTCGAGGTGCGTCGGCGCATGCGACGCTCCCCTTCCTCAGCCTCATGCCGGTTCAACGCATCCGAGGGTAAAAGCACGGCGCGATCCAGCGCGTACGGTAGACCACGGTGGCGGCCACGAATCTGCATGGCGATAATCACCAGCTTGGAGATCACGTTGAACTGGCCTGAGAACGAGGTGTTGACCCCCGGGTATCCAAACGAAAGACCCACCGTGCCGTAGGCTGACACCACTTCAAACAACACATTGAACAGCTGGAAGGAGTAGTCGTTCTGCGCCTCTAGCCGGCTACCCTCTGCAATGGCAATGACAAACAGCCCCAAGAAGACATACCACAGATCAAAACTCAGCTGGCGTCGCAAGTGAGCGCCGATATAGGTGGGTGCCGTTTGGGTGTCCTCCTCGTCGTCTTCATCCCCATAACTGTAGATACCAAGGCTCTTCTCTTCGTAAACGTTTGTCCGGCGCATGGAAATGGCGATCGGGAACACCGAGATGTACATCATGATCAAGTACGAAACTTGGATGGCCGGATGGAGGTCCGACAGGCTGACCACTCCGAAACCAGCAGTTCGTGTGGCCGCCGCTTGGAAGAACCCATCCAAAACTCGAATGCCGGGTGGCAGTGCTGTCACGGTGGGATCATTGAGCTACAACAGAGTCAGCTTGATCATAGCAAAGCAAGAAAAGAAAAGAAACAGTACTCACGTCCAAAATAATGAAGAATATAACATCGACTCCGTTCATGACCACCAAAATCGCAAACAGCCACCAACTAGCGTTGCGAGGGAACAACAAGGTAAAGCATCGACGAGGATGATCCAGTAAGAACTTCAACTCTTCCCATAGGGCAGTGCCCTGGCGCGCAAATTTCGACAGAACCCAAATAATCAACCGTAGCATACAAGGAAACCCAGTATTTCCGATAATGATCAAAAATGCCAGCAGCAGCAGCGGGAACACTGCCGTCTGGAAAGAGTTCATCGAGTCTGGGGTCAGCGTGAAGCCCAGGTCATTGAAGGCAGAGGCAGAGGTGAATATCCCCCACCAAGGCCGGCCAATGCCGTCTTCTTTGACGATGTTGCCCCATCGAGGCACCGTCATGATCCAACCAATCATGCTGATCATGCCAATGACATGAAACCCAACATAGTAAGAGATCAGCACCACCGCCAGGGTCTTCAGGGCACGGTATTCAATACCGCCCAGTTCATCCCGCTGTTCTTCGGTCAGATCGACGAAATTTGAATTGCGAGCCACCGTCGCATTCCAGCTGAGATACGGCTGGGTTGAAAGTTCCCGCTCTTGGGTTAGGGACCGGAAGAACCCCCGCACAGTATTCCTCGTGGCTGTCGGACCGAGGGTGGTATCAGCGCCATCTTTGGTTTCGCGGACAGTGGGCCGTGTATCCAGGCGAGGGAAGGTGTTTCCGCGTGTACGTGTTCGTGCAATTTCGGGTTCGTTAATGGTGATATGGGGCCCTTCGAGGGGGCCAAGCTGGTCGGGCTCTTCCGAGTGCATGGAGTCCTGGCGTTTGGCACGAGGACTGGGCGGTTGAGCCTGCTCATTGCCGTCCTCTTTTCCTTCTTCCTCTAAATCCTCAGGCACTCCACCACGATCGTACTCGCGCGGACTGGGAATTCGCAGTGCGCCTTTGCTCTTCCGCTGGTTTTCCAAGAATGCGATGTGGGTCTCTGGACTCAACTGAGTCGGCACTCGCAAACTACCCAGTCCGAATCGACGTTCGGTGCCAGATGGCGCATCCTCCGAGCTGGAATGGCCACTGGTTTCTTGGCCGGCAGGTGATTCGCTTTCCGAGTTTCCCTGGTCGGCGGCCTTACTGGCCGGATCCGTGATGCGATTTTCGCGAGCATCCCCGGTATTGGTCCGCAGCACCACAATCGGCCTGCCACCCACCCCAAGCTCTGCACGATTGAGATCCTGGCTTTCCTTGTCCTCGCTGATGGTCTCCATGCGGGATCGCGTGGGGCGCAAGGCTCGCGCGTCGCGAACCACATGCTGAAAGCGTTTCTCGAACCAATATAATCTAATAAACACCAGCGCGCTGTGGATGAAGATTGGGGTACACAGAATTGTAATGATGTACAGCACAATCTGTTGGTACAGCCGAAGTTGGTTGAGATCGACGGTGTTCAGCCCACTTTGGGTGGCGGCGCCGGCCGCCTGGAAGAGGGCATCGATGTAGGAAATGTCGTTGCCGGGATAAACGATGACGGAGCCGACGAGAGCCCAGGAGATGATGTAGGTATAGTGGAGGAAGATGAAATTCAGGTGAAGCTGGTTCAGCAGCGGAATGCGCGCCTTGGCGGCTTTGACCTGGCGCCAAAACGACGAGAACATCTTGGCTGGAGGCTTTCGCCGTCCCCAGGAGACCTCCTGAGCAGACGGAGTCGCCGGGTCAGGGAAATCCTGGAAAGAGGGGAATTTTTCGGTCCTGCATGATAATAAAGATTAGCCACCGGACGCACCGACCGCATGGGTGACATACATATCCTGTCGATCGCTACCCTGCACAAAGGAGCACGAGGGCTAGCCGCGTGGCATGGAGCCGAGAATTAATACTGAGATCCGGGACATGGTGAGAAATCAAGGAATGGGCGAGATAGATAAAAGGAGAGAATTGAAGGATTTGGGGACAAGAGAAGCTCCCAAGCAGAAGTGGATCGAGCGAAGAAAAAATACACTGCGACCGGGGGGAACGGGCGCAAACGGTAACTTACCCGCTGCCAAAAACGTGCTGATCGTTTTTTTTCTTTCTCTTTTCAATTTTCCCCGTGCGGTTTTTTATTTTTTTATGTTTTGCTTTTAATTTGCACTTCTCTGTATTATTTACATCTTCTTCTGATCTCTACGTATTCATGTTTCTTCCTCCATCTCCCCGAACGTATCTGCCAACGGTGCAATTCCAAACAAGCTTTGGCGAGACTCGAGATCCACATTCAGATCCCGCCTGCATGCACGTCCATAGTGGCGGTGCATTGCACGAATCACCCGAGATGAGCTTGGATATCAAACGCTCAAGAGTCACAGGTCCACTTTCATTCCCGGCTAAGCGGTGGCCCGTCCCTAGACTCCTGGGGTCTTAAGGCTGGACTCGATCGCAATGCCAATGGTGTGATTGGCCCAGAATGCATTCCTCATGATTACGGCCCCGAGATCCGGCTGGGCAGCTCTACAGGAAGTGCTTCGAGGCGCATAAACCGGAATGGCGCCCTTGGGGTTGCTCAATTGAACGCGATGGTAGCAGGGGCATTCCACAAGGACTACTCTACAAGAATGTCGACATCTCTGCCCAGACGCGGGCATAACAAACCGAGGCAAAGAAGCAGATGCAAAGGGCATTCCTCGTCGGTGCTCCCATATAGCATGCTCAAGGGATTCAAGTACAAAATACATATCCAATCACGTCCGAATGGCCAAGACATGCGAGATATGAGGTTATCCATGCATACACCGCTATCCGGCCAGCTGATAGATCCATCCCCTGGTCCCGAGGAGAAAGAAATGCAGACGCTTGCTGCAGGACATGCATTTGATATGCTGTAATGTTAGTACCGACGACACATGTGCTTCTATCAAGCGCTATCGACATCCAATTGCACTGCTGTAATCGGTGTACAATGTGTCGGTAAATGTCTACTTTGATAAGGGTGATGCACAAGGCCCCCTGGTCGATTTCACCGCTCCTTCATGACTATCAAGCTGGCCATGTACTGGTATGGCTGAGCTTTTCCCAATCGGGATAAACAGAAACATGAGATAAGATGCAACGTAAAATGCGGCAACTTCCTTTAATGTGGAGAAACCCGTATACACACAGTAAGAGTAATCGTAGTTATACTCAAATCATTCCCCCTTCCAAGGTTCCCTACCATCCCGCTGTTCTCATCCATACATCGACAATTCTCGCACTATCCGGATCTTGACTGGAATCCACAATCAGATACCAGCCATACAATGCCCCAGTGATGCAGGCATGGTTGGGGTAAATCCGGACCGGCTGGCCGACCTGGAGCGGGATTGTAGTGTTTTGTGCCTTGCCCATCTCCCACGAAACAATCCCGTGCTCTTGACTGATCCGCTCGACAATCAGAAGACCAGAGCTTTCGTCACGTCGCCATGGACTAACAACACCCCATCCCCGATAGCTGGGACACGGCTCTCGACCAAGCGCCAATGTCCCAGCTGCAACCAGCACTTCAGGCTTGGACCGTTCACCATCGTTGTACAGACTGCAAACCTCTGCGACAACAGAGATGGCAATTTCCTCCTCGGCCTTGCCGCGCTGAAGCACTGCGTTGGTGGACAGCTGCTGCATATCTAGGACAGGATACACACCTGCATGCAGTTCGACTTTGGTCGATTCGTGCAAGTCGCGTAACAGAGCTTTCAGAGTTTCTGCCTCGGGACAGCCTTGGCTTTCGTGCAGAAGGTTCTGTGACGATACAACCTGCGGCGTGGCCCCGACACTAATGACTAGCTTTCGGTCCTGGGGTAGAAGACTTGAATTGTGCTCCAATGCCTTTCGGCAGCTGGCGATCTCTGATGTGAGGTATGTCATTGCTTCTGCGGGGCTTGCGCCGCCATAGCTGAGGCTGTTGTGGGAATAGACACCCAGGAGGTTTGCATGGCCTGATTTCTCTGCCTCGGCAAGTTTCTCCAGCATCCCATCTTTATTCAATGCAGTCGGGGGCAATCCGGCCCGGTGGTATCCTGCATCGACCTTCACAAAGACACATGCAGGGTATGAAGCGATAGGGGCGAATTGCTTCAGATGCTCCACTTGATCGGGGTGATCGATCATGACGGAGATGCTGTCTTTGCCCAGCTTTCGGGCTAGATCAGCGAGCCGAGGTATCTGCGATGGAACAAGAGGAATTCCATAGAGGATGTTGATTCGACGACCGGCCTGTTGAATGGCCTTGAGAAGAGGGACCAGGGCCTCAATCTCAGGCACCGTTGAAGCCACAAAGTTGGCATCGCCTTCATCTCCCACTTGCAGATTTGCAAGCTGTCTTGTCTGCGAACAAGTCAACCAACCATTTCGGAGTTTTGTAGGAAATCCGAAATCCCGGCACATACCTTGTGTGTCTTGACATGGGCTCTGAATCCAACCTCCAGGGACTTGGTAGTCTGAAGCATCGTAGTACAGTGCTTCTTGATGATATTCAAGTCCAGTACGATAGACGGCTTGGGCACGTCGCCCACATCCTTGCCGACAAAGAACCGCTTCAGTTCCTCCTCGGAGGGGAGAGGTCTGGATGGGAAATTGGCCATGTCGAGAGAATATTCAAGCAGATTGAATTGCCAATTGCAGTCCAATACAAGAAAAGGGACCTGGCTTTATAGAGCAAAAAGAGCAAAGATTGAAGGCGTCGACGTTGGTGGGGCTCCGTCGCTCCGACACACCTCAAACGGTATGGACAACCGCCAGATCCACCAGGAGACACTCGCGTGTGGGGGCCAGCTTGTATGCATGCCGGACCTAAGCCTGCCAGGATTGCAATGTCAACTAGTGGATTGACAGGCGAAGAAATCGATTCCACTTTGTTCCCCTGTTTCTACTCCAATCACCCTCGCTCTACACGTCCAATGCTGCTCCTCTATTGCGCCGCGCTTTTCGGCCTGGGCTATGCAGCCCAAGAGGTAATGCAGGCCGAGTCAAATCCCGACGACGGCTTTCGCGTGTGCCGGAGTAGTCATTCCCCCGATCACTCGGTTCGCATCCGACGGCAGGATGAATCGATCTGCGCTGCGGGATCGCCGCAGTACACCGGCTGGCTCGATATCGGGTCTCGCCATTTGTTTTTCTGGTACTTTGAGGGTCCTAATGATCTCGTCAATGACCCATTAACTCTTTGGATGACCGGTGGGCCCGGCGGCTCCAGCATGATCGGCCTGTTCGAGGTGGGCCCCTGTCTGATCAACGAGCATTGGAAATGGCACCTACCACAATCCCTGGGGCTGGTCTCGTAATCCGTCGCTGCTTTTCGTCGATCAGCCGGTCGATGTCGGATTTTCCTACGTTGACAAAGGCTATAACATCCCGCATGACTCGCAGGAGGCCGCCGTCGACATGCACAGGTTCCTTCAGCTGTTTATCTCTGAGGTCTTTCCTCATCACCTCGATACCCCTGTCCACCTTTCGGGTGAATCGTTTGCAGTATGAGATGTGTTCCCTATATCCCTTTAAGTGAAATTTACTGATTTCTCCCAGGGCAAATACATACCATATCTTGGCACGCAGATCGTGCTGCAGAATAAGCTCTATCCCAACCAGCCTCAGATCCAACTAAAGTCATGTCTGGTGGGCAATGGCTTTATGTCACCGAAAGATTCATATTTCGGATACTGGGCAACACTTTGTACAACTAACTTCGGGGTTGCAGAGCCCGTCTTCAACCAAACCAGGTGTGATATCATAGCGGCGAACATGCCTCGATGCCAGGAGGTGATGGACACCTGCGTCCGAAACCCCGATCCCGCCGTCTGCGCTGCCGCTTCCGCCGTCTGCTACAAGGGTGTGGTAGGATGGTATGAGGACGAGTCTGGCAAGGGTGGTCGCAACCGCTTTGATAGTAAGTCAGAAATGCATGCACAGATGGGCGAGAGTTAGCCTTGCTGATCAAACATTCAACACGAATAGTCACGGCGCCGTGCGAGATCGATAACATTTGCTACATTGAAGCAGCCCGCATTGAACAGTACCTCAATAGCCCCAGGGTGTGGAATGCTCTCTCGCCCCCCAAGCAGGTTAAGAAATACAAAATCGATTCCGATGCCGTCGCTCGTGCGTTTGGCACTACTTCCGACACCATGACGTCCGCTTCGGACCTGGTGGCCTTTCTGCTGGAGAACCAGGTGCACTATCTAGCCTACCAAGGCAATCTCGATCTTGCCTGCAACACCGCTGGGAATCTGCGATGGGCGGATTCGCTCCGCTGGAAGGGACAGGCTGAGTTTACATCCAAGCCGCTTCAGCCATGGAAGTCGGTGCTGGCGGCGACAGGGGTGAACGAGACCGTTGGGAAGATGAAAGCGATCCAAGTTCGTGTCAGTGGCCATGCCGACACACCGTCGCGATTTGCGATTGTGAATGTTGATGATTCGGGTCATTTTGTAAGTTTCCTTCATTCCCTGTACCTGAAGAACACGATAAAGAATGCTGGGTGGATGCTGATTACTATCCTGTGGCTTCAATAGCTTCCTCAAAACCGGCCGGATGTTGCACTGGATATAATGACGCGCTGGATTACGGGAGCGGCTTTTGTCTGAGCAAATGACAATTTTATGGTCGCTTCATTAATCGAGCAGTGGAAACTAAATTTACCACTGTATTTTGCGTGTGAATGGGGGGCAAGCTTCTATTCACTTTCATGCAGGGTTTTTGGCGTAAATTGGATGATAGATCGAGATTTTGACAAGAAATATAGCATCTATGATCTAGAATATGTGGCTGGGGCTGTGGTATATCGCTTTTCGAGTTTCTTAGTGCCTACATGATGTTCATCTAGCAATTAGCTTAGGCAACCATTCTCTCTATACAGCGCCCTCTCTCTAAGTCTCTAGGATTAATAGTAACAAAGGCATTTGATAAAACACTAGAAAATAGTAAAGGAAGAGTGTATGCAAAAGAAGAACATAAAAAACAAAAACATGGAGAATATTGCTTGGAAACACCTGGACCAAGGATCACGAGGTTAGGGCAAGTTCCTCGGTAGCTCCTCCTTGGGTCGATATTGACTTGGCCAACTAAGCTCGACTGGAGATCATTCACTCTATATTTGAGCAACGCATTTGACCGTTGAGGGTGACACAAGATGGTTTATGTATTGCTCAACATGCAATATTCCTCAGGCTGAGGCTTGGATTTTCTCAACAGTATTTCAGTGTCACCGCACTGGTGGTGTTACAAGTAACGCCGTGGAAGCCGACTCGGGATAACTCGCACAGTACTTCGACCTTGCAAATTCAGTTCCATCGAGTGTGCACAACCACTGACTTCACACCATTCTTCCACACGGGACAACGACATATTCGAAATGCACACGGTGTATCCGTCCAACTGGCCGGCACAAACAACATCGACTAGATCTTTTGAGGACTGTCGAGGATACCAGGGTGTCGTCGGGTGCTCGAGATATTGCCTGCGGTGCTGGAGGGTTTGACGACAGGAAGACTCCTGGTGATCATCGACGACCACATCACGCAGGATCCGGCGTACAACTCGCCCGAGTTGCGCAACATAGGCTTGAAGAAGGCGTGCTTTGGCGGATCGTCGCTGTGTCGCATCCCGCCGACCGAGCAATAATGGGTGCACGGTTGGGAAACGGTGACATAACCTTTAACACACAGCCTGCTGGTGCTAGGTACGAACCGCCAAACAAAAAATTTTGATTCAAAGGAGTTCATCAAGCGGGAGAATTGGGTGACCACTGAACAAGCTTCGGAATGGCTGCTGGCGCTCAACCCGAAGTGGCTGATGGAGGGCACCGGCTCGGCTTGCCACTGATCTGGGGTGCGCAAGCGGCTGGTGCATCTCAGCGGACCGAATCGGGTGGTGTACTCGGAGCATGTGGATAGGGCCAGTGCGTTACTCCCAGGGAATGTCATATGAAGACATCCTCAAACGACGCAAGTGGACATGGCTACTACCCGAGAACCGTGCCTAATTTTCCTGATCGCAATACAATCATTGACGCCATCTAATGCATTCCAAACGAGATCAATGCCAGCTAGGAGGTATACTAGCATGGAGATGAGACTATTACGGGCTTGTGAGCGAAAGGTTGACCCGCGTGCGACAGGAATAAAGTCTCGCAGATCTGCACTCCATGAAATGGGAGGTTCGGGGTTCACCCACGCCCATCCAGGGGCGGTAGTTATTGGTGATCGCCGTGAGTATCGCAGCCAATCCTTCGAGCACGCTGCCGCCAAGCTTTTGGACCCACAGTTATAGATCATCGCTTTGTTGAAGATGAAGAAGATAAGGAGGTGAAGAGTTGGAGAGTTGTGGGAATGCGAAAGTAGCACTACCTGATTCGTCCTACATGGAACCGTCGATGGTCAGGTACCCGGTACCCTCAGGCATCGGCTGACCCCTGAGGGGGCCTTCCTGCGTTGTGCAACTCCCTCGTCCTTTGGCTTCTGCACTCATTCATCGCTGTGTTTTCTGCTCGTTTCCCTCACTCTGCAATCACTCGAGGTCGTCATTCTCGGCCCTGGTCATAATGCTGGGATGGCTCTCACGCTGTCTGCCTGGGTTCAGCATCATCGCATTGATTCTGATGCTGGTGCTGGCCTTCTCCGATGTTCTTAACTCGCCGCAATGGAGAAGTCTGCTCCCTCCTTCCCCCAAGAAGTCACCGTCTAATAGCATCCGGGCCGAATTGAGTGCGCCACAGCAAGTGTTTGTGTTTTATGTCGTCTTCGTCCACATCCACATGTTTGCCTTTACCGTTCGTCTGGCCTGGTCGATCTTCCGAGTCACCAAGGAAACCCGAGCCGCCATCCAGCGTCGTGTCTGGCAGACGCCGGAGGCATCGCCCACCCTGGATCATGGGGAGTTTCTGGACAGCTCGCCATGTTCATCCTCGCAGTCCCTTCCTGACCCGTCAATAGTCAAGATAAACGGTATAACTGTCCAGGAGATCTGCGACCCTGAACTCATCCATGCAATCATTCTTCCCAATTATGGTGAGGATCTGCACACCCTGGAGACGACGCTGAGGGTGCTTGCGAGCCATCCGAGGGCCCATTCGCAATATGAAGTAAGTCTAGGGTTGCCCGCGTCTGTGTCCCAACAGCGCTGACTCAGACTAGGTGTATCTGGCGATGGAGCAGAAAGAAGATGCTGCTGCCGACAAGGCTGCCCGGCTGGTCTCCGCATTCGAGAAGTCCTTTCTTCGAGTTCGAACAACGTTTCATCCGTCTGGAATACCAGGAGAAATCGCTGGGAAAAGCTCCAATGTAGCCTTCGCTGCGCGACGCATTGTTCAGATTCATCGCACGGAGTTACAAACCGAGTCTTGTAATGTGATGGTGACGGTCATGGACGGTAAGTCGCCCCGACCTTTCAGGATTGAAGCTTCCTCTGACATTCATGTGTAGCCGACACACACTTGTCGCGCGATTACTTCACGGAAATCCGGCGCCTGCACTATTTACACATCACCGAAGGAGACCGGTCGATCTATTGTTGCCCGATCATCTTCGACCGCAATTCCCACGAAAGCCCGATTTTGGTCCGGTGTGCCGACTTGCTCTGGGGGTTTGCTGGTTTGTCAACCATGTACCCCGGGACCTGGATTGCAATCCCGACATCAGTGTATTCCTTGCCACTGTCTCTGGCAGAGAAAGTTGGGGGTGGGACAGCGACCCCACCGCCATCGGCGAGGATATGCACATGCTGCTCAAGTGTTACTTTGAGACGGCAGGTAACGTCATCTCTCGCGTGGTCTATATCCCAGCTAGCCAGTGCAATGTGTCCAGTGATCGGGGTCGGGGCTGGCGGCGGACCCTCGACACCTGCAGCGCGCGGTACCGGCAGGCGCTGAGACACATGTGGGGGGCATTGGATTCAGGATTTGCAGCGCGGCGAACAGTCGGCTATCTTCGCTTCCACCAGCGCTGCCTGTTCCTGCGTCCGCGGCACTTTGCCCTCTTGCATCTGCTCTGGGAGGCTCACTTCATGCCATCTCATTTGACGATTCTGATGGTGTTCTCGGTGATATACACCCTCTGGACCCCGGTCACAACGATGCACCCAGCACTAGCATGGGCCTTCTCGTTTACCAACCTGTTACGCACTCTGGGTTTCCTCGGAATGAATGTTTGTCTGGTTCTGTATGAGCGCTGGCATACGCTCTGTCTGAACTCAAGGATGCAAGACATGCGGGAGGCCAACCTCTCCGACACGGGCTGCGCTCAGCGAGTATGGTACCAGCCACAGTACCTCCTGGATCGGATCTGCTTCCCTATTGCAGGTACTATCTTCGGGGCTGTGCCAACTCTCCACGCGGTGTTTTCTCATTTCTGGACAGACCGGCTGGTGTATCGAGTGAGTAAGAAGCCGAATTTCAGCCTGGAGGCGCTGGGAGTGGTGTGACCCGTTATTACCTTTTCATATGTGGTTCATATGAAATGCCGTTTTCTTTTTCTGCGTTTGTACAGTGCAATCAGGCCATAGCTATAATCCATCTAATAATGCAATGCGGAAGTCATCGGGGTGGGGTTTCTCGTCCCTCACGACCCACCGTCTCCAACCGGTTGGGGTCATCTGGGGAACCCACATTCATTAGACCCATAGTGCTGGCGAGCTATAAGAATCGGTTGTCTGACTCTTTGCACTCTTATTTAGTTTCTTTGACCCATACCGGACATAGCATGGCACCCACTCGGCGAGTCGCCCTTATCCAGTGGCGCATCCAGGTGAGTGCCCGTCCCTTGGTCGACATTGAAACACAAACGGCGGTAACTTCAACGAAGAACAACAACTGATGGCAACTCTCTTAGGAACTGGCTATTAAAAAGAACCATGCCACGGCATGCACTTATATCCGCGAAGCCGCCGCCCAAGGCGCCGAGCTAGCCGTTCTCCCCGAGTAATCAGCATCCCTAATTCCAACATGACCACTTCAATAAATCACCTCAGTCAACCAAACGCTAACACATAAAAGATACCACCTAAGTGCCTGGGTCCCCAACGATCCGCTGTGGGCTATCCAAGCTGCCGACTCTGCCCATTATCTAGCCAACTACCAGGCTCTCGCAAAGGAGTTGGGCATTTGTCTCGTGCCCGGGACCATCATTGAGAAGCATCAAGGCCCGAAAAACTCTATTTCTTTCTATAACACGGCCTACTTTATCTCTAAGGATGGCAGCGTTCTCGGTTCCTACCGCAAGAAGAATATATGGCACCCGGAACGCCCACATCTGACTTCTTCTGGTCTCGAGCGCCACACGGCCATCGATACGCCAATTGGGCGTGTCGGACTGCTGATCTGCTGGGACCTGGCGTTTCCCGAGGCTTTCCGGGAGTTGATTGCCGATGGAGCAGAGATTGTGATTATGCCGACGTTCTGTGGGTTTTCTTCGTTTCTTTATTCTTCTCACTCTGCTTCTTCTTATCCGGATTTTTCCATACTTCTTGCCATGTCCAATTACAGTATATCAGTACAAATACTAATTATAATAGGGACCCCCCACGACGCCTCTCCAGACGCACGCACCCACAACCCCGACTCTGAAGCCCTCTTTTTGCAATCGACCTTGACAGCCCGCTCTTTTGAGAACACCTGCGGCATCATCTTTGTCAATGCTGCCGGTCCCGCAGAGGACTTCCTCGGCATGTCGCAGGTCACGCTGCCAATCGTCGGCCCGGTAGCTAAGATGGGTGTCGAGGAAGGGGTGCGGGTGGCGGAGATGGATCTAGGGTTGTTGGGGATTGCGGAAAAGAATTATAAAGTACGGGAGGATATTGGGAGAGGGGATTGGCATTATGTTTATCGACATAGTTCTTAGATGATTTTTTCTCATATTACGGGGCAAGGGGGTACTGTGGTTGGGGTACTCCTGTTTTATATTTTCTCGATTTGAGGAAATATAAAACTTGTCTAGTTCTATGCTCTTTTTGACGAGAACTCGCATGCATTTAATTTTTGTATATATTCAAAAAAAAATCTATTGAAAACGTCTTGGAGAAGGATATGAGCTTGGCCATCCACGACAAGGGCATGGATCTCTTGCAAATTAGACTCATCCCCCTTACCCTTTCAGGTTAGCGCGGAGCTTGACCCATTGTTAAACCATCAACGTTAGCCTACTAAGGCTAGTGTGGCTACCTTCTTGGGCAAGTTTGTCAAGAAATGGTAATCTACCTTCATCACCCCATCACCCCAGATGGCACATGGTATATATCCTACATAGCTGCCTGCCGAAAATTCAAAAAACGTGTCTGATTTCTAAAGCTAGGTCGTGGGGACAAATCATTAGTCAATGGTCATCTGGGGACCGGCAGAAAATAAACAGAAAATAAACGAAGAAGGACAGGAGAGAAACGGTATAGTGCTTTCGAATTTAAGAAGAAAAGCAAAGCGAAGAAACAAACAATAGAGAAAAGAAAGGAGGAATAAAAAACCACGGACGAGCATCCGAAACATCCAGGATGATCAACTCCAGCCTCCCAAGACAAGGGAAACAAATCCGCTAGACCGAGACCAACAGCTCTAAGGAACAAGTCAGCGCAAGTCGCCAAGCAGCAGCGCAGGGGGAACGACGCCGCAAAGTACGTGGATAAGTCACGTTTCAAGTTCGTTGCAAAATCGTCAAGATGCGAGGAGGCCCAACTCCAGTCAACGCGGTCGTGCAATCATACAGTCACCAGGTCCCCGCGTCAACCGCCTCACTGGACTTGGCTGACGATCTCGCTCGCGCGCGTCAGGCTCTCAACCATCTGCTGGCACTCCTTCCGCCGGCGGATGGTGTAGTCGCTCTCCTTCAGCAGATCGTCCAGCTCGTTGTTGCGGTACATGTTCTCCAGCAGGTATCCCTGCATCTCGTCCTTGGTGAACCTGGGCAAACATGTCAGTATAAAAACGAATAAAGAAAAAAAAAAAAAAGAGTAAGGTGGCAAAACATACTGGACCAAGGTGTACATGACCGCTTTCGGGACCATGTCAATCATCGTGCGCTTCACGATGTTGAAGTAGGAGGTGATGAGAAGCTCTGTGACGAAGGTTAGCATGCAATCATCTATCGTCAATGGATCTTAACGTACTGATAACCTCCACCTCGGTGGCTTCCCGCTCAGACATGCTGGCCGAAGCCTTGAGCGTAGGGGGCGGGGCATCCATGGCCGCCATTTTCTTCTTATTCTTCGAAGCCCAGAAGCTGCCGAAGAAGCCGCCGCCGGGGTTAGCCTCGCCCGTAGTGTCGAGAGAGGGACTCGGGGCACGCCCAGGCAGAGGCTTGCCCGTCTTGGGGTCGACCTGCGTGGGCTTGGCAGCTTGCTGGCGCTCATTCACAATCGCCATGGCCTGTTAGGAAGTCAGTGTGTTGTTCTCTTTTGAATAAACTGATCAAATAAACTTACCCGGTGGCCATTCAGGAAATCTGGGTGGCCGGTGTTCACGTACGTGGCCTCCATGGAAACCAGATCGTGAACCAGCTTGTTAGTGGGCTCCATGCACTTCTTGAAGAAGGCAATAACCACGGTGTGAAACTTCTCTTTCAGCATGGGGTACCGACGGAACAGCTGCTTGTTTAGCAGCTGGCCCAGGATGCGCACCAGCTCGTCGTAGACCAACGAAATACACTTCAAACTAGGGTCTTCCAGGCGCCTGATTTGGCCCTTCACAATTACCTCAAAGGCCGTGGTCCCAACAAACAGAGCAGGCGACGGACCAGAAGAGTTGTAAAGGATAGTCCGGATATCGTCGTCCTTGACAACGTCGAAGGGACCGACAGCTTTGACACCATTCGAGTAGAGCTCATGGAAAACGAAGCTGATACGAGCACCTCCCGAGAGCTCAATGCTGGACAGTTCCTGGTTGTTGCCCTCCAAGATTCGGCGGTACTCATTGCTGAACTCCGTGATGATGTTCAAAATAATGTTGGCACTGTTGCCAAGCATCGAATCCCCGAGTTGCGACAGTTCGGAGCTGTATTTTTGGAGGGACGAGGAGATTCGGGCCTTGATATCGGGCAGGGTTTGTTTGATGTGCATCATGAGGATCTAGGGGTCAGGTTAGTACAACATTCAACTGACCGCGTAGGATGAGGAACGTACCAGGTTCAGCTTGCGTGCCAGGTATGGCGTACCACAGTACGAAGCCTTATTACGATAAGCCTTGTGGTTTTCGAAGAAGTTCTTTTCGCTCTCCAGGGCGTAAGCAATTGGTCGCTTGTTCTCGATGTCGCGCTGGCCACGGTTGACCACCGGCACATAACCCAGACGCAACGGAATAATCCGTCCAGCAAGAATATCCACCACGTCGGTACCCTCGTCCATCAGATCGACCTTACTCAGCACACCGATGGTGCGCTGGCCTTCCGGGTCCACCTCACGCGCAAGCTTCAACCCATCGGAGTTGGCCAAATCCTGGTTGGCGGACGTCACCGCGAGAATGATGGCGTTGGGCTTGCTGATATACTTCAGCACCATTTCCCGAATCTGACGCTCGATGTCTTTGGGCTGGTCTCCGACCGGCACCTTGGTCAACCCGGGAAGATCGACCAGGGTCAGGGTCAGGACGTTGGGCGAGTAGATGCGCAGGTTGATCGGAGCAGGCGAGATGCCCGCATTGCGGCCAACCTTGGTTTCGGTCTCGCGTACAATCTCCTCCCGAATCTTGTTGAAATCGTGGAACTTCTGGCCGGGCATATGCAGGAATTCACCATACTCGTCGACGTTGGCTTCGCTGTCCGTCGTTTCCAACTTCTTCTCGCCATTTGTTTGCGCACTCGCAGGCTTGTTGATCAGTTGCAGAATAAGGGGTCTCCGAGTCACGATTCCCGAACCACGGGGCAGACTATTCACAAAACAGGGTGGTTAGCAATGACCATGGACACTGCCGCCGTCGCACACCCCACACCGCTAGAGCTGCAGAAGTGGCGGCAAACAAGCTTCGGGGCAAGTAACATACAAGTCTCTGCCGACGATGTTCTCCAACACCGAACTCTTTCCACTCGACTGCGACCCGACAACGACAATCTGTGGCAAATCGATGGGGTTGTGCACCTATATCAAGGCAGCAATGTCAGCCGGAGAGAAACACGACCAGAGTGGCCACATGCCCGACCACGCAGGAATACTTACGCCGACTGTCGAGAAGACATCTTGCAATTTGTTGACCAGCGAAATCAAGCTGGGGTCATTGACATTTATGCTGCACACCGAGAAGTTAGCTAGGCCGCAACGGGAGTGGAGGGGACCAGGGGGGTTGCGCACGAAACGCCAGTTGGGGTTGCCATGGCTGGCGAGGTCAAGGATATAAAAGACGGCTCTTGAAAGAATTTGAAAATTTAAAGACCGAAAGGAAGAACGAAAGGCAGCGGGAATGTAAGGATCACTGAGTCCCAACGCACGAGGAGTGATTGTTTGTCGAGGCGGAAGGCGGTGATGTCGCCGGCACAAGCCACGCCACCTACTGTGGCGTCACGTGGCGGATTTGGCAGGCAGAATCCGTTGGGGCGGATGATAAACAGGTACCTGCATCTACTTGGATGACAGTAGTATTTCTGTGGACTGCTCAAGTACCTCAATGTACCATAAACAATGTTTTCAAAGCACACGATGCCTTTGCCAACGAGTTTGTTGTAATAACTTTAGCCGTATTTTCTTACATATCTCGAGTCTTTGAGCTCGTGAGCCAGTTCCGAAGGGCAAATCTCCACGATGCTGGGGTTTCGAGGACTGGTCATCTGCAATGGCCTTGGTAGAATTTCCTGCCCGGTGACCACCACACAAGACCCACGGGTAGTACAGCGGGCCCCAAAGAAAAAGACAGAACTCATTTCGACACAATAACTACAGGGGAATGTGCTAGACAGACATAGGAAAACCGGAAATGTAAAAACGCAAAGCCAAGGTATCGCCCCTTCTTCACTCATCCGAAACCGAGGCGAATCGGTCTGACATGGACTGCAGGACCTTCTCATACTTGGCCGAGACCTCTTGCTCGTCCTCGGGCACCTCGAATTTCATGCTCCGCAATGCCGACTGGAGATCGGTCGTGGCGTCGCGGACCTTGCTCCAGTTCTGGCCCTGGGCAACGGCCTTCTGCGCTTCGTCGTGGTAGCCCATGAACGCCTTCATCATATACTCAGTCTTCCACAGTGGACAGAACTGGTCGTAGTCACTGTATCCGTTTTGCTGCAGGAAGTCGTCCTTGACCATGCTTGCCACGTCCAATGTAATCTTGTCCGAGTCGCCCAACGCCGCTTTACCGACCAGCTGCACGACCTGGTCCAGATCCTCGGATTTGGTCAAAAGCTCACGGATCTGATCACGCAGGCGAGGGAAGTCAGGGTGCTCTTTCTCGTAGTATTTGTCCAGGACCGCATTGTACTTGCTGTAGGACATGGCCGTATTGACAGAGGGGAAGTGCTTGCGTTGTGCCAGCTTTTTGTCGAGACCCCAGAATACCTGGACAATACTAAGAGTACTGCTGGTAACGGGATCGGAGAAATCACCACCGGGCGGGCTAACGGCACCGACAATGCTAACACTGCCATTGCGCTCGGGGCTGCCCAGGGCACTACTTTTACCGGCCCGCTCGTAGAAGGAGGCCAGCTTGGCTCCCAGATAAGCAGGGAAACCCTGATCAGCAGGCATCTCACCCAGACGACCCGAAATTTCACGCAGAGCCTCGGCCCAGCGGGAACTGGAATCGGCCATCATGGCCACGTTCTTGCCCTGGTCACGGAAGTATTCGGCGATGGTGATACCGGTATAGATGGAGGCCTCACGGGCAGCGACGGGCATGTTCGAGGTGTTGGCGATCAAACAGGTGCGCTTCATGATGGGCTCCTTGCGGCCCTCGACATTAATGGAAAGCTATTAAGAAGCAAACGCATTAGCAAAGGAGTTCCCAACCGCGTAAAAAAAACGAAAAAAAAAAAGTGTATTTACCTCTGGGAAATCCATCAAGACTTCCGCCATCTCGTTGCCGCGCTCACCGCAGCCAACATACACAATGATGTCACTGTTCGAGAACTTGGACACACTCTGGGAAATCACCGTCTTACCGCACCCGAAGGCACCGGGAATACAGACGGTACCACCCTGGACACTCGGGAAGAGAGCATCGAGGACTCGCTGGCCGACAATGAAGGGCGCATCGGCGGGCAGCTTGTCGCTGACAGGACGAGGCACTCGGACGGGCCAGGTTTGCATCATTGGATATTCGGTCTTCTTGCCCTGGAACTCAATCTCGAGCAAATTCTCCTCGACCGTGTAGCTACCAGCGGGGGCTATCCGTGTGATCGTCCCCCCGCGCGCGAGGGGGCAGGATAATCTTGTGATCATTCACCAGACTGTTCTCAAAGACGGTACCCCAGATATCACCACCCGTGATGTGGTCGCCGACCTTGAAGGACGTGGGTTTGAAATCCCATTTCCTCTCGCGATCCAGCGCATTAACCGAAATTCCACGGGGAATGTAGATGCTTTCGGACTTGTCGGAGATGGCGCGGAGGGGTCGCTGGATTCCGTCGTAGATCGTCTCCATCAACCCAGGGCCAAGCTCGACTGAGAGAGGCTTGCCCGTTCGCTTCACCGGGTCACCGACCGTCAAGCCAGCTGGTCAGAAGAATCATCGATAAGTAATGTTCTTGAAGAAACCGATTTGGGGGGGGGGGGGGGGGCATGGCATCCCAAAAGAGGGGTGTCTGGAGCTGTACCTGTCTCTTCGTAAACCTGAATCGTAGCCTTATCTCCTTCGATCCGAATGACCTCACCAACAAGTGAGTCATGTCCAACACGGCACTAGAAGGCAGGAAGTTAGTATGATGAGCTCCCCATGGATGACGGGGGAGCTCCGAGGTGGTCTCTTACCAACTCGTACATGGCACAGCCGATCATGTGCTCGGCCACGACGACAGGGCCGGAAACAGAGAAGATTGAGCCATCGCTCTCAGAGCTAGTATCCTTTGCCGGGGCCATGGTGGAAGGAGGGGTGGATGTGGATGTGGACGTAGAGAGGTGATCGGTGGAGGTAGCAGTTGAGGTGGGTGAGTCTGGAAGCGGTGGCAGCTCGGGCGGTGGCGGTGATGCACGGGCTGGACGTTCGTCTCTGGCAATGAGATCCAGCAGTGAAGGCCGCGCTTTGAGTCGAGGCACACCCAAGCCTAGCATTCGCTCTGTGGAATTGGGGGGGTTTTTGCTTTCAAGCTGATCAGACCACTAGCCTGACTATAGGGGCGGTCGTGGAGTACCCCCCGGACACCGTCATCCAATCCGAGCGGTGATCACCCATGGCCGCATTTCCCCAATGAGGAACTAATTTACTGTGGCTTGAATTGGCTATGCAACTGGGGACTTTTGTGTGTCTTGATCTTGATTGACATTCACTCTGTGAGTATGATTTTACCCTGTAATTATTGATTCATACCAAATAGTCGCCAGGATATTCCTAATATCGCTCATATTAAGTAGGGTTTGATCATCCACTCTTCTCTACTATTGTCTACTATTGATCTAATGAGATAAATATCAGTATCAATAGCACGATTGTACAAGCACAGGGTCCCTGTTGAGTCTACCCCTATGATACAGATCTGGCCCAACCCTAACTTGACCTCTCGCTTTCCCGCGGACTTCAATTGGCAAGCTAGAAGTGGGAATATGTATGAATGTCAAGCCATATTCTAGGCTTCCAAATTCTTTATTTTATAAAAATAATGGCGCTGAAGAGCCCCAAGCAGAGACCGACCTACTGTCCCCCAGGTCGAGTATACTTACGATCCGATGCTTGACTCGATAGTTATCCCTCAGCCGGGGAGCTAATAAAGGAGAGACATTCTAATAACTTTCGATTTTCAAGGCTTATAAAACAGTACTCTGTCGCAATTTCAAAGCCATCTTGTGCTATTGTTCTGATCAATTTCTTTTATATCAGCGTAAATAGCACCAACGATGTTACTAGAACAATCTTGGGAGTCGCATCACACAAAAATCGTAGAAATCTTGCCTCATGCAAAGCTGTTGGAAATATCGGTTCATTCAATTTTGATTTTTGTTGAATCCCTATACATTTACTGACTAGAATGAGGTCTCGAACAGTTTGTATATATATTAGTTTTCTTTTTTCGTCAAGTAAAAGTGAAATGAAATGCCCAGACAAGTAGCAATAGTCTGAGAACAACAGGCCAACGTCACCGTGACGCCATGGCTAACAAATCCACATAGAAGCCACAATCCAATGGATACAGATAACAACGCCCTTACTTCTATACATCATGGTCGATGAAGGCTTGCTGGCCCCATTCTTGGGTGCTCTACAAGCCTGTGTATCAGTTCTACTGACTATGTGTTACGGCGTCGCCGCACGTCGGCTTCAATTGATCCATGAAGCCACGATCAACGACATGGCCGGTTTAGGAGTCAAGCTGTTCTTGCCGGCATTGATAGTTGTCAATCTGGGCCAGCAACTTCATCTGGGCACAGCGATGCATTATCTGCCGGTATTACGTATGTATTTCTGGAGTTCACCAAACTAATCAGTGCTAATTCGTATTCGGCGTTGTCCGATTAGTATGGTCTGGCACATACACTGCGGCCTCCATTGGCCTGGCGCATCTTGTTTCGCGAGTATTCACACTGCCACAATGGGTCACCCCAGCTTGCTCCTTCAACAACACCACCTCCCTTCCACTGTTGCTGATGCAATCACTCCAAAGTGTGGGGAGTCTGAAGCTCATCCTCCGAGATGATGAAAATGTGACAGATGCCATTGAGCGCGCTCAAAGCTACTTCTTAGTCTGCGCAGTGGTCAGCAAAACCATCGCGTATGTCGTCGGTCCCAAGATGTTACAAGACGACGAAGACCAGGACAGCGTTATCGGTCGTGCTGAAGAACGACATCATCCTCCTACTATTCTCGAAGACGATGAGCAGCTGAGCGAGCAAACGTCTCTTCTCCCCCAGCGTGCACAAAAGGCCCGACAGGTCGTCCGAGGGCGTCTCCAGCACTGGACCCGATGGCTTGGCTCATTTTTTCCACATCGCGTGAAGCAGGAGCTCATGGCCCCGTTCGGGTCTCCGTTTGCCGATGTAGCTATCCTTTGTGCCATCCTCGGCGCAATACTCGGCTTGGTTCCTGCATTACACCGAGCATTCTTCTTTCGAGACGAACAAGGCGGGATCTTTAACGCATGGCTCACCACTAGCGTCCGCAACATCGGCCGGCTATTCACCACACTCCAGGTGTTTATTGTTGGGTGCAAGCTCGGAGTGACTTTCGAAAAGATGGCAGCCGAAGGAAACTTGTATCGGATTCCCGTCAAAGCGATCACGACTATTTTCCTTGTGCGACTCGTGGTCTGGCCTGCACTGAGCATCTCGCTCATTTACGGACTGGCAAGACATACCTCCCTCCTTGGGCATGATCCGATACTTTGGTTCACTATGATGCTGATGCCGGCTGGCCCCCGGCGCTGGTGATCTCAGGACTGGCAGAGCTGGCAAAGGCATCGGAGCGGGAGAAGATGGCCATTGCCAAAACATTGACGGTAAGAATGGACATGCCTCAAAATGGCCATCTCTTACTCACGTTACTCAGATCATGTATGGACTATCACCGTTTGTGTGCTTTACTATCACGGGCGCCCTCAAGGCATCCGAGGCCGTGTTGAACGAAAGAGACTAATGACGTATACGTCATGGCGGCACCAACGATGCACTTGAAACATTCAACACATTGAAACATTCAACACATTTCTGGATATTTTTAAGACATAGAATCGCACAGCATAACGTGTTCTTTCCCCAACCCTATACAATTACACCTCTTGTGAGAAAGTATTTCCGCCGCAAGCGCGAGAAATCTAGCGTCGGGGGACGAGAGAAGCAAGTTATTTCTAAGCTCAGATGTGTAGGTTAGCCCTCATATCTATCCTTCATCCCAGGAACCACCAGTTTCCTGCTGGGTGAGAATAATAGCACATACTCCGCATCCCTTGCAGGCGCAGTTGTTGTCGCAAGTGCAGCCCTGGGCACCAGTACAGGTGCAAGTGGATCCGCAGTCGCAGCCCATGATGAATGAGGACAGGTGATATTCGTGTCTTGAGTTGACAGTTCGATAATTCACGAGAAAGAGTTCATCCCGTCGAAAATAGCGGGTGGGTTGGTTTTTATACCCCGGGTGGCTCGCGGGTGTAGGACTAGTGGTATCATCATGTCGTCAGTGGGGAGGCGAACCGCAACGAATGGAATGTGCTTGATTTCTCGAGGCATAAGTCGGAGCATGGATCCAGGGTACGCTGATTGCAGGTATGAATGACCCAAATGGACTTGGGCAATAGTGGATGTGATTGGATTTTATAGCTCTATGTCTGCAATGGTTGGCGGCAAATGCGCTATTTTGGTGCAGGGAAATGCCCGAGGTCGATTTCACATCAAACAAGGTTGGATAGTATCTTTCGCTGGAGATATTTAGGTTGGTTTTTTGTAAAGGTTCAAACGTACGCCATCGTCCATTCCAGCTATAACCCAAGGCAACCTTAGAGCCTTAGAGCCTCGAAGCCTTGAAGCCTTGGGGCCTTGGAGGTTGGGATTACGACAACGCGGGCAGTGGGAGAGCTCAGCTGATGAAAATAAAACTTGGGCCACCTTTCATATTCAAAATTTTAATATAAAAAAACAAATAGAACAAACTGAAAAAAAAGGGTCAAATACCCAGGCAAGTATAGGAAGGACGCCTAGTCACGCAGCTAAGCACGGGTGACCTCGAGGATCTTGACTTCCCCCATTCCCCACTGCTGCCCGAGAGCTGCCATTCCCCAATCTGCGATAAGAATCTCTCTGTGAGAAAGGAGGGAGATTTCCCATCTCAACTGATCTTTGCTTGCTCTTGATTCAACTTGCTCGCCTGCGTCTTGTGACAGACACCCCCATCACCCCCCTACCTCGCACGGAGCTTCCGGCGAGTACTTATCGACCCGCCTTTCGGTCTGCTCACCTGGTTCTTCGACAGAACCAGGAGACTGGGCAGATCCTCATCATTTCGACCTGGCTGATAATTCCTCCTACCAACCTTTTGTCGCCCCCGACCACCCCGAAATTCCTTTCCCACCCGAGCCCACGGCATCCTCGGCAGCAAGTCCCGGACCTTCGCACCTCTCGTCAGAGGTATTGCCCGCAACCTCCCCTTCCGGCTCAACCACCCCCCTTCCGCCCGCCGACGCCGTCGCTCCCCCTTCAGCAACCCCGATACGTTCGGTCTCACGACTGCAGGGTCCAACACCCTTCGAGAAGACGGAAGGGCACGTGAAGCGATCACCGACGGTCGTTCCAGCGATCTCGTTAGTCGAGCTGACGGCCGCTCCCCAACCCCCAAGCGCAGGCGCCTGGTAATCATGCGTGCCGATGGACTATCGACAACCAACGGCTTCTCGCAAGCGTCCAACGGGTCGCTCTCGAGAAAAGCCGGCTTGAACGGTCAGCCGACACCCACATCAGCCAACGGCTCCCAGAGAAATGGCGCTGGCAAGGCCTTGGCAGCCCCAACATACTACGGTCATAATCGAGAGGAGGTGACGCGGATATTAATTCAGAGTTTGTACGAGCTGGGTTATAACGGGGCAGCGTCGCAGCTGAGTTCGGAGAGCGGCTACCAGCTGGAAACATCCGGCGTCGCTACATTTCGAAGTGCCATCCTAGGAGGCCGCTGGTCGGAAGCCGAGAGGATTTTGATTGTGTCATTTCGAAATGGGGGTTCACATTCAGGAAACCAGAAATCCTCGGAGGAAACACTGGCTTTGGCCGAGGATGCCGACAGAAACGAAATGCTGTTCCACCTGCGCCAGCAAAAATTCCTCGAATTACTCGAGGCACGCGATTTAGGTTCGGCACTTGTGGTCCTTCGGCAAGAACTGACACCGTTGAATTATGACGTTGAGCGTCTCCATGCGCTTTCCAGGTAAGCCCATGGACTGGGCGTGGATTGCTGCAGCCTTGGTTATCTGACAATCTTCATAGTCTTCTCATGTGCCCAACCGAATTGCTCCACGACCAAGCGGGATGGGATGGTCCTATCAGTTCCTCTCGGGAACGACTTCTTGCCGAACTGTCAAGTAAGAGTATTTCCCGGTGGGAGGCGAAAACAGCTCTGCTAACTCAGTCGCAGAATCCATCTCCCCTTCCGTCATGATCCCTCAGCATCGGCTCGCCCTTTTATTAGATCACGTCAAGCAAAGTCAAATCAACAATTGTTTGTATCATAATACCGCCGAACCCCCGTCACTTTACTCAGACCACATGTGCAACCGGAGCGACTTCCCCTTGGAAATTAGCGTTGACCTGACCCAGCATTCTGATGAAGTTTGGTACTGCGAGTTCTCTCACGATGGCACCAAGCTGGTTACTGCAGGCAAGGACCACACAGTACTCATATACGAAACCAACGGCTTCAATGTGCTTCATAAGCTGGCAGAACATGACGAGGGGGTTGCATTTGCAAGCTGGAGTCCTGACGACACCAAAGTAATAACCTGTTCCCAGGACAAGAAAGCTCGAGTGTGGAGCGTCGAGGTAAGGGCATTCTATAAAGAACTACCACAACCTCGTGCATTGACTGACATATATGAAAATTACTCCAGACTGGCCGGTGTCTGCTGACTATTAATCACCATCGCCAACCGGTAACGGCGGCAGCCTGGGCTGCAGATGGCGAGTCTTTTGTGACGGCATCTCTCGACGCCAGCTCTCAACTCTGCCATTGGAGTATGCGTGGGCAATCTCTGTACATGTGGAAAGGCGGATTCCGTGTGCAAGATTGTGCCATCAGCGTTGATGGACGGCGTCTTGTGGCTGCTGACACAGAAGCCAAAATCCACGTGTACAATATGCTCACGTACGAGGAGGAATATTGTCTCCCGCTCCCCAGTAAACCGACCTCGGTTGCCATCAGTCAAGATTGCAGACATGTGCTGGTAAACCTGGCCGAAGGCGAGATCCAACTAGTCGACATGGTTACCACCTCGCTGGTCCGTGACTTCCGAGGCCAGAAGCAAGGGGAGTTTGTGATCCGCAGCACGTTTGGTGGGGCGGCCGAGAACTTTGTCGTCAGTGGCAGCGAAGGTGAATACTGTCTATGCCCATAAGCCTATCTGATGCTGACTACCTGGTTAGATTCCCGAGTCTATATCTGGCACAAGGAAAACGGCACCCTTGTAGAGACCCTCGAAGGACATGTTACTGGATGCGTCAACTCAATATCGTGGAACCCGGTGAATCCAACCATGTTCGCATCGGCAGGCGATGACTGTGCTGTGCGCATGTAAGACCACCTGGGCAGTTCCCTTTTGTTCCTTATCCTTCGAGTTGCTAACAAAATTCCATAGCTGGTCTCGAGACAGCGGCCGACCCCGTGTCACAGGACCTAGTCAACGCAGAGGAGTGTCGTCGGGTAGTTTTACGCGAACAAGCGCATTGCGAACCACGTCCGCAATTTGAATCTCGTGTCTCGCTATGCACCAAGGATGTTTTCCTTATGACTCTTGTCTCTTGCCGCATGTGCTCAGTACTCATCCCGTATTTTTTTTCTCCATCCCACCGCAATGTTGTATCACGGTCAAGGGGACAGACATACCCGGAGCTTTCTTTTGTGTTTCCTCCCATTTCCTCTTTTTGGGTCTGAAAGACGATAAACCTGCCTGTCAAGTTCTTTGCTTTCCCTTTTTGCCGCTCTTGTTTTCCTGGTCAACTGGCATGCCATTCTCAGGCTCTCCGCATATCCTCTGTATAAGCACTCTGCAGCTAGCATCCCATCTCGATCAATACAGGAAGCCGGCGCCAACCAGCATTTCATCTTTGGAAGTCTCCGCTCCACTAACTATATATAGAGACGGAGTTTCTGGTCCTTTGCTTTCGTCTCTGCTGTTTCATTTCGGTGTTTTCGCTCTGCAATGGCTTGTTTATGTGTCTTCCACGCTGCTTATCATGGCACCATGTCCTCTGGGTTGAGTTGTTGTTGCTCGTGTTTTGACTCCACCGTATTTACGTTTTAATGATTCGAGAACTATATGGTCTTCAACAAAGCTAAATACTTTTTCCTACTGACTGGCTAATCATGACCACTCAAAATACAAAGTGCAAGATGTAGGATCGTCTTCATTGGGAGGAATAGAAGTCGTATTGGATCCATGGGTGCAACGAGGGCTGGGGCCATGAAGGACTAGGAATGGATTTGGCGTTCAAGCCCAGATAAAGAAAAAGTACTGAGAACAAATTGAGGTCCATCATTCATAAATTCCCAAGATCAAGGATTAATAGAAAACTAAAACTCCGGTGACGAAAGGAAAAGAAGCACCCGCTGTCAAGTCTGCGGGGTTTGAAAAAAAAAAAGAAAGGCAAATTGCAAAGTGCGCCAGCTGAGGGTGCACGGCTTTTCTGGAATTCTGGAATTGCTTGTAGTCTTAGGTTAGTGATCAAGACACTGAATACAAAAGGTGACGGTGCCTATCTTACTGGAAGATCTGATTTTCCCTTTCCTCCACGCGAGAGCAGGCCTTGTATTTTCCCAAGTCGCATTTAATCCCCGAACTACAAAGGAGCAAATGGCATGGGAATGGCTGTGTAGCGAGAGTGCGCCGAATCACTTTTACCAGGCTGGCAAGATAGCAGTGGTGAAAAAATAGAGAACCATGGCGGTTATGAGAGGAGATCCGCGACTGGAATGGAATCATTAGTGGCAAATACGACAGAACGATGCTCGGATCCATTCGACTTACCATTCATCGGCATTTCGTCAATCTGGGTCGAGTAGTACAACTCGATGTCGCGGAGGATGCGCACGTCGTCGCTCGTAACAAAGTTAATCGCCACACCCTTGCGGCCGAACCGACCACTTCGACCAATACGGTGAATGTAGTTCTCACGATTAGTGGGCAGGTCGTAGTTGATGACAAGCGACACCTGCTGGACATCGATACCACGGGCCCACACGTCCGTAGAAATGAGGACACGGGAGTTACCCTGACGGAAGTCCTGCATAATGCTGTCGCGCTCTTTCTGCGGCATCTCACCATGCATGCTGGAAACTGTAAAGTTGGCCTCGCGCATCTTGTCCGTAAGCCAGTCGACCTTGCGACGAGTGTTGCAGAAGATGACTGCCTGGGTGATAGTCAGGGTGTCGTAAAGATCGCAGAGCGTATCAAACTTCCACTCTTCCTTCTCCACTGCAATAAAGTACTGCTTGATTCCCTCGAGCGTCAACTCGTCGCGTTTCACAAGAACGCGTACGGGGTCCGTCATGAACTTGGTGGTCATGTCCAAAACATCGTACGGGAGCGTAGCCGAAACCACCACCACCTGCGTCGCTGGTGGCAAGTAGCGGTAGACATCGTAGATCTGCTCACGGAAGCCCCGATTCAGGAGCTCATCGGCTTCATCCAGAACGAGCATCTTGATATGCCGGGTGCGCAGGTTCCGTCGGCGGATCATATCGGCGACACGGCCAGGCGTGCCCGACACAACGTGCTGACCGTAATCCAGCTTGCGGATATCTTCGCCAATGTTCGTACCTCCTATACACGCGTGGCACTGGACATTCATGTAGTCGCCCAGGGCCATGATCACGGATTGAATCTGAGTCGCAAGTTCACGAGTGGGAGACAGGACCAGGGCTATGATAACCGGCTAATAGTAAGCATCGTATCCTGACTAGATGAACCTGAGGTCTTGCGTACCTTGAGTTTCCCGCACAACGGTGTCGATGACCTGGAGAGTACTGATCGCAAATGTAGCAGTTTTACCGGTACCGGACTGAGCCTGCGCAATGGTATCCCGGCCTTTGCAGACCTGAACGATCGCGCGCGACTGCACGGCCGACGGAGACTCGTAGCCATAGGCGTAAATACCGCGCAGAAGACTCTCTTTCAGGTGCATGTCCTCAAAGGTCGGCGCCACCGTGACCTCCTTGGAAGTATTGAACTCCATCCGCTCTGGGCCCTATTAGCTTGGTTGTTTTATTGATATCTCGAATCGCATACCTTCAGCGCGTCTGTCAATTCCGTCCGCCATGTTGAAGAGGTATCACTGTAAGAAAATACTTGAAATGGACCACAGAATTCCAGGGAGATGGGTGGTTCGAAGTCCGCAATGTGACGAATTGAATGACTTTTTGCAATGGAAGTGGCACCGAAAACACGTGACTGAGCTCCAGCTGCCAACGGGCCAACCTCTTTTTTTCACAACTCAAACCCACGACTATCTCTTTGCGCGCAGGGAGAAGGAAAAGGGTGTTTTGATCGCAGTTTCAAAATGTTGCTTGAAGATCAGCGATTCATTCACGAGGACCTCGAGAGGTTGGAGCAGGCTGTCGCCGATCGCGTGGCCGAAGAACCGCGCAATGTAAGTGCAATGTCTCCGTCCGCTTCGAATTACCTTGCTTGCTAACTCCTAATCTCTAGATTCGGGAACGGCTTGCCCGCGACCATGAACTTGCCACATTCCTCGCGAGGATCGAAGAACAGTCGAAGAGGCTTCTCGAAATCTACAAGGACGCAGACGGGCTGCGGGAGAAGGAGGTGCAAGCGGTCACGACAGGCGATCAGTTCGAGGGATTCTACAAGCAGCTAGATGACATCAAGGACTTCCACAAGCGCTACCCGAACGAACCAGTCGAGAATCTTGAGCGAGCATACAAGCGCCGCCAGCCTGGCGAGGGCGAGGTGCCTGGCATGGAAATTGATAATATGTTCACCGGTGAAGAAGGATTTGGGCAATTCCTGGATCTCACCACAATCCACGAGGATTATTTGAACCTTCCTGGAGTGAAGCGCTTGAACTATATCCAGTACCTTGATATTTTCGATTCATTCACGCCACCGCAACTGTTGATCAAGCGGAAAGACAAGATCTCTGACAAATACTTCCGCTATGTCGGCGAACTTGCTAACTATCTCGAGGGCTTCATCAAGCGAGTACGGCCTTTGCAAGATTTGGATCAATTGTTCGCGGGCTTCGACAAAGATTTCGACAAACAATGGTCGGCCAAAGAGGTTCCGGGTTGGACGGAGGAAAAGGCTGAGAACGGTGTGCCTGGTCCGAAGACGGAGGGAACTGGCGAAGGTATCTGGTGCGCGGACTGTGAGAAAGAGTTCAAAAATGAGAACGTCTACCGGAATCACTTGACCGGCAAGAAACACATCCGTGCTGCCGAGGCCCGCAAGGCAGCTGGCACATCAGGCGAGAAGCCATCAGTACCTGCGAATGGCGGTTCCTCGGGTGCCCATAGTCTGAAAGAGCGTGCTGTCGCAGAGCGTGAGCACCGCGTACGGTGTCTGGCACAGGTCCTTCAGCCGGAGCGTCAAGCAACCCGGATCAACGTGGAGCGGAAGCAGGGTATGACGGAACGTGAACGGCAAATGGAACTTGATGCGTTGCTGGCCGAACCCGAAACTGGTGGCGAGGGCCGTTCAGGGGATCAGTCGGACGAGGATGACGAGGACCGGGTCTACAACCCGTTGAAATTGCCGTTGGCTTGGGACGGCAAGCCCATTCCATACTGGCTCTACAAGCTGCATGGCCTCGGTGTGGAGTACCCCTGTGAAATCTGCGGCAACTTTGTCTACATGGGCCGTCGAGCATTTGACAAGCACTTCTCCGAGGCGGGGCACATTCATGGATTGAAATGCCTGGGTATTACATCGCATACGAACCTGTTTCGTGAGATCACTCGCATTAAGGATGCCGAGCGGCTTTGGGAGAAGCTGGAGGGAGATCGCAAGAAAGACCGAGACAATCGCGATAATGTGGTGCAGATGGAAGACGCTGAGGGCAATGTCATGCCAGAACGGATCTACCTTGAGTATGTTTCTCTTCTCCCCGGTTCCATCATGGATTATGCTAATCGCTTGCAGTTTGCAAAAGCAGGGTATCCTTTAAAGGCGGATCTAAGTTTTCCTGGATGGGTTATGCTACAAAAGCTTGGAGTTGGGCGAGTGTACAATATGGACGGCTTCTGATACCTAAATGAACTGAAGTCCTGATTTCTTTCATGCCATAGTAAGACTTCCAAATTGAATTTCCTACTGCCAAATTCCTCATAGATCCCGCAATCAGAAGGGTAATGTACATCACGTGCTTTCGTGTAACTTTTCGCGTCCCCCGTGACTCGGAATCCACGAACATCGGATTGTGTGAACACCCATCGACTCGGGTTTTTCTACGGCATAGACATGTGAGAGTTCTCGCCCTATGGGATTCAACTTTTCCTTTCTGTGTGATCTGCTCTCCAGCCTGGAACACAACACAATCGTCAAAGCGTCAACTGCAGCCAAAACCACCGATCCGGATACTCGGACCTTCGCTCAATGGTTTGCCCGGCATGAACGGCACATCCATCACGCTGATACAGACAGGCTCGCCCTGCTGTCATGCATGTTCCCCGAGAAACGAACCGATCGTGTCTATTGGCTGCAGGCCACGTCACTGGCACGAGTGATCGGACGCTGTCTATGCCTGGGGTCGTCTCGGTTCTCAGAGCTGGATCGCTGGCGCACACCAGGTCCAGATCTCGGGCAGTGCGTAGAGGATATCATGCGACAAGCCGAGAATCACATACCCGCAGGCCAAGAGATCTTGGTGGAGGACATCGATCATGCCCTGACCATGATCGCGTCTCGATGTCGCTTCTCCGGTCCCCGTGTTCGCCGCCAGCATACCGCTGTTGACGTGGAAGAGACACTTGCACCCCTGTACCGTCGACTGAGAAGCCGGGACGCTAAATGGCTCACCCGCATGATTCTGAAGAGTTATTCTCCTGTCGTTTTACCGCAACCGTATACCCTGAAACAATTCCACTTCCTGCTGCCTCATCTCCTTCAATTTCAAGATTCCTTCGAGGGGGCATTGGATATGCTCGTCTCTGAGCCTATGAATCACTTTCCGCCCCATCCAGACCCGAAACTAGCTGCGAATTTGAGTGCCATCGCTCTGGATTACTTGCGTCCGCGGACGGGTATTAAAATTGGGCGGCCCGAATACTTCAAGGCTCGAAGTGTCAAGCACTGTTATCAGATGGCCAAGGGCCGCCGCATGAGCATCGAAAGAAAATACGATGGCGAGTATTGCCAGGTGCATGTTGATCTCAGCAACAGGAATACCCCCATACAAATCTTTTCCAAGAGCGGCAAGGATTCCACTGCAGACAGATTGGGTATTATCCCAGTGGTGGAGGAATCGCTCCAAATTCGAAGCCCCCAATGCAAGTTCATGCGCCGCTGCATTGTTGAGGGGGAACTGCTCGTGTGGAGCGACAAGCATAGCAAAGTGGCAGATTTCCATAAACTTCGCAAGTTTCTTCCTCGCTCTGGAACCTTCATTGGCATTGAGAACGATTCTCCGTGAGTATATCCTGTACTATGAATCTTCCTTCTCTCATTTGCTGATGGGAGCAGTCCCCAACCATATGAGCACTTGATGATCGTCCTCTTCGATATCCTTCTCTTAGATGATGATGTCTGTCTGAAAAAGCCACATCGACAAAGACGACTGCTATTACAAGATACAGTGCATCCAATTCCTGGCCAGGCTGCCATCGCTGAACAAGAGATTCTGGACTTCACTCTACCAAACAGCCAACACCGATTAGAAGTCAGTTTTGCCAGGGCCATCGCTCAGCGATGGGAAGGCTATGTTCTTAAGGGCTGTGACGAGCCCTATTTTCCCATATATTCCCCTGGAGTAGACAATGCCTTTGGCCGATGGATCAAACTGAAAAAGGACTATATCCCGGGACTTGGAGACACAGTGGACCTTGCCTTGATTGGGGCAAGCTACGATTCACAAGATGCGACCGCTCTATCGCAGGTCAGAAAAGTGCTTTGGACGCATTACTTCGTCGGTTGTCTTCTTAACAAAGAACAAGTGGTGCAATTCGAGGCCACGCCTCGCTTCCGAGTGGTGGATGTCATTAACCGGCCTTGCATGAACACACGCATTTTACAAGCCCTCAATCAATTCGGAGAATTTAATGCCTGCGGTCCTGAGACTTGTGGGTTCAACGTGGAATACGGACACGAGCGCCTTTCTCATGCAACTGTTCTCTTCAAAAAGCCGTTTGTTGTGGAAATGCTTGGTAGTGGATTCGAAAAGCCATCTGGTGCAAGGTACTTCACCCTCCGGTTTCCCCGTATTGTGAAGGTCCACACGGACAGGACTTTCAAGGATGCCGCGTCTCTCCGTGAACTACAGCTTCTCGCGGAAAATGCTCGCGATGTGCCCGTGGAAGACCTTTCCCAGGAACGGGCTCAGTGGACTAAACGTCTCAAAGTTGGGAATGGGGTGAATCATTATATTGTGAGATCACAAAGTCCATCATCCACGTGCTACTCCAGTGAAAAGTCAGACTTGGAGTCTTCGTCGTCGCGGGCTTCGGCTGCCTCGATCAATGACATCAATGACTGTGACCATCATGTCTTGGCCGAGAACGACAACTTGACATCGCACAGATGCAGACAGAAAGAATCCAGAATTGGGTCCCACAATTCTGAGAAAGCACGTGGGCCTCAACCGACCAAGCTCCCTGCGAAAATAGGGCCATCGAGCTTATCGAGTTCTATGCGAGCAACGAGTCTCATCTCGATGCACCAAGGGCACCCTCTGGAGCCGTCCAAACAGGAGAGTCACGCAGTATCGGAATTGGCGACGCAGAGAAAATCACTTTGCTCTCCAAGACCAATTTCTATATACACACCTAAGACTTCCCCGGGCGATGAAAATGTTTCAAGTTTGTATGAGTTTCTTCGGAGTTTAGAGTCTGGCACAGAGACCATATTCCAGGATACAAGTCTTGGTATAATCATTATTGATCCTCAGAAAACGGCCCTCGGGCCAGAAATCAACAAGATCGGGGTTGTTCTCGCTTCAGCCCTTGACGGCAACGCATCCTTTCTCCACCCCAAGGGGAAAATATTCTTTTTGGATACAAGATTGTTGGGTCGAGAAATACGCGCTGCTCATTGTCAGCGTTCTTTCCTCGAGACTTGGTCAATTATTGGGCTTGAATACTTTTACGCCTGTCTGATCTGGAACTTGGTAACGCCCTTGAATGCCACGTCGGGGCCGCATCGTGGGTCTCAGACCCACATCGACATGGGGCATGCGGGCTTTGATCGACAGAGACCCTCCGGTATCAGGATCAGCTTCGACAAAACAGATTTCACTTGGTTGTGCGAGCATACTGTGATTGAGCCAGCTTAAATTTGATGAGAGTGATGTCTTGATCTTCTGTCGGCGCGTCATTCAACGCTCGCTCCCTGATATGATGTTGATAGCTACTGTCAAATCATTTCTTGCTTTCCAACAAAACTGGTCCATCTTTTACCGCTTCATCCACCTTTCCCTTGGACTACGCCTTAGTTACTAAATGCTAAACAAATACCAAGAATTTCTCTAGATGTTGAACGGGGTTTCTCTTGAAGGCAGTTTGGCAAATAAGAACGAGACAGCATAACATTGTGATAAGGATATAGTGAAGGAATGTGGGATAAACCCAGGGTTCATAACCTAGAAAATAGAAAATACGCGACAGACAAGGGGTAGAAAGACCAGAGGTTTAGCCAAATCCACCGCTGCAATATATTCATGCAAGAGGCACCAAAAGCAGTCTATATAGTGATTGAGGAACCAATAGAACAATCACTGTGTGCAGCCTCCGTGCATGTTCTGGACGGTATTCTTAACATCAAGACTGTGTCCAAGGCAAAGAACGTCGTCCTGTAATGGACCAGCGTTTCCATCGTTGCATGCCGTACGCTGATTTCCCTGCCAGCTGAGCCAGCACCAGTAGCCCCCTTCAGTGTACTCGTCTGTGTTGGGCGTGCCGGACTTGGACAGAAAATCCTTGGTGCAAGAAGCCCAGCGATATCTGTTGCCGTGGTCATCGGGCTCAGCGCAACCAGGGGAGGTGGATCCTCTCTTCTGGAGGGTAGTAGAGTTGGTATCTAGCAAGGTGATGAGCTAGGGGCGAATTTGGAGCGAATTTGATCCATGAATCACCCACCAGGAATGCTAGCAGCCATGGACACAGTCGTGATTGCAAGCAAGACAAAACCCAGATCGAACTTCATATTGGCGAAGTAGAAAATTGGAGCAAGAGTGATGAGTCTGAATTGTTGGAAAGGAAGTTAATAGGCGAAGGATATTTGCTGCCCTTTGTACCCCATCGCTGCTGGTTTATTTTCAATCTGGCCTTCTAGTTAATACGTTGGTTCTTCCAAGTTCTTGAACTGCCCGTACATTTCAACTACCAAATTGGGCAAGTATCGACAAAGCTGAGAGGTATACGCACCTAAGAGGTTTTCTCGATCACAGCCTCCTGACAAGAAATTGCGATCTCTTGGTCTCACACAGCCCAGTACTATAATTAACAAGGTCGTAAAAGAATCTTCAGGTCGGATGCTCTGCCGTGCGCCGGGGGGGGTTGCCAGCTGGGCATTCTGATAGGGCTCAAAGGCTGCAGGGAGTATATGACCCACTGCCAGCACGATCTGAAACATGCCAATATAGACAGCGATTACTCAATAGTTTCCTACTTTCTATCTACTCAGCCTGCCCCCTACGTATATCTGTCTCTCATGCCGACTTGAGATACGCACCTCAAATGAAATATACCACAGCGGGATAGAGCCCCTACCTAGATAGCTTGGAAATATCTACGAAGACTGACATGATCCCATTTAAGCCAATGCAAAGCATAGCTATGTAGATTTTGATCAACCAGTACGAAGACTGAACGCCACGCTATCATGACAGGCAATGCAATGAAAAGATCATCCTCTAAGCCCAAGTAGATCTACGTGGGCAAGTTTGCCGAATTGCCTAAGCAGCCCCCTCTCTTCGCGCACGAACATCCCTCATTAAAGCCTTGGCCTCCTCCACCTCAATTCCATCCTGACATAATTCGCCCGCTAGCTGGTCTGCGCGATCAAGGTCGCCGTTCCGTAGGGCGTATTGTGCCAGCCAGAGGCGAGCCTTAGATGTAGTCGCCGTGGGCCCAGTGCCATTCCACGTGTCGCCAGCGGTAGAGCTGTCATCCTGCATGGCGGATGAGGCGCTGACGCGAGGCCGACGGCGACGACGCGCACGCGAAGGCATGCCGGCGGCATCATCGTCAGAGTGCTCAGCGTCGAGATCGCTGTGGGCTGCGTGTTCCGAAGCAGACGAGTACTGGTCCTCATCGTCGGATTGGTCTTGATCGGCGATTGGAGCGCCACCCGTTTCTTGTTGAAGCGTGAGCTCCATATAAGCAGCGGCTTCCTCTTCGTCATCGAGACGCTCATAAAGAGTCGCGATCTGGTGCAGCGTTTCTGGGTCAAGCACCTTGCGAGTCCCTGGGCCAGGACTTGCGGCGGCACCAGACTGTGAGGCGCCATCGTCGGTGTAGTATGAGCCGGCCACAAGAGCACGCTTGAGGGCCTGGATACTTTGCTCGGGGCGGCCCATTTTCGCATAACAAGACCCGACAGCCTGCCACATTTTCGGGTCGTATGGACGAAGAGTTGCCGCATGCTGATAGTAGAAGAGAGCGTAGAAGGACATGTCCAGGACTTCATAGGCCTGCCCGAGACCGTACCAGGCGCGGTAGTCCTTGCGGTTGACATCGACAGCACGGCGGTAAGACTCGATAGCGGTGTGTGTGTTCTTCATCTCAATGTACTCATGGCCCATTAGGGTCCAAGCAGACAGGAAGTTGCGGTCGAGGGTCAAAGCGCGTCGGAAGTACATGACGGCCTTTTCATGCTCGGATTTGAGTGAGTAATAGTTGCCTACGACGCAGCAAGTTTCCGGGCGGAATTTATCGGTGGCAGTTGCAATCTGGGCCACAAAAGCGAGTTGTGGCCGCGAGCCCATCACGTACAGAATGTTGGAGTAGTGGTCGAGACTGTCCAGGCGATGGGGCGATGTAGTGAGAATTTCGTTGAATATGTGGGATGCCTCCTCGAAATCTGTACATGGCCTGCGCTTAGAAAGAGCCACATAGATATGGACATTCGCATTTCATGATATGGGCTTACCTTTCGAATGATAGTAGAGCAGAGCACGCTGGGTCTTGAGAAAGGCACTGGTAGGAAAAATAGCCTCAAGCTCGGTTAGATCTCGATAGGTTTCTTCAGTAGCTTGATATAGCTCCTGACTGCAGAAAACGTGAAAGATCAAGGTAACAATGTTGTGCGGCAGGTGGTCGATGATTTCTTTCAACTGCGATGACGATCAGCGTTCACGAACAGAATCCACCCAAGAAAGACGACTCACATCTTCAGTGCTGGACAGAAGATCATTCAATTCCTGCCACGCGCCCCAATGGAACGGGTTCTGGTGCACACTTTGGACGAGCCATTTCTTAGCCAGCTTGTCGTTCCGTCCCTTCAGCAAGACAACAGCATAGAGATATTCCAGCCAGCCCTGTCCTCGAGCCTCCAGCCCTTGTGCACGTCGTTCCACCAACCATCCCTCCAACCCATGAGCCAGGTCTTGCAGTTCTTTATTGACGGCCATCCCACCATCGGCGGGGCCCAGTACCATCTCTGTCTCCTCATCTTTGCGCTTTTCCCCGGCGAGGTACTTGGCATACAGAGCGAGAAATAGAGACTTTTGGCTAAGCTTCGGGTATGGGTTTCGAGGGGCGTTGACCTTGGAGCCTTGGAATGGAGAGGACTTGTCCTTTCCCTTATGCGAGGGTCGAGGCGGCTTCGGCTTCGAGTTGGGCGAGGTGACGGAGAGAGGAACGAGGGGTATCTTGGGTGGGAGAAACACGGCGGCGCAGCGGTCATATTCGCGGGTATCAAAGTAGGACTTGGCTAGCAGGTACTTGTGCGCTTCCTGGGCCTCGAGAGCGGCTTCTGCGGGATCTTGAGGGCCGAGGTATGGATTGACTGGTGGCAAAGGCGGATCCGTCATATCCATAGGAGAGCCAAGGTCAGTATCTTCATTGTCGAGTGGTAGGAGAGAATCGAGCATTTCTGCCGCCCTGGGAGTCACGATTTTTGTCAGTCCTTCTTCAACAGTTGAAACAGAGCTATCACGGACAGACCATTTGGACGATTGGTAGAGGCACCGCTCGGAGCATTTAATGGCGGCGTCCTCGAGCCGGAACTTCAGCTCTCTGATACTGTCGTCGTTGAATTCCATCATGGACATTCTGGCACATAGAAGTAATGAAGAGAGCTCGGGGATGGAGATCCCATGGAACAGCTGAGGCCGCAATCCAAATGATCGCGGATTACTAGAATTTACCAACCACGAATCTTGGCCATGGAGGTTTGCCTCAGCTCAGAAACCAGCAGTTCGCTTTAGTTGACACGCGCAATCGTGTTGGTGCTGAAAAGGTTTCGGAATTGATGCGCCTAGGATGCGAATTGTAGAGACTCGAGCGTAGCAGGGTTACACGAAGAAGGATAAGATTGTAATAACCGCCGAATTCAAAAAACCCAATCAAAAGCCCCACGGATGCCAGAAATCGCAATAAACATGAGGCGCGCGAGTCGCCGTTGCCCTCTTATCCAAACAAACAGCACAAACAGCACAAACATGTCAAACGCTCCCTTCGCGGGGAAAGAGCCCTTATTTTGCGATTCTTCCCCTTTTGCTCTCTTCTTTGTCTCCCCGCTCAATTCGCTTCATTCCCTTCATGGCTTCTACTACCAAACGCGCCGACTTCGAGGCGGTCTTCCCCTCCTTGGCCCAGGACATTCTGGCCCACGCAAAGCGGTACAACCTTCCCGCCAATGCGCTCGAGTGGTTGGAAAAGGTGGGCGGTGCCTTTCAATTGAAGATATGGTGCAATTAGATTGCTGATGTGGTTTCTCCTCTGCAAACAGTCCCTCAATGTGAATGTCCCCGGTGGGAAGCTTAACCGTGGGCTCTCGGTGCCCGACACCGGCCTGGCGCTCCTAAAGCAGCCCCTGACCGACGAGCAGTTCGAGCACCTCAGTATTCTGGGCTGGTTCACTGAATTGCTCCAGGCATTCTTCCTGGTTAGCGACGATATTATGGACGGTTCGATCACTCGCCGTGGCCAACCCTGCTGGTACCGCCAAGAGGGCGTGGGGTTGATCGCCATCAACGATGCCTTCATGCTGGAGTCGGCAATCTATATTGTCCTGAAACAAAGGTTCCGCTCGCACCCGGCCTATATTGACCTGGTGGAGCTTTTCCACGAGACCGCCTGGCAGACGGAGCTGGGCCAGCTGTGTGACCTGATCACCGCCCCCGAGGACAACGTCAACCTTGACAATTTCTCTCTGGAGAAGTACATGTTCATCGTCACCTACAAGACGGCCTATTACAGTTTCTACCTGCCTGTCGCACTGGCCCTGCACTACTTGCAAGTGGCCAGCCCTGAGAACCTTAAGCAGGCGCATGACATCCTCATCCCACTGGGCCAGTACTTCCAGATCCAGGACGACTACCTGGACAACTTTGGGGATCCTTCGGTCATCGGCAAGATCGGCACCGATATCCAGGACAACAAGTGTTCGTGGCTCATCAACCAGGCCATCCAGCGTTGCACCCCAGAGCAGCGCCAGGTGCTGAACGCCGCCTACGGACGCAAGGACAAGGAGCAGGAGGCCAAGGTTAAGGCTATCTTCAACGAGCTCGAGCTCGAGAAGCTTTACAAGGAGTACGAAGAGAAGGTGGTTGGGGAGCTGCGTACGAAGATCGCTGCCGTGGATGAGTCCAAGGGCCTGAAGAAGGAGGTCTTTGAGGCATTCCTGGCCAAGATCTACAAGCGCACCAAATAAGCGATGAGCTGATGGTGTCTGGGAGTGCGAAAATAAATACCCGTCGCTTCGATTAATGCAACATGACGATGACTTGAACACCACACTATGTGATACTGAATATGTCCAGCGATGATTCACTTATTTATTTCTCAGATGAAACTCATATAGAAATTGCACAGTGCAAACTTCTCATTTTTGATACAAACTCTGTCATGAGATCGATCATGAATTCAAATTCAAATACCTACACTGCTGGGACAAGCCTATATACACAAAAACCCAGTCTAAAGGTGAGGCGTGTTCAAGGCCATCAAGCATATCAATCCCGCAATCAGACCCGCACAAGGCAGCGTCAAAACCCATCCGCCAAAGATCCAGCACAGCTGTCTCCAGTTCACGGCGCCGAGGTCATAGTTCATGAGCGCAACACCCATAGAAGCACCCGTCAAGCACTGGGTAGTCGAGACAGGCAAGCCCAACCGTGAAGCCAAGAGAACCGTGATGGCAGCACCCAGCTCAACACTGAAGCCGCGGGTAGGCGACATCTGGGTAATTTTGTTGCCCATTGCACGCACGATGTTGTATCCATAGAACCAGAACCCCAGACCAAGCAACAGACCGGCAACGACGAGAAACCAGATGGGCGTGGGGGCCTCGGTCTCGACGACGCCAGCATTGTAGGTGCTGTAGACGGCAGCCCAGGGGCCCACGGCGTTGGCAACGTCGTTGGAGCCGTGCGCGATGGACATCATCATGGCCGAGACCACCTGGCAGTAGGTCCAGAGGTGCTCGACACGGTCGTCGTAGCGGTGGGCGCGGGCGTGGATGGCGCGCAGGGCGGGCGAGTCGTGCGTCACGACGTCGCGGGTCACGCCTTGCAGAAGAATCCATTTGATGTATCCCCAGGCCTTGTGGGGGTTCACCCACGACAGCTCGCGGACAGGGTCGATGAACCGTTCGGTGGGTCCGACGTGCTTCTTGCGCGGCTTGATCTCCGGCGTCGACTGCGCCGAGTCGATGTTCTTTTCAATATCGTTGCCCGGCTGCTCGGAGCTCTTTTGGAGGGCGGTGATCTCTGGGGAGGGGAGGATGGCGGCGGCGTCGGCGGAGGTTTCCTGTTTGGCGGCGTCCTTTTGGCCTGCTTGGACTTTGCCGTAGGCATCTTCGTAGTACGAGACCACGACACCGTCGCCCTTTCCAGGGTAGTAGAGGGGAGGGTTATCTTTCAGCAGCAGGGGACCGAGGGGGATATGGTAGAACTTGATGCGGCCATCCTCTTTGATCAGACGACGCTGGAAGTACGGCATGAAGAAGGCATAGGCGATGAGAAGGCAACCGACAAAGACACCCAGGATGATGCCGACGGCCTTTCCAGCACCAAACTCTTCAAGCGAGGGCGCCGTCGGCGCTTCAATGACAATGAACAGCGCGAGGATGGCTCCCGTGCCGGCGAGGTAGAAGGGAATCATGCGCATGGCCCATTTGAACGAGTCAGTGCGCTCGAGGACACTATACTTGAGGGTACCAAAGATGACGGCCGAGAACCCGGCAGCAATTAGTGGTGCAATACCCCAGGAGGCCGCCACCTGAGAGACACTGCCATCTTCCCAGGCCCAAGTGATGGAAGCTTGGGAAGCAAAGCCCACACCGATGAGGGCACCGACAACAGTCTGCGTGGTTGAGACGGGGAATCCCACATGGGTAGAGAATATCAGCCATGCCGCACTGCCAACTTCGGCACATCCCATGCCGAGCATGAGCGCACCGGGCTTGCCTTCGAACCGGTCGATGCCGATGATACCGTTCTTGATGGTGTCGGTAACCCGAGCACCCATGGCCACGGCACCGATGAACTCAGTGATGATGGCAAGTACACCGGCCGTGGCCATGTTCAGCGTCCGAGCCGCAATGGAAGTGGCATAGGAGTTGGCGACATCGTTGGCCCCGTTTCCGAAGGCGCTGAACACGAAGGCGATAGTGGTCAGAGCCAGAATCCAGTCATATTTGGCAGTGGCTATTGGTGGCATGATGAAGAACGACTTGACACGCTCAACCACGCGACAGCTCACAATAAAGAGAAGAAAATAAAAGGGTTATTGCGAGGTTCTGTCGCGTGCCCAGTTTTGCCTTAAGTATATCTTGCCGCCATCGCCAAGGGCAGGACTCGATCCGATGACCACAGTTCGCTGATACTCTGGCGAACCCATCATCGACCCGTCATGGACAGCGTGCACTGATGCTCCGGCACTCATTGGTCAAAGACTTTGTTCTGGTGAGGATTCCGCCCAGCACCGAATGCGAGCGGCTCTTGAATGCCAAGGCTTGGGGGGCGACGCCCGGAGCGGAGACTCTGTGTTGAGGTTGGAGGACGCTGGAAGATGTCAAAGAATAGCATCCAATGGAAAGTCACAAAGGAGCACGTTCCTGGCTCGCGGACTGCCATTGACGAAGGATGGAGCTTGTTGCTGGTGGGAACTGGGCGCCGAGTATGCCGAGACGTCTGGGCATCTCGGCGAAGGGCACTGCCGCGCACGGCGCTTGGCGTCTGGGAAAAAAAAGACTCACTTTGTTCACCTTTGAATTTTGGTTTATAAGAATCCATGGCAACGATAATGGAATGTCCTACCTTGTCTGCGAGTGGTATTGCTTCTTGTATGTGCCGGGGACAATAGAGCGAGCCCTAAACTATTGCAATGGGAAAAACTTGTAGGTCTATGGCAACACCACCCAGGATACCTCGAAGTCATTATCTGCTCGATCCGGAACACTGTTTCTGAAGAGGCATTCTTAGTCCCCTTTTGCCATCGCGTTGTGTGTCCTTGACCTTGTCGTACTTGCCTGTCACTGTGTGAGAGGGAAACCTGCGATGGGGATCTGGTAAGCGTGGTGAGGTAATGAATGTAGTTTCTAGGTTTATCAGACCTTTCATAGGTTCCTTTAGCCACCGGTATGACAATGTCTGCCGCGGGAATCCGTGCATCCGACACAAATTGGATTTGTCTACGGTTACAAGGGGACACTTCGAATTCTTCGGTACGAGCCGAGACTTTTACCCATAGCTACTCATCTCTAGCAAGATGTATACATTCCAGTGAATGTGACGGGGGTAGTTTTGACATGATGGCGACTGCGGTGGGAGGACTCAAGTCTAAGTCGGATTAAATCAGTCAAGTGAAACTTGGAAAAGAAATTTTTGGAATACTGCTATATTATTCTGTGCCTTTTTCTTTCTCGGTCAGGAGAGATCCGGCACCGATGTCCTCCTTATGTGTATGTGCCAGATGGGAGGAGCAATCTAATCTCGAGGAATAAAACTATGGGTAAGTGTAGGTATCTGCTTATGAGGGCAATCTAGATAATGAAAGAAACTCAATTCAAAATAAAATCCCGATAAAGAACAAAGCAAAGCAAGTAAGACACCATCACATCCCTCCTTTTGACTATAACCCTAAACTAAGGACCTCAGGCGAAAGGATAAACCTCCCGGTAGGCGGGGTGACTGGGACTGCTGGCAGAGCAACCTGCAATTATGATATTTCATCCTACTTCTCGAGAAATGCCCAATACCCAGAATATTAATTATAGGCTGTTAGCGCCCACTGGGTAATCCGAGGACCAACAATGGAAGGGTATACGCTGATCCTTTGTGGTGTACTGTTGAGCCCGAAAGCAAACCCATCAAACAGTTTAGTGTCACGTGACTTAAAGTATGGATCGTCGATTTCCTGTCTCTTGCATTACTGCAACATAGATCCCTCCCAACCTTTGCAGAAAACCTATTCATCATGGAGTTGAAGGATATTGACCCATCGGGAATTTATTTACAGGAAAGGCTTTTCAAACCCCGATACTCTGCCGTTTTTCTCGTCACCGTGCGGGATGTGACTTGTGTCATGAAAGTGGTATATGATTATCCATCAGGGTCTGATTTAATTAACATAGAGGCGAATTACTAAAATCCATGAAATCTAGCATCACGGTCGTGGGCCCCCAGAGTACTATGAGCCCCAAGATCGGGAGCTCGACATCCATGTCCTAGAATCAACGGCCTACATTCGACTAAAAGAGCGAGGCTTATGCGAACGGGGAATTGTCCCTTATTATCTGGGTTCAATGAGGAAATTTGATCCAGCACTATGTCAGCCTCACTTAAAGATGTTCCTCGAAGATGATTATCTGCCAAGTGCCCTCTTCCTAAGGTACATTCCGAATCAGCAATCGCTTGACCTGAGCAACTACACACCTCAGCGAATGAAGAACTTCATGTCCGGTATAGAGGAAATACATAATGCCGGTGTGTCTCACGGAGATCCCAAGCCCCGCAAGGTGATGGTCATTACGGTCGACCCCGAACGAGTCGTCTGGATGGATTTCGACCGGGCGGAAACGCTCGAGGAAGGCCATATCACCGAGTGGCAAAAGCGCCATTTGCAAGATGACAAGGACCTGGTTGATGGCGTGCGAATAACTCTGGTAGGATTGGCCCATAAAAGGAACAAAAATACATCCAACAGTCTCTCTAACCGATTATCGCAGGAAACCGACTATGCGAGGGGAGATGGGAAGCTTCAAGAGTCTATCGTATTTTTCTGTTCCTGAAATCTTGCGGGCAAATAGCTGCATTACTCTCTTTTGCCCATCTTCCATAGAAGCAAGAATAGACTGGCACATCTGTGTCCAAGGCCAGATTATTGCTGGCCGGAATTGTCCGCTATATCTTGATTTGTCGACCCCGTTTTCTGCGCAGCACCAAGTATACAAGAAGTAGTCGAGAGATGTTAGAGCAGATCTGATCCATGCGAATGTGCAGGCTTTACAACTCAATGGAAATTTCGATATAGTTGGGTCTAAAGGAAGCTGATCCTTGTCCAAATTGCTTTTAAGATACAGGTTCTTAGATGGCTCTGAATTCTTTCGCGCCATGCTCCTAACTGGTATACATTCTGGTCTAGTAGCAATTTGGCTTTGGCTTGTTCTACTCGAGGATGCTTATGATAAGAAAATAATCTAGTGTTGCGTAGCATGAGCCAATGGCTGATGTTCATTCATGTAGTTGAAACGAGGCTAACGAGTGAAGCCTAGTACATGCTCGCGTCGACCCAAAGAGAGAGATCAGCTTAAGCAGAAGCCGAGACCTCAAGACGCTTGAAGCCACCCTCGGCAGCAACCTTCTCCTGCAGCGCAGCCATGCGCTTCTGGTCACCGGTGGGATCAGTGGAGTCCGCATCGAGGGTCCAGGAGAGGTAGCTGTTGGTGTAGTTGGACTCGAAGCTCTCGTCGAGGATACCAAGACGCTTGCCGTAGCGAGTGACCTTAGCCCAGTCACGGGCGACGTTCTTGAGGTCGCGGCTGAAGTAGGCGAACGAGCGCTCGAAGATCTTGCGGTTGACGGGAGTGGCCATGATGGGCTTGACGTCGATGTACTCCTCGTACGTGGTGGCCGGGTCGGCCAGCACGTAGTCTGTGGCGCGTTTGACGGCCCGCATGAACTTGTGCACCTTCTCCGGGTTTGCCGCCAGGAACTCGTCGTTGGCAATGTACAGGATCGAGCAGAAGCAGCAGCAGCCCAGCTCGGCCAGCTGGTCAATCCGCAGCATCTGCACCTCGGAGCGGTCTCGGCCCTGCGACGCCAGCCACTCGGCCAGCTCGACCATCTGCACGTTCTCCAGGCCGATGCCCGCGTCGATGTCGCCGCGGATGATCGCCTTGGTCACGTTCATGCCGCAGCGCACCGCGGTGTAGTCGTCGGTCGACATGCCGTAGTACTTGGTGAGCTCGTCGATTTGGATCTGAAAGGTGGGTTAGCATCATAGAACAGTTCTTGATAGCTCGAGTTTCAGATCAGAACTCACCTTGCCAAACTCGCCAACGTAGCCAATCTTCTTCCCCTTCAGCGAGCGGAAGTCCTCAGTGATGCCACTCGACTTGAGGTACACAACGCCGGTGAAGGGCTCGTCAAGCAGCGAGCCGATAGACGTGACCGGGAAGTTACGGGCCTTGGCCTACATAGAAAATCAGCAATGCTCTGGGCCAACGCCAAAGGATGAATGACGCACCGCCAGGGTGTGGATCATGGCCTTGAAACCCATGTCGACCTTGCCGCTGCCGATGATCTCGGTCACATCGGACGGGTCGTTGGGCTCCAGCAGAGCCACCTTCAGGCCTTCATCCTTGAAGTAGCCCCGCGACTGGGCGAGGTAGAGGGGGCGTGGTACGGGGTCGCGTGCCTGGGAAACCACACTTAGCCTGGTCCAGGGAATAGCGCAACGATCCATTGAGAATATCATGGTAATAAGGCAAAATAAAAACAAGGAATCTAGCAGGTTGCTGTTAGCATACCAGTTGGTCAAGAAGGTGATCTTGTCCGTAGCCATGGTGACACGTTCAAGGGTCTATCAAGACTTGGGGATCGAGTCAGCAATCACTGAGACCAGCACCCTCGCAGAGTCCGCAGCAGAAACCGGCGGGACACAACGAGGGGGCAAGAAACACAAAGGGGAGAACAATCAAAGTCACGCATGTCCTTTCGCTAGTATTATCTAGATCAAGTTTTGACAGTATAATCTCAGAACGACCCGGTCCGAAGACCGAGCCGAACACCTGTCATGCGTGTGCAGTGACTGTTATACCATGTACAATACCTTGATCCCGATGATCACCGAGCGAGAACCCGAACCTAGGGACCCCGAGGGGCTCCCACAGGAGGGGGTTGAGTCTAGGACGTGCGCAACTCCATTGGAGAGTCGTACCGATGGTAAGACTTGGGTTGTAGATGGAAGTAGAAAGTGAAGTGGAAGACAAAGAGTCGAGAGTATGAAGAAGAAAGAAGAAAGGAAAAAGGAAAAAGGAAAAAGACGGAAAACATGGAGGGGTAGAAATACCCCATAGTGGGGGGGCATCATGATGACCACGAAAACAGCTCACCGGCACGAAAACCCCCGCGGCGTATCTTATTGGCCTTGCGGGTTGACTGTGGAATCCTGTGGGATCCCCATGCCCTTCATAGCTCAAACCCTAGGAACACTCTGTTCCGGTTACACACTACACACTCTCAGAACTTATGAAATTGATCCAATATTCACAGTTAGATAAGATCACAATAGCGAATGACCTCAAATATAATATAGCATGAAAACAGAGGCTTCGAATGCATATGGATGCGAGAAGAGATCAACGACTTGAAACAAGTACAGGTGACGTCAGGCTGTGGATACCCAAAGTCAGAGCAAAAATAGGAAGCAAAAAAAAAAAAAAAAAAAGTAAACACAGGCCCCCAAATGGACAATAGAGGTCCTCCAAGTATTAGCATAGACATTACTCTTGCTGCGGGCTGCCTTCCGACTGCCGGCCGCCATTGAGCGCGATGCTGTCCAGCGGCGATTGTGGACGGTCCGAGGACTTGCGAGTTCGCAACGTGAGCGGATAGAAGTGTTCTTCCGGCTCCTCCTCCTCACTGAAAATTGGGTTAGCGCCTGTGATACATGCGTGGGCGGGAATAAAACATACGGCAGTTTCCATGCAATGTAGTCCTCGGTGCTCAATCCCTCGCGGCCTTCCTGGAGAGATGCAAAATCACCGGGGGTCATCATGCCAGAGCGGTCCCGTGGAGAACCAGGAACTGAAAGAGGACGGGTGATCTTCTGGTCCGTGCCTCCGATGTAGTTGAAGTAATCCTCCGAGACATCAAAGGACGAGGGATAGGCTACAGAAGAATCAGTATCTGTTTCCTTTTCTTCACCTCAGGGCAATCGTACCTCTCCGCAACGCCAGCTGACGGGCCTTGACGTATTCCAGTCCCATCCGCTTCCAGTCGAGCAGATCACTCAGCCGTTCAGTTCGGTTCCGCTGGTTGATCCGTTGACGGCGGCTCTTTTCCGTGAAGTGATACATGAAATCGGTCAGTTGGTTCACCGAGTCATCGACGCCCTTGGAACGACGGTCCACGATATAAATGCCGTAGTCGGAGGAGTTCTCAATCAGTTCCTCCATATAACACCCAAATCCGGACAGGTTGGTAGTGATGCTGGGAACACCCATAACCGTGCATTCCGCCGGCGTGTATCCCCAGGGCTCGTAGTAGGATGGGAACACTCCCAAATGCGTTCCTCGGACAAAATCATCATAATCCAGCGGCAACACCGGGTTGGAGGAGTTGAGGAACTCGGGGTGGAATACAATCTTGACCCGGTCCGAGGCGTGATTGAACAGCTGGACGCGGCGCAGCTGGTTCAATATGGGGTCCTCCGAGTCATTGATCATGTTGTGTGTGACAATCGGAGGCAGGCTGTGCCGCTTCATGGCGAAGAGCCGACGGCGAAGCAACACACGATCATGACTAGTGATGAGATCCTTCTCGTCCGGCATGTTGTCCCCCTCCTTCCAAGCGAGACAGCGCTCATACATGCGTCTTCCGATCCCTTTCTCGATGTTCTCAATGGTGTCTCGCAGGGACTTGACAACGGCCTGTCCCTTAAGCGACTCGACGGTAAGAGACGAGGTCTGGGCAGGCATGATGATAAAAGCCACAACCGTCATATTTGAGCCATTCGCTTTGAGCCGGTGGTTGAGGCGGGCCAGACCCTCGACGAACATATCGACACCCTTGTTGCGGAACTCGTACCGACCAGAAGTGAAGAGATAGAGGGTGTTGTCGAGATCAAAGTCATTCTGGCCGTAGAAATGTCCGCGCACAAAATCATTTATCTTCTCCTTGGCCTGCGAATGCAGGTTCTGGAACTCGTGCATAGCCGAGAACTTCTTGACGTTCAACCCATTGGGCAGCACTCCGTCCGGCTTCCGCTTGAGCAAATGCTCGCTCTCAAAGGCAGTGATGTGTGATACCGTGGTAAAGACATCTGCACTATGGGCGGCCGCTCGCTCGATGCAATAGCGGTGGTAGATCCCACGCTTCCCGGCCTCCGCATCCACATCAAAATGTTGGAGGTTGTTGTAGAAGTCAACTGATCCCGCACAAAGGTACCGACCCAAGAGTGTCGCGTGGGTGGTGAAGATGGTTGTGAGATCCATATGTCGCCTCTTGGTCAGCGGCAGGGCGACACCCGCCAGCCATTCATGGAAATGAGCAACAACGGCCCGGCGGCGCTCATGGGCGATATACTACAGTTTTACGTAAGTGTGAGCATAACAACAAAATCCCTGCTGGGAGAAAAAGAATTCCACACACGTACCTCTCCCAGAAACCAGGCCACCAGGTATCCAAAGACGATCGCCTCGTTGGTCTCATGATCGGCAGCGGGGGACGGGATGCCGGACGTGTTCCACAGATCGCCCTTCCATTCATCCAACCATCGGTAACCCGTGCCGGTGTTGATGAGGAGAACGCGGGGAGCTCCCTCAATGAGCCAGCGACCGTAGACAATCTCGATGCCGCGCTCGTTCATCGACTGGATGGTCTCCCGCATAGCCGGGCTGGCCGGGGTGAGTTCCTCGACCTCCACGGCCGCCGAAGCTTTACTCAAGGGACCGATCAGGGTATACCGTTCCCCGTACTCGGCGGTGGTGACGGGCGCTTTGGATTTCAAAACCGAGTAGATCCCACCCACGCGGTTGGCCACCTCCGTAGCCACCTCGAAGAGCATGTGGTTGCGCACATCGCGCTTGATCGGCTCAGAACCATTTTCATCAGCCATGGTGTCTAGCAAGAAGAGCTCTCTCAGGGGTCAGAGAGGAACTCGTGGTCTTTAGAAGAAATCCAAAGGAGGGGGAGCAAGCACGGGGGAGTTGGGTGCTCGAGCTCCGGCTCGGTCTGTGCGGGGAGAGTGGAGCTTGCTCACACTTGAGCTCTGGGGGGGGGGGGGGGGGGGGCTGGGGCGAGGAAATTATGCAAAATCAAAGAGGATCAAAGGATGAGAACAAAGAGATAAGAAGAGGAAGAGGAAGATATGAGAAGTGAAGAAAACATCAAAGCAAAGGGGTGAAAGAAGAGAAGAGAAGAAAAAGAAGCGTTGCCAGTTCCGGTGTCGCATCGAGTTGGCCTTTGGCCTGCAGCTTGGAACACGGTACCACCCTCCGTCTCCGACCTCAAGCTCTTCCATTCCCAAACCAGCGTCCGGTCAAATGACTTCAAGCAAGAAAAAGGAGGTGAAATGTCTCTATTGCGAACTAGAGACTAGGTACCTGAGTGCCTGGGGTTGTCGGGTTCATTTGGTCTGCAGACGCCCGGCTACTCTACGACAACCAAGGCAGGTTTTTCTAAAATACAATCATCGGGATTGATAAGGACTGGAAGGTACCGTAAACCTCCGCCTTCAAACTGCATCGCTGCCCCTGATCTTCGTCTGGGGAAAGCTGGCTGGATGACATCACCACCCGCGAGCTCTCCACTTGGGGAGTTCCACTCCAGCAGAGCATATCCATTCCTCTCTACACACGCAAACAGTTGGACTAGATCCTTTCATGCGGTCGGCCACGAATCCTGACGGCAATGGGTTGCGCCGACTATTGCTTTGTCTGCATCCACGCTCTTTGTCCAAGTGTGATTGAAACTACTCCACTCATGCATGGTCGGCGCTCGATACCCGAGACTCGGCAAGTGCCATAGTTCTCAGGTGCAAGGGCAGTGGAATGATGAAAGAAAATCGACCGGCTTTGGGGGTATTGATGCCGCCCAATATTTATACGTAGCGGGCGATCGACCAAAGGCCATGCCTTCCGCTACTCCTACTACATTGCGGGCATGCCAAATCGACGCAAAGACAAAAGAACATTTGACCGACCCAGTTTCACTCGACGAGTCGATCTCCAGCTGGTTACGCCTCTGGGGTACGCTTTACAGAAAGCCCTACGGAGGCTATGGAACAAGTCGCAACATCTCGGACGGGTTCTCTGGCGGGTGCTCCAGAAACTATGGGATAGCATACAGCCTCCTCGAGAGAAGCCTCCAACCCCGCCGCCTCCAAATTCTCCATGCGTGCAGACCCGTGTCTCATCGCCCAACTACCATGGGGTCCGATATACCCACATATCCTCGTTGATGGATGTGGACTACTTCCGAGGAAGTGGGCATATGAACGAATTGGATCTCGATTTGGAGAGGCTGAAAGTTCTCAATCCCGACCCATCATCCCAGTGCAGCATTGAGGATGGGCAGTCCCGATTTTCTACAATGATTGCTGCTGTTGCGCCTCATCTTCCGAATCTTTACTTCGTCGATCACCCAGAGTTGCCGTTATCGTCTGCCGTCTCCATGGCCCTTCAAAACATCCAGTCACCTGCTTCTTTAAATGGTTGCTTATCTCCAATCTCCATACAGACGTCTTTTGGATCGTTGTGGTCAGCTGTACAGCCGGCTATTATTGGGCAATATCTTTGAAAGTGCAGCTGGTACTGCACACTGAGATCGGGCTAAGGATCTGCCATTTTGTTGTTGCACTTGCTCTCGGCTATATCTTTGTATTGCTTGTACATAATAGTGACTGTTCTCGAGTTGTATCTATCGATTCAATGTCTGTGAGGCCCTCTGACAGTCTTAGCAACTTCAAATATATCAGATTTCCTCACTCAACGCCTTCGTAGAAACAGTAGCACACATAAGAACCAAGTGTCGTTTCTAAAGAATCACTGGATATTCCCAAGGTTGGAGTAACTAGTTAACTAGTTAGTTAACGATGTCGATGGCTGAGTAGGCCATCGATGGACAAGCAAGCAGTGGCTGACATACCATATCAGGCGTAGTGCGTATGTATTGACCAATAAGAACTGTCGAATGCATGGCTGAGATGAGCATGTTCCAGATTAACCAATCAGATGCTGGCTCTGTCCTTATAGAATTGCGAGGCTCCATTCAGCCAGAAGGGAAGCACGGGGGTATATAAAGCTGCTGGAGAGTCGCCTGTCTATTACCAGAATATCTCATAGTATCTGCTGAACGAATTCGCTATCTGAACATTATGGACAGTCTCACTCGACCTGCCCAAAAAGGCGCCATGACGTACACCCAGTAAGAGCTGCTCTTGTCTATACACAGTTTTTTTCTTCTAACAACCTGATATCCAGTCTCGGGAAATCAGGTCTTAAAATTTCCAAGGTGGTCTTGGGTGCCATGTCCTTCGGTACAGCCGACGAGTGGACAATTCCCGAAGACCAGGCACTGCCCGTCCTCAAGCATGCTTTCGACAGAGGCATCAACACATGGGACACCGTAATAACTCCTGTCGTCCTATTCCATCTCATAACTCCAACTAAAAATTTACTTCTAGGCTGATGTCTATTCCTTCGGCGAGTCAGAGCGCATCGTGGGCAAAGCTCTCAAGACGTACAACATCCCTCGCGAGCGGGTGGTCATCTTGTCCAAATGCTACGCCGGCATTCCGAACCCGGGCGATCTGGATGGTTTATCAGAGCAGGAGCGAGTGGCTTACATGGGGATCAACGGCGGCATCATGGTGAACCGCATCGGGCTGTCTCGCAAGCACATCTTTGACGCCGTGGATGCCAGCCTCGAACGACTCGGCACGTATCTGGATGTTCTCCAGATCCACCGACTCGATCGCGACACGCCCCGGGAAGAAATCATGCGGGCGCTCAACGACGTGGTGGAAAGTGGGAAGGTCCGCTATCTCGGCGCAAGCTCGGTATGGAGATCTTCCTTTTCAATTTATGTATGTATCACGAATCATATAATCGCTGACGATATCCTGAACTAGATGAATGCCTGGGAGTTCCAAGCCCTGAATCACATCGCCGAGAAAAACGGCTGGCACAAATTCATCAGCATGCAAGACCACTATTCGCTTCTGCATCGCGAAGAAGAACGCGAGATGATCCCGTACTGCCGTGACGCGGGCATCGGCTTGATCCCTTGGTCGCCGCTGGCGCGTGGCCTTCTGACGCGCCCGTACAAAGCACAGCCGACGGTGCGTCAGGCGAGCGATGTCTATACGCAATTCATGATCGGCCCGACTACAGACACGGACATTGCCATTATCAACCGAGTGGAGGAGATGGCGAAATCTAAGGATTGCAGCATGGCCCAGATCGGTATCGCGTGGTGCTTGAAGAAGGGCGTCAACCCTATTGTTGGATTGTCCAGCACTGGTAGAGTGGACGAGGCTGCGCAGGCTGTAACGCTGTTTGAAGAGGGCTTTCTGAGTGATGAAGATGCCAAGCACCTGGATGAGTTGTATATTCCCAAGCTGCCTACCGGTTGGTAAGATTCGACGCTGGCACGCCTGCCGGATGTCCTAGCAATAAACATCTTCACTTCCACAAGCTATTCTGTCTGGTATAATCTACAGTATTTACTTGTTTACAGTGCAATAATGTGGCCAAAATTGCCTACGATTTGACCCAGATGAAAACATAGCAACAACGCAGTGGTTGTTAGGGCTAATGTAAGTCATACCGGAAGATCTCATCGATCGACTTATCGACCTATCACCAGCCACGATCCAAGTCCCATCACAAAAGAATGCTCCAGAATGACACTCTGGAAATTCCATGGGTTCTATGACTGCAGAACTTGGAAGTTAGTCGGGTGAAATCATGGTGGAGCACCGGCATGACTTCATGATGCGGTCACCCCAACCCAGTTCTGGTATACTTCCGAGTATTTGACTGTCCCAATTGCACAATTCCTCTTATTCTAGCAAGCTTTGTGTGCACTTAATTCCTAAAAATCTCTCACTACATTTGCTTAACACCTTCCCCGCATTATAATATCGTCACAATGGTCCGCGGCGCCGACTACGACAACGGAGTCCCCCAGAGCGACAACGCCATTCCGGCAGGCGAAACCAAGGCCCACGGCACTGGCCCAACGGTACGCACACTCAAAATTACGTGGAATTGGTCTATAAAGAGGTCCAATTGCAATTGCCTTGCTAACTCATGAATATCAGAACGCCGACCTGAGCCGCTCCCACAAGACCGCCCCTCTGCCCGAAGAAACCGGCTCGCAGCGCGAAGTCTTCAGCGGACAAGGGAGCTCTGGTCCCACGAAATCTGGTAGCGGCAAGGGTGGCCACGAGCCGAAGTCGCTTGGCGAGAACAAGGGTCTTGGTGCGCAGGGCGTCAACTAAGAAAATATTCCTCCCTCGTCTCCCATGCGTCGATACCTCGACGTGTTGTTTTCGTCAGAACTTCAGCGTGAACACGGTATTCGGATGATGACTTGTCTGGATTGACACGAGCTACGCATCTCGTTTCATGTACACTGTTCTAGTGGAGTTTTGTGGATATGGGTTTTGAATTACCTTCTACCCTAATCTAAATATTCTGCATGCCCAATTCTTTCTTTCTTCAGGAAGCTGTGATTCGTGGCTCCTTGTAAAAGCCAATCCCATAGATAAGGATTCTGGGGAAATAGTTCCACAGACCTCCTATTCAGTACATTGATATTCTTAGCCGGGTCTCTCGATAGCAATAAATTGCCTTTCATTACCTCAACCCACATTCCAGCAAAGAAAAAATCTTAGAACATCTTGTCCGTGACATTAGCCCCCTTGTCCAACGCATCTGCTTCTCTGCGCAGCATATCGGCACGGAACCCTCGAAAGGCATTCTCGATTCTCTTCCGCTTCTCGGGATCAGCCGTAATGCTGCGACTGCCACTCGCAGTTCCCGCAGCAAACCCTATATAAAAGACTCATCAGTCTCATTATATCCCAGAAAGCGAAGACCTCAGTGTCCAGAGAAAGAAAGGTTCATACCAAGTTCTCCGCCCAGAAACAAACCACCAGCCGAGGCAAAGAAGTATGTCGCGAAATCGCCCAGGGCTGTGGGCTTCAGCAGCGGTGTGAGATCGGGGATAGATTCTAGGACACGATAATCAAAATTATCCAAAGCAAAAGATAGCAAAACAGAGGCTCTGAAATGGCATACCGGTCCGTCCATCAGCAAACATCACCTTAGAAGGCTTCTCCTGCGCGCGCACGGCTGCGAAAAATGCCTTGCGTGTACTTCGGAGCCGGATCGCAGCGAACAGCCCAAGCCCAAGACCCACCGCAGACCCAACTGTCGTCCACAAAGAGACTTTAGAGGCGGCGGCTTTGAGAGTCTCGCGGTCCTCGGGCTGGAGGTCGTGCTGCAGGTGCTCGTCGGCGAGTCGGGCGAGCTCGTCGGTACGGCGGCTGCGGAGCGCGGCGAACGATTCGGACATATTGGGTTATTTAGAGGACGAGAGAAAGCTGAAAGGGAGAATAAACTCGGCAATTGAGGTGCAATGGGAGAAACAATTGCAATCCAAGTTTTACTGAAGTGCCGGAAGTAATGACGTCATGTGAATTCGAAAACATCCAAGAAATATCCGCAGAAATTATTGTCACGATATTTTTACTAGCAGCGGATAGATGGCAGGGTCAAACAGGAAAGCAAGGCCGGTTCGATGTCCAAATCTGTTCATTGATATATCGAAAACAAAACGCCGGCTCTATAAATGCGACTTGGGGGGGGGGGGGGGCTGTTGTCCAATGACAACATGGGGGTTCTGTACAGGTTCGGGAGCATTTGCATAGGCTGCAACGTACAGGGGGGAGGTTTATATGCATATAGTGTGACAGGGAGTTCATGTGCAAATGAGCCAGGCCGGGAGATAGGAGCGTTTCATGACTCGGTCGATTCTGAGCCGCCCTTAGGCTGCTCCTGATTTTCACTCGAGGACTCCGGTTTGTCTGTTTCGCTGGCAGTGGAAATAATTGTTTTGGCCTGGACGACCTCGCGCAGCTTGTCGCCCACACCACTGGCACCTTCGTCGATTTTGCCCAGCTTGGTCCGGAAGTGTTCGACATCATCTTCCATTCTATAGACATCATCAGCACTAACAACCTATAAGAGGAATACGTGGTACCTTACCGCTTCTTCCCGGTCTCTGACTGCACGCTTGCTTCATCAAACGCCTTGGCCCACTGCTCTCGGTAATTGTTGAACACAGGTCCCATGATCATATTGACGGTCATGTCTGGCAGATGCTTGCTTAAAACTCGGTGCAAAGTACCAGTCTCCCTCGCCAGTGTTTCCATGTAAGGATGAACGCCCGTGGACGTGTCGGCATCCCAGTCGATCTTCTTCATAGCAGTGACATGAACCGAGGAGCGTGAGCTCATAATGTCAACCAGTTTTTCGTGGATACCGGTTTGGTGCTCCTGACAAAGTCGCTTGACTTTGTCAAACTCTGCCATCATTTGGTGGGCTTGTCCGTGGCGCCGGATAAACTCCCGGACATATGGGACCAGTGCAACGACGAAACTCAGCGCCTGCGAAGACAGAGCAAGATGCTTGGTGGTAATGTTCTTTAGACCCGCGCTGCGCGTGGCGCCCGCACCAAGAATCAGCTGGGATGACCGCGAGTTGAACAGCTTAAGAATTTCCAGCAGATGCGGAGCGATATCTTGGATCATGCTGGGAATGTTTGTCATGAGAAACTCGAACTCCTCGATACTGCGCATAATTGCCACAGCCGAGTCAGGCAGAATGTACTTCTGCTCATCGATCACGGCACCGCGCACCTTGTCCTTGTTCGCCCCACCATTCACAGTGGTATCGGCTTCAGCGGCATTGACTTGCTTGTTCTCGCCATCTGAGGTCCAGATCTTAGAAACCTCCACCCAAGTCTCAATATCCTTGGTGCTGGCATCGAGGATTCGGGACAAGATATCGATTTCAGGATCTCCAAAGTCTCGTGCGTCCCAACGGTCGGCATCCATGACTTTGACAATACGGTGCCTCTGTCCATCGCCAAACCGAGTGATAAAATCGCGAATCTGGTTACCAACGATATTCTTGAGCGCAGTGCCGCTTCGCCCAGAAATTGCCTCGCATTCGTCAGCGAAAAGGCGATTGAGCGTGAAGTATTTCAGGAAATCCTCCTTGGAAAGCTGATTCGTCTGTTCAGACCGAACTTTCAGGACCTTTATGATTTGCGACTGAGCGATATCAACCGCTTGACCCAAAAGACTCGACATATCCAAAACCTGTAGAATCTCATCCTGAGCCATCGCGGAAGCCGTTGGCCCTGTCTCTGGTGATTTCGCTGCCTGATCAATACTCTGAGGATTGGGGCTGCGCGGTGATTTCCTACCAGCAACCGGGGAACTTCCAAGACCGCTGGCGATATCCAGAAGAACCTTGACTTGTACGCTAAGTCGCCGCAAAGATTCGCTGATTCCACTGTATATGTCTACCAGCATCTTGTAGGCGTCCTCTGCGTCAAGAGCACGAAGGTTACGCGCAAGACTAGACGATTTGTCTTGTTGGCTACGCTGGCGCTCGCCATGCGTGGATACCGACACCATCGATTCGTTGTCATCGTCACTAGAGCTGGGTAGGTGTTTTCGAATCAGTCCTTTCATTTCTCGCAAGACAGCTGTCTTGAACGAAGTTGCCGCGGGTGTGGTGTAGCGAGCACGCGCGAGACCCGTAAGCTGGTTGTGTAATCTGGATCGCAGTTCCTTGTCGAAGTTCATATAAGTTGGAGACACTGATACCCCAGAACGGTGGCTACCGCGTTGTCGTTGAAATGAATATCCCCAACGCTGCAACGTAAGGTCAGATGGCACGTTTTGGACATGCTGTCGCAAGTCTTCCAGAAGATCATTCAAGAACCGAGTCTCATAACCTATTCCAATGCGGTGCCGCAGCTGTGCAAGGTCTTCAGATGCCCCTTCAAGTGCCTTGATCCTTCGGAGATCAATGGCTCGTCGTGGGATATCGCCGTCGCCCTCTTCGGTGCGACGATCAGATACTTTCTCCCCAGCCATCAAATTTTCCACATCTTCGAGACCATCTGTGGCTTCCTCGATGTCCCCCTGCTCCACCAACTCTTCGCATCGAGCCACCGACTCGACCACATCACGGAGCTGCGCCACAGCAGCTGCCAGCATTCTCACATTTTCTCTTCGCCGTCTCAAGTTCACGATTTTGAGGCCACCCAGTGCCATCTCCTTGTCGATTTTCTGCAAATCTCTCCTCAGAACCTGTATCCGTTCGACTGAATCGGCCGCTTCGGCATGCAACTCCCGCAGTGAGCCAAGAGCAGTAAAGAACGATTTGGATGCAGTGGAAATGGATGAGATGAGATGAATCTCCACAGTATCCATGTACCATGAGAGCTTCTCTTGAAGAATAGCATTGGTCGCAAGTGCTTTCCGTCCCGTTTGGGCAGGCAGGGCGGTTATACCACCGGCGTGCTTGTCATCTTTTACAGGCGGCCTTGGTGGTCGGACCACCTCCGATTTCTCCGATATCACATCGAAGGTGCGAGGATTCTCCAGGCGAAAGTCCTCTTCGAAATAAACTGGCGGGATTGTGGAAAGAGGTGTTACACCTGGCCCGCGGCGGGCCCCGGAGGAGCGATGACTTCGATGACCATAGGGGGATGTCGGTCGCGAACTAGTCGACATGAAGGATGATCTTCGCTCCGGTGACCATGGCATCAATGTGTCAACTTCATCGGGCTTGGGCGATTTGGCGCCCTGCGCCAACTGGGGATCTTCCACGCCATTCTCTTTTGACTGTTGAAACACATCATACAGCGAACCCACTTGTGAGAGGTATGGTTGGAAAGCCTTCGAGTCCACGTGGGTGATGTTCGTCAAAGTTACCGGGGGGATATCGCGAGTCGACGGAGGTTTGTATCCAGTAGACGAGACGGACGTATGTGCCGTCAAGCCGGTGCGAACGATCGGCGGTTGGAGGAGGGTTGAAATGGCTACGTAGACATAAGGCAATCAGTACACTATGGATCAATTCACACCCTGCGAGACAAACCATTTTGATCGGACTCTACAATGGAGCCATTGTAGTTGGAGGAGTCCAAAACCCCTCCGATGCTGACAATCGAGCTCGCTGTAGATCCCCTCCTCAGGGGGTTCCGCTGAGAAGGCACGCGCGGAGACTCCAACTGGCCTGTTGGATAATGTGAAAGTGATGGCGAGGATGCCACAGACGCCAGACTGTCAATTGACTTGCGCGGACTGGTTGACGACATCTCGTTCATGTCCACAAGCCGGATGCGACGGCCGCGGGAGTCGATCGTTGGAGACGGTCGGTGTTATCTGATCATGACACCCGACAAACCCCTGGCTTTAGAGCTCCGGCAAATTCCTGGGCTGCCAACTCAAACAACTTCAGCACCAGCCGCAATTCCGGTTCAAGGTCAAGTCCAAGGCGAGTCAGCAGTAAATGCGAGGTGGCTTTTGGTTCGAGCTGGGCATGGCAGCTGCACCCAATCGGGTAATGCGCTAATCCCAAAGGAACTATGACGGAGTAATAATATTCCGTGTTTATGCCTTAGGCCAAAACCACTTAACGCGTGAGCCACGCACCACGCGACGCGTTGGTGTTTCCACTCAAATCCAAAAGTTCCCTCCCTTCGTCGTCCTCCCATCACCCTCCCTCCAGCCCATCATGGATCGCCGTACTCCTTATACTTTGAGCGTTCTTGCGCCCAGTACCAATGGTGCTGAGGAATCCCGCACGACTATCCAGAGCCGACTGCGCGACTTCGTGCTGGAATTCCAACTGGATAATGCTTTTATCTACCGGTACGCAACCCACATTCATAATCATGACGGGCTAATGAGATGCTGACCTGATCGCGGCAATAGAGACCAATTACGACAAAATGTACTGGTGAAGCAATATTATTGCGACATCGATATCGCCCATCTAATTTCCTACAACGAGGAGTTGGCCCACAAACTGACCACGGAGCCTGCCGATATCATCCCTCTCGTAAGTGCACTTTATCTTCGATAGATTGCCTTTTCGTGTTCGCTTACATTGAGTAGTTCGAACTAGCGTTGCAGCAATGCACGCAGCGAATTGTCTACCCAGGCCAGCGCGACATCACACTTCCCTCCCACCAGCTCCTTCTCCACTCCTCGGCATCGCACATCTCCATCCGCGACCTGAATGCAACCAATATCTCTCACCTTGTGCGTATTCCCGGAATTGTCATTGGAGCGTCTACGATCTCGTCCAAGGCGACCACTGTCCACATCCGCTGCAAGAACTGCGATCATAGCGAGAATATCCACGTCGAAGGTGGCTTTTCTGGTTTGTCACTGCCAAGACGCTGTGGCCGGCCGAAAGATCCTGGCGATCAACCTGGCGAACAATGTCCCCTGGATCCTTATCAGGTTCACCACGAAAAATGCCAATTTGTGGACCAGCAAGTGCTCAAGCTGCAAGAGGCCCCCGATCAGGTCCCCGTCGGTGAACTGCCACGACATGTTCTCATTTCGGCAGACCGATATCTGGCCAACCGAGTTGTTCCTGGTTCGCACTGTACTGTCATGGGAATCTTCTCCATCTATCAAGCTAAGGGCGGCAAGAAGGAGGCCGCGGTAGCCATCCGCAATCCCTATCTCCGGGCGGTTGGGCTTAACACGGACTTGGATCAAACAGCCAAAGGTAACGCCATTTTTTCGGAAGAAGAAGAGCAGGAATTCTTGGAGCTTAGCCGCAGACCCGACTTGTACGACGCCATCGCCAGAAGCATTGCCCCGTCCATCTATGGCAACATCGATATCAAGAAGGCCATTGTATGTCTGCTGATGGGCGGCTCAAAGAAGATCCTGCCTGATGGAATGAAGCTTCGTGGCGATATCAACGTGCTCATGCTGGGTGACCCTGGTACAGCCAAGTCTCAATTATTGAAGTTTGTTGAAAAGGCAGCACCTATTGCAATCTACACTTCTGGAAAGGGATCTTCAGCAGCTGGTTTAACTGCCTCTGTCCAGCGTGACCATGCCACGCGCGAATTCTACCTGGAAGGTGGTGCAATGGTACTTGCAGACGGCGGTGTCGTGTGTATCGATGAGTTCGACAAAATGAGAGACGAGGACCGGGTGGCCATTCACGAAGCCATGGAGCAACAAACCATTTCGATCGCCAAGGCCGGTATCACGACAATTCTGAACTCTCGCACGTCGGTCCTGGCCGCGGCCAACCCGATCTTTGGCCGTTACGACGACCTCCGGACCCCGGGTGAGAACATCGACTTCCAAACCACGATCCTGTCCCGTTTCGATATGATCTTCATTGTTCGGGACGACCACGAGCGCAGCCGTGATGAAAATATTGCCCGCCACGTTATGGGCGTCCACATGGGCGGCCGAGGTGTGGAGGAACAGGTCGAGGCCGAGATCCCAGTCGATCAGATGAAGCGCTATATCAGCTACTGCCGAAGGTATGTTGCCATGACAGAGCTTGAGTCGTGCCACTTCGCAAAATTACTAACACTACGTTTTTAGTCGCTGCGCGCCTCGTCTCTCCCCCGAAGCCGCTGAGAAGCTCTCATCCCACTTCGTCTCGATCCGAAAGCAGGTGCACCGCGCCGAACTCGAAGCCAATGTGAGATCTTCAATCCCCATCACCGTGCGTCAGCTCGAGGCCATCGTCCGTATTACGGAGTCGCTCGCCAAACTCTCGCTCTCGCCCATCGCCACCGAAGCTCACGTAGACGAGGCCATCCGGCTGTTCCTTGCATCCACAATGGATGCCGTCACCCAGGGCGAAGGCCAGGGAAGTAAGGAGCTCATGGAGGAGTCAAGCAAGATTGAAGACGAACTCAAGCGCCGTCTACCCATTGGCTGGAGCACCAGCTTGGCCACTTTGCGCCGCGAGTTTGTCGAGGGACGGGGGTACACCGAGCAAGCGCTCAACCGGGCCTTGGTGGTCATGCAGCGCAGAGATACGGTGCAGATCCGCTCTGGTGGCTCGCAGGTCTACCGGAATGGGGCTTAAGATGCCCGCGATGATGACTGTAACGTGTGGTTACCCTGTAGTCTTCCAAGGTTACTGGGTACGTGAGTATACGGGAGACGGCTGATTGATTTCATTGTTGTGCATATGCTGGGTTCGCAAAGGGGAGTTCGAGCGGTGTCCGGCGTGGCTTTTTTTTCCCCTCCATATCAAGACCTTTGAAGCTATATCTCCACGGAGAGCAATTGCATCCCTCCAAACTGTTCATCAAACCATTCCCTTCTATATTCTCCTCGCTCCCACGCAGCCCGAGGACTGCCAGCCATGGGGCAATCAAGCCACCGGCTGTGGAGCACAATATCTCTGCCTTTGCAAAGCCAACTGCCAAGCACCTCCACCTTGAGGCTGCATCTCACGCCAGACTTAACGCCAGACTGGCCCCATCCACTCCGGTCCTGTTTAGGCACCAGTGTTTCTCTCTCCCACGACCTTGAATAGCCTGGGACTTATCAAGGCCTGGCTCCTCGCACCGCAGACCAGTGGCGCAGGACAATCTTGGCCTGCATCTCCGTTGCCACGTCGAAAATGATATCTTCGATCCCGTGGCTGAAGACCACAGGGCTGGATCATGCGCCACGATAACCGGGGCTTCGAGCGGTGCTGTCTTCGGCTTCTGTTGCTGCTGCCAGTGTAAGTCGGGTTTGATACTCTTCCTCCCCCGCTGTCCAGGTAGATTGTTCCAATGGAATTGACTTGGTGTTCAATCCGTGTGATACAGCCACCCCCCTGCCTGCAGTACTGCAACCGGTGAGTCCACATTGCGATGGGTAGGGGCAAATGAGTCCCAGACAAGTGTCGGACAAGAGGTAGGGCCGACTGCAGGAATCCGCTGTCTGAGGTCTGGGGCGGGGGATGGGGATCCAGAGCTGACTCCCAGGGGAGGACAATTCTATAAATGACATTCAATTCCCGTGCCATCTCCTTTTCTTCGATATTCACATCCAATCTCAACATTTGAGAGCTTCATCTCAAATCCTGTCACCATGAGCTTCCACGCGTCAGCCACGAGCATCGAACTTGAAGATGACTATGTCCTCAAGGCTGTTCTTCGAGACGAGGACGGCGACGAACAGGAGTCTACACTGGATCTCAACGATATCCTCGGGAACAATGATGGTAACTACGATTTCAATTGCTATTTCACAACCGCGCCAAACGAGTTCCAATCAACTTGTCTAACAGACTTCCCTGTTTAGGATCCTTCTACTGGGGGGCGAGAACTTCAAGGACAGTGCACAGGATATCAGCCTCAACCGGGAAGGGGACGACGAGGTCCCCATCCTCCGGGCAGTCTTGAACAATGTCGACGGCGAGGGTGTGGAGGCGGATATCAACTTGGCGGAACGGATCACCAACGAAAATGGGAATTTGGTTTTTCAATAGACTGAGTCAATTAGCTCCCTAGGGTACCGTGACAAGTGCTTGCTAGAGAATGTTGCTGGTCAAGGCAATGTGATTGAGAAAAACATGTTCGTTGATACAGACTCGAATCTCCACCCATGGGTACATAGCACAATTCTCTTCTGTCTTTGTCGTTATTCCACAGTATCCAACATTCATGTCATCGGGCCTTCGTGTTCTTCTGTCTTCCCGAGGTCATGTCGTCGTGTCATTGTCATCATACAAGCGGTCGTATTCACTGGACATTTCCTGTAGCCATACTGTGGGTAAGAACTGTGGCCTGCTCACCCTGATCTTTTTCGCATCACCCAGTCACAGTCCAGGTGACTCCAGCAAATTCGAACTGCCGGGGCACACTGGATGAGCTAGACGTTGAGCTTGGAGCTGGGGCTTGAGTGGGTTCCGGCTCTGACACTTTGGAGCATGACACGGAGGGTGTGGTCCCTGTGGGACGACCGGGTATAGGAACTGGAATGTAGATGTATTTTGGGATTTGACGGGATGCGAGCTTCCGGGCGGTTTTCTTGGCCATGTTATGGGCCCTCTCGTTTCCTGCCACGCCGTTGTGCCCAGGAACCAAATGCAGCCCCACACGGGCACCCATCTCACGCAGCTTTTGGATATGCTCAATAGCGGACTGCACATGCATGAAATATCGATCATGAAACAGTCGACTCGGCTTCCTCTTGATGCGTTGCATCGCACCGACACAATCGGAGAACACAAGTACCTCATGGGCAATAAACCCTGTGAATTATTGGCGTTCCTCCTGGTCTCCCGTCAAGATCAGCTTCTGAACGTACGTGACATGGGCCACGGCAGTTTCCAGGGCAGTGGCAATAGCGAAAACCTCCACGAGCTCCGAGCAATCAGTGATAATGGGGAAAGGATAGCCTTTTTCCGTCCACTTTTCCGGCCTGATGGAGGCAAGCCACACAACTGCGCCAGCCGCGCATCGGCGATAAACAGATGCATCCGTCCAGTAGATGTACCGTCGTGTCGGCGGGTCGAAACGGATGGATTGCATCTTCTCTGCAAACTGGATGGCCTCTCTTAGGGGCTGCGCACAACAAGACCGTCAAATTCCTCATCATGGGAAACCACCTGAGTGTGGCTTTCTTCTGATGGAGACTGTCCACGCTTGCGCTTGCGACTTCGAGTTTGGGGTTGAGATTGAGCTTCGAAATATTGGGACAACTCAGTACCTATGTCAAGATAGGCGGGCTCATTTGCCTTCTGGGAGTCGTCCGGCTCAGCCATTTGGAGGATGAAAGATGAGGAAACTTGAGAAGGAAACTTGGGATCTGCCTGTTCTGTTTGCTTTCGCTGTGGCATCCAGTCCCGAACCCTCAGGCAACAGCGACTGGCGCTCCTGCCAAAATGAGTCAAATCAATCTCTCGGGGATCTTCTTCCTTTGCTTCACGCAAGGCAGCTCTACGCAATCTTTGCTTGCCTCATGGTCAATCACGGGTTTGAGAACTTTGGCGGAGATAGTGTGGTTTGATATCGACGTGAGCGTGGTACAACAACGCGGGCTTGGGATTTGGTTCATTTGGCGAACATATCGAAGTTACCCCAGGCCGTCTAATTGCATTCACTAAAATTCATGAATAAGCCAGAATATCCTCACAGGACGTCACGAGAGAACGCAGAGTATTCGCTCTATGTCAAACTAGGGCATGTTCGGCCCACATCCGACCCCACGCTCAACGTCACCCCACCTTGCTTATCGGTTCTCTCGCCTGGATCTTGACTTGACCTTGACCTTGCACTTCAAAGAACCAATCTTCGGATTGAATCGACTCTTCACCATGGCCCCTCTCATCCGTGTCGTCGGCTCCCTCAATGCCGATATGGTGTCGGTCACTCCTCGGTTCCCCGATGCTGGCGAGACCATCACCGCGTCGTCCTATTTCACCAGTGCTGGCGGCAAGGGCGCCAACCAGGCTGTCGCGTGCGGACGGCTGTCGAGATGCCAGCCCTCATTCACACCCTCCAGTAGTGATGTCCATGTCGAGATGGTCGGCGCGGTCGGCGCATTGGATGGCCACTTCGCGGCGCTGTTGAAGCCAACGCTCGAGAAATCCGGTGTCGACCCGGCGCGCATACAGGTGGTGGATAACGCATACACGGGGGTGGCAGTTATTATCGTCGACTCGTCGGCCGGTGGCGAGAACCGCATCCTCTTCTCGCCCGGCGCCAATTATCAGGGCATGCAGCCCACGCCTGAGGTCCTGGGCATGGCGCTGGCGGCCCCGGTGCCGGACGTGATCGTGATGCAAGGCGAGATCCCTGTCGATACAGTGATCGGGACGCTGCGGGCGATTGCGAAATATAGGAATGAGAACCGGGCTGCTGGCAAACGCGGCATCGAGTGCGGGCCCGACGTCATGGTCAACCCAGCCCCCGCCCCTCCCGGCGGCCTCCCCGAGGATGTCTATACCGCCGTCGATCATTTGATCCTGAATGAGACCGAGGCCGAGCTGATGACCCCGCCTGCCGAGCAACTCTCCCGCCGGCTGCCCGAGGCAGCGAGCCTAGATGGCAAGGAGAAGGTGGCTCGGTATTTCCACCAACTGGGCGTGACCTACGTGCTCATCACGCTGGGGGCCAAAGGTGTCTGGTACAGTGCCACTGATGGCGGGTCGTCAGGGCCCAGCGACGGGGTGCGGCGCTTCACCAACGAAATTCCCGCGGCACCAGTGTCTCGAGTGTTGGACACCACTGCCGCCGGGGACACGTTCGTGGGAGCCTATGCTGTCAAGGTGGCACGGTGGCGCGAACAACGTCGTGTCGAGGGTAAAGCCGGTCAGGATGTCACAGATGCCGAGAAACCCCATCGGTACCAGACTTTCATGGACGACGCTATGCGACAGGCAGCGCGCGCATCCGCTCGCGGGGTGGAGCGCCAGGGCGCTATGGACAGTATTCCGTGGGAGGATGAGGTCTAAGGACGGAGATAACGAAGTCATGTACATTACAAGTAGATCATGCTAGAACATCTTGACCACGACTGGATCCAATTCTTCTGTGTACAGGGTTGCAAATACCAAGTGCTGTTCTCAGCTTGGGTCTCATGGATTCGATTTATTGCTTGATGTCATTTTCTATAAATGATAAATGCTGTTCGACTCAGCGCCAACCCTAGCCTCTTGGGCCGATCTAATATTAGTGCCTCATCCTGAGTTAGGCCTGTTTAGGTCTTTTAGCAGACTATTAGGGGTAATTCAATGCCAATCCCTCGTGTTGAATAATTTAGGGATCAATCATTCACGAGGAAAGCTCTTCATTCTTGCCGGTCACATTGCCATCCATGGATAGATAGGAGGCAAATACCTCCAGGGTACACCAAGACGGTCATCCAGTCCTTTTGCACGGCCTGGATACCCAGGGGGGGGCGTGTTCTCCAGCCATTCAACAACCCCGTTCGTATGCCTGCATTTCTCTCCTCCCCTCTCCCGCACCCAGAGGCGATGGTTTCATCCTGTGCCGTGGTCGGGGTGAAACGAGAACCAATCGAGTCCTCGATGCGTTGGCCCAGCATGGTTTCATTTGTGCGCGAAAGTGGTTCTCGTCATCGCACCTGCATCGGTGAGGGGCATGAACGCGGTGCGCGTCGCGTGGGAAAAGAAAAAGTACTGGGTACCCCGGCAATGGCATTCTGTGGCGGGGCGGCCGAGTACCCAGTACCCGACGCGTCGTAGGGATGTCGCGCACATCAAATGTGATCTGTCGGATGCAGCTTGAGATGAAATCAATTGATGGTGTTTTACATCGAAGAGATTCAATTATATGGATTATGGATTTAGAAAAGTGTTCACGAACACTGTCTCTGGGAGGACCCAAGGTATACTCGTAGACAGTGGACATCACATCGTATCGCAACGATCGGCATTCCATGCTCATTCCCCCGATCAGCTCACAAGAAGAAGAAAAAGAATTCAAGAGAATTGCAGTGTGCCACTCTCAAGCTGGCATCCAATCCCCCGCCTTGAACGCGCCCACGACGCGAGCTGCACGCCTTGAAATAGTCCCCTGTCTCCCTCTCCTTGCTCCGTCTACCATCGAGGCTTGCCAGCAATCTGTTCGTGCTATTAGAAGTCCTTCGATCCCATCTCTGCCATCTCATCTCTGCCCCGATCTCTGTCTTCGGTGTGGTGGTCGCTCCAGCTGACCCTTCCTTTCCTTTCAACATTATCCGACCATTTTCTGTCCTTTGCATTTCTCATTCTCCATTTTGATCTCTTTTTTTTTCTTTCTGTCTCGGATTTTCTCTGATCTTCTCTGATCATTTCTCCGATCGAGTCTCGAAAGGCCTGCGATCGCCCTGTGTTTAGTGTTGACCCCACTTAGCGTCGCGACGCCAAAACAAAGACCCTCCTTACTCTTCCTGTCTTCGTCATGGCTGCTCTCACCATGACTCCAACTCGGCAGCCCTTGGGCAGCCTCGACACGCCACGGATGCACACTCTGATGCGGTCGAAGCTGAACCGCCAAAACCTGCAAAATGGTATGCCCCTTGGGTGTGTTGATGCCTGCGATGATCAATCTAACCTTCAGCTCCAGGAGCAGCACTGTCTGCTAAAAGCTCCATCTTTGTCGATGTCGACACCGAGAATGTTGACCCAGCCCTGAGCCAGTCGGCCAAGCGCAAACGCACCTTCGATGAGGATGACAAGGGATCTTCCAAGCCCGTCAAGACCTCGCGCATGGTCCTGACCACTCGTGATACCAACCGCTCACTCCATGTCTCGTCGACTCCCCTCAAGATCTCTCCCTCCACTCCGAAATCCGCCCCGGTGCTTAAGCCCGCCGGCCGCTCCCCGCCGTCGAAATCATGCAAATCCTCCGGTCGCCGGTCGAACATCACCAAGGCCCGTCCGGAGCCCCCAAGCAAGCGCGGCGTCAGCCGTCCATTCTCTCTGGCTACTGCCCTGTCGCAGAACAAGGCTCCCAAGCCCCAGCCCAAGGCACCTGCCTCGTGGTTCTTCGACATCCACGTCGACTCCGAGCAGGAGGAGATGACCAACCTGATGCAGCACTCGACTAACGTGCTGGACATCAGCGACGATGAGACCAAGTCGCAACTCACCGACGGCCGTGGAAAGGAGAACATGCCGCCTGTTGAGCTGGGGATCGAGCTCCCTCAATCTCGTCCCTCGTCCTCTACTACTGCTACCGCTGCCGCCGCCCGGAAAGACTCCAAGATGGATGAGGACCGTGCACCGCTGGGCGAGCTCAACGCCGCCGATTACTATCCCGAGGACTGCAATGCCTTCTCGTACGCCGTGGTCTTCGGCGAGGACGATACCCCCGAGTCGAAGAAGGCCCCTGCATCGGCCCCGCCGGCCCAGCATGCGCGCACCCTTCCTCCCGTCACAACCTCCATTGCTTCTTTGCTGGACACGACCCCTGCTCCCAAACCTGCTGTGGACACCAAGGCTACCGAGTCAATCGATGCCGACACCGAGATAAAGGAAACTCTCAACACCGAGACGCCATCTTCTGACCCTTGAACATCTCTCTGGAGTGTTCAATTCTCCATGCATCTGGTCTCGGCGTCCTCGATATGGTGTGTCTGCATGGCGTTATGTTTGACTTTTATGGTCTGCTTTTTGGGCATTGGTCAGTTTGGGTGGTGTTTGATTTTGATGCTTTGCTATATGGTTTTTTTGCTTGTGAATACCCTCTGTTGTGCTATTTGTACTGCTCCTTTTGTGGCTTCTCTCGGTTTCCTCGTTCCATGTCCTTGGATTTTCCTTGTGCTCGCTCGCCGATTAATTAATGAGTCTATCTGTCGTTGTCATGTCTGATGTCCGTTTAACGATTGTCCATAACGCGATGGGATTTACGGTGCACGGTTCCAATGTTGAATGCAATGATTCCATGACTTCAAAGCTTCATGATCGTAGTCGCGGTACAGAGACAGCCAACATAACACCACCTTGGAGCCCTAACTATGCCGAATTACTCCTGCTCCTCATCCCCAGTGTCGTCCGTCTCGCTCGCCGCCTCTGCATCGGCATCTCTCGCCTCGGCCGCAGCCACAACCGCCTCCAACATCTCCGCGCGCTCTCTCTCTTCCTCCTCGCCCTCACTCTGCTCGTTCGAGACAGGGCCTTCATCTTCAGCTTCTTCTTCTTCTTCTTCTTCTTCTTCTTCTTCTTCTTCCTCCTCCGCTTTAGTCTTCCCTTTCCGAGACTTGAGCGCACGGCCAGGGAACGTATCCGCACCCTTCCTCTTCCCCTTATCCTCCGCCGCAGCAGATGCAGTCATCCGCCTCCACAACGGCGCACTCCGAATCACAGCACGAACATCCGTAGCCAACTGAGTCTCCTTGCTCGTCGCCACATCCGGATCGATAACAAAGCGATTAAACTCCGACTCGTCGCGCGCATAGTCCGGCATCTGAATAATACGCCGGTAGTCCTCCTCGCGGGGCTGGCGACCCTCCAGAAGCAAATGGATCTTGGCGCGCATGATAGTCTTGATCTTGGCGAGGGTGCCGTTCCCGAACCAGCCATCGCTCGTGATTTCGCATGTCGCGCGCAGGAATGGTGGGGAGTCGCCTCCCGGTGGGTAGAGCACCGCGGCTAGCTGTGGGTCTGTGATCTCGCGCGCCATCCAGATCCGGCCCTCCGTTGACAGCGGCAGCCGGCCTGTGAAGAGGTGGTCTTCGGCGGCACGGCCGGGCTCTGCGGCCGTACTGCTGCTATCTGCGTTGGTTCTGGCATCGGTGCGAGGGAGGGTGTGACGACGCCCGCCGCCGTCGCGGGCGACGTCTGGTTCGCGCGTTGATAGGCGGAACATGAAGGTCTGGTAGTGGCGGTAGTCGGGGGAGGACCGTGGGTCGACGCCAAGCTTGAGGATGGCGTCGCGCCAGGGCCCGGACTTGAAGATGTATCCAACATAGGGGATTGCGTGCCGCAGCAGGGTGCGCTGCTCGTCGCTGGTGATGGTGTTGCGTAGAGCGCGCCGTGTCCATGCTGGTCGCTCCTCGAATCGCGCTTTGACGGCGTCGATAGTGGCGCGGAGGCTACTGTCGAGCGTGTCGATGTGTGGCAGACTCTCTTGGGGCTGCGAGGGTACCACTGGGATGTCGTATGAGACGAGATGCGTAAGAACCTTGATCGGTTGTTGTGTGTTGATGGTCTGGACCTCGCCGGATTGATTGATAGCTTGTTTCACTGTGGGGTTTTGTCGGTACCTTTGCTCTCAAGTCAATACGGCGTCCATTTGCGCAAGGATTACAACCAAAGTGATGGTCTGAAGGACTCACATGTAATGGAATGGAACATCCCCATGACTAAATGATGGTGGTGGAATGATGTCCACGCTAGAGGTGGCTCCTTTGCCCATGTCGATGTCGAACTGCTTCAGCTTCTCCACTGCTGGAGTCTTAGCAAGCGGTTTTTTTTTTTTTTCTTCTATACTCAAAGGGTCTGTCTTACAGTCGTATGGCAAGATATTTTCCCGGAATCGATTCGTAAAGGAACTTGCCGTCGTCGAATAGACAAAATCCGGCATGCCTGACACAGTCAGTTTTCTTCGGTTCTGAGAGGATCGATGCAAAGACAAGATGAGACCAACCTCGGAACACATGTGTGCGCTCGATCCTTCCCACCGGCTGTATCTGATACGTAGACGGATTGTCACGAAGACTGCGCAATAGATCTTTAGCATTGCGTCGCTGGGGCGGCTCCGTTGATACAGCGTCTGGCGCCTCAGTGAACTGCTCATCCGAGCCCCGCTTGCGCTTTCGCCCTGTTCGTTTCGGGACAGTGACTTTCAGCAAGACATTGTTGGACGGGCTACTCGTCGACTGAACTGGTCTTGCCAGGGCATCTTCCGGCCGCAGAATCAGGTTGGCTGGCGTATCAGCCTTGACCGGGTTCAAGATCTGGGACGAGTCAGTTATGGGAAGCTTCTTGAGAAAGGCGGCAATCAAGAGAATATCTCACAGCCTTGATTCCTCTGTTTCCCTGCAGTGTGTTCACTGCCTTGTCGAAGTTGCGGACAACGGCAGGATGCTCGACACTGACGAGGCGTCGAGTGGGAACCGAGTAAAACGGGGCCGTTCTGGATTCCCGTTGTGTTTCCATAGTAATTATGTCACTGTCAAACACGATGGGTTAAAGAAAGACTCGACAGATGGAACAGCTTCGAGTTCAAGGACTCGGCTCTTACACTGTCGGATGGATATCTGCTCGGATCAATCAGGCAGAATTCAGAGATCCATTGCCGTGTCTGTGCAACACAGGGTCTGGTCAATCTTTAACTTTTGTCTTCCACTGGTGCTTTCCTTGGATTTGAAACTCTCAGATATAATGCGAGGCAAGGAAGAGGACTTGAATCTACATTCTCAAGGTTCCACTTTGGAACCGGTATGATGACTAATCGGGCGTTGGGTTCCTGATTTTCAAGGTCAACAAGGAGCCATATCCATGCAAGTGTTCTCTTAAGTGTTGAAAAAATCAACTATCTCTCTTTAGCCAAGTTTTTATGGTTAAGTTGCGTGGTATCTACTTAGAATACTATCCATTCTGGGGAATTGGGCAATGAACACCACCTCATTCTCTTCATGACTCGTTACATGCTACATGAATATATATATTTGCTCAGACCAAGTCCATCCATGCCACATATAGTTTTTGATGGCCATTGAAACCATTAATTTTACGAATATACCCCTGACGATGAAATCATTGTTCTAATTATTATTCTATCCTTAATTTAACCTCGCCTATTGTAACCTTGGAAAGACCTCATTGCCCCTGGCCAGGTCACCTGACTTGACATAAGCACGGCTGAGCAAAAAGCACCGCATACAAGAAGAAGACGTAGATGGCTAGGGATATATTGGAAATAAGCCAGTCAACCCAGTGGATTTAGACAATAGATATGCTTTAGTAACTATTCTCAAGATCGTAGCAAAATATAACCAGAGAGGCGTGTGTTGACATGGTCATCGGTCCCATCACCATCCCAGGAGAACCACAGCCCGCCTTTCCCTCACCTCAAACAACCCGCTTTCCCTTGCCCCCTTCTCCCTCCCACAACAACTCAAGCATCTTTATTTTGTTTTGTTGTACATTTCCTGCTCGCTGCCCTTTGCTTCGGAATCGGCTTCCACAAGTGCTGTCAGGCTGCAACCTGGGCGCTTGATTCCCTGGTGTTGAACCCCCCCCGCTCCCAGCCTGCCACTAAGCGACACCGAGATCCTTCTGAGCCGACGCAAGCTCGTCCCATACCGATCACTCGGACAGTTCTCTTCTGCGCACTGCACATCAATTGTCTCAACCGGAGCTACTGAGGTATGTCTTGTTTACTCTCCACGTCCTATCGCCTCCCACAGCCCTTTTCCTCCAACATCGAACCGTCTTGCCCCGTGCGCGTACTACAACAACACCCCCATCGGAGCACTGCCATTGAGACTCGACGTCGCCTTTCAACACCACAGCGCTTCGATGGACTTGACTTCAATGGCATGGAACTGGTGTTTTTGGAGATCTGTCGGGTTACGTATTTGGTTCGGAAATGCTCATTTGAGATTCCCCTAGGCCGATTCAAACAATTTCCCTCCCCTCGTGGCTACCCTGAGGCCTTTCGATTCACCCTGGATAGAGTGCGGTATCTTCCTGCACTGGAACCACCAAATACAGCCGAGTATATGAGGTTATCTACACAGTTGTGAACATGAAGGGTTTCAGACAGAGAGTGGTGAGTTGTCCGCCGGATGTGCTTCTCACCACACGACCATTTCCGCCCACCCCCTTCCCCACCATGCAAGAGGTAACCACCCCTTGCTCAACTCGGACCCGAGCTGATGTTTCCTTATCATGCTAGCACGAGCAGTTGTCGCGGGCAAAGGATGCCAACAAGTCTTCGAAGAAGAAGGATTCCAATTCCTCTCAGAACCAAGCGTCCCCCGGGGCGCAGCAAACACAGCAGTCGGCATCCCCGAACCAAGGCACCCCGACGTCTTCCACAACTTCCTTGAACGATGCTCGAGGCAATGCCCCCGACAATGGTTCGCCAGCTGGCACCCCTTCCGGGGGCGCACCCCACCCCGGCACCCCCGTCCAGCATTATATACCCCAAGGAGCAGGCCAGCCCGCGAATAATGGCCCGGCCACGCCGACACGACAGGGCCAGTCAGTGGCCCCCAGTGTGATCATCAGTCCCAGTGCTCCTGTAAGCCCATCCTGGTATCGTTGATGCGATTCGCAGAGTACTAACGGCCGTCGGGTCTACAGCATGCCCCTCCTCCTGGCGCCGCCGAGACCATGCCGGGGGACCTAGCGCCTCCGCGGAAATCTCACGTTTTTGATCGTCTCCAGACCACCCCGAAGGACATATCGGAAGGAATCCGGACCCCTAAACGCCAGCACTCGTCGCGATTCGATATCTCCGACCAGCGCCAGAGAGAGTTAGAGAAGCTGCCTGGTTTCCACGAAGTTCCTCCTAACCGACGCCAAGATCTGTTCATGCAGAAGATTGACCAATGCAATATCATCTTTGACTTCAATGACCCGTCGGCAGATATGAAGTCCAAAGAGATCAAGAGGCTGGCACTCCACGAGCTTCTAGATTATGTCGCGAACAACCGGTCGGTTATTACGGAGCCCATGTACCCCCGCGTGGTCGAAATGTTCGCCAAGAACCTGTTTCGACCCATCCCTCCACCCATGACGCCGCAGGGTGAAGCGTTCGACCCAGAGGAGGACGAGCCCGTGTTAGAAGTCGCCTGGCCTCATATCCAGGTCGTTTATGAATTCTTCCTGAGATTCATCGAGAGCCAGGACTTCAACACGAACATCGCCAAGGCATACATTGACCATGGATTTGTGCTTCAGGTATTTCCCACCCACCCGGCTATGAGTGTATGCCACCGTTCATGATGGCTAACACCCGCTATAGTTGTTGGATCTCTTCGATTCGGAAGACCCACGTGAGCGGGACTTTCTCAAGACAACTTTGCATCGAATCTACGGCAAATTCTTGAATCTGCGCTCATATATTCGACGATCTATCAACAACGTTTTCTTCCAGTTCATGTATGAAACTGAACGACACAATGGAATCGCAGAACTGTTGGAGATTCTGGGGTCCATCATCAATGGATTCGCTCTGCCGCTTAAGGAAGAGCATAAACTCTTCCTGACCCGAGTTTTGCTTCCCATGCACAAGGTGAAAAGCCTGAGCATGTATCACCCGCAGCTGGCCTATTGTATTGTCCAATTCCTGGAGAAGGACTCAACATTGACCGAAGATGTAATTCATGCCCGTTTTCCATCTGCACCAGCAGTTGTATCGTGCTAATGCTTTCATCTCTATTAGGTTGTTCTTGGCTTGCTGCGCTTCTGGCCCAAGACAAACAGCACCAAGGAGGTCATGTATTTGAACGAGGTGGAGGACATCTTCGAAGTTATGGACCCGGCCGAGTTTGCCAAGGTCCAGGAGCCTCTCTTCCACCAGCTGGCCAAGTCTGTCGCCAGCCCGCATTTCCAGGTTCGTCTCTTTGAACATCGCTTTTGATCTTTCTTTTGTATTTGCTCTTCTTTTCCCGGGTTCGCTGACCTTTTTTTGTCCCGACCTGAAGGTAGCAGAACGGGCCCTTTACTTCTGGAACAACGAGTACTTTTGCAATCTCGTCAGTGACAATGTGGAAACAATTCTCCCCATTATGTTCGCTCCTCTCTACGAGAATTCCAAGGGTCACTGGAACCGGTGAGTTGCCATTTGGGTAGACTGTTCTTCCCTGAGAAATGTGCTGACCCAGGGCCCTGCTTCACAGAACGATCCACAGCATGGTGTATAATGCTATGAAAATGTTCATGGAGATAAATCCACAGCTCTTTGACGAGTGCTCTCATGAGTACACGGAGCACCAAAACAGCGCAGATCAACGCGAGAGGACTCGCTTGAGCCGATGGGACTCGATTGAACAACAAGCCAAGGACCGGAGGAATGGCATTCCACCCCCACCGGCGCCGGCTCTCGACGTGCCGGATCCAATCGACGAGGTTGAGGCCATGACCCATGAAAGCCAGAAGCGGTTGAACACCTTGAAGCTGCAGGAGGAGCCTGATACGCCCAAGGAGCGACCTTCTCGGGAGGGCACCCCCAATTCGGTAAGTTTCATGCATTTCTGGCTCTTGCTCCTCAGATACGTGCATCCCCATGCGGTTCTATTTTTGTTCAGGCTGCATTGCCCTCGTATCTGTCTTTTGCTAAGAGACCACGTCCGCCCGTATACAGTCAGAATGATTCTAACGTGGAAACGTCCGTTTTGCTCCAGACACGACGCCGTGGCTCCATTCGCGGTACCCGGAGACGACGCAGCGGTAGCGGCAGCGAGATCCGCCCGCGACGACGTTCGGTCGGTAGTGGTACCAGTGCGACCAATGTACAAATCTTGCATCGCAGCAACTCTACCAAATAATGCCTCGCGAGGGGACGGAGCTGCTGATGGACATGTGACTTTCGTTGATTTTCTCCTGCAGCGATGGCATAGCGATTACGGGCTCTGATGTTTCTTCTGTGTCTTGATTTCGATGGCACTCGCCCGAATTGATGCTTTCCCTACCACATGTGCCTTTTTTCTCCCCTTTCTGCCTTCGTTTCTTTTGTGTACATGGCTTTTTGATATTTTCCTTTCCGCGACTGGGTCCCCCCCCCCCCCCCCCGAGGCCCATTGAGCGGATTCCTGAGTTGGACCCAGTCTTAGAACCGTGTTCGGGTATGGAAAATGGGTGCGAATGGCGTTTTCATCCACTGACCTTGATGTTGGTGGCTTTCTATCTGTTGAGAACTTTCTTGTTTGTTTTAGACAAGTATCCGAGATATGACATTGCCTTGGAACCCCCCCCTGATGCTCCGTTTGATGTGTTTACTTATGACAAGGCTATATGCTATAGTAGATGTAAATGATATATCAGAAAAGTCATGTCGATGTGTTCATGGTGATTTGGAGAATGGAGGGCAAGCTCAAGAGCAAGCCTCATAGAGTAACCCTTGTATCAGCTGCCAGAGTCACGTGTAGAGATCCAGGCGCTTAGTCGTTTATTAGGCGCGCGTCACCGGAACGGATCAACAAACTCCGACCTACCTAAAGCGGACTAGTGTTTCTGTCGGGGTCTCTGCGATAACCCGCGTTCTCTGCTCGCTGTGCTCTCGGCGTGAGTCTTGCGCGCATTCAATCTCCATCTCTCCCTTCCCTGGACCTTCTCGCGTCTTCCCCGGTGGGGTGACTTCTTCCATTCCTTTGCTGTCCAGTATTTGTTTCATATGGACTAGGCACTTTCCTCCCCAAAATCAATGACTTGACGATACTCATCCTTTTCTTGCTTCCTACCCGTCTCCGATCGATCTTTCGCATCCCGAATCCACACAGCTTCCACCACGCCACCCTCCCGCATGCGAAACACCAATTTTAGGTTCATAAGATTGCGCTGGCTCGGAAATTGTCAGCCGGCCACAGGGCCTGGCCGTGATTGCATTTGTTGTCCCTTTACTGAGGAGCCCTTCGGAGGGGCCTAATCGCAGCTATGGAGCGAAACATTGACATATACGCCAGCAAGCTGGGGGATGAGAAGCTGGGTAAGTCTGAGATTTGAACTGGCCATTGGAATACATCCCATCGTGCGATACTAACCTCTTCACTCTCGAAGTAGACGTGAAAGTCAGAGCCAATGTCGCAACTGAGCTGCGAGACAATATTGAGCCATTGTGCTCGGGCGCAAGCTACCCCATCTTCCTGGCCAAGCTGTGGCCGGTATTCAAGTCCATCTTGAAGGGAGATCCGGTCTTTTTAAATCTTTCATATGACCAAGTAAGAACACCGATGGTCCAAGTCGAGGCTGCCCTTGCTTCCGTCACTCACAGAAGACCCTGGAGCTAATGATACCTGTCTCGACCCAGAAACTCCGAAATTGTATCCTTGAGACTCTCCACCGCCTACCAATGGCTTCTCCCGACGTGGAGCCGTACGCTGCAGACATGGTCGACCTGCTGATGGATTTGGCGCGCATCGAGAACGAAGATAATGCTGTTCTGTGCATGAAGACCATCATGGATTTGGAACGAAACCAAGCCAAGGCAACGGCGACACGAGTGCAACCATTCCTCGACCTGATCCAAGAGATGTTTCAAACCATGGAACAGGTGGTTCGCGACACCTTCGACACTCCCAATCAGTCGACACCTTCTGGAATGCCGTCGACACCAAACGCTACCGCCCAGAACTTTCAGTCGCCCCGGCCAAGCTCGCCGGCTACATCGGTGTCAGACCTGGGACCCGATCAGCAAGCGAGTAATGTCATTCTCAAAGGCATGCAGTCATTCAAGGTGTTGGCAGAGTGCCCCATTATCGTTGTTTCGATCTTTCAGACACACCGAGCCTCGGTCCAAACCAACGTGAAGCTCTTTGTGCCGCTTATCAAGACCATTTTGCTTCTGCAAGCGAAGCCGCAGGAGAAAGCCCACACCGAGGCAGCTGCGCAAGGCACGATATTCACGGGCGTGTGCAAGGAAATCAAGAACCGGGCCGCTTTCGGGGAGTTTATCACTGCCCAAGTGAAGACTATGAGCTTTTTGGCGTATTTATTGCGTCTGTATGCTCATCAACTTCAGGATTTTCTTCCCACACTCCCGTCCGTTGTCGTGCGGCTGCTCCAGGACTGCCCCCGGGAGAAGTCGGGCGCGAGGAAGGAGTTGCTGGTCGCCATTCGTCACATCATCAATTTCAACTACCGCAAGATTTTTCTAGAGAAGATTGACGAGCTCCTGGATGAGCGGACCCTCATTGGCGATGGGCTGACTGTCTATGAGACCATGAGACCACTGGCTTATAGCATGCTTGCCGATCTCATCCATCATGTGCGCGATTACCTCAGTCGTGATCAGATCCGGCGAACGGTTGAGGTCTACACCAAGAACCTGCACGACGACTTCCCTGGTACAAGCTTCCAGACAATGAGCGCCAAATTGCTCTTGAACATGGCGGAGCGGATTGCCAAACTGGAGGACAAGCAAGAGGCCCGTTATTTCCTGATCATGATCCTGGATGCAATCGGCGATAAATTTGCATCCATGAACCACCAGTTCAACAACGCCGTGAAGGTATCCATGACCTACAAAGCGTCTCGGAAGGACATCGAGCCACATGCAGAGTCATACTTGGCCGAGAAGGATCACCCGCCGGACTGGGATGAAATCGACATCTTCTCTGCTTCTCCAATCAAGACCTCCAGTCCTCGAGATCGTGGTGGAGACCCCGTTTCGGACAACATCTTCCTCTTCCGAAACCTCATCAATGGGTTGAAGAATATCTTCCATCAACTGAAGAATTGCAATCCAGATGACATTCAAATCGATCCCAGCAACGTCCCCATCAACTGGTCTGAAGTTTCCTATGGATACGATGCCGAAGAGGTTCGAGTGATCAAGAAGCTGTTTCACGAAGGCGCCCGCGTGTTCCGTTACTATGGCGTGGACCAATCTCCTCCCGAAATGAACTATTCTTCCCCATTTGACTTTCTTGCGAGTCAGTATACGGCACCAATGTCTCGAGAAGAAAAGGAGCTTTTGGAAAGCTTCGGCACCGTCTTCCATTGCATTGATACGGCGACGTTCCATGAGGTGTTCCACTCGGAGATCCCGTACCTACACGAGCTCATGTTTGAACATGGCTCTCTTCTTCACCTGCCACAGTTTTTTCTGGCCAGCGAGGCGACTTCCCCGGCATTTTCAGGTATGGTGCTGCAGTACCTCATGGAGCGGATCCACGAGGTTGGTACCTCGGACATGACGAAGGCAAAGATTTTATTGCGGATGTTCAAGCTCTCGTTCATGGCTGTGACACTATTCTCCGTACAAAATGAACAAGTACTCCACCCGCATGTCACCAAGATCGTTACCAAGTGCATAGAGTTATCGGTCACCGCTGAGGAGCCCATGAACTACTTCCTGCTCCTGCGATCCCTTTTCCGCAGCATCGGTGGTGGTCGGTTTGAGTTGTTGTACAAGGAGATTCTTCCCCTCTTGGAGATGCTCCTCGAAACATTCAACAACTTGTTGATGGCAGCTCAGAAGCCGCAGGAGCGGGATCTCTATGTCGAGCTTACTCTCACTGTACCGGCACGGCTCAGCCATCTCCTGCCCCATCTGAGTTACTTGATGCGTCCGATTGTGGTGGCCTTGCGTGCCGACTCGGACCTTGTTGGCCAGGGGCTACGCACTCTTGAGCTTTGCGTGGACAACTTGACAGCAGACTACCTTGATCCTATCATGGCCCCGATCATGGATGAGCTGATGACTGCACTCTGGGACCATCTGCGCCCTCATCCCTATAACCACTTCCACGCACATACCACAATGCGCATTCTCGGCAAGTTGGGCGGACGCAATCGGAAGTTCCTCAACCATCCGCCTGAGCTGTCATTTCAGCAGTTCGCCGATGACAACGCCAGTTTTGACATTCGGCTAATTGGGCCGAGTGAGAAGTGCCCTTTCCCCGCGGACATTGGCATTGATCTTGCTTTTGGCAAGCTTATGGAAGTACCAAAATCTTCTGCGGCAAAGGATTCAGATGTTTACTACAAGCAGCAGGCATATCGCATGCTCAGCTCCCATCTCAAGCTTCAGATTGGCTACGACAATCTTCCAGATGACCTAGCCTCTTTGATCCGGCTCCACGCAAATGATCTTTTTGAGAGTAAGGCCGGCGCCATGACCGATATTCTCGATAAGTCAGAGCGGTCAGCGTCTATTCCGAAAAAGGTGGCACAGGAAGCCACTGTCAAGAAGCTCCTCAAAGCTTGCATCTTTGCAACCGCCATTCCTGACCTCGAGTCCGCCGCGAAAGCTTTCATGGCGGATGTTTGCAAACACTTTACCATCATGGAAGTTGGTCGTGCGCTTGCCCAGGCCCGGCACAATCGCAAGCCTTTTGATGTGGCAAATGGAGAAGGACCTGTCCATCTTGATTCTCGCATTCTTGCCGAAGCTATCGTTGAGAGCCTTTCCTCTGATAATATCCATGTTCGGGAAGCTGCCGAGCAAGCCATGTTGGTTGTTAGGGACGCGGCGAGTGTCATCTTTGGCAGTCCAGAGAAGGCTTCCAAGCTTCCATTTTTCCAGCACCTGGGCCGTGTCTTCTGCCACAGCTGCCATAGCGAGGAGTGGTTTACTAAAGCGGGTGGCAGCTTGGGGATCAACCTCCTTGCTACAAAGCTGGGTTTGGGAGAGTCTTGGCTTTATGAGCGACATGTTGAGTTTTCTCGAGCCTTGATGTATGTAATTAAGGATACGCCTTCGGATCTGCCTGCTTCTACACGAATCCAATCGCAGGACACGATGGCACTAATCCTACGGCGATGCGGCAAGCTTATACCAAAGGATGACCTCAAGAACGAGAAGAGCCGCCTGTTCGCCTTGTGTGGCTTCTTCGTTTATGAACTTGGTCATATGAACAAGCATGTCCGGGAAACCTCTCGTCGTTGCTTCACCACACTCAAGGAGGAATTGGGTTGCGAGGTACATGAGCTCATTTATCCTGTCAGAGATCGCCTTCTACAGTCGATTTTCAACAAACCCTTGCGTGCCTTGCCATTCCCGACGCAGATTGGCTTCATCGATGCCATCACATACTGCCTGAGCCTGCACAATGACATTGTCACGTTCAACGAGCCCCTCAATCGACTCATGTTGGAATCTCTTGCTCTTGCCGATGCGGATGATGAATCGCTTGCATCCAAGCCAAATGAGTTCAAGAACGCCGACATGATCGTGAACCTGCGCGTCGCTTGCTTGCGACTTTTGTCCATGGCAATGAACTTCGCCGAGTTCGCCAACAACCCGCAGAACACGAGTCGTGCCCGGATTATTTCCGTCTTCTTTAAGACGCTGTACTCCCGAGCCCCCGAGGTGATTGAGGCTGCGAATGCCGGTTTAAAGGATGTCCTCACACAGACCAACAAGCTCCCCAAGGACTTGCTGCAGAACGGGTTGCGGCCAATCCTGATGAACCTGCAAGATCCCAAACGCCTGAGCGTCGCAGGCCTTGATGGGCTTGCTCGGCTTTTGACGCTTCTCACGAACTACTTCAAGGTTGAAATTGGCGCGCGTTTACTCGATCATATGAAGGTCATCGCGGATGATAGCCACTTGCAGAAAGTATCGTTCAGCCTCGTGGAACAGAACCCGCCCATGAAAATCGTGGCTGCGATTTTCAATATTTTCCACCTCCTCCCCCCCGCTGCAACATCCTTCATGGAGCACCTTATCAACAAGGTCCTCGAACTCGAAATGAAGTTGCGGAGAACCTCCCACAGCCCCTTCCGAAAGCCTCTCGTCAAGTATCTCAATCGCTATCCCAAGGAGGCTTTGATATTCTTTTACGCACGCTTCAAGGATGTGCGCTATGGCCGTTTTTTTGGTCAAATTTTGGCTGATCCTGAGAGTGAAGCACTGCGGAATGCTGTGGTGGCAGACACCGAAGGATTCTCGTCAACTGCCTTCGGCCAGGATTCCACCGATGGCAAAAATACAACCGCTATCAATGGAATCTACGTCGCACACTCACTCTGCTCCTACAAATCCACGAAGCGTTGGCTGGTGTCACATGCGGATTTGCGGACCAAACTTTTGACCTCTGGTAGAGATTTGGTGCGCAAGCTTCGCGGCGATACGTTGCCGACCGATGAGCGATTGAGGGTAGAACAGGCTGAAGACCAGCTTATGGATGTCTTCACCACTTACCTGGGCGAGGCGGCACACGATCTGGACTTTCTTTTTGAGGTCATTGATGGGCTGTCTGCGGATGAGCTGAAGCGCACGCTGGCGCTTCCCAAATTCATCTATCGACATATCATCACGAATGAGTCGATTGACTACCGACGTTCAGTCATCATGCGCTGCCTCGATCTTTACGGCCAACGAGCCTGCTCGCAGAGAACCAAGACCTATGCGTTCCGAAATTTGGTCAATCCTATTTTCGCAATGGATGTCCAGTCCACATGGCACAACCCATCTCAAACTCCCAAGCTTATGGACAAGAGTATGACCGAGTCTATCCAAAGCCGCTTGTGGAAGCCTCAATTAGCCGACCTGAGTGAGGAATCCAACCAAGCCGGCGTCGACCATTCCCGCATGGAGTTGCTCCAGTTGTCCGCCCTGTTGATCAAATACCACCATCAAACCGTGCAAGACTCCCGCAAGGACATCATCAAATTTGCTTGGAACTACATTCGCCTCGAAGACATCATCAATAAATACGGCGCCTACGTCCTGATCAGTTACTTCATCGCTCACTACGAGACACCCTTCAAGATTGTCATCCAGGTCTATGTTGCACTTCTCAGGGCCCATCAGAACGAAGGCAGAGCCCTTGTCACGCAGGCTCTTGATGTCTTAGCCCCTGTTCTGCCCACAAGAACAGGCGGCAGCCAAGGAGCAGAAGCACGGTATCCCTTGTGGGCCAAATGGCCCCGCCGTATCTTGGCTGAGGAAACCGCCAACCTACAGCAGGTAATGAGCATTTTCCAGTTTTTGGTACGACAGCCAGATCTATTCTACGAGTCCAGAGAGCATTTCGTGCCTCTCATTGTCCCATCCCTTATCAAGATCGCCGGACCGCCAAACACAACCAACGACAGCAAGAAGCTTGCACTCAACCTTATTGGACTGATTTGGCATTGGGAAGAAAAGCGGGCCAAGGCTACGGATTCTAATGTTCCTGTGTCCAATGGAGCCATTGAGTCGCCAAATGCAAAGAAGCGCAAGCTGGACGAGGCCCAAGCGACGTCAGCTTCTCCATCTCCTGCTCTTGCACCCCCAAGCAGCAGAGAGCGGTCTGATTACACGGTGCCTCCTGATCTCCGCGCGGCCTTGATCAAATATCTCATCACTTTCATTACCACAATCCCAGAACGCTTCTTGGTCCCAGCTGCCCAGCTTCGCCCACCACCTTTGTCCAAGCAGCAGCCACCTGTGCCTACCGGCGAGATGATCAACAAAGCCATGCACCTGCTCCGAAGTCTCCTTTCGCCTGAATACTGGGGTGATCTTGATATAGACCTCTACCAGAAGGTGACGGAGCCCATCCTGACAGGCGACAAAGCAGACAAGCCCGATGAGAAGCAGATCACGTCGATGATCAATGCCCTCCAGGTCTTGCGGGTGCTCCTGGCTACCAAGCCGGATGAGTGGATCACAAATCGTCTTTCGACTATCCAGAAGCTATTGGAGAAGCCTTTGAAATCCGATAGTCCCGAGATCCAAGATTGCTTGCATGGCTTGGAGGATGAGATGGATGTCTCTGCCAAGTTGCCGGCCCCAGTTCGTCGGGTTCTTGAGGCCATCCCAGATGACCAGCCCGATGATGAGGATGCGATGGACACCGAAGGTTCGCCCTCCGAGTTTGCTACGTATCTGTCTGCAATCGCCACAGAAACGCTTTCCGCCAGCAACCATGTGTCCAGTCTGAACACCTTGTGGACACTGTCCAAGATCAAGCCTGCTGAGATCGATGCACACATTCCCACAGTGATGAAGGCGTTCTCCCAGAAACTTGCCAAGGAACACGTCGCGGCCTCGGCCAACCAGAGTGGCGCGCAATACCAACAGGGTGCAAAGCCTACCGAAGCTGTTCCGGACCAGCAGGAGTTCGAACTGGGCGTTGACCTTATTTTCAAGACGATTGAGCTGATCTCCGTGCGCATGTCTCATCTCGGGGATCAACGTCGTCCGTTCCTCAGTGTTTTGGCGTCTATTGTTGAACGGTCACACAATATCAAGCTGTGCAGCAAAGTGTTGGGCATGGCTGAGTCCTGGATTTTCCATTCCACCGAGTCATGGCCCACGTTGAAGGAGAAGACCGCAGTCCTCCACAAGATGTTGCTCTTTGAATCACGGCCGGACCCGACAATGCTGAAGAAATTCCTTGACCTTGTGATTCGAATCTACGAGGACTCCAAGATCACTCGCACCGAGTTGACTGTCCGGCTAGAACACGCATTCTTGATTGGTGCAAGAGCTCAAGATGTCGAGATGCGTAATCGCTTCATGCAAATCTTCGACCGCAGTTTGACACGTCTGGCTAGTTCGCGGCTCAGCTATGTGCTCACCTGCCAGAATTGGGACACACTTGCTGATTCGTTCTGGCTTGCCCAGGCGTCTCATCTTGTGCTTGGATGTGTCGACATGAACACCACTGCTCGCCTTCATCCGGACGATTTCACCTTGTATCCTTTGTCGTTTCTCTTTGCTGCAGGCGAGAAGGATTCGAGAAAGTCGGATGTCATGGTTGACAATCAGCTGGAGACCTTGGTTGCAGAATGCAAGCGGTTCATGTCAGACATTGGGGATGTCAGGGTTCGCGACTTGATTGAACCCTTGTGTCAACTCCAACATACCGATTCCAACGTCGCCTATAAGCTGTGGACCACCCTCTTCCCCATTTACTGGTCGACATTGACAAAGGAGGATCGCATTGATTTGGAGAAGGGCATGGTGACCTTGATTACGCGGGAATACCATCAGAGACAAGTGGACAAGCGGCCCAACGTAGTGCAGGCCCTTCTCGAGGGCACTGTGCGCGCCAGCCCGCGGTTCAAGATTCCTCCCCATGTCATGAAATACCTCAGTCGCACCTACGATGCTTGGTACACTGCTGCCACGTACTTGGAAGAGACCGCCATAAACCCCATCATTGACACGCCTACCGTCCGTGAAAGCAATCTTGATGCCTTGGTTGAGGTGTACGCGGGACTACAGGAAGACGATTTCTTCTACGGTACCTGGCGACGCCGCTGCAAGTTTGTTGAAACCAATGCAGCGCTCTCATATGAGCAACAGGGTATGTGGGACAAGTCTCAGCAGCTCTACGAGAATGCGCAGATCAAGGCTCGTTCGGGAGCCATGCCGTTCTCGCAAGGCGAGTACTTCGTCTGGGAGGACCACTGGTTGATTTGCGCGCAAAAGCTTCAACAGTGGGAGATTCTCAGTGATTTCGCCAAGCACGAGAACCTGAATGACCTCTTGCTGGAGGCCGCTTGGAGGAACATCGAGAACTGGCAGAGCGAGGGTAATCGTGAGCAGCTTGAGTCATTGATAAAATCCGTCTCCGACGCTCCTACGCCGCGACGCACCTTTTTCCAGGCTTTCATGGCTCTCCTTCAATATCATATGAAGGAGAACATCCAGGACTTCAATAGTGTTTGCGACGAGTCCATCCAGCTTTCTATCCGCAAGTGGCTGCAGTTGCCCAAGCGAATCACGAATGCCCACATTCCGATCCTGCAGCATTTTCAGCTTCTGGTTGAGTTGCATGACGCGAGCCACATTTGCGGCAGCCTGTCTCAAACAAATGAAAGGAACCTGGACACCAAGTCTGCGGAGCTGAAGCTTCTCCTTGGAACCTGGCGGGACCGGCTGCCCAATCTCTGGGATGACATCAATACCTGGCAAGATCTAGTTACTTGGCGGCAGCACATCTTCCAGCTCATCAACGCTACCTACCTCAATCTCCTCCCTCCCCAGACGAACAATGTGGCTAGCAATTCATATGCCTACCGCGGATATCATGAGACGGCATGGATCATCAATCGCTTTGCCCATGTGGCCCGAAAGCACCAAATGCCGGAGGTTTGCATCAACCAGCTCAGCCGGATCTACACTCTGCCCAACATCGAAATCCAAGAGGCGTTCTTGAAACTGCGGGAGCAGGCCAAATGCCACTATCAGAACCCGAAGGAGCTCAACAGCGGGTTGGATGTGATCAACAACACCAACCTCAACTATTTCGGACCCCAGCAGAAAGCTGAGTTCTATACCCTGAAGGGCATGTTCCTTGCCAAGCTTGACTATGTCAATGAGGCCAATGAGGCGTTTGGCGTCGCTCTCTACTACGACCTCCGGCTCGCCAAGGCGTGGTCCGAGTGGGGACAGTACAGCGACCAGCGGTTCAAGGCGGATTCGACCGACTATGAGTTGGCTAGCAATGCCGTCAGCTGCTATTTGGAAGCTGCCGGCCTCTACAAGAGTGCTAAATCCCGGAAGCTGCTCAGCCGTATCCTCTGGCTTCTTAGCCTGGACAATGATGAAGGGCGCATCGCAAGTGCCTTCGAGAGCTTCAAGGGAGATACGCCCGTTTGGTACTGGATAACTTTCATCCCGCAGCTCCTGACCAGCCTGTCACATCGCGAGGCTCGCCTGTGCAAGGCTGTGCTCGTGAAGATCGCCAAATTGTACCCACAGGCGCTCTTCTTCTTGCTCCGCACCAACCGAGAGGACATGTTGAGCATTAAGAAACAGCATGACCAAAAGCAGGAGAAGTTGAACCGTGCCAGACAACAACAGCAGGGCTCTTCGCCCAATATGAAGACTCCTGCGACTGGCGATGGGTCTCCTGCCCAGAAGGGGCAGGCTGGTGTTCCAGCTCCCAGCGCTTCCCCGGCCGGCCAGCCTGCCACTTCACCGGCTACGCAGACACCCGGCCAGGCGCAACAATCGCAAAGCCAGTCTCCCGCCCAGCCTCAAGGTCAAGTGCAAGCATCTCCACGACAAGGACAAGGTCAAAGTCCCAACCAAGCCCAAGGACAACAGCAGCAAGGGCACTTGAAAGTGCCCGGTCAGAACGGGGCCCAGCAGCCAAACCAGGCCGCATCCACCGAGCCCGAGAAGGAGCCTCTCAAGAAACCATGGGAATACTCAGACGAAATCATGTCTGGACTCAAGACAGCTTTCCCGTTGCTCGCTTTGTCTATGGAAACGATGGTCGACCAGATCCACAAGAATTTCAAGTGCCCGCCCGACGAGGATGCCTACCGTCTTATTGTCGCTCTGTTGAACGACGGACTGGCCTACGTTGGACGCATGCCTGGGTCGTACGCGCAGGATTTTAAGCTGCCTGCTGCAACTGAAGCCAATATCACCCGCTTCGCAGAGACTATCCTTCCAGCGCATATCCGCAAGTCCTTCGAGGCAGACTTTGTCACCAAGAAGCCGACGATGTACGAATACATCCAGAAGTTGCGCCGGTGGCGAGACCGGTTTGAGGAGAAGCTCGACCGGCGACCACAGTCTGGATTCCTCGAGAGCTACTCGCCGCACCTCAGTGAATTCCGTTTCCTCAAGTTCGATGAGGTTGAGGTGCCTGGGCAATACCTTCTGCACAAGGACAAGAACCAGGACTTTGTCCGCATCGACCGTTTCCTTCCTGATGTGGACCTGGTACGGGGCATTGGTGTCTGCCACCGCCGCCTTAAGATTCGTGGACACGATGGTAGTATTCATGCTTTCGCTGTTCAACATCCCGCTGCACGACACTGCCGGCGCGAGGAGCGCATCCTTCAGCTGTTCCGGATCTTCAATGGACTGTTGGCGAAACGCAAGGAGAGCCGACGCCGGAACTTGTACTTCCATCTGCCTTTGATGGTGCCATTGGCGCCGCACATCCGCTTGGTGCGGGACGATTCGTCGTATATCTCGATGCAAGGCATTTACGAGGACTACTGCCGACGGGTGGGTGTCAACAAGGATGAGCCGGTGCTTTTCACGATGGACCGCATGCGTTCGCTTGCCGAAACGAAGCAGAATGTAGGTTTTGGATGTTACCTCCATATTCGAACGATAGCTAATCTCTCGCAGCGCACGCCCGACCAGCAGCAAGTTCTTCGCACCGAGATCCTAACGGCTATTCAAGACAAATGGATCCCCAGTACTGTGGTTTTGGAATACTTCCAGCAGACGTACCCCAACTTCGCGGACTTCTGGCTTTTCCGTCGCCAGTTTGCCTACCAGTACGCGGCTGTGGCCTTCATGACTTACGTTATGCACATTGGCAACCGCTACCCGAACAAGATCCTGGTCTCTCGCTCAACTGGCGACATCTGGGGCGCGGAGCTGATCCCGACAATCAACCCGGCCAAGGCATTCTTCTACAACCCCGAACAGGTTCCCTTCCGGTTTACTCCCAATATCCAGACTCTGCTGGGGCCCATAGCCACCGAGGGTGTGTTCGCCTGTGCCATGATGGCAATCGCCCGCTGCCTGACGGAGCCACGCCACGAGCTGGAGCAGCAGCTCAGCGTCTTTGTTCGTGACGAGATGATGTTCTGGGCGACTGCGCAGCATCGTGGGGTCTTGCCGGTCCCGCAGTTGCGCGACCTGGTCTACAACAACAGCGAGATAATTGTCAATCGTGCCGTCAGCCTCGCCAGCCCGCCGGAGGGCAACCTGCCCGCCAACCAAACCACCATTGATTTGGTCTCGCGTGCAGTCAACCCCCAACACCTGGCCTCGTGTGATGCGTTGTGGATGCCGTATCTCTGAGGGGTCTTTTACTGGTGAGCTCGAGTGTTTATGCTTGTTGATATTAGCCTTTTGGTCTTGGGAACGGGCCTTTTCTGCGCTGCTTCGTGCGGTTTCTAGCGGGTGCTTTGGGATTGGGCTGCTGCTTTTATGCATTTGTGACTAGCGTGGCGCTTCGGCGAGGATCACGGATTCATTCCTCTTCGCGTGGGATGCGATGATTGTGATACTATTTTTTCTCCACTTGGCATCTTTTTTCTATTATGTGTTTCTTCTACCTGTGAACGAGTACGTTTTGTAATGCATTGATTATGCTTCAATGTGTCTTCCGAGTAGTCTTCCTTGTAACGCCTGGTTTATATCCATACCTATTATCCAAAACGCCAATGGCCATGGTATCAAAAAGCAGAAGTCATCATAGAATGTCAGAGCTCATATCAGAGATGGCTTCTTCTTGATCCCCAAGCTAGAGACCGCGGGCTTCTTGGGCCGCTTCACTCTAGCGAAGGAGGCCGACGGCGGGGGCATTTGCAACTGCGCTGCACTCTTGGACTCTGGGACAGGAGCCGGAGCAGACGCAGCCGGCTCCTCGTCTTCCACGATTCTCTTCACGCGCTCACCCGACGTCGTCATGAACGCCTTGCGCGCGGCCTCTTCGTCTTCTCGCTCAGCCCGCAGCTGCGCCTCATCTACATCGTCCCGGGCCTGGTTCAAAGCTGCCTCATCGCCTAATGCCTCATTGCGCTCAATGCGGGCATTCCGTGTGCGGATCTCGTCCAGGGCATCCGCGATCGCCATCTCGCGCTTGGAGTCTTGCATCTTCTCCTCCAGCTCGGCCATCTTATCGCGCTCGAGCTGCTCCTGCTCCTCGTTCTCTTCACGTTCGAGTCGATCGAGGGTTTCGTCTTGGGTTTCATTGTATTTTTCGGATTTGGGGTCGCGCCAGGGTTCGAAGTTACGTTTTGCGCCGCGCTCACATTCGTAATCCATATCTATGTGCCGCTTTTTAGTATTTCTTGACTAGGAGAGAGCTTGCCACGGAGGAAAAAAAATACTTACTCTTTGGGTCTGTACGGAATGTAATCTCGCCGCTGCATCGGGTGCATCGGATGTAGAATCGGTAGATTGGGATCGAGAGATATCTTTCTTCGAGGGACTCCTTGCGAGCATTGAATTTGCGACCGCGGTAGATATATTCTCCTGTGTGAGGTGACATGATACATGAGATTTGGATTGATCTACTTGAATGGGCCTGGGAGGACTTACCACAGTTGGTGCATTTCATCGAGAAAGGCGCCATCAGGCGCACGGTGATGACCTTCGGGCCGGTCTTGCGGAGGTGTTTGGGAGTACGCCCAATCGCCGACGGGTCGAAGTCGGGTGGGTAGTACTTGGTAAGAACCTTTCGCTCAGACATGGTGGGTGAGTTTCAAGGAGACAAGGAGGTCAGTCAAGAAGAGATAGAGAGGAAGAAGATCAGAGAGTGGCGTCAGAGTGGTTATCGCGGGTCACGTGCCTAGTATGCAAGTGGGCGATATTGCTCTAATATACTACCTATGCATGTATTTCTCTCTAGTAAAAAAGGATACTGATAACCCTATTTTAAACATCGCTTATTTAGATGGATGACTCAAAATTTCACACTATGGACATCACTGAATAGCAATGAACATCGAATTGGTGCCTCCGCGGCCACCGCTGCACCGTGCACGGACCCACTGTTGTCCCAAATAAACCCGCGCGAGATTCCAAGCTTCCTAAATCCCCGAGGGCCATCGCATGTCTCCCCATGCCTGATATCTCTGCTGAACCCCTGTTCTTTCACGCGTCTGATCCGCAATGGAGAGGTCCGCAATGGAAAAGTACCTGCGCTCCTGGCGGCAGGACGCCTTGAATCGCGGCCAGCATGATTCGGCCATCTATATTGGCGACAAAGTCCTGGCACTTAGTAGTATGGTTTGGCCGTATCCCTGAGCCTGGAAACAGCACTAATCCCTTGCCACAGACAGTGACTCGGATGCCTTTTGGCTGGCACAGGTACATTTCTCCAACAACAACTTCACGCGCGCCCTAGCTCTACTCTCCCGCAAAGATCTCGTTTCGCGAAGCACCGCCTGTCGCTACCTCGCTGCCCACTGCTACATAAAACAAAACCAGTTTGACCAAGCCCTAACCATCCTCGGCGAACACAATCCCACCGACCTGATCCGCAGCAACAACAGCCGCCGTAAGATCCAGCACCTCAACGGCCAGACCCATGTGACCCTCCGCAATGGAAAAACACCGACGTCACGCGACCGAGCCGAAGAGAAGGAAGAGGCGAATAACGTCCGATTTGAGGCAGCCATGTGCTATCTGCGGGGTCTCTGCTTTGCCAAACAGAATGCGTTTGATCGCGCTCGCGACTGCTACAAGGACGCTGTGCGCATTGATGTACAGTGCTTTGAAGCGTTTGACCAGCTTATGAAGAACTCTCTCATGTCACCCACAGAGGAGCTCGAGTTCTTGGAATCGCTGGACTTTGACTCGGTTTCCTCGCCTGACCCGTCGATAGCCCAAGAAGCCGCCCACTTGACTAAAATGCTCTACACTACCCGCTTATCGAAATACTCCTCCCCCAGTATTTTGTCCGATGCAACAGAAACTCTTTCGACCCATTACAATCTTGCACAGAACCCGGACATTCTCCTGTCGCGCGCTGAAGCCTTGTACACTCAATGTCGTTTCGCAGAAGCATTGGAGTTGACCTCTTCCATCTTATCGACCTCGCCGTCAACCGATCTCACCACCACCAGTCCCAGCATACCCGCCCACAATCACCTCGGCCATGCTCCGGGTGTCTATCCCCTGCATCTCGCGTGTCTATATGAAACTGGAGCCACCAATTCACTGTTTCTGCTGGCTCACATGCTCGCCGACCATGCCCCAGAAGAACCATACACGTACTTGGCGATTGGTGTCTACTATCTGTCGGTATCGAAGATTGCCGAGGCTCGCCGCTTCTTCTCCAAGGCCTCCTTGCTCGACCCCCATTCAGCGCCGGCATGGATTGGTTTTGCTCACACCTTTGCCGCCGAGGGCGAGCATGACCAGGCTATTGCTGCTTACAGTACCGCTGCTCGGCTGTTTCAGGGTAGTCACCTCCCACAACTTTTCCTGGGGATGCAGCATCTTGCCCTGAACAATATGTCCTTGGCTCACGAGTATCTGAACGCGGCGTATACGATGTCAACAGGGTCTGCGCCTGGCTCTGTTCCTTCACTTCCGGCTAACTCCTCGTCGGGGATGCCACCTCAGGGTGGTGACCCATTGGTTCTCAATGAACTTGGAGTTGTTTTCTACCACCAAAACCACCTGACCGCGGCCGTCGAATTATTCAGACAGGCCCTTACATTGGCCGCTTCGCTGCGTTGCGAACCAAGCGCCTGGATTGCGACACGTGCCAATCTAGGCCATGCGCTCCGGCGGATGGGTCGTTTGCCTGAATCCCTCCGCGAATTCGACGAGTGTCTTCGTGTGGGGGCCGGAGGCAACAGTCTCGGATTCTCGCCATTCCTCGGCGGCGGTGCTGGTGGCTCTGCGACGGTCCCCACGGCCTCCGGTGTCGGCGGCTATGATGACCGGGGGCTTGTTGGGTCTCTCCACACCTCTCGTGGACTTGTATTACTGGAGTTGGGTCGCACCACTGATGCCGTGACCGCCCTACACGAAGCGGTCCGTGTGCTCGGAGCTAGTGGTGGCGGTGACGCAGCAGGAGGCGCCGGAGCGGCAGGCACGCTGTTGTCCCGGGCTCTAGAGATCTGGGCTCTAGAGGGCCGTGAGCGAGATCACCAGGGATTTGACGGGGGCATCCGCTCATCCAACAGCCGCAGCTCCACCCGCTCCCACGATCTCAAAGGCAAAGATCGACTGGCAGATGACACTTCGCGACGAAGAGCCGTCCGCCATGAACCATATCAGGAGGAATGGACGGACGAGGTCGCTCACGTTGCAACCCCCGATACGGCGGAGACGGAGACTCTCGGAGAACGCGTGGAGATGGAGCTCGATGAAGAGGCCGATGGACTGCTCCGACGTGCCCTGGGAAGGGTCCGCCCTGGTCGTTCTCGTCGCCCGGCATTACCGACTACTCCGGAGATGAATGCCAGCGAGAGCCCGGCAACGGGTCGCAGTCGCGGTATGAGGTCTGGTCGGAATCAGTCTCGCCAGTGATGATCGGAGAAGGGGGCTTATTGCCCAATTCGCTTTATTTTCTTTTGGATGCATGGCAGCGGGCGTTTTCGGGAGATTCGGGAGGAGAGGTGCATTCTGGAATGGCATTGTTAGCGTAAACTTACCATTGTGTCGCTCATAGACGATGGAACATACTCTTGACGCAGCCAGTCTATTTCTCGATCAGAAGTAGGCAGAGTTTACCTAGTGGTAGAAGGAAAATAATGATCCAATAAAGAATAGTCATTAACAAGAACAGACAGATAGTGATGAAGCCTTAGAAAAAGAAACCAAAAAAGAAATCTGACAAGACTGGGATTCGAACCCAGGTCCCCTTGCGGAGATCAGGAAATCTGGAAGATTTGGTATTAAGGTAGACCTTAACCTGACGCCTTGGACCAACTCGGCCATCTTGCCTGAGGATGTGCTGTCCTGGCCAGATTTTAACACCGTGAATCAGATCTTAAATGCTGTCTTGATCTTCAGGATCTGGCAGGTTCCCATTTTCCAAGTTCTTCTTTCAGGTCTCTCTGTTCCTTCGTTTGTTTTCATCAACATCCATACCGAAGGCTCTTTCTCCTGCACCGTTGATTGTGATATTGCATGGTTACACCCGCAGTGCATACGGCTGCTCCATGCATTTGATTCTCCCCCTTCCCAAGGATACACCTAAGATGACGCTAACTCGACCCACCACTCTTCCCCAAATGGGGCGGAACCCGACTATCGTTCCCCCTTAGGGGCCAGCCCTCTCACGGTGTCTGTGTTTCTTCCGACCTCGTTCCACCTCACCTTATCCCCTCCCCCCCCCCCCCACGGATCATGCTTTGTGGATAAATCAACAACGCCTGCACCGTGATGGCTGGGCCGTTATCCTTACTGCGCCTGCGTCGAGGCATCTCGCTGGTGGGTCTCATCACCGCGCTCTGCGGCGGTGCCGTGTTCGCCATCTGGTATGGCATGAACTCGGATCGCGACTATATTCACCCTGTCCTTACGCATTTAATTCCCGCCGGCCACTGTGCCTGCCAGACCTCTACGACCTTCCAATGTTCCTCCTGCCTCACGTGCGCCAAAGATGCTGCACCCGACCAGTCCACCGACCCCGCCTGGAAGTTCGAGTACCCTCGTGATGCGCGCGACGAGGCTCTCAGCCATGCGAAGTGCCAGGCCTCCTTCCCTGGCCTGTTTGAAGACGTGCAGCGGGGTGCGAAGCACTGGCGGTCGCACGGCGGAATAGCGACCGAGGACCTCGACGCAATCAAAATCGAACAGGGCATGGCCCGTGCCTTCATTACCCATGGAGACCTTCATGTGGTGACTGCCCGCTCTAAGGGCGAAGATCATCGACGGAAAATCTTGGGAGTGTTGGGATCAATACACCGCGCGCTGGCCGCTGACCCGGGTCGGGCGTCGCGACGCGATATTGAATTTGTTTTCTCGGTGGAGGATAAGGTGGACGACGTCACGAACCCGCACAACCCCGTCTGGGTATTTTCACGCATTCCCAGCGAGGAAGGCGTTTGGCTCATTCCGGACTTCAGCTTCTGGGCTTGGGACAACCCCAATAACCAACTTGGTCCCTATGATCAGGTGGTGGACCGCGTCAAGCGCCTGGATATTCCCTGGTCAGAGAAGAAACCCCAACTTGTCTGGCGAGGCAAGCCCAGCTTCGCACCCAAGCTGCGCCGCGCGTTGATTGAGGCGGCCCGCGATAAGCCGTGGGCCGATGTCAAACAGGTAGATTGGTCGACCGGGGCAAACGTGCTGAAGATGGAAGACCATTGTCATTACATGTTCATTGCGCATGTCGAAGGTTTGCTTTCTCCCCGGCCGGGTAAATCTGGAATATTGCTGACTCTTCCTAGGACGGTCTTACTCCGCTTCCCTTAAGTACCGACAGGCTTGTAATTCGGTGATTGTCGCGCACAAGCTCCAGTTTATTCAGCATCACCACTACCTGTTGGTGGCGAGCGGTCCCAACCAGAACTACCTGGAGGTGGAGCGAGACTTTAGTGATCTTGGCGAGAAAATCGAGCCGCTGATCAGCGACACCGAGGCGGCTAGGCGTATCGCCAACAACAGCGTTAAAACGTTCCGCGAGCGCTATTTGACCCCTGCAGCTGAGGCATGCTACTGGCGGTCACTATTTGACGGGTATTCGGGGGTTTGGAACAGCACCGTTGATTCATGGTCGGAAAGCAAGCAAACAGAACGCGGACTGCGCTATGAATCCTTCGTGCTGCTGGAGAGCCCGAAGATGTTTGAATTCGATGCCACCACTGCCCCACAGGGGACCGCATGAATCGGAAAGAGACTGGAGTAATAGATCCAGTCAGCATAATGTGTTTATACTTGCACGGCGGCCCGGGGTATTTGAAGGCGTTTTGGAAGGGTGAGGGGGCTATCTCCAACCAAACCTTTTGGTATTTCTGATGCCATGGACCTAGATCCTTGAGAACATATGGAACAGATTGGCCTATCTGGCTCTATACTTGGTTTTGTTGTATTCGCATCTCGAGTCCGGTCTGACTTTTATCTGGACTGATCTATGCAGTTGCCCAGTTGTGCATGAATCTGCTGTTTGTAACCTTTTTGAGCTTCATGGTTTCTTCTTGGTCGGTATAGCTTTTCATCCAGGGTTCTTGGACACAGATAGTAGTTTTGCTTGATGGACGATTCAGTCTTCATTGATGTACCCAGAGTCAGCGACACTCGGACTGAGCTCACCTATTTGTCTGTCATCCATTGATGCCTCAGCAGCTATATTTAGTCAGATATATAGGTCCTTTCACCCTTTCTAATGGGTGCTGTTGCTGTATACAATCGAGTTCGTAAGCTAGAGAGAAGATTTTTATTCAAGTAGCCTGGAATTACAGCTAATCCCCACCCACGGCACATTTCTTCCCTATTCCAACCCAGCTGATACTCTAAGAGATTGAGGGCGAAGAGGCAAATCATCAACCCGACTTTTCTATATCGAGGAAATATGATAGCGCCACCCTCATCTACCAACACTTCTAGGGTTTATATTCCGCCCGGAAACGCAAGTGCCGTCTCTACGAGCCCACCGTAAGACCAGAGGATAGCGAAAATGCATACCAGATGGATGCGACCAAAGCAATGGCATTGAGATGGATGGACATAGCATGGTTCCGGGAGAAGGTGCGGTTGGCCTGGTGGATCTTCCCATCATCTTTTGTTCTGGCATTGATACTTTCTGTGGGGGAGTTAGTCTTTTTTTTTTTTTTTATGGTAGATGAAAAGACATTAAATAAGAAGAGAAGAGTAAAAATATACCTTTCAGTGCCCTCCTCACAAGCGACGCCGTCGTCGTGCGCGGCCCAAACACCCACCAATTCAGAGATCCCGTTATTAGAATCACTGCCAGCGGCGCTGCACTCCATGGGTCCTTAACCAGAGATACAATGCTGTATGGTGGGTGCGTTGCAGCCGTTAGGGCAGTCAGGCCTACCTGACACCCGAAGTATGCGGGGAACAGGCGTTTCTGCAGCGCGATGAACTCGCGCATAGGAAGTGCCTGGAAGCAGATCTTGGTGTTGACAAAGCTCTAGACAAATCAAGCGAAAGCAAATTTCAGCCAAAGCTCCTCTATATTAATGAAACACGGGGAAAAGAGGTCTGTCGTACCTGGTAAAGCTCTGTCCCGAGTAGAGTGCCGAAAGAGAGGAGATGATAGGGCAGGAGATTTCCCACGGTATGGGAAAAACTTTCCATTTTTCTTTTCTCGGTGGTTGATTATGAATGGCCCGTTACCTGGAAGAGAGGAAGCAAGTACACAGACGTTGTACTGGCAGCTTTTGAGGCGGGCTAAATACGGCTGCCTGGTTGCACGGCTTAGGCTGACGGGTGTCTTGAACGTTGACAGGGTTATTCTATGATTTTTGCGGTGACTCTCGCAGCAATAATACCGGCAATGACGATCATAATCGTGCGCATAAACCAATAAGACCACCCGCTCGGTGCTGGTTCTCTGCGTAAGCGGAAGCGGGTTTAATCAGGGCAAGGCTCGCCTCCGATTATATAGTTCGGGTCTGCATCAGAACGAACAATAAACCAATTGATGACCATTAAAATCGGCATGAACAAATCAAAATGGAATAGATCTGTGACTCATTAATTCCTTCAGTATCCGTCGCAAGCCGAGCCTGTCTCCCAAGTTGGAGCTTCAACATACCTCTCTATGGTGCCACCCGCCTTTTCCCGTCACACAGCAACCTGCTTCCAAGTCCCATAGCCACAGGAGGTGAAACCGGCCACTCCGCGGTCCCTTGCTGGGGTTGGAATTTCACATGCAGATATTCCCGGACAAATGGAGGGAGCCCGATGAAGAGCCACATGGCCATGGCTTCAAAGTTCTCAGTGACGTGGAGCTTATAAAGGATGGTGAATACTGGGATCTGGCATAGGTTGGACTGGATACAAATGTTTCTCAACCCCGGCGCCGCTGATTTCATGGATTCTTTCCAGGGTTCAGTATCTGTGCTCGGCTGAGCGCATGGCAAGAAGCCATGTAACCTTTGGCTCACCGTCTCTCACCTTCATTCTCTCATACAAAGCTAAGAGTAGCCAGAGATGTCTCTGGTCTGCACCCGATGTGTACCTGGGGGTGTGTGGTAACGGTCATAGGTTCTTTTAAAGCCCGAGCTGCATCTCGGCCTCGGCGTTAGAACCACCCTGGGATCCATGGACAACAGCAATTCCTATTCTGGGAAGCACCGCATGGTTCTGGCTGACCACCCATGGGTCTACTGCTTTTTTGACGGATTTAGTACGCAACGTAAGCCTTTTGGATTTGGCATCAGACTGACACGGATGGGGCAAGTCAGGCCTGCGACAGCTTCAGCTCTCACGTGGAGCTGGGCCGTCTAGGATGGATTGAAAAAGCCGGGAATCGCCCTCGAAGTACCTCGATACCAACTTTCTGTTGAGCAGAAGTCCTCTCAATGCCAAGCTAACACGCAAGAAATTGGGCTCCCATCACAGAGGTCGTACAGTCTTTGCCACGCGTCAAATTGACTCCAAGACCCAGCTCACCGACTCGTGCTTCTAACAAAGAGACCATCTCAAATGAGACTTCACCAGATCCTCTGAGCAAAGCCAAAACCCCAGACCGCTGGTATTTATGAATCCAGGGCAGTACCACCGGGGATAACCTCGAGCAACACCGCCTCGTGAAACAGAACCAAGACCTTTTCTCTTTGAGGGGCAGAAGAAAAGGCAACCCATGCCTCATCATCCACACAGCATGGCTCACCGCTGGAAAAGCCAGCCAGCCAAGAAAGTCAAGTGGGAAGCATCGAGCCAGGGCATCACGCGGCTGAAGGGGCGCTAGAGATCCCATCGCCAGTCGTTTTCAGACCGAGCCACTGACCGCCAACGATCGGTTGCACAATAGCGTGTCACAGTGAGATCGGTCGCGGGTTCGGCCTCGTGGACATGGCGTGTATAAGAGCAGTGAGGTCACTGGGACCCCGTTAACGCCGAGCCTCGGACTAGTCGACGAGAGGCAGGGAATTCTGATCCTATATCAGACATACACACCCCGAAGCCCGGCTCCTGCTCTTTCAACCCCAGCTGCAATACCGAGTACCAAAATAAATCTATTACCATGAAGGCTGAACGCAAACAAGAGGCTTCCAGTGGCGATGAGCTGCCCCAGAAGCAGGATCCTTTGGAGCGGCGACGGCTGCAAAACCGCCTGTCGCAAAGAAACCACCGTGAGAGAACCGTTATGAAGGAGTAGAAAGAGAGCATCCCAGCTAATATCTGCCAGGCCGTAAGATTAGAGACCGCATCGCCAAACTCCAAGAGCGTGTCATCGCCAACGAACTGCGAGCAGCGGCCGCCCTCAACGGCTGGGATCAGGCATATACGACCTCAACCCGCCACACACTTCACGATTCTGAATGTACTTTCAACTCTCAGAATACTTCCCCCTTGGACTCCGAGCCATCCACCCCATATATACCTCCCTCTGCACTTTCGCCTCCTTCCTGGCCCAGCGACTTCCCATCTTTCCTGTCTCCCAGTGTATTCACTGGGATTATATCATCGTTCGACGCGACTCCTGCAATGGATTCCATAACATCTCCACTACCTGCCCCAATGTTTTCGAGCAGTACCACTATCACACAGTCCCCCACAAACCATATGGGTGGACATGCTTTCCAAGACATGGCAACCAGCGGACCAATGACCCCAGAATCTGCTTCCTTTCCCCCAAACCAGCCTCTATACTACCTTGCGACAGGTAAGAAGCACCTATAAGAATTATCGCTCGTTTATTCTAACATCATAGGGCATAGAAGCAACACTACCCCAAATTCTCCAGGCTATCAACACCATGTCCCCACAATCTCAAATCATCGTTCTAGTCCCGCAAGACTCATCATCCTCAGTGGGGCATAATGCCCAAACATCTTCGTTAAATGGAGAAAATGGCTTTGAGAACCCTTTTTCACCAACACAGGTAAACTCTCAAAGTGTTGCATGCCAGTGCCAGTCCTATAATATCCTGTCTGGCTCCACCCACCCTGCCATCTCTAGGACATGGTCGGTTCCTGGGTCTTTTGTACCTGTGTGTCCCTTGCATAAGATGCAGGAGTCGGCGATGGGGAATTGCTCCGTTATGATGCTGTGAATGCTTAAATTTGTGTATTATGATAGAAGTATAGGAAGTATCCTTGGAAAGGAAGGTTCCCTTGGTGGCATATGTGAGATATAGCTGTAAACCATTCAATGGAAAATAGGTGTATATAATTAATATCTTTGGACGAACTCGGAGTGTTAAAATACATACCTGCTACATAGAGTCGAAAGAGGGTTGACTCCATCGTGCGGTCTTGGGAGAAGACCTAAACAGCCAAGATACAGGAGATATCTCGAGGCTGTAGAGTTGCAGTTCCCGGGAATTCAACTATTACTATAAAATACTTTTAGACGAGCGAAACTGTAAATCTAGTTGTCGTGGGTGGTGCGTAGGCAGATAAACCCGAACAGGATGGAAGTTATGCAACAACGTTTATTCCAAAATGATATACTAGAATTCAAGTCTCATCGGTCATCCTGTATACCGAAACGAGAGGCAAGTGCTTTTCAATTTGGACTAGACAGGTCCTGTCGGGCCAAAGTTGCACATCAAGTCCAGCACCAGAACTGGAGTGCCCAAAGGAAGGACAATCAGAAGAGAAACAGAGATGGGGAAAATAAAAAATAAAAACATGAGAATCACAAGATCACAAATAAATTCAAGCCACAAACAAGATATTTCTAATCAAGGTGGATTCGCCACAGTTCCCGGTCACAATCGCTGGTATAACTGGTGCGAGTATGCAACATGGCCGTATTATCATTGATCATCAGGTCGCCCTTCTCCCATTCGAAACGGAGACAAACCCGGTAATCATAGACGAGACAATTGACAACGTCCACTAAGCCCTGTTCATCGTTCTCGATGCGCACTTCACACGCCGAGAACTTGGTTCTGGAAGAGTCCCACGGCTGATGCCAGCGCAGACACGGCACGCCTAAGACAGGGTGATCCTCGACCAGCTTTTGCTGTGTGAGCTCGGATTCCCAGTAGCCGTCGTTGCTCAGAGCCCAGGTTACCTTGGCCAGACGCTCGGTAGTCCAGGGCAGGGGCAGGTAGCGGAAGAAGAGCCGTGAGTTAGCCAGCAGGGTATATCCGCTGCCCTTGGGTGCTGTCACAGGACATGTAAAGAACTGGTAGCCCGGCGGGCAGGGAACTTTTTTAGTCTCGCCGGTTTCAGGGTCAGTCCTGTCCTCGAACTTGAATAGGCCATCAAAGTGCATGGGCAGAGGCTCGTTGGATGTCACGTTGTTGCCCATGCGGTCGGTGTGGCCTTCATCGCGCACTTTTTGGATGACGCCGAAGTTCCAGGGCAGAATCGTGCCGAATTCCTCGGCCTTTTGCAGGTACAGGTCTTCCTGGAGGCTCTCGGCGAAGCCGCGCAACACCACGGGCGACATGCTGTGCGAGAGGTGGCGCACTTTGTGCATGGGGAGCGCGCGGATGGACGGCCGCGGCTTGACGTTGTCGATATCGGCGGGGCAGATGATGAGCCCACATGGATAGAGATGCTCGAACTTAACGGACAGGCCATCCTCCGCCCAGTCGAAGAGCTTGGATCGCTCGCGGAAGTAGTATGGCTGGCCGTTCTTATAAATCAAGTCGTGCGTGTCGCGGACGTCTTCGGCGTGGACGGTGCGGAACGAGCCGTCCAGTCCCACGGCCACGCACGAATGCCACGGCGTATACCCGAGGGACCCTCGCACCTGCGGGATAAGCGACACGGACAATTTGCGCTCGCCTGCGGACTCGTGGATTGACAGCCGCACATAGTCTTTCCGCCTAGCTTTGATGGCCGCCGCGAACATTTTCCCACGGATGATCATTTGCCGCGCCGTCTGCGCGATCTGCGTCTGTCGTGCTCGTTTCGACATGGCCTGTGTGTCTTCTTGATGGGCCAGGTCCTTGGTGAGAAACTTGATATATCCGCGGTACGTCAGACAGGTGTCGTTGTCCGTCTTGATGGCCTCGTTTGCGTCAAATGTCGGATCACCAAACAGATACATCAGTTCCCGGCGGAGGCAGTTGGCATGGGCCAGATAAAATGCTTTAGCTGACTCTGGATTGGACGACTGGAACCACGGGTGCTCAAGTAGCTCGAAGAGACGAATGAATTTGATATGATGCAGTCCCTTCTCGACGGCCATCTTACGCAGCGTCTCGCCATAGTCCCAGACGGTTTCGTCGGGCACCCCCAGTATATCTGTGGGAAGATGTTAGCATAACCTCCGTACCTCTTAAAGTTCAAAATAAGATACTCTACTTACCATTGTATACCAGTCCATCCGAACTTAAATAGACATCCGCACCTGGCGTATACACCTGGGCGATGTTCTCACACAGGCCATTCAGATGGAACAGGGCCAACTCCTCTCCAAAGTCGGGCATAGTGCCCAGCACCTTGTCGCGCGCATTAGGAGACTTAAACGGGAACGCAGGTAAAATCATGCGAATAGGCTCCTGTCTCTTGACGCGCTCGCGGACCATAGGCACGAACGAGTCGAAGCCCTTCCACGAGGCGCCATTTTTCTCGTAATCTACCCCGTAACTTTCGATAATCTTCAAGATATTTAATGTCATTGCTTGATCGTCAGATAATGGGTCAGAGGTAGTAGCGTGGGCAACGGTGTCGTTGCGACCCTTTTGTGCGCGTGGCGTGGAGGCATTGCCGTTTGCGGTGATGGTCGAGGGATCGGCGCAGGCAGATTCCGTCGAGGCGACCTCGGCAGTCTTGGTGGTGACTGGAATCTGGTCGGTCGGTTTGATGGTCTCCAAGGGCACAAGTCCATCCGGGGTGGCCTTGCGTGGATATGAGGCCGGGGTGGTGTCCGAAACGGGAGTTAGGGCAACCATCGTGATAGAAACCGACAAGGGGGAAAACAAGAGATTTGGTGCTACAACAGGTATGTATTCTAAGTTGAAAGTGGTTCAAAAAAGGAAAAAGAAAAGATCAACAGAACAGACAAGATAGGTTTGTTTTCTTTTTGTTTGGGAGGTTGAGGACCTAGGGAGGTGATCGTCCTTCAGAAGGCCAGGTCGCTATATACCCGGAGAAACAACCGCCACCACGGATCCCTGAGAACAAAGCACTGCAAAAGACCTCGCGCAGATGACTGTAATCCCTCTTTGCGGACTCAGACCTGAGAGAAGAGGCTGAATTTGGGAGACCCCAGAATGGGATGTCGCCGACTCTGTACCACTCAACACGTCCTGTGTGGGAGCTTTCCCACACCGGTCTTGGAGGAAGTAATTCTAGGTCTGGAGAGAGATAATGCTATAGAAGTACCCTGTCAAAGAGCGGTCGGCCAAAACAAGCTACCAAGTCAACGGCGGCGGACAGCACGGGTAGAGCTGTAGGGTCGAGATCCGGTCAGCACCCCACAAGAGCTTCATGGAAAAGAGATCAGAGCGCTGCTGACGAATACCGGTTGTTGATGACTAGATATGCATTGCACTACATGCCGCATCTGCTATGGGAAGAGCCAGAGCCCAGGTTGTGGGATACGTCAGGGAGTCTCTCTAGGTGCGGCTCGACAAATCAGTGTCTTGTCACTCTTGGAGAAGAGGCAAAACAAGAACGCCCAGGTGGTACAGAACTTGATTGATGCCACAAGTATTTTCCTATATGATTGAAATAGCAGGCATGAGTGCGAGTGTCAAATGGAAAGGAGAGGTAGTCTTGGGACGGTCGACAAGAGAGGCACAGACTATGACTATTGGGAAAAGCGGACCTTTATCAGGGGGGGGGGAAGATAAGAAATACCAGAAGTAAAATGAGGGAAGCTTGCATCACTGCACTGAAGCCAAGATCTCAGAGAAGTAGCTGTTTCTAGAGCATGTATCAAGACAATGATACTATGGAAACGCCTGTTTGGCACCGTGTCAAACCTTTGACTCACTCCAATCATACTCCATCAGTCGAGCAACAAACAAAGCTGTTTCGTTGTTTGCCAATAGGCGCACAAGGTGAAAAGTGGCATCTAAGCCAGAGCTAATCCCCCCAGCGGTGATAATCCTCACACCTCCTCCCTTCAGATATCCCCCATCCACACAGCGCTTATGCACTATATTCACGGGTGGAACCTCCGGACCCTGAGCCTGGGCACATATCTTCCCGAGCGCATCGAGGCCTTGGTGGTGGGTAGTGACGGTGATTCCAGACAGAATACCCGTAGCGCCGACGAGGAATGCACCGGTACAGACCGAGAACAAGACCCTCTGTTTCTGTGAGGTTTGCGGAGGAAGGGCTGCAAATTGGCGGATAATCTCCAGTTCTGGAGCATTGTTGTCAGTCAATGGTTGCAGAACTGCAGGAAATCCACCCGGGACGACGAGTATATCGAAGTCGGCAATCTGGGCCAGGGCTTCGTCGAGAAGCAAATCCGCAGCGACGGTTAGAGACCCCGCAGAAAGGATGCTCGACCTGCGAGCAATAGTGCAGATATCGAACATCCGGTCAGGCCGATCTGGGTTGCGGTTGTGCGAGACATGGGACAACACTTCCATAGGGCCCGCAAAGTCGAGGATGTCGGCGCCCGGAAAGACAAGGACGCCGACCTTGTAGTGTTGGTTCGATGATGCGATAGACATTATTTTGTCTTTTTCGATTTCTCGCTCTGGTCTTTTGTTTTATTCTTTTCATATGTAACTTGAAATAGCGGTGTCGCGCAAGGGCTGTGATGCTGATCTCTTTTGAGTGACCGGGAACTGTCAGGAGGAAGAAATGGGAAGGGACAGAGAAGAAGGGCGGAGAAAAGCTACCGTAGAAATCTGACTCTGCTGACTCTAGTACGAATCAGCCTGACGCTGTGTGAGTTAGATCTCCGCATGCGCCGATTTGAGGAATCTGGAATTTGAGAGTGCCGCATAGCGTCAACAGTGCTCGGTGTCCACATTAGACCGGGGTCCCTGGTCTTGTGCTCCGGGCATTGCGAGGCCTATGGTCCCAGCATGAGAATTTCTCAAGACGATGATTCATTTCTCGCGGAAAGGAAATTGCCTGCTTTGTGTAAATCCACTGTCATTCAGTTAGGGCTTGGTCAGCTGGCAGGAAGTGAACAAATCCAGGCCCTCGGATTGGGGTGGGAGCATGTAGATGCAGAAGCAAGTACACGTTGTTTCCAGCTGGAAAAGAAACATAAGAGCAGTTTGAAATCGATCCTCTCCAGCCCCTTAGTGTTCAAGAATAACATCCCAGGGCGACGGCAGCCCTTTCTCCCTCGCCAATATCCCGGCCAGGATGGTATCTTCACCGCATCATCTCAATTAGCAGTGTGTAACTCAACTCTAAAACACCGTTATTCTGCTCGGGAAGCTGCAGTGGGGATAGTTGACCAAGTCCCCAGTCTGCGTATGGGGATTTTCGACAAGTCGTTGCTCGAGCGCGTGCCGCAGAGAGTCTTGACCATGACGCTTTCCTCGGATAGAAATAAACCCATCGGCGCCGCGAAGTTGCAACTTGTTATGATTGTAAATGGGTTGGCTGATTTCTCATGCAGCCTGCGTCACTTGAGCAACGCAGACCGAACGATTGTCAATAACGAATCTCGATCTCCAGCCGGGCGATATCTTAAGAACTAACACGGACAGCAGACCGCATCACGGCAGCTTCAGGCGGCTGTTAAAGCCCAGAGTCTGGGAAGTATTTAAGAGGTCGCCCTGATGGGTCAAAAAAGTATTATTTGCACGACCATGATGTGGTTCGCATGACGGGTGTTGCAGGAGACGCAGCATCGAGAGTTGACATTGGGGAATGCATGTGGGCCGCAGGCCGCATTTTTGCCAAATTCTGCATTTTACGCTTAGGTCATTGGGGAAAAAAAAGCCTCGGTCTAAGGAACGTTATGTTAATTTTGCAAAAGACTATACACAGGTAAAATAATCAAAAATGGCATAGAAGAATTGAGATCATCCAAGTGTCTCGATCTATGAAGCCAGTCCAAGAAAACATCCACGAGTTTTCATGGACACCATAAGAACGATACGACAAACGACGCCAGCAAGATACTCCAGCGCCACGCTGAAATTAGAAGAAATTAGATATAAACAGTTTCTAAGCCACACATGCCGAGCTGCCTCATTCCTAACTCCACAGAGGTGGGTGGATGTACTCGGAAGCTCGGTCAAGGATGTTGGGTATCGTCCACTCCCCACTGCCCGAGCTTTCTGGCGTAGGGGGTGGCAAGGAGCTGACGCTCGGAGTCATGCCCGAGGAAGCGGGAGGAACCAGGGTGTTTATCGAGGCGACACCGGTGTTGGGTTGAAAACCGCATGCGGGGGCGACGCCAAGTCCACCCGTGGGTCGCGTTTGTGAGTTTCCGAATGCACTGAGGAGCTTCTGGAGGGCGCGATGGGTCTTCGCTAACGACTTGGCCCACTGGGTTTGCGTGTCGGGGAATGCAGCGACAGGAGAGGTGGGATCCAGGGCGGGTGCAATGGAGCCAGGTGGATTGGTAGCACCTGTGATAGGGTCATAGGCGCCTAAGCCTTGAGCAGGCGAGGTAAGGCTGGTAGGATTAGCCGCGATGTCGCCAGTATCGTAGGCTCGTTCGGTGCTGGCTCGTTGAGCGATAATGCCCTCGAGCTGTCGCAACAGATTCCATACGCTCGGCTCCGACTTGGCTTCTTCGATCACGGCAAGGAGAAAAGCAGAGCTAATTGCCCGTTGCAGGGCAATCCAAGACCGTGCCGCATGAGAGCTAATGTTGTGCATTTCAATATATGCCTCGACGGTCGTCATCAGATTCGACACGCAGTCCACGCGCATGCTGGCGGTACCGGAGTCATTGACATCGGCCGTCGATTTGAGCGCTGGCCGGCAGAGCTCAGAGGAGAAATAGGAAGAGTGCAGTTTAAGCACGACCCGTTCCAGATGCTGTGTGGGTGTGGTGCAATATTGTGCGTCACGCAGGCGGGGCTTTGCTTCGACCATGATCTGCTGGATTCTTTCCTTGTAGCCTTGGATACTTTCAACGCTCATTTGAGCGTGCGGGCTGAGCATTCGAATGCGCACCACCTCCAGAACCAAGGAAATGACCCGACACAAAGTTTCAAAGTACAAGAGTTCACCAGGTTTCGAGTCCTCTTGATATGCAATATCTGGCTGGCTGACTGCAGTGGTGGAGGGTCGATCGTAGGAGAGCGAGAAGTGACTGTCTTGCCACGCCATTGACCACCTGCGGGGGTCAGATTAGCTTATCCAAGAGATGGCTGAGGAGGATAATAGTTAGGAATCTTACCAGACATGTCGCCGACGATATCGCTCCAGCGGGGAAAATCGACTTGAATCGACATGCAGACCGAGTGCCAAGCCCATGCGGAGAGTCATGCCCAGTAGCACATAAGAAATACCAGGGTTCATGTTATAAGACAAGACATTACCGATAACCAAAAGCGTCTGAATTGCCTCAATCGTGGGCTGAGACAGGAAATTGGTCATCCGAAGACATTGGTACGAGCAGCACACTGAACAGACAGTTAATCAAATGCCACTCAACAGAGCTTCGATTGCCAGGACATACCATAGACTTGAGAAGTCAATTCTCTTTCTTTGCTACCCAGATCGGATGATTGGCAACCAGACGCAAGCACGGCAAACAACAAGCCCAAGTAGGCGATGCTCACCCCAAATGGCTTTTGCGCCTCGTCTGCATCTTCCCGGTACACACCCCCGGCAGAGACTCGACTCTGCAACAGAAGCTCGAGGCTGTTTTCAAAATCACGAACGTCCTCTAGAACTGGATATATAGCACCTGCGATGTCTTTATAGTCGTAAAAGAACCTGCTCAAGGATAGAGAATTAAGCCCCAGCCATCGAAACAGCAACAAAGATCAACTCACTCTCTGCATTGTTCATCAGTCGGCAGCGCACTGCAAACTGCACTGATATCAAAGGTTGACATGTCTGACGACCACAGGTCGACGAATGGGTACGTCGCTGATTCATTGTCAAGGCCCAGCTTGGGCAATATCCCTCCTTCCAAAAGCGCCTGAAGCTGATCCGACCCAGATTTGTTGTTCAGGATATAAGCCAGAACAGAGCGCGACCCTAGATGAACAGTGCCTTTTCCGAGAGTATTGTCAGCATGGATGCCCTCCCGCTCCGGCGAGGCGGCCTTGGAGCGGGAACTCGCATCACCGCTCTGCGAGCTACCGGTCTCTAGCGTCACGGTGGGACCTTCTTCAGCCCGCTCCAATCCAACTCGAAGAGACGAGATAGTGTTTTCCATTTCCCGCAGTCTGTTGCGCACATTATCCCACTCCTCGCGGGCGATTGACACCCGCCCACCAGCACTAGTGCCGTTTGCCCGACTCGATACCGGCTCGGGTTTGACGTGTGCTGGGAGATCGTCGTATTCGTATGCCGTCGAGTATTCTGCGGGCGCAGGTGCCACCGGCACCGCCGAGGCACCACTAACGGGGCTCTCATGGAAAGCTTGCGATCGTTTTTTGGAGGGTCGTTCGTAGGAGCAAAGATCAGCGTGGTCACGCTTGACACACCCGTCGCAGGGGAGATTGCGGTCGCATTTGACCTTGCGCGCATGACATGGATAGCAAGCCTTGGGCTCACGCGCTTTTCGCTTCGTGCGAATAATCGCGTCCACTTGGGCCTGCGGCAAATCGGAAACAGCTCGATTTGGTGCGGCAGCCATTTCGGAGCCTACCGAGGGCGAAAATGAGTTGGATGGCTGGTATGGTGAAGCCATTGATTTTATGGTACTTTTCTTTGTTTTTCTTCGCAAAATTATGTTTGCCCGTGTCGAGATCTAGTTCTTCAGGCTCAGACAAGCGCCTTATGCGATCAATGGTACCATGGAGACGGGAAATCGGGAGGCAACCCGGAAAAGAGAGAAAAAAAAAAAGGTGATGATCAGTGCGCTAGTGAGCAGACAGCTTTTTCTCTTCCATCCACTACCGGAGTTGCGGCAGCATGGTGAACAATTGAAGCTCGAATGGAAATTGAACGCGATTTGCTCGAAGGATGCCGGGGGAAGCGTCACTCCATCTAATCGCGGAGAATTCACGTGACGTGGGGCTGCCAAATGCGGATTTTTGCCCTACGTCAGTCGCATTTTTGAGAATTGGAGAATAGGGGAATAGGTGAATAGGGGAAATGTATGACTAATTTTGGTATTGAAAATGTAATTATGGATATTTTCTCTCTAGGGATATCTTTATAGACACATCATTAACGACAAGGGAGTCCCATGCCTTTCTCTCCGAATCCTGCAGAATGACATCAACCATCACCGAAAATTTCAGCCCTGTGCCTCCACAATTGAGTGAGGGGGTCTGGAATATTATTTGCAAAACACGATTTGAACTATGTCACCATGGTAAAATTTGTGGAACTGCACTCTGCACCCCTCTATGCCTTAATACCCTTCTCCTCGTCGTCACTGAAGGCGTACTTCGAGAAGCGGCGAATGGATTCGCCCTTAAAGTAGAAGACATATGGAATGGCACAGCAGGCCAATGCAATAAAAGCAAGGAGCGAGCTTGCCCACTGGTAGCCCAGTCGCTCGTACATCTGCTCCGTGAACAAGACTGTAGAAGCACCCCACATCGACCGGAGGAAGGTCTTGGCTGCAAGGGCCGATGCTGCTTGATGCTGATAGGTATCAACTGGAAATTGTGTCAGTATCCAGCTAATATAAAATTACAGAAGCATTCTGCACATACCGAGATAGTTGTTGGCCGAGTTGTATAAAAAGATGAAGCCGAATCCCACCGGCCAGCCCCCGATGGCTGGACCAAACCAGTGAAGCCTCGGGTACGAGGTCCAGGCAAAGATAAAGAGGCCAACAGGGATAAGCCAGCAAGACCACATCATGGGGATCAGGCGCTTTTCCGCCGGGGGCTTGCCACCGTATTGCTTGGAGACTTTGAGATAGTGCTTGTTCACAAAAGGAGCACAGGCGGCACTCATCAGCACGCCGATAGCCAGAGGAATGAACATTAGTCCGGTTGTTGAGGCACTCCAGCCTTTGCCGGCCTGGTAGACAATAGGATAGGCCACGAAGAACATGTACAGCAAGCCGTACAAGACCGACATGTAAATGGCAATGAAGAGCACGATGGGCTCCAGAAAGAGGAGTTGGAAAGGACGGAAGAGGAAGATGCGCAGCTTTTCTCCCATAGGTCGAGGGTCGAGTTCGGCTTCAGTGGTGTACTTCGGGTCGTTTTCGGCCTTCCGCAGTTTTTGGGCGCGCTTCTTCAACAGAATTGGTGCGTAGGTCTCGGGGACAGTGAATGTAATTAGGACCCAAGCGACAAAGGACAAGATCAACTGAATCCAGTAGAGCCATCTCCAGCCGCAGTTGTCACCGAGGAAACCGCCTGCAAGAGGGCCAATTGCAGGACCAATGAATGGGGCAGCACTGAACGCGGCCATGGGGACGCCTCGTTCCTCACTTTTCCAAAGATCGGCCAAGGTGCCGCCAACCAGTGTCATGGGTGCACTGAATGCAATGCCGTCGATCAGTCGACACACAATCAGAGTTCCAATGTTCTGCGCCACAGCACAGGGGATGACAAAAATAACAGCGAGTAGTAAGGTGACCGCATATACCGGGCGACGTCCGACCATTTCGGACATGGGAGCAAAGACCATCGGACCTAAGACTATCATTAACAGACTGTAGGGAGTATCAAATATCCAGCTGACTTACCAACACCGAACCCAATAACAAAAACAGTGACGACGACTAGGCTGACTTCGCGTGCGACGCCAAAGCTCTCCATAGGTCCTTCCAGGCCGGCTGTGATCACACTACTGGCAAACGCGACGACGAAGCAGGTAAAAGCGACGACCATGGTACAGTACCACTTGTAGAGCTTCGACCAGTTCTTTGGGTTTTCGGGGTCGTCAATGGTGAAGGTCACCAGTTTCCAATCCTCGATTTGGCCGGTCACATTAGACTTGACGGGCCGGACGATCTCGCCCGTTCTCGTCTCGGTTGTATACTCCCGCAGATCGGCGCCGTCATTGACTTCGCGAACTGGAAGGTCGAGATAATCGGTCTGGCCAGGGCCAGAGCCCAGAGAGGCTGTGCGACTTGTAGCATTGGTGTGTGTTTGGTCTGAAGTGGGGGTCTCCATATTGTTGTGTTGCTTTGAGGTGTTTGTATACCCAAAACAAGAGGGAGTGTGGTAGTGGCGTCAACCTTCGTTCCAGGAGTGTCACTCCCCTGGCGAGGGTGTGGCATGGTTTTTATATGTACTACATTGCGACAGATCTTGTTCCGAGTTTCGAGCGAGTGGGCCACCCGCAGAAGGAAATGCGGCATGTTGAACCAGTCACTCGCTCTGGTGTTTTGATATCGGCATGCCGGGACTCCACGATATCCTTGGTTTCCTTATTGGGACCGATGGCGCTAACCTAATGTGGTAATATGCTCCGATCTGCTCCCATCCATCATGGCGGGCCGTCTTGGACCATACAATTCATGAAAGCATCCTTTATTTGTATCTTATTTAGGAGGTTCTAAGTCCAAGCTTGAGACTTTTCAAGGTTTATATACTTCAAAACATCCGTGCTTTGTCTGTGCTGTCTTATAAAACAGGGTGGCGATTTATAGTCAACAAATAAGAAAGTATATCGTTGAAGACTCATGTAAATCCTCTGTCTTTCTTTTTGTCAAGAACATGTAGTTTTTTTTTTTCCCCAACAAATGCAACCGGGGATTATATGAATTTGTCTAGCCTAGAGGCAGTTCCGACTTCCAGCTTGGAGCCTCGCCATGCAGGTCAACTTATGGCCATCGCTGCCAAATCAAGAGAGGGGTGCATAAGAATCAGCAAGATAGGTGATGTCCATGGCCTCCCTTTCCTGGAGATTCGAATCAATAATAAAGACAGATCGAAAGAACAGGGCAAGCTACGTAAGACAAAGATATTGGCAATGCCGCATTCAAAAATGGACTTCGCAGTGAGTAAACCAATCCATTACCCGATACGCCAAGCGAAGAAAGAAAAATATCTTTAGAAAATTTTATTATTGATCCTGGAAATCCCTGGGTTGCGGTGTGTCGATCTTTTGATTTTTTCTTCTATACTTCGGAGAGTATTACTGCTTTTAGTTAACGTAGCATATTTCCTTTTACGGAAACCCCGATGGCAAATGCATTTCGCGAGAATGTAGAGCCCAGAGTGACAGAATATAGATCTACTTAGGCGTATCAAGATCTAGACTCTCTGTGTTCCAGCATGGACCAACATTCCAACCTATCCATTTCATTACATCAATAGCTAATATCCCCATGGTACAGATCTCCGCCGTGTCGTTTTCTATCCAGATACAGTTCATTGTACAGATGCCACCCTTGAGCTGATCACGCCCTAGCCTTGATCGTGGCCGGGATATTCTCCTGTCTCACAAACCATGAGTTAATGATTTTCCATTCGTGATCGGCGCTAGGTAGCTCCATCTATATTTCCCAAAAGTATTAGTCACAATGTCATAAAAACATCTCTTGATAGGAACACGACTCACGTCAAAGTTGGCGAAAATGGTGGCAATAAACTTATAGGCCTCCAGTTCGGAGAGATATCGACCCAGGCAGGCGCGGGAACCAGCTCCAAAAGTCAGGTCAGAGCCCTTCATCTTCGACAGTCGGACCTTGTATTCTTCGTCGGCCTCGCCCTCGGCCTGAAGCCAGCGCTCCGGGATAAATGAGTCGGGGTCGGCACCGAACACCGCGCTGTCGCGGTTGACAACCCACGGATTCATACCGACAATTGTTCCCTCGGCCACAAAGCGACCATCGGGGAGGTTGAATCCCCCCTTTGGAACAAGGCGTTCAACCAAGAGTCCAACACCCGGGTTAATGCGCATGGCCTCGCGCATGACCGCGTCCAGATACGAAATGCCCTGGATTTCCTTCCACTTGGCGGGCACGGACAGATTGGCTGAGCGGAGCTCGTGGCACAGCTTTTGATGGACTCGCGGGTTCTTCAGAACATGGTATGCAGCGGAGCACATCGTGCTGGCAGTTGTGTCGCTACCGGCAATCACGTTGGAAAGCAGGTACATAATAACAACGTTGTCGTTGACAACGTCCGGGTTCTTGTCCTTGGCTTCCAGGAACTTATCCATGAAGTCGGGGTTAGGCGAGGGGCGTCCTTGGGCCAGTCGTTTCTGGTACTGCTGGAGAGTGAATCCAATGCCCCATCCAAAGCTAGGAGGACCAACGCGACAGATCGGGTTTTTATCCAGAAGCATATCCAACTTGGGGATTTGGCAGACCTAGAAACAATATGTCAATAGAGCGCCAGCACGAGTATTTTCAATGCTCTTACTGAGGCAAAGTAGTCCAGGACTTTGCTGGACGTCTCCAACAGACCCTGATGATCGCTTCCTGCCTTCAAAACCCCCAAGTCCTCGGAGAAGGTGACCTGGCTCATGACATCCCATGCGAAAAAGTTGATGTATTCAGACAAGTCACACGGCTTCCCTGTGCTGATAAATCTTTCCTTGATTGTTTCCATAAACAGATTGATGGTTACATCAACACCGGGCTCCATATCCTGGACTTTGGTCATGGAGTACAGGCCCTTGACGGGGCGGATATATGTCGTGTGCCACTTTTCATCCTGGTGTGAGAACAAGTTCTTGAGCCGTACCCCGTCCACCACTGAATCGTTCACATGGTACATATCACTCTTGACCCAGGGGTTCTTGGTTGCGTACACTTGGCTGATCAATTTCGGGTCGGACAGACTGAGAACATTCGGCCCCATGCGAACGGCAGGTCCAAGCTTCCGGTGAAGCTTCAGGTGCGTGAGATCACATCGACCCTTGAAGACATCCTGGAACCGCCAGATATTGGTGAAGGCCGCTACCGAGGGCCCGGGGAACGATTTCAGCGGGGAGCGCAGGTAATTCCAGATGAAGCGAGAGAAAACCAGAATGACTCCGCTCAACACGAGGTTGAGCAGGAGATCTTTCACCGCGAACATAATGCTGTGGTATTGTTGGCCCTGGACTCGGACTGAGAAAAGGTCAAAGACACAGGTTGGAGAGTTGCATGGTGCTGTGAGGGGAATATAAGTGTCGAGCTGCTGGGGCCGATCCCTTGGCTCCACACTCGGGAATCCTCCCCAGAGAGATACCGTTTTACGCGAAGTCAGCTATCTCTTCTACGCACAATAGGCTGTTTTGCATGAATCAGGCAATGGTTCCCCTCAATCAGCCCCGACGATGGGGCCAGGAATCCTGAGCGGGTCCCGGTTTAAGCCAAAGAGACCGTCTCTGTCTTCATGGGCGAACAGGGATGCGATGGCACTAAGGGCTTCGGAACCAGAAGATCCCACATTGGCCATGTTGACCACGTTGGCCATGAATCAGACCTGAATCAGCAATCGCCTTACTGAGGACCCCCTGAACTACGTGAATATGGCCGCGTGCATTGGAAATCTCGAGGATAATGCAGAGCCGACAATTGATGCCAACTTCATTTCGTGATTGCAATACTCTTCTGCTTTGGTGTCACCCATTCATCTTGGCTTGCCAAACCCCTCCTGATTACTGTCTCCCGCGTGCTCGTTGGTTGTTGCGGCCGTCATAGTACGGTGGAGACCAGGCGCTGGCGGGTCCATATTGGTGTCAAATCACATCAATTCGCCCCCAATGCCGAGTTCTGACATTCAATGTCGTTTCCACTGTTGTGTGCTCCATTTAGAGGGTAAATTGTGCCTTTTTGTTGAAGAATGTGGAGTCTGGGGTTGGCTCAATGATTGAAGTGCCTACGTCTCTGGGTATTTACTGAAGACGCTTGGTTGTACTCGATGTACTAGATTTTAAATCACTAATTTGCCAGGGATTACAAGATGCATCATTGAAATTTTAGCGTGTTCTCTGCAGTAGCTTGCATGGTCTTTCCCGTCTATTGGGTTATGTTTCGCCCCGACAATCAAGCCATGTGGTCATTAGGTGCATTAGACGGGTCGCAATGGGGCTGGCTTTCCTCTATCAAGTGGAGCTGACCGTTTTTGTGTCCCGTGTGTGTAGTGAGAATTGTTGAGGGCAGTTGTACAACGCTCTGACTGAGTCTGTCTCAGCAACATAGTATCTATGTATAGACATTCCTTATTTACTGCTAACTCCGATTGCGTCGTATTCGAGAAGAATGTCTATTACTCCAGTGTGTCCCTTTTTGGCTGCCCAGGAAAACATTGAAGAGCATTGCTTCTCGGTATTAGGATCGGCTCCATATCCCAGCAACATCCTCACCAAGCCCTCATCCCCCTTTACCACAGCCAAGAACAATGGAGTTTGTTTGTCTCTGCATGGAGCATTCGGATCAGCTCCCAGTGCAAGCATTTTTTCAATGTATGCGTGACCCATCTTGAGTATCGCTCGGGCCAACATTGTCCGGTTCTTTCACCCTCGAACGTTAGGATTGGCACCATGGTCGATCAGCAGCTTTGCCATGCTGTAATCGGCATTCATCAGCGCTCGTGCCAGCGGTGCCTGGTAAATACGACTGGGATGGGAGCGCCAAGGCAGAAAAGGCGTGTTCGGGTTGGCTCGATGTTCTAGTAGACTCTTTGCAGCGGACTCATTTCCCAGCTGAACCGCTGCAAAAGTGGTGTCTGGCCACCTGGGGCGATATTGGGATCCGCACCTCGAGCAAGTAAAGCCCTGGTAACTTCCTCATGTCCTCGCACCACGGCCATCCAAAGAACTGTCCTTCCACGGTCAATATCTGGGAGGTTCGGATTGGCGCCTTCATCTAGAAGTATTCCGATAGTCTCATAGTATCGTTGGCTGAGAGCTGTCCACAGAGGTGTTTGTCCTTTAGTGAAATACGATCCACCATAACGATCAAGATCAGGATTTCGATCTAGCAGTAGATTGAAGATTGCTCTGCTGCTGCCACAAATCGATTGTGATAGCGGGTTATACTGTCGATGACCTCCAATGTTGATTTCCGCTCCACTCTCAAGGAGGAGCTTGAATATTCTCTCACATCCAAATGCCGCCCAGGGCAGTGGCGTCCAACCAAAGTCGTTCGTGCCATCGACATTAGCCCCATGGTTGAGTAAGAGCTTCATTATACCCAGGTGGCTTAGCGAAGTAGCCTTGGTGAGTGCAGTATCGGCATATCCACGCAATCCATAACCCAAATACGCAGGCCAAGTCCCAGTATGAAATGTCTCTACATCCACCAACCGGTCGATGGGAGCTCCGGATTCAACCAAAAGCTTAACCATTCCCAAGTGGCGATTGCTCACGGCCTCAAATAGAGGCGTGATTGAATCAATTCCCTTGACGTTGGCATTCTCTCTGAGAGCTTTCCGGGCAACATTTTCTTGTCCCGAAATCGCGGCAAATATCAAAGCACTGCTGTGGACATATCGGACATTGTGTCGATAAAGGTGGCTTTCCAGAAGATCCCGGAGATGGAGGTTGGTTTGGACCAGGTTGTTCAAGTCGGATTGCCCAAGATATTCTGCTATGCTCAATAGCAACTCACTTGGTAGGTGATGTAGCTTCATAATCACGGCGCTGAGAATCAATCATATCCGACACGTTTCTCTCCGCGTGAGTTCTGGCAATGAGTGGTCCAAAGAAATAATTGAGAGACTCATCATCTGTTATCTGGGGCATTGGGGGTCAAGTTGAATCATGGCAGATGTGGTTCTGCACAGGAACATGGCATGGATCATGGATGTGGGTGATCGTCGACAAGGCTGTGATTCGATCTCTTCACATTCCTTGCGCCCCTTAAGTCCACGTCAACCCATCCATGAACATACATCGATGCCACTACAAAGTTGTCACATTTGAAATTTGGCACATTGGCTGGAGTCGAAAAATCACGAGAGTGCATGTCCTTCGCATGTTGATGTTTTCTACCCTTCAAAATGGTTGTTGATGACATTTGTGGCCTAAGTATTCAGGTGTCATTGTAATCACCACGTGACCCAAGATAAGGATACCCGCAAAAGGCTTAGGGCGGGGCCACTCATTTTTTCTTCCAAAAGTCAAGTTGACTCGAGGTGGGAGAGTGCTATCAAGTCGACTCCAGAGGCACTTGAGCTACTGCTCTGACCCGACGGAGATTTGGTAATCTCCTGATTATTTCCTCCTGACTTGTCGGGAGAGCTCCTCACAAAATGACCTCAACCAATCCCACTTACCTGGCTATCCCGGGTTCGGTAGCATTCTCCCGCTCCCGTGGCCAAGCTATTGCAGCTAGCATTGGGGCCCAGGATGTCCGAGCTCAGTGGATTCACTATGTGCACGCCTCTCAACCTTTGGACCAACCGCAGCGAGCTGTGCTCGAACAGCTGCTTCGATACGGCGATATCACCGACGTCACTCCCTCTTTCACTTCTGATGACGGACAATTCGAGACCTTTTATATCTTCCCCCGCACCGGAACTATTTCGCCGTGGAGCTCCCAGGCAACGGGCATTTCGCATGTCTGTGGCCTGCGCCAACATGTGAAGCGCATTGAGCGGGGCATGAAGATCTCATGCCTTCGCAGCGATGCCCAGGAATACAAGTCCGGATACATGGATATCTTGCATGACCGGATGACGCAAATCATCAGCAAGGAAGAGCCTGATCTTCAACTTATGTTCTCTGAGCACGCTCCTCAGCCCCTCCGAACGATTTCCCTGCAGGGTGGCGCTAAGTCTCCCAAGGAGATCCTCCAAGAGGCGAACAAGGAATTGGGTTTGGCTTTGGATGAATCAGAAATTGATTATTTGGCAGAGGCATATGGTCCGAATGGCGCAATTTCCCGCGACCCGACCGACGTGGAGCTCTTCATGTTCGCTCAGGTAAACTCGGAGCACTGCCGACACAAGCAATTCAACGCCACATGGGTGATCGACGGCAAGCCAATGCCCAACAGTCTCTTTGCTATGATTCGCAACACACACAAGAAAAGTCCTGAGCACACCGTCAGTGCCTACAGTGACAACGCTGCCGTCCTGGAGGGTGGCAACGCTGCGTTCTGGGCTCCCGACCCGACCACCGGCGAGTGGTTGCACACAAAGGAAGTCGTGCACTTCTTGGCAAAGGTTGAAACTCATAACCACCCTACCGCAGTGTCACCCTACCCAGGTGCCGCTACGGGTTCCGGTGGAGAGATCCGTGACGAGGGAGCTGTCGGTCGCGGCTCGCGTCCTAAAGCCGGTCTCGCTGGCTACTGCGTGTCTGACCTCCTGATCCCAGAGCTGAGACAGCCTTGGGAACTTGATGTGGGTCGCCCGATCCACATTGCGAGCAGCTTGGATATCATGCTGGAAGCACCAATCGGTAGTGCTGCTTACAACAACGAATTTGGTCGCCCTTGCACCGCTGGATACTTCCGCACACTACTCACAGAAATCGATGTTGGTGATGGCCAAAAAGAGCTGAGAGGATACCACAAACCCATTATGATCGCCGGTGGTGTTGGAACCGTTCGGCCCCAGCACGCCCTGAAGAACCCAGACACGGTTAAGCCCGGCTCCTACCTTGTTGTTCTGGGTGGCCCAGCCATGCTTATTGGTCTGGGGGGAGGTGCTGCATCAAGTATCGCCTCTGGTGAAGGGTCTGCGGATCTCGACTTTGCCAGTGTTCAGAGAGGTAACGCTGAAGTCCAGCGGAGAGCCCAAGAGGTTATCAACGCGTGTGTGGCCATGGGAAATAACAACCCTATCAAGTTCATCCACGACGTTGGTGCCGGTGGTTTGTCCAACGCACTTCCCGAGTTGATTCATGACTCGGGCTTGGGAGCGAAGTTTGAACTTCGCGAAGTTGACAGTGCCGATAGGAGCATGAGCCCCATGCAAATCTGGTGCTGTGAAGCCCAAGAGCGTTACGTGTTGGCTGTCGGTGAAGAGGCCATGAACAAGTTCACAGCAATCGCACAGCGCGAGCGCTGTGGCTTCTCTGTCGTTGGTCGCGGCGGTGGCACTTCTGAGGAGGAAAAGAGACTCATCCTTCTTGACCGAGAGTCCAAGGAATACCCGGCCCCTATTGACCTTCCCCTGTCTGTACTGTTCGGAAAGCCCCCGCGAATGACCAGAACCGTCGATTCGCGCAAGCTGAAGCTGCCGGCTGTGGACTCCGGTCTCACCAAGTATCTGCCCTCGCTTACGTCAAAGGTGGAACTTGTGGGTGAAGCCGTCAACCGAGTTCTGTCTCTTCCTGCAGTGGGTTCCAAGTCTTTCTTGATTACGATTGGAGACCGGACCGTTGGCGGTCTTACCGCTCGTGACCAGATGGTCGGCAAGTGGCAGACGCCCGTGTCCGATGTTTCGGTCACTGCCACGTCGTTGCTGCAGGGCATGAAGACGGGTGAAGCTATGGCTATGGGTGAAAAGCCTACTTTGGCTCTGATCTCGCCGGCTGCTTCCGCACGCATGGCCGTTGCAGAGTCACTTATGAACATCGCTGCCTCTAATTTGGTGGACCGCCTTAGCCATGTGAAGCTGTCAGCAAACTGGATGTCTGCCAGCAGCCACCCCGGTGAGGGTGCTGCGATTTATGAGGCCGCCGAGGCTATTGGTCTCGACCTGTGCCCCAAGCTTGGTATCAGCATTCCGGTCGGAAAAGATTCCATGTCCATGAAGATGAAGTGGAAGGGTGAAGCTTCCAACGAGGCCAAGGAAGTTACTGCGCCAATGTCGCTTGTCATTTCTTCCTTCGCACCAGTGGACGACATCCGCAAGACCTGGACTCCAGCTCTTCGTCGTCTCGAAGATGTGGGCGAGACTGTTCTTATGTTTGTCGATCTCTCGTTCGGCCGCAAGACGCTTGGTGGCTCTGCTCTGGCTCAGGTCTTTAATGAGGTGGGCACCGAGTGCCCCGATGTTCGCGATGTCGACATCTTCAGAGACTTCTTCGATGCCACACAGCAGCTGCAGGAGGCCGGAATTGTCCTGGCCTACCACGACCGCTCCGACGGTGGTCTGCTCACTACCCTCGCCGAAATGATGTTTGCCGGTCGCTGCGGTGTCGAGATTATGCTCGACAACATCTGCTCGTCTTTCCACACCAACGACGTTGTCGAGTCACTTTTCAACGAGGAACTGGGTGCTGTCTTCCAGGTTCGCAAGGAGCATGAGATTCAGTTCCGCTCATGCTTCGCCACCTGTGGTCCTCCTCCGGGCCTGATTCACAAGATTGGACGTGTCTCGGAGAAGCAGAAGCAGAACCTCACCATCTACCACAAGGCCTCCCTGGTGTACCGCAACAGCCGGTCTAACCTCCAGCAGACCTGGTCCAGGACCTCTTACCACATGCAGAAGATCCGTGACAACGCCGAGTGTGCGGATCAAGAATACGCCAACATCCTTGACGACGCTAACCCGGGTCTGTCCTGGAATCCCACCTTTGACCCTAAGGACAGAGGCTTGCCTTTCATGACCAGTCTCTCCCAGTTCTCTCCCTTCACCAACAAGCCCCGCGTTGCCATCCTGCGTGAGCAAGGTGTTAACAGCCAAGCCGAGATGGCGTTTGCCTTCAACACCGCCGGTTTCTCCGCCGTGGATGTCCACATGACCGACATCATCTCCGGCCGGGTCTCGCTTGCCAGCTTTGCGGGTCTTGCTGCCTGCGGTGGATTCTCATACGGTGACGTCCTGGGCGCCGGCCAGGGCTGGGCCAAGTCCGTTCTGCTGCATGAGAACACGCGCAAGGAGTTCCAATCGTTCTTCGAGCGCCCCGACACCTTCGCCCTGGGTGTGTGCAACGGCTGCCAGTTCCTGTCCCGCGTCAAGGAGCTGATCCCTGGCGCACGCGACTGGCCCAGCTTCGAGCGCAACGCCAGCGAGCAGTATGAAGGCCGAGTCAGCATGGTCCGCATCTCCGACCCAGACCCCTCGCGCCCCAGTGTGTTCTTCCACGGCATGGACGGCTCGTCGTTCCCGATTGCCGTGGCGCACGGCGAGGGTCGTGCCTCATTCGCCGCCTCTTCGACTGTCACTGCACACGACTTTGTTCGCGAGGGTCTTGCCCCGGTCAGGTTCGTTGACAACGGTACCTTCAAGCCCACCATGAGGTACCCCTTCAACCCCAACGGCAGTCCCGAGGGTATTGCCGGTGTGCGCAGCCCCGATGGTCGTGTCCTGGCTATCATGCCTCACCCCGAGCGCACCGTCATGAACGGCATTGCAAGCTGGTTGCCTCCGTACGCTGAGTCTTGGGGTGAAATCGGGCCTTGGGGCCGAATCTTCTTCAGTGCTAGACGCTGGGTTGGCTAAAATAGGGTGGGTTTGTGGAGGAAATTTTTCTTCTTTTTTTTTCTTTCCTAACGCCTTGGTCTGTTCAAATTTCTTGTCTATATTTTTTGATTGATGTTTGTTTTGGAGTGGCCCTGGTTGCCGTTATGTTGAAGAGCATTTACGAACTTGAAAGATTGTGGCAGACTCCTACCTAGGGTATCTCGGGATAGATAGCTGCTCACTACGATATACCAAAATTGCGAAGTGAATTAAATAAAATTTACCACATATATGACTTGTTACGCTTGTTTTCTTAGCTCAAAGGAAAGTGTGAAGAAAAGAGAGAGAAAAAAAGGCTATTGCATTGAAATTCAATCGTACAGTCATTGGATATCCTCATTATCATTATGGCGTTAACCCCAACGCCATAGCTAAATGTCAGAGAAGAAAGAAAAGAAAAGCAATCAGATGTTCCCTGAGTTCTTCCCCCATTCCAGCTTGGACGCCAGAAACCCCCAGCTCGACCTCTTTTCCACGCGGTCTAAACTCTTCAACCCGTCAACCACAAAGCTGGTCAGGTGGTCAAACTGATGCTTGACCCCTCTCATCTGGTGGCCATAAGGCGAATCGCGAAGCGAGACGGTAAGTGTCTGCTCGCGGTCCGGGTCTTCCTCGTCGCTAGAGTCGATGTCAGAGTCGATCTCATCCTCGGGAGACTGCGCAGTTTGTAGATCTGCGAAATGGATGCAGAGATCCAAGAGATTGAGAATGGCCTCGTAAATTGGCGAGAGGTTCTCGGAGAGCAGGCACTGCTTTTCGAGGGAGACAATGAAGAACCGGTGGGTGGAGGTCATGGCATCTACATCTCTGGTCTTGGACAGGTTTGACTTAACGGATTGCGTTGCAGTTTCAATCACGCATTGGGTGAGATAGCCGTAGAGGGAATCCAGGAACGAAAGCAGGCTGTGGTGGAGAATATGGGTCAACGTGTCCCCGGTGCCATCCGGTATAGCCTTGCGAGCATCGCGTAGACGTTGCTTGACGAGCGCGTATTTGGCGCGTCGGATCTGCATCAAGAAGATAGCAATTCGCTGGTAGTAAGAAATGTCTCTGTCGGTAATGATGTTCGCAATGTGCCAAGGAAGGACAAATTCGATCAAGAGCGCCTCCAGGCTTTTCACGGTTCGGTCATTGTCCGGTGGTTGGTGAAATGAAGGCAAGCCGGTAGATCGCACGGTGATATTCGACGAGTTAATGAAGGACACTTCCTTGAAAACAGTCCTCGCGAGCTCGGTCAGCAGGAACCGGTCATCCCAGGAACGACCACGGTCCATCAGATCAAAGACCTTGGCATCGAATGAGTCCAGCACACTGAGATCTTTGCCAAGATAGATATGATGCAAGGCATCAATGCTGATATCCAGCTCACAGTGTTCGTCTAGCGCCGCTCGCAAAAGGCCGGCGCTGCTCGAATGGATGCTCTCCACCAGCCTCGCAAAAGCATTTTGCACCGTGACGGGGAATGGGTAACGGGGTGGACCCTCAGGATTATAGCGTTCCAGAGCCTGGTAAAAATGTCTGAAATTTATCAGGTAGTCTGGGAATGGCTTGAAATGGCCCAGAAAGACCATGTTCTTCCCTGTGGCAAAGACTTTGTGGATGCTGTTCTCCAGGAACCGGGGAACATTCTGTTCCCGAGGGCCTTCGTCGAACACATACCAGTCGTGCCACAGGGTTCGCAGGTTGCCATTTGTCTGGTTTACTCGAATGAAAAGAGGGGGGTTACGTGGATCCAGCTGTCCACCCTCCATCCAGGGACGGAATGATCGAGTGTATGTCATAAAGCATGACATGAAAAGTTCCGCGAGAGATCGACATGCCCTAGTTTCGCCCAAGGCTTCAACCATGCCGACCAAATCATAGAGTAAATCGAGGCAGAGCATAGGTTCGTTCTCCGTGTCCTGACCTAGTTTAGTGACCAGTTCGGCAAACAAAACCAGCGAGCGCGACTGTCGGCGGGCATCGAAAAGCAATTTAATCAAGCTAACAGTCGACCCGGCAGAGACGTAGTAGCTTTGGGTTTGAGAGAGGAAGGTGTCAAACTCCTGGAGCTTATTCTCGATATCTCTGCAAAGTGTCTCCATGTAAGGGAGGTCATGACGGCGTTTGGTGAACTGCCGAACAACATCAATTTTAGCAGCCATCTTGCAGAAGCAGCGCAACCACGAAGTCAGGGTTTCAATCGAGGAATATGTGATGGTGTAACGGCGGTCAATTTCCACTTCCTCATCCAACCGCCAGAAGATAGAAGTTGGGAGGCCTTGCAACATGAAGATCGCTTCTTTGGCGATCTGAAGTTCGGTCACAGTGCGCGATGCCTCCTCATTCTGAGGAACTTCGGGATGATTCTCATCATTCCAGAATTGAGACTTTTCTATGGCACAAATCAGGTTCTCCTCATCATCCGAGACAAAAGCTTCCTCTGGGATCACGTATTCTTCTCCCAGGTCGTTGGATGTTGGGGAGCGGGGCCGTGGGGGGGCCGTGATGCTAGAGGCGGGTGAGAGGTCATCATCCGCCGAGTCAGCGGCGAAGTTAACTTCTTCCCATATGTCCTGGTCACTGAACGCGGCCTCCTTAGCATCCAAGTGAGCCCATGAAAGAGACTCAGCCTCCTCAGGTGCAGTTGCCAGCGTCCCCAGCTGCTCGACTTTGGACAATAGTGCAGGACGATCTGAGAGTTGCAGGATCAAGCTCAGAATCTCCGGGATCCAGTCGTTGCGAGAGTCTTCCAGTTCATTGAGGCGAACCCGAAGAGCGCTTGCCAGATCATCACGATTGAGGACTTGGAACTTTTCCTGCAGACCCTCAAGCTGCTTAGAGACGGTGAACTGGTTGGTTCGTGCATGAGAGCCTGTCCGAAGAGCATCTTCAACACGACACTTGAGTTTCTTGAATTGCGAATATTCCTGCCAGATAATCAGCATGAAATGATCTTTTTACCAGAAGGAAAAGAAAAAAAAAGCAAAAGAGACAGAAAAAGAGTGAGGTCATAGCTACCTTTTCATCCGACGAGATCTTTGCAGTGGCCGTGATCAACTCGTCAGCCAGTGCATTAATGTTGGCAGCAAGAGCCATTTTGGAGAGATTCAAGTGGCACACTCATAAATTGGGAGAAGCACATTCTCTCAACTGACGTGAAGATACTCGAGAAGGTGACTAAGAAAGAATTGGTGTTGTTGATGGTCGGAGATACTTGGTCCGTGCGGGCGTGCGGGCGTATCGGCCACCGATCTCCTTCTCCGACTTTTGCATAGTCGCCCCTTTCACCATCCGTCATGGCTATCGCACGCCCAATTCGCATGCTGGGAGCAGCATGTATTCTGCTCTGTCTCTTCTTGGTTTTCCAATTACGCCAGGCCCCCTCTACGGTTGGCTCCAAATTGATCCATGGAATGAAAAGGGATCCTCTTTTAGATCGTCCGTCACCTTGCCACTGTCGCATCATGACAGCCCCCTAGGAAGCATGCTAACCTAGGTTTATAGCAACCGGTGAACCAGCAGGACCCTTATGGCGAGCCGATGACAAGGATTATGCCCCCGATAGCCCGAACTCAGCCCGCACCAACGCGGCGCTGATCTCCCTGGTCCGAAACGAGGAACTCGACGATCTGGTCTCCACTATGGGAGACCTCGAGCGCACTTGGAACCACAAATTCAACTATCCATACATCTTCTTTAACGATAAGCCCTTCACTGAGGAGTTCAAGAAGAAGACCCAGGCGGCGACCAAGGCCAAGTGCCAATATGGTAACGCCACCCTCACAAACCGTGAGCGCGATAAGGAATCTGGCTGACATGTGTATAGAGCTGGTGCCCAAGGAACACTGGGAGGTTCCTAGTTGGATCAACATGGACCTTTTCCGGGAGTCCGCACAGATGCTGGAAGAACAGGACATCCAGTATAGCTCAAAGATCTCCTACCACCAGATGTGTCGCTGGAACAGTGGCCTGTTCTACAAGCACCCGGCCCTTGAGAAGTATCGCTACTACTGGCGCATTGAGCCCAACGTCAAGTTCTTCTGCGATGTCGACTACGATGTTTTCCGATACATGCAGGACAACAACAAGACGTACGGGTTCACCATCAACCTTTATGACGCACCTCAGAGTATCCCATCCCTATGGCCGAGGACGCGCGAGTTCCTTGCGGCGAACCCAGACTACCTGAGCGAGAACAACATGTGGCAGTGGCTGACCGATGATGTGGCCCGACCCGAACACAACAAGATCGCCAACGGGTACTCGACCTGCCACTTCTGGTCCAACTTTGAGATTGGTGACCTGGATTTCTTCCGGGGCGAGAAGTACGATGCATACTTCCAGTATTTGGATCGTGCTGGTGGTTTCTTCTACGAGCGCTGGGGTGATGCGCCAGTCCATTCCATTGGTGTGGGACTGTTTGCAGACGCTGCCAACGTGCACTGGTGCGTAACCATGTCTTTTCTTTGCCAGTTTCTCTCGCTGATTATTGATGATTATTGTCTTAATAGGTTCCGCGATATCGGATATAACCATATCCCCTTCCTCAATTGCCCTAACTCGCCCAAGTGCTCCGGCTGCCAGGCAGGCCAGATGTACGCAGGCGAGTCCTTCCTTGGCAAAGAGGACTGTCGCCCCACATATTTCAAGTATGTCGGAACGCACTGAGTGCCAGAACCACTCCCCGATTTCCTTGCATTGTCTTTCCCTCGCATACCCCACACATATATCCCTGAAATCCGTGGTTTGGCACCTGGCGTTTGAGCGGACACTTTTGTTTTTTTTGTTTCCTGATGTTTGAGTGCTGTTTCCTTTCTGCTGCTGCTTCCAGTATTCACAAAATACGTTCTTGGCCGTTGGTTGCTACCTTGTAGGGAGCTTAGCGGGCCTCGCTTCCAAGGTTTCATTGTACTTATATGGTTTGCATATGACCAATTCTGTGGATTGTCTTTTATCTTCTCTTTTTTTCCCCCCTTTTGTCCTTTTTTGCCCTCTTGATGGTGTAGTGCATGGCGGGATGGTCAACTAGACATTAGTTGTGGTTTAGAGCAAAGCAACAGTCAGACATCAGACATACTTCTAAGACTTCGCACATTTAAAGAGAAACTTCCATCGTAAATGCTCAATATATTGCAAGGGGAATTGTGAGGAGATTTTAAGTAATGCTAGTTGGGATACAGCAGAGCGCGAGAGCTGAACAAGATGGAATCCAGATAGATTAAGCACCAATCAAGGCACACAAGACCTTGTTCCAGACAACAGCGGCAGCACTAACAACACAAAGAGATCTCTAAAGTATGTATACAGCTTTCTCTGCGACCCGACCTGCTCCTCAACCAGTCATACAATGGGGGATCGGCAGTGGCGGCGTGGGGTGGTTCTGCTTGTTGCAAGAGAAAATCGGCGTGCGAGAAAAAATGGGGAAAGAAATGAGATGGATTTACTCCTCGTTGGGGTACAGCTCTTCCCGGAGAGCGACACCCAGCTCCTGGCGCAGACCATCGAGCTGCTCAACATATTGCTTGTACTGGTCCTGGTTCTCGACCTTGGCTTTGATGCCTATGGGACAGAAAGACGTCAGTTCGTTTCAATGGCACAACATCTTCTGGCAGAGGCCAGCAAAGTATTTATGCTGTACATACCCTCGAACACCCGGACAGCGGTGGGGAAGTCGTTGACACGACGGGCAGCCTTCAGGGCCGCGGTGAGGACCTCGACCGAGGGGACGAGATCGTAGGCGAAGCAGTTGTTCAGGTTGCGCTATTTACAAATAGAAGTATTAGCTAGGTGTCAATTGGTTGGGTATTGAATTGAGGGGTGAAGTGGATGGTTGAATGTCGGAAACGTGACAGATGATATGGATCGCATGTGTCGATCGTGTCAGGTCTTACCTGGAGCTCAAAGACGTCCTGCACACCCTCGAATTCCTTCTCGAATCTACAATGAAGAAACACAGTCAGCGCAAGACACTCCCAAAAGACCCCAACATGCGTCGACTGTTCCGGTGAGCAGCTGAAACACCGCCCCCTCCTCCGGATTCCGCCGTACGCAATGGGTCACCATTGACCGCATACCTCGCAGAGAACTCCTCATATGTCTCGTCCTCGTGGCCCGAGAGGAGCTTGGAGGTGGTACCAAAGTTGTGGGCGCGAGCAGCAGCCAGAGTCACCGGGGTCTGCACCCGGGATCGGGCCAATTGGGGAGCTCGGAAGAAGCTGGTCGGGCGCACGGCGCGCGTCGCAACACGGAAGATGGACAGGGACGACATGGCGAAAGGAGGGGGGCCGCGTTGTTGGACCTGAGCGGGTCAATGAGGGTGAGGGGAGAGGTGGATGGGGACGGGAAGGGGAGGTGACAAGGAAGTTGTCCGTTGGATTTTGCCGGTGGTGTGGTTCTTGCTGCCTGAGGCCACCAATCCGGGTGGTGAGTCAGCACCCGACAGCGCCCGCTGATTTTTGCTGCCACCATGATTGGCTTAGGGGATATAGATGGGAGAGAGATGATATTGAAGCAAGTATCATGGTGATGGTCAATTTATAGAAGAGATTTAGTAATACTAGATACTAACAATGGCAGAGGTGCATTAATGTATTAAAATAATTAGAACTACCTCTTCGTCGCTACATAATCTTTCAATGTCCCTTTTAGTATATATCTAATACTATGGTTCAATATTGACCTGAACACATTTGAAACATTTATCCAATGGCTAGGGACCCAATCCCAGATGCCTATCCATAGATGATTTTACATATACCCTCGAATTAGGTAGTATCCTATAGGACTTAACCCCACTTATGCTCTATTGTCAATGCACGTCGCAACCGGGTGGTACAATGCCGGCACTTTTGAGGAACCTCTCTCTGGCGTTCATGGCACACTTGCATACACCATGGCAGTTGTAACCCTATTCTACTAGGCCGGTGGATTTTGAATTTGTGTTGATGGTTCCGAATAGCCGGGATAAAGTGAAGCATTTATAGCCAGGTTGCCAACAATGACAATTGTAGTTGTGTCCACGGGAGCCCCCGTACTATCCACACTATTCTTATGGATACTCGGCCAGACATGTGAAAGCGGGTGCCGGCACATTGGGGATCTTTGGACGAACTCATGATATCCAAATAGATAAAATATAGGAAAAAAAAAGACTTAAATAAATAGAAATGAATAAACCAATTGAGATTTTCTCTTCTATCTATTTTATCTTATATAAACTGATCGAAGAAACAAAACTATTCCAAAATCCCCGGAAGCCACGGCTCCCCCTTTCCCTGCGACGCTATTCCCCTTTGGGCACTCGACACTCCGAACGCAAAACCTCCTGTTCATCTCTCTCTCTCTCTCTCTCTCTTCTTTTCGGTTTCCCCTGTGTTTCGACCCCTTCCATTCCTTCTCTTTCTTGTCTTCTTTTTCCTTTTCCTTTTCCTTTCTTTTAGCTAACGCGTCTTGTCGCGACTTACCGATACCTTCCTTACCCCGGAAAAAAATCACTTGTTGATCGGAGTTTTGGACTTGTTGTCGCACATCGAAACCGTTGGTCAACATTCGCCATGGCGTCCGAATTTCTCCAAAACGTGCCCCTTCCGACCCTCGATCGGCCCTTTGGCGTTCACCTGTGGCCCATCTTCGACAAGACGTATGAGCTGGTGATGGGCTATCCCGCCAGCCAATTCGAGTTCGTCGGGGGGGTGACCCCTCTTTCCACCTTCAAGGAGACCGCCACGCTTCTTGTCGCCTACTATACCATTGTTTTCGGTGGCCGGGAGGTTATGAAGAACTTCCCTGCGCTCAAGCTAAACACGTTGTTCATGATCCACAACTTTCTCCTGACTGTCTTCAGTGGCATTCTGTTGGCCCTGTTCGTCGAGCAGCTTCTGCCAACCCTCTGGAGACATGGCGTCTTCTACTCCATCTGTGACCACCGTGGTGGATGGACCCAGCCCCTCATTGTTCTGTACTACGTAAGTTGCAAACGTGTTTAGTCTCGGGAGGGAATGGGATAGCTTACCATTCTGCACAGCTCAACTACGTCAACAAGTACATCGAGTTCCTCGACACCGTCTTCCTGTTCCTCAAGAAGAAACCATTGACATTCCTCCACACCTACCACCATGGCGCCACCGCTCTCCTTTGCTACACCCAACTGATTGGCCTGACCGCGGTGTCGTGGGTGCCTATCACTATCAACCTGCTGGTTCATGTTGTGATGTACTGGTACTACTTCCAGAGTGCCCGTGGCATCCGTATCTGGTGGAAGAAGTACATTACTATGCTGCAGATTGTGCAATTCGTCATTGACCTTGGTAAGTTTAAACTTGGGTTTGGAGCCATAAACAGCCGGCTGATAAACCACAGGCTTCATCTACTTCGCTTCGTACACCTACTTCTCTTCGGTCTACTTCCCGTGGGCCCCGAACATGGGCAAGTGCGCGGGTGAGGAGTTTGCCGCTCTGGCTGGTATTGGAATCATCACCTCGTATCTGCTCCTGTTCATCTCGTTCTACATTGCCACCTACAAGAAGACCGCCAAGGTTGGACGCCCCCGCCGCAACACTGGCAAGGACTCCTTGATCGACATGAAGAACTACGAGGTTCCTTCTGTCGCTGGTGCTCAAACCCCCGGTGGTGCCAAGGCTTCCAACGGCAACGCCGCCTCTACGGGTCGGTCGAACGGCCCCGTCACTCGCTCCCGCAAGGCGTAAATAGGCCTGGCGGATGCTTGACGTGCCCGTTGAAAACCATACCTAAATTTGGAGATCGGCATTGTCCAAGAGGTTTGTCAGTGTGACAAACCATCCCCGGAGTCCGTGAAGGTCCCTAAGGACGTAGTGCGGCACGGTGTAGAGCAGAATGGGACAGGGGCTGCTCTGGGGTTGATTCCCTCCTATAATCGTTTAATGAATGACCACTTCATGAGGCCAGGTTGTTCTGTCTGGTGGTCCATGCGGTATGTGCCTGGGATTCCGTGAGAACGCGCCTCACATGTCGGGGATCGGGCCACAAAATCCTGGAGAGCATCCGGGTTTCTTTCCCCAGGGACCGCTGGCTGTGCTGACAGCCTGGTCCTGGTTGTATTCTATAATGTCACTTTCTTCTTCTGTTCATGTTTGTCGTTATCACTTGCTCCCCCCTTGGTCTGCTGGTTGCAGGCTTCTCGATTGTACCCCTCTGCCGTTATTGTTAGTTAAGGACGTATCGATAGATATCAAGTCATCATATCAAGATAAATGTAATCATGTTTTGCAACTGGTGGAAATTAGTGGCTGCCAGTCTGGACCAAGACGTAGTCGAGTTCAAGTCGACTGACAAAGAAAAAAAGAAAACCATTTGCCATCCAAGATTCCGAGGTTCCACAAATGTCAGTCCAGTCTGGTCAGAGCCCCAAACACAAAATAAACAAACCCTCGAGATGTGTTGAGGGGGAAACCTGAATTTTGTACCTGACGTATCCATGTGCCGCATCACAAGGCATTGGGCCGGAATCCAATGCAGGAACCGTGGCGAGTGCGTAGATCTGTGCATACGAACTTGGTTTTGTGCAACGAGGACACAAACAAGGTGACAGGTCGAATATGCCATGAGAAAGTCGTCATTCATGGAGCTAGGAGGTATTCCAACGTCATCCGGGGTTGTTCCCGGGCCATCATCATAACCCATTAGCATTGATATCTTCGGACTCGATCTGATGCAACTGCAGCCGGAGTCGGAGCCGGAGAAAAAAAAAGAAAAGCCCTCACAGCAGGTATCGAGGAATGGTAAAGAGGGCTGGGAATATGTCTTCCAGCCATCGCAAACAGCGGTGACCACGTCGATCTATTTCATCGCCGACCAGCCATCGACGTAACGTGGCTGGATAATGAATCAATAGACCGAGGCATGACACCGCCGAGAGTTCACCATTGCCTCTGGGTCTGTGGTCCATCATGCTGGAAGAGGTTGTGGACAACGCACACCTTGCTTGTTCGCCATGCGCTGGTGCAGGGCTTTCGAGTTCTGTGCTTCCCTGGGGCACACACGAGACGCAGAGAAGCAATAATCGACTCATTACCATGCCGATGTCAATAGTGGCGCCGGGTGATCGCCCATACTTGGGCAAGTCCACAATGTCAGGGACTTGGAGATGGAGACTTGACGATGGGCGGCTATAGATCCACCGGGCGGTTAATGGAAGAGAGCCCTTGCCTAGGTGGCTGCAGAACAATTGATAGAGCAGTTGATAGATGACATGCTAAAAATAATGTTGATAATGTTAATGTTCATTTGAGAAGAGAACAATTGAAGCTCAGGCCGTTTGTGGAGCAGAAATCGCCGAGTGACAGAAAGTCGAGGTGGATGCAAGGAGGCCGCTTTTTCTCTTTGCCCCCAACACATCATCACAATCCCATGGTTATTCCATCGTTATGCCATGAATTATGCCATGGAGAATACATTGCACTGTAAGAATTGCCACCCCTAATCTCCTCATCTCCTCATCTCATCTCCTTAGCCCCTAATTGCCCTGGTAAGATCTGACTACGCCCCAGTCAAGGCAAAGGCATTGGCCCCTTTGGCCCCTGTTGAGCCAGCCTTCCCCCATGGAAGATGCCAACGCTGGTGGTTGATGCCTTCATTGATGCCTCTTCCCACCCCTGGCATCTCCCAGCATGTTCCAGGAGTAAGGACCGCGTCCAGTGCATCGGAATCACGAATTCTCTCCACGCCGATCCGGCACAGAACATCCCAGTTCATAGCGTGTTTGAGTTAGAGCCGCCCCACCTTTCTGGAGCAGCGGCCACCTTGGCGTTTCCCTAGGGCGACGGAGGGAAGGGTTCCACAGCGGGCGCTTCGCTGGCCCGATATAGATCTGAGAATTTGAACCACAGGCGGTGCCTTTTTCTCTCCTGGTTCCTGATCCACAAGGAGACCTGATACGCGGGAATGCCCCAGGAGAACACCGTCTCCCCCATCTGAAAGGATTCGGTTTCCCCTTGGACCGTGCATACAATCTAGCTGCCACCGCCGGTTGTTACTAGCATGCGACGTGGCCAATGGTGCGACTGACGAGCGTTAGGGTGAATCGACAAGCCAACGATAGCTCACAGTCGACACATCAGAATTTTCTTTTTTCTTTTTCTTTTTTTTTTCTCCGCCAGCCTCTGGCGCAACGCGTCTCGCATGATGAAACTGTCCATGCTCGACCCTGCTCTGTTCCCTACGCAAGGGTTGTCCAGGGCGTTCCCAATCACAATGCGCCCTCTCCCAGGGACGCCTTGGCCGGGCGCGTGAGGCCAATCCTATGGCGCGCTACACTTCCTGCAGGAGAACAAGAAGTTGCAGCTTACTAGTTCTCTCTCTCTCTCTCTCTCTCCTTGGTGGATTGGGGGCTAGGGGAATTCCCTCCTACACGTGTAGACCCATTGGGATTACCCCTCCTTTTTGGCGCCTGGTCCCCCCGATGGATCTTGTCTGCTAAAAAAGGCCCGGTGGATCCCTTTTGACGGGTGGGACTCTCTTTTTTCTTTTTTCTTTTCCTTTCTTGATGTTCTTGGATGGCATCGAGGGCTTGCTCTCCTGTTCATGATCTCCCTTGTCGGTTCCACTCCCCTTAAAAGGTTCTTCCCTTGTCCTGTGCAGGCGAGAATTTGGGCTCTCCTTCGCAGTCTCACTGGCATATTTGACGTCGCTGGGGTTGACACGCCTTGGGTTGTCGTTCCTGTTCTTTTCTTTTCTTCTCCCTTTCTCTTCTTGCATTCCTGGGGCTGGGTTCTCTCTTTCTTCTCTTCGATTCGTCTTGCTATTACCTGTCCGGAACAGTTCGACGTTGACCTTTTGACTGCTTCTCTCTGTTGGTTCATGCTAGTTGAGCCACGATGTATGAAACCACCACCTCGCTGGACCTGCACCGTCTGAGCCGGCAGAGTCTTCAGAAACGGTACGAGTCCGATGAGGAAGATGTATCGGAATCCGATGCCGGCGGGCAAGACTTTGTGCCCTCGCCTGTGGGCTCTCATCGCGCCGGGACCTTTGATTCCGACCTCAGTGCCGATGATTCTTCACATTTGGATCCGGAATCGGACCATGAGGAGCAATTGCTGGCGCCCTTCGCAACCTCCAAACGCCCCCGGCCGGTCTCAGTGGACACAGTCAAGCAGACCAGCGATGCTTCCTTCGTAGAAGATGCCTATGTCTTTCACCCAGAGGAGCCGGTCGTGCTCGAGCTGCCCTCGCCAGACTCTCCTCCAATGGCCCCCAACTTATTTCTGCAGCCCGCCATCTATGTCTCGCCCAACACGCCGCCGGCGACTCATACCCAGTCCAGATCTCCTTCCCCCTCGTCAATCTTTTCTGTTGAAGAGGCAGATATCCAGGTTGCCAAGCAGGTCACGCTCATGGAGCCGCAGACCCGGCCCACCTTGGTCTTCATCAACTCGCTCGGGTCACGATCCAAGGGCTCTAAGTCGCGGCCCAGCGCGCCCCGATCCCGGGAAAGTAGCTACAGCCGTGATCAGCGTGCGCGTGGCAGGCGAGATGGCGAAGACGCAGCCCACCACGAGCCCGGGCCTCAGTTCAAATCACGTCGGATTTCTCAGGATGATACAGGATCAGAGCCTCAACCCGCCAGCACCACTGCATCGCCGAAGACGCAGGACGACAACACACAAACAGTGCCGAGTGCTACCATCAGCCGTGTGTCCGAAGTCCCATTGATGCCTTGTTTCCCGCAACCTCCGAGCACCGGAGCCCCGCCAGGGAACCGATCTCGTCTGCGGCCATCAGGCACCGATAAACCACTTCCGCCCCCGGCCGCAGGATGGGCACGACGAGCCGAGGCAGGGCGACGACCACCGACGACACGCAGCAACAGCAGCACCAGCGTGCCGCCATACTCGCCGCGGCCCGTCTCGCCCTTCCTCGGCGACGAGACCCGGCTCGGCTACATGCCCGACCAGCACAGCGACGCCAGCTCGCTGCTCTCTCGAACCCGCAGCCCCGTCCCTTCAGCTACATCTCCTCCGCCCTCCCTCGCCTTTTCTAAACGCGGCCCCGCAACCGCAAGTGGCAATGGAAGCAGCAGTGGTGCCCCATCCATCTCATCCTCATCCACGTCGTCAGGATACAGCGTCTCGAACATGCTAGCCCACCGTTCCCCGCTGATGATGCGCCGCATGACAAGAAAACACTCGGCCGCATCGAGTATCCACTCGATGAGCAGTCTACGCTCCGAGTGCGATGCCAACGGATCTGTTGCATCGGCGCCTGTCTCTGCAGTCCACCATCAGCCCGCCGTGCAGCCGCTGATGCTTGATCCCCATCATGCGACATTGAATAATTCTTCTAGTTCTAGCCAGCGCCGCCATGCGCGCCATAATAGTACTACGCCTACCGGGAGGGGCTTCATGGGTTTGAGGCTCGGCAAGAAGTCGCCTGCGAGGATTTAGGTCTCTTCTCCCCATCCCCTTCCCTCTTCCACCTACTTCCCCCTTTTCTGGGAGTATGAATTTTGATAATTTTATGCTATGGTCTCATGTATTAATCTGTTAATGTTTTTATGGGCGGAACTTTTCCTTTTGTTTGGCTTTAGGAGTCGGGTTCTCTGAGCTATGCTTAGCTACCGATTTGGTAGCTCGATGCTGGGTCTTGTTTTGTTTGGGCTGCGCTGTTTCTTTTCTTTTCTTTTCTGTTCTGTCTTCGGCGTCGATGTCTGTTCTTTTCTCTTTTCCTTCTTGCGTCTGATTTCTGGCTCTCGGTTATGAGAGTAATGTATTATGCTATTTTGACGGGGCCGATTGAAAATGGCGGGCTTCATTCCTAATGGCTCTATGGACTGGATGGGATGGGGTTTGCGTTGTGGTCTTTGATTCTTTGGGTGGTTTCTTTTGTCTTTTGTTTCATTTTCCTTTGTTCTTTGCTATGTGATTGGGAATTAGAACAGACAGGGGGTAGTCCTCGCCCCTGGTCTTGATGTGATCTAATGGCCGAGATGGCAACGAAGATGATGTGTTCATTCCATTTATTATCTAGAGTTGGGATAAACCTGCCTTGGTCCAGAGGAGTTGGATTGTCCGGATAGGGTTCCCTCTGAAGAGGCTACATCTGCTGTATAAATGTTTAGCACTTGTCTACGACGGGCATCCCCGATCCAGACAGAAGGCTACTACAACATTGGAAATCGGTGGTATATTGCTTCCTTGAACGAGAGACACAAGTCAAAGCAACAACACAGAAGCATATCGGCAAGCGGATATATTGGACCAGAAGTGATAAAAACAAGAACAATCACCATAATAGCAGACGAGGACAAGAAGGGACCCCTGCTAGCCTTATTTGTGTGCCTCCAGGGCAGCTTTGATGGCTGTTGAAGAAAAGAAGTCAGTATATATCAAATTCTGATCAATCATTGTGCTTGAACGTACCATCGCAGGAGGTCTTGGCGTCTCCGAATAGCATCTTCGTACCCGGCATGAAGAACATCGGGTTCTGGACATCGGCTGTACCCACAGAATTAGCTTAGTGTGGTCAGTGAATCACAACTGGAGAAAAGCTCACCGTATCCGCTCGACATGCCCCGTTTCATGACAATCACCTCCTTGCTCTTCCATGCATGGAGGACAGGCATGCCGGAGATAGAGGAGTCCGGCTCCATGGCGATGGGGTTGACAGTGTCGTTGGCGCCGATGACAAGCGTGACATCGGTGTCGGCAAAGTCGTCGTTGATCTCGTCCATCTCGAGGACAACTACAGGGGATTAACATTTGCAGGTAGGTAAAGGCAAATGGCAAAACTTACTATCGTACGGCACAGACGCCTCGGCGAGTAGCACATTGCACTGACCAGGCATGCGGCCGGCGACGGGGTGGATAGCAAAGCGGACGTTCACACCTCGAGCACGCAGGAGACCGACGATCTCAGCGAGGGCGTATTGAGCCTTGGCGACGGCCATGCCGTAGCCGACGATAATGATCACGTTCTCGGCACTGGACAGTGCCTCAACGGTATCCTCGACGCTGGCCGCTTTGACCTCACCTTCGATCTTCTTTTGGGTCTGCGTTGGTGCCGAAAGACCCCCAAAGAGGACATTCGTGAGCGATCGGTTCATGGCTACACACATGATGTAGGACAGGATGGAACCGCTGACACCGATGAGAGACCCGACACTGGTCAGAAGCGGATTGTCGAGCATCAAGCCTTCGGCGACAAGAGCAAAGCCGGAGTATGCATTCAACACGGTAATCACCACGGGCATGTCGGCACCGCCGATGGCCGCAGTAGTGGTATACCCCTTCAGGAAACTTAGGAGGGTATTTGCTCCTAAGCAGGTTGCTGCAATCGCGGGATTTGCCGGCGCCATCGTCAAAAATGCCCCCATCGTTGCGGCGTTACTGGTAAGTAATGTTGAATTCACCAGGTGTCGTGCAGGTAGAATGTTTGGACTAGAAGACATGCGTCCTGCAAGTTTGAGGAAAGCCACGATCGAACCAGTAAAGGTCACACCGCCGATGAGAACGCCCATATAAGCTGTTACCATGTGCAAAGTCGAAATGTCCGCAACTTCAACCATAACGCTTCCGATGCTGGTCAGAACAGCTGCCAGGCCAACCACTGAATGGAGGGCAGCAACCGTCTGAGGAAGTCCAGTTGGTGTGATGCGACGACCGATCAGACCTCCAACCACAGCACCAGTACCAGCAACAGCAATGAACTGCGTCAGGGTTTCGGTCGAGAAGCCCACCGCGGCCAAGGAAGCGAGAATTCCAGATGCCACACCAAGAATGCCGAAGATGTTTCCGCGTCGGGCAGTTTGCTGCGAGGCTAAACCTGAGATTGAACTCATGCACAAGATTGTGCTGACTAGATAGCCAGCCTGAACTAGACCACCCATTCCGGTGCTAGCAGCTGCCACAAAGCCCCCACCGAACAAGACCGCTGGGACAGCATACAACCATGGGTATTCCGGGGGATCAGTCGGCCGCTTGAACATGTCCAACATGCGCTTTGTGACCACGAATCCTCCGGAAACATTCACGAACGCCAAAAGCACGGACGCAGCACCCAGGTACTCGGGGAGCGTGGTCGGCACATAGCCACCACCCATGATGAACAGTCCACCGATACCAACCATACCCGAAATTGCATTGGTGACGCTCATGAGAGGCGAATGGAGAGCAGGAGCCACACCCCATACTGCACGATAGCCAACTAAGCCTGCAAGCCCAAAGGTCATCATGTTGCTCATGAAGATTGGACCAGTAGCCTTGCCCAGGGCAAGCGTAGTGCCCATTGCTCCCGTGACTGCTGTGACATCGCGAGTGGCTTTTTGCCAGGGCGTCAGCGCGACTTCTTCCTCCTTCTTTGCCCCAACTATTTGAGCCTCTGCTTTGGGCGCAGGAGGGGGAGCGGGAGGAGCAGCCGGGGGCACGATTTCGCCATCGAGAGTAACAATGGATCCTCGAACAACCTCGTCCTTAAAGTCAATGCCAAAGGACTTGTCCTTGGGGGCCATAGACAGAAGATATTTCGTGATGTTGTTCGAATACAGCGTGGATGCTTGGGTTGGCAAACGTGAAGGGAGATCTGTGTAGCCGATGATGGTGACATCTTTGTAGCTGGACAATTCTCCAGGAAGAGTTGCTTCGCAATTTCCCCCTGCCTCAGCGGCAAGATCGACAATGACTGAGCCGGGTTTCATGGCAGCGATCATTTCCTTAGTAATGAGCTTCGGTGCGGGTTTTCCGGGAATCAGCGCCGTGGTGATAATGATATCAACGTCACGAGCTTGCTCCATGAACAGTTTCATCTCAGCTTCGATAAACTCTTTGGACATCTCTTTCGCATATCCACCCTGGCCGGCTCCATCTTCCTGCAACTCCACCTCGATGAACTCGGCACCAAGGGACTGGACTTGCTCACGAACCGCAGGACGGGTGTCGAAGCCTCGGACAATGGCACCCATCCGGCGGGCCGAAGCGATTGCACTCAAACCAGCAACACCGGCTCCGATCACAAGAACTTTGCTCGGCGGGATCTTTCCGGCGGCCGTCACTTGACCCGTTAAGAAGCGACCAAAGTGGTTTGAAGCTTCCAGGACTGCCTTGTAGCCAGCGATGTTAGCCATAGAGCTGAGCGCATCAAATGTCTGCGCGCGAGAGATGCGCGGAATGCGGTCTATGGCAAATGAGGTCACCCCGCGGGTGGCCAGCGCTTCAACAAGGGGCTTGTTCTGAGCGGGATACAGGAAAGAGATGATCGTCGAGCCTTTACGTAGAGCCTGCACTTCGTTGAATGGCCCCTCTGTCTGCGGATTGCGGACCTTCAGTACAATATCGCTCTGAGAGTAGATCGTGTCTCGGTCGACCAGCGTCGCGCCGGCTTTTGAGTAGACATGGTCGAACAGCTGCGCTCCCTCGCCGGCACCACGTTCTATTAAGACGCGTGAAAATCCCTTCTTCAGGAGCAGAGCCACGTTCGGTGGAGTGATGGCAACACGGCGTTCATTGGGGTAAGTCTCGAGGGGAACTCCAACAGTCAGCTCGGCGTAGGGAGTGGCAGGCACGGGCTCCGGAGCGGACGTGGTTGTGGCCGTTCGCTTCGAGATGAAGGGCCATCGTGGCAGCGAGACAGGTAGCTGTTTCTTATGCGAAGACGCGAGAGAGACAAATTGGCGGACCTGCAAGACTAATCCAAGACCCACAGTGAGAATGCAGCTTATGCACACAAATTAGAGAAACTTACCCGAGGGCGCTGGAAGGAATTTCCCCGCGCGAGCATTGGAGACAAGGCACGGCCCCAGTGCCGACCGCAGGGATACCGGGGCACTCATGACTGGAATCAGGAGGGAAACAACTGATCATGTAGGAGTTTGCCGCATGTATGAGAGGTCTATTGGGCGCAAAATGGAGGAAATGAGCCGGGGTACCACATCCAGCTAGGACGGCCAAATGTCGCGTGTGGACGAGACCACGAAGCCAGTGAGTCAGAAAAAGAGAGAGAAACGCGTAAGGAGAAGACAGGAAACAGAAAAAGAGAAAGAGAAAGAGAAAGACGTGAGAGGAAAACAGAAAAGACAAGAGAAGAGAAGGAAGAGCGGAGAGAAGAGGAGAGGGGCGGTTACGCTCGAGCCGACATGGTGCGATGCGACGCTCTGCACTGGGGATCCCTCGAGTATGATGGTCTGGAATAATGATTCTTATGGCTATTTTCTTCTTGTTCTTATCATTTCTACTAATACCAACCCTATTACTTTTTATTCTACTAGCAATATAACCCCAGAGGAAGCTGGCAGCTTTCCCCAGACTCGCGAGATGTGGAGAAGCGGAGTCAACATTCCCCACTAAGTAGGTGCCTCTATTCTTCGCAATTACTGTTATTGACTGGTTTAAAGGATTATCAGAGCCTCTCCAATATATTCAGTCATTCTTTTGCTCAATTTGCATACTAACGAGATCATTCAGCACGAAATATATCTAGATCGGGCACCTTTATTTGGATCTATAGTCTATTGTACTCTAAAACCCCCCTCAAGGCAAAGTATATCCTCCGTCAATGATCACATCACTTCCAGTCATGTAGGTAGAAGCATCACTGGCGAGGTAGAGATACAACCCCTTGATCTCCTTGACATGACCCTGTCTTCCCAGCGACGACATGCGGTATGCCTCGTTGATGCACAGGGGACTGGCTCCCATCTTCGTGTCAAAGAAGCCGGGCGAGACAATGTTCACTCGTGCAAATTCACGCCACTCGCGAGCCAGCGACTTGCCGAAATGAGTGACATATGCCTTGGTCGCGTTGTACACTGGCTGGTCAACGGGAACATTGACCACATGGCCGCTCATGCTTGAAGTGATGATCAGGTTGCCGAAGCCCTGGCGCTGGAAGACCTCGCCGACATACTTGGCGCAATATACGATACCGTCAACTGCGGTTGATTAGCTAGAGATTGGTGGTTTTATTTTCGACCAGGACTGGATGCGTACCGTTCACGGACATTTGCTTCTGATACTCGGGCAAGGTTTGTTCCAGAATGGGTCTTGAAATAGCCATGCCTTATGATCGATTAGAATGTCGACGAAAAACCCGAGAACAAGGGAAAGCACTCACCTGCATTGGCAACAAAAGCATCAATTTTGCCGAATTCCTGGACAACCTTGGCGATTGTGCCAGACACTTGGGTAGAATCGGAAACTAGGAATTAAGAATGAGCAGCGTGCCAATTGATTCAAATCAGCCTTTCTTACCATCGACTTGATGAGCAGCGCTCTTCACGTTGTGCTTCTTCGCCAGGTCTTGAGACTTCTCAATGGCAGCTTTGTTCCTATCAAAATGGTCAGATTCTTGTCTTTTATCCGTTCGATCATCATCACTTACGAGTTGTACCACAGAACGACGTGAGCGCCCGCCTCGGCCATGGCCTCTGTCACAGCCAACCCAATCCCATCGGCAGCACCGGTGACAACCACGACCTTTCCGGTCATACGGAGCTGCTCAAGGGCATTGGAGGGAGTGTCTGGGACCGGGCGTGGGAACCCAGCCCGAGCCTGTGCGCAGTCCTGAATTGAAACAGACATCTTGAGGAGTGCGTGGGTGAGTTGAGCCAAGACAGAAGGATGACTTGGGTGATGCACACAGTCGCATTTGCAGAGTCCCCCTTTGTAAGAACGTTGAAGTCGAAGAGGCGACAACCGGCCCACGCATGTTCGGTGATCTGTCGTCCGAGGAGGGTTGGGTCCACCGTTGTTGATGTCTACTGATAGCCCACGTCATTTGGTATACCCACCTCATCCACTTCTCGGCGCGTTGTGTGCCGATGCTTGCGGAGACTCTTCCCCACCTTGGCTGATCTCCAGATGATGTTGTTTCCAAGATTCGATTTTGAATCTGCCGGACGACAACTGCCCGACTTTATCTTGATTTTAAAAGAGAAAGTTCGGAACTGAATGAAGCTGACCTTTTGATGTGCTGGAGCTTCGAAAAATCGGGGTTGTATCTATAGGTCTCCCCCGTCTGACACTTGTTCCACTATAGTCGATTTACCCTTCACCCCACTCTTCTGAGAAACCCACACGGCAGAAATCATGGGTTCTTTAAGCGAGCTTCCAGATCGCGATGCCCTCATCAAACGGGCAGTCCCATCGATGGTCCTCAGCGACGGCAGCCCTTCTTCAAAGACCCCGGCACCAGCCACGCAGATCGAGTCCGACGCCACTGTTGGAGCTCAGAAACGCTTCTCCGTCACAGGAAACGCCGTTGTCACTGGAGGTGCCGGTGTACTTGGGCTTCATGCTTGCGATGCTCTCCTTGAGCACGGCCTCCAGGGCCTCATGATCTTCGACGTCAACCCGGACAATAGCAAACAAGAGATCGCCGGCATGCAAACCAAATTCCCTGCGGCCCAGATCCACACCCGCAAGGTCGACGTGACAGCCGAAGAAGCCGTCAAGGAGGCAATGGAAGAGACCGTCAGCGTACTCGGATCCATCGATACGCTTGTCTGTTTTGTTGGCATGGTCGGCTGCATTGAAACCCTCGAGATGCCCGTTTCGCAGTGGCGGAAGATCCTGGACATCAACACCACGGGATCCTTTATCTGCGCCCAGGCGGCTGCCCGCGAGATGGTGAAACATGGGAATGGAGGCTCGATTACGTTCGTTGCATCGATTTCCGCACATCGTGTCAATTACCCCCAGCCACAGGTGGCTTACAATGTGAGCAAGTCTGCTCTTCTGATGCTTAAGAGCTGTCTCGCGGCCGAGTGGGCTCGCTTCGGGATCAGGACCAACAGCGTGAGCCCCGGGTATATGGATACAATATTGAACGAAGGCGATGGAATTGCAACCCACCGGAAGATCTGGGCGGAGCGCAATCCTTCGGGTCGGATGGGGAGCCCGTCTGAGTTGACGGGGGCTATTGTGCTACTCTCGAGCACCGCGGGTACCTATATGAATGGCACGGATATTGTTGTTGACGGTGGTGCAATTGTGTTTTGAACAAACTTTCTTGATTACTTGATAAGTTGTTTCGATTTTCTTCAATGTAGAAAAGCAATATAATAATATAAGATGTGAAGTGGGTCGTTGAAAAGTGGGAGGATTCAACTTTGCTACCCCCTACGTGACCCCCCGACCTTCAATACGCCTAAAGTCGTAAATCTTTGTCCGAAAAAAAGAGAGAAAAGAGGGATTTATAAAAATAGGTTAAGCAAAAGATTGGAAAAAGGATTAGAAAATAGATAGAAAATAGATATAAAAAATAAAGAGAGTTAATTAATAAATTTAAGAGAGAAACATATATTGATAAAATAATGCTAGTAGTAGTAAAATAGCTATCTATATATTCAATAAAGAACAAAACCTCTTAATTAGGATACAATGTAGTTAATAAGCCATTTCAATCTAATTCTTATTCTCTACTATATCTTTCAAAGTCCCCTGAGCAATGAAAAGCCTACCACTTTCCTGAACTTAGGGCTTTTCCTAACCTCAAGTGAGCCCTAGTTATCGCCTTCCAAAGCATAGGACGACTGCAGCCGATGTTAACCCAGCACGAACTCGCTGACAAGAAAATTGTGATCGTCAAAATAAATCTTTTCAATGTGGTCAATCGAGTGACACAACCAGTATCTACACTTGTTGGGTCCATAGGCTTGACAAGGGCAAGTAGATGGTGTCGATATCCAGTGGCATCAAGTCTATGCGTGACTTTTACTGAGAATCTCAATTTTCATAGAAATGGAACTATCTGCTACACACATTGAGTGGAATTTCGTCATATAATTCGCCGTCCCAGGCTCGAACTGCACCAACACGACGATGGGTTCAGTATGTCGGCCGACAGTGCGCCGAGGCTCTCAACTCTTTTGTGTATCTCCTTGATACCCTCAATTGCCTGAGGATAGATAGAGCGTCTCCGAGTAATTCACGCAGTGTGCAAACTCTCTGCATTGGGGAGGTATTCCAGCAATATAGTTCTCGGATGAAAGATGTCTTGCGCGAAATGTTGCAAAATAGGATAAAATGCAGCCGGATCCAGGCGACCGATATAGCCGTGGAATTTTGTAATGACCCCGCGCTCGCAGACACCGGAGGTAAGCATTTTCTGATATGCGGTGGATTCGCAGCGGAATCGGTTTAAATCGCCGTCTTTCTCTGTATATCCAGGGTCGCCGTTGTCATGGAAAAGCTTGAATGCGCATTTTTGTCCGTCTAGATCTACCTCGAAATTGAGGAGGCGTCTGAGCTCTTTATCTCTCTAATAATATTGATTCTGGAGGGATCCATGCCTATTGAGTCCGTTGAGTGAATGCAAGGCGGGTGCATTACTGTCGTGTTCACCCAGGGGGTTGAGGAAGAATAAACACAAGTCTTGGAAGTGTTGGTTGATAAATGGTAGCTTGGAGAAGGGAATATTTGCTTGGTCGTTAAGGGGACCAAACAAACCCCATTCTCATTGGTTAACTCGATATCACGTAGACACTGACATTGTGATTTACCTGGATACCTTTGCAGGAATTATCTACATGAATCCATTCTGATATATATCTTATCCAGATTGACAATTGCCCGTTCAAAACAGCAACAGCAAGGAATCCCAGAAAACCTATATAAAATAGAATTCCCCAAGAAAAAAGTATTTTTTTTCTTATTTATTTACAAAAAGACCAGCAGTAAGTCCCTACTGCACGCCTAGTTATCATCACCACCCTCCTCGTCCTCATGATCATAATCCTCCCCAACAGCGTCAGAGTCCTCCCACTGCCCATTCAACTCCCGCTTCTCAGCACCGCCAAAGACATTGAAGTGCTGGGGACCCTCCTCGCTAATCAGGTACCCAGTCTTGCACGACGAGAACGAGACCTTGGGCTGGCGCGCGTAGAACTGATCGAAGCTCGGGTTCAGGGCGTCGGCCAGGTTCTTGACGTTGCCGCCGGGGTGCAGCTGCTTCCAGGGCTCGCGGCAGGCGTCGCCAGTGCAGGACTTGAGGACGAGGATGAGGGCGTTGAGCCGGTTCATCACTTTGGGGATGCCGTGCTTGGCGATTTGGCGGTTCGCTTGCTTGGGGTTCTTGGCCAAGTTGGTGGTTTGGTGGGGGTCCTCCTGTTTAGATGGTAACATTAGAAACCCGATCTTGTCGTTGGTATTTTCTTTTTGTTTCCAGGGTGGTGTTTACCTTCATGTCGAACAGCTCCCTGACGTTAGTGCACCACACCGAGTAGTACAGGCTGTAGTCGTCCGAGACCAGTCGGACGGCCTTGTACGTGTTCTCCTCGTGGAACCCGTGCTTGCTCTTCGGACTGATGAGTCCGTAGATACCCTCAGCGACGGCCTTAATAAACACCAGAGATTAGTCGGCGTGATCTTAAGGTAAAGCATATAAGGGATTCAACTCACTCCACCCCAGTACTCGACAGCCACATGCTCCGTGCGGTCATGCTTATCGCTCTCATCCTTGGTCGTGGGAATCTTCTTGCCATCCAGATCCTTGGGCATATCCTTGTCGGCCACGCCAGCAATAGACAGGAAGGTCGGGGCAATGTCCGTGTGGCTGGTGACGACGTCCATGGACGCGCCCTCGGGGACGCCGGGGCCACGGATGATGAGGGGGACGCTGATATCGGTTTCTGGGGAGTGTGAGCCAATGCAAATTATTTATAACCTACAGGGAGAAGGGAACAGTCTTACCATAACCACAGTTCTTGCCCGGCTGCATGCGGTGCTGGCCCAGGTGGTATCCGTTGTCGGTCGAGTAGATAATGTAGGTGTTGTCCAGCTCGCCCTTCTTCTCGAGCTTCTGCACCAGGCGGCCAACCATCTCATCGACAGCCTGCAGAGCACGCAGACGCTGCTGATGGAAGTAGTCAATGTACTTGATCTCCTTCTCGGTCAAGGCAGGCAGGTCCTTGGTCCACCCGACGCCGTTCTCAATCAGCTTGTTGAAGCTAGCATCACGGGGCACCTGCTCATTCTCGAAGAGACCCTTGTGACGGGGTGCCGAGACAGGCTCGCCGAACCAAGTAGTACCCTTCGAGGGGTCGTGCGAGCCGTTGGAGTGTGGTGCATTGGGGGCAACAGTGAGCATCCAGGGCTTGCTAGGGTCCTTGAGGGCATCGTCGAGGAAACCGGCAGCCTTATCAGACAGAACATCAGTGGAGTAGCTGCCGTCGTAGTGGACGGGCTTCTTGTTGTTGCGGGTCATGCGGGCGTTGTTGTAGCGGTAGGTCCATGGGTCCAGCAGGAAGTCGGACTGGTCGAAGCCCTTGGCGAAGGGGGCGTCGTAGTTCTCCTCGGTGTGGGCGTTCCACAGCTTGCCGACGTAGTAGGTCTTGTAGCCGGCCTTTTGCATCCAGATCGGCAGGTAGTCGTCGTTCATGCCGGTCTTCACCACTTGCGGGTATCCGCCGTAGGGAGGCTCGACATTGGTGACGTTGGTGTTGTGCGGCATGCGGCCGGACCACATGTTGGCGCGCGAGGGGCAGCAGAGCGCGACGGAGCAGTAGTGCTTGTTGTAGGTGGCACCCTTCTTGGCCACGAGGTTCTATATTGGGCATAATTAGAGGGGAGGCCATGATAAGATGGGGGAACAGTCAAGAAGAAACGCACCGTCAGGTTCTTCATCGTGTCCAGCCCGCCAACCAGCTTGCCCTGGTCATCGGTCAGGATAAACAAGATATTGGGCTGTTTGGCCAGCGCCAGGCTGGCCAGGAGCAGAACTGCCAGGAAGAGATTCATGGCGGGTGAGTATATCTGCTGTGAGTTGATGGAGATACCCAAGATCTCAGAAAGATGGACCAAGACCCTTATATACGTAGACGAAGGGTCTTTCTTCCCACCCCCAGAATCTGCTTATTCTCCCACCCCACAAGTTAAGCATTGCACTGCCTCAGCCATGACCCAATGATGCGACATGCAAACCTGCGATACTAAGTATAGCGGCAGCAACAAAGATCGGCCATGGGGGCGGGATGCGCTGATCTTGGCCCCAACAAGCTCAGTGCACACCATCCTTTGCAATTTCCTCTGCAAAAGACAGACCAAGAGGAGGTTAGTGGGTGCGATCTTCACCAGGGGGCCAATTTATACATACACATATCTCCCAACATTTCCAAGACGAGGCAGGATGGTGGTTGACCATGGTGGGCCCGCCCGCCATCGTAAGCCATCTCGCCCCATTGTGGAGGCATTAGACGGAAGTGGCGAAAGCTTCGGCTTGCTATTTTAAATCTGGGCCAATGAGAAATATCCGATGAGGAATGAAGGAATGATATGGACTGCTCGGTAGACTGAGCAGGGGTTGGATTGTCGCTCGAGCCGACCAAGCCAGAAATTGCCGACGAGTGTGTTCTGTAAAAGAGCCCCCTACCCTCCTTGACCATATTCCTGCTTTGACTAATTTTTAGGAGATAGAGTTGGTTTCTCATTGATCAAACAAGCGCCAAACTAGTTGGGGTAGCAATATACAATTACTCGAGTGTTCTATAACCTCGCCAAACCATCGAAACGTGCCTCACCCATGGCTATATCTTTTAGCAATCATCCTCGTAAGCGACCAACACACCTTCGGACATCATCGGTGACTTGGCTCGCCGCGCTCCGAGCCACTGACTTCCTCGACAGTCTCGACAGCGCCCTTGCTGTCGATAAACTCCGTGATCCGGTTCCTGGGTAGCCAGGCACTTTCGGGCATGACAAAGTAGGAGATCAAAGCGAAGATGGTGACACCAGCCATAATGATAGGGGCATCTGTAGATGTCAGTGGGCCACAAAATCCATGAACAGGAGCGTGAAAGTATAATAGAAAATGGGAACAGGAGGAAAAACAAAGAAAAAAAAAAAAAAAAAAACTCACAGTTCAAGCTCTCCCCCGTAACAGGCCATTCATACGGCGAAAACAAAATGGCCACAACCCACCCGTTCCAAAAAACGCCAATCAGCTGGAACGGCTTGCTCCAGCGCCCCAGACTCCACTGCGGCGTGGGGAATCGCTTCGGGGTGCACAGCAGCCGCCCCAGACAGATCAGGCCGTACGCAGCGGCACTGGGCACGCCGGCGGCCGACACCAGCGACGTGAAGGCCACGTTGGACGGCAGGATGGTGCAGGTGACGATGGCGGCGACGGCCCACACGACGATCACGGCGTTGCGGGGCTGGCCGGATTTGACGCGCGAGACCCAGCCTGAGAAGGGGAGAACGCCGTCACGGGCGACGGCGAAGACAAGACGAGAGGCGGCGATGATGGCGATGGCGGTGTTCTAGATAGTTAGTAAGAGAACAAGGAGTAGGTGGATGGTGGATGGCGCTTAGGAGGGGGGGGGGAAGAGAGATGTCTTACCAGCCACAGAGCAAGCACGCAGATGATGTTCATGAAAATGTGCCCTCCTCTGCCCAGCACAGCGGCATAGAGAGGGACAAAGGGTTGGGGAGACCCGAAACTCATCAGCTTGTCCGTAGTAGGCTAAAAAGACAGTCAGTATTTCAAAACGGATGCCATACCATCGGACCAGATAATGAACAGCACTACTCACAGCACAGAACAAGAACAAAATGATAGTAGCAAGCCCACCAAACCCACTGGCAACGGTACTCCAGAAGATACCACGCGCAGCAGTAACCGAGGCATTCTTAGTCTCTTCGGCAACATGGCCCGACGCATCAAAGCCAATCAGAATACCCGCAGTAGCCAAGTACGACAGACACCAATTCCAGCCGGGCGGGGCACCGGTGCCGTTGTACGTGGTCATAAAGGCCTCGTGGGTGGTGCGGAAGCCCCAGGTGTGGAGGGTGCCGATGGGGAGCCAGATGAGGTTGAGGACGAAGTCGAGCATGACGACGGCGGCGGAGAACCAGAACACCCATTTGAAGAAGCGCGGCGGCATGAAGTTCAGTAGTGCGGCCAGGGCGAGCAGGATCTCGGTGCAGATCCACTGGACGGCGCGGAACTTGACGCTGTCGGTGTCTTTGGGGAAGTCGACGTTGAAGACGGTCAATTCCTAGAAGGTATTAGGAGAGCGGTTGAGTAGGAAAAAACGGTTGAATAAACATACCGAAAGCATATAGTTTGCGGCAGATTGGGTGTTGCCTATCCATTATTAGCTTTCTATGTTGCATGTTGTATATTGCAGGGTAAGGGGCATACTGGCACAGAATGTCGTCCACGCCGTCGTGCTCCACCACGCAACAATGAACCCCAACAGCCGACCAAAGCGCGGTCCACCGGCCTCAGCCGCCCAGAGGTAAATAGACCCCGCAGACGGGGACGCCGAGCAGACCTCGGCGATGACAGCGGCGGTGATGAACGTGAAGACCATGGTGACAAGATAACTCGTCCAGTAGGCCAAGTTACCACCAGCAGCGATACCAGTACTGAACGTGACGCGCACGCCGCCGACGAAGTAGAGCGCGGCTGTTGATATAATCAGCAGGAGTTCAGGAGTTCAACGGATGAGTGGCAGTCCGGCCCGATACATACCAAAGGTCGTGGCGAAGTTCTCGAACAAGCTGTATGTCCGATGCAGGACCTGGCCGGGCAGACTAGATCAGTTTCCGATCATGAAGTAAAGGTATGAGGTATAATGAATGGATAGCATACCGGCTTGTAGCCCATTGTCCGCTATATCGACGTCAGTACAAGTCTCGCCGAACGGGGTCACAGGATAGTTTAGTGACAGGTACTCACCAATAGAGCAGCATCGTCCTTGGCTTCAACTTCGCTGCGGTCTCCCTCCCCTGCGACGAGGTCATCGCGGCCGACGACGAGATCCTCGTGAGCCATGGCGCGGGTCGAACGGGGGGATCGACACGCTAAGGCGAAGAAAGAAAGAAAACAGAGAAAAGAGACAAAGAGACCAAGAGAACGCAAGACCAGACACTTCTAACAATGTCAAACAATGTAAGAGTCCGTCTCTCTATATGGCTGGAAAAGGAAAAAGCACAAGAGTCAAGTTCTACGGGAGAAATTTTCGCGATTGACTTTGGCCCTTCGCGCCCAACCCCCACCACGGAAATTAGGATTCCTTCTGTACGAGATCTGAGGTATGCAAATAAAAGACAAAGAAAAATCAGATAAACATCTGGTCTACAGAGGGATCCTTAGATTGCAATCAAATTGCAGTTCTCAGATCCGATCAGATAGACGATCGCGGGCCGACGAGCCACGCGGGAAAAGCAAGCCGGGAAACCGGGGACAACGGAAGCAAAAAAAAAAGAGGAGCTCGCGTGGGTAAAAGTGAACATAAAAAGACGGAGCTGTCTGGTCCGCTTGGGAGGAATTTTTAACCAAAGGCTCTGACTAAATGATCTGATCGAGTGGGTCTTTGGCTTGAGAGATTTTCTCGAAGGACCCGGGAGAATAATGAGAGTGGTGGGCACATGGTTTGGAGACAATTTTGTATTTAACTTAGTTAACTTAGGACATCCCCATTCACACTGTACATGTACAGTAGGTGTTTGTCAGTTCAAACCCAACCTGATCGTAGCTGATCAAAACCGGTTGAGCCAGATCCACTCATTACAGCTGGGCCCCGCACCCTGAACAAAGTCCGTGCGATCAGATAGGTGGGTATGTGCATGACTTCTAATTGTAATATGTCCAGGATATCTTCAGTGATGCTATATAGACATGCCAAAAATGTAAGCGTTGAGGTCGTAATCAAGACCAAACTCCGCCGGTCTATGAGAAAAAAAAAAAATACAAGGGATATGCGACGGATGCGACCGTGAGAGCCAACAGCCTGCCGGGTTGGGAGGTGTTAGATGACCAAAAAAATTTTAGGGAATGCAAAGCAAACCAGCGAAAGCAGCCATGTAGTGATAGTATGGCTGTCGAGGAAGGTGGACGGATATGCAACGGCGTCGGACTGCGTGAAAGTTTGGGTGTGCGAGTATGTTGTGTTATGGAAGGAGGATATTCGTCTGGATCTCGTCCAGGGTCTGTGTCCATCCTTCTGGAAAGGCGCGGCGCTTGAACCATACCCCTTCCAGGAGCTCGAGGCTTCTGTCGACGTTCTATCAAAGGGTTAACAACTGGTTACGTCCAACATCCACCTGTGAAACATACCTTGAAACCAAACCGCCGGAGCTCGAGCATAGTTTTGCGGACGTACTTCTGCTCCTCTTCCTTGCTGGTTTCCTGGCCAGCAATGAAAAGAGGCCACAGAACAGCCAATTGGCCAACATCACTGGACAATTTGTAGATCAACGTGAGAATGCGACTGATGAGTATGTCCAAGTAAGTGTGATCCGAAATCCAGTTAGGGCGACCAGCTCCGGCGACTTGATGCAGATGGACGAACGTCGCCTTCTCGTAGGCCTCGATACAGCCGACATACTCAACGACATCGGAGAAGGGGTACTGACGTAAGCTCTCGTCGTCCAGATCGCCGAGTAGTTGGAGACTCGCCGGGGCGCTGGCACGCCAAACAACCAAGCGGTTGAAAATCTCCTTGTACACCCCATCCTGCTGGTCGGGGGACATCCACTGCTTGTCGCGGGCGAAGGTGCTGATTGCCGCCTGGACTTCCATCATGCCGGACCACGCGTGCCGGAGCTCCACCAGGCGCGGGTTATCGGGGATCGAGGACGAGGACAGGCTCGGCGTGCCCAGATTGTATTCCCATCCGCCACCGAGGGTCTTCCAGTAGTTGCCTTCCACCACAGTACCGCCGGGCGTTGCACACGCGCCGGCTACATCCAGGTAAGAAAGGAGAGAGACGAGGAATGAGCGTAGCGGGTGGTTAGACTCGGCGACGCGCTGGGCTTCGCGGGCCGAATCCCCGGTATGCGGGTAAAATATGCGATTGTAGATCTCACGCGCGCCTTGCAGATGTACTGCCCAATTCTGGTGTTGGGAGTCCATCATCTAGACGCAGTGAGTAAATCACAACAATAAATAAGGATCCACCAAAGAAAAAGAACGAACCTCGAATAAACATAACAAGAGGCACGTGGCAAAATCCGTCATGCCGAGCTGCTGGCTCCGGTCGGCATAGCGGCCGCGGAATGTCTTGACGACTTCGCCGTACTTGCCCATGGCCTGCTGAAAATGTCTATTTCGCTGGTGCCCGTCCGAGGTGTTGGCCAGGTGCAGCGCGCCCAAGGCCTGCATGGCATTCGCCATGGAGGGAGACGATCGAGCGAAATCCGGAAAGTACCGGCGGTAAGGGTTAATGTTAATGGAATTGTCGTAGATGATGAGGAGTGTTGACACGCGGTCGATGAAGTGGGTGAAGTAGCGCTCATCGGCATTTTGTAGGGAAGTAGATACTAGACTCGCCGGGGAGATGGGTTCTTGGAATTGAAACTGTGTGGGGGGTTGGGCCACGGTTGTTGGCGACACCACGACAGCCTCGCGGGCCTCATCGGGTTCTTCTTTTTTGACGATAGGGCTGCTTGCAGCAGACTCTCCGGACTCCGAACTGGCGGGCTTCTTTTGCTTCCTCGGGGCTTTGGGCGCCTTGGAAGATTCCGGTTGGGACTGGGACGGGCCGTAGACTTTAAAAGTCATGCGGCCCTGGGTCCCATCGCACTCGAGCCCCAGTCGCGTGCAATTGTTGCAGGCGGGAGACGCCTCATCACAGCGAACATGACGTCGACGACAGGTCGAGCAGCCAGTAAACCCTCGATGGTGCCAGCGGCGGACGCGTTTGCGAGGCTCGGTAGATTGCGGATGAGAGTCTGGCGAGGAATCCGCCGTCACTGGAGTGTCCACGGTGCGAATCTCCATCGGGAGAGACAATCGAATGGCGGGCGGGAAGACATCAAGACTCTCACCAGGCCATCAAGATTGGGATGAAAATCCTGAAGGATGAAGAAACGAGGCTGAGGAACGTCGGGGACACTAAAAAAGAGCAAGAACTGGGATCAGGGGAATTCTGATCGGCTCTAGTGGGTGATCATGGCGAAACTCCACTCTTTCTCACATGAAAAGGGCATCGTTTGGCAGGTTCATCGATCCACTCGAGTTTTTGTCCCCCACGCGGCTCAGTTTCCTCACTCTTGATGGAGTAGGCGGTGCGCCTTTCGGACGAGTTCCGGTTAAACGCCCTGAAGAATGGGGCCAATTACTGAGATTGCGATGATCTGCGAGTTCAAGTGGATTTCAATTGATTGGCGAAGACTGGGGTGAAGGGTGTTTGCTAGTGCATGCAGCAACTGAAGCCAAAATGGCCATGGGGGGTGTGTGCCCGGTGTTGGATGAGTTTATAGCCGAAGTTGGTACTCTTAAGCACTTGGGCGTTTGGACCCCACTCTGCACGGGGGCCGTTAAATCCTTCCAGCGCATAGTTTCTATTTTGAGGTGGGCCCTGAGGAGCTTGGAAAACGCTTCCGATGAGTATCGAACTACCGAAGACTCCGTTAGTCCGTTAGTCAAAACAAATAAACCACGGCAGTCAAATTACGTAAAATGCATTGCTCAAATAGTACGCTGCCATTCAGGACAGCTCCCATGGCCGCTCGCGCAATTATTACAGGCATGCCGATATGGATCGCCCGCTGTTCCGCCTGCTGAACCACAGCCTGATTGCGGGAGGGCATATTCACCGACGCTCGAGTGGACTTGAAGCGAGTGGCTTCGCGGACATATGCAGCTCTGGACAGCAGAAAGGATGGTCAATGTGTCAGGAGGAGGAAAAGAATTAACCCGTTGATAGCTTGTTAACTTATCTTCGGTGTATTGCCAAGGAAAGGGGCACGGGGGCATACCGTCGGTTAAGTAGATCCAACAGTTGATCATCGATCTGGTCGAGCACGGTGCGAATTTCATTGAGGGATTCACAACACGTGGACAGTGTACCATTCAACGCCGAGAAATGAACACTCGGAAACCTCCATGGCACCAAACGGTGATCAGTGGAGGGAGCAAGAGATGGCAGAGTTGTGCCATAGCAAGAATCTACGCTGGAGGGTTTGATGACTGGGGCGGCCACAAGGGGCAGAAGGGGCAGAAGGGACAGAACTTCCTGCATTAACATCTTCAGCTGGCATTAGTTTTCTGATGATCGTGAGATCAGCTTTGAATCGAGCAGATCGAGGATTCGATTTGAGTTGCGAAGCGCCTTGGTTCTGCCTTTGACGATCGGCAGGTCCACAGATGGGCTCTTGAAGCATGAAGCCAGGATGATCACTAGGCGACCCAGTCCCCGGTTCAATTTTGTGGCACATTCGAGGAAGAAGAGCCGGCAGCTTGGAGATCGCCTGAAAAACAATTTGACTCGAAGCAGACTTGAAATTATAGATGTGTTTCGATGTCCAACTACACAACGCCGAGAGACCTATGGCTTGGTATGGCTCAAGCTCACCTTCCAAGGCTAACTGTCAAAGGGTCAGCATTTTGAGCAGGAGATACGCGCATATTGGTATCGCAATACTCCCGATGAGCGAGATATCACTTGCTCGCCATCGCAGAACCGCCGTGCATGCGGGGAAGCTCGGAGTTTACGCCGACCTGCCGAGCCCCCTCTTTGACGGGCTATTTATAATGACTTGACTGAAACCCTTCCTTTGCTTCTGTGAAATCCCCCGTTTTATTCCCAGCGTCATGTCAGCTCAAGGCTCGCGACTGCAAGGCAAGGTTGCCATTGTCACCGGTAAGATCAGCTCCTCGATATCCACGGCACAATCTAATCTCCAACAATAGGAGGAGGCTCGGGTTTTGGAGCTGCCATAGCCCGCCGCTTTGGCGAAGAAGGCGGCAAAGTTATTATTACAGATATCAACGTCGAGGGCGGCGAGAAAGTTGCCGCACAGAACCCTGGCAACCTCGTCTTCCAGCGCATGGATGTCACCCAACCAGACGACTGGAATGCCATACTCGAATTGGCTTTTTCAAAGTTTGGGAGGCTTGATGTGCTGGTAAATAATGCGGGGACGACGTATAGGAACAAGGTCTCTTTCTTTCTTTCTTTCTTTCTTGTCTCATGATCATTCCCAGCGTGGTGCTAACACTCTTGGAACAGCCGACAGTAGAGGTGACAGAAGACGAGTGGGAACGGGTGTTCAATGTCAACGTCAAGAGCATCTATCTCGCCGGCAAGACTCTGATGCCGCGCTTGATCGAACAAGGCCAGGGCGGGTCGATGATCAACATCTCCTCTACGGGAGCCAGTCGACCACGGCCAGGATTGGTCTGGTACAATGCCTCCAAGAGCGCCGTGAGCAACGTGAGTAGCAGATTTTCTACAGCCAGGTCCAGTGAAAGCATCGCTGATATCCTGTCGTGAATGTAGGCCACCAAAGGTCTCGCAGCGGAGTATGGCCCGCAGAACATCCGCGTGAATAGTGTCGCCCCACTGCTGTCCGGAACAGGGCTCTTTTCCATGTTCACAGGCATGGAAGACACCCCCGAGAATCGAGAGAAGTTTATTGGAAATGTGCCGCTGGGCCGATTGACCGAAGCGGACGATATCGCCAATATCTGCCTCTACCTCGCCAGTGACGAGGGTCGGTTTATAAACGGGACTGAGATGGTAGTAGATGGCGGCAAGTGCATTTAGTGTAGACGATACGAAAGAATATCCATGGATATTGCTTGTCTTGGTCAACTCGCGTTGGTGTAGGGAAGCTCATGCGAATGTCTCTGTGTATGAGTTAAGAGGACAATTTCAAGAATGAGGTAGCAAACTGCGTCTTAGATCGGGATTGCCATTGCCATGACGTCCCTTTCGAATTAATGGCGATGGGCCAGGAGTATCAAAGCCAACCGGAAATAAAACAGGCTGTGTTGGGGATATGTGAAGACACAGACTTCCTATACTGAGAATTTGTGTATTGATCAAGGGTGAATGGAATATTATGCTAAAAAAAAAAAAGCAATCTAGTTCGAATCCATTTCTCCAATTGTATCTATAATTCCCGTAAAATTGACCGCAATAAGATAGTCACACAAGCAATCAAGTCTAAAGCCGCCTCCTATCTTCAACCGGCTTATTTCCCAATACAGCATCAATCTTCTCCAGAACCTCCGGCGTCAACTTCTCCGCCACCGCAAGCGCACACACATTATCGAGCACCTGCTCAGGCCTCGACGCCCCCGTAATCAGCGACGAGACATTTGGGTTCTTCAAAATCCACGCAAGGGCCAACTGAGCCGTCGACACCCCCAGCTCCTTCGCAACAGGCTTCAGCGCAGCAACCTGCTCGAGCTGACGCAGCCACACCTCATTGCCCACAGTCTTGCGCAGATTCTGCACATACCCATCCTGCGACTCGGCAAGGCGCGAGCCAGGCGGCGGCGCAGCCGTATCATTATACTTGCCGGTCAAGACGCCGCCCTTGAGCGGCGAAAACACGGTAAGTCCCAGTCCGTGTGGCGCCTCGTACAGCCAGCGGTACTCGCGCTCGACGCGCTCGCGCACTAGCATGTTGTACTGCGGCTGCTCGACGACGGGCCCGACGAGGCCGAGTCTATCAGCAACGCGCCATGCGTCGGCAATCTCGCTGGCGCTCCACTCCGACGTGCCCCAGTAGAAGGCCTTGCCGGTGTCAATGAGGTGGTTGAAGCCGCGGACGATCTCTTCGGTGGGGGTGTCGCGGTCTGGGCGGTGCGCGTAGACGATGTCGACGTAGGGTAGGTCCAGGCGCTGCAGGGACTGGGTTAGACCCTCGATGATGTGTTTGCGGGAGAGGCCCTTGTTGTTGAGGGGATTCTGGGGGTTGGCGCTGTTGGCGGCGCCCCAGTACAGCTGGGAAGATGTCAGCGATCTTGTTCTCCATTTTGGTGGGTTGTTCACGGTTGTTTCAATTCAACTTGGGGGGGGGGGGAGGTACTTGACTTACCTTGGTCGAGATCACCAGGTCATTTTGCTTCCATCCGTACTTTTTGATCGCCTGGCCGAGTACAATCTCTGATTGTCCGCCGCCATATACTTCGGCCGTGTCGAAGAAATTAACGCCAGCATCGTAGGCGGCTTTCATGCACTCGAAAGCAGTTTCTTCGGGAGTCAGCAATGCGCATGAGAAGCATGGAAAGAGTAAAAAAAAAAATTTACCATTGCCAACATGCCCTCCATATGTGAGCCACCCTCCCAGCGAGATCACAGATACCTTGAGCCCCGTCCGACCAAGGAAGCGGTACTGCATTTCCGGAAGAGTGTCAGACATTTTATATCAAGTGAATGGTAGAATAGATCAAGAATTAGAATTGCGACAATCCCTGTTTAATAGCTGCTGAAATGGCCAGGGGAAATGCAAGACACGGGCCGACGTGCGGGGAGCCTGCGGGGCACATAATTTCCCGATTCGGACGACGACGGGTATAGAAGAGATAAAAAGAAGGGAAATGGAGCATTGTGGGCTGCAATTGACTTGGTATTGGCTTGAATATATATGGTTAATTCTTTGATTACATCTATTGTTTCTACTGATTTGTCCGGTGAATCACCAACGTGCTACATGCCTCGGGGTAGCTCATCGGGCGTATCGATGGTGTGATCTCTCGATTGCAAGAGTATTTAGTTGTGTCAGTGTCAGTATCTAAGAGAAACGATTCAATATTGTCCACAGTAATAAATTGATGAACTACTTGCATTCCAGATTAAACATTACCATCAACTGCCGGTACATTGCCACCATGTTTATCAATCTTCCTGAAATCTACCATAACTTCCAATTCCCTTCAAGGAAAGGGAACAGCTACCAAACAACCCCCCTCTCATTCACATCCTATCGCAGGTGCCCCAGGCTGATTGGGATAGACAGGCATTTGCGTTGGATTCGCACACTGACAATAATCGGTCTCGGCCGCAACGTCCGAGCACACGCCCGAGGGCGCAGTGGCACAGTACCCGTTCGTGTGGACTGACGTCGTCATGCCTGGCGGACACGAGCGGTAGGGCATGCAGAAAGTGTCAACATTTTTCGAGCCCGCTAGAAGTGTCATGCTATACCACTGATCCATGGCGCAGGAGCAGGAGACGGCTACCAAAAGATCATTGAATTAGCAAAATGATTTTCACTCCTTCACTTCTTCATTTTACTTCCCCCAGTATTAGACAGATACTCACCACTGATCACAGTCGACGATCCTCCGGCCAATGTCCCCTCATAAAGAGTCGTGGTCGTATACGGGACAGCGCCATTGGTGCACTCGGTCGTGATCCACGCTGCATTGAGCGGGAAACAGGTGGATCGCTCGAGACAGTGATCCGGGTGCCAGACCGAGGGGAAGAAGCCTGCTCGGCACTGGATCGGAGCCTCGGGGCTATGGCAGTAGGAGACTGGCGTGCCCATGGTGCAGTCGGTGGTATAGAGAATGGTAGAGCCATGGGAGCAGCGCAGTCTCGGGGCGGGAGTGATATCAGGCATGGCAGCAATCTCTGTCACGATAGAAGTCGGAACAGCCACTTCGTTGACAGCAGTCTGGCGTGGAAATGCCGTGACCACAACGAAGAATATCAAGAATGAGAACAAGTGAGAGAGAGAAGTTCCCATTGTGACTGATTTCGAAGACCAAGCAGCAATGTGGATGTTGGGATTTCAGGGTAGGAGTTGAGCCTTGATCAATTGTCGTGCTGAAAACACGCTGTTGTCTGCTGTCGTCCCGGGTCTTATATGCCCTCAACTATCAGCCCATCTCGGCCAAAAGGCAACAGGCCAAGCCAAGCCGATTCAAACTTTTTCTCTCTCAGATTCCAGCAGAAACCTTGTTGGGAGATGGGAGAAGAGAGAGAGAAGCAGAATGATGCTCAATTGCGAGATGGCGCCATCGAGTGTGGCCCCCGAAACACCCACGCTGCCCTAATTCAGCGCATGCCACCTCGTGGCAAAGGAGACATGTAACCCTTTCCTGGGTAACTTGGGCGAGACTCAAACAACCATTGCCAGCACAGAGACTGCTTTATCGGGAAATTCAAAAACTCCTGGGACATATTAGAACATATAGTGTGTGTCTGTGTGTGTGTCCAGAGAGAAGTTCCCGCATATATCCTTGCCATTGCTCATGTCACCTACGATCGATAAGTTCAACCAAGTCCTTGGACATGGCATTGGGGCGAGATAAGTTCGTTGCAGGTTGCACTCGGCTGGGTGTGCTACACTGCAGAGACAAGGTGGTTCGACAGAGATAGCGACGCGAGACATTTGGAACGTTGCGACGGTGTCTTGACTGCGTTCCCAAAGAGAATTTCAAATTGTTTTGTTCATGCCTTTAGATCTTGTTCCGCTGTTCTTCAACTATCGGGTTCTTGCTGTGGTGGGGGCTTGTTTGTGTGTCGTCTGCTGTTGTTGTGTTGTACATTGCATGCCCTCGGAGATGTCGAGGCCTGGGTGACTTGACTTGAGACATGGCTGTGCTGGAAGTGTACCACTGGATTTGAGAACTGGTGGTATATAATGTATAGCATCGTTCTATCTTTGTGCATTGGCCGGTGGGTATGCTACTGCACTGCGGAAGACAAATCAAGTAAAACACCATGGAAGCAGAGCTTTGTCTCAAGTTAAGCAAAAGTTTATTATCTTATTCTTACATTCTCTTTTATGGGTATTCTGGCTACTGACATCCTTCCCAGTTATCCACAAAATGTAGCGACTACTCGGGAATACAATCAAGAACAGGATGGATAAATAAAGAACTAGCGAACAGGATTTCTGTGCCCAAAATACTTTCCAGCACGTCCTTTTAGCTTTTCTACTCGACTATGTGGTTGCATCTCATTCTATTGACAGGCAGCTTGGTGATAGACAATGCCAGTGCCCTAAACGCTTTCTATAGCTACCACCACCGCCCAATATCATTCCAGAAAGAGCCAAAAACTGATTCAAGACTGACCCAAAATTGATTTCAAAAGGGAAGCAAAATGGTCCTAATAAGAGATGAGTAAAGAGATCTTGAATGGACCTAAGCACTCAGCCCTCCTTCTAGATATGACAAATCCCCCCTCTTCAATCTAAAACAACAACATTCTTCCCAAGCCCAACCCCAGAAAGATACTCTTGCCTCATTGCCTCCGCCTCCTCCAACCTCCACTCCTTCACCTCAACACGAAGCCGGCTCCGATGAAACAACTCTGTTAACTCCTGAGCCGCAGCCGTATCCGCCACCAAAGACCCAACAAGCTTGATATCCTTGTAGATAACCGTGTGGTACGACATGGTAATCCCTTTTCCGGCTGACCCAGCAACACCATCGTCCCATGCTTCCGCGTCAGCGCAGCCGCCAGCTCGAACGCGGCTGGGTGGTCCGTTGCCAGGACCGTTGCGTCGAGGCCTCTATAATTAGACGAGACCATCTGATCGATCTTCTGTCGCGAGTCTTCGACTGGGTCCGTGGCAAGGATTAGGGCGTCGGGACTGTGGGGGTAGGATGCGACGGCGTTGAGGGCTGAGGGTTTGATGTCGATTGCTGCGACGGCGTATTCCTGCTTATTGTTATTGTCGGATAGAAGAATAGAGAATGGAAAGGGGAATCGTGGAAAGACAAAACTATGGAATCATGGAAGATAGAATGAATGTTGTCTTGTTGATACTTACCATGCATTTTGCTACTTGCGTCCCTATATGCCCTAACCCCCCAATTCCCACAATCCCAATCGATCCTCCCTTCGGCACGCCTGCGCGCACAATGCTTCCGTAGATGCTGATCCCGGCGCACATCAAGGGAGCTGCAACCTTGAATCCCATATTATCTGGCAATTTCACAATGAAGCGGGCGTCGCTAGTCAAATATTAGCACGAGATCTATACCTGACAGATTGGCCACTTACGCAACCATATATTCAGCCCAGAAACCATCAGTAGTAATCCCCTTCATAGAGGGAGCTTCGCAGTAGATAAGCAGACCTGCTTTACGATCCGCGCATTTCCCTATATCCAAAAACTAGGTTAATCCACCAACCCCCCCCCAACACACGAAGCTAGACATTCATCTTCAATGATAAATGTACTCACCACAAACACTATCAAAATTAATACACCCCACACGATCTCCCTTCTGGAACCCAGTGACATCAACCCCAACCTCCGCAACAAGCCCCGCAAGCTCATGGGACCCGATAAAGGGGAGTGGCGTGTTGAACTCATTGTTCAACGCCATCAGATCTGTGTGACAGAGGCCCGCGGCCTTGATCTGTACCAGAACCTGGTGTGGTTTTGGCTGGGGGACGGGCACGTCGGAGACATGGTAGGGCTCGTTGTATTGCTGGATCTGCACGGCTCGCAGTGTCATGATCGCTGGGATTAGTTGAAAGGGGTTCAGGGGCAACTCAAGGTCCTCACTTCAATCCCTTTTAAGATACATAATCCTTTACTTCTTGTGAGTATTATACGAATTGCAAATATAATCGTTGTACGGCTGCTTGTCACTACATGTCATGGCTTCCCCGTTTCTCCGAATTGGGGGAGGGGCCGGTAGTTGCTTGGCAGTTATTATAGAGAAGTAGAATCATATAATGAATGAAAGAAAATATAGACATGAAGATGAGTGAATAGTCACTGGTATCTGGCACAATATACAGATCGAGAAACATGATGTACAACCCCAACGCCTAACTCCACCAAACCCTATCAGAATGACAACCACTCCTCGTCCCAGGTGCCATCGCTCGCATCCTTGGGCAATTCCGAGTCGCGAAAACGATGGTACTGGAGATGAATCTTAGACTCGTCAGGAAGCAAATCGAGTTTCATCATATTGATACGCGCAGACGCAGGAATGACATCCCCAGGCCGCACGCCCTGAGACTCGATCTCAAACACACGCTGCAGGATACGGGCCGCCTGCGAGGATTTCCAGATACCCTCGCGGCGCTCATACGTGCGCAGGACGCGCAGAACATTCTGGCGCACGGCTGGGTCACGACACTTGATCCCGCACATAAAGAAGGTCGAGATAATACCAGTCTTGATGGAGAAGACCGGCGCAGGGGAGCTCGTGAAAGATTTCATAAAGAGCTCGCCCAACTGCAGCACACGCCGGAAATTCGGCAAAAACTTATCATACTCCATCTGCTGGCGGTGCAACGGCAGCGCCTTGCTGGCGACAGTGATCATGATGGGGATAAACTCGGCCCAGAAATTGAGGAGGAGCAGCCCGCTCGAGTCGCGTTGGGACATGCTGGGACCGTGCAGCATGGTAAACCCTCTAAGTTCGTTCTTCCACCGCCGCAGATTGTCGACGGTGGGGAAGCGGGTCTCGTCGTCGAGCTGGCTGATAGTGTCGAAGGCGAGGACGTGGGAGTTTTTCAGGATCAGCATCCAACCGCGCAGCGCGAGCGACATGCTGCCCTTGCGGCGGTCGTCGACGGGACCGGCGAAGCGCGTGAAACTGTCAGTCAGCATGCGCGGCAGCGTCTCGTAGTTGTCGCCCATGTACCCTTTGAGATTGGTGAAGCTGGCCCAGTGCAAGTGGAGCTGGGCAAAGGTCTGCACGAGCAGAGGCACGGCGGCGCTCTTGGGACTCGTCTTGAGCCACTCGTTCAGCAGCGCATAGCCCGCGCGCAAATGGCAGTCAACGGCGTGGGCGTCGCCCTGCAGCAGTGCCAGCGCGACCAAGACAATGCAGGTCACCAGCACGGCCTCGGTGTGCAGGGGACTGGACTGGTCACGGGCTAGAATCTGGTTGCGCAGCTCGGAAATGGCCTTGTTGCACTGGCGCAGTGCGAAGGTATCGTTCTGCACGCCCTTGCCCTGCACGAAACGCCAGTGCAGCGCGCTCATGGCGACCGTCGCGTGGCGCACCGCCGGCTGCGCCGCCGCAACCTGGTGCACCAGCCGCTGCCAGAACGGGTCTTCGCTGTAGCCGGCGCATTGCGTCGATGTCGACTGCCGGAACAGGTTGAAATACCAGCGCTCCGTCGGCGACAGGTCCACCTGGGTGCCCTCGACCAGCAGCGTAAGCGGTCTCGACGAGCGGGCCGACGAGCGGCCATCAGACGTGGCCTCCTTCGGGCCCCAGATCACCACAGTCCGCTGACCCATGCGCCCGGCGCGAGTGCGGCGGTCGGGCGGGTGGATGTATCCCTGGCATACTTTGCGCGCACGAATACATTCCCCACACGAGGGGCGGCCTTCATCGCATTTCTTATGCCGGATTCTAAAGCTCATATCATTAGTACTGTTCACTTTCCTCCCATTCTCGAGACTCGAGCTAGGCCATGAATGAGTTCAATGGCATCCATGGGAGGACTTACTTGCATGTCACGCAGCCAGTGCGCACCTTAGGAGCCCCTACTCGCTCTTTTCTCTCCTTGCTGTCTGCGTCTGTCATGTTGTGACATGAGCGCCATTGGAACCGGAATTCCAGATGAGAAGCAGATTGATGCACGAGGGGAGATTAAAGTATAAGGGGCCGTGCGGGTTTGGAAGAAGACTCGCCATCTGCGAACTTGCGTGGGGGCGAAGCTAATTTCGCGGGGGCCAGGATGAACAACTAAAAATAACCAACTAGATGAAAGGAAGATAGTTCCAGAGATACAGAGAGATCTACGCAGTGCCAGAAGTCAGCTTCACCAGCCAGGAGAGACATAAAATTGACCAGCGAGACAGTATATAATGACAGTATATATCCCACCGCTCCGGAGAGCAGTGTCCAACACCATCCAGAAAAGAATATACACGAAAAAGAAGTTCTGAAGATACAATCCAGCACGGCTGTCAAAGCAGACAGTGTGCGATATCGGCTCTAGTGCGCGTGGCCGTAGCGACGACGGTGGTTGTGGGCGTGTTGGCGTGCATGATCAGCTGCCTGGTCCGGCGAAACACCCTCCGTGGGGATAGTGTCGCGCTGGACGACAGTTGACACAGTCTCCGTGCTGGTCGCCACAGACGTGGACAGCGTGCGGAGACTACCAGTGCTGGTGGAGAATGGGACACCCTTGGTGTCGACTAACACGGCAATCTCCCGTTCCAAGTAAATAGTCTCCTGGGTGATGGGGTCCAGGATGAACGAAGTGGCGGGGTTTGGCGTTGGGGTCGAGGTAGAGGTGGTAGTCGGGGCTTGGGCGGCGTTGGCACCATTGATGTCGCCGAGCATATTGTTCGGGTCGATCGAGATACCCGGCAAAGACAAGGTAGGGAGGCCGGGAATCAATCCGGTACTAGTGGAGGTGGGAGTTGGCTGCGGCATGCTCATGCCGCCGGCTGGCAGGGCGTATCCCGGACCCCAGTTGATGTGCATGCCACCGGGCAATCCGTCGGGGTGCATGTGGATATCTTCATGGAGGATCTGCTCCGGGATGTCGAACTGGCACTGCTGCTGCTTAGAGTCAGACTGGAGGTCGAAGATCTTGCAGTCGGTAACCTCGCCCGACAGATTGGTGCAAGTGTCAACGGCCTGCTGCAGCACGCCGTCATCCCAGCCCTGCATAAAGTCGCCGTGGTACCCGAAGCCGGTCGGGTCGCCGTTGGCGAGAGCAAAGTAGCCCTCCTGGTCCTTGAATGCATAGGTGTCCCAGATAGTCTCGTAAAAGAGCGAGACGAGCCTTGTCTCAAAGCCCTCAGGGCACGTCCCCGTCATGACTTGCGAGGGATAGGCGACATGGGACTTGTGGTCATGAGAATCATGGTCCTTGCCATTCCAGCACGACGGGAACATCAGCTCGAAGCGAACGCCTTCGGGACAATTCTCGTCGAGGTAGGTTTTGTTGGGTAGAAAGTGGCGGGAAAGGGAGCGCTCTCCTTCTTTCTGGTAGTTCATGCAGTTGAATCCCAGCGCCTTCTGGCGGAGAGCACGCTGCGATACTTGGTCACCAGACCACTCGGATTTGGGCGGGTCGGGGACAGGCCAGGTGAAGTTGCGCTGGAAGGGATCACCGGCCAGCATGCGGAAGTTTTTCGGGAAGGCTTTGATGTTCTCTCCGTTGAGGAAGTAGTAGCTAGAATATCGAAAGTGAAGTCAGTGTCAGGTCTATCTGGGTCTCGGACAGGTCAGGACCTACGCAAGCATGCCACCGACCTCATCGACGAGCTGTGCACTGCCATTCTTGTGCATGAAGTAGAGAGCTGGATGCCAGTACGCCGACCTGTCCTGGGTAACGGCACACGACGTGCAGGTGGAGTCCAGCAGCAATTTCTGGTCCGAGTTCATACCAAAACCTAGTCATCCAAATCAGTATGTTGCTCAATCACCGTGTTAAGCACCATGCAAGCTTACTTCCAGCACCATGAACGGCGTGAACATGGGATGAGATCTTTCCCGGGTCAATGATAGGGTCCAGACGAGCAACGCCTGCTCGCCCGCGGCACGGAAGACGCCAAAAGGCATTAGCCAAAGGCGCGAAAAGAGCGAAAGCAGCTAGAAAGAGGGTCGACAAGCGGATGTCCTGCATTTTCGCGTATGGAGCCCGGCGTCGATGGGACTCTCGCAAGAAGAAAGCAACGGGCTCAAGGAATGGAAGCCAACGACAGACTCGCCAGGAGTAAACCGAATCAACGGGGTTGGCGTGAGGCGAAGGGAGAAACAAACAACTTCCAAAAACGAGGAACCAAAAAGAGCTGGGCGTCTTAGGATGTGGAAACAGGCGATAGCTAAGCCATATGTCAGTCGTTAGTTGGAAAGTCGCACGCGTCGTGTGTTTTCAGGACGTGCAAGTCGCGGGTCCTTCATAATGTTGCAGATCGGGATTCCAGGGGATTCGAAACCCCTCGTCATTGAAGACGATCCCCTTCCAGGGACCGGCAGATCATCATGGAGGGTGGCTCTCTCCCTTCCGGGTAAAGAATGGTCCCTTGCATCTGGACTGCCACCCTTGGGGGGACACACCCAGCAGACGCACCGGCGAGAAAACAAGAAACAAAGGTAATCCAGGGAATGCAACATACAATTTCACCTTGAAACGCGTTTTTAACCGTAAACAAACCCCGATGTGGCCTCGAGTTGATCACTGCCCTGGGAGATCAGATATCAACAACGATGTATATACTACCTCAGCCCTAGGGATGGGATATGACACACTCACCTTGCCCACCGAGGCTGGGTTCAAAAGTAGTTGGTTGTAAAAGAGAAAATGGAGAGAATAGAGACCAAAAGAAGAAAGGATGAAGAAGAAAAGAATGATACCAGCTGAACGTGGTCCACGGTCAACTGTATATCTTGGGGCGACAGAACGGAATAAAGAAACAAAAAAGAAAACGAGGGCAGAGAGTCCAGCCAAATAAAAGGGCTGAGGCCACTGCAGGAAGCCCCCCAGTGTATGAATCAGGGCTCAAACAACGGACCAGGTATAGTCCAAGTGAAAGGAGACGCTAAGGTGAAATGCCCCCCCTCTCTCCCTCCAAGAGGAGGGGGCCTAGTGGCTTATTTTTTGCCCTTTCTTACTTCCATCATTTCACCAATCCCTCGTCTTGGTCGGATACTCGGATGTCCCTGTACAACCATGAAATGAAAGGGACCAGGTGTTCATCTAGACATAAGATGAACAAAACCTCTGGTGGATCATCCCAAGTCTTAAGGTGTGTGCATAGAAGCAACAAACACATTCGCCCTTGGGGGTCCGAGTTCACTGATCTCTCGGCAATCCGGGCCAAGTGCCTCTCGAGTGCCGAATCGCAGATATGTGAGACGTTGGAAACAAACCAGTTCCCCAAGCCCACACTAGCCCCTCCGTCTCGGGCCCCACGCTGAGCCTGCGGATTGGCCCGAGCAAAAAATGATGAAACCCGCCGTAGATTAAGTGGTGTGTGATAGGCGCAGCCTGAAATTTGAGAGGGGGCATTTGGAACTATTTGCTTGGATTGCTTGGATTGCTTGGATTACTCAGAGAGAGTTGATATAAAATTTACAAATTGGTGATGCCGTGGGTCCAGGGTTTTGTGGATGGTCGCAACATCCATGGATTTATATACGCTGGGTTCCATAGATCTGGCCCTATCAATCTCCATAAAAAACAACAAAAATACAAAAAAACCTGACTCGCTCAAGCTTCGGTTTCATTTCCGACCTGCTTTAGTTCTGTCAGAGATCTCCAGCTAGTTCCTCCCAAGCCCCGTCTGACACCCCTGTCCTTGCAGTGGAAATATCCAAGGATATAGACATTTCGCATTCATCACCGATCCGATATGCAACCTGGGAAATGAAGTTGACAAAGAATCATGCTCGAGGAACCCAAAATTGAATAGTTTCGACGATCTTCGCGTCGAAATAACGTGAGCCCCAGAAATTAATTCTACCAATAAGCCGGGGTTGGGCTGATCTTTAGATCCTTATTAAACCTCCCGATCTACTCCGTAGATCATGGAAACCGGCCCTCCCAACAAAACATCCAGCATACATCATCAGCATACATCACATAGCAGAGTAAATTGTGCACCTCGATAGGTCTATTCTACAAAACAAATACATATACTGTACACCATATGATGGTCGTGCTCAGATCACCCAGGTCACGGCTTGACAGTCTCCAAAGCCTCGCGAGCCCGCGCAATCGTCTCTCGGATCCGGGGATCTGAAGCATCCGCCGTCGCCTTGCCCCCGTCACGCACAATCTCGTGCAGGAGGGTTTCGGTCTCACGCAGGGATGTCCTGCCTTCCTCGCGGACCTCGTCCTCCCAAAACTGGCGCGCAACATCCCATTTCTTCTGCTGGCGGCGCAGAGAGTAGATCAAACCCACGGCAGCCAATGTACAGGATTCATACACGGACGCTGACTCCACAGAGACATAGGTGAGTGCCGAGAGGGCGGAGGTCAGGGAGGTAGTGGACACGCTAAAGAGGACTAGACTCTGGGCGAGGGCTTGGAGGGAGGGCACGGTGGTGCTAAGGAGTTTGGAGCGGGTATCGGGGATCTGGGTGGGCCAGGGGGATGGGATGGATCCGGCAGGGGTCGACTCGGAAGTGGACTGGGATCCGAAAGACGACGGCTCGTCCAGCAGGCCTGCCTGCTGGTATTTGCCTGCGGTCCAGATGACTTCTCGCTCCGCGCGGCGGAGGAACTGCTTCTCCAGGATTTCGGACGTGACCATGTTCACGTCATCGACCCGCCAGAAGAGTTTCCACCAGGCGAGACCCCGCCACCGCGGACTGGCAAACCCAGCCTCGAGGGAACTGCGGAGCTCGGAATGGGCGTGCTCGGCCCAGGATGCGACTCCTTGGTCAAGCTGGGCACGGGTAGCTTCAGAGACTGCGCCCACCGTCTGGTTTTGGAGTGCCTGAACCTCGCGGGAGAGCACGCCTTCGTCGGCAGCGTCTAGCAGAGATTCGACAAGAGGCACCAGGGCCGGGTTGAGTGTGGTGTCACTGGGCGCCTGCGAGGACGATGCAAGCCAGTCAATCACCGACTGCACACCACTGGCGTTCCATCCCCGCTCATACTCAGAAGCATTCTGCACGGACTCGCGGAACTTATCCAGAGCCGTACTCGCGCGGCTGATATCCACTAGGGAAAGGCGGTCATTGCTGCGCGTCGGGTCCGTCACAGAGAGCTCAATGGCCCCGCGCACCGAGGCGATCTCGTTCTTCAGGTCAGATCGGCCCATCAGAGTGCCGTACGCCAGCATACCGTCCACACCGGTGCCGCACACGATACTTCGGTGCACGGGGTACCGCACCACATTATGCCGGCCGGAATGCGAGGTCTGGATGGTCACGGTCGGCACAAGAAATGTATCGGCAGTGAGGGTAGCGCCGGCAAAGTCCGCCTCCGATCCAAGTGTACTGACGAGGATCTCGATATTGCCCTTTTTCAAGACAGACGACGGGACCGAGATTGTGGGGAGCAAGTCATTAGGAATCGATTCCGAGACTTCACCGTAACTGTAGCAAATTTGACCTCCTTGTCAGTTCTCATTCTTGTAACATAGCTCGAAAACCATGGCAAGTCGCTCGTCCATACCGAATCAACAACCCCCGCGATGAGTCGGCATCATACGCCTCGAGAGCATCCTCCCAATCCTCGCGCAGGTTCAATGGATCAGCGAGCAAGAGTCGAACGAGCTTGCGAGCAGAGGCCGCATCGTTTAATCCAAGAACTAAACCACCACAATAGGAAACCAATCAGCACCTGACCATCAGAATTCAACGCGCGAAAACAGCGGCAACTCACCGGCAACTCGTATCAGAGGCGCCTCAGATTCCAGGCCCCGCAGCGCAAGCTGCAGCCGGCTCAGACTGACCTGCTCGATCGCCGCATCCTTGACCCCGTTAAGGGCGTTGTAGAGCTCCTGAAACCGCGGCGGAACATTCTTGCCGGCAGTAATGACCGACGAGGTGGTCAAAGGGCGCGAAGTAGGTACCGTAGCTGAGTGTAGAGGGCGAGCGCTTCGATGGACCGCGTCGTTTTGTTTAATGCCGTTGTTGCCGGCACGCGTCGACAGCGCCCGTCTCCAGGTCGCGCAGGATGGGCAGTAGAACACTCCGCTCGTATCCAGCGGGCGCGACAGGCTCCTTGAGAGCGCGCTGCGCAGTCTGGAGGGCATTGGGGGCGGAACGAGAGTGGTGGGAGAGTTTGTGCAGAGCCGATTCGATTTAATGGTGAAACGAAGGGCTTGAGGTCAGAGGGTGAGGGCCGGGCTTGGCACTGATGGGGCTCTCTCTAATACTGCATGAATGTTGCCTACGAACATGCGCTACACCAGACTCTTTTTTTAAAAAAAAAAATTATTCTAAAGACTCGCAATTTTGTTCTAGCTACGATTGCGCAACGGCCAAGAATAGCCTGCAAACCTACGAATGCCATGTTGAACTGAACCATCCTGTTGACCGCTATAGTTGTAGATCCACATGACAAAAGCCAGGCGTGCGATCAAGCAGATAGAGAGGGTATCGTATCGATCGTGTCATGGCGTGTGCGCTGGAGGACAGGAAGAGGAAATGCATAGATCGTGTCATAATATCAATTCAACCACAGCCACGGCCCTCTCAGGCCTCCCTACCTGCGTCGCGGTGACGACGACTCCGGTTCGATCCAGCCGACCTGCGATGAAAATGAGTGTTTGCACCAAGGGTAATTCATATCAATCAACTCACATGCTGATTCTTCGGGCGACAGTCGCGAGACCGGCGTCGTTGGCCGCTTCGTGTTCAGCCCGCTCCAAGGCCGCGCGCCGGTCCTCCTCGCTCTTGCGGTAGACCTCTTCCTGTGTCGGAGGCAGGCGTTCGTTCTGCAGATCTACTTTCCGGGCATCCTCAAAGTTGTTAATTGCCTGTTTGATGCCCTCTGCACCCAGCATGAGGGTGCCCGCCGGAAGACGACCGCCAGCCGCCGTCTTCAGTTCAGTGACACTCTCCGACTGCTCACGGAGCACCTGGAAAACACGGGAGAGACGACCGATGGCAAGAATCTTGTTCTTGATGGCCCGTCGCTTGAACTCGCTGGACTCGGTGTCCATCGGCAAGGGAGGTGAGGATGGCCCGCTGGGCGACACCGATGTAGGCGTGTCATCCTCCAATTCCTCCTTGGAGCAGGTGTTGAGAATGGCGATAAGCATGTCGGTAATTTTCTCACCAACGAATGGCAATGACCACGTAAAGACATCCATGAAGTTCGGTAGCCAGTACGGGTGCGGGGTGCAGTTGAATTGCCGAATGTTCATCACGTTGTTTTCGTACTTGAGCACGGCCGCCTTGTTGTTGTACACATCGAGGTAATTGGGCGCGCTGAAAATGGTCATCACACTGGGGAAACCAGTAGTTCGTGTCTTCCGGTACATGCGATACCCGGCGTCCTGGGCTTCGTGGGCTCGAATGATGGAGAGAAGGTTGTTTTTCTCCAAAAACGCACACGCGGCGGGATAGGAGAAGAAATAGGAGCAACCGCGCACGCTGTTGTGAATGAAGAAATCGCCCGTCTTTTCTTGCCCGAATTCTTCCAGAGGATCAGCCCAAAGGATGTCACACATCAGGCCATGAGTGGGGGGTTCCCGGAAGCGATCGATCTGCCATTTGTTAGTTGACTAACATTCGACATGCCCTTCTCCATTGCGACATACCGCCTTGATATCTTCCAATGTGTGCAGCTCCGGGCTGAGACCACCGTGGATACAGAGGAACTGCTTGTTCATGACCGCCGCCAGCGGCAGCGCACAGAAGGATTCGATGCACGCCTCGTAGATTCGTTCGCTGTACTTGTGTTTGCACTCCAATTTAAAGGTAAAGTAGTCCGTGAGGTGGCGACACTCATGGTTGCCTCGCAGCAGCCACAGCGAGTCCGGGTACCAAATCTTCAAGGCCCAAAGGTACAGAACACACTGCGTGAGACCATTAGAACAGCTCAAACCCCTCCATATATAAGACCACGCACCTCTATGCTGAAATACCCTCGGTCGACATAATCACCCAGAAAGAGATACCGAGTCTCCGAGGGGTCGCCGCCAACCTCAAACAGTTTCATCAAATCGTAGTACTGCCCGTGAACATCGCCACAAACCGTGATCGGAGCATCCATCTCCAGGAGATTCGGCTCCGACTTGAGAATCTGGGTCCCGGCATGGATAATCCACAGTGCCTGTTCTTCTGTGAGGCGACCTTCGCGGTACAGGTGCTGCTTGAGGAACTGGAGGTTCGGCTTGGAGGGATCGTCTGGCGACCAGAACATCTCATCCGGAGGCGTGTTCAAGGCCGGCGCTTGCACCTCTGGTAGCACAGACCACCGTCAGTTATCAGATTTCAGCCTCTTGGGAAAGCGACCGAGCCGTCACCCCTACCTTTGACCACTCTTTCCAGTGTGGACACCTGCGAGCCATCTTCCATGGTATGCAAAGAGAAATCGATCTCGGGGACCGGCTTCTTGTCGGTCACCGCGCGCGCAAGATTTCGATCCATGATGGGCGATTGAAAGAGTGAATCTCGAACGTCGTAAAGGGGGAGGAGGAGCAGGGAGACCGCGCGGAGAGGCGGGGTGAGGGTTCAGCGCGGGTGGGATGGATCTCCCACAGAGGGCAGGGGGAGATGATCGAATCGATCGAATAGAATCCAAAGAGCTTCGACGAAAAATTCAAAACAAGCGCCGAAACCCACAACGGCGGAGAATGGTGGAGGGTCGCGTGTGACGGGATTGTGAAGTTGGGAAAAAGAGAAACAACGCCAAGCGGGTGTGGTTCGCCCCCCAGTGGACACTCGAGAAGCGCCCGTCAACCTCGGCCGTGCAGAAGCACTGAATTTTGCTATTCGCTGAGCAGATCGAGGCTTTCTGCTAGATGTCGCCCAACCTTTATATTGAAGCACACAACATGGCTAGTCCATGCCGCAGAAATAGAATTGTTGCCTCAGGCAACAATATCGGTGCCTTGTGAGGCTGAAAAACCCACCGTGACGAACCGTCTACTATGCGACAGGAATTATAGCTCAGCATACTTCGATCAATATCATGGCTTATTAGGAAGTTCAGGCTGAAATACTAGCATGTCAGCACAATCTTTGCTAGCACCGACTAGACTCCACTCAATCTGGAGTTTGAAATAGTCGGCACAAATCCCTTTCGAACAAATGTAGTGAGGCATATCGAACGCAACGCAGCACACAACATTATCCAGAGTCAAGTGGCGATAGTCGAACTTGACGGATTCGGTTATGCTCCCCTGCGGTCTTGAAATAGCGTCCTGCCTCGAAGCTGGTTCCTGATTATCAGTAATCGTGAGGAATACTCAGACAGAAGAAAGTTCATCAGCATCGTCAGCTCACCTCCAATAAAGGCTCCCCAATGCTATATTCCGACAAATCTCACTATACCGAATCACCTGGCGATCGATTTCCTCGCCCCAGATCGGCATGTCCGCCAGCACTGCATACCACCGCCTATAGCGCGCATCCAGCATGCTCCCGATTTCATCTACGGCTTGTTGGCGCGACAGTCCCCGCGCGGTTAGGAGCACGATCAAGTTGTGATCGACCCCTTGCTCCTGGATTTCCAGTGAGTTATGGTCTACACTCTCCCCATAGCTCCTATGTTAGTGAACGCCTTACCAGGTCCTTCTTGTATGAAACAAGGTCATTAACCCTGTCAGACTGTCAGATTGCAGCAATTGCTCGGTATATCACAATGGAGCTTGTTCCTTACAGCATCACCAGATCAGCCGAGAGCTCACCCAGCTCCTCGAGGGACGGGTGTGTAACAACATTCGATGGAATATGGATGCCAAGAACACACCTAGCGGATCAAGTCATTCAGTTGTCTTCTGGAGGGAGTTGTTCTCAGGTTAGTGATTCTGGAATGTCCTTACTCGCAGAGAACAATCACCGGGTGCACGCCAATAGTGCGGCGGCGCATGTCCATGTACTCGTCCACATTGCGGGTGAACACGCGCTGTTCATGGATGTGCTCGACCTGCTTGAGAATTCCATCGAAGAAGCCTCGGTGCATGTCTCTGTAGCGCTGTTGCGTGACTATTGTATTCTCATTAGACTGAACTAACATTGAATGCCCTAGGTAGGGTGGTTATAGGTATAATAACCTTCCGACGAGCGCTAGAATATAACAATCAGTCGATACTTTACTAAAACTGCAAAGTCCTAGCAATGGCCATATTTCGATGCTTACCTCCTTTACTCGATCCCATGCTGACTGAAACACGTATCCCAGCTCATCTTCATCCCTCGAAACTCGAGAACGCGTGCCCTCCATGATCGCCATCGTCCGATCAAGCTCCTGCTGCTGCGCAGCAGGGTCATGGCTGAGGTGGCCTTCGTCGAATTCTGGAACAAATGTAGAAGATAAAACAAGAATATCAGTAATTGAGCACACCCGGATATTTATGACTTCTGGCCATAAACATGGATATCACGTCGACCTGCCAGCCTACGATCATCAAACAAGAAGGCCTGACATGCAGCAGTGAGTACTAATCCAGGGATATGCATCAGCAAAGAGAGCAACCCCAAATGTTCTAGTCAATTATCATCCGAAGACCATCCTTGTCGCAGGTCGGTGCCCAGATGGAAGACATATAGGCGAAGTTTACCCTCGAGTTCTTGGCCGCCCAGTTGTCGTCTGCATGGAGGGTCCTATGTGATGTACGATCATGAGTTGAGGGATATGTAAATTGCTCTCTTTTCGGGAAGGATACCATACCGTTGGATCCAGGAATCAGCCTCGGCTTTGGCATCGTGGTAATGTGGGCTGAGGGTCGGTTTGACGGCCATGATGGAGGAGAACAGGTCTGGGAGGTAGACGAGATGTTCAGAGCTGCTCTGCGCCGGGGGTTGGATGGGAGAAACCAAAGCCATGGCTATATAGAATAGATGAAATAGTGTAGATTAGAGTTGAGGTTCTCTCTTGTCTAATTGGAATATACAAGAAAACTTATCATCTCCAGTGGAGGTTTCTTTGAGCTTAAGTAGATTATAAGAAGAGCATTGAAAAAGCCTATACATTGATTGTAGCATACCAGTCTACTAGTTCGAATCTCGGTATATTTGATGTCTGTGCTATTGGTGTTACCCAAAGTGCATTCTGCAGGCGTGGTATCACGCATGGAATCATGCGCTTCAGCGCGAACTTGGCAGGAGGCTATGTATATCTCGCCATAAGGGGAAGCTCAATTCAACCTTGGGGCGCTAAGGTGTAAGATGAGATAGAAGAGGATGTATGCGCTATGGTTGCATATAGATGGTTATACAATGACACAAGCAACTCGACTCAAGTACTCATCCGTGTCTCGTCCGGAAATGGTTTCCGAGCCCAGATTCTCTTCCTATAGAGCTGTCAGTTATATCAAGATACCGACGATCATAGATCAGAAGACGAGAAAGAAGAGAAGAGCAAAAACAAACTCACGCTCGCTCATAGATATGAAACCGAGGATTGGCTATCTCACGTCGCACCTTGGCCACATAAACCTGCACCTCCTCATTGGACCAGGGCACCGGATCTCCAAACTTGGTGAGCAGCCACAGGCCATACCCTTCCATGCCGCCCATCCAGTGATGGAAGTTGACGAGGCCGGCCTCCTTCAACTGCCGATCCCGGGGCCAGGGACCAATAGGCCACTTGTAGTCTTTGGTATGCACATCGACGAACCCGGCCTTCTGGATCGACTCGTGGAAAGTGTTCATGATCATCAGTGGACGGCCTGATTTCTCGGCTGCGCGCTCGAACCGCGGGCCCCAGCCTCTCACGATATTATCGGCGGGCAGGCTGTCATCGTCGCATTCGATGTAAGGGCTTAGTTCGAACTGTTCGATCCAGCCGCCGGGGCGGATGTGGCTGGGTGGAGGAGTGTTAGTGGATCCAGCACAATCTCATGTCGAGCATGTTGAGATGGGTTGTGCGCTCACTCGTAGCATTGCTTGTATAGGCGGTCGGTCTCCTCGGGGGTAAACGCTGAATCCAGTATGCGGAGATGGACAAGGTCAAATGGCTCGCGCCATGTCCATTCTTGCAGGATATCATCCACTTCGAGGATACAGTTGGGTGGCATCCAGTTGACCGGAGGGGGGGAACAGATCCACACCATGGACGGTTGCTGTTGGAGTTAGAATCAAGTAGCACAAAGAAAGACTCGGGATAGTTTACCATCGGGGAACCTGTCTGCAACGTCACTGTGTTGGGGTTAGCGATTGCTCAGTCGATGCGGGACACGCAGACAACATACATGGCCCACGTTCCTTTCCCTGTCCCGATATCAAGAATATGCTGCGTCGATTAATACGTGGATGTTACTAGAAACTCGGCAGGCCACGCACCTTGGGCGAGGGTCCGATTGGTGCTTGGAAGAGGGGGTTGCGCTGGTGGGCGTCCATGATCATCGCCACGATATGCCTGGATGGGTCAGTATCAAGACTCGTGGGCATTTCCAGGCCGATCTTACCCTGCTTCGTAGGCTTCGAATTGTTGGTCATCGGAGGGTACACTGGGATGTTCGCATGAGTATCAATGTATCACTGGGCAGAAGAAATGATCACCACCTACTGGTATTCGCTCGAGCGCAATGATTGGTATCTGACGACTGGTGAGTACAAGGCCGATAGTGTAGAGAATAAGAGTGATCTTTTTTTCCCTTTTACCTTCTGCCATTCTCAATCAAGCCTTTATAAATCGAAGATTGGATGGATGTTGTTTCCCTGCTTTGGGTCAGATTCATTCATGCTTGTAAAAGGCGAGCGCATACGATTGCCAGTCATCGAGATCGTAGTCATCGGTTAATAGATGCGGATTGGGATCCTGGTTAGGTTAACGAATGGATCTGGGAGAGTCGCAGAGTACATACGACTGCAATCGGCTTATCCTCCATGGTTTGAGAAGGATGTGCTGTGAGATTTACGGGAGAAAAGAAGATGAAAAGAAAACCAGGGCGATTCTAGCGTGACGAGCCGATCAATAGTCGTTACGTTCTGCGGGGCGAAGGGATAGTTCATGGCGATTAATACGGGCGTAATCGGCACACTCGACTCATGTGTATATTGGATGTACTTCATATGTTTCAAGTACGAACTATTGAATATGATTGAACATCGTATATAGTAGTCGATGTAGTGGACATGGTGGATCTATTCGATCCTATGCATCAACAAAAGTACACTCATTCCATGGCATCCACGGCATATACGGTTCGGCCTCGGGAGGATCCGCGTAATTTTGTCATTTGGCCGTAAGATTGTCTGCCGCTCCTCGTCTCTCTTTCTCAGTCGATCACATCCATCGCCCCCAACAATAGAGTGATCTCAGACAGGAAGTGTCTGAGATTTCGAAAGGAATATCAGATTCCAGAGAACACGTTGCCCTTCATCGCCCTCCCCCCAGACCATGTATGAATCCTATCGTGAGTCTCTCATATCACCTAACTCTCTGCCCTTCGCTAACCCTCCAGGCCCGCATCCCCTCCTCGCCCAGGTCCCATTGACCGTCTCCCCCTTCATCAATCTCCCCACCTCCGTCACTCTCCCCTACACCTACAAATCCGTCTCCTCGGCACTCCCCCCATCAGTCACAGTCGATCCCAACAACCCCGACGCCAAGGCGCGTTATGTGGTCTCTCCGAGCGGCGAGCATGCCGCGCACCCCGATGAGATCCTCACCGCATGCGACTCGCTGGGACATCACTTGAAGAAGACCCGCAACGATGCCGCCGATGCCATCAAGGCCTGGGAAGAATCGATTCGCCAGCGAGATCTGGCAGAGAAGAGACGCGTTGCGCCCGGGTGGCTGGACCGCGATGAGAAACTGCTGCAGCCGACCAGAACATCTGCATCCCCGAGCTCGAAAGCCGAAGCTGAGCAGAGCCTGCTGGATAGCTCTTCAGTCGACCAGGGATCTTCGACGTTGCCGACTATGGTGCCTCGAAATGAGGGAGAAGAACTTGATAGAGCATTTGGTGGGCTGGGTGTGAAATGAGCTGGAGCCTCATCAGGTTTCAACCAAATTTGCCCTATTCTGATCCTTTGTCTCTGCGCTATCGGGATTTAAACCACCTGGACTCTTTACTAGGCTATATACCGGCATCTCAGCAAATGGTTGAGCCCATCCTGCCTGGTGCTGCACAAGTCCAGCGTTCCCACGAGGCTTTTCGCCCGTGGAGAACCAATTAGAGAGATTGGCCGAGCATTCAACCTATCGAAATCAGGTCGAAGTGATGCTCTGTTGTGCATCACTCACCAAAGTCTCCGGGGAGATTCCTAACCCTCTGAGCACGTCGAGGGGATGCCCTCATCATGATCCTAGTAAGGGTGCAAGAGATCACTCGGTCAAAATTATCAGTCTAGATAGCTTGCTGCAATTTAAAATCGAAACCAAAAGCCAAAATAGGCCATGGTTGCGCACCCATTAGATTGCATATAATGTTCCTCTTGGAGTGGTAGCTACCCAACGGCCAATATATATATTACACAACCTTAAGCTGGAACTGAGGTGAAACATATTCTTTAACTACTATAGAGGCCTAAGACAAGAGTAAGAAGTAAAACAATGCTAGTAAAGTTATAGAATAAATCGCGATATTCAAATAGTCCCATGAGCCCAGAACCATCGGCAGAGCTCAACCGACCCGCGGAAAAGCCCCACACCGAAGCTCTACTTTTCAACCACCGCGATCCCACCTCACTCCAGCAACAAAACCAATTCATCGAGCTACCAACCCCAGACAATTACCCAAATACACTAGAATCCCAAGATGGAGGTTCTCAGTACTGCGCCCGAAGAATCCTCTTTCGTGCCCCTCGCAGAGCACCAATCGCGGACCCCGAGCTCGTTCCACACCGGGCCCCCGGTGCTGTACTATCACAGTCAGCGCTGCAAAGTGGTGATTCTCGAGCGCGATCTGGTCGCCACGCACGCCCTGAATGCTCTGCGCGGCGAGGCCGCTTTAGCGAACGGGGCCAATGGCGCATCGTCTGGCGAAGCGCAGGACGAGGACGAGAAGGAGGTCGCCATTGAAGCGGTGGATACGTGGGTGACGTCCGAGTAAGTCTTACAGCTATCATTCTTTCCTCAAATGAGCCTGGATCATGCCATGGCCCGTTTTGACCTCTGTGTAAACACCTGCTCATTCATGTGCAATCTCACAGCAAATTCCTACTATACTCACCCGCCACCTCTGCCGGCATCTCAATCCCCTACCCCTCGATCTGCCTGCACGCCATCCAGCGACTGCGCGTGCCAGGCACCGACACCGAAGTCCAGGGCCTGTACATGCAGATCGCAACACCGACAGCGCCGTCCGCCGACGAAGACGAAGAGCAATGCATCACATTGACCGTCGTGCCGCCGCACGAACCTGGGTCCGTGGGCGGGAGCTCAGCAACAGTGGAAGCAACCACAGCAACCGTCGCCGAGCGCGCAACGCAAGACCTGAGTGACGCGCCCGAGGAAACCCCCACGCAGCTGCTGTACGACGCGGTGTCGGCATGCTCGAATCTGCACCCGGACCCCGTGGAGCCTGGCGACGAAGAATATGAGGACGATGAAGTAGAGGGCGAGGCAGACGGAGAGGACAAGGTGCCCAGACACCGGACGCTCGAGGAGCAGGGAGAGGCGCTGTACCGGCTTGGGCGTGAGGCGCTTGATTCGCGGAATGATTTGCCGCCGCCTGTGGCGGGCAGTTCTGGGTGGATTACCGCTGACAATATGCATGAGTTCTTTGATGAGGAAGGGAACTGGATTGCTGGTGGGGAGCCGCCTTCGCTGCCGCTTGGGCCTGGGGCGGGTACCGTGCGGGCGCGAGAGGAGAATGGGCAGACAGAAGAAAATGGGGAGGGCGAGGATGATGAGACGAAGTGGCGGCGGACGGACTGAGAATGATCATGGTGGTTGAGGTATAAAAGTTGGGCTGGATATGAATCAGAACCAGTTGATCTTCTAGCCAAATGAAAAAAGACATGGAGATTTCTTTTCTTTATCGACTACATATGGACCCCAGGATTGCTTGGAATTCCCATAAGAGATTCATTTCTAATTACGACTACCTACACCCTGGATATCACAAAGAGAAAAGCGCATGATACACGTCAAGGGGAGAGGAAGGGCTCCAAGAAGAAAAGAAAGTAGAAAGTAGAAAAGAACGACAGGGAAGAAAGATAGAAAACAAAGATAGACAGCACTATTCTTTTAAGAACCCATCACCATCGTACAAGCTAACCGGCGTGGTACACCCGATTCCCAGCCCGAGACTCTTGCTAGTCGGCGTGGTCATGCCGAAGCGAGCAGAGACCGGGGTAGGCGGGGCGCGATGGCTGGGCACGCGCGAAGGAAAGGGGTCTGTCGGGGGCAGAGACCGGAATGCGGCGTTCTTGGAGCGCGTGGGCGAGATATCGACGCCAAAAGGTGGGACGCCAGCCAGCTGTGCGGCGGGGGGTTTGGGCGGGGAGCCGCCGCGGTTAGCATCTTCCCAGATCGTGACGCGGTCGCGGACAGTAGACATGCGGGCGCGCCCGTACAGCGACGAGGATCCAAGCCCGGTCTCTGGAGAGTAGCGGGGGTCGTGGGTGCGACGGGGCGAGCCGGCGGCGTCGGTGCGGGTGCGGTACAGCGAGTCGGTGGATTTGCGCCAGTCGCTGCCCTGTGTGCCTGTGATCAACGGAAGACGGCTTGGTGACCCGGCCACGGGGCTGGTGACCAGCTCGTCCATTGGCTTGGAAGACGTGCGCGTCGAGTTGCTGCGCGTGGCTCGTGGCGGCTGCGTGCGCGGGCCCTTGATGCCTGTTCGGCGTGGGCTGGTGCTTGCCGGGGGTTCTCCTGCATCGTTGGTGTCGGAGACGGCGCGTTTTCGTGGAGAGACCACACGGCCGGTGCGCGTTCGGGGGAGGGCGTGTGCGACAGGCTCACGTCGGTGATGGTAGGGGGAAGGGAAGTGAAGATATCCGGCAAGGCATGGCTCTTGTCCATGCTGGAGTGCTCGTCGGTCGAGTTGATAGGCGCATTTTTCCTCTTCTTGGCCGGGCTCTTGTTGCACGCGGTCTGGGGCTCTTCGGCCAGAGGACCCAGCGATCCGGGTGTTGCCTTGGACCGCCGCGAATCGTACTTGTTGCGCTTGGAAGGAGGAAGAGGAGAAGTGGTATTGAGCGGGATGGCAGGCTGGGACTTGGATAGATCATTAATGGCGCTTTCGCGTAGGTCCAGCTCTTCCATCTTGTCAAAGTCCTCCGGCTCCTCTTCGACCGTGGGAGAGAACGGGGGGCCTCCGAACGTCATGGGCGGGTGGATAGAGATGCGCACGCAATTCTGGCGCCGGTGTCCTTTGCGTTGCGAGTTTCCTCCCTTGAGTGCTGAAGGCAATGGTCCCTTAAGGGACAGGCTGGAGCGCTGCATTGGACTCGGTGGCATATAGCTACCCGTGCTTCCTGGTGATCCAATTGGCATCATCGACCCGCTTGAGCGAGGAGACCCGCCGTAGAACGGGTCATTCTCTCGGGGCTCATTGGCGCAGGCTGAGGATCGCTGGAATTGGCTGAAGTGCGGTACAAAGGCCATCTGTGAGTTGGACACCCGCCAGTTGGGTGGATTGGAGTTCTGGTATCCATTCATAGACACTGGAGTCCCGCTTCGCAGAGACGCGTGTCTCGAGGGTGGGTTGGAGGACAGAGACTCGCTGCGCCGCGGCGGAGCGCTGAAGCGATCACTGGAGTTACTTGAATGCCGGACCGTCATGCTGCGACGAGGCGACATGTGGTCTGAGGTCTTCCTGCGGCCTTCAGCAGTCGAAGATGAGCGAATGGGGAAGTTATGCATGGGCGGCATGGACGTGTTGGTGGCGATAAAGCTCCTGCGGCCATCCTTGAACCCGACATCGTTGGCGCTGTATGGAACGAATGTCCCAAAAGACGGGAAAATCGGGGAAGTGATCTCGGTATCGGCAGACCGCGGGCCATTTCGACCATCATCCAGGATTGAGCTGTTGGTGGTGTCCAGACTCATCGAGGACAGCCGGAAGGTCGAAGCATCTCGCGCGTAGCTGAATCGATCCGGGGGCCATGCAGAAGGAGGTGGCGGCGGGATTGAATGCTCAGGCACCGACCCTGCTGTCTGGCTTGTGATACTGGTACCGCGCACGCGCTGCGACGATTCATCAAAGATCCTTGGAGGCGGGTCGAATGCATTTGGGGAATTGTGGTCTTCCACCACCGGGAACATACTGCCCCGGTCCTTTTGGGTTGGCAAGGGCCATGCCGGTGAAACTGGACGCATGCCCACATGGAACCCAGAGTCCTCTCGGTTCATTTCCGGTGTCTGGCTGGGAGTCCGCTCTGCTGGTAGTTCCAGAACCCCTTCCACTGCGGACAGGGGGATGTCGTCTCTCGACATTGATGACTTGGGCGGAGGACTGGAGTGGTGGTGGGGGTCTGCCTCGCTAACGGTGACCAGTGAGCTCAGCCGGCGGTGCTTATGTGAAGACTTGGACAGCCGCTTTGATCGAGACCGGGAAAGGGAATGGCGCAGAGATCGAGCTTTCTCGGTGATAGTAAACGAGTCCGATGAGTGTTTCGGTCGCAGCAGGCTTTCGCGGGATGTTAGCTGGCCCCATTCGCCTGGTTTGCCAAAGGGTAGCTGGCCATGGGCCCTTAGTGCTGCCCCTTCCTCCTTGGATAACTCCGTGAGGGTATCCGCCGGTAGGGTTTGTAGACTGCGGCCAAAGTTGCCCTGTCGGATGTTGAGCAACGCCAGTGCATGGCGCTCCTTGCGCACTCTAACCCAGACGACAATTCCAACCACTGAAAAAGCTATGAAGATGGCCGCACCAGAGGCGGCAATGGCGACGACGCCGCTCAACCCCAGCATGGTCGCCTTGCTGGCGTGCGACTGGGGGGTTGGTTTCGACTCCGAGCGCGCGTCGTTCGCAGACAGGACCCTTCAAACTCTCATCCGTAGCAAAATCGTGAATGGTGACTTGTCTGATCGATATCGTGACTTCGCAGAGCTATTTGTTCAGCTCAGCCAAAGGAGTCTGACAAGATGGGGATGGCTCATCCACCAAAAAGACAACAAAGTCTCGCGATGGAGCGAGATTGCACCAGCTGGACCATGCTGGAATTCTCTTCCTGGGGCCCTTTGTTGTTATGGGGGAATTGCTCGGCACTCAAGAATGTAAACTCATCACCATCGGAGGGTGAAGAATGCTGGCGGCCACACTGACCCCCACCCCCTTCCTTGATGGCCCATGTCATATTGGGCAAAGAAAGGTGGTTTGTGAGAGGTCCGTGGGAGATTTTTTAGCTGGTTGGAATGAGAGTCGAATGTTCTGATTGGTATCACATTATCTGATACAGCTATGACCCTGTCGCCCTGGTCAGAGCTGGCTGTGGAGAGTGAGCAGCCTTCTCTCCCAACCTCCCAGACTTGATAAGTCGCCCATAATGGCGCAGGAAAGTCCCCATCCTGAGTATGATGTGATGTTAGCTGGTTAATGCCAGAGGTCCCAAGATAATCGCGGGGGACCAAGCCATGTCGGCTTCGGGCAAATAAGCCACATGCGTCAGGGATGTCCGATTGGACCCCGATAGCGGTGGATATTGGAGTCTCCAAGAGAGCCAGTCGCCGAAGCCAATGCGCTCGGGGCTACTTGCTCGCCCGAATCTCGGGTTGCGGCAGACCGTTTCTCGGTGTTAAGCTGGGGATCTGGGGATAGCCTCCCCATCGGAGTTGATGATAAGTCGGGTATTACCCGGGTGTTAGCAGTTATGATTCTTTGCAAATTTCTGGGTTATCTGACTTCACACGGCTAAATTTGAAGGACGAGTGTTCTTGGGCCCGGACGACAACAGTCCGTCTCAAATGAAGCTCCGGGATCAGGTGACCCGAGTGACAGAAGCCCCACTTCCACTTGAGTCCTCCCATCTCAAGACTCAGACAAGACACAAGACTGAGAGAACTCTTGGCAAATGAGACTATGCAATCGACAGTCAAATATGGCAACGAATCACAATGCAATGGCCGATATGACACACCCATTCCACCCCCCGCCAGGGATATCCTGGGGCACATAGCGTGATATCCACAGCTCGGACAATGAGACAGCCCCCCCCCCCCACTATGGCTCGGATAGTCTTCGTCTTGGTTCCCCGCCAGCGCATCACTGTCCTCCGGTTCTGAGTACCACCTGGGCCCCTCCCGAGATATATTTAAGCGATATTCTGGGCTCTTTTTATCGTGTCTCTCCCCCAACCTTCAATTCTCCTTATCCTCGCCTTCTTTTGATATCTACCAGCATGGCCGCCAACCCGGTTCAGAATGGACTGTTCGTCCACGATAACACTACTGCCCCCGAGCATCCCAGCCTGATGAGCATGTTCTCCCTCAAGGGGAAGACAGCCATCGTGTCGGGTGCCGCTGCTGGTATCGGTCTCCATGTCGCCCAGGGTCTGGCGGAGGCCGGTGCCAACGTAGCGCTGTGGTGGGGCTCCAACTCCAGTTGTATCGAGCGGGCCGCCGAAATTGCCTCCCAGTACGGTGTGCAGGGTACGCTGCGTTTCAGTCAACCATGATTTGAGTAGCTTCAGACTGACATGCTATTATCCTGTCTCAGCCAAGGCGTACCAGGTTGAGATCACCAACGCCAGGACTGTTGAGGATGCCGTCAATGCCGTTGTCAAGGACTTCAACGGTCGTCTGGATGTCTTCATTGCCAACGCTGGTGTCCCCTGGACTCAGGGCCCCATGGTTGATGGCTCTCTGGACCACTACCGCAAGGTTATTGGTATCGATCTCGACGGCACTTTCTATTGCGCCAGGGCGGCTGCCGCACACTGGCGCCGCCAGAAAGAGGAGGGCACCGATGCTAACGGCAACAAGCTGGCCAACTTTAACCATGGCAGCTTTGTGGCCACGGCCTCGATGAGTGGTCACATTGTCAACTTCCCTCAGATGCAGGCCGCGTACAACGCCTCCAAGTCTGCTGTCATCCACCTCTGTAGGTTGCTTTCCATATGGGATTAGAGTCTTTCGCTAACATTTTCTTAGGTAAATCCCTCTCTGTCGAATGGGTCCGCTTCGCCCGTGCCAACACCGTTTCCCCGGGGTACATTGCCACGGAGATTTCCAACTTTGTCCCCGAGGAGACCAAGAACATTTGGCGCGACAAGATCCCCATGGGTCGTGAGGGTCTTCCTCAGGAGTTGAAGGGTGCTTACCTCTACCTCGCCTCAGATGCCTCCACCTACACCACCGGTGCCGATATCGTTGTTGACGGTGGCTACTGTGCGCCGTAGATCATATTGAAGAGATTTGATTTTGTTGCAAAAATAAGCGAAAGCGAAACTCACAAGAGGCCGGGCTTGATTTTGGGGTTTCATATGATTCTATACGAGACGATGAACGAATGGATGACCAAAAGTCGGTGGACGACCTCAGCAGCCTACTAATGAGCTTCATGACATAGAAATAGAATGATCATACACAAGAGCACAAAGTATCTGGCTGTAAAATTCTTCGAAACCGTCAAGTCAGAATAAGAGGAGTGTGCGAGGATGTCGAGCTAAGAGCGCCGTACGCAGCCACCGGCAGGGAACCCTGGTCATTCGACCCTGTGCAATAGCTGTGGTGAGCTGTCTCATCTTCAATAGGGTTGTTCGTGCCAATTTCCAGACCGCCTCTGTTTGGGTCAATATAGCCGACTGTGCTCAAGATTCAATAGATCAACTGATCTTTGAAACGAAGGCGTCCTTTAATAGTGAGGAGAGACTGATCGAGAGGGAAAGGCCAGGTAATTCTATTTTTAAGCTTCCTAATATACGATAGGCTTGAATTATACGGGGGGAGGGTTGTCTGAAGACACTAAAAACACTGAAAGTGGACCGAGAAGAATGAAATCCCCAATTAAAACCCTCATTTTAACGAGCATACTTGGGTAAAAGAGCACATGAGACTGTGGGAGATGTCAAAAACGTACGTACGGCCAACGGACTTGTTTGTGCATATACTTCTTACCCTAATGCTACTCCGAGCCCGCGAGGGTAGCCCATTATATGGCTGAATGGTGGCATATAATTATTGGGGATTGCTTGAACTTATCTATGAACTATCCGTGCTTCTTAAGTCGGGACACTGTTTGGGGTACTGGCAATCAAAGGTAGTAGCTACGTAGCTAGAAGTAAACAATAAATTAAGAAACAATAAATTAAGACAGAAAAGAACCTAGAAGAAGGGGGTAGGAACTAGGTCATCTACTGCAGATATCCACGAAATAATCTAAAATAACTCAGTCTGTTTATTAAGAGGATATTTATCAGGCTAACATCGAACTACCCTCCTGATATAAATAGGCACATGTGGTAGATACCCTACTACGTCCCAAACTACTAGGGTGTGGGAACAATCGACAGTTAATCAAGAAACTAAAACACATAACCAAGGCCACTGAGATTAAGCAACATGGCAAATTCCCGAAACTTATTCATGCGTATATATATATACATCGAGACTTCATCCAAGTTGCATATGCCGGCAATTCATCTGACAGCTGTCAGTTCCATCCGTCCCACTCCAGTGCAGGGGTTGAGGTAACACAGCATATATGCAGCGTAGATCTGGGGTACATATAGGGCTCAACTTACAAAAACCACGTTTTAGGGGACGATCATTACAGCAGACCGATAACCACATCGCCATAGATCTGGGCATCCAGATCGAGACGCACGCGGGCATGCAGGTTAAGATGGATCTTGATCTTCAGGCTCTCCTTCTCGTCGGTGCCCGGCGTGACACCCGGCATCTTCATATCGCTGGTCGGAACCAAGCCGCTGACACCGTTGGGAGCGCTGGCACCGCCGGTATTCTTGTCGAGAGCGGGCAGCTCCTCCTCGGGGCGGTTGCCCTTTCGGCCTCCCTGGGGCCGGGTCTCCGTCGCAGGTTGACTAGGTGGTGCGGAGGGAGTGTTAGTAAGGCCCATTTGGGGTGGGGTGGTGGTGATGCGGTGTGGTTTTGGTTTTGGGGCTGGGGGAGGTAGCCTCGGCTTGAGCTTGGGTTTCTTCTGAGCCAGGAAAGTTTTTTGGCAGGTCAGGCCCAGGAACCACGAGACTATGGCCAGTTGGGGGAGTGGGAAGGAGAATTGAAAGAGGTGGAGGAGTGGGAGGGCCAATTGAAGAAATGGTTGTAGTAGATACACAGTAGCTGGGTCGGCCATCGTTTTTACGACTAAGTCGAGGGGGGAGTGTAGTATAATAGAATTCAAAGGAAGGATAGTAGAAAAGATTGAACACAGCAGAAGGGAATACCTGGTTTATTCGACAATAGGAGAGCCATTATGTTTCAATTCCACTGCCAGCTCGTCCGAGGATCTGCACTCCAGCCGTATCCATTCAGCCTGTGCCCCGGTCTACCATGCTTGGCTTGAGCTGAACTGTAGATAGCATGATGTAATTTTATGGGGACTGCGTGGTCCTTACGATGGCTCTTCTCCACCGAGAGGATTAGTTGGTTTTGATGTGTTTTTGTTGTATTATTATTTATGGAGCTGGTGTTATACCTAGCGTAATAGTTCTTCACTCTTTCCCCCAGCACCCAAACACCCGCCAATCTACCCACCTAGGTAGGAATTCCACCTATATCCACGGGTGTTCACAATGGTCCTCGGAGTCGTCATGATGTCAGCCATGCTGCCCACCATGATTGGCCTGAACGAGGCCACTCAGGGCGCGCGCAACCAGGAGGAAGATCGTCGGGATTCGGCGCGCAAGCAGCGCTGCCACTTGCTAGCCACCTGTTCGTTAAACCAAGGTACCTCGGACCAACGCGAACAGGTTCACAATGCTCGGGTATATGTGGGGCAGGATGGGAATGTAAGTTTTTTGTTTTCTTGTTATACAGTGAAAATGACGAGGTTGGGGAAGAAACAAAGCACCTAACTCGTGAGTTTTCTCTCTTCTAGCTTTATATCACCAAATACCCGACGTCTACCATGGCCCCCTTGAACGGCGGCTTCTATACACATCCTGACTTCCCCCCGAACAATACCTCGGGTCTGGTAACAGTCAGTGGTGAGCAGACGCCCACACTGCGGTGGGTATTTCTAGACGCCCACACCCACCAAATGCGATGGGGAGGCCGCCCAGACACTCAGGGCCACATATGTGGGCCCTTTGACTGGACGCGAGATATGCAGTACGTCACGCTCGAGGGGTGGGAAGGGTGGTTAGCTGTACGACTGCCGGATGTTCAAGCGGACCAGGTGGAGAATGGCGGCAGTGAGATTTGGCGGCTGTATTTCGACCGGCGGGACAATGGAGCCGACCTGCCACCAGGAGCGGAGGGACTGGAAATTCGACTTAAACGAGCAATGGCAGAGTCTTGAACGTGTGTCTGTACGATAGTGGAGACCGGGGCCAAAGCCGAGCTCGTGAGCTCAATTCCAAACCAAACCAGCATATGTAGCATGTATCATCTATGCCATATTAGGCCTTAGGAACCCTTTCGGATTTAAGGATGCAATGCGTCAAGTTGCGGAGCGTATCGAGCGAGAGAAACAGTAGTGTATATGGCATAGGAAGGAATAGGCGGGCTTCGCCCTCTCTATTTGCCGAATTCTTAAGTATAAAATTCGGATTCAATCCCCCGGGCGACGACACTTAGCGATATGACAGAACCGCACCGAGCTGAAGAAAATGGCGCCAAAAGTTGCTGGATGAACAGTGGATCGGATCCACAATACGATCCATGTCGATGGCGGAGATTGCCAATACCCACTATTATGCAGCTAGTAATCCTGGTGGTTCAAGGAAGCGCTCCACTACATGCAGCTTGTCAGTTCGGGAAATCGCTGAAAAGTGGGCATTTTTCATACAGTAGATCGAGTCGGGTTCTGGTTCTTCCTGCGCCATTTTACTTTGGTTTTGATTTTTGATGGAAATTGACGCCGAAGACAGACTGAGCTAGGAATCAGAGTCTGGGTCATTGCTATTCAATGAATCCACTTTTTTTCTTGGGCGATACCATTCCTGGACGGGGGTTTTTGCAAGCCGTGGGAATAGGCAGCGACTTTGATGGACACAAATTGACCGGGCTTAATTTGGGCTTACTCGCAAAACCGATAATATACCCTGTGGGAAAAAGTTGTACATGTACAATAGCTACATAGTAAGCATAACACTGGTAGTTCTCCAGGCTAGTTGGCCAGTCAAGACCTTCCCCAATCAAACCCTAAATCACAGCTCCTTGTCTATGCAACCATAGTTGCCACAGCACTGCTTCTCGCCATTCCTCCACACGCAGTTGTTCTGGTCCGAGTGGATATCACAGGGGACTTCCTTCAGCTCAAACGGAACACACATCTGGTCATCGCCATCATAGAATGACAGAGGTGACTGGAGGGTGGGCACAGCAGGGCCAAGTCCCCACTGGAATCCAGCCAGACAGTACTTACCGCACGGCCACTTGCTCAGCGAGAACTGGCCTGCGGTGGTGAAGTCATCCTGGCGATACACATGGCCACTTGTGCTGCAGAACGACAGCCACTTGGTGGCGGGATAGTAGCCGCCCCATTTCCTAGGGCCCGTGTGGAGGTCCCGGATGAAAACTTGGTCGGACGGGTTGACCGGCAGTCCGGGGGTGCAGTGGCCATCCCGGCACAGCTGGAACTTGCCATGCATCTCTGACGCACTATCCGCATGGTATTTGCCGTCACCGTGGTGGCTGAGGTGGTTGGCATTGTCGGACTTGAAGGTGTAGCACTTGCCTGATTGAGCGAATTTCTGTTAGCAAGAACTGAAGGAACAAAGAGAAAAAGAAAAGCAATCAGAAGGTTCACCACTCACCGGTCTGGAGACCAGAAGCACAATCCACCGGAGCCGGGGCCTTCTTCACTTGACAAGACCCATCGTATGCCTCGACCGTGTTGGGCGGGCAGGCGCATTCGCCGTTGACCAATTTCTTCCCATTTTGGCAGACCTTCTCACAGAAGCTGCCGTTGAAGGTCTGTCCAGCCGGGCAGCACTTGTATCCCACGCCGCGGGAGCCGACAACATCGTGGCCCTCGGGACAGCAGTGGAACTCGGTGTCAACGCTGCCACGGAGCTGCTGGTATACACCGCAGCAGGCGAAATGCCGCTGGTTGGGGGTCAGAGCGGGCCTTTGGCCATCGTAGCATCTGCGGATCACCTCATCACAGGGATAGTTCTGTGAGTGGTCGCAGCCGGGGTCTGTCCAGCGGATCTCATTGTTGGAAATCCTAGCTCCTGGGGGGATCTCCCGGGTAGGTACTCCGGGGTCTTGAGCCAGGGCTGTCTGGACAAGGAGGGCCAAGTAGTAAAGATGGAAGCTCTTCATGGTGGGGTTTCTGGCGCTGTGAATGAGGAGAAATGAACAATATTGGGGAAGGGAGTGCACAGGGCGGATGGGAAGATGGGTTGCTCCTTAATTTGAATCTGCCTTATATGCACCTGATAGTCTTGCATCTGCTTCTCATTTTCCCCCGATCCCAACCACCTCCCCTTCGGGGCATAGTGACGAACGACCGACATAACTCGAACCCACTCGAACCACGAAAGGTAGCGGTGGAACCACAGCTCCAGGATCATGCCGGCTCAGCTCTTGGGAAAATCCTGGATGTGGAGATGAGAAGGAAATGCCTCATCGTCTCCTCATGTCCCGACGATCTGGTCTGTGCCAGTCTTCGCCGACGATCTCCAGGCACCTGTTCGACGTCAGGATTTGCGCCCGATAGCCGATCTTGCCGAGTGGCCTCTGGGCCATTTTCATCATTGAGCCAATTGACTAGAAAGCTAGCAACATTGGGGCCTCGTGGGATCCTGCAACCCACCCATGTTGGGCCTCATCTTATGTCGATCCACAGAGCCGAACAGATGATCTCTTGGCATCGTGGCCTTGAAATCTTCTTCCAAGCAGAAATACTAGTTCGCGGGGATGTGGAGATGCCAAATATTGGGATTTATGGAACGGGGACGGCTGGTGCCAACCCACCCGTCTCCACAGTATATCGTCGCAGTCGGTAAACAATGAAGTGCATCTTCCCATGAGGTTCTTCTTTGCTAGTCCGGTGGATCGGCCTGGCGGAGATGTCAACTCCACTGGTTTTACTCGCGTAAGAGGAATGGGGCAGTTCCTTACAGGAGTTCCCTCGGCATGTCTTTTAGCGTGGCAGCCGGTTTACCGGGGTTGTTTAGGGTTAGGATCGTCCAGGAACACCGCGTTCCTACAACGATGAAAGATACTCTTTGCTCCAAGAGCTTTATGCTTAATATGGTGTTTAATTAGCATTCAATTCATAAGAAGCGTGCAACTTCTTTCTTTTCTACTCTTGTATGAACCAACTAAGATGCGTAGCAAGTCAAAGTACTCTTGTCCAGGAAAATCTCGGTATCTCCAGACAAGGAACCACTACCGGTCCACTGATTCAGATAGCTGAAGCAATAATCCGTCGGAGCTGCCGCTCGCTCCACACTCAAGCGTCATCGGCGGTTTTCTCAGCTGCAGATGGATTGCGGCGCTGATGTCTCCCACGAACCCAGTTCGCCACTTGTTCTCTCGTCCTTTGTGATTGGCGTGAAGATTCTGCTCTGGGGATCCAAATACATCAGTCCTGTAATAGCAATAAGATCAGCACTCGGAGCAGTCTGATCCCGGAGCTCGGGAGATGCTAGTTCTCGATACCCACCTCAGGAAAGGGCTCGTGCCAACCCAAGCATGATGAAAAGTCCCAAGTTTTTGGCCCACCCCATATCCCACTACCACTTGGGATGGTTTAAAAAGATCTGCTTCTTTCTCGGGGAAAGCCATTTCCTTCAAACCATCTGGTTACTGTTTTTCTCCCTCTTGTCTGCACCCCAGTCCCTCACTGGCTAGACAATGACTCGATTCTCCCTTCTTGCTCTCGGAGTCTCACTCCTGGCAACCGGGACGCTCGGTGACTGCGGATCCCAGCAGCCATGCCAGGGTCAGGGCCAGGGCCAGGGCCAGGGAAGTGGCTGTCCTCCCAATGCCGCGTACCTGATCGATCCTCGGGTCAACCGTGGTGGATGCTGCCCGCCTGCCGGCCACAAGTACTTCTGGGATGACAAGTCCCAGACTGGCAGCTGCTGCCCGGACACTACTGTTGGATTCGATGGCTATATGTGCCAGAACCCTCAGTACCCGCCTCAGCAGGACTGTGGCGGCTGCGGTGGCCAAGGGCCGAACCCTAACTACAACAATGTCAACACGAACACAAACACCAACACAAACCAGAACTGGAACCAAGGCCCCGGCAGTCCCCCAGGCGGCCCTCCTGGTGGTCCCCCTGGCGGTGCCCCCGGTGCTCCCCCTGGCGGTACCCCCGGTGCTCCCGGCGGCCCTCCTAGCCCTGGTGGTCCTAGCCCTGGTCAAGGGCAATACCCCCCCAACTACAACACAAACACCAACACCAACACAAACCAGAATTGGAACCAAGGTCCTGGTGGTCCCCCCGGTGATCCCCCTGGCGGTCCTCCCGGCGGTGCTCCTGGTGGTCCTCCTGGCGCTGGCCAAGGACAGTACCCTAACTACCCTAACGGCAACACCAACACCAACACCAACACCAACCAGAACTGGAATCAAGGACCTGGAGGCCCTGGTGTTCTTAACCCCGGTGGTCCTCCTGGCACTGGCCAGGGCCAGTACCCCAACTACCCTAATGGCAACACGAACAACAACCAGAACACCAACACCAACCAGAACTGGAACCAAGGTCCTGGTGGTCCTCCTGGTGGTGCCCCTGGTGCCCCTGGTGCCCCCGGCACTGGCAATTGCGTCAACCTGTGCAACGGATCCAAGGGTAACGGCACCGGCGGCGCCTGCGACCCCAGCCAGCTGTCCAACGGCTGCACGGAGCGCATCTGCCCTGACCCCAACGGCGACAAGATCGGTCTCGAGTTCGGCTCCTGCTACCGACTCAAGAACCCGCAGGGCAAGGCCCTCAACAAGCGCGACCACGGCATGCAGGACTACGTCTGGGGCGGCTACTACGCGGACATCTACCAGTTCCGTATCTGCCGCACGACTGACGACTGCTCCAAGGGCGAGGAGATCTCCATCAACACTCCGTTCGTCATCAACGACCAGATGGGCCGCACTAGCAAGAGCAGCCCCGACACCCTCTTCTGGATCATCGAGCTTCCGTTATGGCACTTTGGTACTCTGGAGGTTGCTAGCCAGGCTATCAAGTTCACTGCCCGCCCTTGGGTTGGCGACACCTGTGGTGTGTGCTTGATGGGTGAGGGCCGTGGTCTCGGACCCGTCTGCCCTGGTGACAACCCCGGCATTGGGTTCAAGGAGAATCCCCGCTACTGTATCCCGATGATTATTGAGAAGGTTCCCTGCCTTCAGGGCGATGGCAACCTTGAGAAGGCTCCCCAGGGTGCGCCCCAAGGTGTTCAGGGTGCTCCTCAGGGTACGGGTGGCCGTGATGAGCTGTAAAAGAGCAGAAGAGAGATTGATGGTTATATGGATTGTCACTAAATTGAATTAAGACGGTGCTTTTGCCTAATGCACTACAGGCAAGTCACCAACTGTAGCCATCTTCGCTATACTTCAGAGTGTAACTATTGTACGTTAACTCTTATCCGCAATGAAAATTTCAGGAAGCACGGTATGTGCAATGAGCCTTCGTCACTTAATTGGTAGGAAGGCTAAGCACCATGAGAGACCCATGTTTAGTTGTATATCTCGTCGGGCGCGGCATTTTCGGTCCAAGAAGCAGCACGTCAATAGCCTATAGGTATTCACGATATCCCACTTTTTATACTTTTCACATCCCAGATAGACCCAGATAGATATGGAAAGGATATTCACAAGCACGAGATATAAGTTGGGCCCTTCCTCCAGTGTGATCCAGTGTGATCCAGCACTTTATACCTTCTGTGTTTCAGTACCCATCCACCCACCATGTCCTTCATCGGCGCCATCCTCGCCAAAGCTGTCGCTGGAGTAACCTATCTCTTTGTGTTGCCAGGTCTGCGCGCCTGCCACGATGACACCGAGCAAGTTCCCTCGCGAGACCCCGGACGCACCATCAAAGTCCACATCTACCGCTCCTCCACACCATCCAAGTCCTCCCCGGTCCTCATCAACTTCCACGGCAGCGGGTTTTTAATTCCCCTGCATGGCAGCGACGGCGACTGGTGTCGCAAAGTCAGCCGCAAGACCAACTACACCGTGCTGGACGTGCAATACCGCCTCACGCCCGACCACCCCTATCCTGCAGCACCTGATGACGCCGAAGACGTCGTGCTGTGGGTGCAACAGCAGCAGCGCGAGGGCCTGCAATTCGGTGATGGGCGTATCGCGCTCTCTGGGTTCAGCGCAGGCGGCAATCTCGCGCTGGGGGCTGCGCCGCGGTTCCCACGCGAGACCTTCCACGCCATCCTGGCTTTCTACCCGTGGCTGGATCTGGACAAGAACCCCTGGCTGAAGATCGCCCCGAATCCGCTCTCAGTGCCTCTGCCGGCCTTCCTTCTTGACTTGTGTCGGATCGTCTATGTGCCCGCTAACGTGAGCCGGAAGGACCCGCGCATCTCGCCGGTGTTTGCGCCTGTGGACAACTTCCCTGATCGTGTTCTGGTTGTCACTGCCTCGTGTGATACTCTGGCTTGGGAGGGCGAGAAGATGGTAAAGCGCATTAATCAAGATCCTAATCGTAGACGCAGCGCCGAGTCTCAGCGCATGGGCTGGTTCTGTGGTCATGGATGGGATAAGTATTCCCTGTGGGGTACGCTGTGGTGGTGGGCGAAGGAGAAAGCGTATGGAAGGGCGATTGCTATGCTATCGAATTGATTTTGGGACATTAGGGTCTGAAGGGGGGGGCTGCAAGTTAACACATGGTGATCATGGTGGTTTATACTAGCTAGGGCATTTTGTGTTGAAGGGTTCATGATGAGCATCCAGCAACAATATTTGTTGTTTGGTGGGAGCTTCTTATGCTCGGTGCAATGATTTCTGTACATGTCGCCATATTAGTTCAGTCGTTATATCTTTCTGGCCTTTCTCTACGTGCCGGCAACGATTTGATGAGGGTACTCAGAGTCAAGGTCATTGAATTTCAGTCATTACAAAGAGCGGACTAAAGTAATCAAATCTCCCAACTAGCAGCCATTCCAAAATGAAACAGGCACATGCGGTGAATTTTCGAATCCAAGGATTATTTTATTCGAAGTGGTATTCTCACTCAAGTACAATATTGTTCTGTCGTCCCGTCAGTAGAAGTACAGCCAAGGAAAGATAATCAGCCCTGTCCGGGTAAAGGCATACATCAGGCTGCATGTATTCTACATGTCGGGCTCCATCCCTCCCTGCCAGCGCTGCACCGCCCACTCAACCATACAATCGAGCCATGCGCTGGGCCCGCGTCCCTCTTGGATGCGGTGCTGTAGCTCTTGCTCCCACGCCGGTAGCAGCAGCGATTGAGAACTCAGTGCTGAGTATTGGTGTTCTGGTGAATTTGTGGACAGTTGCGATGCCGATGATGGATCAGAGGCCGGTGATGCCGTTTGGTGGTTCTGGAGGTCCTCGCTGTACTGGAGAGCTGTGTATCCATGATGCGTGCCCCGGTCGGTGTGCATATCATCTTCAACATCCGTCCCCGGCTCTTCTGCAGGATCCGACATTGACCAAAAGAGAGACACCTCCGAGCTTGGGTCCGTTGAGGACGATTCTGTCGTTGAAGTATCACTGCTCGAGCAATGGAATTCGGGCATTTCTAACTCGTCGTCATGGACCTCGAAGGCACCCACGATATTGGATGGGCCTGCGACTTTCTGTCTAGCGTCGCCTGGGTGTTGGTTGCGTCTGTGCCGTCTAAGGATCATGAATCTTCCTCGACGCCAGAGACGGAGAGTGGAGCGGAGGCATTTTTGGAGGTATTTCCAGAATGATTGGTGATAGAGACAGACGATGAAGGCAAATGAGACCAGTAGGCAAATCATCGGGAAGAGGAGCGAGGCCTGTGCCATGGAGCTGGCGATTAGCTCTGGCAGGGCTGAGAGATAGTAACTAAGCTGACTGGATAACTCAAGATGCAAGCACAGACGCGAGCAAAAGCCGAGGTGGTCAGGTGGTCAGCAGGTACAGTGTTCTCGGGCGAAGCTGGACTTGAATCGACACTTTGCGAGAAGACGAAGTGGGGGTTTTTCCAGTGATGCTCGGTCGCTCTCTTCGTTTAGTGCCATTCGATGAGATACCACCAATCGAGACCGGTATTGATATTAGAGATGTCTTGTTTCTTCTATTGAACTTTGTCTTTAGAAGTCTGAATCGAAGAACCGTTGTATTTTAGCATTTAGCTCATCTAGGCAGCTGTACTGGATTAGTACTTCGTAGAATCTATACAGGACTTGAGAATATTATTTTGAATAGGCGAAAACCAGTAGGAAAGAGGTGACGACAGATGGACACGAATGTTCCCCGATGATCGCCAACCCAAACCACGTTGAGCGTCTACTGATCGAGTCACGCTCCCTAACAATGCAGATGACAACCCTAAGAATCTCTTGATGCCTCGCAAATGTCAGTTGATCTGCGACGTAAGAATATCGCCTAAGAATACTTATAATGCACCTCTGGACCACTGTCGCGGGGGACTGTCTTCTACCTGCTATTCACAGCCCTATTCATCATCCAAGGGTTGTAGCCCTCACTCAGTGTCTGCCTGTTCAAAAGCCCTTTGATTATTCTCAGTTTCATTGTCTCTCAGCGACCATTCACCTCTAGTCTCTTGATTGACTGGATGAATACCACCCTTTCATTCATCTCGACCCTTACCCCCCGAATAGCCATCAATGGAGTGCTATTTTTTCTTCGTGCTATTCATGGCATTCATCTACACTGAATGATCCAATGTGATATAAATATATGGCCAGCATCTTAACCTTGTTTCACCTACGAGTCTCGATTATCAAGTATTCTATCTTCTTCATCTGTGACCAATATCCTGCCAGCGTTACCCACAACCCAACATGACGAATCCAGACCTCCTGAAGCAGGAAAGAGAGTGGAGAGAGATTGAAAAGAGAGAGAGGGTATGCCACATTGAAGAACATCTCAAAAAAAAACATCATTCACTAATCCAAGCCCACTGGCTTGTAGGTGGAAGCCGCCAAAGAAGCCCTGAACTGCAGCAAGTGCCGGCTGGCAGTCACCGAAGAAACAATGGCCCTTGAAATCGAGAGCGGCAACTTCATCCTCACCCAATACCCACCCTGCTTCGCCAACACCAACAAGCGAGACGAGCACATCTCGCCGCTGGACACGGTCGATGACCAGGAGGACTTCACCTACTGGAAGCACCTCTCGCGAGCAACCCAACAGCAGTATCATGACCGGGTCGAGGAGCACCTCGACAAGGCCCTGGCAAAGCTCGACAAATTCAACCCGGAGCTGGTGGCACTCTTCGCCCACTACCAGGTCGCCTACCACATCCGGCAACACTACCTCGCTCGCGGCGGGGTGCTGGTGTTGTGCCGTAGCAGCGACGACGTGCACCAGCTGCGACGGTGGCAGTGGGAGATGGCCCACGCGGATGGGACTCTGTCTGCCGATACCGGGGACAAGGTGATGGAGGAGGATGAGGTGCCGTGGGTTGTGGATTGCGAGCGGTGGCAGTGGCCGCACGACGCCAACCTGCTCATGATGCACCAAAGCGCGCTGTGGCGGCGTCGGTGGCGACGCCGGCAGCGGCGCGTGGAGGAGGTCCGGGTTCGCTGGGCGCTGATCATGGAAGAACGGTGGCGGCAAAGAGAGATGCTCCAGCTTAAGCAGGCGTCCACGCTGACTGTTCGGCTGTATTGTCGGGGCGAGCTCTGGGATGTGCGGGAGCTGGAGCGGTCCCCGGATCTGGAGGTTGTGTCGTGGACTGGGCGGATGACGCGCAGTACAGGGTTTTGACAGAAGTTTATTCGATTTTGAGGGAAAGGAGAGAGGGGAGAGAGGGAGAAGGCTGGTTCGCCCTCTAACGTTTCTATCATTCATGATCACAGGCAGGCCTGTCGACTATCTGCATTACTATCATTGTTACTGTCTCCTTTTTCCTTCAGATGTTCTTTTCGCGGCCATCTCAAGTAGATGTCATGCGACTTGACTGCTGCTCTGGCATACATAAACAAGCAGTCAACAATAAAATCAACCAGTGCTTGGCTTATAGGTTCCACAGCTTGCGAGGAATTCGTTGCACAGACTATACCCCAGAATCTAGAGGGCCATAGAATGCTAGTACGACAGCAGTAGGTTCAAACACATGGTCGAGATCATTCCTCGTGGATAGCCCTCGCAAAGCTTAGATCAACAGTACGCTAATTTACTCGCCGTTGCTCGGAGGATATCATACCCCTTCGGCCGAATGTCACTACTTTACGTGCTGCAGTAATACATCTGGTGGTTGATAGACTTCGCATTGCAATAACATCCTGTGCTTACCTTTTACTAGACTCTGCATGGTCACCAATGCACGGCTCCGAGGCTTACATGTGGTAGATCTTGGTAGTATTGTGGGTTGCCATATTGAAGCAATCCATTACGAAGAATCTACAACTATCTCTCTCTGACTACATAGTGTCTCAGTTTTACTTTTAAAATTTCTCTTCTTTGATTCTCAAGGGTAGTATCTAGAAGAGGAGTGTTCCGAGTGGCAAGATCATCTACATGCAAGCTCCCGAGCTGTATAGATTTGCTTGGGTGTCAGCAATAGCAAGAGGCGTTACCCACAGCCATAATCCCCGGTCATGCATACTTCTAGACAGAATCAAGTATACATACAGATTCGAAATGTACAACCCGGGACTTCATCCGTCATACGAAAAGCATATTCTCATGGAAACCAAACAGCCCGATATCTATAAAAGCCATTGAATCTTCCATCGAATCGAAGGTTCAATTGACTATATTCACAGACCACTTACTACCTGCACTCAATCTTCCATTTTCGATCCAAAAGCGACACCAAGTCATCATGCGTCCCATCGCCATCTTAACCCTCCTCTTCGCCGCCATGGCCATCGCAGCACCTGCTGTTGAAAATGCCGACAACGCCGATAACGAAGCTGTCGTCGAGGCCAATGCCAATATCCCCGATGCTGAGTTGGTTGCCGATGGCCTTGACTCCGAGGCGCGGTGCAGCAGACGCTACTATGATTGCATAGCTGTATGGATCCCTACTATATCTATCTGTTGTATCAAACTACTCTGTCGCTAGTGGAGTGTGGCATCTTTGAATTGGGGAGATGCTGACTTTTATTTCTAGAGATGCCCCCGACGACATGGTGAACAGTGCAGACGGGTAAGTTGTTCTTTTTGTTGATTTATTTGTTTTTCTTTGGTACTGACTGATGTTAGCGCTGCTACAATGCCTGGTGCCGTTAGCGGAATGGCTTGTGGTTACTGTATGCCTGCACTTTTCAACAACCTGTGGGTGTATTCCAGATAGTGCTGTCCTGACAATTTCAAAGCGAAGGCAGGACTGTGATGTTCCAGTAATATTGGAGGCAATGGTTTATGTTGGACTTTCAATTTTTGTACTGGACATTGATGGTCCGAATTCGAACATAGTCTCCATATTGTCTTTTTGTTCTGTTAAACCCGTACCTTGGCAATTCCAATAAACCTGTCCTGTAGGACTGAGAATGCTTTCAAATATCTCTTCGCGGTTCATTAGTAAAGGAACAGCTTCCCATTGCAAAGGGGTATGAGGAAAACTCCAACAAAGGTGGTTCAACCACCAGATCCGGAACTTCACATCATTCTGGCCCCGACTTTGGTCAGTGGCGACAAGAGGTCATCGATGTGGAGTCCAGGACTAGAGGTGCCTTGACCACACTGGACAGCCTCTCTCATGGCAGACGGGGGAGTTTTCCAGACCACTGGGATTCTCGCATGGCCCATGTTATCTTCATGTGGGAGGGTGGGTGGGGATGTACCAGCCAAGGTGTCTTCGACCATTCCATGGATATCTCTTCCAACCAGTGACTTCCAACCAGTGACTGGCAAGGAGATCTCATCTTTTGTCTCGTTCGAGGGGGTCAAAAATATAACCCTCGGATGGGGGTCGATCTGGGGTCCCCGGAAATCCATTTTTCTGGGGAGCGAAGAACACATCGCCGCTAACGGCCACAAAAAGTAGACATGGCCAATGATTGGCGGGGGGGGAGAGACTAATATATGCGCGAATCGCGCATTCTGCAATGCGATTTCATGACGCAGAGGGTACATTCCCCGCGATTGAGAGGGTGGAAAGGGGGCTGACTCGGGGATCGTCACTGGGGCATACCCCATGATTGCGAGTAACGCATCCCCACTATTTCCCCTCTCATTTTCTGTTTCTCTCTCTCTTGTTAGAAGCCTTGTGAGAAGTCCCAGGATGATCAGGAGACAAGGGGGACACAGACCCAGGATAATTCGATTGATCCATGTGACGATCGGTGAATGATTGGCGATCCGGCCACCAACAAGGGAGTACCCGCGGGTGTGGCTTTACCACTCGGACTTCCCCCTGTAACAGATGGTATCAAGCGAAAAGCCCCCGAGCCTCAGGCTCAAGCATTGGCCATGTGACTTGTGGTTGTTGATTGGCGATCAACCGAGGCGGACATGTTCGGTTTTTTTTTCATTGGGCCAATCAGGAGTAAGTATGGGAGTGACTAATCGTCTAGGGTTCCCTGCGTTTCGTTACTTGCATTCCGTTCGACGGTCTGCCCTTGTCCCAACTGCGCAGATCGGAAGATCGCTGACGTGGGGGATGGCACTGTCCAAAAGACTCTGCAGGGGTTCAATGCCTAGAAAGATTCATTGATCACTTTCGGGACCTCGAGACAGCCGTGCTATTTGGAGGGGTTTTGTGTATCGGACTGATCTGGTAACCCGTTCTATGGAGGGGCATGACGGCATCATGCGCTGTATCCATGCCTCTTCCCTTTTATTTTATCTTATTTTATTTTATTTTTTATAGATTTTATCTCTTCAAGGGAAGCGAAAAGAAAGAAAGAAAAAGACTGCAAAGATCACAATTCCTGGCATCTTGACCCGGGAAGCCGTCTGGGACATGACGTAAGGGCCGGGAGGGTGCCGAGTCACCGGCCCGCCAGGTTTTCAAGGCAAAAAAAAGAAAGAAAGAAAGAAAGAAAGAATCCCGCATGCCGAGATGAAGATACAGCAATATACATATGATAGTCTTCTAGATTGGCGTCTTGACACGAATCAAAAAAATCCCCCCAAGATCCCCTCACACGAGGGGGGACAACCTTCGACCCACCATCCACTCCGGATGAGAAAGTGGGTATGGGTGTGGGAATTTATAACGTCGTCGGGCCCTGATTTCCCTCTCCGCCCCTCAATCCCGGTTTTCTTCTTCTCTCTTGCTTTCCTCTTCAATCTACTCCCCTCTCCCCCCACGTTCTTCAACCCCTTGGATCATCGCTCTCTACCCAACATTATCTCTCCGTTAACTCTTGCCCGCCATGTCGAAGACTCACGTTTTGCTGGTCGGCGCAGCGGGTGAAACCGGAGGTTCCATCGCGAATGGCCTCTTGGACGATGGCCGATTTGTATGCCCCTCCATCTCGATGTTAATTTGATTCTCTTTCATTGGAATTTTTTTTTTTCTTTGATCGCTAATCATCTCGACTTCTCTGAATAGGAGGTGGTTGCTCTTGTCCGTCCCAGCTCGGCCCAGAAACCCGCCATCACACGATTGCAGGAACGTGGCATCCAGATCCGGAAATGCGACCTGAAGGCTCCTGAGGAGCATCTGATCGAAGCCCTGTCGGAGATTGACGTGGTCATTAGTTGTGTTGGCCCCGCCGAGCAGCAAGACCAGATCCCGCTGGCCAAAGCTGCCAAAAAGACCGGGGTCAAGCGATTTGTTCCATGTGGTTTCATCACCGTGACGCCCCCGGGCGGCATCATGTGGCTGCGCGACGAGGTAAGAAGACAATTCAAGTAATATGGGGGTTGCTTTTTTGTGTGTGCGCGTCTCGGAACTGACCCATGTTGGCTGTGCACAGAAAGAGGTCGTCTACAACCAAATTCGCCAGCTGTGGCTTCCCTACACTCTCGTCGATGTCGGCTGGTGGTTCCAGCTGTCATACCCGCGTCTTCCCTCTGGTCGAGTGGACTACGCCATGACATCTGGAAACGACGAGATCATCGGCGATGGAAACATGCCCACGGCCCTGACTGACCTGCGGGATATCGGTCGCTACATGGCCCGAATCATCTCCGACCCCCGGACCCTGAACAAGAAGGTGTTGGCCTACAACCTGGTGTCAACCCAGAACAAGATCTACGATCTCATGGAGGAGCTGAGCGAGGAAAAGATCTTCCGAAACTACGTAGGTACACCAGCCATTCTGACTCGCTTGCCGCAAGACTAACGAATTTTTGCTTTTGTTTTTCTCGGAGCACAGGTCCCCGAAGAGACGATTTGCAGCCGAGTAGTGGCGGCCCGACAGGCCAGTGAGACATATCCGTTCGACCCGATTAAGTTCATCCCGCGGTATCTGGCCGAATATCAACTCTCGTGGGGAATCCGAGGCGACAATAACCCGGAGTATGCCAAGTACCTGGGCTACCACACCACGCATGACCTTTATCCCGACTTCCAACCCACCGACTTCCGCGAGTATCTGGAGTCGGTCATTCGCGGCACGGCCAAGGGTGTGTACCAGGACCGCGTGATTTCGCGCAAGCACCAACGACACTTCCCGCGGACTGAGTCCAGCGATTCGCTGTACACGCGCATATTCCCGCGGACCGAGTCGAGCGACTCTCTCATGTCGAGATGAGATTCATGACCCATTCACGTTATCCTTTTTCTCACTTAACATAAACCCCCAAGGAGGGGGGGGTCTCTCTTGAACCACTTCGGATTTGGTTTCTTCTTTTGATGATATCTCTTCCCCTCTCCCATGGACTGGGGGACGTGGGGCTGCGTTCTGCTTGGGTGTGCCTTGACCAGCTTTGTGTTTTCTTTGGAGGCGTTTGTGACGCTTGCGATTTCGATGCGGGGGAATATAGACGCTGGCCACTTGGTGCCTCCTCGATGGGCTCGGTGGCAATCATAGAGTTGCATACGACCTGGGGGCTTTTATTCCCTTTCTGCTCCGTTGCTCCATTGTGCACCTCTCGAGATTCAATTCTCCCAGGACGGGAATGTTTGCATATAGAAATATATCCCTATGAGCTGTTTCATTGTTCCTTCCATTCTGTTCCATTTGGGATTGCCGTGTGCCTTGCCTGCCATTGCCCTGGTGACTACCCTGTAGAGACCCCAATACCTTCAACAGGGGTGTTTTTTTTTTCGCCTCTTTACCTTTGTGCTTCTGCCTGTCTCCCATCTGCTAAACCTCGATAGGGGCAACTCACTATCCACAAAACTACCGTCGAATGGGATATGTCTGAACATTGTCGCCGACGATCAACCGCCTCCAGTCCTGGTTCCGTGCAGAATGGCAGCACCGCGCCGTCCACTCCGACGAATACCTCGACATCTCGCCCGACCGATCATGCCACGGGTTTTGTCGATATCTACGATTCTCTGACCCCCCGACAGATCAGCATCATCAGTATGTCTTTTCACTGGTCCAAGTCATTCAAGTTGCTAACTGTTGCACAACTAGCCATCGGATCAGCCATCGGAACAGGCTTGATGATCGGGACGGGAAGGGCACTATCCATGTAAGCCCACCTCCATCTCCCAAGATCCCAAGGCATCATCCCCAGATAGCAGTGGGGTATCTCATTAACCTGAGTGACGCAGGAGTGGTGTGAGTTGAGTGTATCCCCCACGATTTGCGGGCGAGGGTTATTGATTTGCTCTAGCCTGTCGCCATCATCATCTCCTACACCGTCGTAGGTCTGGCGGTTTACCTGGTCCTCTCTGCTCTGGGCGAGGTCGCTGCATGGTTGCCGAGACCATACACTGTCGCAGACCAGGCTGTCCGCTTCTGTGATCCTGCGCTGGGCTTTAGCTTGGGCTGGATGTAAGTTTCAGGAGTCATCCGAGTACTCCTACTATTCTGCAGGTGTAGAATATTGCCGCTCACTAAATATCTCCAGATTCTGGCTCAAATATGCCGTCCTGACACCCAACCAGTTGACAGCCGCAGCCCTGGTGATTTCGTACTGGTTGGACGCAGAGCGAATCAACCCAAGCATCTGTATTACCACCTTTTTATTGATCATCACCACCCTCAACTTTCTCGCCCATTGGCTTCCCAGCCGCATCGAACTATATGTGTCATCGTTCAAAGTCGTCGTAATGCTGGCGCTCATGATTGTGTCCCTGGTGATCGCCATGGGAGGTGGACCAGACCGGGAACGCAGAGGGTTTCGATACTGGAAACATTCGGGGGCATTTGGCAACTACGATAATAGTCGAGTCATGGTCAATTTCTACATGGTTTGGAGGACAATGTCATCGGCCACCTTCGCGTATATGGGCAGTGAACGGTTCGGGATCCTGGCCCAGTCCCCGAGCGTGCGAAAGGCGACGTCGCGCGCTATCAGGAACATCTTTTATCGCATTCTGGTCTTTCACATTCTGGGGATCACCTTAATCGGCATGATCGTCCCGCACAGCTCGGTCTCCCTCACGTTCTACAGCAGGGCTTCTCGCGGTGCTGCCGCCTCGCCGTTCGTGGCAGCATTGTGTTTGGCTGGGATCTCGGTTCTGCCTGATATACTGAATGGCTGCATCCTGCTGTTCGTATTGTCCATCGCCAATTACGATCTCTACCTGGCTACCAAGGCCATGTGCGATCTCTCGCTGAAGCACCGAGCACCGGCCTTTCTGTCGCGCACCAACCAGAAAGGCGTTCCTGTCTATGCTTTGGGCGTGTGCTCTTCGCTGGCAACCCTTGCGTATCTCAACGTCTCCCACGACTCCACCCTGGTTTTTGGATATTTCGTGGACACCGTTACTATGCTCGGACTCTTGACTTGGATGTCTATTCTCATCACCCATATATCTTTTGTGCGTGCCCGCAAAGCTCAAGGCATTCCCGACAAAGCTCTGGCGTTCAAGGCTCGCTTTGGCCTGCCCGGGACATGGTTTGGCCTTGTTCTTTGCCTCTTCATTTCACTGACCATGGCATTTGACGCCTTTTCCTTTCAGTCTGGCGCTCGCCACTTCAACTACAAATTTTTCATCGCCTCCTATATCGGCATTCCTCTGTATGTAATCTTGATTGTCGGGCATAAGATGACGGTCAAATGTCGACATGTCCACCCCAAGGATGCCGATCTCTGGACGGATAAGCAGGAGTCTGGGTCTAGAGAAACAGAATTCTCACTAGTAACTGAAAATAATTAGTATGGGCGAAGTTCGCTGTCAATGTACTCGGTGATCCCTTGGATGGTATATGGAACGGCGCGAAACCCCACGGTAACTCAAAATTGTTTTTTTTTATTGTATCAGTCTCAAAGCCAGACATTCACCACTATGCACGGCATGACTTGGTCTCGTTTATATCCCTGCCAGTTTTCGACTGTTCTTTGTTTGCCTGCGTTGCCGTAGCATGAATGGAGTGGGGCTGATCCTGGCGACTCGAAGTGAAGGCGAAACTGCTTCTTGCGAACACTCGCCCTGCCCGGGGATTTTGAGGGGGGAGGTTTGTTGGTGCTTCTTTTTTTCCTCCGGCAATTTAGTTCTCCTTTGCGACTGTCTTCTCCATTGAATGCCACTCGAAAGTGGGATTTGCGCAACCGGGTGCATCTTATCTGCGGTTTGTTTACATCGCCCGCAATCCCGTCAATGGGCGACATGACTGACATGGAGCCACACAGTGAGTCGAACAGTGCCTGGTAAAGTGCTGAGAGGGGTATTGAGTGCATCCGCCCTGGAATGGGAAGCATCCCACCCCCACCTCTTCAATCTCTCTTTTTGAACGATCCCTCGCTGCGACTGCCAATATGATCCCGACCACCCCACAACATCGCCGGGACAACCTCCGCGGCCTAGTCGAAGCGCTGAACAGTCAATTCAGCCTGAACATCCCATTTCCACACGATTAGCCGCCGTCAGCAATCCGCAACAAGACCTCGCTGCGCTGGTGTCTGTACAAGCGACTGCGCCGGCTGTACTTTGATCGCAGAGCGAACCTGGACAATCTGCTGAATAGCTTCGAGGAATGGACAGCGGCGGGCCAGCAACCAGCGCGTCATGGAAAAGAAGGACAGCAAGATTCTGCGACGGAGGGGCGTGCGACAGCGCAGCAAAGAGCCCCCCGTCCTGACTGACTATCGAAGAGACGAGCACATGCAGTACCTATTCAAGTTGGATCTATTTGTTTGGTGATACCTCGGTCGCGGCGAAGCGCATCCCTGAACACCCCCTGAAAGACGCGCCGCATCTCTTGTCTTCTAAGAAACAGCGGCTGTCGTCGGAAGAGGACGACGAGGACAAGTTTCATACTGCGCCTAATTCGCCGACTAAGAAGGTTCCTGGCGCTGCATGCTCGCCTGCTCTTGACTTGGGCCGACTGGATCTTGCGTTTGGTGCTGTCCCGGACCCCGACTTGTGGGGGTGTTGCTCCGCAGAAGGAAATCTTCTCGGCCAGGAAGACGCCCTCGTCGCCGTTTGTGCAGGGACTCATGGCGCAAGACCATGTGCCGCTTGCACCCAATAAAGCAAGAAATTATGGGGCTGTGCCATCAGCTATGGATGTGTCGAATACCACCTTCACCAGTACCACGGCTCCGTCTGTGTTTACGACTCATAATATGCACCTGGGCAACTCATTCGATACAGACATTACCGAGGCCATTGACACGCAATCTACCTATGCCGACTCCGTCGTCGGGTACATGATGGGCGAGGAAATGAGCAGGAGCATGGATGCCGCCCAATCTATGGCGAATGCCTACTCCGATGGGGACGCGCAAGCGGCCATTGAACAGGAGATTGGGGATGAGCTGCTGCGCTATGGCCCCTTTACCATCGAGCAGCCCTTCTCGGGGAAAACTCCCCTGCGCTATCGGTATGAGCTGGAACGCATTGATTGCGCTTGGAACATCCCCCTCAACCGCATGCTTGTTGGCGATAATGTCTCTTTCAAGACTCAGGACGACTACTGGTCTTGGATCGAGCGTCATACTCAGCGCGGTGGTCGTCTTCTTCCCGAACGGTCCTCGCGCAAGGCTTGGGATGCTGCGATGAATGCTTTCACGACTGGCAAGCCCTCGGAGGTGGTGGTACTGACCGGAGACCTGGAGTGGTGCGATGAATCCGAGCCGGGGATTTTTATGCTAAGTCGTTTTCATCGTCGGTTCGGCTCGGATCGATTCCTCACCCTGACTATCCCCGCGCCATCTCGGCCGCCGCGCCACTTGCAAAATTCCCGGTATACCTCCCACCCGTCAGCTCTGCGCGAGAGTATCGCGACGTGGCTCTTGCACCACGAGCACCGGTGTCTGGGTCGAACGTGACGCCCGTTCTATGTGGAGGAAGTAAAGTCCAAGCGTAAACCCAAGGCCGAGTCTCGCTTCCGCGTCGAGCTCTTCGCCGTCGATGGCGCAGACTTTTCCCACCATAGCTTGTGCCCACCGATGGTAGCTGCTCCAGGACAATTGAGTGACGGACATACTCCGATGAGTCTGGAGGCCTTGCTGGATTGGCACATGCCCAATGCTGCTAATGCCAATCGGAGTAACTGCAAGCTCTTTCAGCGCCTGTCCATTGGTCTCTCCAAAAGATTTGTGACTTCTAGATTGAAGCCTACTCAAGTCGTTCGTCTTCAAGATGACTCTACGCGCCCCGTGATGAATGACGGCTGTGCAGTCATGTCCAGGGCAATTGCAAATGAGATTTGCGATGAGCTGGGTATCACCTCTGCCACCCCCAGTTGCTTCCAGGGTCGCATTGCAGGCGCCAAGGGTCTTTGGATGGTGAATCGCCATCAATCTGGGGCCGGTTGTGCGAATAGAGTTTATGAAGTCTGGAGACAAATTTCGGGTTCGCAGTCGAAGATCAAACCTCATCCGCAGGAGTGGAAAGACGGGTTTGATGAAGAGCAACTCACGTTCGAGGTGGTGAACTGGGCCAAGCCGTTACATCCGGTCGACCTGAACATCCAGCTCCTGGCCATTTTGGAGTACGGCGCAGCATATCAAGGAATACATTGTATACTGATTTTGCGGAAGTGCTAGAATCAAATAGCAGTGTGCTCTGTCGTGCTCTGATTCAGAAACTCCGGCTCATAGGGGAAGATGGCGCTGGAAAGGCCCGTCGCCTGGAACAGTGGATGGCCAACGAGGCCGAGTGTATCGCCCGCTTGGTCGAGGCAGGGTTCGGGGCGCAGAGCTTCTACCCGCTGCGAGTGCGTCTGCGCAAGTACTTCACCAGCCTGTTGGACCGCCATGTCGAGGAGCTTCATATCCAGGTGCCGTTGTCGACGTATGCATACTGCATTGCGGACCCGTATGGTATCCTCGCACCGCACGAGGTGCATTTTGGTTTCTCGCAGAACTGGCGCGATCCGCAGGGCCAGCTCGAGGATAATCTCTTGGACAATGTAGATGTCTTGGTTGGCCGGCTGCCGGCCCATGTCCCCTCAGATATCCATTGCCGGCGCGCGGTGTGGAGGCCCGAGCTGCGCCATTTTTCAAGGATGTGATTGTTTTTTTCTACGACGAGCGACATTCCGCTGGCTCATATACTCTCTGGTGGAGACTATGACGGCGACACTCCGTGGATCTGCTGGGATCCGAAGATAGTACAGAACTTTCGAACCTCGAGTCTTCCCTCGGAGTACTCGGCTGAGCACTTTGGGCTCACGAAGCATTCCGTGCCCATGGGCAAGATCCATTCGTCTGAGGGCTTCTTGCAGACTACCTTTGCGTTTAACCTTACGCTGTCGAATCTAGGCCGCTGCACGGTCGAGCACGAGAAGATCTCGTACGACGAGTCGATCGACTCTTCTCGAGCCAAGGACCTAGGCTGTCTGCTCAGCCACCTGGTCGATGGCCGCAAGGGCGGAGTCCATTTATCAGAGCAAGCCTGGCAATAATACCGCAAAAGGATCAGTCCGCGCCAGCGCGTGCTGCCGGCATACCGGAACGCAGAACGGCAGCCGAAGCCCGTAAACATCGTCGACTACCTCAAGTTCACGGTCGCCAAGGCCGAGCGACACACCATGCTCTCCCAGCTCGACGAATCCTATCCCGAGAAAGAATACTTCCTACACATCGATGAGGGCCTGGCGCGGCCATGGAACGAGGCCAACCACGCCGCCGACCTCGGCCAGCTACACGGCGGCGACCTGCGCGCGACCCTCACCACAATCAAACAATCCGTCGAGTCCCTCTACAAACAGTGGACACGGTCCTGCTCGCAAGCCAACGAGTCCGACTCCTTCTCCCCGCTGGCGCGCCAAGCCGCCGCCGACGCTAGTGCCCTCCCTGCCCCGGCTGCAGGCTCGCGCCAGTTGCCGTATGATGAGTCGGATGCTGATGCCGACCAGTACGAGGGCGAGAAAGCCATTAAGGCTTTGGTGCTCGGTGGTTCGGGGCCGGCCGAGTACTATGATTTCGATGACGGGCTGTCTGTCCGATAGTACATACTTTCTTGTGGTACTGTGATGTACAGATCGATTCACCGACTGATTTGCGGTCTTTTTTTGGTTGATTGCATATGAAGCCGGCATAGTTCGATACCATTTGCGCGATATATCTAGCATTGTTCAGGATCATCACATGCGCCCGTTTTGGCTAAATGCTTAAACTTCACATGTCCGAGCTTGGTGTTTGCCGAATATTCATCGGTAATTCGTAGAATAAGAGTAGAACAGGAGTAATAGCCGGTTCAGGTCTTGACTATAGGTGGCATCATAGTTAATATTGTGGCGAGATAATGGTTGAATCATAGACAAGGCAATACTAGGTAGTATATCTCATACTTTTCGTCTTCTCATCTCATACTTGGGCCCCCCAACCCCAATTCACGCTTCACCCGTGGGGAACCCCGTCATAAAAACTGTCCCACATGCATTGCTTGCATTGGACGTGTCGTATAAATACTTTTACAAATTATGAGAATGCTCCAAGTTCCACCGACGTCCTAATGGAGTATCCAATATGCTAATAAGAAATCTATCTCCATGCTGGATGCTCCCCATTATGCATAAGATACACATAATCATTAAAATAGCAGCCCTCATAATCATATAATCGGGACTTCCATCGGCATATCGAGTCAGATGGAACACTTGGGGCCATGCATGTGAGGCACCTCTCTCACCAGCAGACCAAGTATGGCGGGCGATGTACCCCGGGCGCCCCACACTATAATCCACAGGATGCCATGTGATAGCCTTACTAAGAAGAGTCCCGATTTGGGTTAGTGACTTCATGACAGCCTTGTTCACGTGAAACCATCTTTCTCTCTTTGCTTCTCGGCTCAACAATTTTGAATGGCGAAGAGGGTTGAGAGAGACCCGCCATGGATCCTCCTGACTCAGAAACAACTGCCCAAACAATCGATAGCTCGGACCCTGCCTTCGCCCCCGAATCCGAATCCGCTGCGGACAAGCGCCCCTCCCTCTGTTATACCAATGCTCCTGCGACGCCGACGCCTCCATCCCTCCACCATGCTCCTGCCTCCGTGATGGACGTCGATAGCCATACCGAAGACCGTCCCCGTCGAGCTACCAGTGTACTTTCTATGGACGACCTCGAGGCTGCGCAAGCCCTCGAAGGACTACGTTCCGGTATGTGGATAGATTGGGCCGAGATTCTTCTCGCCCCAAGTTTTTCTCTCCCTTTTTTTGACCCCCCCAAACCGGCGGCTCCTCCAGCTTGGCAATTTGCAACCACAGACAACTGACCGCACATTGCAGACCACGGACAATCGCCTCGGGCATCGCGGCAGGCCCTTCCAACTTCGCCGGGCCCCTCCCACCAAGAACCATTCTTGTCTCTGCTTACTTCCTCACACCCGCTGATATCCTCCGCAATCAACGGCTCCGTCTCCGCTTACACCACCTCTAAGTCCTATTCTCCGCGCTTCAAGTCCAGTGCTGAGTTTCTCGAGCGAAACATCGGCTCACCCGTCGCCAGCACTGTCGGCACCGTCGGCCGCAAGACCGGTGTTGAGAGCGGTCTCCGCTGGGCGCTGCAGCGACGGGATTCCACTACAGACTCTAACCGCACTAAGAAACGGCGCAAGGTTGCCGGCGAAGTCTCCCCGCCTGCTATGGATATTGAGCACGAACCCGACCACCCGCTGCACTCGCATGTCCGGAGCCCGTCTGATCTGTCCATGGCCGAGACACTTCCTCCATACGATGATATGCGGTCCCCCCGCTATGAAGAGAAGCCCGGCCGTCAGAACCCGTCGACATGGCAGAGTCGGCTCGTGATCTCGACCTCGGGGTTGGGTGTTGCCATGAGCGAGGAATCGCTTCGCAGTCTGCAGTACTGTCTGACCTGGCTGCGATGGGCGAACGGGCGGCTCGGGAAATCCATTGTCGCTCTCCAGAACGCCGTGACCGAATGGGAAAACCATAAAGCGCGACAGGGGCAGCAGCTGGCGCACGATGTCGAGAACGGAAACCCGTCTTCCACGGGCCAGGAGAGTGCGTCTCTGCTAACGCAGCGCATTCAGGCCGTCAAGGCGGACGTGGTGTCGACGCTGAAACAGGTGGTGGACGTCGTGTCCAAGTATGCAGGAGGCGCGCTACCCGAGAACGCGCGCCTCTTGGTGCGTCGACACCTGACGTCTCTGCCGCACCGGTTCCAGGTCGCATCCACCTCGCAGCCGCCACCCGAGTCGGCAGCGGCCTCTTCCGATGCCACCGTCAATGCACACCGCATTTTGGTCCTTGCCCAAGAGGGCCTGGACATGATGGCGCAGGTCAGTGGCGTTGTTAACGACACTTTGGTCAGCGCTGAGCACTGGTGCGAGCGACTTGGCCGGAAGCGTCCTGAACGTATCGCTTCTGATGTGCCGGAGAAGCGGGCTGATTCTCCGGACGTCTCGCCTACGGACACTCAGTCTTATGGCATGGATATTAAGCAGCCTTTTGTCCCGGAAACATCTCAAGATGTACAAATGACGGGGCTTGAGAAGGCATGATATTCTCATTATTTACTTCTTCCCACTTCTTCGTTTTTACGTCCCTTTCTTTCTCTCTTTATCCCCCCTGTCTCTTTTTGGCTATGTTTGATGTTATATTCATGCTTGATATCCACCCGTTGTTGTCTTCACTCATTCTGATTTGATTGGTATGATTGGGTTGCAAAATTTGAGACGAACTTACGGTGTTAATTCCATGTTTTGGACTCTGATTGAATGGAATGGAATTGATCCTCGGTTGTAATGTAGATGGATTCTGGATAGATGAGATTCTAGCTGTGCTGAATGCATCCGGCTATTTATGGCTTTTCTTTTATAGTATTTAGAGCATGGATGTCTGCTCTAGGTGTATAGCATAGCACCAATAAGGTAAGAAATGAGAAAAAACGAGGATATAATAAATTAATGCCAACCCTAAATGCGTAACTTTTATCACCCAAATCAAGATGATGTGCAACACAAAACAGAATTAAAACCAGAATAAAAAAACAGAATAAAAAAACAGAACAAAAAACGTCCCAGGTTCCATGCCAGTATGAGCGAAATTGAAATTGCAGATATGCCAGGATGTCAAACGCACAGCATGCTCTATACGCGAATCCCGAATGAAAATGCAAGGGGGAGAGAGGTGAAAGATGGGGGGATCCGCTAGTACTCGGGGAGACTCTCGCTGTTCACGTAGAGGATGTCGTGGGAGCTGCTGAAGCCGTTGAACTGGGTGGCGGTGGTACTTGTATATGCTGTTGGGGTTAGGAACGGTATAGACAATAAAAGAAAGGGAAATGAGGAACTCACCACCCATATTCCTATACTTCAACCAATCCCCCACAGCAACCTCCCTCTCCAGCGTCGTCTCGCGCACGACACAATCAATACTATCGCACGTAGGACCCCAAATCGAGTACCGCTGCTCACCAGCACCACTAATACCTCTAGAAGAAAGATCTTCAGAGTCCTTTTCACACTTCCCTCCAGAGATATCCTTCCCCCTCGTCCCCTCCACAACAGAAGGACCCATAACCTCCTTCTCCATAATAACATTCATGAAATTCCCATAAACCCCATCATTCTGATACAGCATATCCGGCACACCCGCCGCCGCCGCACTCCCCAACTGCCGCCGCCGCGAAATCACCCGGCACGCCAGCGTGTACGCGCTACGCGCGTAGAACCGGCCCGGCTCCGCGATGACCGTGACGCCTGCGGGGAACTCGGCGCGGATGGTTTCGCGGAGCAAGCTGGCGGTTGGCTCGAAGTGGCTGTCGACGAAGCCGCCGCCGATATCGAGGATTGTGGGGGTGAAACCGAGGCGTTGGGCTTGGGTGAAGACGAGACGGGCGTGGTTGATTGCTTTGGCGAAGCTGGTGGGGTTTGTTGCTCCTGTTCCTGTTTTTTTCCCCCAATATTGTTAGTCTATGTTTATACCTGGATCTGTATCATATGTATGCCTCCAATGTGTGTAATTGACTCCTATGGTTATGGTTGTAGTTGTGGTTATGGTGCTGCACTCACCAACATGAAAGCTCACCCCAATCACATCCAACTCCAACTCCCACGCCCGCGATAGAAGCGGCTGCACGGTATCCAAGTGCGCGCCGAATTTCTCGCCGAGACAGATCAACGCGCCATCGTCGTTGGCATATATACGCAGGAGCAGCTGCGCCTCGGGCATATGCGCCTTGATATTGTCGAGCTCGTCGAGATTGTCGAAGGTCGTGCGGATGACGCCGGCCTGGCGTGCGTACACCAGCGCCGCGGGGGACTTGCAGGGATTGGCGAAGAGAATGCGGGCCGGGTCGACGCCTTGGTTGAGGACGGCGCGTATCTCCTCTATCGAAGCGCAGTCGAAGCCCGTGCCGAGGTCGGCGAGGAGTTTGAGGAGGGTTGGGTCTGAGTTGCATTTAACCGCTGTTCTCAATCCTTAGCTTTTATGCCATGTACTTGACATCCATGGATATCCCACGGATATGTAGTGTCTGTTCTGTATATGACGATTGAAACTCACCATAGTACGGCCGCACCCCCGGCAGACTCTGCGTCCAGCGCCGATGCTGCCTCGTAACCTGGCCCAGATCCGCGACAAAGAACGACTCGTCGCCGCCGGCGAGCGAGTGTTTATTTACGCGGGCAATGTGGCTCTCAATGGCCAGATCGACCAGCTCTTCGGGCGAGGGTTTGTGGTATTCAGGGACGCCGCGGAGGAGAAGAGGAGCTTTGCTGGTTGTCCCGGGAAAGACAAGCTCGCGCGAAGCAGGTAGCAAACCCATGATTGCCGACACGAAGCGGCTCAGCAGGAATGGGGAGATCTGGGGGGGTTCGATGTGGAAATGCATTAAGAGGGCAGAGTCGACGCCACAAATAAAACCAATCCAAAATAGATAGATCAATGTAGAAGACGGGCAATGGTAGGTAGGCCTATAATACAGGGTACTCGGGAAGGTCGGCCCAGGAGAATCCCAAGGTGCTTAGAGGAGAGAATGGAATTGAATATGGAAGGTAGAGAGGTAAGAAGATATGGTTACTCCGGGGCAATTGGCTTGGGCTGGCGAGATGATATAAAAGAGAATATAAGAGATGCGGAGAGTCGAAGGACTCACTTTCTTGTGAATTCTAGATATAATATTTTCAATTCTTTTACATATTATTCCCTCACAATAAAAAAATAAATAATAATCATGTAATAAATAATAATAATAACGAGCATGAAGCACTCAAAGGAGCAAGCTTACCTGCAATGGCGATCACATAGCCTAGTCACACCAGAGAAAATGCATAACCCATGAGCTAATCATGAGTGTATCTGAGTCGAGACAGCTTGACTGTACATACATGGTACTTTCTTTACCCTCTCCGTCCCGAGACCCACCCCGTCCCGACAGGAAATATTGGCTTGCATTGTTGCACCGAATCGGTAGATCGGAGAAGGGCCAGAAAGAGAAAAAGAGACAAGTGGGGGGTTCAGCTAGGGCAAGCAAGGCTCAGCATGGCGGGTATGAGCAAATGCATTGGCGAAGATTGATTTATTTTTATTGATTTATTGCGTCTTGTGGAGCCCCCAGCCGATTGGGTGCACTTGGTATGGAAATAATACGCAGCAGTGGGGTTTGAAGAGAGGACCCGGCTGAAGAATCCTTGTCACACATTGTGGTTCCTTTTCTCATGTCACTAGTCTAAACAATCTGGATCAATAGGACCCGGATGGTCCGGGGTTGACGGGCGATAGTTGTGCGGAACAAAGTACTGCATATACTTCACTTCTGGTGGACTTTCAGTACTTGCTATACTTACTATGGCCTCGCCATCCACAGGATGCATGGCGTAAACTAGATCGGCGTGAGCAGGGAACAAGACAGACCACAGGAAATGCAGGAACCACTTAGTAGGATATACTTTAGGAGAAAAGTATACGGACTTCCCTAAGGGGTTTTTTTTGGTTTTTTTTTTGTTTTTTTTTTGTTTTTTTTTTTAAAAAAAAAAAAAAAAGAGAGAGAAGAAAAAACGAAAAACTCAATAATTTCTGTACCCCACCGTTCTTTTCTTCCAAACTTGCATTTTGGGTGATCGAGTTCGTACTGCACCAGGCTCCACTGGGGGCCAGAGGGCCCGCTCCGGGAAACAGGTCAAGGGGCTCCGCTTGACCTCTCAGTAGTATGTGCTGTAATTGGCTTATATAATATCTGTCATAGTATGAAATATGTGGTATCTAGGGCTGCTACATGTACATTCTTGAAATATTATATTTTTCTTTACAATAGCTAATCGATAATACGAGTATTCGCTGTTGATTTGCTAGTTCTCGAGCTTTGACTATACTCCAGCAGAGTACACTTCTGTTTAGTGGCGATATCGCTACCTACACCAAAATCGAGGATCTAATCGATACTCAGTACTACCAAAAGGCGAATTTTACCCAAAATCATTGGCTTTCTAATTTAAATTATCCTTTTCTATTATTCTCGCAGGGTTGAAGGGAGGTTCTGGGTATAATATTTATACTTAAGAGTGTAGGACGGTCTAATATCGGGTAATAAAAAAATCGGTAAAAAAAAAAGTAGTCTTAGAGGTGTAGATAGAGGGAAGAAGGAAGGTAAGGTAAATCAAATAGGGGAGGGATGAAATCTATTTTGGCCTTAGGCAACTATATACCCCACATACTACAGAGCCAGGCGGATCCCCCTGAGCCGTAATCACGGCCCGCCCGGCCTGTCAAGGTACGCGATGATCGGGCGCCAATGATTTCCTATTACGCCTAATGGTACTTACAGTGCTCTTTACAAAGACCCCTTGCGGTATTTCGTCCTTACAGACGCGTTCCTTACAGACGCGTGGCAAACCTGGTTCTGTTCTCTTTGGGTTCGCACGGGGTGGTTGGTGGCTGGCTGACAGGTCTTGCACGATGCTGGACACTGCACCTAAAGAATTGTCTCCGACAGGATTCAGGTGGCCACACAAAAGAAAATGGCCCGAGGAATGTAAAATTTTATTTTTATTTATTCTTTTTTTTTTTTTTTTTTTTTTCCATTTTTTCCATTTTGCATTTTTCACGAGCTTCGGTTCAGTTCGAAAGAGCCCCGGGTAATTCTATTCCCAGCCTCTCACAAATGCAGTGCGAGGGAGGATGTTTGCGGGGAGGAAGTAGCATTGCCCTTACTGGGCTTGAATATGAAGGAACGGAGCTATAGTTCCGAATACTATAGATCCTATAGACCCTAGGCCACGAAGATACAATCCAACAATAGACTTCAAATACAATACATTTGCAAACAGGCTAAAGCCACGATCTACCATACATTTTGTATCGCCACATGCACTCTATTAAGCATCCATCACTCGACGGCAGGAACCTGCTGAGTGACACAGTGCAGCACCCCACCGGTAAGGGGAATGGAATTGGTATACACCTGGCGAATGGTCCGCCCCGGAAGCAAATCCTGCAAGATCTGCAGGGCGTTCTGGTCTCTCTCGTCATCCCCGAATTTGGGGATAACAAGGCCGCCGTTGACAAAATAGAAATTCACATAGCTGGCAGCCAACTCATCGTCAGCCGACTTGACCAACCCGCGAGGATCGGGTTCCTCAATGGTATGGATCTCCAGGGGCCGGCCCTTGGCATCGGTTTCGCGGCCTAGAATCTCACGGATCTCCACCGAGAGTTCCCTCCACAGCTCCGGCCCCATGGCATGGGGCTTCGAGTACACAATGACTCCCGGCCGCACGAACCGGGCTTCGGCATCCATGTGCACGTCGGTGATGTCGACGTTGCGACGGCCGGGGAACCAGATCACTTTCTCGATCCCGAGGAGCCGCTTCAGCTCTGCCTCGATATCCGCGCGCGACATGCCCGGGTTGCGCACGTCGCAGACAATACTGCTTTCAGTAATCAGCAGCGTACCGTCGCCGTCTGACACGAGCCCCCCACCCTCGGCGCGGATTGGGGCGTCGATCCGGGTAACGGGGGAAGGAAGGCGATCATTCTCAATGACCCAGCGCGCCCAATCCGTGTTTTCTTCGAGCGTCTTGTCATCCATCAGGGGCCACTGTTGGCCCCAACAGACTCCGTCATCTTCGGGCTTCTTCCCGCCCCATTCGTTGAAGCGGAAGTTGACTGCAAAGCGGCGGTTGGGGAATGCTCCCGTGGTATCGCGCACGTAGACCGGGCCCGTATCGCGGACCCAGGGGTGGTTGACCGGCGATGGGATCAGGGTGACTTGGGAGAGATGCTTCGCGTCCACGCTGGATTGGATCAAGGACTCGGCAAGGTTCTTGTCCTCGGGCCGGACGTACAGACGAACGGGCTCGAACTCGGCAATCGCCGCTGCGAGCCCGGCTAGCTCGCGACAGACGGCGTCATATTGGTCTGGAGGCAGGGAACAGCGTGAGGGGAAGCCCAGGATAGTGGCAGTATGACGGTCCCACTCGGCAGGAAACAGGAATTGTCCTTTCTGGATGGTATTGGAGTTGTCATCCGTGGGCTGCGCGTGTGAGGGTATCGCCGATGTAGACGAGAAGAGCTTCAATAGACCCTGGCGGAGTTTGCTGAAAAACTTCATCTTCATTTTAACGGGAGGGAAGAAAAAGAAGAGTCTGACCACGCAAGTCCAAGGGAAACGGCCCCTCCTTTTAAACAAGGTCAAGAGCTCAAGAGCTCAAGAGCTGCAGCCTCGGGGAAATAGCGCGATCTGCTCTGCTCCGTTGATTACAGTGTAACTTGCAACTCAATAACTAAATGTGACAAGTCCAGTACGAATCTACCTTGTCTTGATTAGGAATATTTGTGTTTAATTCCTCCTTTCTCCTGTGGTTATTGCATGTATTGACATTAATTGAGTTCCTTTCTCCCAATTTCTAAGACCAACAGCCAACAGCCATGCAACAGCTGCTCCACTTCCTGCAGATCAGACCCGTAAGAATGGAGAAGGGGGGGGGAAAGAAAAGAAAAGAAAAGAAATAAAACTAACAAAACCTCAGCACAACCAGCTTGAGTTCAACACCAATCGACTGACGGCGGATCAAGTTCATAGCGCGAGGGATCCGATCTGCAAGGTGCATTTCGGAGTGATTGTGGCATATTAAAGCGACGGGGCGAGCATGCCATCTGCAGCCGAGATCGCGGCACAGGAATGTGGTTGATGCATTCCCGCTGTACTAAAGAAAAGACGGAAAAAAAGCAAAAAAAAAAAAAAAAAGAAACGAAACGAAACGAAATTTTTTTTTTTTTTTTACATCGAGACGCTGGACCCACTGAGCCATTAAAGGGGCCACCAGCTGAGAGCTGACGCCACAAACTCCCGCGGAAGATCGACAGTAAAGACACGATCGCCCGGGGCGATCTCCACTCTCTATACTCCGCGTTACGCAGCTGCTTACGATCTTGCAGCCCGGCAGGTGTATGCAGTCAGGAATTAAAAGATATTGAAGCGAACATAATATAGCCCAACTCAGTATTGAACGCCACTTTTTTGTATTACCTCCGATACTCGTACAGCTTCAATTACCCCACCCAGTTCTACTGCGCCAGCAATGGTTCTCTCTCCGCATCTTCCGACTCAGTCCCGCAGTCTTTTTCGATCGGCCCGCTGAGCCAGAGCATGGGAACAGCGGTGGCAGCACACAGAACCCCAAGCGAGAGCGTCATGACCTTCCAGCCGTAGTGGAACTTGACAAAGCCCCCAGCCATGGGGCCCAGCGCCAGTCCACCAAAATGGGCCATGTTCTCGAGACTAAACGCCTGTGCAATGGCACCCTTTTCTCCGAAGCCGCCGGGGTTCTCTTCTTCCATCTCGTCGAGCACGCGCTGCACCTCGACGAGCTGGGCTGGCTCGCTGAGGTCGTTGCACATACCGGCTAGAGCAAGCAAAATGCACAGGATGACCTTGTCGGTCATGGTGTTTGACTCGACGAAGCGGAGACATGCTAGGCATGGGGCTAGAAGGGCAAAGCCCGTGAAGGCAACGACTCGCGCGCCGAGGCGATCAGAGAGATAACCTAGACGAGGCATCCGCTGTTAGCAATGGCTGTTGTGCGTGTCTGCGTCTATAGCATGGCTTACCAAAGAGCGGCTGGAAAACACATGCCACGGTTCCTGGGAGGAAGATTAGGCCTGCTCCAAAGGAATTCCAATGAAATGTATCTTCGACGAAAGTCGGCAATGTCTGAACAGTAAGAGTCGAGTTAGCATTTCCTCAAACAACAAGGGTGTCATCACATACAGCATCGAAAGCCGACAGCACCAGAGCTCCAACAATAACCGCCCAGAGACTAATCAGAATCCGCGGCTTCTGCAAGAGCTTGAACAAGGCGAACGCAGTCGTGGGTGCCACTTCCTTCACCGGGTGATGGCCATTGCCATTGGTAATGGCCCCATAGTCCGGCTGCTCCGTGCCGTTTTCATTCACCTGAGAGTGTCGCTCACTATCAGGCGGGGGCAACCAGCGCTCAGCAACCTTCTTCTCGACGACCGCCAGCCGCAAGAAGAAGTCCAGAGCAACAACCGCAAACGCCATGCCGAACACCCAATAGAAACCGCCGACCTGATACACCAGCCCGCCGAGAAGCGGTCCAGACACAAACCCGAGCGTCATGGCCATGCCTATGTACCCAAGCATCTCGCCGAGGTTCCTCTTGTCGACCGTGTCCGTCACAATGGCGAGTCCCGCCACCGATACCATAGCCGTGGCGGCACCCTGCAACACTCGCGCCATCACGTACCACACAACGGAGTGGGCGACCGTCAAGATCACCATCGAAGCGAACAACAGGAGAAGACCGAACAAATACGGACCCTGGCGGGTTCCCGAGACGTCAAGCACATATCCAAAAATCGGACTAGCCACGAGCGCCGAGACAGCCTCGGAGACGAGCAGGACGCTGTTCCAATATTCGCCTATGGAAAGAACGCAAGCAAAGAGGTTCGGTGTCAGCGATGTTATCTCCCATAGCCATGCCGGGATATCACATACGGTCCTCGAATGGCACACCAGCCCGCGTAATCAGCGCTCGCGGCATGACGGGGACAATCTAGAAATCATTATATGAGGGCAATCGAACGATTCGGGTCGAGTCGCGCATACCATGGCATAGAGGAACAGGTCCTGATTGCCATCAGAAGTTAGCAACAAAGACATTCTCACCGCAGTCCCAGATCTAAAACAGGGGAAATACCGTGAACATCGACAGCGAGATGGTCGTCACAATGAACAACTGCGACGACCGCAGCGGCAACAGCCACGGCGGCCGGTCGGTCAACTGGAAAATCTTCTTGGTCCAAGCCATGCTGGAATCGACAATTGCAACTCGCTACAGACTTGGAGAAGCCTTTGCTCAAGTGTCGGAGACGAGTCCTGAGCGGTGCGAGCACTTGAGCGAGGGACGAGTGGCTCGAGGAAATAGAATCGAGGACCCGACAGAGCAAAGCAGCCTAGGCGGCACAGAGTCAATCCACATCTGCAGCAGCGGGGCGTGCTAATTGGGTCCATTGGATGCATTAGACCATTAGGGTCACTATAGGGATGATGAATCATGCATCGGCACTGAGCTTACCCTTTGAGAACTGCTTGGCATGGTTACAGTATTGTTCAGATGTCAGGTAATGAAGGTAATGAGCTTGTCAGGGGGAGTGATCCACCAAAGACAGAGCAAAAGCGAGAGCTGCCATTGAATGTTACAAAAGAAAAAATAGCTGAGTGGGTAACAGTGGGGAGAGCAAGACCAAGCCACGTAAGGAATGTGTTTTTTTTTTTTTTTTTTTTTTCTTTCTTGTTTTTTTCTCCTGCAGAACGCCCGAGCATTGCAGCCTCTCATGGGATGCTTCGCTAGGGCGTGCAGACTCCAGCGATCGTCATTTGCCTCCACAGTTCTTGGAAATTGCCTGCAGTTTTTGTTGCAATCCAACCAACCCTTGCCAGTGAACGCGGTAGATCTGCATACCCGACCCATTTCTTTTCCTCCACTGCGGCCCAGGTGGGTCGTTCAGCTCGAGATCTTGCAAATTTTAGCGCCAGATGGGGGGCTTTCTCTTTTGGAGTCTTTTTTTTTTTTTTTGTCTTTTGATACGTCGAGATCTTGGCTCGTTCATGTTTCCAGCTAGTCGATCGAATCTCGGAAGGAATCATGGCAAGGAGTCTCAGAGAATCGTAGAATCTTAGCACTATTTCTTGAATGGAATCCCGCCTCTTTTTGCCCTCTCACAAACATACCCAATTATCACATCAAACATGCGCAAGTGGAGTGGCGCCATCAGACATGATTCCAGTATAGAGACAGTCTCATGGACTGTGATGAACCAAACCCTAACTCGCGCGGGGAACCCCTGAGTGACGCCAGTCGGAGATGCAGAAAACAAGTTTAGTGTACTAAGTGGATCAACATTGGAATGAGCTATTTACATGTATACTTGATACTTGAAATAATCCCTGAACACAGCCGAGTGCTTTAGGGCAAGCTGATCAACGCCACCGACCCAGCTCGCCGAGACCCTTTCCAATAATGGTTCAGGCAGCCCCTCCCTCAATGCGGGAGAAAGCCACTCTCGGTTTCCAGCCAGGATGCAAAGTCCTTGAGTCCCGGATGGTCTTTTCGCAGAGCAGCAATATCAGCCCGGTAGCCTTCGTCATGAAACCAGCGGAACATAGTCCCCATCTCCGCCATGGTGGCCATGAGCAAGCGACAGGGCAGCTCGAATGTGGTGGGTACAGATGTGCCAGTCTTTGACTGGAAGATATTCGCCATCTGGGTGAAGGTCAGATCATCGCCCGCCAGGGAAATAAACCGATCGCGGTATTGATCCGGCTGCAGGAAGGCATCGGCCGCATAGAGCCCGATGTCGGAGGTAGCGATGAGCTGCAGCGGCTTGCCCTTCAGAGCCATGCGCCACATGGTGGCAAATACCTTGCCGCCAAAGTCCGGGGTCAGGTTATCCATGAAAGCAACAGGGCGGAGCACAGTCCAGCGCATGTCCGAGTCCCTGGAGCGCGCCAGCAGATGCTGCTCGATGCGGTGCTTGGTGACGAAATGCGGGATCCCCGTCGGGTTATCGATGGATGCGGCGCCGCCGCGGTCAACCGAGCTGTACACAAAGTGTTTCACGCCGTGTTTCAGTGCCTCGTCGACGAGCGCCTTGCCCTGGCGCTCCTCGCCCTTGCCGAACGCCGACTGGACGCTGAAGACGCCCCAGATCGGGGCCGAGGTGGTCTTGCGTGCGTTTTGAAAGAGCGTTGCGGGCTCGTCCAGGTTGCCCTCAACGAGCCGGATCTTGGGCGATTTGTTGGCGAGGCGCTGCGCCGAGCTGGACTGCGCGTTGCGCGTCACCGCAAGGATCTCGAAGGCGGCGTTGTTGCGGAGGAGGGCATTGATCACCGCTCCACCCTGCTTGCCGGTGGCGCCGGTGATTAAGGTTGCAGGCATAGTGCGTCGGCCGTCCGCGTAGATTGGTTGTAGATGGACTGTCGGTTCGTAGATCAGTGAAGGGATGCACGGGGAGGCACTAGGTGTTGAATGTACCACTGCCTTTTCGAGTAGTAATAATAGAAGCTCTGGTGAATTAGGAGAACCATTCCTTATACCCTCCAAAATCTGGAACTGATTAATTCGGGAGTTATTTAGAGCCCGAGGCGAGGCGACATGGCGCTATTACTCAGCGGTGATGCAACCTTCCACGGTCGAAATGCTCGGCCTCGGACGGCGCCCTGACAAATGTGTCTTAGGGGAATGGAATAGAATATTCTAATCGAGGAATTCTAGAAGGTAAGATAAAGAGGTTGAAGTAAAGAAATTGATGCACGCTACGACTGAGAGGAAACACAGTGGACTAGACCATGTAGTGAATTAGTCTATCTTAATGTAATACCGAGAGAAGACACGCATGTCGCCACGATATCCTTATCTGAATATCGATTTAGAATGGGCCCATCGCCCCCGAAGGGAGTCTCCCGCGACGAATGAAGAACCCGAGAAATGACCCTGAGGGCGGGCCTGATGGAGAGCAGTTGGATGCTTCTTTGACAGTCTTCTCGGACCTGGACAAGCCAGGTGAGCAACGGGAGAGGCTGTTGGATGCTTATCTCCCTGACTGGCGAAACGGATAAAAAGAACGGCAACCTCTACATCCCCTGGTGCGCCATGCCATCCATTCAGGCGCGGAGTCTAAGCCGGGTGTCTTTGTCTCGGGACTGAGAAGACACTAGCCGGGATCCGTGCCAGAAATGGCGCATGGAGTGACTGCAGATAACTAAAACTGCACCTGCACGACATGAATTGCGAGCAGCCAACAGACTACCACGCGGTAATGTCATCCACTTCGGCCTCTCCGAATGTGCTGCTCTTCGTGAGCTTGTTGACGCTCGCCACAGCCGCGGCGCCATCGGCGCTGGATCGCGCCATGAGGTCGGGCAGAACCTCGTTGAAGAAATCGACGATGTAACGGTTGACTTGCTCAAATTGCAGGAGGAAGGCATCGTGGCCCTCGGGGCTATCAATGCGCTTGAGCCGGGAGTCAGGGATGCCCGCGGCAATTTCTTGCTGCTCCGCAAATGTAAACAGTCCGTCAGATTCAATGCCCAGAACCAGAGCCGGTTGCTTAATATGAGAAAGGGCCTCGTGGACAAAGTCCGAGGAGTTTGGACTGGCACGGTGGCGGGAAACGTCATGGGTATCGAGCTTGCGGGTCATGGCGATATAGCAATTGGCGTCGAACCGCTTGACAAACTTCTCTCCCTGGTAGCGGAGGTACGACTGCGCCGAGAAGTAGGTTGGTGGCCGAGGGCGACCGGCAGAGTCCTTCCTAGGCTTCGGGGCTTCAGGCGTGAAAGTCTTGGTGCCAGAGAATTGCGGATCCATGAACTGAACATCGGTTACCGGTGCGGGGGAGTTTTGTCTGCTCTCAGATCGGGAAGACAATCCACCCCGATGTCCGTCATTGTGAATGGCCCAGTGCTCATTAGGGGGCGTAGGCAGTTTCTCGGTCCCGTTGATGTTTTGCTGCTTGGTCGGATCCGGGACATTTCGTCCAAACCGCGACTCAAATGAGTTGCGGCTGCGGTAGGTGAGCAGAGCCGACATGCGAGCTGCTCCCAGACCAGTGGATGGCGGGTCATTGAACGGATAGTACCCATCGTCATATTTGGGGTCACTATAGATGCTCTGCCGCTGGGCCTCTCCCCAGCTGATGCACCACGCCGAATGACGTGCTGATGTAGCGATAGGCACGATAGCCCGGACATAGTCCTTGCCAAAGAACGAGTATTCCAGGGTGAGCATTCCACCCATCGATCCTCCAACCACTGCGGCGATCTGCTTCACGCCTAGATCGTCCAGCACAAGTTTATGGATGCTAGGCAAAAGTTAATCAGAATGATCGATCATGCCAAAAAGAGACAAATCAACATACTTCACATCATCACGGACTGTAGTCAACGGAAACTCCGGTCCATAGTAGCCATTCTCAGGCTTGCCATCCTTATAGGTGACCGCACTGGCGCTCCCGTATGGGCTGCCCAGGCTGTTCAAGCAAATCACAAAAAAACGCGAGACATCAAATGCCTGACCGGGACCACCCAAAAGAGGGCCCCACCAGTCTGCCACGTCGGCGCTGCCACTCAAAGCGTGGCAGATCACCAGGACATTGTCACCGTTGGGAGCGAGGGTTCCCCGCGTGGTGTACGCAATCGGCACATTATAAAGAGTAACGCCGGACTCGAGAGTGAAGGATGGGATGATGGCAATCGATTGATCCTCAATCAGGCCAGCATAGGGGTTCTCAGGCTGCGCATCGACTCTCTCTACGGGATTTAGTAGTCGTTCACTTGGAGGGGAGAGGGGCAGAAACTGACCGAGTCGCGCAGCGGAAGCGCCACTTGTTTCAGTGACCATTGTGGACTGGGATGAAGGAGAAGAGAAGAGAAAATGAAAATAGAAAGAATTTATATCCGAGATGGTCTCATTGCAAGCTGCAAGCAGGAAATGATGAATCGAGTAGAGAAAAAGCAAAAAAGAATAATTCTGCAGTGAGTCAAAAAGACCCCGCGGGCCGAGCACCAATCAGCATCTGTGGGCTTTGAGCGGCAGAATTGAGGGCGGTGAATGCAAAGCCACACCGTCTGATGAGTCATCTCCAGCACGTGACTATTTCGAAAAAGGAAAGAGTGCCGGTTGAGAAGTAACCACCCTCGCTCTCGCTACGCCAAGATGCTTCCTCCCTCCGGTCCTTCTTGCGCAGCTTGCAATCTCTCTGCCGAGGTTCGGTAGACCCGTGGCAGGCCCACCTCCTCGAATTTCTTGCCAGTGTGGATCATCTCCGCAATCCCTTTTCCAGACAGGAACACTACCGGCATGCCATGGCCGTTGAATCCCGCGCAAACATATTGGCCCGGCTTGTCTGGAACCTCGCCAATATGGGGATGGATGTCGTATGAATATCCCATGACTGCCAAATTGTTAGTGTCAATATATCAACCCAGGTCTGTCAGGATCACGCACTGCCAGTCCAAATCTCCTTGACAGCTGCTTCGCTCTTTTCCCAGCCATTGAATGTGCGTTGCATATAGCCATCCCAGTAGTTTTTGGTTGGCTCAATCAGAGTACTATCATCTGTCATGTTGTACCATTGCTCCTTTGCATGGGCAAAGGTGGTGCTAGCCCCACCGACGATGATACTGCCATCTGGCCGCGAAATCAGGTAGCTGTCGAACTTGCCCTCTTTGTTCCATAGGGCATAGGAGTGCTCTAGATACGGGGCCGTCTCGGTCTCGGGTATGGCAATGTGGCAACAGATGCCTCGACAGGGAACAATGGTTGTGGCATATTCAGGCAACAACCCCGCTGTGTACGCATTGGTCGTGTAAACCACTTTGGATGTGCGGATCGTGCCTCGTGGGGTGTGGACAAGATGATCGGCCCCATCAGCCTCGACGGATATAACAGGAGTATGGGTTTGCACGTTAACGGAATCTTCCTTGATTATCCTGGCAAGGAGCCCTAGGACGAGCTTGTATGCCCACAATTTCCCTGCAGTAAACGAAATGCATGCCTTGGCATATTTGACACCGGATACCTAGCTCATAGTATGGTCAGTGTGGGTTGGTCTCAAACGAGGAACTCCCATACCTTTTCTGCCTCCGTCTGGGGCGTATACTGGAGGTTATCGGCATAGGGAAAACCGTTTGCGTGCAGAGCATCATAAATCTCCTTTGCTTTCTCGGCATTTTCGTCGCTGAGATACACATTCATGCATCGAGAGAGGTGAAAATCGCAGTCGATGGATTCCTTGGCAATGACATCTCGTACTGCCGGAATATGTGAAACTTCAAACTTTGCCAGTTCAGTGGCAGCCTCGATCCCATGTTGTTCCATGCACTGGAAAGTGGCATGATAAACATCGGGACGTAAATGCCCACCTAATTCCAAAGCCCAGCCGCTATTAGTTTGGTGTTTGTATGCAAGGCAATCCCTCGTACATCCCTCATACATACCATTGCGACCCGTTGCCCCAGAACAAATCTGACGCGCCTCGAGAATAGTGATAGAGGGCGCAGGGGTATTTTGAGGCTGTGAGTTAACTAAATGATATGCCACACTCACTCCAGCGTAGCCGCCCCCAATAATTACAATATCACTTGTTTCTGGTAACTCTGGGGTGGTGCGAATCTCATCCAATTCATGCAGGTCTGTTCTCCAAAATGGCAACGTGGGGTTTTCTGCCGGAGTGACTGGAGTAGGGGAGCTTGTGGTGGTCATCTTCGAAATAAATGTAACCAGTGGAAAGATGGACAATATTTAGAGGAAGGATATTTGGTGACTGGCACGATATATATTGCCCAGGTGGTGTTGGGCTGGAAAGGAAATGTTACATAAGACGCGGGGCTGAAAGGTGCAAGAAGTTGAAAGGAACGCTGTCTAGGCAGAGCTAGGCAGATGTATTGTAGAACATGAGAGTAAGATCCATACCGCAAGCGCTCATCATACCAAGCGCCGACATCTCGTTATCGCGCAACCCCACATCTTTGCCTGAGGTTACCTGATGATGCCCTAACTTGGCACGTGACTAGGGCTACAGAGTCACATGTTTAATCCACTCATTAGTCATTACCACAAGTTCTCGAGTAATTTTTCGGTCAATTCAATTCCTTGTCTCTTCCGTACGCACTTCTCACTCCTCACCACCCCCATCCCTCCGCACAACCGACAAAATGGCCAAGAACAAGAAGACCGGTGACACCATCTCGTCGCGCCTTGCGCTCGTCATGAAGTCGGGCAAGGGTGAGTTGCAATTGTGAAATTGACGTCCACACAAGACTTGAGTCGCTAACATTTTCGGTCAGTCACCATGGGTACCAAGTCCACCATGAAGACCCTCCGCTCTGGCAAGGCCAAGCTGGTCCTCATCTCCGGCAACTGCCCTCCCCTGCGCAAGTCTGAGCTCGAGTACTACGCTATGCTCGCCAAGACCCCGGTTCACCACTTCAACGGCAACAACGTACGTTTCTCCCCCACAAGCTTCCCCCCCAAGGAGCCAGCTCCACTACTCAGCGAAGAAGTCGGCTTATGTCACTTCGGAGAGTGAAGTTGCTTAACGATGGGACATTTCCCTGGCAAGGGATCCCGGAGAGCGCATCGACTAATACTATTATAGATTGAACTCGGAACCGCCTGCGGTAAGCTGTTCCGCTGCTCGGCCATGGCCGTGCTGGATGCCGGTGACTCGGACATCCTTAGCCAGGAGGCATAAACACTTCTTGTTTCGACCACAAAAGGACCATCTTAAGGATGTTTTCGGGTGCTGGATCCAGGCGTGTAAAAAAAGAATAGCCTAAAAATTTAATGACCTTACGAGACTTTTACCAGAGGAACCTCGGATCTCTCGTGTTTGGTCTGAAAAGTGCATTAACCCTTGCTCTTGTCTTCCCATAGAAAGCCAAGCCCAACCCCCACGCCGTCTTTGGGGGGAAGCGTCTCCACCGCGCAGTGGTTGATGCGCGAGTATATAGCCTGAACCTCACGACTTGGTGACTTTGCCTGAACACGGCTATCGTGGGCTCGTCATTTTGCAATGGATCGGTATAAAGGGAGCCCGATGGAATGGAGACTAGGAATTCCTTAGTAGATGGTATTCAGAATGCGACTGTTCTTGCTTGCTTCCTTGGGCTTTGCAGCGGCCAAGAATGGATTGGACGGCTGGTTGCGCTATGCACCGCTGCCATGCTCTCATCAATGTCATTCCAAGCTTCCCTCCAACATTGTCACGCTCAATCAGACCACGAGGAGTCCTGTGTATGTCGCCGGATCCGAGCTCCAAAAAGGACTGAAAGAGATCTATGCCAGTCATGTGCAAATCCACCATGGTCAACATGGCCAATGCAAAGACTTTTCGGCGGTGATAGTGGGAACTGTGGCCCAATATCGCAAGACTTGTGGCCCTGCAGATGAGGTTCCACACCTGGACGAAGACGGGTTCTGGCTCAATACCAAGGGTAGCCATGTTCGCATCCTGGGCCAAAATGAGAAAGGCACTCTCTACGGGACATACGAGTATCTGTCGATGCTGGCCCAGGGAAACTTCTCCGACGTTGCCTACTCCACAAATCCCTCGGCCCTGATCCGCTGGGTGAATCAATGGGACAACATGGACGGGAGCATTGAGCGCGGCTACGGTGGTCCTTCTATCTTCTTCAGAGGCGAGAAGATCGTGGATGACCTGGCCCGGGTGATTCAATATGCCCGTCTGTTGGCTTCAGTCCGGATTAACGCCGTGGTGGTCAACAATGTCAATGCCAATGCCACCCTCCTGGCTCCCGAGAATATCCAATGCCTGGGCAGAATTGCCGATGTCTTTCGACCGTATGGTGTCCAGATTGGCATCTCGCTGAATTTTGCATCTCCTAAGACCTTTGGTGGCTTGAACATATTCGATCCCCTTGATACAACTGTCATCAAGTGGTGGTCAAACATCACGAACCAGATCTACCAGCGTGTCCCCGACATGGCTGGGTATCTGATCAAGGCAGACTCGGAAGGACAGCCTGGCCCACAGACATACAATCGGACTTTGGCAGATGCAGCGAACCTCTTCGCCAAAGCTGTGAAACCGTATGGGGGCATCGTCATGTACCGCTCCTTCGTCTATGACCATAATCTCAACCAATCCAATTGGAAGGCAGACCGTGCCAACGCCGCAGTGGACTTCTTCAAGCATCTGGACGGCAAATTCAACGACAACGTAGTCGTGCAGATCAAGTACGGCCCCATCGATTTCCAGGTCCGAGAGCCAGCATCTCCGTTGTTTGCGAATCTGCTCAATACCAGTATGGCGATTGAACTGCAGGTAACGCAGGAATACCTCGGACAACAGTCTCACCTAGTATACTTGGCCCCGTTGTGGAGGGACATCCTCGACTTTGATATGCGTGTTGACCACAAACCATCATCGGTTCGCGATATTGTGACAGCCAAGCGCTTCAATCGCAAACTCGGCGGATCGGCAGCTGTCGTCAACGTGGGCACCAACACCACCTGGCTCGGAAGCCATCTGGCCATGTCCAATCTGTACGCCTACGGCCGGCTTGCATGGAACCCAACCGATGACCCCGAAGACATGCTTCGCGACTGGATCCGACTTACCTTTGACCTAGACCGAAACCTCCTCGACACCATCACTCGAATGTCCATGGATTCCCGGCCTGCATACGAGAACTATAGCGGGAACCTAGGTATCCAGACGTTGACGGATATCCTGTATACTCACTATGGACCCAATCCCGCCTCGCAAGACAACAACGGCTGGGGCCAATGGACGCGGGCAGACCGCACGACAATCGGCATGGATCGCACAGTGAAAAACGGCACGGATTTCTCTGGCCAATATCCACCTGAGGTTGCGGCCATGTACGAGAGCAACGAGACTACCCCAGAAAATCTTCTCCTGTGGTTCCACCACGTCGACTACACCCATCGCCTGCACTCCGGGAAGACCGTCATCCAGCATTTTTACGATGCACACTACCAGGGCGCAGAGACTGCGCAGGGCTTCCTCGACCAGTGGGAGTCACTACAAGGCAAAATTGACCATGAGCGATACGAGCACATCCGTCAGCGCCTCGAATACCAAGCAGGCCATTCCATCGTTTGGCGGGACACGATCAACAACTTCTATCACAATCTCTCCGGCATCGCAGACAAGGCCAAACGCGTCGGAAACCACCCATGGCGCATCGACACTGGATGGGTATGAGGCGTACACGGTCAGCCCTTTCGCGACTGCTTCTGGCTCTGTGGCTATTGCCACCGTTCCAATGATACCGCGGGCACGGCTACAACGAAACTTCACTTTCCTTCCGGGATGTATGATCTCGCTGTTAATTACTACGATCTTTATGGTGGTCAATCTCGTTGGGCAGTCTATCTGAATGACCGACAGATTGGCAGGTGGCTTGGAAATACTGAGGATATCTTGAGCCACACGCCTTCAATTTACCTGGATGGGCATTCGACTACGAGGATTAAATTTCGACGGATCAAGGGGACCAAGGGCGATACTCTCAGGATCGATGGCACACCTGATGGTGTTGAGCCGGCTCCGTTGGACTATGTTGCGTTGCTCCCGCATGGAGTTGTGGATTGAACTCTAAGGTTTTGGAGATATAGGAACAGTGTTGAAAAAGTGTGCCCTAAGACTTGTCTTCAGCGCCTTCGTTTTAATCTGAGCCTTACTCACCTCCCTCGCTCTCTTCCTCCTGTCCATTGCAGCACCCAGTGATTTTTTCCAAGTGGTTGCTTCGAAAATGTCTGGCTCCTCTATATATAAATCATAAGTTGGAAATATACCCAGCAAGGGTCTATAAACTCTCTGTATAATTTTCTTTTCTAGATGTAAACACATCCCATGATATGGTCCTCAATAGGCAGTCGAGTGTGCAATCTCCTTCGTCTGCTGCAAATTCTCCTGCAAGGTATCGACCTTCGTCTGGAAGCGCTTCCAGCAATCCGGGCCCAGCGGCAACCGAAACAGATTTTCTTTCCCAGCACCCATGCCGGTACCATCCACGACGTCCAAAATCCGGAGGGCACATTTCACAGCGTCGCCGGGCTGCGTGCCCGTGCTTGATTTGAATGCTTTGAGGACATTTTCCAGAGGCGTCCCGGCATAGTCCGGATTCATGCCAGCGGCAGGCTCGACATAAGCAGACCAGAAATTGGTTCGAAGCGAGCCTGGCTCGACGAGGAGTACTCGGATACCAAACGGTGCGAGCTCTCTTGCAAGACTTTCGGACATACCTGCATATTGAAAGTCAGTCTCATAAAATCCAAAAGTACTTAGAAAATGATAGAATACTCTATTTTCTTACCCTCAATAGCAAACTTTGTTCCAGCATAGATCGCACAAGTGGGCAGTCCATCAATCCCAGCACTGCTGCTGATGTTCACCACAGTACCGGATTTCCTCGCCCGCAGAAACGGGAGAGCACCCTTTAACACACGGACGGGCCCGTAGACATTTGTGCAGAACTGGGTCTCGATTTCCTTTTCGCTCATGTCCTCGATACTCCCCAGCAGCGAGTACCCTGCATTGTTGACAACCACATCGACAGCACCACCAGCCTCGTTGATTGCGTTTTCCACAATTTTTGATGTATCCGGGCTGGTCACGTCCAACTCGATCCAGGTGCCGCCGAGCTTTGTGATCTGCGGGTTGGATTCGGCTGCTTTGGTTGGGTTGCGGGCTGTAGCGATCACTTTGTGGCCTGCTTGCAGAGCTGTCTCGGCGATCGCTGCGCCAAGTCCGGATGATGCACCGGTAACAAGCCAAGTCTTGGATGATGCCATCTCGTTTCTTACAAGGGGCTGAATGCGTTGTCTCGGGTTGGGGTGTGTAATGGGTTGGCCAGGCGAGTTGTGTTGGGATATCTGAAATGGGGTTAAGTTGCAAAGCGAAAAGTGCAGAGAGGTCTTGCGGCTTACGAAGTAACTCAAATATCCTGCTGATTCCAACGTATGATCAACGGAGATTGGCTAGTATCGCCGCTAAATCCGATATTTTAAATATCGAGCAGTGGATGCCCAGGATTGTTCTCACTTGAAGGATTCAGCACGGGAGATTGGCATTTTGAAGATTTTAAAGACACAGAAAATAAAGACAGGTCATATATCTATACCTCGAAGACGTGAAGGTGATAGTTACTGTTCAAACAAAATTCTAAATAGTAGATACTGTAGTCCCTCTGGATCAAGGGTCAGAACCCATTTGCTAGGACTCAATGCTCTTGAAAGAAATGCCATTTACTTCTGTGCATAAGAGCCGAGGAAATGATATTCGCCGAATACTCATCTTTGAAGAGTAAGCGCAAAGTGACTTCCTAATTCGGAAAGCGCGAAAGGTGGAATGTCACCAAAACACGCTAACGCAATCCGGCTAGCGCGCTACATCATCTGCGCGCCCATCGCGTCGCAGACTCCAATCCCTGCGCAGTCTGGCATATTCAACCCACCGCGATCGCACCAAAGTTGCTCATTCCTTTTCACTTGATCGATTCACACATGCGCGCAACCATACATAATGGTTGATTACTCCTCGTGGAAGGTGGCGGACTTGAAGACGGAGCTTAAAACCCGCGGCATCCCTCAGACCGGCCTCCGTCTCAAACAGCACTTTGTGGACAAATTGACCGAGATTGACGCGACAAAACAACCAGAGGAATCGGTAGCAGTTGTGCCGTCTGTGCCGGAACCCGAATCCGTCGAGGCATCTCAGCAACCCACCTCAGAAACCCTGCCCCCGGCGTCAGAGCCGCAACCCGAGCAACAACCCAAGGAAAAAGAACAGAAGGAGACACCTGCCGCCCCAGAAGAAGAGAAAGAGGTCCCGAAAGATGTGGCGACACCTGAAAAAGCCCAAGTTCCTGATCAGCCCGAAAGTGCTGGGGAACCTACAACAGAGCCGCCAGCACAACCCACTCCTTCCGATCATGCACCCCAGGATGCAGCACCTCAAGTTGAGACTACAGCCCCTTCCGCGGAACCTGTTGCGCCGGCTCCCGGAGACACCAGCGCGCCTGGAAAGGCAGATACCATCCAACCAACAGAAATACCGGTTCCCTCGGCCCCTCAGACCTCCGAGGCGAATACCGAACTGTCAACACCCCTTCCCGCTGAAGAGGCTCTAGAGGACCGGCGTAAACGGAAGCGCCGCAGCCAGAGCCCGGTCCCGACCCCCGAAGCGATTGCGAACAAGAAAGCTCGTGCGAAAGATGAAAGCCCGCAAGTAGTGTTGAAGGACGAGGAACCACCCGAGGGTCACCTGGACGAACAACCAGCCGACACCCAAAAAGAACCACGCCCTGTGCCCGTCAAACAAGATGCCCGTTTCCGCGAACTCTTTGCCGAGCCAGCGCCGCCCCGACCTGCTTCGCCGCCCAAAGACGTGGCCATGCAAGACGTGGACGTTGAACCGGCATTGCATGCTGCTACGACTGCTCTCTATATCGATGGACTGATGCGTCCACTCCAGCCTGCTGCACTCCGCAACCACTTGATCAGTGTCGCATCGGCTCCAGGCGCTTCACCCAACCCCACCATCATTCAAGACTTTTATCTTGATCCCATCAAAACACACTGTTTTGCCAGATTCGCCGACATTGCGGCAGCCTCACGGGCGCGGTCGGCCCTTCATGGCACCGTGTGGCCGAATGAACGCAACCGCAAGAAACTCGGGGCTGATTTCATCCCTGACCAGCAACTGCGGGAATGGATTCGCACAGAGGAGGCATCTCGAGACCGTCCCGGGCCGGCACCGCGCTGGGAAGTCCGGTATGATTTCACTGAAGATGGAACAACGGCCAGTCTGGTTGAAGCAGGGTCGAACTCTCGTCCTGCCCCTTCCCGACCACGAGAGCCCGATTTCAATAGGACTCCACCCTCCGGCCCGCGTGGCAGTGTTCACCCAGCAGACCGACGCGCGTCAAATGCTCCTCCTCCGTCGCGCCCCGGACAGGGCTTCAAGCCTCTTGATGAGCTGTTCGAGTCCACGACCACCAAGCCGAAGCTCTACTATCTCCCTGTACCGCGTCGTGTCGCCGACAAGCGGCTGGATCAATTCGACGAGCTCCTGCGAAAGGGAACGTTTCCGCGTCGCGGTGGCGACGATACGCGCCGAATTACTTTTGAGGATGAGGATTACTTCGTGGATGTTGGACCGGAGTATGGACCGCGGGCTCTTCAGCGTCGTCAGGGACAAGGCCGAGGACGAGGCGGGCGGCCTGGGGCTTCGCGCCGCCCTTGAATGGGGTGTTTTCTAAAAAAAAAAAAAAAAAAAAAAAAAAAAAAAGCCTGAACTCTGCACATTCGCAGACATGTACCATATATGATCCTCTTGCCACATTCGTGTATTCTATCTCAGGCGCAAAAATGGATGTCGCAAGGCTGAGCCATGCAACAGACAAAAATAGACAAGCCTCGCCGCGATGATCGTCGATCGGCACGACACATGCGCGCTTAACAATCCGCCCGAGTTTCTTGCAGAAACCTCAAAGGCGTTGATTTCGCAATGCAACGATTTTTAAGATTTCAAGATTTCAAGATTTTGGAGTTGGAAAAACTCAAGGTTGACCTCTCTCCCCTGTCGATCCGGATAAGATAATCAGGTCGAAAAATAGAACCTCTTTGTTTTTCTTTCCTCCCTCAACTCTCCCACCTTTGACCCTTCCACCCTCCAGCTAGAATGGGCTGGACTGAGTGCGATGTCACTGAAGAGACTCAAGAAAGTGCGTCCCCCCTGAATCGATTGAGCCCGTGCAACAAACTGATCCGCGACAGTCACCGAGGTCGATCTCTGGGATGGCGGCATCACCTTCCACCAGCTGAGTCTGTTGCTGGGCGGCGCCTGCGCCATCGTCGCATGCGCAGTGTCCATTTTCCTGATTATGGGCCATGCCACCCATTACAGTAAACCCATCGAGCAACGGCAGTGAGTCAAATCTCCCCCCCTCCCCCTCCAATGCGAGCACACGAAGGCAGCAGCATACTGACAAGGCCTGGGTTTCTGTCGCAGCATTATCCGGATATTGTGGATGGTCCCCGTCTATTCCCTTGTCGCATGGCTCAGCATCCTCTTCTACCACGACTCCGTCTACTTTGAAGTCCTCGGCGACTGCTACGAGGCCTTCACCATTTCCGCCTTTTTTTCTCTCATGTGCCATTACATCGCGCCGGACCTGCATAGTCAGAAGGATTATTTCCGTGGGATCCAACCCAAGCCATGGCTGTGGCCGTTGAATTGGTTTAGGAAATGCTGTGGCGGCGATCATGGGATATGGAGGACCCCGCGCAGCGGATTGACATGGTTCAATGTAAGAGGGATCTGGGGAACCGAAAACGTGATGGATGGCTGATGGAGATGTACAGGTTGTTTGGGCCGGTGTCTTCCAGTACTGCGTGATGCGCGTGCTGATGACTATCGTCGCCGTTGCTAGCCAGGCCAACGGCGTGTACTGCGAGGAATCCCTTAGCCCTGCTTTTGCTCATATCTGGGCATGTGTCCCTTTCCCTCTTTGTGCTGAGATTTGTCAACTAACACATATTGCTCTCGATGGATAGGTCATCGTCATTGAGTCGTGTTTTGTCACGATTGCCATGTACTGCTTAATCCAATTCTACCATCAGGTCGGTGATGATATCAAGCAGCACCGGCCATTCTTGAAAATTCTTTCCATCAAGCTGGTTATTTTCTTGTCTTTCTGGCAGTCGGTATGTATGCCTAGTTGGCGTTTCCAACCAGATCATGGAGTGAATCCTAACTGTTCTTCTAGACGTTGATCTCCCTGCTAGTCTCCAAGGGCGCCATCAAACCCACCAAGAAGATCCAGCTGCCAGACCTCAAAACAGGCCTGCCGGAGTTGATGATTAACATCGAAATGGCCATCTTCGCCATCCTGCATCTCTGGGCCTTCTCATGGAAGCCTTACGCCACCGCTAACCAGGTCGGCGATGTGACCGACTTCTATGGTAACGGCAAAGTCGCCTACCACGGCGGGCACTTGGGACTCAAAGCGCTGGTCGACGCCATGAACCCACTCGATCTCCTGAAAGCTATCGGTCGCAGCTTCCGCTGGCTGTTCGTGGGTCGCAAAACGCGCATGGCAGACTCCAGCTATCTGGCGCACCACGAGTCCATCAACCTGCAACCGGCAGATGGGTCAATGCACGGAACCGCCTACAATGGCGCCGGCACTCCCATGGCCGTAGGCCGAACCGGTCGCTATGGAGTCACGCCGAACGAAGACGGCGAGGTGCTTCTGGCCCATGCCCAGCCGACTCCCGAAACAGCGTACTTGGGCACGTCCCCGTACGCCGAGGAATTCGACGAGTCCATACACGGCCCGCCGGGCCGCTTCTATAGACGCAGCCCTTCGCCTTACCAGGACCCGGATGTCCGCGGCCCGCACTACCCGCCCCTCGTCGAGTCAAGTCAGCCCTACCCGGCCGACGGCCCTTTGCGCGAACAGGCGCCCATGCCTATACCTGACCCATATCAGCCTCCACCGCCGTACCCCGAGAGCCATCGTTCATGATCCATGAAATATCTACGACTCGGGTCTGCGCCCCGGCTGGGAAATTCCAGTTCTGCACAGCATATCCCGAAAATTGCACGAACTCTTGATATGGATTGGTCTTTTTTCTTCTTCTATTTCTTCTTCTTTCTCTGTTTCATTTTCATCTGTGATGATCCCATGAGCGATTATCTGGAATTTTCCAGTGTGGTTTATTTTCCCTTTTTTTGTCTCTTCTATCCCGTTCTTTGGATATGAATACCCGCCAGTTTGTTGTTAATGGCATGTCTTGTCTCTGTTTATTTTGAAGGCTTTCTCCGATGTCATGTCGTCTTTGCAGCGCCTTTTTGCATCTTGTCTTTTTCTCACGCAGCTCTGTCACGTTGTCTTGTATAGAGTCTGAGCTTGGGGCCGTCGTGTCCAGCGTTGATGATTGAAGTGCGCTTCTCATGCCTAAATAATTTTATGATGACATTGTAATGGTGTGCATGATATGCTTTTTATTCACTTCGAGAACTGGAGAAAGTCTTGTATTCGTCACCTCGTTTAAGCATCTGTCATCAATCAGGGAGAGCCTGAAGCATGGGAAAGCCGCAACGCCAAAAGAGCAATATCAGAAAAACAAAACAAAAAAAAGACCTGAGGCCCCGTATCAAGGGACGTTTTCGTGCTCTAATGAAAAAGAGAACAGGCACAAGGGAAATGGTGGGCTACTACGTAGACGACATCTAATACATAGCGCCACCACCCCGGCCCGAGCCAATACCCTGAGCCAAGAGCTGGTCCTCAAAGCGACTCTGCGCGAGAGCAGGGTTCCTGCGCGAGGGAACATTCGAGCGCGCAGAACTGACGAGGGCAGACTTGCGGCCCAGGTCACGCAGAGCTTTAGCGTTCTTACCGAGTTGGCCCAGGAGCGAGGCCATCAGGACATCGTTGTTCTGGGAGAGGACCTCGGTAGCGAAGGCGCTTTGTTCTGGTGGAGACAGGATCGAGAGGTGCGAGAGGAGGGAGTTGATGTTGCGAAGGATTGGGTGGGATAGTGCGGTGGGGACGTCTTTTGTTGTGCTGTCTTTTTCGGACTCGGTGTCGGAGGAAATGCTGGAGAGGTAGGACTTGATGAGGGAGATGCGGGACTCGAGGGTGCGGATAGCGTTGAGGCGGGTGTTGAGATTGCCGATTACTATGACGATGGGGTCATTAGTTAGATATGCAGAGGAGAAAAAGACAAGGAGGAATGAAGGCACCTACATTCTTCTTCTTGGTGGGGTAGTTCAGCCTGTGTGCTTGTCTTCTGGCCTGCTTGGCGCGTAGACTCTTGGACCTGGCTTTCCGAAGCATTCCCAGAGCTCTTAGCGATGGTATCGAGCCCAATCATCTCCGCCTCCCCGGTCTCAACGGAGTAGGGAAGCTCGCGGAACCGGATGTTCAGCCTCGTCTCCTCGCCGTCAACCTGCATCTCCTTGGCTGTATCGGCAGCATTCTCACCTTCGTGGACACTCTCGTATATAGTTAATGGAAGTTTCGCGCCGCTCGAAGATTGGACCTGGGATGGGTGGAAGGCAAGGAAGATGGACGATTCATTGTAATCCTGCAGAAGCTGCCGGTGGAGAGGCAAGTGGGAGGAGTCAGGTCCAGTCGACGGAGCAGTCGACCACCATCCCACAAGGTCGAGGGGCGGGTCTTTGTGCACATCCTTGACTGTGGTCTCTGTCAGCTAGCTGTCTGGGTGGATTGTTGCTTGGGTGCGGGGGCGGGGAGTCTACGAACGTTGCTTCACGCGCTCCTCGAACCATGCTGCCAGGAGAAGCACTTCGCCATTGGGTCCGCCAGTAATATGGCACTCGAATGCATGCTCCACTGTGATCTCTCGTCCGTTTTGCTGGCCCAACAGAGCGCCAATAATCGGTCCTTGTTGCTGGCGAGCCGCGTGCCGTGTGATATGGTCGGAAACGGTGAGAAGCACGAGCGGGTGCAGCTGGATATGGAGGCCCGAGTCCGAAGACCTTTGGGAAACGAGAGACTGCAACGGATCCATCATTATTGGAGCTCCGAGGTGACTGATGAACCGAGCTCTCTCGGTGGAGAGATGCCGATAAGGTGGTGGTGATGTTTGACTTGTTTGGATGTCTCCGCCTCAGGCAGCAAGGCCCATATTGTGGCCTTACCTCTCAGGCGGTAGGTGGTGATTTCAATCTATACAAATCAAGGATCTGATGAATACAGAAGAGTTCTTTAACAAGGGACTCTCTTAAATAAAAATATGGATATATCTATTAAAGCAATCGATACCATACTTAAGTGGTAATCACAGATAGCTGCCAATCAAAGTGCTCAGCTCAGTCTCACTCATTTCCTTCACTCCCAAGAGCTCGTTGTCAAGATGACTGGAAAAGTCACAGCCGTACTCAGGGGTCCAGGAAGCAAGTATGCAGAAGCCCAACATGGCGGCATCAATATCGCCTTCAGAGCCTTTGGCAAGCTCACGGAAGCTCTCTTGCTTAACCTCCTCCGTGCTTTTAACCACAACATCCCATTCCTTTCCATCGGCTTCTTGGGCGTACTGGATAAGTTTCCTCTGGGTCACTAGTGCAGATTGGACGTAGACAATGCGGTTAACAGTGTCTTCTTGGTGAGAAATGACACCGAGCACGGCCTTGGCCACATCCCGCAGAGTTGTCGCGGTAAAAGGGACATCCCCGCCATTGTACAGAGTCGCGGAGCGATTTTTCGGGTTCACAATTATCCCGGCCGCGATGCACCAGTCCAGAAACAAGCCATTGGCGATACCTGTGTACGTAAATCCGGGATTCGACACGGACTTCTCCAGGAGGTAGTTCTGCGTCGCAACCTTTGGCGCACAAACCGGGAGCTCCATGCTCAAAGCATTCTTCGAATCCATCCCAAATTCCGCGGGGATGAATCGCTTCACTTTGGCGGCGACAGATGCATCGATGAGAGGGTTTTGGCTGCCGATTGCCAACGTGGCGAGACAAGAGACCACGACTTGCACTCCAGACAGCGCCGTCGTCAACGACTCTACGGAGGTAAAGTCAACTTCTTTGCTGGTGATATTGGGATGCGGTTTCAATCTCGACGAATTGCCGCCAATGCGCGAGAGAACGGTGACCAGGTATCCAGCGCCGAGCAGGGCTTCGAGCATTGGAGTGCCGAGATTCCCGGTGGCACCGGCAAGCGCAATTCGATATGAAAGACCCATGGACAGCGTTGATTCTCAAATTGACTGGCGAAAGGGTCTGTTCTCGACTCAGGGTCCCCGTGGTTGCAGAGGCTTGGAGGTGGCGTCTTGAGCATTCGATTCCCAACAGATGGAAAGAAGCAAACTACATATGCCTTGGGTATCCTCCATTCTTATTCCAAACAGTCAGGGGGCAGTTGGTCTCTGCGTACATGGCTGAGAAATGATTTATAATTCAGATATGTCATCTTGTCTGGCTTTTAGAAATCACTCTCGTAGACCTGGACATATCAGCTATTGATAGATCAAAGCCCGAGAAGATAGCTGCACCATAATCAGCATGAATTGAAGCAATTTCCACGATACTTCTGGGAAGTGTTGTTGATCAACGCGAGAGCTTACGGGAGGGGAGCTCTCCAGCGCTTAGTGATCCGGGGCCCCACCTCAACAGGGACAGGCGCCTCCTCCAGCACTCATTCGCGTTGTCGACTCGCACGATGGCTATCCCATCCTCCTTCGAGGAGGTGAAATCACACCTTGCTCAAATTCAGCAGAATCCGAACGTGCCCCTCGATACCCAACTATTCGACCGGCTGAAGCTGCAGCTCGTTGAAGCTACCGACCCCATCGTCCCCGCCACGCTCTTATCGCAGATCTCGGCCCTGCTGCCCGTCCTACAAGAAGATCCCACCCCGGTCACTACTCTTGCAACTAAGGCCACCTCCTACTTTAGCTTTTCGGATCTCCTCTCCATCGAGCCGCCGATCAATCTCGTTGCCGGCTTCAAGGCTCCATCGCCGCCGATCAACCTTCTTGCTATCTCGCTGCTGGCCAAGGCCGGACAGACATCGAGTGATGCTGCCATAGTAGCGGGAGACTCGGGATTGGTTGCTGCACTGGTGGAGTTGTGGCTTTCAACCTCCTCGACGGCCGTTGCGCAAGCGGCGCTTGACGCCTTATGGGCCCTGCTCGAGGTCGACCTAGCGAGCCCTCTCGAGAAAGGAGAATATGACCATGACGAAGAAACGCGCGCAGGACAAGGGCTGATGTGGAGGAGGGTATTTACCGACAAGGATGTCTACGGACTCTTATTTGGGCTGTGCAGCCTCAAGCAAGGCGCTCCAGGCGATTTGTCCAAACGCGAGAGAACTATCGCACAGGGCAGGCTAATGGGACTTTTAGTCAAGGCTGGACGCGTCCGTTGGGATATCATTTCGACATCGCAGGTTTCTGATGTCGAAACCCACTACCAAAGCAGCAATATCCTGCATTTTGCTGCCTGTCAGATGGTCAACTTGAGCGATGTGTTGATGCATATGACTCTGCTGAATTTCTTCCGGGACCTACTCGAGATCGATGCCCCCGGTTTGGTTGCTCGAAGCTCTGTGCAGTCCACCTCGACTTTCTCGTCTCCTGCGCTCGATTTTCTCATTGCGCAAAAGCTGCACGCAAAGGTGTTGGAGTACTATCTCGGCGAGTCGCAGCTGGATGCGGTTGACCTCCACTATCTCTCTGGGCCGGTTATGGCCTATGTGGCACAATACGCCGAGTCCTATCCAAATCACTTTTTGCAAAACCCCATCACCCTCCTTGATGGAATTCTCTCGCGCATAAACAGATCCCTTGCAATTCCCTCCACACAATGGGCTAATGGTGAAGTGCCCACAGGGCACCTGGCCATCCTGGCCTCACTTCCGCGCGTGCTGCTCGTAGAAGCGGGAAAACATGGGGCAAACCCCATATTGACTCTACCTACCAATCCTCCCAATGGTGAAGCTTTCGATGTTCTGGGCAAGATCTTGCGAGGGCCCTCACGGACGGAGATCTCCAATTCGATGGATCTGAATGCAGCCGGCCAAACCCCAACTGACTGGAACCATGAAGCTGCCGCTGCACGAATTCTCTACTTCCTCTACCTCAACGAGCATCCCAGCTTCTGGACCGATGTCGTGGCTGCCGCTGACATCCTGGTAATGAAGGATGTTGCCCTCGCAGCAATCAACTTAATGAAGACCGTCACTATCGCCAATTGGGAGCCCTTGCCTCCAGCACCTCAAAGATCTCCTGCCTCATCGCGATTCCAGCTACCTTCCGAAGCAAGCCTAGGCCAGCTGTCCCCGGCCGCAAGTGGCCTGCTCCCTGCCTCGGGGGCATGGGCGGTGCTCACTCCGCCCGCCCTGACCACTGTTTTACCCTATCTCTTCAAGCCGCCGCGGTCTTACGCAGACTTTGTGGGCGGTGGTGCAGGCGACTCTCAGAATGCGGTCTGGAAAGTGGCAACAGCCAAGTACGAGGTTCTTGTTGCGCTGCACGACCGACTTCAAGAATCTGGTACACAGATAGACGGGACCGAGGATATCTTACGGACCTTGCGGCAGCGCGTGAATGAGGGGCCCTGGGGACCGGCTCCGTCGAGTGCGGCCCAGGTGGAGACGGCTGGGCTGTGAGGGCTCACTTCTGAGCAGACAAGAGAGAAACCATTCATACAAAAAAAAAGTGTCACTGTGGGTCCTATCATTGTGGGTAAGTCCTTTGATAGCTACGTTTACATGGCAGTATTGATTTACCAAATTCTTTCTTCAAATAGCTAATTCAGGGATATGACAACCTATGATGCTTCTACTCTTGGTTGCTTCTACTCTCAGCTCAAAACATGGCTGTATCAAGCCTGAAATGAACATTTACTCAATAGCTCGATTGTACCTTGGCTCTCAATTTCACCCCAAAGACCATAATAACCAACGGTGCCGGGATACTAAAGGCCAGCCCAATAAAGGCGATAGTACGGTTACCCCATCCATAACCAAACACCTGGTACATCCGAGGCCCGAATAACGGAAACAAAAACGCAGTCAAGCCGCACATTAACTGCGTCGCCGCCATGGCACTGCTGATATGATCCGAGTAGGCCTCCATCACGCACGCCTGTGGCGGCATGCCATTAATCTGCATGCCAAGCATATTGAGGAAGATTCCGACATCAACCACAGCCCAATGCAGCCGTTTCTCAGCCGCCCATTCGTACAGGAACAGACTGCTGAGTCTTAGCACGGAACCGGGAAGGACCAGCGGGATGCGGGACTCGGGCGCAGGTTCGCCGTTTAATCTGGATCTCATGCGCCAATATGACAAAACCATGAATGTCGCTTCGATTTGACTGCCGATGACTTCGCCTAGGGCACAGGCAATGTAGCGCAAGCCGCTTAAGTCGATGGACTGCTTGTATTGGTCTATCCAAAGATCTGAGAATGTGGAGAGTACGATGTATAGGATGCCGTAGTAAAACGCCGAGAGGACCGAGGTGATTTGGATAATTGAATGGAAGACAAGTAGACGGAGTGGTCGGATCAGAGCTCGGCCCAGCACCATGGAAGAAAACCTGTTCGCGCGAAGACGCTCGTCGGCTGTTTCATACTGCAAGTCTCCCGTGTCGTGGCGGAGCCGCTCTGCTCGTTTGCGAAGAATCAGAGGCGTGTATGTTTCATGGAATAAGGAAAATGACACCAGGATCATGACAGCTTGGAACACGGAAGTCGCCCAGGACATCTATCGCCAGGTAGTGCGGCCGACCATGAACCCGCCGATAACGGGGCCTGTTATGGAAAGTTAGTTTTGGAACTATATATTATTTCCTTTTCCTCGAAAGGCGTTCCCAAAGGTAATATAGTCCATACCAACAGCAGCAAACAGCAAGGGAATCAGCAAGTAAACACCGAGCAAGCGACCACGCTGTTCTGGACGACACACATCCCCCAGCACCCCTTTAGCCAGCGCATAGTTCGCACTAGCACCAAATCCCGCCAGAAACGGGGCCGTGATCAGCATTTCCTTGCTTTTCGCAAAGCCGCAGACGATATTCCACACCAAGAACCAGAAATTAGACCCATGCAGGATCGGCTTCCTCCCATAAACTTCGGACAAGGGCCCGATGACCAGGGGTCCGAATGCCGTGACCAGCAGATAAATTGATAGCGCCATGGCCCGAGTTCATGTTGAACTCCTGCGCGATGGTCGACAGCGCTGGTGCCATGATCGTCGAGACCATGATGCGGTTGAATCCTGTTGCGGATAGGACGTCGGTCACGGCTCATTTGCGGCTGGCGGTCCAGTCTTTGGAGTTTTCCTTGTCACATGGCTGGGCGAATGTTACTAGGTATGGATCTATCTCTTTGCTGGTGGTTGGTTACATTGGGTCCAGCTCTGTTTCTGGCGTGAAGGTGGTGATGTTATCTGAGTTGGGGTCATGGCGAGAATGAGAGGCCATGGCTAACTTGATTGAAGGCTACTCGGGCATTATATTCTGAGGCAATGAATGGAGGAAACGAAATTCTGGGGTATAAATGTGGGGGACGATCAGATAACGAGTCAATTAACGTGATCAGATAAGATCGAAGGTGTGATGCGGATGCTGCAGTCCCCGGATGCAAGCCGGAGCTAGCCCTGGCCTGGAATCATTGTCTTCGGATAGCCTGCTTGATGTCAGCAGGCAGCAGGCAGCCTGGATGACAGAATGTAACTGGTTCTAAACATCTACAACAGAGCTGAAAGAAAAAACACTTGACATAATCACAACGTTCATGGCATTCATTATCATCGAACGTTCTCTGGGGTATGTCCATAAAAAAGGCATCCCTTCCTAATTACAACGAAGTTATATAAGCCCATGAGCGTCTCTAAACAATGTGAGCTTTAAAGCCCGACAGGAACTCCAAAAACAGCGAAATCAGCTTCTCATTAGTCGATTTCTCCTCGGGATGAAGACTGCCGGTGCCATTAGTTGAAAACGGCACACAGGGACCACCATGGAACATGGAGTCGGCGGCAGCAGACCAGATAGACACGGGCTTGTCGATGTTCTCAGCGGTAAAGAAGCGGCGGCATTCGGCAGCTTCGTAGACAAACTGGCGCGGAACCTTGTCGTTCTTAGAGCTAAACGCACTCAGGAGGTTCACCCCGCCCGAGTACAGCGTCAGAGGGAAGTCCTTGAGAGGGATAGGCACCACGCGCTCCCACTTCTTGTATTCCTCTTTGTTCAGCGTCTGCTTGGCCAGGGATTTGGCCATGGGCAGGATTGACGCAATCTGGGAGAACTGAAGCACCTGCGCGCCCTTGGTCCCGCCCAGGCCCTGCATCGGAGCAAATTGCGGGCGGCCGCCAAAAGCGATGGTCCGGACACCCTGCTCTTTCATGAGCTCGGCGAAGACAGTGCAGGTAGATGCGCAGTAGCCATCGGTGATCTATATAGGAGTTAGTAAACCCCGTTCAGACGAGATCGTGAGCGCAACTGTTATGACCATACCATGATGATGTCCTCGGGCTCAAAGGCCGCTTTAGACGGGTTGAGCATCACATTGCCGTAACCATTGATGGGAACTTCGTGCTCGGAAACGCGCGAGAAATTGGTGGCAAAGAGACTGGAGGACTCGACTCCCGAGATATTCCGCGGGGAGTATAAATCTTTCCACGACTTGAATCCTTTCTTCTGGTCCGGTTGGACCATCGATGTCCAGTCAAATGGAGGAAACCCCTTCAGAATAGAGTCGGGCCGTTGAACAATAGGAGAAGCAACTTTTCCAAGCAAATTGACGGCATCGTGAGCCCGGAACCGCCCAGCCGAGTAGGGTACCTTGTCTGGGAAGAACATGCGGAACAGATTATCGCCAGCCAGGACACTACCACCAGGATTGCCCGACAAATCGACGATCATCTTCTTCTTACCCTTGTCGGTGGCATTCGCGAGAAAATCACGGGCAGTGTTGGAGAAGTCGACGATCTCCGTGTCGGGCAATTTCCCGTCTGACGTCGCACCCTGAACCTGGAAGCTCGGGACGCTCAGCACCGCGATATCCTTGAGGCCAGAATGTTCGGGGAAGAAGCCCATGATCCGGTTGAAGTTGTCTCGGACGAATGGTTCGGGATATCCATCTGGCAGCGGCAGCGGGTGAGCTTCTGAGCCTGACTGGCTGGAAGACGAGTCCTTGTTTGCAACACAGAAATTCTCATACAAGGCCGTGGTGTTCTGCCATGGGAACTCTCTTAAATGCACGATAGTTTCCGAGTCGGTCTTGGAGCCGTTCGCAAAGCGCAGAATTTGGGATCCGCCGGGCCATCGGGTGGTCGAGCTGTAATATCCAGCGAACATACTGCTGTTGCCGGTACTGCCGATACTCATTGCGTTCGAGTGAAAGAGGGTGTTGTAGCTGAAATCATACAATCAGCCATCAAGTTGGAAAGCAAAACAGGGAGATGCAACTTACAGAGCGTCCAAGTCCTGCGGTTTCTGGTATATTGAAATCCTTTTCATATGCTTGACCACGTCGACTCCGTTGATGGACTGGACCGGAGAGACTTTGTGCGGGTGAGAGCTCAACAGCCGAGCATCCTCTATTTCACGGTAAAACAGTTAGAAAGTCCCCTTAGATCGAAACAAGCTCAAGTATAAAACCCCACGAGGGTACCCCACCAGTTGTGTAGATTTTTGGGAGATCGATCCCGTTGGTGGAAATCGACACCAAAGGCGGCTCATTTCGGAACGTAAAGATGGAGTGCGAGCAAAAATCCGCAGACAGATGGCCGTCGTACGCCGAGGTGACCAGTGTTTGCAGATCTGAGTCGAATTCGTACTGGTTCTTGTAGTGATTGGCCGCAGCCTTCTCTTGAATTGCGTTCAATCCTCCCATCAAATCGGTCGGTGGCATCTGATAGCCTGAGGGTGGGTTCTTGAGGGTCTCTAGGGTCGAGTGGAATTGCAAATATTTGCGATACTCCTTCACAAAGGACACAGCCAGCTTCGACTCAAAAGGCATCGACCGCAAACAGCGGAGAGCCAACTGGCCTGGAAAAGTGACTAAGGGGTCTGGGATTTCGGTTAGCATTGAACAAATATCCAGCGAGCTGTGCCATCCTCACTGTCATTGCCCGGGTTCGCAACCCGGCTGTGGATTTGACTGCAAGCATCCTCATCATATGATTGCGCTGCCACCGAAAGACCGGCCAAGCAAGAAAAGATCACACTCGGACCGAATCTCATGGCTGATCCTCAAGTCTGAAACTGAGCAAGTTCGCGCACACAGATCGATCAACATCCGGGGGCGGTCCCACGGCCTCTTTATAGGCTCCGCTTGGGTGCGGCTGCATCGCCTCTTACACTAAACAGGGGGCCAATGCCAAGTGCCGGAGGGATTCAGTTCAGAGATGGAGTGGCCTCTCAGATGCCCTGAGTTTGGCCATGTGGAGTCTCATGTTGGACATTGTAGGGCCCGCATCTCACAGCGTGGGGGCCGGGCACGCTCCTTCATTACCAAGAGGGTCCAAATCCATTCGGATAGTATGAAGTGAATTCGATAATAGAGGCAGGAATTATATCTCAACTCCAAGTTTCAGACAGCGATTTCCAACTTCAACGGTGTTTGATGAAGTGCGCCATAAGGATAGCCTGCTTCCAAGGTTATCTCCACTTTTCCCCTGGTTCCTATTTTTGTCCTGCGCGATGATCTCATTTTGTAGTCTCTGCTTTGGTAGTCGGACCATTTGATTTAAGATCTTCCGAGTCAAATCGAAGAATCTGCATAGAATCCAACAAGAACTGACGGGCAGCTGCATGGGACTATCTGTAATTGAGAAACAAACCAACCGCCCTTTGCTTTGATGCTGTTTCTTTTTGGGTGTTTTTTTAACTCGAGATTCTGAAACTTCATTTTGAGAGGAGTAAGACCTAGCTCATCCTTCTAGTGGAACAAAATCTTGTACTTAAATTAAAAAGGAGAGGGGAAAAAACAAAAACGAAAACAAAAAAAGAAAACTCTATAGATATCCGTTGAGACCTGAGGCATCAATGAACAGCACTGGGTCACATGACCAATGGGTGAGTCAGCGCCTTGAATGCCCGCAGCCCCACTCGCGCGTAAAATTCCCGCTGTAGTTTCATACGATGCCATCGTGAAGAGTCTCGAGTGGCATTTCACTTCGTCAATTTGGTTCACTTGGTCTGCACATCTTCCCTCAGCCCACCATGTCACGCGCTGGTGCCAAGAAGGGTCGACGGATGCCCGGTGCTGAGTTCAGCTGGGATGCTGATCCGGGCGGCGAGCCCGACACAGCTCCCACGCCTTTGTACCCGGTAGGTTAAACACCTCGAACGTACCTGCTGCTTCAGATATTTTCTTGGCTGCTTGTACTGATCCTCGGAATCCATAGAAATACGTCGTTCCTCTCGCTCGCAAGTTAAACCCTCGAGAACAATCCCAGGTCGACTACTACCGGGGGCTCCGTGAACGGTTCCACGAAGGGCCCTACTACTCTGTCCTCGATGCATCCTCCTCCACTGCCAAGAAAGGCAGCGCCGCGCGCGTCAACTTCGACCCATTCCACGGCATGCCCACCTACTCGGGGCGCTACCAAAAGAAGCGGCGGACGTTACCCAAGATCTCAGGGCAGTCATACCGTACGTTTCTCTCTGCAAGCAAACTCGACTTTCCTCTTCAAATGTGCGCCAACTAATCTCAACCAAATGAACGCAGACTTGAATTTCTTTCCCCGCGAGTTCTGGCAGACCCTCCAACCCAACTTCCGGCCTGGCGGTATGATGGACGGCTACGAAGCACAAATGCCCCGAGCTGGTGTCAAGCGCGGGTTTGAAGACGAGGAAGATGAAGCCGAAGATGACGCAGCGAAGCGACGAGCAGCTGGGGGAGAGGAGGACGAGGGCGAGGGCGAGGTAGATGCCGACGAAGGGGAGCTGCTGGAGGGAGAGGAGGACCAAGAAGAAGAGATTGTGGACGACGACTTTGAGGATGACGACGACGAGATGGGGGGCGACTACAATGCCGAGCAATACTTTGATGGCGGAGACGACGATTTCGGGGACGATGACGGCGGTGGCGGTGACGAGGACACATATTGAGAAGCTGACCGAGATACCCTTGTATTTGTTTTCCTTGCTATGCCTTTCAGCGATTCTTCTATGCTTTGTTTAGCAAATCTCATGTGGACTGGACGGTCCTGGTCTTTACGCAGGTTGTTTTCATAGGATGAAGTACAGGTATGGCTCTCGCCGTAGACATAGTCCTCTGGATTTGTGCTCACTTTGACCATTTGAGCATATTCCTACAGTCTAGCACGCTTATCACTCGCCAATCCATGTTCTGTAGTTCTATAGATCATAGGGCGATGTCGGCCATGGATGACGTCAGCCATCCCGCAGCGAGATCGGCCTCGCCTGGAATTTTTGGAGGGGCAAAGCTTCGAGCAAAACAACATCTTTCCGGCGTGGGCATCGAGCCGCAGCATGGGCGACAGCCAGCCTCATTCGACAAAACGCTCGGCGCTTATCCTGTATGGCTCTGAGACAGGCAATGCCCAGGAAGTGGCCGAGGAATTGGGCGCCCTCGCCGAACGTCTCCGATTTGCGACACACGTATCCGAGTTGAATCAGGCCAAGCCGGTGCGAATACTATACGCGTTTCTGCTATTGGATATAATGGTACTGACTGGTTAAATGGCTTAAGGAACATCTGCCTTCGCACACTCTCACAATCTTCGTGGTTTCAACGACCGGCCAGGGAGATCTCCCCGCGAATGCGAGGACGTTTTGGAAATCGCTTCTGGTGAAGAAACTCCCGCCGACATATTTGAGTGGGGTCAACTTTGCGTCGTTTGGCTTGGGGGATAGCTCATATCCCAAGTATGTTGGAACGAGAAACTGTCATCGTTGTCGACTGGTGCTGATGGGATGCTAGGTTCAATTGGGCAATCCGGAAGCTCTACAAGCGATTACTGCAGCTGGGCGCGAATGATATTTACCCCACGGGCGAAGCAGACCAACAACATCCTGAAGAGTGAGTAGCTCCTTCATAACTTGTCTGCGGTACCGAGCTTGCGCTCATGTTCTTCAATTCCAGACTCGAGGGCACATTCATACCGTGGATGACCAATTTTCGGAAGCATCTGCTTGACAGACATCCTCTACCTCCCGGACAACATGTCATTCCCGATGATGTGCAACTACCACCCAAATGGATATTGCAATTGAGGGAAGATGGCGAGTCAACGAAAGTGCCTACACCCGCTGCTCCAACAGAATTACATCTGGAGCACGACATTCGACCTCTCCCAAATACCTTGCATGCAACCCTGGTTGAGAATCGGCGTGTGACTCCACCGAAACATTGGCAGGATGTGCGATATGTGTCCCTGACCGTCCCCGACTCGGTCTCCTATGTCCCGGGGGACATGATCGCCATCACACCCAAGAGTTCGGCAGCCGATGCCCAGCTTCTGATCGACCTGATGGGATGGGGCGAACAGGCAGATCGCCCAATTTCTTTAGTTCCCACAGGCGATATATCTTCTCCGCCCCCAATACCGGGTCTTGACTCATATCCCAACCTGACATTACGTGCACTCCTCATTGATTATCTGGATATTCGAGGGATCCCCCGCCGGTCATTCTTTGCCGCAATTTCACACTACACGGAGGATGACAGGCACAAGGAACGGTTACAAGAATTCACCAATCCCGATTATCTCGACGAACTATGGGACTATACGACACGGCCACGACGCAGTATTCTTGAGGTGTTGCACGAGTTCCACTCGGTTAAGATCCCCTGGCAGCACGCGCTGTCGGTTCTTCCGATCATGCGAGCCCGACAGTTTAGCATCGCCAGCGGCGGGAAGCGCAAGCAGGCCGCAGATGGCACGACACAGTTCGAGCTGCTGATCGCTATCGTTAAATACCAGACCGTCATCAAACGCATCCGAGAAGGCGTCTGCACCAAGTATCTCTCGATGCTCCAACCGGGAAGTACCCTCCGCGTCCAGCTACAATCCGGAGGCATCAATTCCTCGGTACAGCAGCTCACCGCCGCCACCGTGCTTATCGGCCCCGGCACAGGTATTGCGCCTCTCCGCTCCATGCTGTGGGAAAAGGCAGCACTCGTCCAGCAATTCCGCGAACAAAACCCTGGCGTGGAACCACCCATTGGTCCCACCGTTCTCTTGTACGGCGGGCGCAACCGAGCCTCTGATTTCTTTTTCGAGGAAGAATGGAGCTACTTGAGCAAGATCATTCCACTGCAGGTGCTGACAGCGTTCTCGCGAGACCAGCAGCATAAGGTCTATGTGCAGAACACTATCCGACAGAACTTTGCGCTCTTTTCCCGTCTTTTGCATGATATGCAGGGCTCTGTTTATATTTGCGGATCCTCTGGGCGGATGCCTCAAGCTGTGCGAGAGGCGCTTATTGAGACCTTCCAACATGGTGGGACGCCGGCACCGGGCGGTCCGTTCAGTCGGGCACAAGCAGAGGAATACTTGATTAGTATGGAGAAGAGTGGACGTTATAAACAAGAGACGTGGTGACGCTGTACAACAGGCTAGGCGCATAGTCAATCAAATTTTTGCGGGTCTAAGAGCAGGAAATTTCTGGAGTTGGGAGAGTATACGCCCAGATGGGTATAGCAGTACACACACACTATATCAGAATAAGCAACTATCCTTTCGTGGTTTAATACACGAACTTGATTAGTTTAGATATCTCTTTATGCCCTTAACCTTAACATCTCTAACTGAGTATATTCTAGAAGGACACGTTCTCGATTATCCCAGGCAGCTTCCAGTCTACTTTTGTTTGGATTGTGATGATGGAATGCATCACTAGTAAGACTAATAGTACTTCACCCCACATGATCATCCAGGGTCTCCAAGGACAATACCATCTCATAGGCTGTATGGTTAACCTCGGCTGGGATGGTTCGACGAGGGCTAAACTCGGGCCGCGTCGGCGTTTTCAATTTCTTGGCGCTCCGTCACCGCAGTCGACTCTTCCGCTCCCTCTCTCTCCATCAATTGCACTCCTCTTTGGTTTCAATCACTCACCATGGCTAGTGGTTTGCGGATATTGGTGCCCGTGAAACGGGTCATTGACTATGCGGTCAGTTGGCAAAATCCTCTACCTCTTCCACCCGCGACCGGTGATCGGAGCGCATGCAGATGAAGACCGAGTTGTCTCGATTTGAGCATAATCATTGTTCAGCACGAGCACCCACTAGCTCGGCGAATCATACATTTATGCTGTTGTATATATAAATCTCAACGAGAAGCTAACATAGAAATGAATGACAGGTCAAACCGCGCATCAACAAAGCCCAGACGGGCGTCGAAACCGCCGGCGTCAAGCACTCGATGAACCCATTCGACGCCCTCTCAATTGAAGAAGCCGTGCAGCTCCGCGAGCGCAAGGGCCCGATCAAAGTCGACGACATCCTCACCCTGGCCGCCGGCGGCCCCAAGTGCCCGGACGTGCTGCGCACCGCCATGGCCATGGGCGCCGACCGGGCCTTCCACATCGATGTTCCCGAGGGCGCGGGCGACGGCGGGCCCGAGCCGCTGACCATTGCCAAGATGCTGCGCGGCGTCGTCGAGAAAGAGAACATCAATCTCGTGCTGCTGGGCAAGCAGGCTATCGACAGCGACCAGGGCCAGACCGGCCAGATGCTCGCGGGTCTGCTGGGCTGGCCGCAGGCGACCCAGGCTAGCAAGGTGGATGTCAAAGATGAGTCCGGGACTGTCGAGATTACTCATGAGGTCGATGGTGGTGTGGAGACTCTGCGTGCGAAGCTGCCACTGGTTGTCACGACGGATCTGCGCTTGAATGAGCCGCGCTATGCTATTCTTCCCAATATCATGAAGGCTAAGAAGAAGCCGCTGGACAAGAAGACTCTGGCTGATTTCGGAGTTGAGGATACCCGCCGGTTGAAGACGCTCAAGGTGACCGGTATGTACTTCCCCTCTTCTTCTTAGACTCCTGTCTTTAACCCATACTAACCTCGCTAGAACCCCCGCCCCGGAAGGGTGGTGGCAAGGTGGAGGACGTCGACGGCCTCGTCTCCAAGCTGAAGGAGCTGGGTGCGCTGTGAGAGCTTGTGGTTTTCTCTGTTTCTATATCAATTCAAACACCCCCTGTGTCGCTAGACCTTGTTTCCATCTTGACGTTTCTCATGACCATGTTGGGCATGTGCATGTGCCAGTTATCCAGTTGTATTGAAGAAATAAAACATTACTGGGAAATCCACCCAGTAGATCCTTGGTTATTGAACAGATCCTGACATGAATGTGTGGCTGAGGCATTGTCAAGTTTGCGAGTCAGTAGAATGGCATTGTGTCAATAGGGCTTGTTGACTGCTCCAATCTCCATCATACCACAAAGACACTAAATGACTTAGGGCATCCACTCCTGCCCGGCCACAACACATAAAATGGCCGAGTAAATTCTCAACCACCTCCTCGGGGACCCCAGAGCACAAATAATCAGGTCAATCCTTGTTCGCAGACTATCTCTTGGGACCGTCCCCAACTGCACTGTCAGCAGAGCCCGTCTCCCGAGGTCCGATATGCCAGTCCAAAGCCCAACGGACTGGATGGACTCCATCCAGCTCCAGCTCCAGCTCCACGCAGGGACATGCACTGAGCTCCCCAGAGTTTCAGGAAGAATGCCGCTCGGAAAGTCTATTGTAGCCAAGAGGATGCGAAATATGTTGTAATGGATCCACTGAAAAATGCGCACGGCATCCTTCTTCTCAAATATACTCAGAATATAAGAAATCATCCCCTAAAGAATACTATTTGATATTTGGGGGATCCCTGTGCCAGTGCATTGTCGATCTATACAAGCCCTAAAGTGACCTGTCAAGCGGATCCACTAAAGCAACAACTCTCTTTTTATATTTTTTTTTTTCATATTTTTCCACTGAAGTTGTCTTTTTGTTTCACAATTAAATCCAGAGAACTTGTTTCACTCATAGACTCTGCCTAAATTCCCATCTCGACTTGGGGGGACCCACGTCCACGTAGGCCTGGTTGCTTTGATTGCCGGGGGTGGGGGTGTGATCTATCGCAGACATGCAATATACCAGGATTGAATAATCTCTTATATTTTTTAATTTTTTTTTCTAGTCGAATAGAAGAAAGAAAATTAAATAGAATAGCACTAATGTGAATATGTCACTGAATTTCAAATCCCAATTTCAAATACAATAGTCAATAATGCTATAGTAATTGTCTTATAAAAACGTTACGAGTCGAGTCGATGACATCGCCGGGCCCGCCGTTCCATGGACCTGCGGGTGTTCTGGGCTTTGGAGACGTCTCTTCCGTGCGTCCCGATCTTCTATTTTTTTCTTTCTTTTTTCTGCCTTTTCTTTCCTTGCCTTTCGTTCATCTCTTTCAAAAAGGCCCTGGTGCCTGGTTTTCCGCTCATCCCGACTTCTTTCATCTTCGGCCCATACCTCGGCTTCTACACTCCGGCTTTGCCATCGCATGCCCTCGGCCGCCACTCGGCTCCCCGGCCTTTGGATATTATTCGAAAAAGATATTCATATATTCCCTGGGGTTTCTCATCAGTCCTGCTGCATCGCATCAGTCTTGATCAAGTGAAGGTTCCAGCGCTGAAACGCTTGAGGCCGTGACATTCCTCCCCGCACGCATTCCGCTGTGGCGACTGCAGATCCTACCGAATTCCTCCAGTATCCGAACCCGATCGCTCTCGCTCCACATTCCGGATCGCATTGAGAAGAATCCTCCGGTCCATGCGTGCTGTTCGCAGCACATCCGCGTTTCAGTATTCGGTTGATCGATTTGCGTGCCTGGATCCGCGCACCAGGCCAGAAGCCTAGGGCTTTCTTATTCTTCTTCTTATAATTGCTGTTTGAGTGTTTTATTGTTTGATCTTTCGCCAGCTTCTTCGACACCATGCCTCAATTCAGCTGGGAGAATACAAAGCGCTACTCGAAAAAGGGCTTCGACAAAGCGTGGGACACCGTCGATAAACTCGGCGCTCCCGTCAACCGCCTGTCCTACAAACTGGGCACCGAGGCCTTCTGGCCCATGACCATCGACAAGGAAAGTGACAAGGCAGCGCGCATCCTGCGCAGCTTCTGCAAAGATGGATTCTACGCACCCGAGTCGACCGACTCCACCGACTCCAACGGCAAGATTAACCGCCCCAAGGGCAAACAGCGCGTCCTACAAAAGATCCCCGCGCAAGTTATCCAGAATGCAAAGGGGCTGGCTATCTTCACCACCATGCGCACGGGGCTCTGGGTCAGCGGGTCTGGCGGGAGTGGCGTGCTGCTGGCGCGCATCCCCGAGACAGGTGAATGGAGTCCCCCGTCGGGGATTATGCTGCACACAGCAGGTATTGGCTTCTTAGCCGGTGTCGATATCTACGACTGCGTGGTGATTATCAATACTTATGAGGCGCTCGACGCCTTCAAGAAAGTGCGCTGTACCCTCGGTGGTGAGGTCAGCGCCACGGCCGGTCCCGTGGGAATGGGAGGGATACTCGAGTCTGAGGTCCATAAACGGCAGGCTCCGATCTACAACTATATGAAGAGCAAGGGTCTCTACGCTGGCGTTTCCATCGACGGCACAGTTATCATCGAACGTACCGACGAGAATGAGCGTTTCTACGGTGAGCGCATCTCGGTTAGCGACATCCTCGCGGGGAAACTGAGACACCCGCCGCATTACATCTCCACTTTGCTCGAGACTGTCAAGGCCGCACAGGGCGATGTGAATGTGGACGAGAACTTGGTTCCGCCACCTGGCGAAACACCCGGCGATGTTGAGCTGGCGAACCACGACATGTCTGCCTTTGGCGTGCCGGCTGTGGATGATCCGGATCCATTCGGAGTAAAAGCGTTAGAGGCCGAGGGCCTGTTCATCCGCGAGGCTGGTAGCAAGATTAGGCCAACTGCTGATGCATTTGAATTCCGGCCCAGCCCCAGCAGCCCCATCTATGCGACGTTCCCGCGCCGCAGCCTTGATAGTTCCCCGCGGACCAGCTGGCGCGCCAGCGTGCAGAGTTACACGAGCGTGGACCGCGGCACTCAGACCGACGACGCCCCGCTAACTGCGACAACCTCAGTAAGCCGAGCGTCATCGCGCAGCGCCAAGGAGTCAACGGGCGTTTCTTCGCTCGCTCCGTGGGATGAGGACGACGCTCACTGGGACACGGTGCCGATCCACGGTGGCGAGAAAGACGAGAAAGTCAACGGAAATGGCGTTGATTACCATCACGAAGACCATGCAATTGAGTACGACGATGACGACCTGGAGGTGCACGAGGTGAGCAACGCAACCGTGACCAAGCAGGAGAGCGTCGCCCCGTCTCCTATTACCGTCGACGAGCACCCTTTCCCCGGCGACCCCAAGCGCTTCTCCCCGAACTTCACTCGCGCTCGTCTGGTCACCATCCCCAAACGTTCCGGGCCGCCCGCCCTGCCTCCTCGCCACCCACAGCACATCTGGGGCTCGGGATCCAGCCGTGCCTCCACTTCGCCCACTGCCCTCTCGCATTCCAGCCACAGCACCGAACCGACCGAAAACACTGAGCCGATTGAGCCGGTTGAGCCCATCACTGAGTCTGTGACCGTGAAGCAGCTCCAGACTACTACTGCCGTGCCTGCCGTTGATGAGAATGAGGATGTCGACTCTGCTTCTGAGTTGCCGACGGACAAGGACGAGTTCCATTCCATGAACGGAGACCACGAGTCGGATGGCGAGGATGTCACTTTCATGGAAAATCATGTTGTGCCAGAAACCGAGCGGAAAGAGTCTGTCACAACAGTGTCAGACTCAAAGCCAGAAACCAAGACCAATGAGAATGAGCAGCCAGAGGCCGAAGAGCAAGCAAAGACGCAAGACTCGGAAGGGCAATTTCTCGACAAGAAACTCGGAGAGATCACCATCGATGACCCGCGGCCTGAGCTGAAACTCGACACCACCAACACCGGCTCCTCCTATGGCTATGCTGCGTGAATGTAGCTCAGTAAGCATTGAGCTATGAATCTCTATTGATATTACGACCTCTCCCTCTCATCCACATATTGACTTTCTCTCTCTTTCCCGTCTTTCTTCTTTCATATACGCGTTGCTTTATGATACCTGTCCATCCTGGCTGATTTGGTGTTCCGGAGTCCCGATACCATGGTTTTCTTTGTTGTTTATTTATCAACCGCTGTTCTTGCTCCCAATCTGTGATGAATCTGTGAATTTTTTTTTTCAATGGAGCAGCCTGCTCTTCATCTGTCTCATTAGTGAATTTCTAGCGTTCTCTGCATTTTAACCAGAGGTTTGGGCGATACTACACTTGATGAATTGAACATTGCTCTCAGCTATAAAGTAACAGTCTGGTGCACATATTCAATTCTATTTGCTATCACTGTTTTTTTTTTTTTTTTTTTTTTTGTTCTCTTACAAATGACGTGAACCTACTTCTCTTTTTAGTAGGCCTGTAGTCGTATTTACCGTCACTTTATTCCAGAGATTAAGAACACAAAGACAGATACTTGATCTTAAGACTGGTCACTATGTTTTCATCTAGGGCCCAAGAAATCATGATCTTTTCCCTAGAAATTGTTCTGCAGAGTAAGAGGGGGGCTTTGGGTGTCACACACTAAACATGTAGGCCAAGTACAAGCTAGATATTAGTATCCTGCGTGAGCGGCAAGAAACCGTTGGTGGTTTGAGAAGGTATCGGGTAATTTCACACAACCATAGACTCTGAACTATTCTACAGATTAAGTAATACTTTCCTAGCTCAAGCCAGCCAAGAGATGACTAGAGCAACGCCATGCTTGGCTACCTGTGCAAGCCAGCAAATGACTATTCTGCTGATTCTGCTCGGCATACATATCTTTGTCTGGTATTCGTCGAGGAAACGAGAAATAAATGCCGCTCTTTGCTGCAGCTGGTGAAGAGTCCATCTTGACCAGTTATTCTGGCAGGAATTGTAATTAGTTGCATTAGTAGTGCACTCGATTACTCTTCGTGGGTGGACTACTGCATGCAGTTTGCAGTGCAGTACGCAGTGCGAGGATGTCCTTGTGGTCAAGTTAGAGCATCCCCCGCTTTTTCTTTTCTCTGGTTGCTGTATTTATCTTGAGTCTTTCATACTTTTTTTCTTGCTACTGGACTTCTTTCCAATCAACATGGCTGGACTGTTGATCTGGGGTGTCGGTAGTCTCGTGGTCTACCTTGCCCTAAGAAGCCAGTACTGAGTATATTTCCACCCACTCAGCAAGTTCTGTGGTCCTACAATCGCGGCAGTAACTAGCGGCTATGAGGTCTCTTGCAATGTCATCAAACGAGGAACCTTTGTTTGGGAGTTGGAGCGATTTCATCAGGTTGATGGTTCGTGGCTCCATCATTTCCTTTGATAGACCGTTTCCTTTGACAGACCGCAAAAAGCACCCGCTAAAAGAAATCTCCAGGTCCAATCCTCCGCGTCAGTCCTCGAGAAATCCACATCAAGGATGCCGAATACTACGACGAGATCTACACCTCCATTGCCCGAAGACGTGAAAAAGACCCTGCAGTAGTAGGCCAGTTCGGGATCAACGAGTCTGCCTTCTCAAGTATTTCTCCAGAACCCATCGCCAACGCCGTGTTCTCCTGGACAAGATCTTTTGAAAACAGGCCATCATGGACATTAGCCATGGCAAGCCTTGCGAATTGGAGAGCGGCTCTATCATGGAGATTATGGCTCGTCCGGAGATTCCTGCGCACATGCGAACTCCTACTCGTCTTTCTGATGAAGGATTCGCTCTGGTGATTGGAGGCACGGAGATGACGGCTAGATCTCTGGCTGTGGGTGCTTATTATATATTCAGCAATGACACAATCAAGGCGAGGCTGTGAGGGGAATTGCGGTCGGTGATGCCGGCGCCGGACTCGCAGCCCAACTGGAATCAGTTGGAACAATTCCCGTATCTGGTGGGTGTTCTTTTGCCATTTTTTGATATGCTGGAACTATCCATGGATCTATAAATAATTTTATTTCTCTCACTGAATGTCTAGTCTGGCGTTATCTTGGAAACGCTCCGTCTTTCCACGGGCATTGCGAGTCGATCGCCTCGGATTGCACCCATCGAGGCGCTGGTCTGTAAGGACTATTTTATTCCACCCGAAGTGAGTCTTTGTATTTCTCTCGCTCTCTACCAACGCAATTTTGCTAAGAAAAATCCAGACTATGGTCAGCTAGACAAACTATTTCACCCTGATGGGCCCAGCCATCTTCCCCGACACACACCTTCGACCCAGACCGCTGGATGCGCGCTGCAGCTACGGGCCAGCGACTGGATCGCTATCTTGTGAATTTCTCCAAAGGCAGCCGAATCTGTCTCGGCATGAAGTATGTCCAATGCCCTCACTTTTCTATTTCCATTTCCATTTTATTTTGTCCAAGGTGGCCTTACTGACAGAGCTGTGTAGTTTGGCCTACGCGGAGCTCTTTCTGGTCTTTGCGACACTCGTCCGACGTTACGATCTGGAATTGTACGAGACGACGGGGGAAAATGTTAAATTTAGTCGCGGCTTTGGCACTCCGTTTCCGGACAAGAGGAATCTTAGCGTGTGGGCTATAGTGACCAATATTCTCCTCTCCAGGAGTAAGAGATGCAAAGACTCGAAGCGAGAGTGAATACAAGCATGCCTTAGCAGATAAGCCTTATCTCTTTGTAGTTCACCGATGTCGACTCATAAAGTTACCACTAGGCCACATAAAGGCAAGACTACTTCGTAGCTTCCAGTAGTGCGAGTTCTGGGTTGACAACTGAGCAGTGAGGTGGGGATACACAGGGCTGTCTGTATCCGCTGAATTCTTATCTCCGCTAAACGCCGCCAGAAAACTTGACCGCCCCCCGTCCTCTTGGAATTCATCCTTCTCGCATCCTCAGCTCTTGGCACCGTCTCTTTTCATCCCAAAAATCACCCAAGATGCCTTCCGATACTAGCGTCCAGGCAGCCCTTTCTCTCATTGAGAATGACAAGTCCAAGGTCTTGGGCCTGACCGTGGGGACCCACCAGAACGTCGAGCCAGGACAGTACATCGCTCGCAGTGGTAAGCATCATCAAAAAGATCCTCCAAAAAAAAAAAGAAATAAAATAAAATAAACATCGTATCAAGTCAGCTAACTTATAAATATCCAGACGCTCAGTCACCTCCAGAGCTCACCCTCCCAGGCGCATCGACCTCAACCACCTATCTGATCGTCGCCCTGGACGTCGACGCTCCATTCCCATCCTTTACAGCGCTGGGACCCATTCTGCACTGGATCCAGCCGGGTGTCAAAGCCACGGAGGCGGGTGTGCTCAACCCCACCGCGCCCTTTGTCGCGAATTATATCGGACCCGCCCCGCCGCCCGGTAGCTCGCCCCACCGGTACATGTTCTTCGTGTATGAGGAGCCCGAGGGCTTTGATCTCGCCAAATATGCTCCGCCTAATGGCCAGAAGTTGAGCAACTGGAACCGCATGCGCTATGACCTTGATGCCTGGGCTAAGGAGATTAATCTTGGTCCTGTGGTGGCTTTCAACTACTTCACTAGTAACTAAGCGTCTCTCTGGATTTCTCTCTTGCTGTGCTAGGGAAATGGGGCTATTGCTGTGAAGAAACGGTAGCTTGTCTTCCCTTGGGAAAATAATTACTTCAGCGTTTTCAATTTACTTGATTTTATCTCGCAATTAATGGTAATTGTTGTGTGTTGATTCCGCTCTGCATTGTTACATTTCAAAGAACTAGGTTGAATATTGACTGAGACCTATGGAGCTGTCCAGGGGTGTTATCCTGAGGCTACTGCCTTGCTTCAACGCGACCTTTACTCAATGGACTCCCTAGAACTTACCACTTTCCTCCACCTCAACGGCATCACCCAACCCTTCATCCACGGCATAACCCTGCAGGATTATCCCTCAACAAAGAAGAGCAAGGAAACCCCCGACAAAATTGTCTCTTGGAAAACTCCATGATTGCCCATCACTATGATAAAAGCCGGCCCATTCCCAAGCCCAAGATGCCTTCCATTGCAGTTCTGCAGGCCTCCATGGCCCAGGCCTTCCTGGGTCGCCCTCACCATGGCACAAAATTGGCTGTCAGGCCTTGTCATCGCCGCCTGTGGCAACATCCCCGGCAGTACCCATGGTCTGTTTCATCGCAAGCATCTTCATCAACATGGTCCTTCACATTTCTGGTAGTCGTGGAGGCTGATCAATATTGTAGATGATATCGAACGGATGGTCGAAGAATGCGGAGCCAAGTTCGCGGCAATGGACATCAGTGACTGCACGCATCTCGTGACAACCCAGCACGATGTGGACAGAGGGGCCAAGAAAGGTGAGCTGGTCTTACCCAAGGGTCCATCTGGTGTTATATATATATACTTACTAGGTTCCTATCATTAGTGATCGAAGCTGGCTCAGTCAGCGGCTGCCAGATTGTCTCCGTGGGCTGGTTGCATAAAGCCATGAAAAACAACCAGTCCCAGAAAGCTGGGAAGTTCCAACTTCATCCCATCCGGACTAGTTTGAAGAAGGCACCTGAGCCTTCAGCAGTGAAGCAAAGCAAGAAACGCGGTTTGGATTCGGATGCTGAGGGTGGTGGTGATGAATCTAGATCCACAAAGAAACCACGCTTCGTCCAGACCGTTAGTCTCAAGGTGCGGACTGCAATTGTGGACCGATCGTACAGCGGAGACAGTTAGGACCTTTTTTCCCCTCCAACAAACACTGAGGTCTTTCAACTGCTGACCTCTTCTATGTGGATCCAGAGACAAACCTCCGGGTGTGGGCTGATAGCCGGGGCCGGATATGGGATGCTATTATGACCAAGTGGGACCCAACCAAACAAGATGTCGGCATTCACTACATCCAGCTGCTTTTTAATCGGGAGGGAAAGACCTACTACACATGGTATTGTCAGTTACCATGCCCAACCACGCCAAAAGGCGTTACACTGGGCACCGGAGACTTGAAATCAGCCCAAGAACAGTTTGAAAACGCGTTCTTGCGCGCGACTGGTCTTTCCTGGACAAATAGAGAGAGGCCTCCCTTGAAGGGCATGTACATGTCTCTTACCCGGCACTACCAGAGCAGTTCGGAGGGACCGCTCCTGCATCCAGTGGAATGCATGCTACCACGAAGCGTGAAGTATGTATTGAAGCTCATTTCTGTCCCAAAACCTTGGAAGTTTTCTGGGAAGCCTTATGGCCAAAATTTGTGGCTTCAGGGGACTTCCATCCAAACGGTCTTCGACATCGCAGCACAACTCTTGGGTGGGTTTCAATTCATATCAACATACTCTCTCCCCCCGTCCTCCAGATCACCAATGTGTTTCGCATCAAGCGCATGGGCGAGGCCAAGCGTTTTGCAAAATGGAGAGCAGCCAACAAATCAAAGGTTGGTATCCGCCGACTTCTTTGGCACGGCTCGGACCGCGAAAACTTTGCCAGGATTCTGAGAAAAGGCCTTCGCTTGCCAAGCGCGAGTTATGGGCGCAGGAGCCAGGTACTGTTGCAAAACCACCCCTGAAGAAGCCAGCTTTATGATGCTGCTTTGCGAAGTTGAGCTGGGAAACAATCAAAGCAGCAGCCCTGCCATCCAAACCCCCGCATCGGCCAGTAATCCTGTTTCGGTGCTGGTTTCCGGAAAAACAACCCACAAAAAATGGTGCGATGCCAAACTTGTTTCCTCGGGCTTGGAGGGAATCAGGATGCCGGACGTGGAGAGCGGGACAGCCTCGCAAGACAAGACTGCGGCGTATTACCACAGGGAGTATATCGTCTATGATGCAGCCCAGATTCGTCTACGATATCTGTTTCATTTCACCATGTGACTTTTCTCCATCTTGTGGCGTTTGGGGTGATTTGTGAGACTATTCCACGTGTTGTGAGCAGATCTCTTTCTCTTTCTCTCTCTCTCTCTCTCTCTCTCTCTCTCTCTCGTTCTTAATGTCGCAGAGATGCCCTACTGGAAACGAAGAACGAACTTGGGGGTACGGTTGGTCATAGATTGAACTGCAAAGGGATCAGATTGTTGTATTTCATGGCCATCGTAGAAACTGTCTTAAATAATAGAATGGATTCCTCGATATTGCCTCTTATCACGACGCGTAGTGACAACTGGGCATTCTGCTCCGCAACCAGCTGTCGATCGCGATCGTCGGCTCCACTTTTTGCGGACATCCGATGGCTGTCCGGAATCGGGAACGAGTCTCAGGGTGCGATAAGGGTAGTGACTGGATAGTGACTGAGAGGTGACTTGCATAGCCTGATGTGTGTTTCCAGGGTGGTCTTACCGAGACACTCGGGCTTGTGGGAAAGGACTAAGGGCATGCGAATAATACCCAGGCATTAGCATCACAGCCCCACCCGTGGACCCTACCTATCGTCTCCAATTGTTGCAATTGCTGATCCCTCCGAATCCAGTGTCTCTCCGCAACAATCAGCTAGTTTTGACGATTATTCCTGCTCCACTCGGGTGCCTGGCGCGTGCCCCCTATATAATCACAGCCCCCCTCTTTGCACATCATGGGTGTTGCCTATCTTCTCTTTCTCTTCCGCCTATGTCCGTGAACTCGTCATTTCCTCGGATTCTCGGTCACCATGGTCTATACGCCCTGGGTCACCGCCGCCTTTTTGGCCGGTGCTGCAGTGGCGCAATATTTCCCGCCCACGCCCGAGGGAGTCAAGGTGGTTGAGTCGAAGCATCAGAAAGGTGTAAAGATCTCGTACAAAGAGGTGAGTTTTGGCTCTTTCTTTCTTGTTCTTTTTTTTAACCCGGTCTTGTTTGCCTTTCGTTGCATAATGCTAATCAACATCACAATAGCCTGGTATTTGCGAAACCACCCCCGGGGTCAAGTCGTACTCGGGATATGTTCATCTGCCCCCCGGGTCCCTGACCGACGTGCATGTTGACCAAGACTACCCCATCAACACCTTCTTTTGGTTTTTTGAAGCCCGCCATGACCCGGAAAATGCACCCCTCTCCATCTGGATGAATGGTGGACCGGGCAGCTCGTCAATGATCGGGTTGATGCAGGAGAATGGGCCCTGTCGGGTCAACAAAGACTCCAACTCCAGCGAGTTGAACCCCTGGTCCTGGAACAACTATGTCAATATGCTGTACATTGACCAGCCCAACCAGGTGGGTTTTAGCTACGATGTGCCCACCAACGGCACCTACGATCAGATCAACGCGGCCTGGGACGTGTCCGAGTATAAGCACGGCGTGCCGAAGCAGAACAACACTTTCTATGTGGGCACGTCCACCAGTCAAAACCAGAAGGCGGCAGCCAACGGCACCCAAAATGCCGCTCGGTCTCTGTGGCACTTTGCGCAGACCTGGTTCGCCGAGTTCCCGGCATACAAGCCGCGTGACGATCGAGTCAGCATTTGGACAGAGTCGTACGGCGGCCGGTACGGCCCGTCTTTCACGGCCTTCTTCCAAGAGCAGAACGAGAAGATCGCCAGCGGCAAGCTCAGCAAGCCGGGCGAGTTGCACTACATCCATCTCGACACGCTGGGGATCATCAACGGCTGCATCGACCTTCTCGTGCAACAGCCCTCATACCCGCAGATGGCATACAACAACACCTACGGCGTCGAGACCATCAACAAGACCGTCTACGACCAGGCCATGCACGCGTGGAGCCGCCCCGGTGGTTGCAAGGACCAGATCAAGCACTGCCGCGCGCTGGCCGCGGACGGCGATCCACGGATGTACGGGCGCAACGAAACCGTTAACAAGGCCTGCCACAAGGCGGACCAGTTCTGCAGCAACAACGTCGAGGGCGCGTACGTCGAGTATGCGGGCCGCGGCTACTACGACATCACGCACAAGGACCCGGACCCGTTCCCGCCGCCGTACTTCCTGGGCTATCTGAACCAGCACTGGGTGCAGGGTGCACTGGGCGTGCCGATCAACTTTACCGAGTCTGCTGAGAGCGTTTACTATGCGTTCTCGTCTACGGGTGACTACCCGCGCTCTGACGTCCGAGGGTACCTCGAGGACCTGGCGTATGTGCTGGACGCGGGCATCAAGGTCGCCCTGGTGTACGGGGACCGCGACTACGCCTGTAACTGGATCGGCGGCGAGGAGGTTAGTCTGGGCGTCAAGCATGCTGAGGCAGCGGCATTCCGTGATGCTGGGTATGCGCCGCTGCGCACGAATTCCTCGTATGTTGGGGGCCAGGTCCGGCAGCATGGCAACTTCTCGTTTGCACGTATCTACGAGGCCGGCCACGAGGTGCCGGCTTACCAGCCGCAGACGGCGTACGAGATCTTCCACCGGGCGTTGTTCAACCGTGATATTGCCACGGGGAAGATTAATACTGTTGTTAATACCTCCTATTCTACTCGTGGCCCTGCGTCCACCTGGCATATCAAGAACAAGGTCCCCGAGAGCCCGGACCCTCTCTGCTACATCCTTTCGCTGCAGTCCTCGTGCACTAAAGAGCAGATTGCCAGTGTTGTCAATGGCACTGCGCGGGTTCATGATTATGTTGTCATGGGGAAGGAGTCTTCCCATCGGTAGACAGTTGTCCACCTAGATAGACTATTTAGAGTGTCTCGGTTGATCTAATCTAATCTATCACACCTTTTATGAATAGGTAGATTATAAGTAAGAATTTCTCGCTGAATGTAGCTAGCATGACTTGGAGTCCTCGATTTTGGCCATCTGGTAGTTGCTTTCGTGGATATGGCCAACCGCCATGCAGAGCTTAGAGTAAGACTACTTCAATCCTTTCTTGATTCTTGCGTCAAGCGTACGTCGTTAATACAAATCTATTTTCCTTCAATATGCTATTTATCTGGCAGAATGCATCTCAAAGAAACTGAGGAACTGAATTGTGTAAGCCTGTGTATACTTGGTCCTAAGTATGTCCCTGATTGAAGAAATCTAAGGGCCTTCAAGCATTTGAATACCAGTGAAAACACCATTGAACAACATATCTAAGGACAAAAAAGAGATCCTCTTTAGGTAGCTTCAGATAGCGCGTTGTCGATGTAAATCATAGACCTGGAGAGCACGGACCAAGTCGGTCAGCCAAACGCCGGTGGAGCATTCTCCACCCGATGATGTTATGGACCACACCACCAGCACGCCGACACCCTCCCGAAAATCACCACTCAGAGGTCCAGCTGAAGCAGGGAAGGAGTAAGAGAGAGATCCTCTCCTGGTTGTGAAACTGCTCGACGCACTCTGTGAGTTGGGCGGTGATCGTGGCATCGTCGAAGCTTCTCGAAGCTTCGGTCGACGTCACACGTCACTCACCTGGAGACGGGCAACTCCAGCGTGTGGACATTTCAAGTTTCTGTTCCAAGTCTCGGAGATCCTGGTTTCTTCTTCATCCTCTTTGAAACCTGCGTGTGTGCGTGCATAAAATTGCAATCTGCACAATTCATTCCCGCCCTCCCTCTATATTCCTCACATCCTCTCTCCGTCTCCTCACCAAAGCTTCTACACCATTCGAGAACCCCCTCTTTTCTCTCAGAACAGCCTCTTCTGCTGAGAGAAGAGCTCTGGTTCTTAAGCTCTCACGCTTACTCTTCTCCATTCTGGATCCAATTCAACCCATCCTTGGTGCAGCCCAATTCTACCCCGCACAAAATGGTTGCCGAAACCAAGCTCTACGATGCCTTGAGTATCAAGCCCAATGCCTCGCAGGAGGAGATCAAAAAGGCCTACCGGAAGGCAGCATTGAAGTACCACCCAGACAAGAACAAGGACAATCCTCAGGCATCTGAGAAATTCAAAGGTTAGTGCATTGTCTAAATTACCCACAATGTCTCTACCCGTTCCAGTTCCAGTCGACTGACGCTCGTTACACAGATGTCTCCCAAGCATACGAGGTGCTCTCTGATCCCGAGAAACGCAAGGTCTACGACCAATTCGGCCTCGAATACCTTCTCCGAGGCGGTCCTCCGCCCTCGCCGGGCGGCGGCGGTCCCACAGGTGCCGGCGGGTTTGAAGGAGGCATGCCGGGTGGATTCTCATTCGGCGGCATGCCTGGTGGCGGAGGTCGCTCGTTCCATTTCTCTACCGGCCCCGGCGGTGCCAGCGGATTCCGGTTTAGCAACGCCGACGATATCTTCCGAGATTTCGCCAAAGGCGGTGGCGGTGGAGGAGGCATGGGTGGTCTAGATGACGACATCTTCTCCATGCTCGGCGGTGGAATGGGTGGTGGAATGGGTGGCGGCGGATTCCCTCGCAGCCGCCCGGGAGCTGGATTCTCGCAGAAATCGAACCGCGCTCCGACGCCCGAACCGACCGTTGTGGAGAAGGACCTGCCGCTAACCCTCGAGGAGATCTTCACGGGTACCTCCAAGAAGGTTAAGACAAAGAGCAAGACTTTCGATCCGAGCGGCAAACGCAAGGTCGACGAGGTGACGCTTGAAGCCAACATCAAGCCCGGTCTCCGCGCCGGCTCCAAGATCAAGTACAAGAACATTGGCGACCAAGAAGAAGGCGGCCGGCAAGATGTGCATCTGATTGTTCGAGAGGTATGTTTCCCTTCTGTTTTCTTTACCATGGAATACTTGCTAACTTGACCCCTCTCGGCAGGTTCCACACTCTGTCTTCAAGCGCTCGGGAGACAATCTCGTGACCACCGTCGAACTCACCCTCAAAGAAGCACTGACAGGGTGGGAACGCATCGTGCGCACCATCGACGGCAAATCCATCCGCGTCCAAAAGCCTGGCCCGACCCAGCCTGGCCACGAAGAACACTACCCAGGACTGGGCATGGTGATCTCCAAGTCGCCCAACGAGCGCGGTGACCTTGTCGTGCGCACCAATGTCAAGTTCCCCAGCAGCCTGACCGCGACCCAGAAGGACGTTCTCAAAGACATTCTGCCGTGATTTCCGTTTATTTTGTTATTTAGCATACATGCGGCGTTGGTGTGAGCGGTTTCTTGGGTGGTATTTCATGACAGCAACGACATTCAAATAGTTTTTTTTTGGTTGATTTTGCACGGTGCAATGCAAGAGGTCACCAGGTGAGAGTTGCGAGGCACGTAATGTACTTAGCCTAAACCGCTTTGGGGAATGCGGAGAACCTCGACTTGGAGAAACCACCTCTTCCGCTGTAGCTCTCTACTCTACTTTTGCCCGCCCGCGAGAATCATGAAGAGGAGAATCACCTATGTCCAGCGCCCGGACGCGCCGTTCGAGCCACACCAAGCCAACCTCGCCTCAACCGGTCTCTCTATCCGCGACCTGGATGCCGCACGCGAGGACCGCATCACAATCGAACTCGACGACCTTCCGGAGGAGGTGAGAAGGAAACTAGCTTATGAATTTACTTGAATGGGACTGTAGACACTGACTGCTTGGGAAAATCAGCTTCGGACCGTCCTTCAACAATCTCGCGGGCTCCACCTCCGATGGGCGACGGAACGGCCTTACGACGCTGTCGCGCCGTTCGCAAGTCGAGTGTCGCCTGGTCTCCACGTGCATTTTACACCTGCCACACCAGATCAACCTACGTGAGTCGGAAATGTCCCGTGGAGGCATCTGGCCGCTGTTCAACTGACCCGGCTATGTGACAGGGAGGCATTATGCGAGGTGCTCCGCACGGTGTTTGGGACAAGTGAAGGGGATCAATACGGGGTGGACTGCTCGAAACCAGAGGTACTTGACCACATCCATGTCATTCTATGCGATATTGAGCGCAATGACTTTCTTGCTGCCTTTTCATTGTGCTGATCCCGACTCCAGGACTCGTTCATCACGCCCCCGCCCCTCTCGACGAAATTCGGTGCTTCCACCTCCCTCCAATTCTACACTCGTCTCCCCTCCCTACAATCCCTCGTCGGGTTCATCCGGCGCACGGCTTGCCATCAGACTGAAGGCGGTAGCGCCGAGTGCCACGACCATGCCGATTCCTTGCTCTCGGCAGACTCCGTCGACATCGACTATGATAACACATCGCACACCTTGACTGTATCGGGCCTGTGGGCCAGCTCGCCGGAGGGTGGCTGGACGGAAGAGATTAAGAAGCCTGCCTCTAAAGCAGACCAAATCGAATTTGGTCTCTTGGGCGCGGAGAAGGGCATTGAGCCCGAGGAGATCAAGATGGGCGGGATATTGGCAGTCGTTGGAAAGGACAAGAAATTCAGTATGTGCTTGAAACCCTCATTGTATGCTTTTTGAAGAGCATGCTAATCTCATGAAAGAGCCAACCATGTTCTCATTCCCCTCCCGCAATCACCCCCTGTCCGAACCTGGGAGCTATACAGTCTCGTTCCCTCCCCCAACTGGTCTTCATCCGACCATGTCGATCTCAATGCCCCGGTCTTCTCTCAAGCGACCCCCCGCGCCCCAAGACACAACCTGCGCATTGCACACATACCTCACGCTCCCCTCCACCGTATTCGGAGACCAGTACCAGCTCGCGACAACCGACCCGCTCTTCCTCGAATCGCACAACCTAGTCGGCCTACGCGCTTTCGCAGGTGAAACAGACCTCGAAGCCCCGGACTGGGTCGTGCAACGCTGGGGCTCAAACTGGCTCTTCGAGCTCGCGACTCCTTCCGAGGACTCGGTTGCTGTTACATCCACTTCGTCTAACTGGACCGTCACCATCCCGCTCCATCTCCGGTACCTACAGCCCTCCGAATCCGGCTATCGATCCACCCATGTGCCCTGGCCGGTCGTCTTCTGGGCGTGCACTTCTGACGACGACACCAAGATGGGCGTCAACCCGTTTGAACGCGCGAATCTGGGCTGGGACGGGCTGTTTGGCCCGCGTACCTTGTTTTACCAGCTGCATCCCTCGTCCGATCGTCTCGTCGAGGATCTGGATGTGCCTGTGCTGCGCCTCCAGAGCGATGGCCTGTTCCAGGCTCGGAATATCGAGCTGGGCACTTGTGCTGTCATCGTGCTTGGGTTTTTGTGGGTACTGTGGCGGCTGGTTCGTGTTGCTTGGTCTTCGGGTGTGGGATCAGGTGCTGCCCCGAGACGGGCTAAGGCCGTGCATGAAAAGAAGCAATGAACTTCTTTTACATTGACACGCATTGATTCTTGGTTCATCTGGCTATTTGGGTATCACTGGTTATATCACAGGCATTGTTGGGACATGGCGTTTTGACGTGGGATTCATCATATCAACAACACAACCCATAGAAGTATCTCTAAGTTGCATCCACCAATATACACATTCTATCTACTATTTCCAAAATGGTTAAATCCCCATCTCGGGCAACGGCCACGGCACATCCGTCATGAGAAACTGATCGAGATCGAAATTCTGCAGACTGGGCATATCAATCATCAGATCGCCCAGCCACGAAAGCTCCGCATCCGAGACGGGTGCCTCAGACTCTTCCAACGAACGATGATGATGATGCTGCTGCTGCTGCTGCAACGACGTCTCGCGCCGGAATGCCGACGGCGAACGTGACGGATCATGGTCCGGCGCCGCCGCAGCACCAGAATTGGCCCGCAGGATCTCCGCCAGCGCTCGCGTATCATCTTCCTTACGGCGCTGGTGCAGCGCGACGAGCAGATAGGCTGTGGAATACGCCTCGCGCATGACGGGCGTGTCGTATGCGGCGTGGACCTCGCGCAGTGTGCGCATAGCATCGGGCAGTAGCGCCAGCGCGGCGCGGTTGTCGATGGCCAGCAGCGTGCAGACGACCTGGAAGGGCACGTTGGCGACCTGGTGCCAAGGGCACGTCGACGCCACCATGCCTCTGGCGGCGCGCAGTCCGCGACCTGCTAGTGTGAGGACGCGGTCAAGGAGGTGGGTGGACAGTGGGGCATGGGCGTTCAGGGCCCGTAATCGGCGGTAGATGCAGAGCATTAGATTGCATTGCACTAGGATCAGTGAGAGCTCCGAATATGCGAGGTCCAGTGCTGCGCTGAGTGCTGTCTCGAGTTCGGGTAGATCCTGCGGTGTTGGTCCTGTCGGGTCTAGGCTTTCGGAGAGAGGGAGGAGGTGAAAGAGGTCTGCGCGTGGGCCGTGAGGTGCGGACAGTGGTGGGCCGCGGACTCGTGCTGTTGGTGGTTGCGCGGTTGCGTCGTGCAAGACGACTCGTGATCGGCCGAGATCGAATGAGATCCATGTGTTGAGGTGGCGGGCCATCCCGAAGATTCGGCGGCGGGTATCGGGGTCGCTGGTGGTGCTAGCCGTGTCGTTATCTGCGTGGGCGTTGCTCCCGGCACTGGTATGCGTCTCAGTAGATGAGCTGGGTAGCAGAATGGCTGCATCAGGGTGTGGTGATTCACGGTGCAGGCCTGCTGCCTCGACGAGGTGCATCAACGTGCAGCTGGCCATCCATGCGGCGTGAGGCGAGGCCGTCATGCGCAAGTACGCAACGCGCAGCACCCAGCCAGTCACCATATCAATCGAAGGCGGTTCCGCCGACAGAACACATTTTTCCAGGAGAAGGCGAGCGGCCTCGATGAGCCGCAGCTCGGTCGCCATAATCTCGCGCCGCGAGAATAGGTACCCAAAGGCAGCAACGCCGCAGAGCACCGCGTCGTAGGATTGCTCCGTCGACTCTGCAGCCGGTAACGCCGACGAACCCGGCCAGCGCGTAGCGATGTGCGCTAGCACAGTCTTGCGGTCTAGGAAGGCGTAGCACGGGTCGACTTTTTCGAAGTAGATCGCCACTAGACGCCGCATCTCTTCCTGCGAGATGATCTTCGTGATGGCCGACGCAGTCGGTGCCGAAGCAGGCAGCGAGGACAGCGCTGGTGAGAACCGCCGCTCGCCAACATTCCACGCAAACAGTTGCAATCGCGGTGCATGGGCCGGGTCGATGCGCAGCCCGAGCTTGCGCACGAACGCCGCCCCGGAATTGGCCTCGAGAGACTGACCAGCACGGCCTGAGTCATTGAAACGGGTATGATGAGTCGGGGTTGTTGTGCTACCTGCAATACTGGTGCCAGCCGTGTGAGGGACAATGTTTGCCGAGCTGTCTGTGGTAAGTGGTTGATCGTCGAGCGCTGGAAGACTCGCCCAGTACAGGCCGTCGGACCGCGCGCGCTTCTTGCGAGCCGCATTGTATTGACAGTCGACCCCGGACTGCGCGCAAGTGCTGCACGGTTGCTCTCCCGAGCATTTACGCTTGCGGGCCTGGCACGAGGTGCAGGCGAGGCGTGAGCGCTTGCGAGGTGTGGAGTCGGACATTGTCGGGGATTCTATGGGCAGGCTCGGTGAATTGCAGGTTTATCGGCTGCCAAGCAACAGCGGGGTGTTCATCCCGACTCATGAATGACAGCCGTGGTGATGACAACTTCCCCAGGTGGAAGTAGTTCTCGAGCAACAACTTGGCAAGAAGTCTCCTGGCTGCCAAGGCGCCAACTGTAGGGAGATGTACATCGAGGCTAAATGATGGCCACTTTGGATTTATACTTGGTCTGATCACTGCGCTAATTATGTCTCAGTCCACTTCATCATCCAACTCTGAAGAGCTTTGACGCATCGAAATTCCCGTGCGGAATATTCCAGGTAGCACGCCATCTCATCGCATCTCAGTCGTCGTATTTGCTCCCATCAGGATATCCCATTAGACCCTCCAACGCTTTAATGTCTGGCATGCCTGCTGGTCCAGGCATGAACTGGTGGTTATCACGAAAGGTAGTGCTATTCCACCAGATCTCATTCTTATGCAGGGCCTCCATGATTCGCGCGGCGTCGATATACGTGCGGATCTCGACCATTTGGCCCCGGTACCATCGCGTCACCCACACGTTGACAATATCGAAATCATCACCTGTTTGTTGGGTCAAACCCTGCAGACAAGGTACCTGAATGGGCAGTACCTACCAGAATTCATCACACCCTTGAACTGGACCTCCTGCACTGACCACCGACTATTACACCCACCATGAATAGCCTGAGGGTGAATCTCGAACTTGTCGGCATGGTCAAAGAATAGCACGCTCACGCGACGCAGCGCATTCACATAAAAATGCATCAGGTCGAAGTAATGCCCGGCAATCGGGTGGTGACCAACCACCGTGAAGCTCACGTTCTTGTGGATCAACGTAAACAGCTTGGTCATGTCCTTCTCCAGATCCTTGAACGAATCCCAGATATGCATCTGCGACACGTACTCGCAGTCCGTCGACGGGTTCTCGAACTTGAATCCCTCGCGGTCCCGCGGTGCCGGGTTGTCGATGAGTCCGTTGCCATTGCAGCGTCCGTCTGGGTCAACCACCCCCGATCCGTCACACCCGGGCCCCTCGAGAGGCGTTTGTGGGTTGCTACTTGGCCATGTCGAGAAAATGGCCCCGCTGAGGCTGGTGGAGGGGAGGAGGATTGCCACCAGGGCGATGAGGAGGCATCGAGAGGCGAACATTGGGCTACTATTTTTTTTCGTATGGAGTCAGACTCTTTGGGTGTCTACTTTGTTCAGGCTTGGGCTCTTATATGTACACCTTGTCTTCCTTTACTGAAATGTTCCGTCCTGCTAGACTAATCTGTTTTTTTTTTTTAATAGCTCATCCGCGTGGCGGGTAGCACAGAGAAATAAGCCGAGGGATGTCTTGGGTCGATTTGAGCGCATGGAAAGTACCGACGTGGGACAATTCTTTTCCAATTTCACATAGATGGACCTGGCCTGGCTTTCTCTTTCTGATTTGGCTCTGACTTGTCATCCTGGTATGATAGGTTAGCAGATAATATTACTTAGATGTATGACGGACTGGAAAAGGAGCATAAAAGGAAATTAAAAGAATGAGCCAATTCATAGGCACTCTTGTTTTATCTCTCTCATGACATTTATAGATGTGCAGATAGAGGTGTAGGGGAGCTGAGTGAGGGACCAGTCCAAGACTTAAACATCCTAATCTTTAGTGTGTCGGCCATATCTATTTTGAAAATCTGTGGGTCCAAGGATGAGTGGGTTGAGAGTAAAACTGTAACGGCTCCTTTGTGATATACAATACACTATAAGGGGGGGCATGGGCGACATCAGCCGAGGAAGTATAGAAAGTCTGGTCTTGGCAAACTTGGGCATTTAAGCTCCCTCGCTGGTACCTGGCATGACATCATTTGGTGCGAACGTTATCCTCGGACATCCACCTCTTACATTCCCCAACAGTCCAGCGTCAACGGGGCGCGCAGGACAGTCATTCAACTCGTCGTTTCTAAATCAAGTTTCACTGTTACTCTCGGCGGTCCGTCACAATATAAACCGGATACCAGTGCCATCATCTTCATCTATTCCCGCATCTGAAAGCACGTAGTTTTGCTTGAGAGTCTCCGACTTGTACTTTTGCCAAAGCTTGGGCTTGCCGTGGAAGAAGAATTGGATCGAATTGTCGACCCACTTCGAATCGATCGCTTCACTTCTGTCTAGTGATTGAGTGTACGCAAATTTCCACCCGCGCTTGAGGTTGTCAAGCGTTTCAGAATACCCGGGACCGCTGACATAGCTCGTGGCGATGAAATCCATATCTGACGTGCGTTGTCGGTCTCCTAGTAGAACTTTCACGGCGCCGCCCTGGACAATAAGCTCAAGTTCCACTCCTCTCACTGCCATGGTCTCACTAGCATCTTGCATGGCCTGTTTGAGGCTCTTTTGGGCCAATCAATTGAATGTCTCTCTCAACGCGGCCCGCAAGGGACTTAAGGCTGAAGGTCTCATTTGCAGCAGCATCGCGCGAAATCTCGGGTATAGGTACTGCGGCTGCAGAGACGGCAAAAAGTACCGAAAGATTGTTTTCAAAAGATGCATGATGCGGAATGGAATAAGGATTTGAGGGGGCGTTGACGCCACCTCAAGATCCTTTAATTACCCTAGGGCATTTATTCGACGTGGCGCCTTTAGTTCACCTGGGGCGGGAGTTTGTATCGTATAGTGTTCAAAGAGTAGGGGGGATATACCGAGCGGAACAGGTACTTAGACTGGAACAAAAGAAAGCGGACACGAGGAGAGCTATAAGATACTGAAGGTGAAAATTTTGTTCTCGTGGGTAACAAGGTAGACAAGGCAATAAGGAGATGGCCGTCCCCTCGATTGGTCCTCCACACCGATACGAAAATTTCTCTCTTTATTTATTATTTATTCAACAATTTCGCTAATTAAATCAAAAAAAAAAAAAAAATAGAAGGTCCTTAGTAGCTAATCCGCTTTCTTCTGATATTAATATCTCTCTAGTTTGACCTCGTAGGATTTAGGACGGCTATAAAGCTGCCTGTTGCTTTGCCCGTCAGATATTTTAGTGCATCTCGTTCGTTGTACGGTCGTATAATCGCTATCAGTCGATCGCATCAAACTAGGCCGATAGTGGCATTCCGTGGTCCCTGATTGGTCGATCCAAACAAAGTCGGTGAGGCGGCACGTGCCCACTGAGTCGGGGCGGAAAACCTCTTCGTCTCGATTGTCCTTCCCTTCCTTTCTCTTCTTCGCCTTCATCTTCAAGTCTACCAATTTCTCTCCATGTACTTCTAACAATTGATTCACCCCTTTCCAACTGCTGACTGGCATCCCCTCAGTCGCGCTTATGTGTTTGGCACCTTCAATCTTCACCTCCCAGGACTACATCTCGGGTATGATTTCATCTCCACCGTGGTGATTTAGCATGAACTGACCCCCTCTGGTATAGATCACCTCTGGAAAGCCTCCATTAACTGAATTGACTTCCGAATTACGTTTTTCTTCTCTTTGGTCAATTTCTATACAAAAAAAAATCATCATGTTCGTCAACCTCGTCAAGGCGATGCCTGCTCGGGCCTCGGCCTTCACCACCATGAAGCAGCCTTTGCAAACCCGTTTCATGGCCACGGTCCGCCAGCGCACCGCCTTGGAGCCCGCTACCTTCACTATCCGTGATGGCCCGATTTTCACCGGCAAGTCGTTCGGTGCCCGCTCCAACATCTCTGGCGAGGCAGTGTTCACCACCTCGCTGGTCGGATATCCCGAGTCCCTCACCGACCCTTCCTACCGTGGCCAGATCCTGGTCTTTACCCAACCCCTGATCGGCAACTATGGTGTGCCGTCCGCCGAGAAAGACCGCAGCGGTCTTCTGAAGTACTTTGAATCGCCCAACCTGCAGGCGGCCGGTGTAGTCGTCGCTGACGTCGCCGAACAATACAGCCACTGGACGGCCGTCGAAAGTCTGGGCGAATGGTGTTCTCGGGAGGGCGTTCCCGCCATCTCTGGTGTCGACACCCGTGCCATTGTCACCTATTTGCGTGAGCAGGGTTCGTCGCTGGCCCGTATCACTGTCGGCGAGGAGTACGACGCCAACGAGGACGAGGCCTTCACCGACCCCGAGCAGATCCACCTGGTGCGCCAGGTCAGCACCAAACAGCCCTTTCACATCAGTGCCGCCGATCCCCAGTCGCACGTCGCTGTCATTGACTGCGGTGTCAAGGAGAACATTCTGCGCAGCCTGGTCAACCGGGGCTCTAGCGTTACCGTGTTCCCCTTCGACTACCCGATCCACAAGGTGGCCCACCACTTTGACGGCGTGTTCATCTCCAACGGCCCCGGTGACCCCACCCACTGCCAGGATACTGTCTACCACCTCAAGCGCCTGATGGAGACCTCCCAAGTGCCCATCTTCGGTATCTGCCTGGGTCACCAGCTGCTGGCTCTGGCGGCCGGCGGCCGCACCATCAAGCTCAAGTACGGTAACCGGGCTCACAACATCCCCGCTCTGGACCTCAGCACCGGCCGCTGCCACATCACCAGCCAGAACCACGGTTACGCTGTCGATGCCGCGACCCTGCCCGAGGACTGGAAGCCGTACTTCACCAACCTGAACGACTCGAGCAACGAAGGTTAGTCTCGTCTGGAGAATATCTAATGTATAACATGATCACTAACATTTCCCTTGCAGGCATGATCCACAAGTCTCGCCCGATCTTCAGCACCCAGTTCCACCCCGAGGCTAAGGGTGGCCCCTTGGACTCGTCTTACCTGTTCGACATCTACCTGGACAGTGTGCTCAAGTACAAGAACAGCCAGGCCGGTCTGTACCCCCAGCGGGACAGCCGCCCCAGCCCTCTGTTGGTTGACCTGCTGGCCAAGGAGCGTGTGGGCGTCCAGCCGACCGTCGGCATGCAGAATGTGGCCGCTGCCGCCGCCGCTGCCGCTTCGGCGTAAATATATTGTTGATGTGCTGAAAGGAGTTCATTCGGTTTTTTGCTTATTATCATGATTATCATTTTAGGACCTTGTCCAAACTCTGGTGTGTTGAAGTTGGGGTAAATTGTTCTATTTTTTGTCTATAAATTCGGGTATAGAAAACATGCCAGTCATCAAACATTTAGAGAGTTTTGTTATATTTCTTCTTTTTTTTGTCAAGTTCTGTCGTAGTCGTAGTTCGACACCTTAAGGTTTTCATCATCATACCCATCTTTGCATCTTCATCTGCCGGCACATTCTTATTTCGCCACGATCGACACCACATCCTCGTCCGAAACCATATGGCCCAGTCCCACGCGCTGCGGCACATGGCGCGCGCTCGCACCCCACACCAGCGCATATTTGAAGGTCTCTTTGAGCGTGCGGTGGATCTGGTCGCACACGTCCTCGATGCTGGAGTCCCTGCGCACGATCAGGGCTTCACTGAAATCGGGATCTTCTCCTTTCCTGTAGAGAGAGGTGTTTGTTAGGACATGTCCGTAATAAGGTGTAAAGTAGAGACAGATCCGTCCAAGCGTCGAGGGGATACAAAATGGGAGGAACAAGAGCCTGGAGATCTTACCGTTTCGTGTACAGTCGCATGAGCCGCAACTCCTTCCATATGCGGTCGACGACCTCATGGACCCCGAGATCGAGCTCGCAACTCATGACGGCTGTGTACGGCTCGCGGGCGAGCTGGTCGAGGAACTCGAGGCTGACACTGTCGATCTTGTTGTAGACATACAGACTGGGAGTAAAGTGTGAGTGAATACGATAGATAGTCATTGGAGAGTGAAAGCACAATATCGAATAGTAGTTTGGGTCGGCTTACCAGCGAACATATTTGCGGTGGTCTTTCATGATCACATCGATAAAGTCGTCGATCGTAGCTGTACAGGTATCAAAGTCAGTATTAGGCATCTCGGGCTTAAAAAAAGATCAATGGTTCCAACATACCGTTTTCGTCTCGCACCAGCACTTCACAGTTGAGGATTTTGTAGTCGCGGAGCACGTTGTAGATCATCTTCTCGTCCAGGTTCTTGGGTGGTGTCTGGAAAGTAATCTTCATACCGCCGGCCTTCTTTGGTTTCATGTAGATGTTGCTGAAGACACCGGTCAGTCACTGAATGTCTCGCGAAATGGAAGTTGTCACGCACGGTGGGTCCTTATTCAACCGAATGCCCACGGCATCCAATTCAGCCTCGAGCAGTGCTCGCTGTTCAGCACGCTTGGTGGCGTCCAGAACCATCAGAATCAAATCACTCGTCTAGAAATTTGTCAGCACGTCACCTGTATTCTTTTTTGGGCGGTTTGATAGTTCAAATACTCACCTTTGCAGCAGAGATCACCTGCCGGCCACGTCCCTTGCCCTCTGAGGCACCTTCAATGATACCAGGCAAATCGAGAATCTGGATCTCAGCACCGCCATACTCAAGAACACCCGGGATGGCTGTCAACGTGGTGAATGAGTATGCCGCGGTCTCACTCTTAGTTTTGGTGATCTTCGACAAAAACGTGGACTTTCCGACGGACGGAAACCCGACGAGGGCCACACGCGCATCGCCGCTCTTGCTAACATCAAATCCGGCACCACCGCCGCCACTACCACCTGTGGGCTCAAGGAGCTGGGCTCTTAAGCGGGCGAGCTTTCTGGAGGGGAATTAGCTGGAGTCTTTTGGTAGATATTTTGGTTTCAGGGACAAGAATATTAGGGGGACTTACCCTTTCAATAGACCCAAGTGATATTCTGAATTACATCATTAGATCAATTGTGGTCAGAGTGCTGCACATTCAAAAGATCATCGTACCTGTCGCCTTGTTCTCTGCGGGGCAGTTGTTAGCACCGGCATGGACGAGATTTTACGGGCACTTACTCTGCGTCCGGCGCATCTCATCTTCGATCCTATACAATTTCCAGTGAGCAAGCCAAGCGATTTGAAAGCATGGTCGAGGTACATACTCCTTGATCTTCTCGGTGATGTTCACCATCTTGTCGGTGTTTGAGGCGTTCCGCCTGGAGGATTACCGAGTAATTGATTTCGTGTAACTGCTGCAGATTTTCTTGAGTGCAGGAATATCTCCAAAGCGCAAGAACTGGCCGAATCCGACACTCGCAGGCGAATATCAAACAGACGATCAATTTGCGCCGCAAAACGAAATCCCGCACCTGCCAAGCCTTACATAATCGCGTCGACGTCGACTTTTGCCGCGCTCTCTCAGCTCTCGCTCGTTTCTTCTCTTCACATAAACCCCTACAGCCATGGCAAAGTCCCCAGTCGCCGAGCCATCACCGGCAGAAATTCCCAGTCCAACACCAGGTGCGACCGAGCCCAACAACGACGAGATAGCCGTGGTCGAGACCGAAGATAGAGCGCAGGAAGGCGAGCAGCAACAGCTGCAGCCAGCAAAAAAGACGAAGAAGATCATCCGGCGCAAGAAGCGACCAGCCCGAGTACAGGTGGACCCGTCAGTCGTGAAGTCAGAACCGCCGCCACAGACGGGCACAATCTTCAACATCTGGTTTAACAAATGGTCGGGCGGCGACCGCGAAGACAAATATCAGTCGAACCAGCCGGCGCCGGGGCGGTGCAATGTCGCGCAGGACAGCGGATACACACGGGCAGACCGGGTGCCGGGATCATATTTCTGTTTGTTTTTCGCAATGGGCACATGTCACAAGGGCCCCGAGTGCGAGTATCTGCACCGGCTGCCGGGGCTGCACGACCTGTTCAATCCCAACGTGGACTGCTTCGGGCGGGAGCGGTTTAGTGACTACCGCGACGACATGGGCGGTGTGGGATCGTTCATGCGCCAGAATCGCACGCTCTACGTCGGCCGCATCCACGTCACCGACGACATCGAGGAGGTTGTTGCGCGCCACTTCGCCGAATGGGGTCAGATCGAGCGCACGCGAGTTTTGACCGGCCGCGGCGTCGCCTTCGTCACCTACACCAACGAGGCCAACGCCCAATTCGCCAAGGAGGCCATGTCCCACCAGAGCCTCGATCACGAGGAGATCCTCAACGTGCGCTGGGCTACCGTCGACCCCAACCCGCTCGCGCAGAAGCGCGAGGCCCGCCGCCTGGAAGAACAGGCTGCCGAGGCCGTGCGCCGCGCCCTGCCCGCCGCCTTCGTCGCCGAGATCGAGGGCCGTGACCCGGAGGCCAAGAAACGGAAGAAGATCGAGGGCAGCTTTGGTCTGCAGGGCTACGATGTTCCCGACGACGTGTGGCATGCCCGTACCCGCCAGTTGGAAGATACCGGGTCCGGTGCTGCTGCTGCTCCCGCTGAAATCGAGGCCCCCGACCAGCCCCTTCTTCTTGAAGCTGCTGCTTCGGCGCAAGCTGTCCCGGCCCCTGTGCCCGAAGCACCCGCGCAGTACGGTGGCATCTTCTCCAGCTCCGCTGTTGCAGCACTGCAGGGGCTCGCTGGTGGAACAGTTTCGACGCAAGCGGCACCTAAACCAGCTGGAGGGCCGTTAGTAGGCTACGGGAGTGACGACAGCGACTGAATTCTGCGCCTACCCTTTTTCTCTTTGGTGATGTTGGTGATCTTTGTCATGTACAATACTAGCGATACCTTTCCTTTCTTATTCTCTCAAAAGATGATCCCATTCCTCCACATGCACCATGCTCGCTATTCGCTATTCGTAAATCTTCAATACATCATTCATGACAAGGGGTATCATCCCGAGCACTCGCCAACACATGAGAGGAGATGGAGGTAAATCAGACATGTACAGAAAAAAGACAAGAGAAAGAAAGCAGGAAAGAAGAAAAAAGCACAACCGCCCAGCCGCAAGAAATGCACACGAACCCACTCCCATATGCACAAAAACGAACAATATTCCTGACAGAAACCCCCCCCCCCCCCCCAATTTCCCCTCTGTAAATAAATCAAAGAATCATCGGTCGCTGCGTCCGAGGTCATAATACACGCAAGAGCCCGTGCGGTAGTTATAGATGAACGCATTGGTATAAGACTCCGAGGTCTCGCCGGTGCGGCTTTCGATAGCCAGATCGCTGAGCAGCTCGTACACCTGGTTGAGGTATTTGCGTTCCGTAAGCGGCGCGTTCTGAATGACAGTGCGCCAGCTGTCTGGATCAGACAGCCGCGTGTCTCGGATAGAGTCGAGGACATCGTCGCGGGTGTCGATGGCTGCGACGGGGCCGTTGCGGGCATCCTCGGCGACTTCTCTGGAACGGACAAGAGCTAAAAGATGGGTTTCAGTAAAATGGATAGTATGGATTGGCAGCAAACGGGAGAAAACTGAAAACTGACCTGACTCCACAATGTTCCTACGGTTGGTCTTCTTGCTTCGGTGGTGCGGAATCAGAATGCGCACATCATTCGCCCTGTCCTGAGACATGAATGTATCTTGTTGGCCCGGCAGACGAGACTGGCGCGGATCAGCCGTCCCCTCGCGGTGATGGCGCGCATGCACTTCCGTTCGAAGCCAAGAGACAAGCTCCGAACTGCGAAGGTCGAGTTCCTCTTTGCGAACGAGATTCCGCACTTTGAACCCACGCTCTTTGCTGTCTTGCTTTGCGATGACAATCCAGCGATGGTTGTGTTCTCGGTATTTGGACAGGAGCTCCTCAAGTGACGATGCATCCACTGCGAGTTCGGCACTGATGTCGTTCGCCCAGAGATCTTCGATAAGCTTGACACCAGTGGTGCGGAGAACTGTTGCATCAAAGCTAGCGACGAGGACATCGCACTATTATTCGGGGTGAATCATTAGCATCGAAAGGTGACATAGAGCAGAAGGGAGCAACATACCCTGCGGGTGGTCCAGTAGAGCTCGGTGCTCGTTTCAAAGTCTCTCGATGCAGCCTTGGCCTTTAAGTAGTCGACCATGGCGGAGCCAAGTCGGTCCGAACTCAGATTAAACCCAACCGCATGTCCCAGGGGTCGACTGGACAAGACCTTAGGCGCGAAGTCGTGGAGCAATCGGTCATATCGACCCCCGGCCGCAAACACATCTCGCCGCTTGCTGTCAAAGATACATTGAAACAGCACGCTGCCTCGGTAGAACCTGTCATGAAGGCTACTGAGCGGATTGACATAGACCTTGCGTTTCACGCCAAAGCTTTGGAGATAGGTCATGAGCACGTTCAGGCGCGCAAATATAGGGGCAATGCGCTCCGCGTATTCAGTCCCTTCCATGATAATCTGCAACTTGCGCTGTGTCCCTTTCAAAGAGTCTTGGGAAGTTCGGAATTAGCAGAGATGGGACGAAAAGGATACAAATCACATACCTCTGAAATCGAACCGAGCTAGGTCGTCTAATGAAGTCGAGGCAACCCCAATGGCCGGGGAACGCAACTCACTTCCGATCTTCTGCATCGTCCATTTCCCTACATTCAGCTTGCTGATGACATCCTTCACCAACGGGATCTGTGAAGGAGTAATGCGACAGAACTCCATGATAAGTTGAAGTAGATCAGAGTGATTAACAAGGAAACACATTGGAGTAGAGCGCAGGGGTGGGAATTCTTCAATGATCTCGTCCAGGACCTTGATCACTTCTGCCTCCTTCAGTGCTAGATCCAGAGTGTTGTAAGACACCACATCAAAATCCACTTCACGGTGAGTCCGAGGTTCACTGCCGTGGGTGGACTCTCGATAAACCGTGCCAAAGGCAAACGTTTTCTCTAGCGAGGGGTCTTGGCGAGGAATTGCGCGCGCATTCGGGACCGTAAGGTCAAATGGTAACTGAAGAAGATTACCAGACACATCAAGTAGGCGCACAGCTCCGGCAGGATAATGCTGGGAGCGTGGGAAGAGCATTTGCCTTGCTGATTCCACAGCGCCGTGTCTCCGGAAGATTGAGGTTAACTTGTTGTTTACCAATCCCTGAATGAGCAACTCGCTTGCCGCAGGAGACTCGTGTGAGTCCATATCCCAGGCAATATCTTCGAATTTCTGAGGGGATTGAGAAAAGATGGCAGACAGAATTTTCTTATAGTCGGGAGAGTTTGGGTCTGATAGCAAATGCACGATTGCCCGTCTGAAGGTCTCTTCTTCAACCTGAAGAGGAATTCTCCCACTGGATAGAAGCTCGGAGGATGAAGGGCGCTCGCTTGGGGTATGGCTCAACAGCGACTCGATAATCTGACCTTGGACGACTTTGTCGGACTGGTGAAAAGTAGGTGGGAGAAAATGGTTCTTTTCTCTAATCGCTCGAAGGGTTTGATCGCGCTCCATGCTTGTCGGCAATGGATGGCACATTTCGAAGAATATGACGCCGAGGGAGTACATCTAACATTTGTGAATATTCCGACAAGGTGCAGTGGAAAGAGGGAGACACTCACATCGACCTTGTCATTATATTGTCCCGAGATTCCAGACTTCATCTCCGGAGCGACATAATATGTCGTTCCAAGACTGCGAGTAAAGTTCTCTTCAAAGTCAGCCGCTGCGGATGAACGCACGGCTGTCGTGAACTGTCCGCTGGTAGCAAGACCAAAGTCACCGATGCGAGGGTTGTTCGCAACGTCAATGAAAATGTTGTCTGGCTTTAAGTCGCGGTGTATGATGCCATGGCTGTGAATGTGGCTCAGGCCATCCAGAATCTGACGGAACAAGCGCCAGGAACGATCAATGTCGTCGTAAAGGCCATTTTTGATCAAGTCACGCAACGTCTAGAAATTGCCGTTAGATAAGTGATTACGTATGGAATCTGGAACCTACTCACATGTTTCTCACAATACTCCATCTGAATGTAGAGTGTAGTCAAGACAGGCCGGCCATACGACCCGGATCTCGCTCGACTGAACTCGGCGTCTTCTACGCTACCCGTTTCGTGCGTGTCGGACGCGGTTCCATGGCCCTGGTCTGATATCGTTCCTTCGTTCTCGTCGTCACTGTCAGAGGCAGCAAATTCGATTTTCGGGTATCCGCTGGAGCTGATGAAATCAAGGCCACCGGTGCTGAATCCGTGGTCATGACCGGCAAATGGGTCACCTTCAGTGGATGAGATAGCCTCCTCCTCGATTTGATTCAAGTCATTGTCGAGCTCCTCTTCAAGCCAAGCGGTATAATACCGGACGACATAAGGGTGGTTCAATCGCGATAGCAGCATGATTTCCGAGAGCGTGTCATTCAGCGCGGCAGCGGAAGTTTGCGAGATCTTCTTGACGGCATAGAAACGACCATCGAGCTTGTTCCTAGCTTTCACGACCTGCCCGAAACCGCCACGGCCCAGGCGACCCGCCTCGTCAAAGTCTTGGTGATATCGCGAGAAAGCCGGCATTGCCCCGAAAGAATCAAGGCGGGGCCGTCTTTGTAAAGAGACCGAATTCGAGGACCGGTCACGCATTGTCAAGGGGGCGTCCACGCGAAAGAATTCGGATGGTTGGAGCTGGAAGGCTGTCGGGCGTTTCTTTGGATCTGGGCGAAAGAATTCACGAAGTAATTCTTGAAGCGGCGGCGAAAGTCTCATCGACACCATCAACTGATTAGCTGAAGTATATCGCAGTAAAACATCCTTTCCAAAGCCCATCTGAAGCAAGACAATGCCCAGATCCCAGACATCTGTCTTCATCGTAGAGGGAGTACTCTCCTGCGTCATTTCTGGGGGCAACCATAGTGGCGACTTGGACGTGGTCAAGGAACGCTTCCCCCAGGCGGATCCGGCAAGGCCTCTTCCACACTGGATTGCAACTTGACAATAGTCCCTCCTGAAGAATTTCGGAACAGCATCACCCGACCACAGTGAATGTTTCCATGGACAAGCCCGCTGCGGTGGTAAAACTCCAGTGCCTCTAGGAGCTGGATCATCCAGCCACGGACTGTCTCAGCGGCGATAGTTCCCACGATATCAAGCAGCTCGGAGAGTGAGCCCTTATTCGCATGCCCTAATAGAGCAAAGACGGTCCAGGACTTGTCATAGTGGCTGGGCGGGCGATCGATTTTGAATCCCACAAATTCAACAAGATTTGGGTGTCGGAGTCGCTTCAGACCCTCCAACTTGTCTTCGCTGGACCGCATCTGCTCCCGAAATGCTAGACTATCCGACCCCTTCTCGTCCAAACAAATCTCCTTGAGAACGAGAAGTGGAACATGGCAGCGACTCTCGGCGACGACAGGTCTCACAGTGAAAGTCTTCTTGCCCTGCTTGCTTTGCAATAGGGTTTTGCCATGGATGGCCCGGAAGACCAGCGGTTGCTCGTCGGTGTCGTTCACCACCAGGGGTGGATCGAAAGAGATTGCTCCGGGGGGGTTGTCTGCGAGATCGACTAGATCGCCTGGTTCGACTCCGCTCGTTCGACTCTTTCGTCTCAGCATGCGGGCCTGGGTCCGCTGTCGGAGCTTATCTTGGAGCATTTCATGCAAAGCGCGTTCTTCCTCAGCTGTCGCAGCCTCCTGCTTCCGAAGTTCCTCCTTTCTTTCCAGCTCGGCTCGTTGAATGGCAGCGGCTTCCTGCTTTATTCGCTCCTCCTCCAGACTGGGTAGGTCCTTGTCCTGCGCTTGAGCCTGAGCGACATCTTCCAGCACATCCTGGATTGACACCGCCAGCTCATAGATCATTTCACTGCCCAGGAGGGTCTTGGGCTTATTGCGCAAAATTTCTTGTATGCGGGAGCGGGCACCATCACGAAGATCGTCCAGGTTTTCGAGCAAGAGATTGGGAACGGTTTTGGGGTATGTCGCGGGCAACTCGACCAACAACACTAGACGAACATCGGGATTGGAGGAGGCGCGTAGGTGTAGCTTGAAGGTCACGTCGGAGGATTGCTACATAGAGCACGAGCCACAACCCCGAGTTAGCTATCTGCTGGGGCTGACAGCTTGCCCCCACACGTCTGCACGTACCTGCCACGCCGACCGCCGATTCTCAACATCTTCAAAGTCATCGCCATAGATGGATCGTAAGGCTTCCGCCTCGGTCTGGTGGATTTCACGGTAATTGGTGGTTGCGACCACGGGGGATGTCAACGAGGACGAGTCGGACGAGGTTTGCTTCTTCTCGCGCTTTCTTCTCTGCTTGGGAGACATGGCGCATGGAGCGAAATCGCCCTACATCTGTCCCAGAGTGTCGCACAGCATGGAGAATAAGAAGCCCATGGGCAAGAGGGGTGTTTTTTTCCAAGTGGAAACAGGCGGTCAGATTGACAGTTATCGATAGCGCGGTGCTTAGTATCATCGGCCAAAACAGGCGTGGACCCCAACACTATGGGTCCACTATTGGGTTCATATGCTATGGCTACAAAAGGACGACTGGGCTTGCCAATGAGAAAGGTTTTACTATTCATACAACAAAAAAATCAAGGTCGAATCCACCATACGCCCATTCTTTTATGCCCAACAGTGGGTATGTGCGTATAGCCATGAGTTGTCGAAGCCACCAGCTTCAATGCAAATTGTCCTTGCAGTAGTCAGTTCTGTCAGGCTGCTGCATCCGCGGTTGCCAGGGTATGCAAAGAGAACCGGCCTCATGCTTTGTCGCTCAAGCCGAGCAACAGACCTCCGAGCACCGCGACCATCGGCGCATATCCCCAGTGGTTCCACTCGCCCTGACCATGAGTCCAGCACACGAACCCGTCGGCAGAGGCTACCGCACTGGCGGCAAGCAGGGTCCATCCCAGGGACCGACGAGTCCCCACGAAGGCCGCCGCATAGATTGCGAGGCCCATAAAGATGTCGCGGACACCGTAGACAGCCATGAGGCTGTCTACCATGTTCTTATCTGTCGCTGCAGCAGGTGGTTCGAATTCGAAAAATGTCAGGGCATTATCGGGTCGCAGAACGGCGTTGACACCAAATGCCACGAAGATTGTTCCCACGGCGCTGGCAGCCAGGCACAAGGGTGATTTCAGGATAGACATGGTTGGAGAAGAGAAAGCAGCAGAGTCAAAGCAGTAGATTGAGAATGAAGTTCAGAATGGCCAGCAAGAAGCGCGGTCAGTCCTTAAATATCACCGGATTCCTTGGCAGATTCGAGTCATTGCGGGTGTGCTGCCTAGAGAGGCCGGAGATTGCCGTCTCTAGAATTAGACCAACAGCGAACGGTGTTGGTTCAGTGACCTAGGAACGCCAATGGAGCTAGTATACCTTGAAAGTGAGTCGACGGATTTGCAGAGGCTGAGCCGAGGAGGCCATGAGCTATCGATAAGCAGCGATCGGCGCGCCGTTCCGCCTTCGCGTAAACAAATCCTCCTTTCCCCTTTTGGTGTTCGTGTTCTGCCTTCAAGACTTGGACATAATGTTGGATTGGATGGGAAGTGACCAGAATACACGTGCTGCAGGTTGGTGTTCCTGGAATTGCCACGTCAAGACTCGGCGAAGCTCGTTAGGTACTAACCACCCGATCTTTCTCTACAGACTCCAAGATGGCCGAACCCCCCGAGACCCCAGCTCCCGTGTTTGCAATCCGCGCCTTTAAGAGCGCGCTGTTTGGAACACCCGGTGGCGATGAGGCGGATGAGAGTCGCGCGTCACAGCCCAAACAAGCCAACCACCAACACAGCAAAAGCGACTCGGTCCAACCACTTGCAGAGAAAACAGAGGATATGAGACCTGCGGACGACGATGCCGCAAACAATGCCCCGGGATCTCCCACGAAAAGTATTTTGGTCACTCCTGGCACAATATCGAACCGGCGCAAAACAGTCTCCTTTGGCGAAAGCGTCGTCGACAACGAAGGAAAACGCGATAGCCTATCGAGCAAAGTGGTAAAAACTCCACCGAATCCGGCAGGAAATATCACTGCGCAATGGATGTCTGGGTCGTCGGACGGCAAAAAGCCGCGAAGCAAGCTGACCCAAACCCTGCTGGATGCACGCGACAACGCGTCGAAGAATGCCGAGTCGGACTCGGAGGAAGAGAGCTCGTCAGATGCAAAACCAGCTACACGGTCCCCGTCCCGATCGAAGGAAGAGCCGGCAAATGAAGACATCACACTCAACCTGGAGGATCCGCGCTCGGAGTCGGGCAAGTACTGGAAGACTGAATTCGATAACTACCGAGTCAGGACCAACCAAGAAATCAAGAAGCTGATCCAATACCGGTCAATCGCCAAGTCTTATGCCCGCAAGAAAGATACCGAAGCGCTACGACTGGCAGACAAGTTGAGAGAGGAAGAGGAGAAGGTGACTGAGATGGAGCGGCAGGTCTCGCGCCTTGCCTCTACTATGGTGGGAGAAGAGTCGAAAGCAAACAAGGAGGAATTGGTCCAGGATCTCTCCAAGCAGACTGCCCTTGCTTTGCAATACAAGCAACAGGTCACTTCTCTGCGCAAAGTCCTGGAGCGTCATGATGTCCTGGGCGGCGAAGTGGCAGATATTACCGCCCAACCGAAAGGGAAATCACATTCAGAAAATTCCTCGGACGAGCTACTCAAAGCACAGCAAGAGCTCAGGCAGGCAAACGCCAAGATTGAAGAGATGAAGCGCCAACAGTCGGACCTCAGCACGCTTCAGGACCTGGCGCAGAGCTCAGAGAAAAAGGCACAGGCGCTGGAGAACGAGAATAATACTCTCAAGCAGACACTGGCACGAGTCAAACAAGAGATGTCGAGATACGAGGGTCGGCGCAAGGACAAGGAAACGAAACTGAAGCAAAGAGAAGTAAAGCTGGAGGCTCGGATTCAGGAGTATAGAGAACGGCTCAAGACGGCTTCCAAGGAGCATCGCGAATCGGAAGAGATGTTGAGAAACAACTTCGAGGAGGAGCACCGCCGCCTGCAAAATCAACTCAATCTTATGAGGCTGGGCGGCAACGCAGCCGAGCGCTTCCCTCTCCGATCTCATAATCGACGGTCTCTGAGTCCGCGCAAAGAGTACGCAGATGTGGAGACATGCGACTTTGCTGAACAAGATGCACACGAACTGGGCGAAGACGCCACCGAGGATTTGGACGGCCCTCCAAGCCCTAGCCCACGCTCCAAGGCACGAGAGACGCGGCACAGCCAGAACACCACAACAAGCGTGATGGATGGAAGACATGGCACGCGAGACATTGCCGCCGACGAAGACGAAGTCACGCACTACCTGAACGAAATTCTTCCAAAGCCACAGCACGCATCTCATCCTATCGCATTGCACCCACTCCCGCCCTCATCGCCTCCAGATGTTTTGGCACTCAAGACCTTGGGATACCTCAACACCAGAAATCAGCCCAGCGGACAGGGACAGCGGTCGCACCGGACTCTCGGTTTGCGCGAGGCCGACACCTCTGGCCGGGTCCATCGACCTCGGCCCCATATCAAATCGACTTTGGACTCGATATCCGGCCTGCCTGTCGCGTACACGGAAAATTATTCTGGCAACACAATCGCAGCGGGCGATCGAACTGGTCAACGGCAGGGCCTATCTGGTGTACAAAGCACCCTCCTTTCCCCAGAGAGAGTTGCCGCCGCCAAGTATCGGCTCAAGCAGAAGCAGAACAAGCGCAAAAGCAGGGCACTGGACAGGGCAAGTGGGATGGCTGTAGCTACGTCGACGGTGGATACGGGCTGATTCTCCTGGTCCCTACTTTTCTTTTCATGTCTGTGTCTTGTTATTCGCAGCGAATGCGGAATTCAGCCTCTTTATTTCACTAGACATAACCTACGAACACCCTTCTTATGGCCTCTGTCTCCCCTTACATGCTCTAGAGGGCACAAAGTAGATAAAAGATATTTGGGGAAACAGTATCAAAACTAGTACGAAAGATATCACAAAAACTATGACCAAAGCTATAGTAAAAACCATGATAAAAACATATGACAAACAGGCTAAACAGTAGAAGGATAGAATACATGAGGGCGGTAGATCTATTTGTGACCTTATTACCTCAGTAGGGCTATATCTAAAACATCACTGCCCAGATACATTTCGCTATCTCTCTAGGATCGTTGTCAGTGACTATGATATCTCCTTCTGCCGGCTGCGTAGCAGGTCTTAGAAACAGATTCTCAAACGGAATCACCACCGGGCCCCCTTGCACCTTCGCCTGCCCAAGCCCTTCTCCCCCCCCTCTCCTTTCTGGATTGAGATAGCCTGCGTGGCCTCGGCTACCTCCTTACTGGGGTCTTTTCTAGTCGGTCGGTCAACCAACTGCCAATTCCCCAGGGTAATCTTGCCGGATTTCTTCGTTATAGCAATCGTGAGAACGGACTTGACCTGAGCTTCTCCTCTTCCTCTTCCTCCTCCTTCTCCTCCCTCTTTGGACTCATTGAGTCAAAACGCCACATCTGAAACCAACACCCCATGTACTTCAGCAGATGCGGTTTCCATCACAAGAGACGGCCATTTCTTTGATCTTCCGCTGGGTAAAACTACATGCCTTAAGCTTTGGCTAGATCTTTTGACAAGATCTGATTCCGCTTGAACGGCACTGCTTCCCGTGAAAATCAGTTGAGAGCGTAGGTTCACCGCAGTTGCTTTGTGGGAAATCAGGTCCATGAGGTGAGCATGAGCTGCCTCGTGTGCTCCTCTGGAAATAGATCTCACCAGAGCTGTGGAGGTGTATGGGTTATATGCTTTCCAGGCCTTGCTCAAGAGGTTTCCGTCATCTCGCATGAAATCGCGGTCGAATGTCTGCGGGCTGATATTGGTGAAGATGGTGTATTCACTGGCTCGGGCTCTTCCGGTGGAGTTATTTGCCAGTAGTAGCTTATATTCGGACGGAGGATATTGAAGAACTGCTGCCTCCCCTCATATTTGTATTGGTGGGTTGTATGGGGGAGTCCATCTCGAATATAGTCATGAAGGTATGGTGGCCTGCCATTGTAGCTGATTTAGCTAGTATCCTGGGGTGTGATAATTGAGAGGGAAGCTATCTAAGAATTAAAGCCAAATTAAGCATGGGCACACCATAGTTAGGTTGTTGCTGGGCCTACCTAGTTATCAAGCCTTCCGGCGATATCGTCGACATACCACATCTGATCGCTATCCATAGATCAATACTAAAAGAAAATAGGGATCATGTTCAATGCAAAACATCAACAGTACCCAATCGGCCAACAGCCTCGCTCCCATTCTCTGTATCTGTATCTCCCACCAGCCTACCGGCAATCCAGCAGAGAACAGTAACCCAGTCCCTCCAATTCGCTCTCATGCCATGCCGAAATTCCATGATCGGTGACCGGCGGACATGACGAGTCTTCGGATTCTGCTTGTCATGCCAGCACTGAAGAACACGCATCTGGCGGTCTGAAGCCGAGAAGATAGTGACGGGGATGTACCGGTATGAGTTGTATCCATCTTGAAATTGACTCTGGGTAATAAGGCCAAAGGCAGTGGATACCTCGCCTGTACCGAGGCGATCTGGGAGTAGGGCCTCCGAATCTGTGACGAAGGCATTGACATGCGGCTTGAACACATCCTCCGACTTTGTGTAGGGTCGAATTACCCATTCGTACTTGGAATGATGGAAAGGTCTGAGCGCATAACTATAGAAGGTAGGACAGAGATTTAAAAAATAAAATTGAAAAAGAAAGCCGTCACAGAAGACACAAACAGAAGCTTTGTGACTTACTTATCAACGTAGGAAATTGGTGTCTCGTCATCTAGAAATGCCTGCACAATATGGTCCAAACTCTGAAACATATGGTCCCCCTCGTGCCATCGATGGCTTCGATCCCAAAATGCATCTGGAATCTGCGGTTTGAGGCCGGTGTGCGTCTCCCAAGGCCGGGTGCACTCAAGGAACTCACTCATTTCCTCCCAGGGGACTGGCTAAACAAAACGAGGACCATCGTCTGGAACCTCGGCGTAAGATAGAAGATCTAGGGGGGCAATGGTGATGCGTAACTTCGTCTCATTCTCTGGAGAAATGTAGGGGAGAACGATGCTTTCTGGGATGGTGGTGGCCGGCGTAGACGTAAATCTGACCATCATCGAACTTGACCATCTGGGGCTAAGTAGTAGGTGTCAAACTGTAGTAGGGGTGGAGGTTGCGATAGTGGGATATTTGTCGGACCTTCACACCACGCATGCAGGGTCTCGGTCGTATCTCTTGCATCCTCTTAAATCATGCTGCAAAATCACGCCTTACTTCTTACTTCTTGTTTCTTACTTTATATACATATTCATTGAATTTAAGGACGCTTACTTTATAAATATACCCCGGACAAATCGAGATTTATGGCGCATATATACTTGAAGCATCCGCAGTGCTAGAAACAATGCCCAACATCTATAACCTCATGTATCAATGTATCAAGGATCTCGCGTTTTTATCTGCTAACCATCACCTTAGGCCTTGCCATCAGAAAACGACACAACAGCCCACTTGCCACTCCACGCCCACTTGCGAGCCTCGGCCCCGCCTCCGCCGGGCTGCTGGCGCAGCTTCTCATCCTCACCGGCGGGGAGACCAACGACAGTATCGGCCTTGCAGGTACGGAACGCGAGGACACGGATGCCAGACTTGGGGCCCATGGGGCCGATGGCGGTCGTGAAGGGGATAGTAGTGTCCCATTGAGCCTAGATGTGGTAAGCAACGGGCAACAACTAGTGCACAAGGAAAGGCCATGGGGGAACTTACGTCGTTGGTCAACTTGCGGTAGTTCAGATCACCTTTGAACAAGACCAGCTCGCTCTCCTTCAGGTCCTCGAACAGTTCCGGTGCCACGTGCGGCAAACGCCAGTAGCAGCCCGGGGTAGTCCAGAACGCGTGCGGGCGCACGATGAGCTTGCCATCCTGGTGGAATTGGCTCCACTGCTCAAACAGGAAGCGGACATCTCCGACCTCTTTCTCGGACAGAGGGGGGAAGGTAGTACCCGAGTCGTCGGCGGCCGTGTAAAAGGCTTGCGGGTCGACCATACTGTTGAGAAGATCGGAGAAGTCCTTCGGCGTGACGTCGGACACGAACCAGGGCAGACGCTTGGGGTGGAGGACGATGGAAGTCGCCAGACCCGCAGACAGAAGGTATCCGGCCAGGATGAGGTCGACAAACAGCTCGAAGCCGGAGTTGTCCAAGACAATATCGACTCGGCGCTCGCCGTCTTTTTTCTCTCTGCGCGCCTTCTGCATCACCTCGAAGGCGGCATCAAGGTCATTGACGATGATGTTCTTCTGCGACGCCTTGCGCGCCTCCGAGCCCTGCAGCTTCTGGATGTCCTCGTAGGTGAGCGACGTCAGGAGCGACAGGTCGGTGGCATTGCCCCACAGGCAGATCTCGCACATCTCCGAGAAGAGTAGCTTCTCGGCCTGCTCAACCTCCTCGGGCGACTTGTGGTCGACTCCCTTGCCGGACTCAGCCTCAAGAGCCAGTTCGCGATACCTCGAGGCGAGCTCCAGGACAGCAGGGCGCGACGACTTGAAAGTCGACATCTTCTGGCGCGCGAACACGTCATAGCCCTTCCAGTGTGTAGATAGCGAGAACAGAGTCTCGATGCGCCGATCTGTGGAATTGGCGTCGGGTCAGCATCGATGGTTCTTGTTGTGTGGCCGAATGGCTGGTGGCGTTGGGCCTACAGAGGTAGCACTCGGAGTAGAGCCAGGGTACATTGTGCCAGTTGGGGTTTCCACGCTGCTCTAGCTCCTGGTTATATTGGGCGATATCAGGGTTTCCATCGTCGGCAAGAGGTCTAGTAAGTCCCACGGGTCAGATTCAGTAATATCCCCAGCATCTTCCAGGGATGGCTACTCACGTAATTTGCCGGTCATGCTGCAGCTCATACTTTAACTTGGCTAGGCTTTCGATGATGCTCTTGCCTTCCTTCTGCTTCTCCTCGCCGCTGGCACTGCCAACCGTTCGATGAAGATCATCGATGGCACTGGTCTACACCCACCATATACCGTCAACGACAGATCGGCCCTCGGTGATCCGGCACGAAACTCACGATGATGATCGGCCAGCGTTCATTAGCCGAGACCGAGGCAAAGCTCGAGTTATCCGAGGTGAGGAATTGGGCTGGGACGAGTCAGCTCTCTGTCAGCAATGGATCCAGCGAGACACTCACGGGTCTTGGGGTCGAACTCCATGATGGGCGATTTTTGGGATGGAAGAAGAAGCGGCAGAAAGGAGGGGGCCCGTTTTTGCGGGGCACGAGCGGTGTCTACGGTGCCAAGATCACATACGAGCAATTACATTCTTTCTAAATTTCTCTGCGACGCCCACGCTGGCATAATCAGGATATCACATATTCGATAAGATCGAGTTCTGCGCGTACGCCTGGAGGATGTTAGTTTGATCACCATCCCGTGGAGTTGGTCGACTTACCATCGGCTTGATGTCGGGGTGCGGCACCGCCTCGAACACCTGATACTCGAGCTTCAGCTCGGGTCCGAGGTTGATATAAGCGCCCTTGTTCTCGGTCGAATCACAGTACTTGGGTGCAGAGAAGACGGTGATACACCGGCCATCGTGCTCAACTTCGTAGCCGTCCATGCGCACCTCGTGCGAGCGAATAATGGCTTCGAGACCGTTATTCTCGCAGAAGCGCTTGGTCACGTCCGGTCCGAACTGAAGACCGACACCACGCTTGCTGGGCCCGCGGCCAGGTTCGGTCTGGGGGTCGGTCCAGAGCATCTCCATCATCAGACCCTGCTGGCCCGGTTGGCGTTGGTTGTGGCGGTTAAGTTTCCGAATGTCATCCAGCGTGGTTTTGTCGTCGGAGAAAAGACCGCCGTGCAGGACAAGGTACTTGTCGCCAATCAACGTAGCCAGCGGCAAGGCCGAGAAAGACTCGGAGAACACCTTGAATACTCGCTCATTATATTTAGCTCGGCATTCGCCCTCGAACCCATAAACCTTGTTCATATCGTCTGTCTCATGGTTGCCACGGTTGAGGAAGATGCCGTTTGGTCGCAGCCATTTGTAAGCATAAAGAAGCAGGGCGATTTCAGTAGACCACGATCCACGATCCACAAAGTCACCATTGAACAGGTAAGCATGAGTGTCGGAGGGAAGGCCGTTGCGTCGGAAGATCTCCAAGAGGTCGAAGAATTGGCCTGATTTGTTAGCAGCAGCTCAACCAATTTCTAATACGGAAAAAAAAAAAAAGAAAAGAACCATGCATACCGTGCGTGTCACCGCAAACTGTCAGCTTCTTGCCCGCATCCACCCCAATTTCCACCATAGTGGGCTCAGCATAGACCAGGTCCTTGACAGCCTTGATGATCTGAAAGACATACTTGCGGTGGATCTTCTTGCCATCCTTGAACCGCTGGATCATATCGTCGATAAACTCCTGGGTCATTTGGTCCCCGAGCTGCACTCCATCGTAGCTGCCATCAACCTTGATAGCATCGATATCCAAGTCCTCGAACGCAGACGGAGGATCGGAGACCTCAATCGCCTTCTCGAATTCCAATCGGCGCACCAGTTTCTCACACTCGGCCAGCTTTAGTTTCGCATTTTGGTTGTTCGGTTCTCGCTTAACGACGGCCTTGAAATCCTTCAGGGCAGCCTTGTAGTTCAAAATGGCGGTATTGGCGAGGGCACGTCTCCAGTATGCCTAAAGTACCGTCAAAAGAATCAGCATCTTTTCCCCGCCACACTTGTCCGTCGTGTTTCCTCGCGACTAACCTTGACGTAGTTCGAGTCCAATTCCAAAGCCTTGGTGGCGTCTGCGACCGCAAATCCGAATGCCTCGAGTTTGATTTGAGCCTGCCAAGAGAAAGAAAACACATTCCATCAGTAACCACTCCAAAGCTGTGTTCCATCGCATCCGGCTCGGGGGACGCACCTGGGCCCGGTTGCAAAAGAAGGACGGTTCCTGGTCATATTTCGAGATCGCCTGGGTATAAAAGTCGACTGCGGCGGGCCACTCGTGGTTCGCAAAGGCCTTATTGCCCTGCGTCTTCAGCACGGTGGCTGCTTCTTGGTCGGAGGCCATGAGGCGGGCAAAAGTGAGAGGGGCACGAGACAGCGACGATCGGGGAATGTCAAGGGCAATAGAAATCCAAGTAAATAACGCAGAAGAGACAGAGTCTAAAAAAAAACTCCTCTAGTGCAAAGAAATCAGAAAGAACTGAAAAAAAAAAGAGAGAGAAAGCGAAAACAGACTTGGAGCAAAAGAAAGCGAAGAGAAAAAAAAAGAAACCTGAGGCCGTTCCTGGTTTTTGCCATACAAACTCATTTCCCGCCGATCGCAACGGGCTTCTTGGCAAAACCACTTCCACTTCGCTCTCTGCCAGACGTTGCCTCTCTTTTTCTTCTAATTGCCCCATTCCGCCACCACTCAGCCCCAAAAATGTCTTTCTACGCGCCTCCGAACCAGCAGCGGACTCTCCGCGCCTGCATGGTCTGCTCTGTCGTCCAACTACACAACGTAAGCATATTCCCGCGTCCCCGATCCTTCCTCAGGAACTACACTCTGACTCGCCGAACTCTAGAAATTCACGCGCGAAGGCTGTCCGAACTGCGAAAACGTCCTCCAACTCCGCGGCAACAACGACGCCATCCAAGAATGCACGTCGCAGGTCTTCGAGGGCCTGATCTCGGTGCGGGATCCGGCGGCCAGCTGGGTCGCACGCTGGCAGCGGTTGGATAATTACGTGGCGGGGACATATGCGACCAAGGTGACGGGGACGGTGAGTACCTTGCCTGATGATCAAAAAAAAAATAGGGAATAGAGATCCTCCCTGTATTTCCTCGGGTGTCAAGCGCAACACGGCTGACGTCTTGCGCTACTTCTACAGCTCCCGGAATATATCATCAACAGTCTGGAGGACTCCGGCATCAAATATGTCCCGTACGTTTCAAATGGTGCCGACTACATCTTTTTTGATTTCTATGCTAACACCTCCTCTCCAGGCGTGACGGGAGTACCGGCGAGGAAGAGTCGTAACAACTTAACAATATCCACCAGACCTCTCTCCATGAGCTTGTCCTTGATAGCGAATACCCATTCCAAGTACACGTGGCCAACTGAAATGTGTGGGAGTGGAGCAGCGTCTTTTGATTTACTGTCTTAAAAAAACGGAGTTTCGGGTTGGAACTAGCACGCTATTATTTTTGTATTGCTTAGCATCGGGTTTCTGGGACATATGGATGGATTGGACTTTCTAGTCGGAGTTGACAGGCTACATAACCCATTTTTCATCTTCAATCATATACACCGGTAACTTACGAATCATCACTACAATTTCTCAATGTAGTTGATAGTCGAAAGTGACATTGAACATGTCTATGGATGCACACAGTCCTTTTTGAGCAACGAAACCCATACCCAGGCAGATATAAAGCCAACCCCCAGCCAGATTTTCAAATCAACTCCCTCATTAATTCCAATTAGAAACGCCCGGGCAACAACCCACAAAACCATAACTCAGAAACGACATCAAACAGCTCGGACGCGGCTTAGAGAAGCTTGATGATCTGCTCGATTCTCTCCAGGAGGATATCAGCTGTAAAAAAAAAAAGAATAAAGAATTAGCAATCACTTCCACATAAACTCAAAAGAAATAGAGTTTCATCACAACATACCATGGTGCTTTTGGAAGACCAGCATGGGCCTCAAGCGCACAGCGTTTTGGCCACTGCCGCCGATATTCACCCCCTGGGACTTGGCCTTGGCGACGAACTGGTCGCGCTTGGGAGTATCCCAGGCAATGAAGGTACCCCGGTTCTTGCCGCGCAGGTTCTGGAAGTGCTCAGGGTACTTGGTCGCCAGACCGGCGAGGCCGGCGTAAAGGTAATCACCGGTAGACTTAGTGTTCTCAACGAGGTTGAGACGCTCGATCTCGTCGATGATACCGCGGAAGATCAGGGCGCGGGAAGGATCGCCCATCCAGGTATTGAATTGGCGGTAGGGCTTGTTGGGGCGCAGGGCCGGGTTGCCGTAGTAGTAGCCGGCGGTCTGAGCCTTCTTGGAGAAGGTGACCATGTCGGGCGGCGAGTCGAGGTTCCAGTGGTCGTGGGCCCAGAACTTACCGGTGGCGCCGACGCCGGTCTGCACCTCATCGACGATGAAGAGAACATTGTGGCGCTTGGTGATCTCGCGGAGCCCGCGGAAAAAGGCGGGCGAGGCGTGGTTGTCGCCGCCTTCGGACTGGATAGGCTCGACCATCACCGCCGCGACGGGGTTGTGGAATTCTTGGATCAGGCGCTCGACTTCTTGCAGGCAGCGCTGCTCTTCTTGTGCGTTCTCCTGCGCATGCTCCTCCAGCGGGTACTTGAGAAGTGGGAAGGTGGCCTGGGGCCAGTCAAAAGCCGGGATGTCCAGCTTGTGGATAGGCTTGCTGCGGGTCGTGGACAGAGAGCCGAACAGACGGCCGTGGAAGGCCGACTTGAACGAGAGGATTGACAGGTGCGGAGAGCCGGGCAAGTGGTTCTCCATGGTGGACTGCAGCTCCTCCTCAGTGAACTCGACGTGCGGGCCACCCCGCTGGAGCTGGCGGTAGTACATGAAAGCGGCCTTGTACGCACACTCGTTGGCATCCGAGCCGGCCATGGCGGTGAACACCTGGTCCAGGCCCTTGGGCGCCGCCTTGAGAATACCTGTTTTGAGGATGTTCGCCCAGTCCGCAGACGGGAAGTTACCCAGGGCCGGGCGATTGATCAAGGATGTGACCATCTCCGGCGAGGTTGCCACCTGCTGGAGGTGCGGGTTGTTGTAGCCCACCGGGATGGAGGCAATTTGAGCGTACCTGTTGAGATTAGTCTTTTCTTGTGTTTGCACGCCATCATCGACAACTTACACATCCAGTAGCTTGTTGCCATCCAGATCCGCAATGCTATCAAAGAAGATGGGGTTAGCTGTGGTCCGAGCGGAAGAGCCGGGCCTGGTCATACTAGTTTCCAACTGACTGGGAATAGTCAGTCAGCATGTTCAAGCTGCGTGCATCGAAGACCTCGTTCAGCTCCGTAGCCGCCTTTGTGTTCTTGGGGCCCGGGATCGCCGTCGAGACTGAGGGACCCGTCGGCTCATTGGGGAAGTATGGCTTCTCCGTCGCCCGCAGGTGGGCCGTGGTGGACAGGGCCCGGGCAGCGGGGATCCGAGCTGCAGACCGCAGCTTGGGGCTGCAGCGGAAGACAGAAGTCATGGTTGAATCCTGTGCGTTGAGCAATCAAGGAGTTATTGTCGGGAAGAATGTGGAAGACAAGTATAGACTCGAGGGCTCTTCAACACTTCAATACAATTGAGAACCCAGGTTGACAAGAGAAAACGTAGCACCAAAGAATGCGGGAGAAGAGAGATGAGAAGCAGAGTAACACGAGGGGGGATGAATTTATATCACAGCCAACGCAGCTGTTATCGGCTTATCCTGGCAGCTTCTGGAGCTCCTCCCCGCGATACAAGCCTGGCAATCGGCGATTTCAGCCAATCAGCGGGCAGAACGGGCCCGTGAAACGCCGAACGGAGAGCGGGTATTTGACGAATCGAGAAAGTCTACGCTGGTGCCCTTTTGATGTGGTAAGAGATTCCGCTGCAGCCCTCGCTCGCGCCTTTGTTGACTCATGGAAATTGGCCACGAGGGTCATGGTGGGGGAGAAAGGAGGGGAATTCGCTACTTCAGGCACCTTCTATAGTGCCGATCAAACATCCTCTATCTGCGATAAGCTACTCTGGTCTTGGCACTCTTATCCCGGGGCTACTTACACATAGAAGTGGGAAGGTCATATTGTCTTGTAATGGTGGGCTCGGTATATATTTATTTATTTCCTTTTGCTTTATCTCCTTGAGGATTTTGCCTAGGATATGTGTTTGATCCGAGATAAATATCTTGTCGTTGTTGGCCATCTTAATAACCTCCCAACAAATTGGACTTGATATATCTCGAGGGTCACCGCAATAGTCCTGAGCTGTAACTTATTTTGACCCTTGACATCAGTTGTGTTTGCATTCAAACCAAAGATGGCAATAATCAATAATCAAGGCAACAATAAAAACCGGAAGAGCAATAGGTAGTATACGTTAGAATAGTGGAAGACTTCCAACTATACAACACCCACCTGACTGCTGGATGATAACTACAATATAAGCCTTCTAAGACAAGATTACCTTGCTAGACCTCTTTTCTCTATTTTTATATTTCTGGGTTTGATATAATTCCTCTACTGATTTCCGAAGAATTGACTTTGTATGCTTAACATCGGCATTACCCTTTCTATATCTCAACCTTCCTCTATACAATTTCTTGCCTGGAGAAATTTATCCTCAATCGGGCTTGTGGTTTAGTGGTATAATACCCCCTTAGCATGGGGGTGGTCCGGGGTTCGATTCCCCGCGAGTCCCTTTTTTTTTTTTTTTTTTTGCTCTTATTTGGCCTGGAATTATAGGTAGAGTGGGCAATAGATCAATTTTTAACCATGTGGCATGTCTTATTGGATTATAGCAAACGACGCTGACCGTCGCTGCTCAGGCGGCTTTGATAGTAAGTAAATTAGATTCGAAAGGTCATTTGAATTCGATCCTATTTAGGTACTTAGTCTAGTCTGCCCTATCCTTTATACACTGAGGTGGGTTTCGTGAGCTGTTCCAGAAGAGCCCGTGGAGTCAATATTCAGGAGGATCCGTATGACTGGATGCCGGTCAAGCAGCTTTAGTGACAGTTCAAAAATACCCTTGTAGCTATTTGCCACCTGTATCCAATTCATTTCACTCCTTTTTTTCTTAGAGCAATTGCAACAGGAATAACAAGTGCCACGGTCTCCATGGACAAAGCTCTTCTTCTGTCCGCAGGTGCAACATTTGATCGTGTCCACAGAACCGGTTATATCGGATTCAGCAACCATGGCGGAGGTAGAGACTATAATTTATCACTGTGCCTGATGATCCGCAAACGGCCAGTCCGTGTCTCGACTCCCGGACCCAGACGACTTATCACTAGCAGCCGATGTATACATCATACCGCCATTCTTCATCTCGCCCCCACCGTCAGGAGTAAGACCGCGCGGATCCTCCGACGAAATATCATAGGCATGGCCCATCTGGTTATGGTTGAAAGCGCGCGATTCAGTCCAGCTTTCCATCTCGACAGTGCGCATGATCTCGAAACGATCACTGTCGTAGCCTGGCTGGCGCTCGTTCGAGACCATATGCGAGCCCCGCGAGCGGCCTGTTGAAGACCAGAGCTTCTGGGAGGGGCTTCGCTGCGCGTAGCGGTAGCTGATGTTGCGGGTGGATTGGAGGAGGCGGGGCAGGAAGGCAGCGATTAGGGGGCGTAGAGCGGGAGCAGAAGAACAGATCTGGTGGAGGATAGAGAGTTAGTTTTCGGGACAATATATCCCATGGATAAATTGTAAATGCGGTGGAACATACCAGGCCTAGGTTGATCTCTAATGCTGCTGCGATCAATACTGGCCACCCCAGCCATGTCGTGTCATACCCGGCGACCATGCTCTTCCACACGTACACGGTTCGGGCTGAGCCTGCCACGTTGACGACGATGCCGAGTCCAAATATGGACATCACGGCAAGTCGTTGACGCGCGGGTAGATTCAGGCTCCAGATCAGGGGCATTGGGAGGGCTGTGACGAGGAAGTCGGTGAAGATGTTGATCACACTGGCCGAGAAGACGATGGAGCCGTCGTTCATGCAGTGGTGCGGCTCTTGGGGGTTCATTTCCCAGTATGCTTTGATTGGGCTGCAAAAGAAAAGAAAAGAAAAGATTAGCTAGATAGAGCAGAAAAGAGTCGACAGCAGCAGCACTTACGAGCACTGGAAAATGCTAATAATCGTAAACAGCGTGCAGGACAGGCCAACGAAAACCATCGACCCGATAAACGCCCAATTGAACAACACATACTTGCCCTTCCCGGCGCCCAGGAGTCGTCGACAGAACCACAGCAGCGAGATTTTGGTGAAGGATGATGAGAGAGAGAACAAGATCTGGAAGGCGAGGTTGAACTTTTGCACAGTCGAGAGCCATGGCAGTGGAATGTCCCAGATATGTCGGTTCCATGCCCATTGCTCGGTGGCGAGCGATGTCACGGCCACCATTCCAATGGCGAACACCAGCCCGATGGTAATCAGGATATCGTCGACGCCGGCGCTACAGGTAATCCGCAGCCGAGTGTAGAGACGGAGGCTAACCACTACAAAGGCCAGGGAAATGCAGATGAGGTTGACGATGAGAACGCCACCACCCCGGGTGGGAGGGTCGACATAGTTTGGAGTAGGCCATGTTGCCATCACGGCTTTTGGAGGGAGTTTCATAGCGGTTGTTTTGTATACTAGCGAGTAACTCGAAGGGGAAGATAAGAGGGCAAAAATGAACGGAAAGAGGTATATCAACGGCGCATCGAAGTCGTTGGATGTGTGAGAAATGACACAGTCATGATCCGACCAGAGTGATTGGTATGGGACTGGAGTATATAAAAGGAGCGTAGACTGAGTCGCGGCTCATGCGCTCATTTTGAAGAAGACGATCAAAACCCAATTCTCCAGGGACATTGGAGACAGATATATTCAAAAAGCAGACAACGACAAGACGAGACCCGGGCTCCATCGCGACCAGGAAGTAGATGAAACTGCGGGTTCTCCAAACACCAGAACCATTTGAGGAATTAGACTTTCCCAGGGCCAGTTGATCGGACAAATCTCTTTGGATCGTATAGAGTGCTCCATAATTCTGCAGGCCGTGAACCCTGGACGCGACGTCTATAGCAGTCCACCTGTGATTGGCACGAGGTCCCAAAAAGTAGAAAGACCGAGGGCGAACGGAGAACCCCAGCCGAGCGATGGATGGCGATAGGCAGATCCAAAGCCCCATGGTTCCCTCCCGGGTCCACCACGAAGCGAGACGGATCTGATTTGAAGATTCTCAAAGACTGTTCGCTGTGGGAAAGCGAACCCTCTCCAAACCCCCAGGCTCGTTCCACGGACTGGCATGTCGCAAGATACCCAGAAACTCGCAGGGTTTCTGCACATCCCCGAGCCCTCTCCAGGCACGGTCGCGCGGAGAATTCCAAGCGCGGATCAGTGGAGCCGAGGTTCTCCAGGGAGGGTACACCCGGATGGAAGAATTGTTAGTGAGGACCGGGGAATCTGCAGGAATTACTGGTCAACAGGAAGCCACACCATGCAGATTATTTATTTTGATTTATTTTCTAGCCCGAGATTAGTTCAAATGTAACTGAACCAATTCACAGTTTAGCTCGGGAGGATCAATAGAATTCGGCGGTCGGCTGTCAATTCCTTCGTCCATTTAGCCATTTACTCGGCCTTCCCTTCGACTCCACTGTGGTTTTTATTTTATTTTATTTTATTTTTCTTTGGAATATCATGATTTTACCGTGCATGGCACTAAGCTCTGTCTGCAATGGATCAGATCTCGTTTTTCATCTATGATCATTTGCCTGGACATCATCCATCTTATGCTGAACATGCCTGACTGGCCATTTGAGTGCATGCAGGTTACTCTCTGACGCTCACAACTAAATAATAAATAACCCTTCTGATCCAGACGCGAATCCCAGGGCGGGTCGATCATAGAGCTCCAGTCCCACGAAAGTGGACATTACGAGTCACCACGACGGTGCCCGGCCGAGTTGCTCCATGGCATGACAAGGCTAGACTGCCCAGCACACCACGAAACAAAGACTGGAGCGAACTAAGCGACTGGATGATCTACACGCACTATCGTATCTCTATTTCTAGATTAGTTGATCGATTCGTCATCGCCGTGAGAGACCTGAGGGACCTGACTTTTAGACTAAACAATCAATCAGAGTCATTGAAGTAGATGTCAATCTCAGTCACATTGAATAAATCAAGAATCTGGAACGAAATGCTCTTTGTCAGATCGTTGGATACTATCTCTAGCAGAGGTAATATCCGTAAACTTCTGCGGACTTTCCTGCCGCCAGATGATCTCTCTGTTCTATTCAAATATTAAATGAGAACATAGTTGTATAATAAGTCTTCTACTTAACTCTAGAGGCTTATGAGGCCTGTGAGATTCACAAGTCATTTTCTATGACCGTTTTCAATAGACCCCGAAGAATGCCATTCTGACACTCAACCATGGTTGAAAAAGCAAAATAAACATACCAGAGAAGAATGAGGCAAAAGGTAGTGCAGTTTTCATAAAATTTAGAAAGCCGCCGGATGGATGGATCTTAGAGCTCCCACGGTTGGAACTCGGGTGGGCCCTGGGCTGAGGCATATGACGTTGGAGTCGAGTCAACAATGCAGAAGATAAGCGTGAGCGTGAGCTTATTGTTCTGTAACTTTCTAGCCAGGTTAAATGCCGGGATCTATGTTTTAGACTAAAACTGAGATCTCGATCTCGAAGGTTGTTGATCTTTTGGTACAGCCAGGCCGAGAATTGACCGCATATCTACACCTACTACTTGGTATTTTCTAACCACCGATAGGCAATTATGTGGTCGTATTGCATACGATGGCACAATAATAATGGGGTTGAAGCAAGCAAACTCTATGCCTTCAATATGGATCTCTTGAGTCCTTGAGGGATTTTGACCATGTTGCACATGCTCGAAGTACTCACAGCGTCGTTCTTGATAAACCTCGGGCTCCGTGAAGAAGCCTATACAGCGAGGTACTAACAGCAAGGTTTATTAAACAAGGAAGCTTTATACTAGGTTGGTATTTTGTCCCATTGCCACGATCATCTCTATAAACCTAACGCCTGGCCCACACCGAACCAGCAATAACCGAAGTGACTTGTGTTGATCCCCGAGCGATATCTCACTCGTCCAAGCTTAGTTATAAAGATCCGAGGAAATTTCTACCTTTGCTTCTGGGATACGGTGCCATGAAGAGTGCCCCAAAGAATTCAATAATTTAGACGACTAAACCATGGAGTAAGTGTTCCTTGCAGGATCTGAAGATGAGATTGACCTAAACCTATTACTTGCTTATGATTTTATCCAGTGCATTGTTTACTCACTTGGATTTTGCAGACTCTGTTCCTAAGAAGAATGCCCTAATCATTTGGAAAAACCAATGTAATTTAACCCCAAAAATTAATCACATGATAAATAAATAAAAATAAAGACTGGGAACTATAGAAAAGCAGAAGGATTTAGTGAAGTCAAAAACTAATGCAGGCAAGGACATAAATTTGAGCGATGTGATGCTTCGCGAGATCTTTTTTAGTCCTCTCCCGTACTGGCTCTGGCGCAAGTAAGCCATCAAGGGGGAATGTTGACCGCATAATTCTCATAGATATTCCTAAGACATAAACTGCATAAGAATCCCTTGGAATGATCATAATGCAATTATGCCCAGGGGATAATCAGCTTTGACGATCAGCCTTCCAAGTTGTCTCCATGTCATTTATGCTCAGTATTTATGCAGTGTGCATAGCAGATGCGAATATTCTCGTCTCAATCATTATGGCTACGTTGTTAATTCCCACGTCTGATTCCAATTATTCATTCCTGTTTAGAAAACTCGCTCCCTTGAAAGTAACGAACTGTTTATGTGGCATTGCTATCCTCAGCCGTCCCACAGTAATCGTCTACAGTGCCCGACCAGAACATGGAAACCACCCATTCTCCAGCACTAGAGAAGAGTGACACCTCACCAGAAACTTGTCAATACACAGAACCCACGCCTCCCTCCCACTCTGTCGACAATGACCTCGAAACACCATCTTCAGACCACCGCTTCCCCGAGACCGACCTCAGCTGCGGCATCGTAGGCTGGGACGGTCAAGATGACCCCGACAATCCGCAGAACTTTGCTCCCGTTCGAAAATGGGGCTTACTTGGTCTGATGAGTGCCATCACTTTTGTGTCGCCCCTGGCCTCGAGCATGTTCTCTCCTTCGGCGAGTTTTGTTGCCACTGACTTGGGTGTTACCAATGAGACCTTGCTGTCTTTCAGCATCAGCATCTATCTATTGGGATATGCAGTGAGTTTTCTTGTCATGGTTTGTCTTCGTTTTGAATCAATTCTGACAATTTTTCGTGTAATAGTTCGGCCCGCTGCTGCTGGCTCCCATGAGCGAGATCTACGGCCGGCGCATCGTGCTCAGCTGCGCCAACTGGTTCTTCGTCGTGTGGCAGATCGGATGCGCCCTCGCCCCGACCTTGACCTGCCTGATCATCTTTCGGCTGTTCGCTGGCGTCGGCGGATCAGGCTGCCTCACCCTCGGCGCCGGAGTCATCGCCGACCTCTTCCCCGTCGAGCAGCGAGGACTAGCCACTTCGGTCTGGAGTTTTGGTCCACTGATCGGACCCGTCGCCGGCCCCATTGCCGGAGGATTCATCGGCGGGACCATTGGCTGGCGCTGGGTGTTCTGGGTGATCCTGATCGTGTCAGGCGCGGTGTCGCTGGGGATCGAGTTCCTGAACCGCGAGACCTACGCCTCGGTGCTGATTCGGCGCAAGACGGCCCGTCTGCGCGTGGAGATGGGCCGACCCGATCTCCGCAGTGCGTACGACCCGCACGGAGAAGCCGCGTCGATCCCCCGGACTCTGGCGACGGGTCTCAAGCGGCCGATTGTGCTCTTTGTGAAATCGCCGATTGTTCTGTTGCTGTCCACCTACATGGCCCTCGTGTATGGTCTGTTGTACCTCTTCTTCACGACCATCCCGACCGTCTTCAGAAACCAGTACGGGTTCTCGACCGGCTTGTCAGGACTAGCGTATCTCGGGATCGGACTTGGGTTCTTTCTCGGGCTGCTGTCAATTGCCCTCACGAACGACCGCATCATGCTGAAATTGGCCCGGCGCAATGGTGGCAAATTCGAGCCCGAGATGCGTCTGCCCGCCATGATCTTCTATGCGTGTTTCCTGCCCATTAGTTTCTTCTGGTATGGCTGGACCACTGATAAGCATGTCCACTGGATCGTCCCTATTATTGGGATGCTGCCGTTCAGTTTTGGCATGATGGGTGTCTATCTCCCCATCCAGACCTATATCATTGACTGCTACCCGGGGTATGCGGCGTCGGCCAATGCCACGCTGACTGCATCGCGGTCGCTTGTGGGAGCGTTGCTTCCGCTGGCTGGGCCGAAGATGTTTGAGAGTCTCGGGCTTGGCTGGGGCAATTCGCTGTTGGGCTTTATTGCCTTGGCGTTTGTGCCCGTGCCGGTGTTCTTTTCGCGATGGGGCCGAGTTATTCGGGAACGGTACTCGGTGCAGCTGTAGTATAGACCTGTATAGTTTAGTTCCTAGAATATACAAGAACTCGGAGGATTATACAATAGACTACTATCATCAATTGACCCCCCCCCCCCCCCCCTTTTCTATATTTCTATAGTAAAGTGGCTGTGAGACCCCACTGCAATCTAGATCCCAACGGTGAAAATCCCCCTGGACGCCATCGATGCATCTGCAGTTTCAGCCTGCGCCTTTTTCTCCTTTTCGTTTTTTGCTTTTCTGATGCGACTCTATTCTCTTCGAGTTTCTTTTCTTTTCTTTTTCTCCAATTTCTTCTCTTTGTTCTTTCGTGTTGATTGAATTAACCCACACTCGTTCAATTCTAAACCCACTTGATCTAGCCTTGACACTCCTTTGCTTTCTGTCCTCCTTTTTTTTTCTGTCTCTTTTTATCAATTCACCATGACAGAAGGACACAGCGCTCCTCCATCCCAAGATCCTCCGGCCGCACCCACCGACAACAGCGCCGCCCCGGTCCCAGCCGATGTACGCCCACACGCCGTCCACTATGACCAGGGCCTGTCGTCACACGAACACGAGCAGGACTCCACGGGACGACTCACCCCGCGACCAACTTTCCTCGAACATCTAGCCAACTTGCGCGACTCGCAGTTCCAGCTTGATCGGCGGGACTCGAGCGAGCTGGAGCGGTATTTTGTATGTCTACAGTCTATCTCTGGGGAAACAAAATAAACCAAAAGCTAGTAAATGCCCGTGGCTAACTGACGATATTGTATAGCATGGCCCCCGTGATATGGACAAGCATTCCAAATGGCCGATCTTCATGCGCATGCATGGCAGCGTCATGCCCAAGATGATTCTCCCGCTGTTGTCGGTGGCGGCGTGGTCGACGCTCATTACGTGTATTTCCAAATATGTCCATGACTGTGAGTATTCTCGGCTTGAAGAGAGCATCGAGATGTATTGTCGTGATATCTGACATATTATCCTGTTAGTGGGTATTAATAACATCCTTCTCACCGTACTGGGTTTCGTGGTGGGCCTGGCATTGTCGTTTCGAAGTTCCACAGCATACGAGAGGTCCGGTCTCACTGTATATTGGCTTTTTTTTTTTTTTTTTCATTTGCAGCCGTTCACTGACTCAATCCAAAGATGGGCCGATGGACGCAAGTACTGGTCCCAACTCATCCAAACATCCCGAAACCTCGCCCGGACAATTTGGGTCAACACCGGCGAGCGAGACGGAGAAGAAGGCAAGGTAGACCTTTTGAGAAAGCTGTACGCATTTCTCCTCCCGAATAGAAGCGAAAGGGTCCAGCATGATAATTCTAACGGGCTGGAATAGCACCGCCATGAATCTCATCCTAGCCTTCGCCGTCGCCCTCAAACACAAGCTCCGCTTCGAGCCAGACATCGCATACGAAGACCTCGCCGGCCTGGTCGGCCACCTCGACACTTTTGCCCGGGACGCCCACGACCGCCATGTCGTCAACCCGCCGGCGAAATCCATCTGGAAGGCCACGGGCGAGTACCTGGGCGTGTCGTTCGCCGAGTCCAATCCACGCAAACTGATCAAGCGGTCGAAGAAGCCACTCGGCCATCTTCCATTGGAGATCCTTAACCATTTGTCTGTGTATGTGGATTCGTGCGTGGCTAATGGCACTCTGGTGTCGACTTCGCATCAGGGGCAGGCGGGTGAGTTTTGAGTTAATTGTTGCTTGCTGTATCTCTACCCGGGTAGAACTGAAGAACACTAATGAACCACAACTGGTGTATGTAGTCACGGCAATGTCCACGCTTAACGAGGTCCTGACTGGCACCGAACGTGTCCTCGACACGCCCCTCCCAACAGCATACAGCATCGCAATCGCCCAGATCGCCTGGGTGTACGTGCTCGTTCTCCCATTCCAGCTGTACAGCGCCCTGAACTGGATCACCATCCCCGCCTCACTAGGTAAGACACAGAAGACCATGAATCTCCACCTAATCACAACCCTCTGAACCTCCGATCTTCTGGTTTCTGATCTGGTTTCTGATCTGAGATGTTTGTACAGTGGCAGCATACATAATCCTCGGCCTAGCCACAATCGGCAGCGAAATCGAAAACCCCTTCGGCCAAGACGTCAACGACCTCCCACTGGACACATACTGCCGCCAGATCGCGCTGGAGCTCGACATCATCACCGCGACGCCGCCGCCCGACGTCAACGACTTCATGTGCCGCCCGGATAACTTTGTTCTGTTCCCGCTGAGCCAGGACGGGTTCCCTGTCTGGAAGGATCGCAGTGTTGCTGATATCCGGGGCGCGCTGCGCACGAAGATGGTTGCGAGTCCGTCGCCGGGGGTGGCAGCGGCGATGAAGACGTCGTCGGAGGCGTCGACTGTTGTGGGGAATTCGTGTGCGGTGACTAAACAGTCTGTTTGATTTGAAGATACAACAGACATAAGAGGCACAAGAGATTGATGGATGAGTGGAGGACCTGAGCAGAGTAGCATGGGCATTGCGGGGCAGAGGGAAAATCTAGCAGCGTGTGAGTTATGGCGTTGGATTTGAATTCTTTGAAGATTTAGCAATATGGTCGTTCCTTGATGTCTTGAAATTGCCCTTCTCTTCTTGTATGTACTGGCTACATACATGAGAAAACACAGCCTTTGCAGGTTTATTTGTTAGATGAATAGCCCACTCTTATCCCGGTCTCAAGAAATGGCAAGTTTTCCATATTGGGAGAGCAGACGTGGACTCTCGAACTCTCGAATAGCCTTGACCATGAGAAACCCCCGATAATACATTTGAAGCTGTTCCGAAAACTCCATGTTTGATGTAGACAAAATTCCTCGACCCCTGCTATCGAGCACAGAGCTGTTGCTTCAAGTACAGCCGGGTATCGCGGCCTATGGTTTTGCGGTCGGCGATTTCAAAGCTTCCTCTTTGTCGTGCAAACGCGATCACTCTCAACCCCATACCATATTCCGGAAACCGATCAAAAGAAGTCAACCCATTCAGTTTCGTGAGGCGGACGGGCGATGCGTTGATCCTGGCAGCGTCGAGCTCGAAAAAACATCCATGATCATGTAGACACAGAGCCCATAATAGCTGCTTGCAAGTAGAAACACCCCACAAGCAGTCGAATTTCAATATCATCCCAGCAGATTCTCCCGGCCAGTCAATCTATCGAGCAAACAAGCCCGCTCCGGAACTGGACACCAGCGCACCCAGGAAGTTCGCTTTGCCGCAGACCATCCAAGCAATACTAGTCGAGGCCCCATTGCCGCCGCTTCCAATCCAAGAGCTGAGCGCAGCGATGACCGCCGCGGCGTCTTCGCGGGGAACACGGATCCAGACGGTATCCCATCTGCGTGGGCCAAGAGGCTGGCCTGCCGCGACGGAATGGATATTTGCAGCAGGCATTGGCGATCCATGTTGGATTTTCAGGATGTCGACTGAGATGGAGGTGCCCGTGAGCCCAAGGAATTGTAAAAGCGCTGAGGTGAGGTATGTGCGGGCAGAGAGGGCGTCGACGGGCGGGGGAGGCGTGCTGCCTGGCTGGGGGATCCTGAGACAATTTTCAGTCAGTTATCGCCATGTCAAAATATTGAATTCAGAAGCAAACAAAGACCTGGGAGGAAATCAGGCCAAAGACAAAGCTTACAGGCGGAGCTTGAGATAGGTCCAGGGCGGATTGCGCGAGATGAAATGGAAATCCGGCTTCGCCATGGTTGCTTTTCCCTTCCCAGCAGCTGACGCAGAGGCACTGGCTCCCTTCACAGTGTTCTTCTTGGGAATTGTCATAGTGTGGAATCCAGGAGACTTGAGCGAAAGGTTGAAAAGCGAGACAGAAAAACAGCAGCCGTTTACGTCACGGGATCTGGAGCCGCCAATCAACGGTTCCACCTTCCTTTTTTGGACGACACAGATCTTCCTTATTTTGGCGAGCTGTCTACGGCGTCGGTCACTCTGTGTGTGAATTGTTGCAATGCAGCCTCCTCGGTGTCGTTGACCTCCAAGTCGTCGACGCACAGGTTTTTGAATTGTACTTTCAACCTTTGAATGACCTCGACGTTCGGCTCAGGAATGTTGAAATCTGTAGATGAACAATCCAAAGTCAGAGATGATGGAATGAACCAGGAAACAAAGATAAAGCTGAATTGGGAGTGGGTCAAGTACCTCCGTAAGAACTACCTCTGCACCACGTTTGACACGGCAAGGTTCCCCGCTCCGTCGCATGGAATAGCGGAAACACTCACGTCAACTCTGTTGGTGTCCACAGTAGTGACACTGGAGAGTTGAGAAAAGCGGTGGGTTTTAAGAAGCAGGAGATGTATAGGTTTCAATGGATATCTTACGGGCGGCTGGGGACTTGTCTGTGACGGAAAGGGGCAGAAGTAGAGGTATTTTACAAGATTCAATGGAAATTAATCATGATTGGGCATTTGTCTCATGAAACAACTACTGCTGGCTCACGATCAACAAAGTTAAAGATCAAAAAAAACTACCCTATTCCGAACTCCTGAGAATCATGTCTTCCCATCAGTCCCTTCAGACCTGTCGGGTCTGGGTCTTGGGCACAATCGAGACAAGTCCGTAGGCAGGAGGAGCCTGGTTGTCATTAAACTTGTACAGCTCGGGACAAACCGCATCCTTGCGTCGGAAGATGTATCTCTTGACCCACCACGGGAGAACTTGGGTGATCTGGTACTTGACGTGGGTGCGGGTTGGGACCGCAAACACATAGTCCAGTTCCTCCAGGGATCGCTGCTTTGTCTCGGGCAGGAACAGGAAGATCATGGCTAACGCAATCAAGTTCAATCCAGCGTAGAACCCAAACGCACCCTGTGGGGTGAAGGCCTGCAAGATCCAGGGGAAGGTCAGACTCAAGACTGCGAACGGCCCACGCCATTCCAACCTCACGGTGCGACATTGGGAAGGCCTCAGCGGAGTAGGTGAAGGGCATAGGGCCAGCTCCAGGTGAGTACACGGCTTCGAAAAGGTAGATAAACATGGCAATCAGGCCCAGATGCGTCTTGCTACCTTCCGGAATCCAGAAAGACATCCCAGCTGCAAGAAGAGTCCAGAACATATGGGGAAACGTGAAAAGGAGCAGACCACGTCGACCAAATGTGTCGATGGTAAATACTGCGGGCCATGCAAAGACGAAATTCACGAGGCCAGCTCCCCATGATGCCAAAGAGTGCCCTGATGTTGCTAGCACCTGCCCGCTGGAAAATTGTCGAAGAACAAAAGGAAATGATGTTGACTAGATAAGAAGAAGAATGTTAGTATTATACTAGCCAGGTTTCTTCAAGACTATTTCACTTCCTGCCGCACATCTGCTGAGCAATATTCACCACTCCCGATGCCTGGACTGCACGTCGCAAACGAGACACAGTAAACAGTTCGACAAAGCGGACAACCATGCTTTCAGTATTCGCAAATCCAGAGACCTCCAACATCCGCTTTTCCATTTCCAACTGCGCATGGATCATGTAGAGGTCACGGGCAGCCTGGAGAGAGCTGTTCCGGAGTCGAGGAAGGGACCGATATGCCTTTTTGTGGTTCTTTTTGGTCATCAGCCAGCGAGGGGACTCGGGGCAGAACCAGATTCCAATAAAGCTGGAGTCTCCAGGAGATATCTCCAGTGTTGGTGGCAACCAGGTTGGCCGAGTAGCCGAGGAGAATTCCGAAATCGGTCCAAAGCTGCCACGACATGACCAGACCTCCTCGGATGAAGGTTGGCGCCGTTTCTGCAGAGAATACTGGAACCGTCACTTCTTTGAGACCCATTCCGATCCCAAGAAGCACTCGGCATGCTACCAGTTCACCCCAGCGTTGGATAAAACCCGAACCAATGGGAGCAAGCAGACTGAATATGGCAGTGATGAAAATTGTTCCCTTTCGACCAATGATGTGGTTGATGGGATCCGAAAGCCATCCAGCACTGTTCGGGAGGAAATCCGTCAGAAATATTACACAGCATGAAGAAATACCTAGACTCACAGAAGGCAAATGGTGATATAGGGAGTTGCATTAATCAAGCCAACAATCCACTGGTTGCGCTGGCAGGTGGAAGCATCCGGGCAGAGAGGCGATGACTGGGGAATCCCAAAGAAGACATCGAAAGTAAGTTTGGCTCCATTCGAGCCTATCACAACAAATGTCAATGAAACAAAACACAACAAGACATTTGAATTCTTGGGTTCATACCAATCTGGTTCCATCCTTGAATGGCCGCAGAGATGGAATTCAGGAAGATCGTGTAGTAGAGTGCCCAGGGGTGCTTCCACCGGTTGGTGATCTCCTGACGAAGGACGAGCCGATCATTTTCATCAAGCTCAGAAATTCTTTCAAAGTCAACTGGGGCCTGGCCAACCAGAGCACCCTTCTTGAGGATGACCGTAATCTCCTCGAGACCATACTCAGTGGCATACGCTTCCACGTCTGCCATGAGCTGGTCACGAGGGACCCAAGCCAGAGGATTCTTGATTCTGTATCCCTAATTAGTTGTGCTGCAGGGAAAAGAAGTGGGTCAGTAAATTTAACTTACTCCCCTGCCACGTTTTCAGTCATCCTGTTTATCACTCCAGTCCAATGAGATCAAGCAATGTCAGAGACAGAAGATGTACTTACCCCCAGACCATCTCATCAGTGGCCACATGAGCCATCTTTGATCTGGTCAAGATGGGAATTGGAACGAAAGAAGGTGGGATTGTTCAATTGATAGATATTTTGATAGGAAATGATGATTTTTGTGATGGAACGAAACGTGGTGAAGAAGGGGAGGATGGTAGAGTGGAATGAAGAAGAGAAAGGAAAGATGAGAATATCCAAAGGTGTTTTCCAAAAAGGGTACTCGAAGGCGGTCCGAGTTGGCAAAAGGGCGCGAGGAAGAGTTGAAGATACGCAAATTTGCGGCAGTATTAAAGGCGCCAGCGACACCAGGCAGCGAAGTGTCCAGCGGCTGGGGGATTTCAGGCCGCGAAGCTCTCACTCCCCATTAAGGCGCGACATTGTTGACTCACTCATAAGCAGTGATCTTTAGAATTAATCATAAGACCATAATCTATGAAAAATTATCTATGTTATTATTATACGAGGAAAAGCAATATTCCTTGGAACTGAGATGACACCTTGAATAAACACTGGTTTGGTGTTGAGGGACCATGATATTTGCTGATTCCCGTCAAGGCTACGGCCATTCTGTAGTTAGAAAAGATGTAATTAGCAATTTCTTTTTATTTTCGAGTATTCTTTGTTTAGATGGCAATTTATGAGTAGAGCAAATGATTATAGGATGCAGGATCGGATGTTTGTGTTGATGTTTTTCTACGTGGTTTCGGATGCCTCATACTCCCATCCTCCTCTATTTAAGAGGCACTGCAACAATTCGATCGAAAGAAAAATTGGACATAAAATCAAAATGTTGAATGCTTTTGGACATCCACTGCAAGATCACAATTCATGACCTTGATTCAATCGAAGGATACTGTGATGGTGCAGTTTTGGCGATTCAGAGACCCAGGAACAAAGATTTAAAAATAAAGAGCCAACAGAGTGCTTCTAATACAATACACTAGGGCCAAATCTAGCCAAAATCTCGATCTCAGAGAAGCTCAACAGGCACTGGGATTCGGGGAGGGGATACCGGGTTCTCATTGTTCAACTCCTGGAGAGGAAATAAAACCACCGTAATTTTTTTTTGTGAAAGGTATTTATCAACACACTTCATTTAAAAAGAAATGAATTTCAGCCAGGGTGTGTTGTGCGAATTCTTTCTTCCGTGTGTCGACTCGAGGCCGAACGTCTATAGATCGCCTTGGCTCATTTAGCGCGTGGTTTAAATTGTGGGTCTACCGTTCGCCAAGCCGGGGTCGGGAAGATTGGGTTTCGGCAATGACTGATCGGAATGTTAATTCACTGGACCTGGGATAAATGGCGAGTTAGTAGAGGGGAAAAAATAAATATCTTGAAATTTGGCTGTTCGTAATCAGAGCCAAGGTGTCAGCATGGGTCATAGAGGGTGACGTAGCGAGTGTAAAGTGCGACACAAAGTGGTGATGGTCTCCTACATTCAAGTTTTAGGTTCCTATCGCCATAACGACGGTTGTTTTCCCAATTCTATGGGTTTTCAATGTTTTTTGTGCAGGCAAAGACCCCTTGGTCGTCGGATTGCTGTATATTTAAAAATAGAGGGTCCACAACATAAATAAATCACCCCTCAGGCACATTAATTACCTGAGTCATATCTGGGATCATCATCAACTGTAACACAATGACAAGGATTTATTTTGTCGTACAATTAATTCCACTAATTCTAGAACGATATTGAGGAATACGTATAATATACGTCGAGTAGAGTAGATCGAGTGGTACAAAAAATGCTGCTCGGACAGAAAGAAGTCTTGGCAAGAGCAAAAAAAAAAAAAACACCGACGCCCGGATTCGAACCGAGGACCCTTTCTTTAGGAGAGAAACGTGATTCCACTACACCACGCCGGCTTAGTTTGAGCCGGGATCTGGGATTCTGGCATCGAGATGATGGTCCATTTTTCAACATCAAGCAACTACTTACTTATTTGGGAGGCAAAAATAAAATAATAAAAGCAACAGCGAAGAATAAATATCAAAGAATTAAATAAATTACATTAAATCAAATTTCCCTGTTATCGCATATTCTTTTTCTTTTTCTTTTTCTTTAAAAAAAGCGAGACCTGGAAATGGCCAGGCACGCAGTACTTTCACATTAACCGTCAAGACACAAAATTTATTCAAATCGGCTCTAATGCATTAAAAAAGAAGGATGCTGTCCAAGCTGGAAAACCCAGCGGCCACTCCACCCTCGTTTACCTCCTTGCCTTTGGTTCTCAACAACCACCCCCCTTGTTCATTATGGTGGATCTTGCCCGTGTTGTCCCACAAGATAGTGCCATACACCCCCAGCTCCGAAATGACGTGACCCTGGAGAACTTCCCCATCATTTCGTAGGGCTACGTTCTTGGCACTGGCAGAGGGATTGATCAATTCCATAAGAACCCATCCCTTCCAATCGCTTTCTGGAATAGACCGCAAGAATCCAGGAATCTCTGATTTGTAGATGTTGTTGCCTCCCCCTCTCGCTGAGGCTTGAGAACATGCTTCAAGGCCGTGTCAGAATTGAGGGCCAGATCTCGACCCTGGCCAACCGAGGAGAGGTCATATTGTGGGGCAAAGGTCTCGCGCAGTTTCGCAATGACCGTCGAGTCCGTTCCACTCAGGAAACTGGACAGATGATCGGGCCCCGTGGGCTCTGCCAGAACCTGTTGGACCTTTTTACAGCCAGACAGTTGGTTGAGAACCGTGGGGCACTTGATAGCAGCTGAGCGCTCGAGGTGGGTCCGGGCATCCCAATCCCGGCTAGATTTGTACTCATCTGGCGCATAATAGGCCCGAAGATAGACTGTTGTAACCTCGAAGATCGAGGCAGGGGAATGAGGAGGGTGATAGATTAATGGACGGGCAGGGTTGGAGCTGGGAATCGATGTCTGATTCAAGACTTCTGTGCTGAGAACACGGAAAACAGGGATCTTGTGGAATCCGGTGAGCTGTTTCAAGAGTGCAAGCTGATCAAAAACATTCCGCTCTCCTTCTTGGACTACAAAGAGGACGCCAAGAGGAAGAGCCGGAGAAGACTTTGATGGTCCATAGGCTTTGTGTGCTGCTGCCAATCCTGCTGAAAGTGTCTCCACGGCGGTATTTTCAGGGGGAGTACTGGATTCCAGCAGCGGGTGAGATGGGTAGCTGATCGGAGACCCAGGCGGTGATGTCAAGAGCTCTGTATGCAGCGCTCTGACGAGGGACGACAATCCACCAAAAGAGGAGGAAATTGTATTGAATTCCACCTGCTTCAAGGCGGGTGCATGATCAGAAGAGTTATGAGCCATATAATCAGATCGGAAAAGACCCAAGGATAAATTCTGCACATAGCCCTCCTTCTGGACGGCTAAATGCACTTTCCACAAATTTGCGACAAAGTCATCGACATCAATTAGACTGCAACAACACTGAGACTTAGTTGAGGCAGCACAAATAGACTCGGTAAGGTTCTTACTCTTCCACGATCTTCCCCAGCCATTGTTCATTGCAGGTGATTGCAGCATATAGCTCATTGTACACAGTCTGTAATGCTGTTGCATCCTCAAAGCAAGCCCTTGGAAACGGACTCGGAAACAGAGTAACCGGGGCATTGGTTGCCAGAACCCCATTAGGGTCTATGCCTTCTGGCAGGATCGCCGGTCCTGGTCGCACTGCAAGGCCATTCTGGATGGCCCAGTCTTTGACAGCCGTCACCAGGTAGTTCTGCTGTGCTGATGACAGCTCTGGTGGATAGCTTGAATAAACCGACTCCTCCATTGTGAGATGGCAATGACGAAGAGCTCGACCTCGGGAGACCTCCAGTGCTGGCCCGGGAAGGATATCGCCGTTTGTCATCCGCGGGGCACGCGAACCCGGACCTTCCCCTTCTTACCGCTTACTACATCAGACACCGCCCACGCTTGGATACTGTAAATACTGTAGATGTCGCCTTGGATACTTCTTCTGATAATACTGTGTACAACTTTTAGGGTACTGCTATAAATACTGCCATGGATTCTGCTGTTGATACCTTTTTTAATACTATTCTTGATACGGCCTTATCCGATGCCTTAGTGCCTTAGTGCATTAGATACTGCCACAAATCTCCATCGCCCAAGGTACCGTCAGGGGGACCGCCTTATAGAAACGGCAGTAAATTGCTTCAGTTTTGCTGTTTTTGGAATCAAAGGCTTCCTCCTACTCGCCTTGATTGCTTCCTTCTTCAAGTCGCGTCTTATTCACTTTTTCTCCTTCTCTCTACGTGTATTTCTCTCTCTCTCTCTCTTTTGTTTTCCCCCTGTTTACTATGCCTGTATTTGATACTTACTTCCAAAATTTCATCATTCATTTACATTCGTACTCGTACACCTGAGCTAGACCTTCATGGTGAGTTTTGTCTTTTCTCTGTGAAAGATCAACGATTTTAATTCTGTTGCAGGCCCATATCTCAGGATGGCTGATGGGGACCCTGATCCAACCGACTGGTCAGTCGATGAAGTTGTGAACTTTCTCTGCAAGAGGGACTCGGCTCCATGGGCGCGATCTATCAACACCCCATTTCCAGATCCTGCCACTCTGGAGTCTATCATTCGAGACCAATTCATCACTGGAGGGGTGCTTCTTAACGATGTTGATAAAGACACCCTTCGGGATGATTTGGCCGTTAAAGCACTTGGTCACCGCAGCAGCATCCTACAGGCTATTGAGTGGCTTCGGCAACATTCGCCCAAATATCAGCGCTCCAAGGCTAATGTCTCTGTGTTTGGAGACTCTCATATTCCTGAATCAGCTCCTTCTCTCCATTCCTCTGCCTCTACTCCAGTCCCTCCAGCTTCACAACCTACCTCTTCAGGGGCAATCAATGTGCCCTCCCAGCCTCCAGGCAGCGATAAACCCATACGAAGAATTGCACCTACCTTGCTGCCTAGGCCTCAAGTGACTCGAGTGCCTGCCACGGGTACAACACATCACACAGGCCAGTCACCCTCACATGTCATCCCGACCGTACAAGAGCGTCCTTCCAGCTCGGACTCTGTACTGAATCAATCTGTTCAGACCTCTCCCTCATTACCCAGCAATGATCCAAAGCCTACCACACCTGTGATTCCTAGTAACCTAGGCCCTTACGCCGCTCTCCTCGAAAAATACCCTGTCGAGGAAGAAGATGTCGAAGATGTTCTTCCCCAATATGGAGACTCAGGGTCTGAAGGAGAGTATGACGACAAAACATGGCAGGAAATTGTCGATGAAAATCCGGAATATTCTCCTGAAAAACTCCGCCTTTCTCCAGAGCAATGTGCGACTGTGGTGTCTCAATACATTTCCAAGAAAGAAAAAGACTGGGAAGTGGAGCGGTTGCCAAGAGAGCAACCTAATGCACGAATCCTGTGGCTAAAGGTCCTCCACGACAAGTCGTTCGAGATCGACAAGCGTGAACACCAGCACCTTCTCAACTCCCTCCACACTCGTCTCCAGAAGTTCCAGCGGGCACTATGTGAGGTTCCCCATGAATCAGAGTCCAGCCTCCGCAAGGCCTGTAGGGTTATGGATACGACCATCTCTCAAATTTGTCTCCAGAAATGGCTATTGTCAGTTCTCGGGCAAGAGCGCTGCCCACCGGAGATGGAGCCCCCTGCACGGGCTCCACGAGCTCCACGGGCTCCAAAAGCCAAGCAAGACTCTGACGGGGAGGAGACTTTGAGCTCTGAATCGGATCCAAGTCCAGGAGAGTATTCATCCGACTTTGTTATCTCAAACTCCGATAGTGGCGAAAGAGACGCTGAAAGCGATTCGGGATCGGTGGACTCGTCACATGTACCTCGCCGGGGACACGGTCTTCCTTTTACTTTATCCTCATCTCCCTCTGATGGCTCTGGGTCCGATGCGCACGTTGGCAAAAAGGCGCGAGTGGGAAAGACCAAGGTTACCCAGAAGAAAAAGGGTCCCCTCATCGAAGACATTGAATTCCTTGATCTTACTGGTGATAAAGTGGAGTCAGATATTGAGCTTGATGAAGCACCCGGATCACCTCATTCGCCTCGGTCCTCGATCTCCTTGGAAGATATGCCAGTAGAAACACCTCCCCTCAATCCTGTTCTTTCAAGCCGGCGTCATCGCAAGGACAGGGAGGAAGAAGATGAGCTCACGACTCCTTCCATTCGCCTGACGCGAGGTGTGTCGCATAAATCCTCTTCCATTTCGCCCAGCCCAGACTTGGCCTCAAAGATCTCCACGGGCACACGAAAGCACCGTGGTGATACTGGAAAGGGCATCTCAAGGAAATCAAATAAATCGGCTTCCAAAGACACTGTCGACTACAGGAAACTTTTCAAAAAAGTCTCGCGTTTGGACTGGGCCACCATCGCAGAACGCAAAAAGCCCCTTGAGCTCTTGGCAAAAGGCATAGCCAACTTGCCTTCGGAGGAACTTGAGGAATTCCCATCTTTTCTTTCCAACTACTTTGATTCTGTGTACCAAGAGCTTTTGCACGATGTGATGCAGGCAATGCTTAGGAACGAACCCGAATTGAAGGGCAAAGACTACCTTGAAAACAAGCTTGCGATGCGTACGGGGGCTTTCTTCCTGTCTTGGATCAATCTCACCCGGCTGACCTCGACTGGAATTTCCAAACATGAGATCGAGAATGGCATGGAAGCCATTGAAAATGAAAATGGCATCGCCTTCACCGAATTCTTTCGCATCCTGAAAGAGATCATTCCTGCTTTTGTCATCTGGCAGAAAAGCGAGATCCATGCTGGGCCGTCAGCCACGAGTCCAGAAGCCAGCGATGATGATCTGCCGTTGCAAGCTGAGAAAAGGCCCAACAAGCGAAAGAGATCACAGCACAAGAAGGGAGTGAGCACCACAACGCAAAAGGAAGCCCAGAAACGGCAAGAAGAGCAAGCCAAAGCCAGAGCACTGCGGGAACAACACAGGATGAGAATGGGACTTAGCGATGATGATCCAGCCAGTCATGCTGTGACATTCGAGGAGCCCATCATCTTCCTTGACCCGCATATTGGACGACTGGTCAAACCGCATCAGTTGACTGGTATTCAGTTTATGTGGCGAGAATTGATAGTAGATCAGAGACCGCAAGGGTGTTTACTTGCCCACACTATGGGGCTGGGCAAAACGATGCAAGTGTAAGTCTTTTTGTTGAAGCTATATCATGAGATTGCTCGCTAAGAAAAGCTTTTCCCTCCATAGGATCTCTCTTCTAGTCACCATCGCAGCTGCGGCTGCCTCGCATGATCCGGATATTCGAAGTCAGGTCCCTGAGAGACTTCGCCGCTCCCAAACTCTGATCTTGTCACCTTCCTCGTTACTTCAAAACTGGTACGAGGAGTTCACGTTTTGGGTTCCCGAGAAGAGTACCCTTGGCCAGATCAAGTTGATCACGGCCAAAGTCAAACCCAATGACGGTGACCGGGTTGAAGATATTGCGGCCTGGAATGAAGAGGGTGGCATTCTCATCATGAGCTACGAGATCTTCCGCACGATTATCCAGAACAAAGAGAGCAAGGGCCGAGGAAAGCCCCTGTCCGATGAGGAGCACGAAATGGCCAGCAAATGTCTCCTCCATGGACCAAACATTGTTGTCGCAGACGAGGCCCACAAGATAAAGAACCGAGACGCCGGGGTCACTCAAGCGGCCTCTGGATTCAAAACCATGAGTCGCATCGCCATGACGGGATCGCCGCTCTCCAACAATTTGCTCGACTATTATTACATGGTCGACTGGATTGCGCCGGGCTACCTTGAGGACCTAGGCACTTTCAAATACAAGTTCGTGGAGCCTATTGAAGCCGGGATTTCCATTGACAGCACCAGAGCGGCAAGAAGACGGGGCCTAGTTGCACTGGGGCTTCTGAATGGGATCTTGGCCCCCAAGGTGGACCGAGTCGATATCGCCAACGTCGCAGCCGACCTTCCTCCCAGGACCGAGTTTGTGATCATGGTTCCTTTAACGCCCTTCCAAAGGACGGTCTATGATATTTTTGTGTCATGCGTGCGAGACGGGACAGCGAAAGTGGTAGATGCAAAGCTCTGGTCATGGTTGACTATTCTCCAGCTTTGCTGTAACCATCCGTCCCCCTTCCGAGAGAAATTGGCGAATCGAGCACGCGAGCATGCGAACCTGCCACCTGTGCCCGGCACAGACGTGTCCATTAAAGACTCCGGGCTCCCAGATCTTATGTTCCCTCAGCTCGAAAACCACTTTGCTACTGTTCCGGACACTTCTGACCCAAATCTGTCTAACCGTGTCCTGCTGCTCAATAGGATCCTCGATGAGTCGCTTGCGGTCAATGATAAGATTCTAGTCTTTTCACAAAGCATTCCCACTATGGATTACCTGGAAAGCATGATGGGCAAAACCAATCGAAAGTATCTCCGCCTGGATGGGAGCACCCCTACACAGTACCGCCAGAGTGCTGCGAAGAATTTCAACACCAAGGGGGATGCCCATGTCTTCCTGATCTCGACCCGCGCAGGTGGCCTCGGCTTGAACATCTTTGGTGCAAACCGAGTGGTGATCTTCGACTTCTCATTCAACCCTACCTGGGAACAGCAGGCGATCGGACGTGCATACCGGATTGGCCAGGTGAAGCCAGTCTTTGTCTATCGCTTCCTAGCCGGAGGCACTTTCGAAGAACTCATCTTCAGCAAGGCAGTTTACAAAACCCAGCTGGCTGTGCGCGTAGTCGACAAGAAAAATGTCATTCGTGGCGGCTCAAACGTGTCCTCCGAATACCTTTTCCTGGCAAAGGAGCTGGAGCGCGAAGACGCATCTGATATGCTAGGGAAAGACGTAAATGTCTTAGACAAGATTATAAACAGCGAGGATTCCAAAGCAATCCTCAAGGTCACCACCGTTAACACCACGGCCGACGAAAATGATCGGTTGACCGAAGAGGAACGCATGCATGTCGAGAATCAACTCCGACTGGAACGTCTCAAGCGCGACAATCCTCAGGCATGGTCTGCCGAGAAGGAGCAAGAGAAGCTCCGCCTTCAGTCTATTAACCGCATGCTAGCGCAGCGCGAAGTGCAACCGGGGGTCCCTACAAGTGTGCAATATCCTGATTCGCAGGAGCAATGCCATATTCCACAAGATACGGGAGAGAGCCATGAGGTATACCCTAGACCAGTTTCTTTTGCCTCGAAACCACCAAGCCGCTCCCCGGCGACTCCGCCACCTAGTTCTGACCGACCTCAGGGGCCGATAATGTCACCGCTGCTACTAAAAATCTCTGGACCAGGACTGCCTCCGGCGAATCCACCGGTTGAATTTGACCGACCTGAACAGCTGACACAGAGACGGCAAGCACCCCCAAACTCTGGGCAGTTCAGCACGGGCGTCCCCCTCCACCCATCGTGGCCATCGCATTTATCCGGGTCGCATGTGCAACCTGCACGGTCCCAGTACCCTGTGCACCAGCCAAGAAAGCCTCTCGGGATGTGGATGGGGCCTGGGCAATCCCACACACCTCCGCGGCCGTCAGTGTCGCCATGGCAATCTGCAAGATCGCAGAGCGAGTCTCCCGCGAGGTCGAGCCAGCAACGGAGTCTGGAAAGAGCACAGCACATGCAAAGCCCGGGTAGGATTGAACAACAGCGGGGGCGCATGTCCGGCCAAGCTCCATGCCAGGACCAGGGCCCCATAACTGCCCCCTTGTTCGAACGCAGAACCCTGGGACCTCCAAAGGCAAAGCGATCTCCTTACCGGCCTCCCACCCAGCCAACGACAGCTCCAGACACCAGCCTATCTGACACTGTGTCCAAGGAAGGAGAAACCTCCCAAATGGCTCCCAATACGAGTCTCATTGATCGAATGTCTCCGAAGCGCCCTGAGAATGAAGCATTGCCGATGCGCGATCGTCGCGCGAGCTCCGGTGATGCCCCAATGGACATCAGCGACTATAATGACCACTAATCTGGGGTTGATCTGATCTCCCTCGTCACCCTCGCTTTCTCGTCCCCTTCTCTTTGGCCTGCACTTCACACCAGTCCAGTCCCACCACACAATTGTCTTTAGCCTGTTGTTATTATGATGTACGAATGATACCCCATACTCTCCTGGTTTTGTTAGTTTTCGTTTTCGTTGCTTTCTTCTTTGCTCTTTCGATGTTGATCAATTCCCTGGACCCTGGTGCCGGATGGGTCCAGAACGACAGCCCTGTATGAATATGAATATGAAGATGTATGATTACATTCGCTCTTCCAGAGTTATTACCGTAGTCTTATAGACCCGGGAGTAATTAGTTGGCAGAAAGCAACTAGGTCTATGAGAACAGAAAGTACCCTAAAAGGGTTCATAAATTGAGGAGATACTAGTATCACACAAGAAAAGGAGGGCCACACAGCCTTGAAAAATTGGTACATAGAAAAAGAAAATGATAGTAGTCAGGAGAGCCCAGTCAATAAGAGCAAAAACCGAATTCAACCCCAAGGACGCGCAAACCACTACTCCAGAAGAGACTCAAGATCAGCGATCCGAGTGGCCCTATCCTCGGCCTTCTTCTTGGAGGTTTCACGGAAAGCAGCAAGCATCAGCTTACGCTTCCGTTCCTGAATACCCAGAACCCGCTCCTCGATACTGTCTTCCATCACGAGCCGCCAAACCGTTGTCTCGCGTTGCTGCCCAAGTCGGTAAACTCGGTCCACGGCCTGGTCTTCAATAGCCGGGGCCCACCAGCTGTCGGCGAGGATGACTTGGTTTGCCGCGACGAGGTTGAGGCCCACGCTACAGACACTCAAGCTGGCGAGAAGGACGGTGTATTTGGGGTTGGTGGAAAATAGGTCGATGGAAGTGTCGCGGTACATGGAGGACATTTTGCCGTCGACGCGCGCGAATTTAATCCCACGCTGTTCGAGATGCGGCTGGATCAGGTTGAGGAAAGAGGTCCACTGGCTGAAGATCACGGTCTTTGTGCCGGGGGCCTGGCCCTGCGCGGTCAGGATCTTGATGAGGGCTTCGATCTTGCTGCTGGGGATGTCGGGGGTGTCGGCCACGGTGTTTGTGTCCTCGCCCATGTCGACGGCGGGGGAAACCAGTGTGTTGGTGTCGTTGATGTCGGCTCGGCAGAGCGGGCATTTGTGCTGTCGCTCGATTACTTGTTCGATGCAGTTTCTGCAGAACGAGTGCGCACAGGCGGTGATGACGGGCTGCTCGAGGTTGTCCAGACAGATGGCGCACATTTCCTGACTCTCGATCTGGAGCTGGAGCATGTCTTGTAGAGCTTTGGTGTTTTCTGGTGTCAGAGGCACGACCTTGTGTTCTTCCAGAACGCTCATGAGCTTGTCGACGCGTTTCTTGCAAAGTGCCCAGTGGTTGCACACCTGACGGAGACGAAGAATGACCTCCAGGAGGTGGGAGTAGGTCGTGCTCCCTTGCTCCTTGTCCTTGAAGTCCAGAAGTGCTCCTTTCGCCTCAGACCTAGATTGTGAGTTAGTGCGTTGCTCATGAAACACATTTGATGGCCCGGGACATACTGGAACGCATTGTACTTTTCCTGCTCGTGCGGCTGAAACTTGATCCTGAGAACCCGCGAGGTCATTTCTGGCAGGCGCAGGTTGATAAATTCCATGTCCTTCCTTCGCCGCAGACAAATGGTACCCATCAGGGCTTCCAAGAGCAGCCGTGCCTCGGGCACTTCGGTCATCAAAGGGCGAATCAAGACACTGTTGAACACCTTCAAATCCTCTAACCCGCCAGAGAGTTTCAGGAAACGGACCTGGGAGTAGAGATCCTTGAGTGAGTTGATAATGGGAGTGCCAGTCAGAGTCCAGCGTGAGTCTGCTCGCAAACCACTGGCCGCAATGGAACCTTTGGAACGCGGGTTACGGATAGTATGGCCCTCATCAAGGACAACACGACGCCAGTGAACCGAGAAGATCCCCTTGGCGGGTAGCTTCTTTGAGTCCGGGTTGTACTCCATTGCAAGCGCTCCGTAGCTGGTAATCACCACATCATACTGGGCAAGGTTAGAAGCCTCTTTCTTCCCAGAACCGTGGTAAATCCAGACCCGCGGGCGATTCTCACTGTGGGTGTGATCCTGGATTTGCTTTGCCCAATAAGTCATTACACCAACAGGCGCGATGATCAAGGTGGTTTTGCTGGAGGCTGAAGTCCGCGGTTTGGCATTGGCAAGAACCAAAGAAATCACCTGGATAGTTTTGCCCAGCCCCATGTCATCGGCCAATATACCGCCACTTGCAAGCGGTGGCTCGATGGAAGTCGAGAAGTTGGTAGCGACGTTGGTGAATTTGTTCCCATTTCGCTTCCACAACTGCACAATATCGTCGGAGCCAGGGGATGGAAGTTTTGGCAGCTCCCTATTGATCATCCAAGCCAGCCCCTGACGCTGGTAAGGAAGTAGCTCTGTAGAAAGACCAGCGGGAGCATCCGCCAGGGGCATCTTAGCCATATCAGACTCCTTTTGTCCAAAGGTCTCCACGACCTGGCCAATCTCGCGAGGATTGAAGGAGCTGCTTTGGCTGAGAAGTTCCTCCATGCTTTCGGTTTCACCACCTTCCCCAATTGGAGTCGAGAGGTTGGCGAACATTGGATTATCTCCGCCCTGCCACTGTGCTGCCGCTTTGCCCAGGGCCATGGCACGAGCCTGTTTCGCAGCCTGTTTTTGTTCATGCTCGCGTTTTTTCTGTTGCTTGCTCTCTTCTCGCTCGAGCTCGTCCAGCTTGTGCACTGGGAGCTTGTCCTGCTGCATCCGCTGCTTGAGGTCCGCACTCTTGGCTGGGTCGCTAGAGCCGTAGAGCCTGAGTTCTATTGGGCAATCATATGCACCAATATTTCCCGTCAGTGTGCCTTCAATCAGAAGATCCTTGTTGTCCTACAGGGACTTGAGGATTAGCAATGTGGATAGTACCGTAGCAGAGGGGAAACACAAACCATATACGCCGCCAGCCTGGCGGCCACAAAACGTGGAATGTGGCCGATCTGGACGCCCATGACGTTGTCAACGCGGATTGCGTTGCGGTCATAGTCGTTTTGGGGGTCTCGTCGGGGCAAGACAGTTTCACCATTGCCAGCGAGGCCATTGTAGAAACGAACGCCCACAATCTTCGTGGGTAAAACACCTATGAAAGACAAGTCAACCCTAGGTTCAGGCAATAAGACATACTAGTTATACTTAATCTGAGATGACTTACTGTAGAGGATGAAATTCGCCAAAGAGGACTCATCCATGTCCTGGCTCCCCTGAATGAGGCCAACCGCTTCAGCGTCATCATCGGCACCAGAAGCCTGTTCAAATTGATACAAGGGAATGTAATCAGCACTCTCTCCGAATCGCTGGCCCGTGCTGGTGCCGTGGAGATTCAATGAAGATGGCGAGGTTCGACTTATTTTCGAAACTCGAGTTGACGCGTTGTCTGATCCATCCTCGGTCAAGTCAACCAAATCTGATTTCCGCTTTTTAGGATACTGAGTCATTTTTGTGCGCTTTCATTCAAAGATCAAGAGTGAACCAAGGAAATTGTGTGATGTAGAAGTGGGAACAGTTGTAAAGGAACGGTGAAGACAATGGCACAGAGAGGAAGTTCTCACACCTCTGTGGCCACTTTACTGGACAAATTCAATCAGCGACGGGGTAATGGGCCAAAAGAAAGCAATCGCATCGCCAAAATGACCCCCCGATGATTCTAATAGAGTTAGCACAATCAGGACGCGGACGCGCCAAACTCGTGTCACCATCCATGGGGTTGTGTCATTCCATATCACATGACTTAACCTAAGTGATCCTAATCTAGTTAGCGTGCTTGGGACCTGGGTGCGATCATCTTGTGTAACCTGCGTTCTTAAAACGGCTAGCGTACTTAAGATATAGCTGCCAAAATCGCGTGTAACCTCTGCTCTTAAAGCGGCTAGCGTGATCAAGACCCAAGCGCCAAAACCTTGTGTAGCCATATTACGCCACTATCGGTCACATGACTCCACGTGTAAATCACATGACTTGATGCAAGACAACCGTGCTGTGGTGGGTTTCCATTTACACTCAAAACAACTAAAGAGTATTCGAAGTGTTCCTCTTTTTTGGTGACCAAACTGCGTGGAAGTTGAAATGTCCAGCCGTCCTTAGTGCAGTCACTGGTGTCACCTCATCCGCATGGCCGATCTCCGCTCTGGTTCCTACAGGGATCTGGTCCAGAAACATGAAACAGAACTAGAGATTTTGTTGGCACAAGGCATTTTCAAGCCAGTCTTTATGTATCATGTCCTTATATTCAACACTCTCCCGCTGGTAGGCCTGGTTGTCCCTCGCTCCAGAAGCACCCGATATGTTCGACCAGTGATTTTGGCCCTGAGCCTTGGTATTGCCATCGAGGTGCTGCAAAATCGAAGAACTCTGCTCGGGGGGAATGGGTACATGATCGGGTTAATGACGGCCTGGTGGCTTGTATGGAGTGCTACGCTGTTCATATTCAGCGATCTCGAACAGGACTTTCGGCGGATCGAGCGAGAGACTGCTTCTAAGGCTGGGCCTCGGAATGGCTCCAAGTGTGCTCTATTGACCAACGTTGAAGATACTTCGGACTCAAAAGACGAGCAAGAAAATTGCTTTTCCCGTGGTAAGTATGCGTTGGTGGACCAGCAGGTTGTCGAAGAGGACAATCCCCGAATTGCAGCTGGGAAGATCGCCACTGCAACGGATGCCGAACATGAAAGCTTTCATTGGCAGTCTTATCCTAAGAAGCTCTCACATCGTCTCGACTGGTGCGCAGGACTGTTGTTTAACCTGCGGGGGCCAGAATGGAACTGGCGAGCACCTCATTTGGGCCCTCTTCCTCGGCCAGTCCACGCTCAATTGCATCCCGGATTCGTCTCGAATAAAATGCATACACATGATGACACTAGCTTCATGACTGCTAAAAGGCGTCTTCAATGTGCCTTCACAACATGCTTCAAATCATACCTACTCCTAGATATCCTGAAGGTTGTGATGATGCGAGATCCTTACTTCCAGGGCGTGGCTACCCCCGAGTCGGCGCTGCCATTCCCCTTCGCTTGGCTTGCGTACCACCATCTGCTAGTCCGATTCTACCATTGCTTCCTCAGCTGCGTGGGGGTCTTTGTCGCACTCAACTTCGTGACATCCTTCAGTCCGATTATCTTCCTCGGTCTGTCCCTCGCCTTTCCCAACGCATCCCGGAAGTTGACGGCTACGTCACTCGATGTCCCATGGCTGTACGCTGATACATTCGGTCCCTTTCTCTCCCCGATTCTGGACCACGGACTGGCCGGCTGCTGGGGCCGCTGGTGGCACCAGCTCTTTCGGTATGGCTTCACCGCCACAGCGCGTTGGGTTTTGTCGTGCCTTCCTGCGACCTGGGCCGCTCGTCCCCCAGTAAAACGGACCATCTATGTCGTGACGGCTTTCTCGCTGAGTGGGTTCGTCCATGCCTGTGGTAGCCACACGCAGTTCACTAACACACATCCCCTCTCGGGCTCATTCCTTTTTTTCTCTATGCAGATTGCTGCAATCATGGCCGAAGGATTTTTCAAGACCTCGGTGTTTCCCAATATACCTCTTGCCAGTACGCCGCGGGGGCTGAGACGCACTGCAAATATTGTGTTTGTGTTCTTTTGGCTCTTCTTCTCGGGGGCTTTCATTGCAGATGATTTCGCTCGGGGCGGGCTGTGGTTGATGGAACCAATTCCCATAAGCCCCCTCCGAGGCCTGGGGATTGGGTTACAGGGTGAAGGGTGGTGGTGTTGGAAGGGCCCCTGGTTTCGCTATTGGAGCGATGGGACATACTGGGGGAGCGGCGTGCGGGTGATATGAAGTACATAAAACCGAAGAGTTACCTACGTAGCGGATTTCCTCTGCCACTTCTTGGCTTTCCATTTCCGTTTGAGTGCTCGGACCTTGCCGCTTTTCGCTCACTGGGCATCAAATGGTCCTCTGCTGAGCAGAACCTGATCAAGGGGTGGTGATTACAGGTCAGGGGGATCCGCCTGACCTCTCAGTAGTACAGTGACACAGCAAAACTTTCAACACCTCAAAATTGACCCACATCCATACCGCCACACCGCCTACTATATGCATCTATCGAATATTTGATATTTACCCCTGAAGTTTTATTATATTCATCATATTCATTATATTCTCTCTATATCATGGCCCCTCGATCAGAATTGACCCCTGCGCTTCGCGAGCGTATATGCGAACTCTCCCAAGTTGCTGGCTGGGGATATAAGCGTATACATAAGCGATACCCTTGGGTTTCGCTCTCTGGTATTCGATATACTATCAAAAAAGATCGAGAGCGAATCAATGGTGTATCGAAGCCTCGTTCTGGCCGTCCGAAGAAGCTTGATGATACTGATCGAGAGTGAATTCTTAATGTAATTCATGGTGACCCTAAGGTTACTCGCGAGGATTTGCTAACTGAGATTTCGTATAAAGTTTGTAATTTATCTTTTTATATCTATTTTTTATATATCTATACTAATATTTTATTATTATTATTTTTTAGGTGAAATATGACTCGATTCGACGCCTTTTAAATACCAAAACCCTTCAAAAATGACGATATAGCTGGCAACCTTAATCGATAAATATACTCTAAAACGACTGAGATAAGCCTTTTAATATTGACACTTTTAGCTTATAGATTGGGCTCGTGTATATTAGTCTAATAAGTGTATAGTCGAGCGAGGGATTAGTATTCGAAGAGAATAGACCTTTATTCGCCTAAAAGATTAGCTAAAAGAAGGCTAATACTAAGGACTACTATATCGCGGAAAATAGGTTAAATAGATATTTTAGGGTGCATTTTCTAGTGCTTCAGAACGTACTGAATTAATCCTACTATTTAGAGATCCAAATTTAAAAAGAGGAGATGTGAATCGATTCGTTACTGAGGATTTATATCGTCGAGTCCTACTAATTTTGATATCGAATGAGGATAGCATTTTTTAGTATAATAATGCTTCTATCTACACTACAGTTATCGTATGCGAGGCTTTGTATAATATAGTGATCGAGGCAATGGAATAGCTACATCTTACTGACGTGTTCAATCTTGCCAGCGCGCGATAGTGCCCGATCTGCCCACGCCTGTCTGACTTGAGGAGGGACTGGCATATTCAGATTACGCATACGAGCAGCCCACTGCTTCAAAGCCTCCTCCTGGTATCCTTTGAGGGCCTTGTAGACCGGTTTTCTGCATGTGTGAGCCTGCATGCCGTTCTCGACGCGGTTATGGAAGGTTCGTCGAGATACGCCGTTTTCACGCGCAATTTTGGAGACATTGGGCTTTTGTTCGCGTTTGGCCGCTGTGTAGGCCTCGAGCATTCGAGATTCGGCTTTATCGACGCTTTTAGGCATGTTTTGGGGGGAAATGAATAGCATCAAAAAGATGGGTTGTATGAAATTGGAGATTACGGTGTGGCGCACCCACTGGCCTTCACCCAGTGGGTGCTGAAAGGCACGGATATTACCTGCTCGCATGACGATAAGATTGGTTCTTGAAACGCTTATAAGCATCGCTTCGCTGTGTACGTAGGGGTTCGATTTCTTGGCAGACTAGGTAGGGGTTCGGCTTATGATTATATGGCCCAACACTCAATACATCAATAGACAAATGACTTTTGGTATAAATTTATACATGGTTTTTATGGGTGTGGTAACTATAATTACAGATCACCCTTCCATGGTGACATCGTCGTCATCTTCCTCATCGTCGGTGTCAGGCTCCATGTTCAAAGTGGGTAGCTCATCATCACTGTCATCAACAGCCGCAGGCGCTGCTGTGGGTTGGGAGGGGGCCTTCTGCTCCCGATGTGCCGCTGAAACAGAGGGCACATGAGCAGGGATAGGGTTTTGTGCCGGCGCACTCAGGGGTTTGGTCTGGGGGTTCGAAGTTGGCTGAGGTGCACTGACATGCACAGTGGTGGCAGCAACCGACGGCTGCGATCCTGATGATTGCTGGTGCTGATTGCTTGACGGGCTATCTTCGAATCGCGCTTTTTTGGCCTGCACGTCTTTCTCTAGTGCCGTGAAGGAAACACCGGAAGATGCAAGAGGTGGCTCCTCGGCGTAGGAACGCTTATGCAAGGATGCAACGGGGTTTGGGGTCATAGAAGGTTGGGTGTTTTGTGTTTGCGTGAGCGTAGAAGCCGGCTGTTTCAGGAACTCCGCGGTTTTGGGTGCGGTGTTGTATGCCTCTTCAGCCAGTTCATCAGCCTCATCAGCCTCATCAATATCAGCATGATCGTCGACTTCCGGGGCAGTCATTAGAACGGGCATTCTAGGCCGGACCAGAGCCTCCACTTCCAGTTGATCAGCGTGGCTCCGAACCAAGAAGGGCATGATACTCGAGCCCGCACGACCTTTGACCACTGGAACTGGATTGAGAACACTGGCAAGCATCGCGTCCTTATTGGCTGTCAAGATAATAGTGCGATCGATTTCAGCTCGAACGGACGGTGCAAGAAGCTCCATGGGGATAGATGCGAGTGTAATATGTAGTAGAGCCGATGCGTTCTGTTGAAGTTCCGGAAAGCGTGAAATGCTTTGGGGTGAACGGTTCTTCTGAAGCTCCGGGTTTAAGAAGGAGTCCGCGTTTGATGTTGCTTGACCTGCTTTCGACTTCGACTTCAAATCCGACTGTGAACGGGCTGACAGACTGGAATCTTCAGAAGATGCAAGGTCATGGCAGCAAAAGCGAATGGTGTTGGCTATCGAAGCCACACTCTGTTTCGTCATCGCAGCTCCATTCAACGACACCAATGAGCGGAGCAAGTCGTATACAGCAGAGCGCAGGTTTCGGTTGAATTTCTCGTTCCGAAAGACCCAAACAGCTTGATCCAACATCGTCTGTATTATAGAGGTCCCGCTGGTCTCCAACATATTCGCGAGCTTGGCAAGCAGGTTAAGACAGGCGATATGGATGCGAGGCAACTCGGTCCAAAGCATTTCTCGCTCCTCCCGGCCAATTTGCAAATTGAACTGAACGCTGCTTTGGGATACATCTGTTCCTTCTGGCGGAACAGTCACAGAAGTGAGTCGCGAGGTCACATCGAGAATCGAGCCCAATGGAAGGGCCACCGCCGATGCCGATGGCATCGAAACGAAACCGGAGAGAATCTGGAGAAGAGCAACCAGTCTGTCTGCCCCGGAATGAATCCCTCTCCAGCCCGGAAGCCCCAAGTTGTCTGGTCCCTGCTCGCGCAATTCTTGGCTATAGTCTTGCCGAGTTGGGGTCAATGTAGGGTCCACCGACTCCCATTGCTCTACGGCAGCCCGGAAAACGCGGTCCGTTGCTCTGTGAATGGAAAGTATTGTTGACTTGCAATCATCGCTCCAGCCAGAGCCCGACTTATCCTTGGGCGCGCATTTATGAAGAGAGACAAGCAGTTGCTCCGCTGCATCTACCACCGGGGCTGGGAAATACACGGGCGAAGAACACCCGATTACCTCGGCAAGCAGAGCGCGGAGCTGAGAGCCAAATGGTCGGAAGATCGTAGGGTGTCTAGCAATCAACTCCAGCAACGCGTGCAGCACTGTTTCCAGAAAAGGCGTGTTCGGCTTCGGCTTCCTGCTCGAGCCTGAAGGAAGCTTTACCGGGACTGAAACCAGATTCAGGGCCGCAGTGATAAATCCCGGCAGATGCGGAGTCGTGATTTCGCGAACCAAAGTCGGATACTGGTAGGTGAGGTGGAAGATCCGAGTCAGAGTGATGATACACATCTTCCGTGTAGATATCGGATCAGGCTTTGCCAGAATACCAATCAAGCTGCGCACAATGGGTTCATATCCTCGAACAATCTCCCATTGACCTGCCTCCACCGTCGCCTTCACTAGCACCACGGCGGCCCATCGGCCCTCAACACTGCGGTCCTGTAACAGACTAGCCAGGCGCGTTTTAAGCTTGTGGACTTGCACGGCATTGTCGGACTCAGATTTGCCTTTCTGGGCTGACGGGGCGGCAAGCAGCTCGGCGCAATCACTGAGGGACGTCGCCAGGAACGAGGCGATCGAGGGCAATTGATCGACCGGCGTGGTTGTCAGGCGGTGCGTGACCGCACGTAGAGTGGCCATGGCTTTGAAGAGAACCAAGAGTGGCTTGATCGACAGCTGTCAATGTTGTTTTCACAAGTAAAAAAGTAGAAAAAGAAAGAAAAAAAAAGTAGTTGTCGCGGCTCCACATGAAGCCTCGGTGTGGGTAAATTACGGTCCCGGCACTGCGTAATCTTTTCTCCACCCCTGGGGATGATCTCCTTGGGGATGTTGTTCTTCGTCCTCAGTCACATTCCTCAAATTCTGAGCCATGGTGAGTGTCTCGTGTGTTTTCCCTGGTTTATAATTCTGATACATCACAATCTACGCAAGGACAATGGCTCAGTAAATTGACACGTGCGACTAGGGAGGCAATGCAGAGAAAGGCCAACGCTACATCGCGGCCTTGGACCAGGCGCGAAGCCAGGGCAGATGGGACGAGGTCCCAGAATTGATTCGCAAGGTGACAAAACACGCACCGCAACGGACATGTATGTCAGGCTTGTTTTCAATCCCATCTCTTGTGCTAACGAAGGCCTCGTAGGTGTGATACAAACCGCAACCGCCGAGTCTCAAGTCGTTGCGCACCTTCAAAAGCCCTCCGATGAAGCACCTGCATCGCCCAATCTCCCCGAACTTATTCCTGCGCTACTCACAACTATTGAGAACACGGATGGAACACCGCAAGAAATCTTGCAAGCGCAAGTTTGTCTGGGATGGATCCATTCAACACTAAACGAACGCGGGCTGGCAGCCGGACGCCTCCCCAAAGATTTCGCGGTGACGGTGGAGCGCCTGAGTAACGATGACCAGGAGCTTTCTCCTTGGACCGAGGCGTGTTTGGTGAAGGGATGCTATTTAAAGGGTATGTTATGCCCATGACAGGCGCGGGAGTTTGATCTCTGACTGAAGGGATATAGGTACTGCGCAGTCAAGCGTTGCGGGGATCAGCGAGACCCTGGAGACCTTTGGATCTTTGATACCATGGCTGAGTGGTGGGAAGCTAGCGTCTGTCGGCACGCCTCAGTTCTTGACTTGGTCCGAGACCCTTCTCGGGAATGGCGCTCTTCTAGCCAGTGAAGAGGCGAGTCGAAACACCCCATACTCGAATCGCAGACACGTGGAAATTGCTTTGCGATTGTTTCGGCTGTGGGCCTCTCATCCTTCGGTGAAGCAAGGACTATCCTCCTACAAGGCATCAGGCGCGGATACTTCTGGTCCTTCCCGAACGTCAATATGGAAGGCTTACTATGGTTTCCTCACTATCGTCTTGCAGGATGGACTGCCGTACAACCCTCCGACCTACGAAGGCGCAGAGCGACCCCAACTTGCCAGTGAATTGCGTCGCATTGAAAGTATTTGTGAGGGAAATCTGCTCCGTGAGGTCAAGTTTCCGACAGCCAACTCCCAGAATTCGCAAGTTGAGGTGTGGGTGGAACAAGTCATCCGCAACTGGGAGGTTCTGTGTGGACCCCAATGGCAAGACCAGGATCTCGGCCAAGGAGGCCAAAATGCCGTTGGTCGCAATGTTCTTGACGTGAGTGAGCCGCAAATTCCTTTCTTTTTTTGGTATACTGACCTGCGATTACAGATTCTATATCGTGCAGCGACCAAGACCTATCATTCCCACTTAATACTCCGACGTCTATTCCATGTCCATTCTTCCTTGGCCGATTTCGATCTTGCCATCCAGGCTCTCGATTCGTATATTGAAATCGTTACTGCGGCCAAGGACAGAGCTGAAAAGTCGGCTGAGTATGGCGAGCTGGAGAGTGATGAGACTTTACTGCAAACACTCTCCGAAGGCGTTACTTTGTTGAGCTGTCTCGGTGCTTTTGAAGAGGCAGAGAAGGCCAAAGACTTGACTGAACTCATCCGGGAATATATCAACAAGCAAGTGACCGACCATGCAGATGGTGAGGTCAATGGCAAGTTGTTGCTGTCCCAAGGCCCCAACTCTTCTAATTCGCCCGAGATCTCCCTTAGTGTGCTTGCCACGGCCTATAGGGCTGTTGGTGTCGGTCTCGCCAATTGGGCCAGCTGGACTCCTCTGAATGAGGCTAGGGGTGAGATTCGAGCAGAGGCAATTGAATATCTGGAGAAGAGCATAGCCCCCGAGCTGGGCGGCGAGTTGAGCTACTCCTCTCTCTATACGCTTTCCCTCGTTCTGGCTGAAAACAGAGACCTGGATACGGCTATTCAATATGTCAAGTCTGCCTTGACTTCAGACGGTTCATCCACCGCAGTATTCGACGACCTGTCCAAGGAACGGGATCTTGTTCCCCTGTGGCATTTGCTCGCGCTGCTGCTCAGTGCACAGCAAGAATTTGAAATTGCGGAGCGTTCGTGTGAAGCCGCGTTTGAACGGTTTCCCCGAGAAGTTTTCTCCAAGGGTCATCGCGACAAGGGTCATCGCGACAAGGGCCATCGCGAAAGACGGTCATCATCCAGGCATTCACAGAATTCCAAAGATGGATCAGGCAGTTCTGAGCGTTCGTTGATCAGCCGCTTGCAAGGCAGAGAGAAGGAGCGCATCATTCAAATTCGCGTCACGCAACTGGCCTTCATTGAGACTCTCGAAGGCCCCGAGGCCGCTGTTAATCACAGCGACCAACTCCTAATTCTCATCGGGACTCTATTTCGCGAATTGGACCTTGGACCCGAGGAGACGAAGACCAAGAAGACAGAACATTTGGTTCCACCCAAGAGCTCCGCAGGCACCACGAAAAGCTTCCGCGGTAGTATATTCAGCCGCAACCGCTCGTCCCAGTTACCTGAGCGCCGAGTCAACTCGAGTCATAGTACCGCAAGCCCACCAGTTCCCCCAATTCCAAACGGCCATACAGATGCACCCGCCATCCAGGTTACGGACGAGGACCAACGCAGTCATAATGAACGCTCGTCTACACTTGGAAGATCGGATTCAAAGAAACTACGGAAACGCAGCAGTAGCTTCCATCGACATGAGAAACCTCGAATCCAAGAGCCTCCACTTCCCAATGGCAGGGAGGAGTCTCCGGATATGGTTGGCATTGCAGTGTCTGGAAACTCATCACCAGTCTCGGGGATTCAACAAGCAAGTGGTAAGCAGCCCTTGCGGCCGATCCCGCATAATATGAACCACACGCAACAACCGCCTCCTACCGGTCACGAGAAGCAACCCCCAGAGCAAGACGTCCGACTTCCGACCTGTCATCGTTTCGATTCTCCCACAAATGCTGTCACCAAGTTCTCCAGCATTCAGTCCCAGAAACATGCACTTGGCCTTCTCGTCAAGACCTGGCTAATCATCGCTGGCCTCTACCGCCGGGCATCATTATTTGACGATGCGCAGGAAGCTTGCGAGGAAGCCTCCAAACAAGCTGCACGAGTTGAGACGCTTGTTGCATCCCAGGATTCTTCAGCACGGTCCTTCAGCAACCGCGGCTGGAGCGCTGCCAAGAGCTCGGAGGAGCTCTGGGCTGATGTTTATGCGGAACAAGGGCTTTTATCCCAGGCGCGCTCGCAGCCCCATCAAGCCATTAGACATTTCGAGGATGCACTCCTTCGCTTCCACGACCACCCAACAGCAACAATTGGTCTCGCCAATCTGCTCCTGGACATCTGGGACCGGACGCTGCCTCCGGAACCGCCCAATGCCGATGTGGATCTTAACGTCTCACGTCTGGCATTACTGTCGGAGACTCCAAGACCTAAGTCGGCCAAGGCCATCTCAACCGACGAGCTGAAAGGACCCGATGCAGCGCCAATCCCGCAACCGACTGAGGCCTTCACCTCCCCACACGATGTGGACCCCAAGCACCTTCACCGTCTCGCGGCCCGGGATCGTGCCTATGGGCTGCTTTCAGCGTTGACCAAGCTTGGCAGCTCCTGGGATAATTCTGAAGCATGGTACGCGCTGTCACGGGCGTATGAGGCGGGTGAGCAGATTGAGAAACTGAAAGAGGTTCTGTGGTGGTGCATTGAGCTCGAGGATCGACGACCTATCCGCCACTGGTCTAATATCGGCTCCGGCCTCTATGTTCTCTAGTTGGTGACTGGCAAATAAGGACAAAATCTTTCAAATTTATATCTTCATGTATGTAGTTGATTGATTTCCCCCTGTTTTTAACGTTTTGTCTCTTTGGATTTATAACAAATGAGATACCTTTTTCATGCTTCTTGTCCATTGTTAGCTTAGTATTACGGTCATTAACTTTTAATGAATAGAAGGACAAGGATGAAAGCAGGAAATGCGTGGACGATTGTCATCAAAGGACAAACTACTGGTAGCAGATCTTTATACATCTCTCGAATTGGCACCACCGAGGTGCGCAGAGAGTCAAAAGAAAACGAGATCGAAAGGAAGAGACAAAAGCTGGATTTTCCTACTCCATATGCAAATTGATCTACCGAGGAGCAGCAACGGGGGTCCAGGCGGAGTACTTGGGCCGTGTGCTGTAGTATATGATTAGTTCGTGCACTAGAAGCCAAGATGCGGTGGCTATCCGCCAACAAGAGAAAACACGTACGTCGAGTAGGTCTTGAAAGCACCACGGCTGAGCGTCAAGTTGGGGCGGTGCTCCGGCAACTCCCAGGAGCGCACACCAGTCTGCATAACCTTGTCGGCCGTCGGGGGCGAATCGACCAGGTAGGAGATCCAGCCATGCCTGGGCCCTGTCAGTGGAATGTCCTGTCTGCCCAAACTGGAGTTTTCTGGCCGGGAGAAAAAAGGAAAACTTACCAGCCGGGCTCGATCTGAGACGGGTCGTATTCGGCCTGCTTGTAGTCGACCCATCGTGTTCGCACTACACGGGTAAGAAGTCGTTAACACCCCGATCATGCTTCGCGAAATATTCTTGCGGGATTCGAGCTTCGGTGTCACTCACGAGGCAGTTCCTCTTCCATGTTCTCGTAGTATTTGTTTCCGTAGCGGTCGGTTCCGATCAGGGTTCCGGCTTTGGTATCACCTATAATCACACGTCAGTCGACCGAGCGCCCGATGGCGGACTAGGAAACCTACCAATGTACTAGAGAATAACCAAACAAAGGACTCCGTTAGTCTCCAACCCCTGTAATCAATCTTATTTCCCGGATAATGCGCGATCGTACCTGCATCTGGTGGCCATATTCCTGTACAGCAGAGTTAGCAATTGCGGTCCTCTTGGGAAATCCATGAGCGCAGCACAAACCTTGAAGCCAATCCGGCGAAGGTAGCCGAGCGTCCTCGAGAGAGTCGACATGGTGACGGTTCAATGCTGGAGGGGAGGATGGAACGACGTGCGGAAGGGGAGTTGCAAGTCTGACGTGTTTGGCTTGTTTGCATCCAGGTTTTCTCCCCAAAGCAGCAAGTTGCCAGTACCAGCATCGCAATCATGTTCGGCCGCATTGGAGGCCAGACGCTAGGGTGTGCAGGGTGTCGCCCTGTCGCACGACGGAGACTATGCAGTCGCAGGTTCTCTGCCCACACCGGTGCCAGGGCGAAAGTCGCGGCTGCCTCATCTCCGCTGGGCGGCATCACCGTGGAGCTGGACCGCATTGCGCCCCGATTCGAGGTTCCAGCGTCCAAAATTACCATTCTCGACTCTCCGGCCAATTTCTATTCTACTCTTAAGGTTATTCTTGAGTTTGAGCCAACATGAGATCCGGGACTAACTCGCTGCGGCTGTATAGAGCAAAATCCGCAATGCCCGTCGCCGTATTTATCTCTCGACCCTCTACATTGGCAAGACCGAATATGAGCTTATCGAAACCGTGGGCCAGGCTCTTCGTGACAACCCAAATCTCAAAGTATCGATTCTCACCGATGCTTTGCGCGGCACCCGGGAGACCCCTAATCCTTCATGCGCGTCACTGCTCTGTTCCTTGGTAGCAGAGCATGGGCCGGAACGAGTTGAGATTCGCATGTTCCATACGCCCAACTTGACAGGGCTAAGAAAGAAATGGATTCCTCGACGTATCAACGAGGGCTGGGGCTTGCAACATATGAAGCTATACGGGATTGATGATGAGATTATTCTCTCAGGGTAAGATGTTTTGCGTGATAGTACGCTCTTTCAGTGCTAATATCTCCCCTGCAGGGCAAACTTGTCCCAAGACTATTTTACCAACCGCTTAGATCGGTATCATGTGTTCAACTCGAAGGAATTGACAAACTACTATGCCCGAATCCACCATGCAATCTGCAACCTGAGCTTCCAGGTTCTGCCAGATCCTCAGAGTCCATCCGGCTATCACTTGGACTGGCCCACGTCCAATGGTGGCCCCTCACCCCTAGAAAACCCTCAAGATTATATCGCCTATGCATCAACTGTCCTGAACCCTCTCATCCAGGCATCCGGCAATAAGCCCGCTCTTCCCTCCTCATCGAGCCAGACCTTTGTCTACCCAGTGTCGCAGTTCACTCCACTTTTGAAGCCTGATACCTCCACCGAGTATCCTGCTGTCACTAGCATCCTGAGTTTGTTATCTGGGTCGTCCGCGTTCGCGGGTGCGCGCTGGCTCTTTACAGCAGGATATTTCAATATCCATCCAGTCCTCTCGTCCCTTTTAGTCTCCAGCACCTCTACCTCCACCGAAACCGCATCCACCACTCAAGGCACCGTTCTGACAGCTTCACCTTGGGCAAATGGCTTCTATGGCTCCCCCGGTGTGTCTGGCATGCTGCCGGCCGCCTACACTCACCTCTCGGCCCGCTTCCTCGATCGCGTCGCGGACGCACAGTGTACGAACTCCATCCAACTCAAGGAATGGCGGCGCGGCACCGTCGATACTCCCGGTGGGTGGACCTACCATGCCAAAGGGCTATGGATCACTCTGCCGCGTGAGGAACACCCCAGTCTCACGTTCGTCGGCAGCAGCAACTACACTAAGCGTAGCTACAGTCTGGACATCGAGGTCGGTGCGTTGGTTGTTACGAATGACCAGGACCTCAAGCGCAAGCTTGGCGAAGAGACCGAGTGGCTTCAGAAGGACGCCTCACCCGTGTCCCGGGATGACCTGCGCCGAACAGAAAGGAGAGTCGGGTGGAATGTGCGGCTTGCTATGTGGATTGTGGAGAAGGTGGGCGGTGCGCTGTAACTTTTCTTTCGTGAATGTATATATAGAAGATGTGTTGATATAGTCAATATCCCTTGGGGGTCCTGTAATGATATGAAGCATCTATGTCTCATACAAACTGCCATCAATGTCACGGTAGGATTAAAGAATATCAAATGTGTTTACAGGGCAATTTCCTATATACATGAGCTATGGTCGCTTGTCGACGTCGGATCCCATATTCTCATACAGTCGAACCAAGCTCTGGCGGATCACACCATCCATGAGTCAGAGACCAGCAGACTCTCGTCTACGAGTGTATCTCTCTAAATATCTCCACTCGCAAATAACACTAGTCGAAAAAAATATATAGCCATGGCAGACAATAGCTCTCTACAATCAAGATGGTCCACCAAAAAATGGTTCGGCTTCGACCTCGACAACACCCTCCACACCTTCCGGCACGCCTCGGCACGAGCTTCGACAAGCGTATTCGAAGCAATCCGCGCCGAGATGGGGTCTCGAGTCAAGATAGCGAGCCTCCGAGCCAGCTACAAGGAAATCCTGCGGAGCGGCACTGCGCACGCCTTCACCGACGGCCGCAGCTCGGCTGAGTACCGGCGTGAACGTTTTGCGCAGCTTCTACAGACACACCAAATCGCTTTTGACGATGCCCAGATGGAGCATCTACTCGACATCTATCGTGTTTCCTTGCAGGCACACCTGACACTCAAGCCGGGTGCACTCGATCTCCTACGCGTGCTGCGCGGCCTTGACAAGAAGGTTATTGTGGTTACCGAGGGTCCTGCCGATGCGCAGGAGTGGACAGTTCGCGAGCTCGGGCTGTGGCCCTGGATTGATGTGTTGGTTACTACTAATGAGGTCGGGAAGGCCAAGGTGGATGGATTGTTTGGGGTTGTGTTGGACAAATATCACATCAAGGCTAATGAGATGGTCTATTTTGGGGACCATGCGCTGCGCGATGTACAAGCTGCTGCCGCAGAAGGCATCCTGGCAGTGCTGTATGATGAGACACAAGAAAGTCAGCTGGATGATCTCGAGTCTCTACGAGTCGATTCTTGGGTGACGGTGCAAAATATACTCGTTCGAGAGTGAAATATCAATAAGAGATAGCATCCATTGGAATCACTTTTGGTCTAACCATCCATGCATGCCAGCCCTAATGCACAAACATGCAGAAAATCATTGAAAATAACAGCCAGAACGCCAGGTCATGTTGGGGAATCTCCATTCAGCGTCATATCATATGCCTCGCAGGGCCCATCTAAGCTCTTCCAGGGACGTTGCGCGAAGTGTTCGAAAGGCGAGCAGACCCGAGGCCCTGTCGGACCTCGTCGAGCATGCGAATGCCAATGGCCTCGTTGCCGTTCTTACCGCGCTTCGCCTTGGCGCCTTTCCTTTTCACCTGCGCACTGGTGTTGTCATCCCAGCTCGACAGGAAGTCGTCCATGACATTGTTGAAATCACTGCGCGTGGGCGTGGCGTCTCCACCCGCCGAGACAAGACTCGGGGCCTGTGACGACACAGCGGACATACCCGTCATGCCGGTGGCGCCGGTCATGCCGCTGACCATGGACATGCTGTCGTCGTACTCTTCATCCTCGTCGACCGCATAGAGCGCTTCTACCTTGTCAAACCGGTCGTCCAAGAGGCGGTGGCCTTCGGTGCGCGCCAGCGCCGACGAGCTCATGGAGTATGCAGACGGATTGGTCATGGCACCCTTGCGCTTCTTTCGGCGAATAGGCGTTCCTCCGGCGGTAAAAACGGTGGAAGCCATGGTCTGCGAGGGTGCAATGGTGGGCGCAGCTGGTGCGGCTAATTTCCCGGTTTTTGCATGCTTCTTGAACCTTGCAAATTCCTGCATCCATTCTTGGTCTTCTGGGTGCATGTCGGGTGCCGGCTGGTCATGCTCCGGCATTTCTCCAGGCGCAAGATCCGGGTCCGCACCTGGCTCGGAGCTATCTTTGTCTGTGAAGTGTGGTCGGGTTTTCGTACTGTCTGTCTGCGCAGGTGCTTTTTCGGTAGCATCCGACTCCCATCCGTCGTCTTCTTCATCGTGGTCGAAAATAGTATCCTCCCAATCGCCCGTCTCCATCTCCTCGGCATTTGCTGTCAACTCGCCGAAAAGATCGTCGTCCTCATCATCCACAAACTCATCATCCTCAAGCGCCTCCAGCGCCTCGCGCAACCGTGGGTCCATATCCGGCTGAAACCCGGCAATTGCATCAGGGACATTCTGCTGGTCTTGGTACGTTGGCTTTCGCGAGTATGAGGTTGTGGTTGACCGCATATCGCCATATTCGGATCCGTACAGACTGCGGCCGCCCAAGGCACTCTGGGCATCGGCGCCCTCGTCCAACGAGACCTGACGCAGCGCATCCTCTAGCTTCAGGCCTTTATTGGCTTTGCCCTTTCCCTTTATGTTTGCCTCGACAAAATGCGAGTCTCCGCCTCCCGTGCCGAGCTCGCGCAAATGTTGCATGTAGTCATACTTGGAGTCGTCAAAGTAAACGCCATGGTTGGCAGCTTCGCCCTCGTTTTGGCGGACAGCCTCTGCCCGGAACTCGGACTGGAGATCGGACAGGTTCCGCGACGGCTTATTCGAGGTTGTTGAGGCCGAGGATGGTGCAGGGCCGGAGACCTGATGCAGGACGCGATCGTCCGCATTGGCCTCGTGGATCAACGGGTCATGTTGGGACCGGTGGAAGAGCTGGAAGGTGCTCGCGGTCTTCTTGTCACTACAGGGAGATTAGTATAAGTATTGGATACACAATATGGAAGGTAAACACGTACATCCACTGCTTTCGGGGAGGCATGTTGGGTGCTGATTTAGTTGATCAGTCAAGAAAAAAGTGAGAAAAGTGGGATTGATAGGATCACGTGGGGCTTATCGAACCCCGCGGGTCCTCAGCGCTGGCGAGTTCTTGCGACCCACGTTGGATGTGTGCGTAGATCTTAGGGTTGGGCTGCGAGTATGGTAGTTAATATTTCTTTCAGTATTCAATGATCTACATCAATTTCTTCGTGTGTCTTTCAAGGGTATTTTTTGGATGTAGATTTGAATATCTTAGTAAGCGTGTCAATGACTCAGCGTTATCTTATCCGGCTGAATAATTCAAAATTCCCTTTTTCAGGTGGAGGGGTTCTTCTTTTCTGAGTATTTTCCATACCGAACATTCCCTATTCAAACCGCCATCATGGTTCTGGCCAAGTCCAAAAACAGCGTGGGGCTGGGTAACAGCCTCATGAACGACCGGTTTGGAAAGGGCAAAGCCTCCCAGCAGAAGAAGGCTTCGCACAACAACGCCATTGCGCGCAAAGGCGTGGATGGAGAGACCTACATCACCAATGCCCACCAAGAAGCGGCATGGGTGAAGATGCGCAGTATTACCGAGCAGGGTGCCCTCGACGAGTTTTTGAGTACTGCCGAGCTGGCCGGCACTGATTTCACCGCGGAAAAAATCAACAACGTCAAGATCATTCACACCGACCAGAAAAACCCATACCTCCTCTCCGCCTCCGAGGAGAAGTCGACCATGAAGAAGCACCAGAAGAACAAGGCCCGGTTGACGGTTCCCCGCCGGCCTAAGTGGGATAAGTCGACCACCCCGCAGCAGCTGGATAAGATGGAGAGAGAGAGCCTGTTAGACTGGCGGCGAGGACTGGCGGAGTTGCAGGAAAACAATGATCTTCTCATGACACCGTTCGAGCGTAACCTGGAGGTCTGGCGCCAGCTGTGGCGTGTTATCGAGCGGTCGGATCTCGTGGTGCAGATTGTCGATGCGCGCAACCCGCTACAGTTCCGCTCGGAGGATCTGGAGAACTACGTGAAGGAGATTGATTCGCGGAAGAAGAACCTGTTGCTGATCAACAAGGCGGATATGTTGACCCTTAAGCAACGGGAGGCCTGGGCCGCCTACTTCGAGAAGAATGGTATCAACTTCCGGTTCTTCTCTGCCCACCTCGCCAAGGAGAAGAACGAAGCTCAATTGTTGGAGGAGTCTCAGTCCCGCGGCGACGATGATGCAGGTCTCGCCAAGTCGGCTCAAAAAATGAGCGTTCACGACGACGAAGAAGAAGAAGGTGAAAGTGAAAACGAGTCATCTGATGACAATGAAACCATTGCCAAGCTTGCGGACCCTGATCAGTCACTCGGACCGCATATCTTGAACGTCGATGAATTGGAAGAGCTCTTCCTGGCCAACTCGCCCGACACACTCCCGCAGAACAACCAGCCTGGCGAGCGGCCAAAGCAGAAAACCACTATTGGTCTGGTCGGTTACCCCAACGTGGGTAAATCCAGCACAATCAACGCTCTCCTGGGTGCGAAGAAGGTGTCCGTCTCGGCGACTCCCGGAAAGACCAAGCACTTCCAGACTATGTACCTCTCCCCGGAGATTCTGCTATGCGATTGCCCTGGTCTAGTGTTTCCCAACTTCGCTACCACCAAGGCCGAGTTGGTCGTTAACGGTGTTCTCCCGATTGACCAGCAGCGCGAGTTCACCGGCCCCACCGGCCTGGTCGCACAGCGGATCCCCAAGCACTTCTTGGAAAATGTGTACGGTGTGAAGATCAACACTCGACCGCTCGAGGAGGGCGGCACCGGAAACCCCACCGCGAGCGAAGTCCTGCGGGCCTACGCTCGTGCCCGTGGCTTTTCCACCCAGGGCCAGGGCCAGCCCGATGAGTCGCGTGCCGCACGGTACGTCCTGAAAGACTACGTGAACGGCAAGCTTCTGTACTGCAGCCCGCCACCCGTCCCCGAAGGCGAGGAGCCAATCGACCCATTCGAATTCAACCAAGAACTGTACGACGTCTCCCACCTTCCCGCGAAGCGCCAGGCCATTCTCGCAAAAACCACGGCTGAGGATGACCTGGACTCCGACATCGCCTCCTTCGTTTCGTCCAAGAACACCGGCGCCCAGCCCGAGGGCCAGCGCTCGCGCAACATCGACACCGGCTTCTTTGGGTCCGAGACCGGTCCCTCGGCCGGCCGTCTCACCCTGCCTTTCCAGGCCCAATACACGGCGCAAGGCCAGGAAATGCGCAAGCAACTGACCGGCCGGAAGGAGCGCATGATGGTTGCCCTGGAGCGCGGCGTCGACGTCTCGGAGGTGCGTGGGGCCGGCTCCAAGAAGCATTTTAAGGGGAACAAGCGCCGAGCCAAGGCCCAGCGCAAGAAGGGCGAAGATGATGACTACTAGAAAAGTGCTTTTTTTTTGGTTGTTCCTTTGGAGTGGGGGGGGGGGGGGTTCACTCGCGGGCGAGTCATTGGATTTTCTCTGGCATTGTTCACTTTTATACTCTTTCGTCCCTCTATTTTACCGAGAGGCATTGACTTGATGGGAAGATGAGAAGATGAGGGGGATGACTGAATGACTCTGGTTCTAACGGTCCTATATCTGGGATTTGCATTTTCTGTTGGGAAAGAGATTTTCCCGGGATCATTTTCATGGCGTTTAGGCTACTTTGACGAATTGAACATACTCGATTGTCTACTGCACAGCCAATAAATGTAATTGCATTCACAGTTTATTGTGTTTTTCTGCATAGAATAGACTTATTTCCAAGAAACAAAAAGAAATAAAGAAACATACACGTAAATCAGAGTCACCCTCACAGATGACTCTTGGGCTTAAACCCCGAAGCAGCAAGCAGGCGATCAGCCTCGCCGCGCTGCCAATTCAGCTTCGCAGCAACAGCATCCTTCCGGGCACGGTTCTCACGGCGACCAAGCTGCTGCAGATGGACCTCATCCGGCCCATCCGCAATGCGCAGGGTCCGGATACCCGCCCAGAGGTACGCAAGGGGCGTATCCTGGCAGACACCAGCGGCGCCGTACGCCTGAACAGCGCGGTCGATGATAGTAAGAGCAGTCTGAGGCACGAGGACCTTGGCCTGGGCGATCTCCTTGAGAGCAGCCTTGGCGTCGCCCTGATCGATCTTGATAGCGGCATTGAGCACGACGAGACGCGCGGCGTCGACCTCGATGCGCGAGCGCGCGATCCACTCGAGGATGACGCCGTGCGACGACAGCGGGCGGCCGAAGGTTTGCTTGCGCTCATCGTTGACGCGCGCGATTAGCCACTCTAGCGCGCGCTCGGCGGCGCCGATCGTGCGCATCGCGTGGTGGATTCGGCCTGGGCCCAGGCGGCCCTGGATGATTTCGAAGCCGCGCCCCTCGCCCAGGACCATGTTGGAGACGGGCACCCGCACGTTCGAGAAGCTGATGTGGCCGTGTCCGTGTGGCGCGTCGTCGTACCCGTAGACTGTCAGCATGCGGTGCACGGTGATGCCCGGTGCGTTGGCTGGGACCAGCACGACGGACTGCTGCTGGTATGTGTCGCGGTGGTTGGGGTCTGATTTGCCCATGACGAGGTAGACCTGGCAGCGCGGGTCGCCTGCGCCGGAAGACCACCATTTCTGGGAATCATATTAGCATTGTACTTGTAATTGTAATTGATGAGACAAAATGGGAGCCATACCGAGCCATTCAACACATATTCATTGCCCTCGCGCTGAATATTCAATTCGATATTCGTAGCATCGCTCGACGCCACATCCGGCTCCGTCATCAGAAAAGCCGACCGGATCTTGCCCTCCAGCAGCGGAACAAGCCACTGCTGCTTCTGCGCGTCATTGCCGTACTTGGCCAGCACCTCCATATTCCCAGTATCGGGGGCGGCATTGTTTGTTGCCTGAAAATCAATTATTAGCACTGGTTCGCGAGGCTCAGTACTGGGATATAGAAGCAACAGTATCATTTCGTGGGAACAAGAATGAAGGAAAACACCCACTTCCGAAGCAACCTTACTCTTCCCTAACAACTCCGCCATCAACCCATACTCCAAATTCGTAAATCCAGCACCCTGCTTAAAGTGGTTCTTGGGCAGGAACATGTTCCACAGACCCAGCTTCTTGGCTTTGTCCTTCAGACCCTCGATCACGGCAGGAGTAGTCTGCCATCGCTGGTCGCCCTCGCCCAGCTGAGCTTGGTAGACGGCGTCGGCGGGGATGCAGTCTTTCTCGACGAATTCCTCTACCTGTCAAGATAGTCAGTGGGATATGAACCAAAAAGGTTCATCCGAGAAGGAATCATCCATGGATGGTTACGGTCAGCATACCAGGTCGAGAGTCTTCTTAGCCCGATCGCTCACGAACGGTTGGGCGATTGGGGGGATGCGCGAGGAGGCAGACATGGTTATATATTAGAAATCAGGGCAGGATAAATCTGTTTGTTGCTAGAGGCTCCAAAGGGGACAAGTAGGGGAGGTCAGGGAGGGAGGCGTGAGGTTATAAAATCGAGGTATGGCCGAGGGTTTGCGGAGAGTCGAGTGTGGAGAAGCGGGTTTGCCTCGGCCCAGCTGTGGCTTGGGCCGACTGGTCGTCCACTTTGATTGTATGTATTGTTCTACTGGGGAGAAATAGTATACTAATCAATAAACAGGGAGATAATAATTCTGCTTATATTTTGAAATCAGATATGAAAGATCTTAGAATAATCTGACATTCTCGGCGCGCATCCAACACCTCTCGGCTAGAACCCCGAGGTACAATCAGTCCCAGGGAATTACTACGACTATAAAGCAATTGGGATAGACAACACAACAACCGGAAGCAACTACTATACAAAAAGCAAAGTGATGAGCTGGATGAATTCATTCATTGCCATTACAGTCCGATGCTCCAACCCATTACCAAAAAAAAACCCTCTCACAAACCAGGATTATCAAAACACAAAAGAAAGGAAAGGAGACAGAGAAAGACATTGCGGGTCATGACAAGAGAGAGAAAGAGAGAGAAGAAAAAAAAGCAACCAAACAACAGACAGAACGACACAGCCTCGGTCAAGCCCGGTAAACACTCTCTAAAGTTCCCGCACGGCGACCCGCGCCAGCGAGAGAAACAGACCCATACCCGGGGGCTATCTTCTAGATCCCCCAATGAAAGACTCAGGTACCTAGGATATGAGATGAAGTGTGCCTCCAGAGAAAGCTTCAGCCATGCCGAGAGCACAGGGTTTTATTCAATGCTGCGCCCCTGCTCGGCCGATGTGGATTGCTCGTAGCTCTTCTTGCCGAGCTTTGCGAACAGCGACTGGGGCTTGCCGGCACTAAACAAAGAAGAAGGGTAAGCAAAAGAAGAGAAGAGGCAAGTCTATATGTATGTGCCGAGTTGTATATAAACAAAGTAGTGGTTGGGAACGAGTCCGCTGGACATACTTCTTAAACCGCTTGCCCTTGATGTCGCTCAGCTTTTTCGAGCAGGGACTCATGATATCGTCGGAGGGAGAGACGTAGGCAGTTGGTTGTCTGTTGTAGAAGAAGATCGGGAGTTAATTGTGTATCAAAAACAGAGAGCCCGAGAAAACAATAAAATGCGAGCCATAGAATCAAGATAATCAAAAGCAAAAGCAAAAGCAAAAGGGGAAAAAAAAGGAAAAACTCACTTCTCGCCGCTCTCAATCTTCCCCTGCAGCACCTGGCGGTGGTACTCCATCGACGACAGATCAGAACCCTTGACATCGGTCTTGTCGCCGCCGGCCAAGTGCGTGTTGGTCGGGCGATCGGCGAGCGGTTGGGTTTGTGATGAGTCCATTGTGGATGTGGATATGGACTTGGAGAGCTGGAGCACAGTGTAAAGAAGAAAATTGTAGAACAGTATGAAAAGATGGAAGCAATGGAAGAGGATCAAGTGTCATGAAAGAAAAACATCGAAGATCTCGTGGATTGCATCAGAGGAAAAAAGTGGGAAAATTCGGGCTGATTGTTGGCCGGGCAACGTCAACGTCAAGGCATGACGCACGACATACTTGATGGTCTGGACTTGTTTATTTGTTTATTAAATTAAAATTACAGGCGAATATAATAATAGAATAAACAGGGCAGTGATTTAATACATAAATTGTCTCAAGCTAGGTCCATGCTACTATAAAAACAAGGAAATCGTACCGGTCATCCATGCATACACTCTCCGTATAGAAAACCAGAAACAAACGCCGTAGATGGATATGGTTATGTTGCATCAAATCTACCACCAATACCCGCGATGGAGCCAGCTACCCTCCTCCAAGCCTTTCTATTCCAAGGCCAATGCCCACGCGTATCCGTCATTCAGGCAGGAAGCCCACCAGCCGACTGAGGCAGTTTCGGCGACGTGGGGTTGTTGTCGTCTTCGTCTGAGTCCAAATCCGTAGTATGCCCATTCAGAACCGGCGGCGTACTGTGGGAACGAAAGGGGGAGGCCCTCAAGCGTAGGCACGGAGTCCGAGTCCGGCGTGGCCCGACAGTCGCCCTTTTCAACCTCCGTCAGGTCCGGCGAGCTGTCGGACGTCGGGGTCGGTGGAACGTAGGGAACCGTGGGGCTGGCGGCGGCGCTATCCGGGGACGACGAGGTGGAGGTATCGGAGAGATTACGTCGATGGCCCGCAGGGTCGCGGTAAGAAGCTGGACGCGTGGAGCCGGGGCTGGCGGAGGGTGACGCGAAGAAGGGAGACGACGATCGCAGGCTGTGTGACCGGGCGACCATTCTCTGGACAGCAGGGAATTCCATGTAATTGCTGACGGAGCCGCGCGAGAACAGAACCAGCGCGAAACAGCCCAGCACCATCATGCTCTGGATCACCATCACGCGCTTCTGGAAGACCAGCTCGTCGGCCAGCACGCCCAGCTGTCCGCTAAGAGAATGCACTTCCCGATGGTACTGGATGCGCTGGTGCTCGAATTCGAGAGCGACCGATCGCCACACATGGTCGTACTGTTCGCGGAACTCTTTCAGCTCGGTGAGGACGGTGACATTGAGATTCTCCAGGAAATTGGACGTCTTGGAGAGCTGCCGCTTCTCAACCTTGTTAAATGCATCACGCAGAATCCGAGACTGCTCTTCGATGTACAAAAGGGATAGCGTCGAGTTGGACTCCAGCATCTGGAGTCGTTTATGAACCGACTTGAAGAAAGACTCTTGGGTAGTGGGGTTTGGAGACGGTAGTTGCGTAGTAGTAGGCCGCGTGGACTCAGGAGGGGCGCTATGCTGCTCCTCTTTGGGGCTGACTGTCAATTTGCCTGATGTCTCAGAAGTCACATTCTGCTGTACTGGCTCCGACGCCACGATCGAAGAATCCGGTGCCGTTACGACAGCTTTGGCGGATTCGCCCGTCTTCCGCGTATCTTCAGCGGCCTTGGGTGGAAGAGATGACACAGACTGGGTGGCGGAGATGCTGTCCCCCGTTGGTGTTGTAGAGTTGATATCCGAAGAAGGGTGGGTTTGGACAGTAGACGTTGAGCTGTTGTAAATAGTAGGTTTCGGTGGCCCATCGTTGATATCACAGATCTGAGAAGAGTTGTATGGCGGTTCAAGCTGCGAAAAGGGAAACGCGCAAACTTCCCGGGCCTGTGGAGCAGGTGCTTTGATCTCGTCATGGACATCTGGTGCCTCGACATATTCTGCTTTCACTTCACCAGGAAGCTCGCCAGTTTCAATCGGCCCCGGCAGTTCATCGTCCGTTCGGCCAGCGCTCTCATCATGTTTGTATTCCTCCATCATGGTCGTCCCATGAACCCGGATTAAGCTGACGGGACAGTAGAATTCATGACCATAGTGCGTCAGGAACTCGATCTTTAGATACCGCGCCCAAATAAGTGAGTTTTCCACCGCAAAGGCCTGCACCTCACGGGTGTTGCGCGCTTCATAAACACCCAGTTCTTTCCACTGGTCTGGTTTAGCCGGGTACCGGTCCGAGACGCTGACCCGAAAAGTGTGGAAAATCGAACTGAAAAACTCGTAGTTGGCAAGGACAACCGTGTCCACGAGGATATCATCGCACAGCTCCAGAATAAGGAACTTATTTTGGGCGCGACACTCATTCAGCATGTAGCTGTCCTTGTTTTCAATCAGAACTGACGACGAGCCCTTGCACTCGGGATTAGTCTTGAGCACGGTGGCCGCGCAGTCAAAGGACGCATAGTTAAACCGCTCCTTGCAAGTAGTCCCAGCATCTCTGCGGCGCGAGGCCTCGGTCTGTGGGACAGTATTGGCGTGAACATCCAGATCGGTTTCACCACCCGCGTGCGTCGCATGCCCTCCCTCTCGTGAAGGAATCGGGGTGCTCCATGCAGTCGGACTCGCCTCGGGGGATTCGGCGCCAAACCCACCAAAGTCCAGCTCGATTTCCGCGTCATCGCCCAGCGAGTCCAGAGCGTTATTGATGCCTGTCGGCTGCCGTCGGTCTTCCTTGCCGACCGCTCCAGAGCGCCGACTCCCTCCGACATTCTCAGCAGATTGACCCACCTTGGCCAGGTTCTGCTTCTTCCATTCCTCAAACGACAGAAAGCTGGCGCTGTCCAGCAAAGAATCTGTGTCCTGCTCCTGCTCCTGCTCCTGCTCTGCATTCTCTTGTGTCGTCGCAGAGGCAGTGCCCTCTGGGGTGGATCCACTGGACACCGCCCCAGTGCTGTTCTCAGCGCCGCTTGTGCCCGATGACCCCGAGACTGAAGACAGGACATGTCCTCGCCCCCATCGTGTCTCCAGACAGACGGGGAGCTGGAACAGCTCCGCCTCAACCTCCCACAGATTCCTCGACGGGCATGTTGTCACCGTCGCTGTGTGGCCAGCCAGCTGGGCAGAGTCCTCGGTAGAGGGTTGCGGGGATGAGACAGCCCCATCCCCAAGGGCACTGCCCGCGAGTGCAAGCATTATCGAAACATGGTATATCCAAGAACACAATGACCGACCCGCGGCCAACATCGTGAAGCTTTCGTGGGGAATTGAGCGGCGATTCTATGGTCGCGCCCGGAACGGCTCCCTGGCCTCTGACAGCCACAGGCAATGCGCCAGAAATAGCGAGAAGTGACTGCAGGCCGTCGACAGCTCGCCACTCCAATGATTTCAGCCAGTCGGTCCAATATGCATCCTACTGTGCATCCTCTGGGATAGAACGAAGTCGATCGGTGATCTCGAGGGGGTAGCACAAAGGTTCAAGTTGAGAGTAAAGGTGAAAGGTCAAAAGATGGTTTAAACCCGGGTCTTGCACCTGCGCTGTCCAGAGGCAGATATGTGCGTGATCGCATAGGCGAAAATGGAATAGTGGTATCTTAACCGTTGAGGGTCACCGCCCTCCTCACCGCCCAGAGTGCGGAGAAATGCCAGTCAATGGCACATCCCCCTACAACGTCCGAGTATGGGAACAGTACGAATCGAATATTTAATCCTAAGTTTTTGGTCTCTACATTTACTACAATCACCAGAGCATTTTCACGGATGGAATCAGTTTTCCCTTTGATGGTCCCATGGATATAAGAGTACACAAACAGGGTCCCGTATAACGTCAAAGAGAAAACGGCCGCGTTTCTTTCTAACTCAACATCGCCAGCAGGAGATCGTACCATTCACTCCGTCCATCCTGATGGTCGAGCCGTCATGTTGTTTGCATGCGAAATCAAACACTGCCGAATCCAAGCTCCTCCAATGTCCTCCAATCCTTCTAGTCTTTTTTTGTTCTTTTGTGACTCCCACCCGTGCCACCCTCGACCTCGTATAGTACAGCAAGAAAAGAAGAAATGGCCGAGGATGACAGCGCAGCACACGAGAGCAGGCGCTGCGTCGAAAGTAAAGAGCAGGCGAAGAAGTCAAATCGAGGCCATAAAGAAATGGAAATCAGACAAAAACAAGAAGATTAGTTTATCGTGGGCAAAAGATTTTTTTTTGAACTTTTCCCCCCAACTTGAATCAAACGGCGGAACGCGATGTCAACAGACGGGCACGGTAAACAAAACAGGACGAGTTGGATAAAATGGATACTCGGTGGCGAAACACGTTAAAGGTGGAGATCATGCCACCCGCCGACGAGGTCGAGGTCTTCGTCCACACTGCCGTCGTAGGAGCAGGGCTTGACGGGCGACAGCTTCGATACTTCCGCAGCATCGCGACGCCAGTCCTTCTCTAAGAACAGGCGGCGGCGACGATCGGACTGAGGCGAATCTCGCTTGGCCCGGGGTGCATGGTCGAACCCGGAAGAGCCAAGGCCCCAGTCGCGGCGCCAGGTGCTGGCCGCGGCTCTCTTGGGATCGAAGAACTCGCGAGGTTTATAGTTGCGACGCTTGTCGCCCAGTTCTGCCCACTTGTCCGCATTAGGCGCCTTGCGAGGCGAGGACGGGTGGCAAGGACGGGGGGTGCTGCTGGAGGTGCCAGCATCGCTGTCACCATCCAGCGACTTGGCCGGGATCTCAAGAGGTGCAGTCTTGAGAGGGTCAGGAGCCTGAGAGCGCTCATTGAGAAGGGAAGCGGAGTCCGGCTCGCGCAATCCTGTCTTGGGACGAGCTCCCTGGCTCTCTTGGCTCCAGGTGCGAGAGTTCTGCTCACGGCGTTGGTGCAGTGTCAGGTCCTCGTTCTCGGACTCCTCTTCCTCCCAGAGATCGCTCCAGCTCTTGGAAATCTGCTCGGCGGAGCCCTTGCCGAACACCATCGACAGTGAGGGCAAGGGCTTGGAGGCATGACTGGGCAGAGAGCCGGTGATCGGGACTGGGTCGGACCGAGGAGGGAAACGAGGCTCGGGCTTGCGCAGGTTGAACGAGCGCAACGAGTCGCTGAGGGCCGAATCAAGAACCGAGGCCATTGACGGGGTGTCAGGCTGGGCAGAGAACCACGAGGTGCCCGCCACTTCGGATGGCGGGAAGAGATCCTCGGTGTAGCTCTCGGTATCCGGAATGGCAGACAGTTGTCGAATAGGCTGAGGCGGACTCGACAGCAGCGCCTTGGCCCACGGGAACGAGTCGCCCTGGTTGATGTGCGGGCTCTGGATAGACGGCGTGCGAAGCGGTTCGCGGTTGGCACTGGCAGGAACCACCTCACGATCTTCGGTGCAGAACTCATCCAGCGACTCGTCGTCGGTGGTAAACGAGACAGCGCGCAGAATGCCCTCGCGCACCCCGGAGAGCGATCGTTTCTCAGGATCAATGGCCAACGCATGAGTCAGGATCTCATAGGTATCCTGAGACATGTTGGGGAAAATGTCGAAGAGTGACTGACGATCACGGACAAAGTCCGAGAAAAGTACATCGGACTCAGTAGGCGTGACGAACGGATTCCGAGCAAACAGAATGTTCAGCAGGCAGATGCCCACCGACCACACGTCCGCCTGGGCAGGTGAGTAGCCCGTGGCAGTCGGTTCGTACTGCTCCGGGGCCATGTAACGATCGCTGCCAACCGAGGCCTCGTAGCACCAGGGTTCCTGAGCCACAAGGCCCAAGTCGCCAAGCTTCATGGAGCTATCTTGCGTGAGGAAGATATTCTCCGGCTTGATGTCGCGATGGTACAGGCCGTTGGAGTGCATGAACTCAACTGCGCTGAGGAGCTGCATCATGAAATCCCGAACATGTTCAGTCTCCAGAGGACCCCGATTGAGCCGGATAGCCTCATAGAGATCACCATTGGCACAGTACTCCAAGACCAGGTAGATGTGGGCATCGGTCTCGAAGGAGTGAATCAAGTTGACCAGGTTCGGGTGGTAGCCCAGGCGGCGGTGGCATTCCAGTTCTTCAAAGCGATCGTCAACGGGCTGAGGAGCCCATGAGTCCGGAGAGGACGGCTTGGTCAGACATTTGATCGCAACATCTTGGCCAGTGGTGATATCTGTGGCCAGAAACACCATGCCGAAGGACCCATGGTTTAGGGGGGCCACAGTTCGGAACCGACCATCCAGCAAGCGGCCCTCGACAAACTCGTTCTTCAAACATTCCATGGTCGACATTGAGGCCAGATGATCCCAAGAAACAGATGCAAAGATGAGATGAGATGATGGGGAAAGCCGACGATGAAAAAAAGACGTCGACACAAGGATGAAAAAAAAAAAGTAAAACACAATCTATGAACCGCTCAAAAGAGACACTTGCACGTGGAAGAAAGAAAAAGACGTGCTAACACAAACAGCAACCAGGCTAATGGGTGATTAATATTTAAGAAACGGATCAGGCCTGGGATCCCAACGTAGACAGGGACCGCCGGAAAGAAGAGTTGAGACGATTTGAGCGAAGGACGGGATCAGGTTGGGTTCCTGATTGTCGATGTTGTCGAAAAAAAATGTACCGAAAAACAAGTCAACAGGCGAAAGGAAATTGGAAATTGGAACGAAGTCGGCGCTAGGCGCGGTTGAATGAACCCAAGATGGGGTTGTTGACGCTAAGGAAATGTGTAAAGACCGTTATGTGCTCATTTGTATGTCGTTTGCGAAGTTGACGAGGGTGTCAAAAAAGAAAAAGTGTCAAGGAGTGGACACAGAATGGTGTGAAGCGGCCTGATACCGGAAGAATTGGAAGGAGTCGAGAGAGAAGCGCTGCGTGATATCGTAATGAGGATGGGCAAAAATGTATAACAGAAGGCACGTAAATAAACCTGTGAACACCAGGTTCAAGGTTCGAAAGTCGGTCGGGACTCAGAGCGGGAGGCGTTGATATTAGTGAGTCATAAGACGACCGGTTGGCAGAAGGTTGAAGGTTGAAGGGATAAATATAACAAGAATTGGCGGGAGTTGGGGGGATGCGGTCGAGCACCTTCAATCCAGTGTGAACCAAGGATACTCGATAGCAGATTCCCGCCCAGATGGCAAGACTCCCAAATGCTTCACGTGACACTTGTCCTCACGTAGGTATCAAAGAGACGGAGAGCAACCTTCGTAAAGATGGCAAGGACGAAGGTTCAATGGATCAGGAGGGCACCCGAGTCGGTGATTCTGGTCGGTAACGGGCAGAGACTGACTTGACTTGCGAGATACAGTCACGGGATGTCCGGGATGTTTTCCAATGGATGATCAAAGATGATCAAGACAAAAGCACTCCGGTGCAGAGCGGAGACAGGGAAGACAAGTCTTCGAAGTATTGGACTGGTTGCGATGGAAGTGCTGTTGTTCTGAAAGTGGAAGTGGAGGAAGGGGAGGAAGAGATGAGCAGGAAGAAGTCGAGGGTGGAGAGAGGCGAGAGAAGATGAAGGTGAGCAGGGGGGGGATGGGATAGAGAGAGAGAAAGAAAGAAAGGGAGATAAAGAAGATGGTCGAACGAAGGGAAGGATGGAGAGAGGATAAGGAGAGAGCGAGCGATGACTCCCAGGTGAGGGGACCTGGAGAGGACCCAGGGCCAATCAGCATGGGCATGGGGCGTTACGGTCACAAACGGGTTTCCCTCGTGGGCGTCCATTGCGTGCGATCGGCGCCCCCGGGCCAAATGGGCCAATCCTCGGGGTCACCCGAGGTCCTTGGAGCCCGTTTCTGGCCGTCACGTATAGAATGGGTAATCAGATTACCGGTTCTTGAAGCTTCCATTCCGGTGTCTGCCTGGATATTTCCTGACTTCCACATCGATATGGATCCATGGGTTAATTCTGGAGAAGTAAGAAGAGAGATTCAGTTACTACCATACTACTATAGTGTCTGGCACTGGAGATGGTCAACTCCCAAGGCTGTATCGAAGTCAACAGGGGGAGCCATTTTCCCAGAAAAATGGCACATTTTCTGCGCGCGGATCAAGGTGGCGCGCTATACCGGATGCGTCGGCTTGCGCAGATTGTGGGCCAATCAGCAGCCAACATGTTCCAGCGCTATTTTCCAGGCTGCATGACGCGATGGATGGCGTGATGCTCGCTGATTGGCCGATAGGGGATCTTCCGCAGGAACAGCGCTGGGGCCATGCCTTTGGCCCCGACAGTCTCTGGGTATGCTTCGGCGTATGCCTAAGGGATACCTCCAGGACTAGGTATTCTTAGGGATTGCCGCGCGGGATTATGAGACACATCTTTGCGGGGTGAGTGGATATTATTTATTCTTTTAGTATTATTATTATTATTATAAGATATTATAAGAATATAATAAACACACTATAATAAGCATTATAATTAAAGATTCATCTCTACGCGTACTTGTCTCCGTTAGACACCCACGCAGGACCCCTGGCGGTGAACGGGCCCAAGGTCTGGCCCTACGGTCTCTTTGCCCTGACCACCTGCTGCCTGCAACGTGTATGTCCTTGCGTGTTTGGGTGTTTAGATCTATCTGAACTTTCCTTTTTATTTAGTTTCTTCTTTTTCTTCCTTAGTTTTTATTTTTCTGATCTTTTTATCAAATGATGCTCTAGTAAATCACCAGTGACATCGTATGATCGGCCCCCAAGAAGGTGTGAGTAGGAATCTTTACGCCATCGCTCTGCTTTGCCTTCCCCCCCCCCCCCCCCCCCTTTCCGTCCTCGCATCATCGTACGCAATATATTGCAGGGGAATCTGCAGTGCACGGCTCAGCCTCTTATCCGCCCCTCCATCAGGAAATAAATCCATGGTATACAAGAAGATAATATGATATTCTGATATTATGATCGAGGATATCGTTTGCCATCCTAAACTCTCCGAATAGGGAGATAAACATGGATCGGGTGAACCATGGTTGCCCCCTTATCTTTGGTATTTTATTTTCATCCTCATGATTAGAGGATAGGACATCCTGAGTTCTCAGGTATCAGTGATAGCGTGATAGCAGATAAACCCTTATCTCTCACACTTGGGAAGGTTTGTCTTCAACCCAATAACCGATCGTCAGGATCCTCCATGGTTATCCCCCAGATTCGATATACAACTGACCGAATGCGGCCATCGTCATCTTCCCCTTTTTTTGGGTATCTCTGATTCTACCCCGCACGATCGTCATATCGCTGGGTGAATTCCGAATCCAAAAGGAAGAATGTACCGAAATGACGATGGAGCCGAAGGAGTTTTAGGGTCTACGTATGATTCGACTGGGTATTCCTGATGAGATCGTTCATGGATGTACTTGGTACTTGGTATAGTACTAAGCACTAAGTACCAGGACTAAGGATGAAGGACTAGAGGCGATGGTGTCTCGTGTCCTTTTCTCGCTGGAGCCAAGCCCTTTAGCCCGACAGCCTGGGGCACCCATTTTCCCCGGATTTTGGGGGCAGCCAAAAGGATGAAAAATGGGGCATCGTCTGTGCCCTCCATTGGACACTCTTCCCCAAACCCTCCATGAAAAAGAAAAAGAAACATGCGAATGACCACACACCACCATTCCAGGCCAGGCAAACCCAATCCCATGGTCTGTCCCTCCTCCCTCTCCCCTCTTTTCTCTAGGGAAAACAAAAAGAAAATGGGGGAGTTGGATGTGAGACTCGAGCTGCATGGCAAGTGGCACCGAGGGATTTGAATCAAACCCAGCCACCTTTTTCTCTTTTTCTCCGTGTACGACCCTCCTGCAGCTTGGCCGGCAATGGCAGCAAGGGAGTCCCCATTCATGCGGTGACAGGTCGAGTGAAACGGTTGCCAAGTCAACCCACTCGAGCATGTCCCATCAACATGATACACCATGTACAACCGAAGTACTCAGAAGTACCGTGGCTGGTACTTCTTGTGTACCTGCGACTTACAGATGCACCCCGTTCGGCACTTGCGTACGATCGGGGTCTGTGGTCTACCCCGTCCTCGGCATGATTTGCCACCCATGCGACCAAAAATCAGCATTCCATGTCCACCCAGTCAACGTCATTTCTTCCGAGTATGACAACCACCAAACTCATTCTTCATGACTCTGCAAGTGGATTTTCATGCTCGAATCCGGGCTCGAGTGGATCAGCGGCGGGGTCGACATTGTGTCGGAAATGTATGTGGCCGATTGTTGAGACATAATGTTTTGAAACGACAAGTCGAGACCCATGTGGAGACTGGCGTCAACGGTTCTATTTCCAGCACTCTTTCTCTCTCTCTCTCTCTCTGACCAAGAATCAAGTCACTCTCAAAGGACCAAGTCAATGGATGTACCGTTCGCATCCGCAGACTTCCCACGGTTGTGGATGAATGGGCGATGCGACCTATTTCGAGTATGTGTTTGGTTCCGGCGGTGGATTCGAGTGTCATGGGTAGTGGTCTGATTGGCAATGCTTGGTGTCGCTGGGGTCTTGACTGTCGTAATGCTCCGTTACGGATGTTGCAATGGCATATACTCTAAAGAGAAAACCGATGAGTTGCTCAGTGGCAATCTAGACATCATCCCCCGGTCTAGGACCACAACACTGAAATGCTTCGTCACTATCTCCACTGTGCTGCGACAAGGTCGGAAGGAATAGGACATTCGACTCGAGGAAAACGGTTTAGCTATGTCGAAGAACCCAATTAATTCTCCATATCCAATGTCATCATTTCTCGGTTTGCACACCATCAATGCCCACAACTGACGAAACAGTATCCTCCCGACCTGGTCCTTGATTTGCAGACTCCGACAGATTTGCATCTGTGTTTAGCAGGGCAACCTTGCCAGAACTTTGCTATGCATGTTTTTAGCGCTCATACACGGTTTGTATCTTCAGATATTCGATGCAAGACTCCATGAATGCAACTGAATCAAATGTCTATAACAAATATTAATTTCAAGTCCATGGTTATTTCAATCAGATAGCATGTCCTCGTACCTCTCATCCCTCAATTCTGCCCCAAAATCAATAAAAATGCTGAAAGCGTCCAGGGGGATTGCCAGGCAACGACCAGAATGAGTTACGTGGAGGTTACGGGTCTTCATGACGGTGGGCCCATAATCAATGGTAATTTATGTTGAGACCCGTTATCTAAAAATATCGCATGGTAATTACCTGGGTATTATTTCGGTGCTCCACCTGCAACAATACATGTAGAAATTCAAGCTGGCGAGAAAGCAGTTGGCCGAGTGCTGAAATTGCTAGAATGTTATATTTTGGTAGAAGTGATGATATTGCATGGCCAATTAGTATTGATTGATCGCTATTCCGGGCTTGCTTGGATATTTTGCTGTTCTCTATAACCGTTCAAGTAGACAGTGACGATGGATATATTTCCCGCATGAAGGCCCCTACACAATGTAAAAACCATGCCAACGACGACGCAATTCAATTCCAGCTACTTGTCCAGCAAAAACCCAGCTTCTCTTCCATATTGAATCCCTAGCTTCAATTGTTTTATGCTGCAACTGTTCTCGCAGAAGCGATGATTCACACCACGACCGCCGCTGATTGGCCAAGACGGGCACCGCTCCACCGATCAAAAAAAAAAAAAAACATCAAACCCGAACAATGCTGGGAAATGCCAGCAGTTCAATGATGCACCATGAGCAAGCGGTCGCTCGAGGAGTCGCGGGGTGCCCAGGAGCCCGATAACAATGGCCTGGTGCCCATCCACGACCTGCTCTCGCCCGGCGAGGAGCAGCCGGGCCAGCCGTCGGGCCCATCCAAAAAGCCCAGGAACTTCATTGCCACGGTGGTAAGCTGGACCTTGATACTATCCAGATAGGAATCTGCACAATGCCACAAATGCCACTGTCATCCATACTGATGAGATCAATAGGCCTGCGAGAACTGTCGCGTGAAGAAGACCAGATGCGACGAGTCACGGCCCAGGTGTGGGCTGTGCAAGTCCCTCGGTCTCGAGTGTGTCTACAATGAGCGCAAATCATCCAAGTAAGCCTTTTATATGTGGCCGTGGATGTCCATGGTTGCCCATGCTGACCCAACTCGCAGACGAGATCAGTCTCTCACGATGATCATGAGCACTCTTCATCGACTGGAGACCAAGCTGGAGAGTATGCCCACTTCTATTGTCAAGGACCTGCAGTCCCTTCGTCGGGCTGTCGATGGGCCGCAGCAGCCGCAGACACAGCCGTCGCCGGCCGTCGGCGTGGGTGGTAGCGCGCTCACCTCCATGCCCACCTCAGCGGGGGAGACCCTGACCCCGGGGGCACAGGTTCACGATCACGATGACTTTGACTTTGAAGAAAACCAAACGGCCACCGATTCTGCCGACCGGGTCTCCATCTCATTCAGCCAGCACGGAGTCATTCTCTGGCCCGGCGCACGGCGGATTCTTCCCGAGCAGCTCCTCGCCACCCATGAGATGCTGGGCAAGAACTATGTGATTGAACTGGAGTCGACGCGACCTCCACTGCCCATGTTCACCGGCTCATTTCCACTGCAGGCGGGCGACCACTGGCTGGAGGCGCTGCCTCTGGCCATGATCAAGGGTCTCGCGGATGCCTTCTTCAGCGTTTTCAATCCATTTACTCCTATTATGGACAAGGCCTTTTTCTTTTCCTTTACGCTTGGCTCGGCCATTGAAAGTGGCTTTGGATATACCGTGGAGAGCTGCCTGGTCCTCAATGTCCTGGCGCTGGGCTGTCTCGCTGTCCTCGCTCACCAGGAAGGTAACTATCCTTTACCGGGGACGCAGAGCCACCGTTTTGAGCCTCCAGAGTGGATGAACGTGGTCTTTGGGGAGCAGCCCGGACTGCGTTTTTTCAATGAGGCCCGCCGGCGTATCGGGTTCCTGATGTGTGACAACGACATCCAGAGCTGCCAGTTTTATCTGCTGTCTTCGTACGTGCCGAGCTCCATAAAGTGATGCTTATATTCTGACTCTGGGCCAGTGTATACTACAACCAGATTCTCCGACCCATGGACTCATGGGCTATGATCCACCGCGCGGCCACCTGCTGCCTCTCAATGCTAACCAAGTAAGTTATTGTTGTCTTAGACCGACAGGCTGTCTTCTCGCTTCCGTATAGCTGACCATTCCAGTCACGATGTCAACTTTGACGAATGGGAAGGCGACATGAAGTCCCGGGTGTACTGGAACTGCCTGATGAATGAAACCATCCTCGTCCAAGAGCTGCATCTGCCGCCGAGCGGGCTCTCGCGGCTCGAAGAACGGGTCCCGATCCCCAAGTTCATTAGCTTCGAAACTACCGGCTATGTGTCGACCCCGTTTGCCTCGTCAAGCGTGGTCGACGACTCGTATTTCCAGTATCATTTCCTGGCGCAAGTGGCACACCGAATCATCCTGACGCGGATCCGCCATTCTCTCTACTTCTACTGTGAGTTCAGCATACCATCTCTCTCTCTTCTTCCCCACCTCTCCATATCTACTTCAGCTCTTTAACACTATGAAAATCTAGCCGACTCAGGAACCTTCCCTCTTCCCGCCGTCAACGCTGAGCTCCATCACCAACTAGAGCAATGGCGCACCAACCTCCCCCCAACCATTCAATTCAGCATCAGCTCTTCACCTCTACCGTCCAATTCACACACGACGCCCGCCGAGCAGTCGGGCTCCTCAATCCACCCCTCACCCTCCCCTGCAGCAACAACAACACTCCCCAACAACCCGATCTCCCCCCGACCAACCGACTCCACAAATCGACCCCTCTCCCCCGCAACAGCCATCACCGACGCCATGCTCCGCGGCCGGTACCAGATCGCCCGATTCCACATCGGGCGTCCGTACCTGTACAAGGCGCTACGCATCCCCGGCTCCTTGACAGACGAGGACTTTGAGCAGATCAAGAGCGGGCTGCTGAATGCCATGGACTGGCCCGTGACGCAGGGCATCTTTCGGAAGATGAAGAGTTGTATTCCGATTAAGTTTGCGTTTTGTTCGCAGTGAGTTTGCCCTACTTTTTCTTCTTCTTCTTCTTCTTCTTCTTCTCCGTCATTGTTTTTTTTTGCCTTGAATGGGTTCACCCAACTAACACTGTATATGCTTTGTCTTAAATAGATTCTTCGGCCAAATCCTTCTCTTCTATTGCATCGCTCATTCCCCCACCCTCCGTCTCCGTGAAACCCTCCCCTCGGGCTGGGAGCGCTGGAACGAAGAGATGCTTCGCTTTCTGGAGGAGTGCGCGCCGCATAGTCCGGCTGTGACGCAAGATCTGGGGCTTTTGCGTTCGCTGTGGCCTGAGTCCGAGTCCGAGCCCGAGTGATTCTATCTTTGCTATCTGTCTTTCATTGTTCTTTCGTTTGTATATCACCATTTCTGCTTCTTTCTTTCTTTCTTTCTTTCTTTCTTTCTTTCCCCTTGATTTCTTGTCGGGGTTATACGGCATTGCAGCACGGTGTTGGTTGGGAGTTGAATACGGCAGGACAGGGCAGGTCTTGCCTCAGCATCTACGGAATAAAGTAATCATTGAAATGGAAATAGACATCCGGATCGAATCGCATTAGGTATATGGATGACTATGTACGATCGCCAGATCCGGTATCGTTGCTCGAGGAATCGTGGGGCAAGGGTAGAAAGGGTATTGCATCGAAAAGAGAGAGAAATGGAAAAAGAACATGATCATCAACATCAAAAGCAATATCATATAATGTCAATGATGCCCCTCCAATATCATGAAGAACCACCAGCATCACAGAGCCCACTCATCGGCGGTTTCCAAGTCTGCGATGAACGGCTTGTCAATCTGCTTGATAGCGTGGTCGCCGCAGAGAATACTAATAGAAAAAGAAATATTAGTACTTGACACCGGGGAAACAAAACTCAGAACAAAAATTTAGAAAGTAACATACCATGCTTCAGCAACCAGCCCATCCAATTCTTTGACAATCTCCTCCCTCCTAGTCGAAGACAGATCACCCTTGCTCAGATGAGCCTGCAGATCCCGAATATACTTCTTCTTACCCCCCGCGCCGCCCAGTACCTCCTTACCAAGACAGTCGCTATGAAAAGCATGCTGGCACGGGAAGACAAAGAACTGGCGGCTCAACAGGGGCAGCGAGCAGATCCAGCATTTCTCGCCGGGCTCGACGATGGCGTAGCGCGTATCCAGACCGGCAATCTCCGACCGAATCTGGCGGGCTGTCTGTGCCGAGTTATCCATTTCCTGGCGCAGGGCGTCGATATGCCGCGAGTAATCCTCCAAGGCGGTGCAGATCTCATCCTTGAAGTCGTCGATGACGACGAAGTCCGGGAAGAAGGGGATCAAATCCTCGATACGGAGGAGCTCGCAGCGGCGCAAAAATTCGATGGCGTCTTTGATGCCCGTGCCGGGCTGCCGGATCTTCTTCTCGGCAACGAGGAGCCACAGTTTCTTGCGGAGCTTATCGTTGCCTTCTGGGCGATCTGCCACTATTGCCGCGAGTTCGATGTCATCGTGCTCCAAGGCGAGCTCCACGGCTTGCAGGTACTGGCCCATTGCGCTGTAAATATGGATGCATGATTGCACTCGTTGGTGTTGGATGCAGAGCCGGAGGGCGAAGTCTGCGTCATAGGGGGGTGGTGAGGATGGTTGCGATTGGAGATAAGTGAGCAGCCCGGCTTCAGAGTTGGATGGGCTGGAGGCATGGATGGAGATGAGGGTGTTGTGCACAGCTGCGGATGGCTTTGGGTGGTTGACGATTATGAAGTTCAGATAGCGCACGGCCTGGTTCTGGTTGAGAGAGACATTGGCGGACTTGTTGTAGTTCAGCAGCGCCGGGATCAGTCTCTCCGGATCCAGGTTTGTCTGCCGCATCAAGATCTCCACCAGCCCGGTGGCCGCATGTGTCATGAGCACGCTGCTGTACTTGTAGAACACATCGGGGTCACTCTGTCGCTGCAGAACGTTCAAGGCCTCTGCCCACTTCTCCCGTTGGATCCAATATGACAGGACATAATTGTGGTCGTTAGTGACGGTTGCAAAAAACAGTAGCTCTTCTTCGCGGCCGTGGCTGCTGATGATCCCATAAACGGTTTTCTTATTCAAATCAGTCTTGTGCTTGTTCACGAAATCTTGGAATTCGGATCGGACGCTGCCCAGTTGATCCTGAACTTCCCCGGTGCTCGCGGCTTCTGTGAGTTCGGCCTTGGTCGCGATATTGTCATCAAGGGAATTCAATTTGGACATGAACAGCTCCACAAGCCAACTTGCGACCATGATCCTCTGCGTGACAGATGCTTTCCTGTACGTGGACAGCTGCGAGAGAAGATATTTACGCAGCGCATCGTGTTCCTTGTGGTCGATCATTGTCAGACAAACCTCCTCGAATCCTTTGCTGCTCTTGCCCCAGACCTTGGCCGCTTCAACAAAGCGACCTCGGTCGGCGAGAGAGTCACCTGAGGCAGTCAAAACAGCATCCCGATGTGCAGGACCGCGGGCGTATTGGAGTGCTTCATCATATTTCTGCTCCCGCAGAAACACTTTCCATACATCCCTATCCTCGTCATTGGCCACGACTTCAAAAATCTCCTGGCTAGTGAAGAGCCAGTAGGTGTTTTGGGTGAGATCAGTCAGAAGACCCAGCGCACTTTGCCCGGGCTCCAGAACAGCCTGATCGTAGACGACTTCCTCATTGAGACGGTTGACCGCAACCACCCTGCCTTCAACGAGTGCCAGAACATGCCACCGCGACAGGGTCGTTGCGGTAATCGGGTTCTGGATCAATCTTTTCCCTCCTCGTGCGGATTCAGAAGCGGGGAAAACCGAGCGCGCAAGCATTTTCGCATGGTCAAATGGTGACTCCGACGCAAGCTGTCCATGGAAGATTCCTTGCGCACTGAGCCAGGCGAATTCCTTCTCAGTATGCCCATCCCCCTGATGACCCTCCGACAGAGACGAAGAGACTACTAGAGATGATGGCGCAGACCCGGATGGATTTTGGGCTTCATGTGTCAAAGGTGTTTCGCGTTGGAAAAGCTCCGCATATATCGAACCGCCACCTTCTCTTCCGTGCCGCGTGGCCCCTGTTCGACCAAGGAAATGAAACAATTTTCCATAAGTGGCAACAAGCACCCGGCGTTGCTCAGGCTTCGCGGGCCCTGGTTCCGCACTGATTCCAATCACCGGTGAGGCGTTCGGCACCTTGTAGACCGCGGTGACATATTTCTCCTCGCGCCGGTAGAACTCCGTGGACGGTTCAATGTAGGTTTCGTAGATGTTGCCATCAGTTGTTCCCAGCAGAATCTCGCGAGTGGATGCAGTGGGCAGCGAGGGATTCCAGGCGATGCTTTCGATGGATACACCCTTTAACCGAGACAAGGCCTTAGGCTGTCGGGACTGGGTATGGAGGTAGTAGTTTTCGCCGAGTGTAGTACTGATGATCAAATGAGACGCCGACGGGTCCAGGAACATTCGCCGAATCAATCCGATTTCTGAGGACTTCTTGGGGAGGTCGATGTCTGTTGCAGATGGGCGGAATGGAGCTTAGCGGGACACCACAAATTTCGCTGCAGAAAATAGCCCAGGAGCTTACCATCAATATCCTCAGGGGTATCCAAGTCAATGCGAAGAATTCGGCCGGTAGACAAGGCCAGCACAAGCACGTTGTTGGCAACCTGCGCCGCCACGAAGTCCGCTGCGATCGGAAACTGCAGCTGTACTCGCTGGACATCAAACATGGGAAGAGAGTCGGGCTCAGCTAAGTTGCTGGGAGCAACATAACTGCTGGATCCATCCAGCGCCATGGTGCGCGCGCAGCTATATCATAGCAGAGTCGCAAGCTGAGGAAGAGTGGAGAGGCAGCTGTCCGAGGGATGCGGAGTCACTGCCTGAGGCAACAATTTACATGCCCGGGAGTTCTCTGACAGCAAGTCATTTATGGACATTTTACAGAAGCTCTCGTAGATCAATAAAAATATGGTTTGATTTGCACTATGTCTCCTCGCTCAAATGCATGGGGTATCACTCAAACAAATCACTCAGAAACATCAGTATCTCGAATCGTGCATTACATCACAATGCACTCCCGCTCCAGTCTCCGGTTCTTGTCCTTGGACTTCTCCTTGGGCTTGCCTTTGAAGCGCTCGTAGTCCTTGGTCTTCCCACCTCCCCTTCCTTTGCCCTCAATTGCACTGAGCCCGAGCTTCATGTCATCAGACGAGCCGTCATCTTCCAGGGCGGACTCATCACCTTCACCTTCAGTAGTGAACCCGTCGGTGGCGATGCGGTCTTTGCTGAGCCGCCCAGCAAAGCGAGAGAAAGTGGCACTAATTCGATTCTCGCCAGACTGGCTGTTGGTACGGCTGCCAGAGTTACTCTTCGTGGCTCTGGACCCGCGCCGAGAGAATGGAAATGGCCCTCGAGCGCCTTCCACTTCCAGGGGCATCAGTTGGGGCGAGAAGGACGGGACGGAACGCGGCTGAAGTCCACCGGTGTGACCGGTTTCGGAAAATGTCACACTGGGCCGTCTCCCTGGATTGTTCGTCATATGGGCACCTGGATCGTCGGGCCCGGTGACTTCAAGGCTGGGCCGGCCAGAAGCTGGATCCTCAGCATTGCTGTCATCTGCCTGGTTTGTCGAAAGCGCACCCAACTGATGGGAGAGGCCAGCCAGGTCAAGTTCCAGAGCCATATCTGAGGCTCGGGAGGACGGCGCGGTGGCTGGGAGGTTGGCGACCGCTGCATCTTGATCGATGGGGAGGATCTGGTAGAAAAGAAGGTAGGGTGACTCTGTCTTGAGGGCCTGGTCGATGTCCACCAGGGTCACTCGCTCAGCGGCCAAGTCGTCAAAGCGCATCCAGTAGCGCGATGGCTCCGGCGTCTGGCGATCTGAGCCACTAGAGCTAGGCGGGGCAGGGTTGGCACTCGTGCCTCGAACAATGGCAATATAGTGCCCAGAGTCAACTGAGTTCCCCCGGTGACAGACCAGAGACTGCAGAGAGAGCTTGAAATTCCCATAGATGGAAGCATTGGCATCCAGGTTATCATCCTGGATAAAGTGAGGCAGCCCAATCTCCGTCGGGATGTCGACGTAGGTGTTGAGTCTCACAGCCTTTCCATTGGGGAGGACGCTGTAGCGTTTCAGACACAATCCCAGAACCGGCCTTTTCGAGGTGAAGTGCGCCGCAACCTGGGCATCATTAGTTGGCGTGTTATCGGTGTACCATGCTGGGAAGAAAATAGTGTCAGCTCGTTTTTAAACCAAACACATTATGTTGGAACGTACGAATAAGGCTGAAAAATTGCCATGCAGGCATCATAACCTCTTTCCGGTAGATACCCTTCCGTCCTTCAGCCTCTGAGGTGGCAGCATCATTTTCAACAGAGCTTTCCCCACTTGAGTCAGGAATAAAGCGCTCTCGAACAATACTATTACGCCGGGGAAGGCTTGTGGATGATCGTAGGGTTTCGCTGAACTCGGCGAATGAGGACCATGGAGTCACATTTTCGACCTGTGGAGAATTGGAAGGAACTGGCGACAGCGTAGGAGTAGCATCAGCCTCAACAACCTCCACATGGGCCGTGAAGCCTTTCGAAATGGAGAGAGAATCCATGGATTTGGTGGAGCTGAGAGTGTTACGCCGCTCCAAGTACCGTTTTACTTCAATCTTGTTGTTGAAGTAAGCCTCCAGGCAATCCTCCAGAGTGAGATTCCGGCCACCAGTAGGCTCAGGTGGTATAGCAACCTCGAGGAGTCTCTCATTGACGAATTTGTGATCGCCGCTCTCATCTTCCTTCCCTGTGTGATAGATATCCATCTTTAAGGTCAGAAGAGGCAGTTCGAGCTTCCCCGTGATAAAGGTAAAAGCTTCAGAGGCATCTTGCTGTTGCAATTTGGCTGCATCCTCCCAGCCACATTCAGCAAGCGCACCTTGCAGATACTCTGTCTGTTTGTGTCTTGGTTAGCATCGGCGCACACAAAAGAACTAGGGTGGTACATACAAAGTCGGTGCTAATAAGTCTCCCCGATCGCAGCATGTTAACCCATAATCTCAAGACAATGATGAGCTTCCGACGAGGTTCGTCGCTGAATGTTTTGTACAAAATGCCTTCGAAGCTGTCAAGACGCGCAAACATAGCGAACAGTAGTGCGTCTAAGTAGCAGGTGACACCCTGGCGATTCACTGCGCCGAGGAGCTTGGTGCTGGGCGTATAGCTTCGGATGATGCCCTCAATAGAGTCCTGCAACAACAGCAGCAGGCCAAATGCCATGTCCACATCCCCTTGAGCAGAGGACAATGCATAACGGAAATGGTGTTCTTCTAAATTCGAAATCCCAATTTGTCTGATGCGACTTTTGAGACTTTCGAGCTAGACACAGACAAAATGTTAGACATCAGTGCAAGCTGACTATCAGGTGATCAGGCAGTACCTTTTTCTCACTGTCTTGGCTGACTTCTGGGGGTGTCTCTGATGAGAAGAACCCTCGAAATGATGGCCGCGAGAGAACTTGTGATCCCTGTAAGATATATATGAGTTAAGCCACACCATCCAAAGCATAGGTTTAGTGTTATAAGGTTGTGTCGTGTGGAAATTGCGCCATACCTCATCTTTGCTCTGCTTGGCCGACCGGTTTTGCCGATCACGCCGGGTTAGGAATCGATGGATCCCACTCATTTTAGCAAGTAGGACCCGAGATCCTCTTGAAGAACAGGAGTTCTAGAGGGAAGGACAAGATCTTGAGGTCAAAAGAGGCATAGAAGAAAGAGAGTGGAAGACCAGCACAGAGCTTAGTCGAGGCGTGGTTTGCATGGAAAACATAACAGGACACATCGTCTGTCCACGAGGTCTTTAGATGCCAGACGAAGCGAATGACTGAAACGAAACAGGCAGACGCGTCCATGGAAGATATCGCGGGATGATCTATGTTGATCACTTTGGCGGGGCATGAGATCACTGGTCAGCGCCTGAACTGGCCGCCCGAAATATCAGGCGTAGATGCACGTGATGAGCATCCGAGGGCGCAAACAATTTTTGGTCGGGGATGCGACCTCCTCATTTCACCACCCTCCACTTTCCATTAAGAATGGCTGCCCGGGAGCCATCTAGGTATATGGCAAGGGCCCTGCCCAGGGCATTGGGCTCAACGGCCCGCCCACAGGGCATTGCCTGCCGGCGCTTTGCCTCCGATGAGGCTCCGGCTAGACGACTATCGAGCCAGATGGACGAGCTCGAAACCGCGTCATCTTTGGAAGGGACGGTGTCGGAGGATGTTGCAAAATCATTTGATCCAGTTGCACAAGCAAACTCTCGGAAGACCCAACTTCCACGGAGTCGGTATGTGATCACTTTGGCCGGTTCTCCCTAGTGTGCTGGGGGAGAAGATCGGATTGTTTGCAAACACTCCGGCAATGCTGTATAGGGTACAGCTAACGCATGTCACCTATCTGTCAGATACCAATTCCGATCCCCGAAATACTATCGTGGTCCTCTTCACCCTCACCAACCACCGCCGCCATCAGACCCGTCCTCCCGAGTGTTCGTTCCCGGCCCCTTCTCTTCCCCCCGGGCCCAGCAAACGTACACCTCGACCATTGCACAAGACATTCTTGCTCTGTGCTATGTGCACAACCCACCGGGCTTCAAGCCACCTCCCAAAGCACCTCGTCTTCGTGAATGGGACGACAGCCCCCCTACCATAAGAACCGGCCCCTCCGTGGACCGCGTGGTGGGGATGTCCTGCGTCTTCTGCGCAAGCCAATCCGGTTCAACAACATTCCTCAGGTGGAGCGCATCACGATCCACAGCCATGTGAAGGGGGCCATCAAGGAGAACTCGTCGTGGCTGCATGTGGCGGGAATGGCCATTCAGACCATCTCCAATGTGAAAGTCACGACCTACAAGTCCAAGACCAGCGTGCCCTCTTGGGGTGTTGTGCCGGGCCGGGACACTTGTGCTGTCAAGGCAGAGCTGCAGGGTGAAAACATGTATCACTTCTTGGGCAAACTCATCGACGTGGTCCTGCCTCGCATCAAGGACTGGCCTGGTATCAAGGGCAGCAGCGGTGACAGCAGTGGGAACATCACCTTCGGTCTGGCACCGGAGAGCGTTGCCATGTTCCCCGAGATTGAGGTCAACTACGACATGTGAGTGATTCCTCAGCGCTGATTTTTTTTCTTTTTGTCAATCCCCCACAAACCTGACTTCTTTCCTTTCAATAGGTATCCGCCCAAGATGATCCCCGGTTGCCACATTACCCTCCATACTACCGCCAAGGCAGACAAGGATGCACAGCTCCTTTTGAGTGCCCTGGGACTGCCCTTCTATGGAAAGATGATCAACTAAGAGCCTCAACGGGTAGCTTTTCCCGTCGTGTCTTGATTGACTTTCTACCATCCTTTTCACCTGGGTGTTCTGTTGTTTTCTCTTGTCCAATCTGTAACTTTAGAGACGGTCTGCATAGTGGCCACTGTGATTTGTCGGAATTATGTACTATCTTCATTTGAGATAATTTCCCTCCTAAAACCACCTGAAGCATCCAGTAAACCCAATAACACCAGACGTAAATGCCCTTGAGCAGGGCCTGTGGCACTGATTTCATGAATGTTTTCATGTTCAATTACTTGTGTTAGTGCTCTTGCTCCTTGAACTCGTAAATAAGTTTATGTTTTATGTTGATTTTTTGATATTCTATTAGACTCGAAAGTTGGAAAGACGCTGAAAGCTCATGCTCCATTGCATTACTACCGAGAAAATAACCCATGAACCTAGAACCCATGATGCATAAAAATCGTTTTACAGCCATAGAGAGAGAGCACAGCTCCTCATGCGATGGGTGGAGCTAAGAACTCGCACTTCAGCAACTCGTTGGCACTGGGCCGCAGCTCGAAGTCCAACTGGAAGGTCATGTCGAGGAACTCGACCGCCTCCCGACTCACATGCTCTGGGGCCGGAGGCCGGGCCTGGTTGCTGCCAATAGCGAAAATGGCCTGGAGCTGGCTGCAGTCCGGGAAGGGGTGAGCGCCGATGAACATCTCGACGACAAGACAGCCCAAACTCCAGATATCGGCCTTCTTGGTGTGAGCGGTCTGCCGTACAACTTCAGGTGCCATCCAGTACACACTGCCCTGGAGAGACGGTCGGTGGAGATGACCGCCGCCACCGTGACTGGCTCGGGAACCAAGGACGGTGGATGCCTCGACACGTTTCGAGATACCGAAATCGGAGATCTTGACGCCTCCCTTGTTGTCGACAAGGATGTTGGCGCCCTTGATGTCTCGGTGGATAATGTCCTGGCTGTGGAGGTAGGAGAGACCTTTTAGGATCTGGCGGACGAAGTTCTTGACCAGGGGTTCCTGGAAAGTGTTGTATTGCTTCAGCATGGTCGCGATCGAGCCACCTGGCACATATTCCAGGAAAATGTTCAGGTACTGGTCATCGGTAGAGGTGCCAAGGTATTGCACAATGTTCGGATGGTGCATCCCTTGCAGGAGTTCAATCTCATGCTTCAGAGCAGTGACCATGCTGCTCTTTCGTTGATCAAATTCGGTCCCCTTGGTAGCCGAAGGAATCTCCACCTGCTTAACAGCCATGAGTTCACCGGTAATGGCGTGAAGGGCCAAGAACACGCTTCCAAAGGAACCCTCGCCAATCAGAGAGCCCTTCATCCAGTTCTTGGGCGCAAAATTATTTCCGGCCAGGAAGTCGGTCAGGCCTGTGTCGTCCTCTTCTTCATCCTCCTCACCCACAAGAACACTCAATCGATCATTGAACGAGCCACCGTCTGTGGCGGCGGCACTATTACTCTCATCAACCGGGCTCTGGTGCGATGTGATCGGTTCGTCCGAGCCACTATCAAACGAGACATACGACTTGCGATTGGGCTCGACGGGCGACTCCTCCTGAAGTGGCTGGAGAGAACTCGAGGCGACGGAATCTCGGTAAGACGTCTGGGGAAGGCTGAACTTAGAACCCGATACGGGCCGGGGGGCACGCGCCACCTGGGCTCCCCCGGGGGCCTGGAACCAGGAGTCGGCAATGTTAGGAATTGGAGGGATCGGCGGCAATGGCGGCAGCGGCGGCGCATCCTTGAGGCTTGAAGCAACGCTGTAGTTGCTCATGACACTCAGACGACTCGTTGCACGGCTCAGACGTTGAGACCTCCGCATCGTCTTCTCGATGTTCTCTCGATCGTGGCTCGGGAAAAAGGACTGTAGCTCGTGAATAATCATTTCGCTCGGCGGTCTCTGTCCGAAGAATGACCGAAGCTTGGCCACAGGATTGCGATCGCTGGTGGCCGACTGGGGATCTTGGTCACCCGAATTGGCCGGACGTTGCCGAGGACCCAATGGAGATTGGGGTTGCTTGATATTATTCAATGTTTCACCCGTAAGCTGCTCAATCTTTTGTTTCTGTCGCGCGTTGGAATTGTTGAGGGCCATTTGATGCACCACCTGACTTTCATCGTATGCCAGCTGGGATGCACGGCGAAGCTCGTCGAGATCTGGTTCCCCGGCATGAATTTTGCGGAGAATCAAACGGCCACGCTCAGGCCTGTGGGTGCCTTCACAGATATCCATGAGTTCGGAGTCGTTGAGCCTCCTGCAATTTGACTGATCCGCATCCAATCCGTCCAGAACATAGAAACAATAATTTCGGTATTGATGCTCGGGGAGTTGCAGCTTCTTCAACACATGGAGGACGACCTCATCTGGCGTTCTGCAGCTCCGAATGTTCAAGACCTTGGTTTGGCCCCCCGTGTAGATGACGCGGATGACCGGGGAGTTGGGCGGAAGGGGGCCCATGGTGAGGCCATCCAGACTCGGATTCCGAGGGTGAGAGCTGCCGCGACCAGCCTGGCCAACATCACTAGGGGTGCTTGGATTCCGGCCAGAGCTGGAGCCACCTGACGAGGGATGATTCAGATAACCATCTTTGCGCCATGGGCCGTCTCCGGGAGGGGACGTGGGTTGAGGTGATCGACCACCCAGGTAGCCCGAGCTATCATCAACCAGCTGGGACAGGCGCCTGCTCAGGATAGGCATACGGGAACGAGGGTGATCGTTAGAAAGCGTTGCAGCTTCAAGCGTTGCTAATGTATTCTAGACACGAGGTGAGCAAGATGATTGGGGCAACTATTGAGGTGTCACGCATAACTCACCAGGTTCTTTTGCCTCGGATTGGACCCAGACTTGTTCCGGAGCTGTTTGATCGCCACAAAGATGCGCACTCGATCGCCAACCTTCTTGATGCCCATTTCCTGCAGGATCTTTTGATCGCAGTCGATTAAATTGTCTCCATTGAAGTTGTTGGCTAAAACATGTTAATATCACTGCGAGAACCCTATCCGAAGAAACGGTACCTTTGAAGATCGCTTCGTACTGGCCACATTTGATGCTGTGAAGCCATGCCACCACCCGCTTCTCATCCCACGTCCTACTGATGGTCAGCATGATCGCAACTCTTGTCCGTGGTCCTTCGGTGTCCTACCGAACAGATGAGAAATCATCCTGGCCTTCAGAAAACTCTGATTTCGTTGGGCTGGTGAACGCGCCTCCATCTTGAATTTTCGTGGCCGTCGCAGGTCTTTGTGATGTGTTCGCGATGTAGCCATTCGCAGGCGTCTGGGATGGGGGCGCACCCAAGGGCGCGGAGTACTGTTTCGGAGCCAACATAGCTAGATCGAAAGCGATTTCTTTGCCCGCGACTGGTGTTGTTGATGGCCGACTGGTCGATGACTTTCGATCGTCGCGCCCTTTTCCCCCACCTTCTCAACCAAAAAAACAGTAGTCGCGCCGATAACGGAAAGCCGTAGGAAGACGCGACGTAGATCAACGCATACTATGGAGAGTCTAGGTATGGAGTTAGCTTTGTGTGCTGGGTTGGATTGTGGTCGCAGTGGTAGACCTGAGAGGATGCGATGAGGCTCCGGGGCCTCCGGGGCAGGGGTGATGAGAGAGGGGCCACACGACTGCGTAGCATGCAGCTCAATTGTAGGCTCACCGGACAATGGACAAGGGACCTTGCCAAAAGGGCTGGATTGTAACCGCAACTGATTGCAGCAGGTCTGAGCTTTTTTTGGGGGCGAGATCGAGGGGCCACTTAGTGCCGTGATCGATACACACTTCCCCCCACTCAAACTGACAGGCAGAAAAGACGAACTTGACAGACGAAGATGAAGAGGGAGAAGAAGTAGAAGTTGGGAACTTTGGAGAGACTTGAAACACCCGTGACATCGCGGGGCCTCTGACTAAGAGTGTGCTACCTTGGGCCATCAAGGGGGACAAGCTCCCACGCGTTTTCCTTTTCATTTCATCGGAGACTGTCTCATCCCTTGAACATCGCTCTTTCTTTCTCCCCCTGTCCATTCCCTTCGCATGTCTTCTCCTGACCGTTCCGCGTCCACTGGTTCGTTGAGGCCTATCGCAAGCCCCACTCGGCGATGAAACAACACTGAAACTGGGCTCGGCTGTTTGACACCCCTTTCAACAGGTCTCGTATCTGGGTATCTCGCCAACTACAATGTATGAGAATCCATCATTTCCCTGTCAATGGCTACAGGCCATTGTCTTTGAGTGTGTTTACATAAGTATCCAGAAGTATCCAACCACAGCATCGGGCAGGATGCTTCGACGGTTCCAGTCTATAAGCCTCTCTATGGTCACCATGCTAATTCCATACCTAGCTAGTCTCCAAATTACAGACTGGATAAATGATCAACCCTCATGGACGCAATCTGCGTTCTTTTCCCGGAGAATTGGTTTCGGCCATGTTCCATCCACTTTTTGCCCTACTGTGCCCTACTCTGCCCTACTCTACCTGGAAGCCATACGAGTCGACATAGAATTCTTCACATCACCAAATTTACTACTGCGATAGTAGCTAGTAAATTCCCCCAGAAATGGATTTTAAGTACTATATTTATAATTATGAATCTATACCCACAGTGATCTCGATCTCTGTGTTCCTCTCCGCAGTGGAGACGTTTGCATTATCGAACCTGGGGGGTCGACACCCCCTCCCAGTCCCCATCTCCAAAGGCCATTCAATTCCCTTTCTCTCAGGAACTTGTCTTCCTCTAGTCCTCTGCCTCGGCCAGCATAAACTCCTCGTTCGTTGCGTCTCGTCCCGGAACCACGTGACTCCCCTCATCCCCACAGTCTTCCCCGCTCGGTCAAAATCTTTCCCCTCTCTTTCTTCCCCATCCCCCCCAAACCCCCCAACGATGGAGGACGACAAGTCAGCCAAGATCAAAAAGAAAGGAGCCGCTCACCGAAAGTCCTTATCTTGCGAGTATTGCAGTCGATCGTTTGCGCGCCTGGAACATCTCCAACGCCATCTCCGCACCCGTTGAGTAACCCTATAATGTCCTTGGGAATTCTGTTTCTTATGTCGGACAACAGATACCAAAGAGAAGCCCTTCTCATGTGACATATGCTCCAAGTCCTTCGCGCGAAGGTAGGCTGGCCCATTGCCCCAGGGACGAGTGCGCCAATCGCTGATCAATCTCATCTGGCGCAGTGACCTCTTGGTGCGACATGAGCGATTAGTCCATCCCGCCGAGAGTGCAGCAAATCGTGAGCATCGTTCGTACAAAAATATCGATAATAACCATGACATTCCCATCCAATCCACCATTATCCCGCCTGCCCACCAGGAATCGCGCATGCTAGAGCTTGCCGACGCTATCCCCGTCCATACTCAAGTGCCGCACCCGCCCGAAGTACAAGTCCAGCCCCCACCCATAGTTGAAACCACGCACTTCAATCCATCTTGGGGCTACGATTTGAATCTTTTATCGCATGCAGCAAGTCATGTCGCGCTGGAAGGAGAGCAGGAGAGCTTGGAATCAATCCGAAAACCTTCGCACTCCGTTGGTCCTTCCTCTCAATCGATTCCTCAGTCCCAGGATAGGACAATTACCGACAGCTATGGAGTAGAGCCGTCAATTCTTGACCTCACTGATCTCGGAGATCCCGTTCAAGACTTCACGGTGTTCTTGGAGAGTGTGGGTCTATCATCTGATTGGGACTCGGGGGTGTTCTCGTCGGTCGAGGAACCCATGTTGCCGCAAAACATGTCCATTGACTCGAAACCCACTCCTCGGGAACCAACCATATCTGCGAGACTCGGTGGAGATCTCATCAATGACCCGCGAGTCGATGAACAGCCTTCTTTCTCCAATTTTGGGTCACGGCTACCGTCCTTGCAACCCGAATCTCACGAAATTGACGATCGAATCGGCCTTTCAGACGAATCCACCCGGCCGGCATGGGACATATCGAATACGGAGCGTCAAGTATTCGTATCGAAGCTTGAAGATTTCTCCTTTGTTCTGCCGAAGGGGTTTGTCCCGCCCTCCCGACACGCGCTCTCTCGTTTCTTTGCGGGATACATCAACGGATTGAATGAACATCTTCCGTTTGTTCATGTCCCCACACTGTCAGTTGCCAAGTGCTCGCCTGAGCTGACACTGGCACTGGCAGCGGCTGGTTCACACTATCGGTTCGAAAATAACCGAGGTATTGAACTTTTCCATGCTGCCAAAGCTATCCTCTTGGAACGGCTCCGCCGCAGAGATAGCAAGCAAGTGCCCTATCCCACGTGGAATTATATCTCTCCCCCTTCGGGATTCCATAACTCTCGCGGGTCTTCGATTTCCAACGCAGCGAGCAGCCCGTTCCAGCAGCATCAACATATGCCCAATCCCCCCATCAACGCATCGATATATACGCCTGATGACTCAGACGCTCATATGGAAGTAATCCGGACATTTTTGCTGCTGACAGTATTCGCATCCTGGGAGCGGCATCCGGAACTATTGCGGGAAATTCTCTCGCTTCAAAGCACCCTGGCCAGACTCGTTCGGGAACATGGCTTGTCAGAACCGGCACCTACCTCAGAGCCCATCGGCTGGGAAGAATGGGTTCGACGGGAAGGTAACCGGAGAACGAAGCTCATTGTGTACTGTTTTTTCAATCTTCATTCGATCATGTACAACATCCCTCCCCTGGTCCTGAACGGGGAGCTGAGGTTGAACATGCCCTCTTCCCATGACTTGTGGAAGGCGAACAATGCGACCCAATGGCGACGACTTCACCGGATCCGACAAGGGTCAGAGGTCCCTTTTCAGGAAGCATTTGCTCGACTCTTTCTGAAATCAGCCACGTCGCTTCCATCGACACCGATATCACCCCTTGGAAATTATATCCTTATCCATGCAATTATCCAGCAGATATTCTTTGCGCGACAGCTTTGTCTGTCTGCCCCCAATATGCAGGGCACGAGTTTGAGACAGGATGACCTGAACGTGCTGGACAATTCGTTGAATGCGTGGAAGGCGCTGTGGAAACGCACGCCAGAATCCAGCATCGACCCCCAGAATCCTGCGGGCCCCATTGCATTCACATCAACGGCTCTTTTGGGACTCGCGTATATTCGATTGCACGTCGATCTGGGTCCGTGTCGTCACCTTATCACTCAAGACCCGGTGCAAATCGCAGGGGCCCTGAGTGAATCACCGCCCATTGCGCGCAGCCCACGGCTGATAATGGCGTTGCTGCACTCGGCCCATGCGCTTTCAATTCCAGTGCGACTAGGAATCGACTTCGTCGCTCGGACCCATTCGTTCTTTTGGAGCATCCAGCACTCTCTTTGCAGTCTAGAATGCGCGTTTCTGCTCAGCCGGTGGCTACTTGCCATCCCCGCGACACAGCCCGAGCAGAGGTTGTCAGAGCATGAGCGGAAGCTGCTCTTGTGGATTAAGAGCATGATGGATGAAACCGAAATGGCTGTTGATCCGCCGGGAGCTCCTGACTTGGAGTTCATGGCCGATTCGTTCAAGGTACGGCAGCTCAGTGTTGCTATTGTCCGTGTCTGGGCCCGGACGTTCAAGGGCAATACTAGCTGGGCTATTGTGGATCTGGTCGGATCAAGCTTGGATGCTTATGCCGATCTACTGGAAGGCTGACTCGGTAAACACGCCTGCTGAACTAATGGCCGACATGGTCATATAATGACGCTATTGACGGCATGATTTTCTGATGGATATGATTTGGGAGTTTTGTATATACTGGTGGTTGGGAGGCACCTGGGATGGTTATTTCTTTTGCGCGTGTTCTTTTGTATGTGTACTATGGTTTTCGTTGCTCTCTATACCCCGATGCTTATGCGCCCTCCCCTCTGGGTCATCTTATGGATGTTGGCCCCTCTGAGTCTGGCGTTTGTTTAAAATTTGTTCTTTGTCTTGTTTGTGTCTGAGTAGGGTGAGGGTTTTAAAATATCTGTCATCCCCCTAGACTCTTTCTCTTCCACCTCTCCACTACTTCCATTATAGCACTTGCACCTCTCTACCATTGCTTGACCCTCTTCTAAACCCTTTTTATACCCTTTTCGGTAGTCTATTTATTTAACTTCAAAATATTCTCTCTAAATAATCTTAAAATATCAATATTCCAAACGTCATTCTATTAATCTAGCCCTCCAGATTCATCATGTTACACCCAAAGGCCTGCTCACCACCGAACATCCCGTCATACAAAGGCTTCATGGAGTTTGTGGCGAGGGGTATGAAGGGTCGAATAGGTAAAACTCCCACCGTGGGGACTATTGAGGGCTTCCGTCGTGACTTTGAGGCCGGACTTGTCTTACGGCGCGACTACAAAACCCCCGAAAATGGGACTTCGCATCTTTTGAGCCTTTCGCGGAGGCCACCACCGGTCTTGGAACAGAATGATGGCCGGCTACTCGGCCTCTTCCATTATATCTCGGGTGGAGTTTTACTGGCATGGCTTTGATACGACTCCGCGATCATTATACCACGGACGATAGGAAACACCCCTACAGGTTAAAAGACTCGCACACCCTGCCATATCAGGGAGTTGAATACGCGATTTCCCGGACATAATTGTTCCAAAATGATCTCTGACTCCTAAACCAGGCTTTCCTCAGCCTCTGAACTCGATCACTGCGACCTTAACTTTATGAGTTGTTACAGTAATATTCACCTGCGGCTTTTCAGCCAGAGAGGAAACATTATCATCCATTCAGGACCTGTTATCCATGTACGCGACTGTCGTTCAGTGAAAGGAGAGTCTCTCGCGATATCTCAATATTCATTTAGTTAGCGATGTCGTCAAGGAGATTATTAGCGAATCCTTTGGCTGGCGTCAGCTATGTCTGGCTGGATCTGCTGATTGCAGAGCTATATCGCCAAGTTGGATTGACGTGGTTCACGAGTTGAAATCCGCAGGCATAGAGCGCCGGGAGCATAGCAGTATCTGCTATTACGTACATGGGGTGCCAGTGCAACTTTCTGAATCTGATCATACAATAATCCAAGCTGGCGTTCTCCAGAAGCTTCTCCATGGCCGCATCAAAAGGATGTGCTGACAGAGATAGCCACGGTTATATCAACAATAGCAGAAGTGGAAGAATGGAATCAGTAAACCGCCTCCGGTATATTGCGCATGCGACGAAATGGCGTGCAAAGCAACAGAAGTTGACAGTTTTTCCTAGTAATTGAACATAATCATCGTCTCCCAGAGACCATGCGACAGCGATTGGAGATGCTCCATGACACCCTGCGGCTAACCACCGCGTTCCGGGATGGCGTCCGCTACCTACCGAAGAGTCTGCGGCCGGGTCTAGTTCCGTGTTATTAGATACGAATAGAGATCTGGGCCTTGGTCACCCAAGTTAGAGCACCAGCGCTGTCAGTACCGACATCAGACAGCAGGGTACGGAATCGCAGCTGCCTGCAGAAAGTAAAACTTATTTCTGACGCGATTATGGACTTAATTGATAAACGACAAGCAAACCCCATATATCAATCTTTCTCGTGTTATGCTCGCGTTGCTCGCAGGCTTCGCTCCTCCAGCTGTTACTGGGCACCCACTGCAGACTCAGCAGAATTCAAGATCACAACAGAATCAAAACGATCGAACACTGAATACCAATTCTTTCGAGCCCTGCGGTAGGAAACGCTTGAAAGCATCTCCACCACCCTTATACTCGTAAGAATCAAGAGCCATCTCACATGAAACAGGGCCAGGGCTAGCCGACTCAAACATCTGCTGGAGCTGATCACTGGGAACACCATTCAGAAACCCAGCTCCGCCCAAATCAACAGAGTCTCCGCTGTAAGCCCTTCCAAAAATAAGAAAGTCCGACTTCAACAGGCGAAACAGAATCCGTACCAATTGGCGCTGCTGCTCCACACCAAAAAGATGAAACAAGCTGCCAACATATAGAACATCGAATCGACCAACCGAACTGATTATCGATTCAATGAAGCTTTCATCGAAAACATCACCAGAAAAGATGGACGACTGAAAAGTATCCCGATCTTTGAAGAGGTCAAGACCAAGTTCGACAAAGCGGCTGCGGTACTCGAGACCGAACAACACATCCGAACGCCCAGCGTCGAGGGCAAGTCGTCTCAAGTCCTGACCAAAACAACAACCGATATCAAGGATTTTCTGGCCCATGCTCACTCGGTGGACCACTTCGTGGTACACTGGGCATTTGGACATCCGAAATTCAAGAAACAAGAACATTCCTATACAAGGATAGGGATGCCTAATGGTATTCATTAATATCCTAGAAGAAGAAAGTATAAATAAAGACTTACTCTTTAAATGCCTCCTTCCTAAAACGAAGCAAAAAGCCTATCAACGCATCTTCATCTTCAATATCATTATAACGTTGGAAAAAGGAAATAACTTGTGGAGGAAAAGAAAATTCATCTAGAAAATAAGATGAAGCATCCATCTTGTGATAAATAAAACCAATATCGCAAAAATAACGGTCACACAAAGATGAAGATGAGATTCTATCATACAGGGAGAAGCTGCCCTATTTAACATCAGTTCTAACAGTGTCTCCACCTTCACATCACATCCATCGGGCACCATTGTCATTCACCAAACGTCATTATAATGCTAGTCCAAAGCATAATATAGGAGATGCCTGGCCCGACAGGACGATCTATCCCGGATTGACAGTGACCGTGATACCTATATCTTCTATAATTGGCAAACCTAGTGCTGCTCATGCTTTGAGAGGGATAGCACTTTCTCAGTTCAGCTAGCTACAGCTGTGGGATGAAGCCGGGACGGCAGAATAGTCACAGACAGAACACAGATTCCCGGTCTTTCAAGTGTGATGACTCTCTAGTTCGCTGAATATCTACTTGAGTTAACCTCTTCTCCACCCTAATACGTCTCAGGTTCCTTGAAACAGTGGCCAGAAAATACAAGGTATAGAATTCAAGACTGCCTGCTTATTCCTTCGGGTCGCATAACAAATCTGGTTTCCTGGGAGGAAAGAAGGGGGAAATTGCGTAATAGTTTTTCTCTTGAAGGTCTTTCATTAGCATGACGAGAGGAGTACCGTGCATAGCCTCGGAGGAGAGGTGTAGTGCTTAATGATATTGGATAGAAGATGACTCGCTTGAAAATCAAGTCCTTGCGTGAGGAGGACCTGCGGGTACACTATTTAGGTAATCAAAAACCCGTATAGAACGTTTAATATTATGCACGTTTCTGTTCTAAGCCGAGCAGGACATGTGAGATATAACTCTGACAGATTTCACCTCCCACAGCTGATTAGAAGGCGAGAAGTAAGTAGCAGTTGATCTAGTATCCTTAATCAAGGAACCCTACCAGACGCCGATTCAATACTCTGTTGGGATACTATTGCAGGTGAGGTCTAGACAATCCTCACACATGGTATCTATATGGCTTGAAATTGTTCTGTTAGTTAATATTTTCAGAAGACTTAGGTCAGTATTCCTCATACTTTATGCAGGATACACTGGCAGGGGTGTCCTTAAGTATAGTGAAACATACAGGCCTTCCAAAAATGCAAATTTCCCTTGATTAAGACATCTATTCGAGGCTACGGGAGGAAAATGTCCTCTCCAAGAAGACCCAAAATTTAACAATGCAGTAAGTCCTGCATATGTGGTATGTTGCATCCTTATAAATCGTATGTCCAATACAAAAATAATGCTTATTGTGTCCAATCATCCATTCGGATGAACAGAACACACTGTCACAACATCAGATCAATGTGGCCCGTTAGAGCGCCAAGGGTGCTTCCCCACCAACTCAACGATCGATGCCCACTCGGCAAACGACCCCCAAGAGCACACGAGGTGGCCAATCGCGCCCGGATGACAATAATTTCTGCACGCAGCGGTGTCTACTCGGTCTGCAACAGGATGGGACATTGGATGCTCGCTGCCCCAACGAATCACAAAAAAATGGTGAGCACCGATATACAACAGCCAGGATTCGCTGGTGGTCATCTAGCCAACTACTAACTAGCCGGCGTATGGCAATATATGGCGTAAGTACGGCTGAGCGAACGGGAAGCCCTGTTTTCCACACCCTTTTCGAGATCCCGCCGGCCTCTTCGAGAGCCAGACGTTTCTTGGTTTGGGCCGAATCCATTTCTCTGCTGGACATGGTTGAAACGCTCTGTCCGCTAAAAGGAGAGAGGATGAATGAGGATCGTGGTGTGGGTGAGGGGAGAGCAAGAAAGAGGTGAGAGGTGAGAGAGAGCGACCTAAGAGGGCAGGCAGCTGCCTTAAAGGGAAGGATAGAAACATCCTTTGTCGGTATCTCTCCCTCTAGAAATCAGACCCTCACTACATTCATTGTGGTGGTTACAAGCATGGTCCAAAGGACTAAAGGTACCATTTTCAACACATTTCCCGTGCTCAAATACTCTTTGATATTAGGGTTGAATTGATTATGCTTCGTGTGGTCATAAAGCTTGGAAGCTTTCAGAAAGAAATGGTAAAGCATAAGTAGCCAGCATTCAGGTCTGACTGCGAGGCACCCTCGTTTGATTCCTTGTCACGCTTGCGGGCACAAACCGTAGAGCCGACATGGACTGTTCCAATTGATCAATGTCCATTTCATTTGATGCCTCCGACGGAGGCTCTGATGGCTGGGACGCCGTTGCCGGAGGATTCGATTGGGCTGCCGAGCTTCGGCGCCGCAGTCTGCCTTCTTGGGCAGAGGATGTAGTTGAAAGGCGGCGGCGGTGGCTATTCAACGGTCTCAATAATGAGGTCTGTCGATCGATACCATCATTGACAATCCAGAAATTATATGTCTAGCCCCGGTCAGCAAGGTCCAGACATACCAACCTAGGAAGAAACTCACTCGAGGAAACATATGCTTGTCAATTAGATGGAGCTTCCGTTTCTGGGGCGTAGAGCATTTCCGCTCGCATGTCTCAATGAAGCATCCATACTATACCGGTAACTCTATGAGCACTTTTTGTGTCTTCTCAGTTTTGTGGGGGGTATCGCTTCAACTCACCGTCTTCTCCCCACGTGCCCTCCGAGCCATCATGAGCGCATCGTGGGTCTCTTCGATGTGCAGGCTAAGCAAGTGGCCTGTTGGAAAGTTCCTGCTACACTCAGAACAGCGATTGGCATGCGCCTGCAAGTAATGGACTTCGTAGTCCTCGTAGGACCCAAACGAGAGCGTTTCTCGGTGAGGCGGTAAGGAACAATGCATTACTTCGGAGACGGGATCCGGGTCACGGTGGAGGATCTTAGCACGCTCCGGTGATGTGACAGTACCCAAGGATATCGAGGACGTTGAGCGGGACTCGGGCTCGAGGGATGGAGACCTCGAGGGGCTTCGAGAACGCTTCAGCATGGTGTTTGCCGATCAGTTTGTTGAGGATGTGACAGGTCGACTTGGCGGAGGATGGTCGCCGAGAGTTATTCATGGCAGGCTATCCAGACCATCCAGACACACAGTCATCTTCTCCGACCCCTCTAGAGAGAGAAATCCTCAAATTCAATGGCCGATGTTCCGTCGAAAAGTGGAGAGATCGCGGGTGTAGAAGCGGGAGATGGCTTGAACCCAGCCACCCAATCAGCTGCGCCACAGGGGAATTCCACTCGCATTTTCCCCGTTGACGTTCCGCGCTCACACTTCGTTTTGCACGACTGCGACCTCTTCTACTTGCTTCTTCCCTCGTGCGCCCCATCGGTCCTACTGATGGCTTGTCCACTGCTGTCGCCCGACTTCCAGCCAGCCATAGCCATCTGACAGGCGAGGTCAACGGTGGGGGTCAACGGGCCAACATCACTACCTGAGCATGGCGCCCTCGTTCCACGATTCGTGGCAGTCAGTGTTCTCTCATTCTCGGTCCTTGGAGAGTTCAATTGTGGGCATGATCTGACTCTACTGTATCATACAGAATTGCGCTTGAAGCCGAAAGCGAGCTGTTCAAATGCCTCGCCGAGAAAGAGCCCACCTTCGCGGAGATCTCGCACTTTCTGTCTGAGTTAGTACCACGACTCCACGAGTGTCTTTCGACTATGCGCATATCCAGTCTAACACAGTCCTCTCTTCATTGTACAGGTTTCGCACCGCTTGCCAAAATGCCATTCTTCTGGACTTTGACACCGCCCGCGACACCGATGTGGAGGGTCGTCTGTGGGATGCGCATCTGAAACTTAACAACCGGTTTCGCAAGCTGCTGTCTCGCTATCGCGACGAGAATACCAAGAAAAGGCCGGTTGAAAAACGCAAACTTGAGAAACACTATCTGGATTTCATCAAGTCGAGCCAGCGATTCTACCGCGGTTACATCCAGCATCTGTCGTCGCACTTCGGGGGAATAGTGGAGTTGGAGAAAGTGGCGCAAAAGTTCAACTTTGAGAGTAAGTGAATACCTTGGTTCTTGCGCTCCAAATGTCATGGTTTCTCACGTGTTGTTTCTTAGATTTGTCGACGCAGTCAACTCCCAGTGTCCCCCATGACCTGCGCAAGCGTATCCTCCAATCCTGTCACGCGACGCTCATTCGACTCGGAGACCTCTCCCGCTATCGGGAAACCGAGCTTGTGATCAATGAGCGTAACTGGGGACCCGCGATTGGATACTATGATTTGGCGTCGGTGATATACCCCGCGTCGGGTGTATCACACAACCAGTTGGCGGTGATTGCGCTTGCTGATAGCAACCATCTGCGCGCCACCTACCATCTCTATCGCGCCTTGTCCGCTCAAGAGCCTCATCCATCTGCCAAGGGCAATTTGGAAATCGAGTTCAGAAAAATTATGAATGCATGGGCAAAACGGGAACTGATCCGTCCTGAAGATTCTGGTATTCCAGGCAGAGCCCTGGCTCCCTGGTTCGTTTATCTGCATGCCAAGTGCTACAAAGGCACCGATTTCCCGGAGCATGACGAGTTGGAGAGTGAAGTTTTAAGCCAACTCGCAGTTGACATCCGAGAGCGCTCGCTTGAAGGAACGCTTCAGAAATTCTGCTTGGTCAATGTTGCTGCGGAGGATTTTGCTCGTACTCGGTCTATCGGTAAGTGCTGGTAACATGGATGATATTACCAGGCCAATTCTAACCCGAAAACCAGAGGAATCGGTCTCCAATGCGCGCGTCTTCTTCCAGCGGATCAATGTGAAAACCTTCTTCACCCTTCTGCAGATCTTGTTGGTAGAATTGGAACGCTTTGCCGGTGAGGACTCAGACATCAAAGATGCCATCAATGGTCCGGATAAAGTCACTGTCGTGGCACGCCGAATTCTGCCGGCACTGCGGAATTACAGCTCCTGGCTTCTCACGATTAGTGACTTCCTAGTTGCTCAGCGCGAGGAAAGGGACTCGTCTCTCTCGATCCAAATCAAGGAGTTCTGGAAGATTTACGCGGGCACTTTGACCCTCCTGGCATCTACATTTGATGTCGTGCATCTTCCTGAAATCGACTACCTTTTGGAAGAAGATGAAGAGAGCCTGGGTTTTGCGCCTCTGGACCAAGAAGCCACTTCTCGCCGATATGCCGGTGCGGGCAACCAGCCAAAACCTCGAATGAACGACCCTGGAGTGGAAAGACACCACCCAAACATCGAAATGCTTTATCGAGTTCGTGAATTCGTGATCGATGGTCTCGACCTGGTCGTGAGAAATGTATGTGAAAGGATTTGCACGAAAATTACACGCCACATTGCTGACCATATCCTAGAAAATCCCCGTGGTTCTCGTAGATGACCAAGACAAAAAGACATTTATCTATCAGGAAGAAGGATTGCCATCCCAATTCTTTTCCAGCCCCCATGGTCACCAGCACGCACTCTCGACTGCTAGCGTCGAACGCGAGGATATCCCACAAGCAACTCAGGATTCGAACTCTGCTGCAGAGGCTCGCAGCGTGTTTGATGGCTCTCAGTCCGCGTCTGCTTCCATGTCCGCCAATATGCACCGTATTGTTGAAGGTGTCGAACGCCTGGTCGAGTCCGATACATATGAGAATGCCCCCACCGTCCCAGACCAACTTGCTTTCCTGAACGGAGCTGGGGACCTCCCGACGCCGACACCTCCCACGAATATCCCCTCGAATGCTAGTTCATTCCCATTCGGCGAAGAAGCCTTGCAATCGCTGGGCACGCCTATTGCTCCACCACCTGGGCTCGGTCCACCTGGCGCCAGCGCGGCAGACCCTCTTCGAGTACCATCAGCCCAGTCCTATGCACCGCTGCCCACTCTGCCTAGTTTCCCCAGTATCTGGAACAACACGTCCTCTACTCCTCTCCGAGAAACAGCCTCTCCGCGAACCCCACCAGGTCTAGGCCCGCAACCCTCAATGCATCCCATGGTGGCCGGAAATGTCAACTCTGCGGAACGTCCCTCATCCCAGGACCAACTTGCGAATGAGCTCATGCTCCGGCACAGTTTGATGGGCCAGTCCCAATTTCCAAGCTCGCTGGGTGCAAGTGGCTCGGTCCCCTCGACATTTATGCCATCGTCCAATATGTCGGCCACGCCATCCTATCCTGCTGGCAGCGGCTGGGACCGGGATCCTGGTCGAATGATGTTCGGGGCTTTTGATATTTCCAGCCAGCAGCCTCCCAGCAGTTTTGTGAATCCATCATGGGCCAACGATGCGTTTCTCGCCAACACCCTTTCGTCTGGAGCGGGCCACTACGGCTCAGGCATCGTCGGACATCGCAAGTCAACGGCCCAGCTTGGGGCCGTCGGACAGACCCCTCCTTGTGGCCAGGGAGGTTGATCTGACATCCAGGAAAGGCGCTTTCATGGCAGTATATTCTTTTGTGCAAAACCATAACTATCACATCCCTTTCCCGGCTGGGTTTGAGTTTTCCATCAAGTGCGCAACCGGGTTGGCCTGTACCCTTGTTTCATCACAGGGAGAGACTATCTACGCAGTCGCGGAAGCTGATACGCTCTTTTGCATGGCATCCCACCCATCCCAAGCTGGGCATTACTGCGTGCTCGTCTGCTAGTCATCTGGGATCCTAGTAACAGAGGAAGTTCTTGGGCCGCAGGTTCTGTGCTCTCTATTAACACCATCGCAGGAAACATGTGTGGACCTGTTGCTATGCTTCGAGGGAAAATCCATCCCCTATGCAACTCGGCAAACCACTCGGTTTCCCTTCCCTTCGTGACAACACTTTTTATTTTCGATGGGAACTGCGCGTTCAACACGCGATACAGGAAGGAAAGAATGATAGGAATGAGATTTATATTCATACCGAAAAAAAGAAAAAGGTCCCGCAATGTTCATTTGCGGATACGTTGCAGTGTTTTGATTTTTATGCCCTCTCTTATCTTTATATCTTTTTCTGCTATTCGCCTCGACATCAGGAGCGAGCGCATCATGTGTCTTGACTTGACCGCAACGTCAGTTGAATAGTTAATTCCGCATTCAGTGTCTATCAATGGCTTATGCCGATCCGAATCCAGACTTATGTTGTACGATCAATTTCAATAAAAGATAGATCCGAACACGTCCATTCGTGATATCGTTGTCGATAACAAGACACTCTTTTCTTCCCTGTCTTATAAGTTTTGGAGCCCTTGCTTTTCGTCGCACCAGGCCAGGGAACCAAGGCAAGTACGGGTAGATAGTTTCGAGGCTCCCAAAGAAAAGAAAAATGCCTTCAATTCAATATTTCAGACGTTAAGTTGACATCGAAAGAAAAGAAAATAGGAAAAAAGAAAATCGGGTATAGAGGGTTGAATCATCCAGAGTCGAGTAGTGCAAATCCCGTCCCTAGGACTGAAAGATTGCACAGGATCTTCCACAGAAGGAAGATTTATGGTGTTGAAATAGGTGCGTCGAGTCTTTTCGTTATCGTTTTTTCTCTTATCTTTTCCCCTGTACAAGGAAGGATTTGTTTATGAGCGGGTGTAGGTCACCTTGGGGGAGGGGTACCTGTCACAAATGTATCAGATGAGTTTGTCTCAAAAACGAAAGCGGGAAGATAAACACAAAGGGGGAAAGAGAAAGAAAAAAAAAACGTACGAGGGACCCAGCTCCTGGATGCTCTTGCTGGCCAGCCACTGGCCCATGTCGATGCTGTCTTCGAGAGACTTGCCTTGGAGGATACCAGCGACGAAACCACCGGCGAAAGCGTCACTAGGGGGTATGTCAGCATGGATTAAATGAGATTGGTGGGTATTTCAGTCATGGCATGGCTTACCCGGCACCGTTGGTGTCGTTAATGGCCTCCTTGGCGATCTCGTGCACATTGAACTCCTTCACCTGCACATCACCGTTGGGCGAGGCAATGCCGACCACAGTGGGCAAAGTGCCCTGGGTGACGATAGCGATTCTGGGGCGCTGGGTGTTCTTCTTGGGTAGCTGCGCGAGCTTCTTGGCGATCTCAACGACGTCCTCAATGCCCCACTCGTGGCTCGTGGCGTAGGAACGAGCCTCGGTCTCGTTGCAGAAGGTGTAGTCGGTGTAAGGCAGGACGCTGTCCAGCTGTTCCTTGAAGAACTGCGGGATGAAGGGAGCAGACAGCGAGAGCATGAAGACCTGAATGCAGTGGATTGGTCAGGTATATGTCCTTTCTTTTTGCCTGCAAAATATTACCGTACCTTGTTCTTGGCGGCAGCCTCCTCCGCGAGGGCCAGGATGGCCGGGACAGAGACTGTCAGGTGGTAGCCACCGACGTAGAAGACCTGGGCCTTCTCCACAAGCGACCAGATCTGGGGCTGCTTCAGGTGCTCGATCTTGTACTCGTTGGCGGCGGCGAGGTGGGTGCACATGCTGCGGTTGTGGCCGGTGATGACAACACCGCACTTGCCAGTGGGCTGGACATCGTCGACACGGTATTCGGTGTGGACACCAGCCTCCTCACAGGTCTTCTTGAGGGTTTCGCCGTACTTGTCCTTGCCAACACAGCCGATATACAAAACCGAGTTCTCGGGGAGCATGTACTGAGGATGATTGTCAACACCTTCAACGCTCTTGTCCAGTTCAAGGTTTCTTCAGGCATCGCAACATACCTGGGCACCACGAGCGGTGTTCTGAGCAGCACCACCGGGGATCAGCTTGGCGTCACGCTGGAGCAGCTCCTCGTAGAGGCCCATGTGGTTCTCCTCGGCGAGAATAGCGTCATTGTCTTTCAGACCATACTTCTCGAGAAGAGCGGCATCACTGCGTAACCATATCAGCCCGTGGAACTTGGTCGTTTGCAATCGCTAGTTGTTCATACCCGCGAGCCTGAATGTCTATTTGCAGGATTCCGTCAGTAAACCGTTGGACAATCACTAGGAAATGGGTATCACACACCAAGGAGAGGGTTCTCCAAGCACAGCAGAGGGTATCCTTGAGGAGCAGCCATTTTGATGAGTAAAGATAATAAGAATAAGTCAATCGAAGGGCAAAAACAGACGAAAAAAAGTGGGAGGATGGAGGGGTCTGCGGCAGAAAGCCGGGTGGATAACCCGCTCCGCCTTAACTCTTCACATCCATCCCATCTCCACTCCAGTTAGTATTGACGGCCATCAACAACGTTTACTCCAATTCCTTCCCCCTACAAAATGACCGACCCAATTTTGGAGGTCCCTGAAATCATCCAATCTACCACTATCAGATCTAATCCATCCCCAAGCCATGACATCAACCCGGCCTCGGCCGCATCGGAGAAACAACCCGTCGAGCCCGTCTCGTCCACCGAGGCAGGCAGCATCTCCTCCGACCTCGTCGACCCCAGCCGAGTGATTCGGCCCGTCCGCCGGCGCCAGACTCTTCCTCCACTCCCAGACCTGCGCTTTGAACAGAGCTACCTGGCCAGTTTGAAAGATGCCGACACGTGGGGACGAGTCGCGTGGATTACCATTCGCGACCAGGTATGACGGACCTCCGACATAGAGAAAGGGATCTCAGAAGCAGACGGAAAAATCCAGAAGCAATGCATGGCTAACCTTGAACTGCAGGTCATGCTCCCGCTCATCCAGGGCACAGTTTGGACCCTCGCGCTCTCGGGGTGGCGGTTCTGGAACCGCAATGCCTCGCTTAGCGGCCAAACCCTCGGCAGCAGAATCCGCCGATGGTGGTACGAAGTGAACGATTGGCGACTCCCTCCGCTGGGCTGGACGAAGAGCCCGCAGCTGGCCTCGCAGGTCGAGGATGTGAGTACATAACCCGTTGTCCCCCGCATCCGATCTCAAACCGCAAGCCAATGATTATTCTAGTAGAACTAAAGTGGCTGACGGTACCGGAGTTCTTGCAGTTCTATGAGGCCCAGTTTTCCAACGCGGGTGCGGACTGAGGTTGCCATCAAGCGCTAGACAGGGAATCTGGATAGACTCAGGGGGTGTGTATGTGTGAAGGCCGTTGTATTTTCGCTTGCATCATTGGCGTTCATGCTTTTGGAAGGGCGTCTCAACTTGCTGGTTCTCTTCTTTTTCTATCTTTGCATTTCTATATCCCCATTTTTTGCAAGACTTGGTTTATTACTTCCTACGGTTTCTGTGGACTGTGATCCTAATGTCGAATACTGCCTTGCATGGCAATAAGATTATTGTACAGATGCGCAGGGTTCAATTAAAGTGTCTCTACACTGAATTTGACTTCAGAGCCAGGGATGGTTCCTATCACAAGAATACGCGCCTCGCCACGTTTAGGCCTCGAGAGACTCAAAAGACACCTGAAGCAACAAAATATGGGTAATACAGCAAACTCCACATAAATCAATGCCTATGGACCACGAGAAAAACCCAGGTGGTCCAAGAATACCCATCTATTGAATAAATACAAGTCTCACCCTTGTTTGAAAGGGGCCTGAGCTGGTTGCGTCAGGACAGATTCAACTTGGACAACAGTGGGATCGTGCCGAGCTGTACCATTTGCCTCAGCTGGCTGGTTGGCTTTCGCAACCTCGGCGTTGGCAATCAGGGGGAAAGCTGGGCCTGAAAACCCGCTGGGAGCAATCGATCCCTGCTGTGCGGTTGCTTGGGGGTGTTGTGTGGGTGGAATAAATGGCGCAGCCATGACTGGTGCAGGCTGCGAGGCTGTCTGAGGTGCTGGGACAGAGGGGATAGAAGAAGTTGCAGCCATTGTCGGAAACGGCTGGGTTGTCTCTGGCACGAGGCCGGCGGACAACGGTGTAGGTGGTAAACGAGTAGACGAATCGCCTGGTCCGCCGGCATCTTTCATCTGAATGTCTTTTGCAGGAGGTGGCTCCTCCACTGGAGCCGGGGGACCGCCTGGTGTATTGCGCTTGCCGTATCGAAGCTGCACGACGAGGCTAGCTGGCTCCCCGTCTAAGTTCGACTCATCGCCGCTCGCTTCGTCCTCATCATCGCCCTCAAAATCATTTCCGTCGCCATCATCGCCGCCCTGCCACTCGTTGCCGCTATCGCTGCCGCTTGAATGGGCTTCCGATTCATCCTCGAGGTCCTCGACACTGTATCCCGAGTACCCATTTGGATGAGTAGAGTTTCGTGTCCTTTGGGGTCTGGCAATATCTTCTTCCTCTTCTTCAGAATCGCCACGCTGGCCTGCGAGCAGGGCTTCGCCATAGAGACCCCCAGCACGGGATCGAATCTGCCGCCCACTTGCCGTAAACCGAGGCCGTGTAAACTCAGCTGGAGTGACGGTGGAAGGCGCATCGCGATTCGAGCGTCGGCTTGACAAGTCGTCCGAGAATATCTCTTCGTCATCGGAGTAGGTATACTTCAACTTCTTTCCGCGCGTACGACCCTCATACATTGAAAACCCAGGCTCCGGTCGAGAGAATGCAGCCTTTCGCGCGAGGCGATAATCGCGGCGCTTGCGTTTCTGAGATTCTCGTTAGCATCGTCAATTCATTTTTCACAACGGAACGACTTACCTCCTCTGAAGCTTCGAAGCGGGGAATAGCATGCCGAATTCTTTCGCTGAGCTTCTTGTTGTTGGTGCCTTTCTCTTCCTCGAGCTTATCAGCGATGGCTTGGATCTCTGGAATGCTTCCTGCAACACTAAACCAAGTGACGTGCTTCAAAGCTGGGTTGCTTTCCCGGTAAAGGCGAAAGTGCGTATCGTCCTGTCCTTCGATGAGCCAATATCGCCGTTTCAAACTATCGCGACCCCAGGGCTGGACGGAAAGCGGCTGGTTGAGGTCGTCATCATGGCGCGCCTGCTTGAAGGATTCCTTGATCTTCGCCTGAATTGCTTCCGATGATCCCAAAGACCAGAGGACCAAAGCCCTGAGTAATTGCAGCTATAAAGAAGTATGTCAGAATTGGCTGTCGGTGCATCCAGAACAAGTTCGTGTTGACATACGCGTTCTTCGGGTGACATGGCTGCAAAGTTACGCCCCCCACGCAGGGGGTTTTTGTCCTCCCACGCCTTGGGCCACTGCGATTGATGCGTGTGGATCGCTTCTTCGAGAGGACGAGTGTAGTGATTTCGTCTGTAATTTCCAAATATCGAATTAGCCATTAATTCCAAAACTAATTGGCGATTGCGGACAAAAGCGGGACATCAAGGTCTCCGCATGCGCTGGGGCAACAAGTGGCGACCATACTCAACATCCTTCTTGCGGTTCAAAACAAGCCCAAGCAATGCGCACAGAAGTCGCTCGATATATTCTCCAGGCGGGGACTCGGCCACGCCTATCTCAATATCCTGGGGGCCGTAATGTGGTAATCCCCGGGGGAACACGTCGTGGAAACGCGCGCGGAACATGACGATGAACTAAGCAATGCGACAACTCAGCGGGCGTGTTCCAACGTAGAGCGAACGCGTCATGGACGTGTCCACGGACGAGAAACCAAGCAGAAATTCCTGCGACGATGAAAAACTCACGGCAATGTCTGGGTTGTCTGCCAAAACGTATTCATGTGGTGGTGAGGGTGCCCGTTTCGGCGGCGGCGTCTCGGACTCCTTCTTGAAATACTTAGCAATCCCGAGTGGCTTGTCGACTGCCATGGTGGCTTCGTCATCTGTGGGCGGTGCAGATGATAGCGAAGAAAGGTCCGAATCTGAAGGTGCCATGATGGATGTGGTGGGGAGATGGGATGAAGGAGAAAGTGAGTTCGGCGCGACGAGCGTCACCAGCTGCACTGACATCTGCGCCCGAAGGGCGCTCATTCAAGAGATTCTTTACACCACCGAGCCATTCTCGAGCATGAGTTTTGCTATTTATCACCGATTATATCGAGAAAATACAAAGAGACTGACTACTGGGTCCAGAAAGAAAAAAGAAAAAAGAAAAAAAGCAATGGACTGGGTTGCTAAAGAGATCAATTCGCTAGGACATGAAGCTCGGGGATCCGCCTGAGTGCCATATATTGGGCAGTTATAATCGCCTTGAAAGATGAAGGTCACAGGCGCAATTCATTATTTGATTTGAAGACGTTCCTCTGATCAGTACGACTCTTCCATCAGGCTGAATCCTTAAGAGTAGGAATTAATGTTAATTGAGTGAGCACCTCATGGACGTTATGGCGGTGGGATATGCAACTGGGGTAAGCTATGGCAGTGTCAAGACTACCCAAGCACTTCCTCTGCAGACTTTCGAAGGTCGATATGTCGCTGAAGGAACAGCTCGAGAATCGAGGGTTGGCGCGGATCAATGATGACATCACGTGCATGATGTGGTCATCTATGTCACGTGGTGCAGTAGGTAAGCGATGGAGCGCTAGTCCCAATTCAGTTAGGTTAGCGACCGCACCCTAAAGCCCACAGTCCACTTTGTGCGTCCGAATTCTCTCCTCAACAAGCCCATCTTCAATTCGAGGTACGCCGTCTTCCCACCCATCTCAACTCCCCTCCGACTTCAATACTAACCCAACAGTAGACAGTCGCCATGGGTCGTGTGATCCGCAACCAGAGGAAGGGCCGTGGCTCCATTTTCAGTGAGTGCGACCGCAATCTCTTGCCCCGACTTTTTGAAACCTGCGCGTCAAGGGACACAAGGAGAAGAATCCGCCCCGACACACAACATGCACACACAACAGGAATTAGGAAATTGGAGTGCTGATATCAAATTTTTCTCTACTTACAGCGGCTCACACCCGTCTCAACAAGGCGCCTGCTCAGTTCCGTACGCTCGACTACGCCGAGCGTCATGGATACACCCGCGGTGTCGTGAAGGAGATCATCCACGACGCTGGTCGTGGTGCTCCCCTTGCCCAGGTCCAGTTCCGTCACCCCTACAAGTTCAAGATGGTCACCGAGACCTTCATCGCCAACGAGGGCATGTACACCGGCCAGTTCATCTACGCCGGTAAGAGCGCCGCCCTGACCGTCGGCAACGTCCTGCCCCTCGCCTCTATGCCCGAGGGTACCGTCGTGACCAACGTCGAGGAGAAGTCCGGTGACCGTGGTGCTCTGGGCCGCACCTCCGGCAACTACGTGACCGTCATCGGCCAGAACCCCGACGACGGCAAGACCCGCGTTAAGCTGCCCTCCGGCGCCAAGAAGGTTGTCAAGAACACCTCCCGTGGTATGGTCGGCATCGTCGCCGGTGGTGGCCGTACCGACAAGCCCCTGCTCAAGGCTTCGCGTGCCAAGCACAAGTTCGCTGTCAAGCGCAACTCGTGGCCCAAGACTCGTGGTGTTGCCATGAACCCCGTCGATCACGTAAGTTGCGCCTCATCCGCACCAGTCGTGCCGAACAATCTCGCAGTCGCTAACCCTCTTTCTTCCTACAGCCTCACGGTGGTGGTAACCACCAGCACATCGGTAAGGCCTCGACCATCTCCCGCTACGCCGCCCAGGGTCAGAAGGCCGGTCTCATCGCTGCCCGGAGAACCGGTCTGCTCCGTGGTACCCAGAAGACGAAGGATTAAGGGTGATATTACATGGAGTTTTTCTTGTGATGGGTTGAAAATGGAATTCTGCGATGAGACATATGTACCTAGGCGACTGCGGATAAGCATCCCATGCACCCTTAGCGAATTAAGGTTGTGGCCATCATCCTTTTTCCTGTCGAGCAAGCCCAAGGGTGGAATGGGGGGTCCGGGACAACGCCTAGTGTCCAAGGCAGAGCGGAAAATTTTCGAAAAAAGCCGTTGGGGCTCTGAATGATATACCTTTGATCTCTTTTACGCCATTACCTGTAGACTGCACTTTCAATTGTGTTTTGCAGGATTTCTCTGGCTCGAGTGTTGAGAGATCCATGCTTATACAACAGACGATGGCTTGGGTATTTACGAAATGCCCAAGCATCCATGTTTCCTCAATTCTTGTAAACAATTACTGTCAATCTCCCTATAGAGACCAGCCATGTCGACTATTTTATCTCGGTTGCAACTGGCTACCGGATAGAGTATCCCAGTGCTCTTCGAGGCATGGATCCGATTATCACACATGGCTTCGCAAGATTTTAAATCAGGCGACTAAGCCAAAAGTTTTATCTCCATGACATTTGATCTGGAAATGCATAATATTTAGGGTTTATTGGGAATTTACGCGATGGACTTGATCTATCTGCTGAAGGCCGAGTTATATATTCAGGTCTGTCCTAACCAAAATCCAAAATCTTACCTGGCCAACACATTATCAATGATCACAATACACAAATGACCACAAAACCATACCTGCCCTACAAGTTATTACCAACAAAATGTCATGGAAAAGGAAGTGTCTACTGCATCTCCCAGGGCTACAGCGTTGATCTCAAACTGACCAATCAGCAATCCGGCAGGAGATGTTGAAAAGCGAGGAAATCCCGTCTTTTTCACCTGCGTCCTCGTGAACTTCCTAAGTGCTTTTGAACCCTTAGAAATCCAGGGCAAGCCATACTAATATACTGGTATACTGGTATACTGGTATCAATCTCAACTCGCCATGGCAAACCCGACCTCCCCACAAAGGATTCCCCGCCTGCGCTCATCCCGCAGTGCCCTCGTCTCCGAACGGTGGCAAGCCATCGCCCACCGTGACGCTACCATCGACTCTTTTGTTTACGGCGTTCTCACCACCAAGATTTACTGTCGCCCGTCGTGTTCAGCTCGCTTGGCCCGGCGCGCCAACGTCTGTTTTTACGATACCCCAGCGCAAGCCGAGCAAGCCGGGTTCCGGCCCTGTAAGCGTTGCCGGCCACACTCTGGGCAGACCGCGGCTCAGAGTAATCCCCAAGCAGCGATGGTGGACAGGGCATGCACAATGATTCGAGAGCATGTGGCCGCGGGGCTGAAACCGAGGCTGCAAGACCTGGCAACGCAGGCTGGCTTGACGCCCAGTCATTTCCATCGCATGTTTAAGAAGCACATGGGCTTGACGCCCGGGCAGTATGCGAGTGATGTTGCTCACAGGGACATGGCGCCGTCAGCATCGAGGACACCTTCGACGCCCGAGCTTGAAACGCTGCAACAGGATCTAGTGGTGAATGGGGATCGATCGGATCTGCTGAATCTAGATCAGGGTGAGGGCCAGAGCAGGGACCTGGCGGGTATGCTGACTCCCGGATCTGGCGATTTTCCTGTCATTCCAGACGAGCCCTGGAATGACTTCGACGTGCTGTTGGCGGCAGACCAGGATCCGCCATGGTTGCTGGATTCCTTGATTGACCCCAAGATTTCGGCTGAGTCAGGGCAAGGAAGTAACCAAGTAGTTTTTCCAATTTAAACATTTCTTACCTTTCTATCTTGTTGACACCACGCTGCATTTTTCATTTCTATGATTTCCATGCAGATGCGCCCATGGGTGGAGGGACTGGACACCACAATTGGACCAGAAATCCCAAGTGAAACCGCGTTGAAACCCAGCAATTTCCACGTACTGCGCTGTGGCGGAGGAGATAGGCCGTTAATTATAGCAGATCCCAATCCTGCTGGTCTTCCAATGGGAATGTCGGGCATCTCCACCGTCGGCCCACCAACGCGTGTCACAGCTTTGAGGCAATTGAAACGGTCTCAGAAGAAAAGAAAGAAAATAGAAACAAGGAAACGAGGAAAAGAGAGGAAAAAAAAAGAGCGCCAGCAGTCGAGCATGAACGGAAATCCCCTAAGAAACATGCTGGATTTCCATAGTATATTTGGGCGCCTGGAACAGGTGGCCCAAACACTGACACTCCCCGGCTCCACTGATTGTCAGATCGACATGCGCATTGTATCTTGCTGCATTTTACCCTCGAGAGATTCCAAAAACTTTGGTGGCGTGAATAAACTGGGGCCTTATTCGCATGGTCTTCCGTGTCAGGGGGGAGAGAATCTGATATAATTCCAGACCCTTGCCCCATGTTCTTTCCCAACCCCCCCCCCCCCCTCTCTCTCTCTCTCTCTCTCTCTGTCTCTCTGTCTCTGTCTTCCCCCACCAAATACCCCCCCCCCCCCCCCCGTCTTTCGTTTGATTTGATTTTCGGATTGCATCGAATCGCTTTGTTTTCGAGTTCCCTCACGATCGCTCTGACTCGAATACTATCGCATTGTTCCTGCCCACGCTCTCTTGCGAATTCTCCGTTGCATTTATCCTTCCCTCCCTGCATTTCTTACAAAATTATTCACGATGAATGTGAACAAAAGGATCGGTCGGCTCAAGCAGTGGGCTGGAGAGCGCATGGGTGGAGAGGTGAAGACAAACCTTTCGGATGATTTCAAGGCGATGGAGACCGAGATGGGCGTGCGACACGAGGGTAGGCAATAATACACTCGCCCCGCAGTCTCTGAAGAGCGGACTCTGATTCCTCCCTTTTTCTAGGTGTCGAACACATCCACAAGGCCATGACGGCATACGTCAAAGCCATCTCGAAGCGCAACGAGGGAGACGACAAAGAGAGGACCCTTCCAATTGCCCACCTGGGAACAACCATGGTGGGCCACGGGGAGGATTTCGACGCGAGTTCCGAATATGGGCAGTGCTTGACCAGTCAGTCAAATCATCATTGGATTACTGGGAGGGACCTATGGCTGATTGATTTCTGAATAGTGTTTGGAAGGACTGAGGAGCGCATCGCGCGTGTCCAAGAGAGTTACATTGCACAGGCGAATTCGAGCTGGCTTGAGTCCCTGGAGCGGTCGCTGGCGCAGATGAAAGATTGCCAGGTAAGTCTGGGTGGTCTGTGGAATCGCGTCGGGTCCCATGCTCACAGAACACGCAGCAAGCGCGCAAGAAGCTTGACAGCCGACGGTTGGCCTACGATACATCTCTCGCAAAGATGCAGAAAGCGAAACGAGAGGACTTCCGTGTCGAAGAAGAGCTGCGTAGCCAGAAAGTCAAGTATGAAGAAGCTAGCGATGACGTGCTCCGCCGCATGCAAGACATCAAGCTGGCAGAAGCCGACAATGTGATGGACATGTCGGCTTTCCTGGATGCCCAACTGGAATACCACGAGCGCTGCCGGGAGGCACTCATGCAGCTTAAGAATGAATGGCCTGGCGGGTGAGTCTTGGCCCTGCCCATAAGATTTGAAGCTTTGCCGTCGATGCTAATTTTTACTAGGACCAGTCAAGGGCAAGCTCCCAGCCGTCGGCCAATGCGTGCCCGTTCCAACACAGCCCAGTCGCATCAGGAACGATACGAGCCACTGCAAGAGGAATTATTGAATGCTACCGACAGCCGTCCTACCCTGCGGGCCAGCAGAACTACCTCGGCGCATACGACAGGGTCTCCGGCGCGAGACCCCTACGCAGCCAACAATGGGTACCATCGTCCTACTCCGAGCCGCACATCCACGTTTGAAGGCCCTACTCAACTGCGACAGGAGCAGCCCCCCGCGGCATCTCAGTGGATTCAGCGTGCCACCAGCGAAAATCTGACTGGGCGCTCCAGCAGTACCCAACTTGGCGTCGGCCGAGGCTCTGGTGATCCCTATGCGGATCCCGAGGAAGTGAGCTCTTATGGTCGTTCGAGCCCCGAGCGCAGCATGTATGGCCGATCTATTTCTCCTGCAACCTCCCACGGCAGTGTGATATCGCGCCAGGCCAGTGCGACGGCTTTGAACTCGAACGGATCGAACAAGAAGGCTCCTCCACCTCCACCTCCTTCTCGTGCGAAGAAACCCCCGCCGCCTCCACCGCCCATGAAACGTACGCTTCTCGCAGCGACGGATGCGTAGGCATCGGCTGGGCATTCGCATTACTGTCATCTGGTTTTTGAGCATGGGGTTTGGGAGTTGGGACCGTCTCAGTCGGCCGTGGCGCAGGTTCTTATTGTTATCTCTTCCATCGCTGATCCCCCGAATCTTTGGGGATCGATCGTTCCTTGTCGGCTTCAGGGGTTTCATGTGCGTTTGCATGGATAGTCAGATAAGTGGTCATGCCAGGTTTGAAGAAAGCCAGCAAATTCCAAGCGATTTCTTTTGGTAAAGGTGTGTTATATACTGTAGATGTGTGTCGGACTAGTAGGTCGGTATCTTAGTAGGTACCAGATACTTCTGTAATCGGTTTAAACACATACTATTCAGAGGTAACCAGGTACAAGGTTGGGAGAACGGTATCAAATCTACGCAGACCCCCTGTAATCCTCGGCCCCAATGAGTCAGCCACACGTGATCACCGCACTGAAATCTCCTCGCCGCCTCCTGGTGTTAGGTCGCCCTGCTCTGAGAGATTTCCCCGACCAGCGAGTCGCGAAACGCCCGTCCCCTCCATCTCCATTTTCCATCCAACTTTCGCAACGCGCCATCCCAACGCGCCCTGAACACCTGGGGTCACCCAGTCGCGTAGGGATTCGCCCTTTTACTCGCTTTCCCTCACTCCCCCTTTGTCACTCTTACCCACCCCCATAATTCATCGATCGCATCGCCGAAGCTCCGACCACCGGCCCAAAACATCACGCTTTCCATCGCCAAGCATCCCATACAGGCCTTTCCTAGTCGCATACACCCCAACCACACCATCCCATCGCGTTCCTACCCTCCCTCCCGACCGCGCCTCCCTCCCCCCTCTCGCAACGGGCGCGATCTGGCCTGGCAACCGAGTGGAGACCGCGACGTCCCCCCAACGCGACTCCGCTTCGACCTCAAACCACATTGTCTATTCCACAACGGGTTTTGGAGTTGCTTCATGAATTGAAGAACCACGTGCACCAAACATGGCTTCATTGCAGTCGGCGCCAAATGTGGCGCCCGGCAACGTGAGCTTGCCGCCTAACCTGACGCCGCAGCATGTTCAAGAAGTTCTGCATGTGAGTCGAGCTTGTCCCCCTCTACAAAAATCACATCATCCCAAGTCCTACAAGCCTAGCTCGTCAGTTGTCTCGTGTGTGTATGTTGTCTAACCTCGCCACAGAAATTCAAGCAGATGCAAGAACAAGGCGTTCGCCACGATGACCCTGAATACCTGAAAGCCCATAACCTTCTTTCTGCCATCCAACGGCAGCAAGTCTATCAAAAGCAGCGACAAATGGCACAGCAGCGTCAACAACAGATGAACGGTGGTGCTGCCCCGGACCCCACCGCCAATGGTGCCCACGGTATGTCACCTCCCTCGGTCGCGATTTGTGTTCGCGCCAAATCGCCCAAGTCTTTTTGCAGCCACTGACCTTTCTTCATAGCTCGCACTGGCTCAGCTTCCTCGGCAACTGGCGCCGGTCAGGACGCTCTTGCTACTGCCACTCAGCCTCAGACTGCAGGACAGAAGAAAGCTTCGGTCAGTAGTGGTAGCTTTTCGCCAGAGCAATTGGCCACCCTTCGGAATCAAATTCTTGCCTTTAAGATGCTGTCGAAGAATCTCGCCATCCCGAATGCCGTTCAACAACAGCTCTTCGCGTCCAAGAAATCCCAGACGCCCACTCCTGCGGAGAATGTTGCTTCAGCTGAGAGTATTGTTGAGAATGCGGATAAAAGTGGTGGACAAGCTGCCGACCGTGCCGAAGCTACACCGGGCAAGGAGTGGTACGATAGCTTTCAGTCCCCCTACGACTCGCTGTCAAAGACTATCAGCTATACCGACCACGCCAGTCGCGCAAATCGCGTGCGCATCCCAGCTATCTTGCCTCCAGGGATTGATCTGGAACAGGTTCGCGAGGAACGCGAATTGATTTTGTACAACCGGATCACCGCTCGCAAAGCGGAGCTGGCTAAGCTTCCTGCGAACCTCGGCGTGTGGGACACCAGCAAAAGTGATGCACCTACCGGTGACGATTCGCTGAAATTGAAGGCTCTACTCGAATACAAGAAGCTCAATTTGTTGGGCAAGCAAAAGCAACTGCGCAAGCAGGTCCAAAACGAGATGTTCCAATTCGAAAACCTGGGAATCACTGCCAACCGCTCGAACCATCGCCGCATGAAGAAGCAATCGCTCCGCGAGGCACGGGTCACCGAGAAACTCGAGAAGCAACAGCGAGATGCTCGTGAGACTAGGGAAAAGAAGAAACAATACGACCAGCTGCAGGCCATCCTCAACCATGGCGCCGAGCTGGCCAACGCCACGATCCAGCAACGCACTCGCTCTCAGAAACTGGGCCGAATGATGCTCCAGCACCACCAGCACATGGAGCGTGAGGAGCAGAGGCGTGTGGAACGCACAGCGAAGCAACGTCTCCAGGCCTTGAAGGCTAACGATGAAGAGACTTACATGAAGCTCTTGGGACAGGCCAAGGATTCGCGTATTTCTCACCTGCTCAAGCAGACCGACACCTTCTTGAAGCAGCTTGCTGCCTCGGTCAGGGCACAACAGCGCAGCCAGGCTGACAGATATGGCGACGATGAAGAGGACCTCGAAGATGAGGACGAAGAGTTGGCTGATAGCGACGAGGAAGACACTTCTGGAAAGAAGAAGATCGACTACTACGCTGTGGCTCATCGCATCCAGGAGCAGGTCACGGAGCAACCCACTATCCTTGTGGGTGGTACTCTGAAGGAGTACCAGATGAAGGGTTTGCAGTGGATGATTTCGCTTTACAACAACAACCTAAACGGTATCCTGGCCGACGAGATGGGTCTTGGAAAGACGATTCAGACCATCAGTTTGATCACCTACATCATCCAAAAGAAGAGGAATAACGGGCCTTTTCTGGTCATTGTCCCTCTCAGTACGCTGACCAACTGGAATATCGAGTTCGAGAAATGGGCGCCCTCAGTCAGCAAAGTCGTCTACAAGGGCCCTCCCAATGCGCGCAAGCAGCAACAGCAGCAGATCCGTTGGGGCAATTTCCAGGTTCTTTTGACAACCTACGAATACATCATCAAAGACCGGCCAATTCTCAGCAAAGTCAAGTGGACTCACATGATTGTTGATGAGGGTCACCGCATGAAGAACTCCCAGTCCAAGCTGAGCAGCACTCTGTCGCAGTACTACCACAGCCGATACCGTTTGATTTTGACGGGTACCCCTCTGCAAAACAACCTTCCCGAACTGTGGGCTCTGCTCAACTTCGTCCTTCCCAATATCTTCAAGTCCGTCAAGTCATTTGATGAGTGGTTCAACACTCCATTCGCGAACACTGGTGGCCAGGACCGCATGGACCTCAGCGAGGAAGAACAGCTGCTCGTTATCCGCCGTCTTCATAAGGTTCTTCGACCTTTCCTGCTCCGACGTCTGAAGAAGGATGTCGAAAAGGACCTGCCGGACAAGCAGGAGCGGGTTATCAAGTGTCGCTTCTCCGCCTTGCAGACAAAGCTGTACAAGCAACTTGTGACCCACAACAAGATGGCTGTCAGCGATGGGAAGGGTGGCAAGACTGGCATGCGTGGTTTGAGCAACATGCTCATGCAGCTGCGAAAGCTGTGCAACCACCCTTTTGTCTTCGAGCCTGTGGAGGACCAGATGAATCCCAGTCGCATGTCCAACGACCTTTTGTGGCGAACCGCTGGAAAGTTCGAGCTTCTTGACCGGATATTGCCCAAGTTCCGTGCTACTGGCCATCGGGTCTTGATGTTCTTCCAGATGACGCAGATCATGAATATCATGGAGGATTTTCTTCGCTTACGTGGCTTGAAATATCTACGCCTTGATGGTTCGACCAAGTCGGATGACCGTTCGGATCTGTTGAAGTTGTTCAACGACCCCAACTCCGATTACTTCTGTTTCTTGCTTTCGACCCGCGCTGGTGGTCTTGGTCTGAACTTGCAAAGTGCGGACACCGTCATTATCTACGATTCCGACTGGAACCCTCACCAGGATCTGCAAGCCCAGGATCGTGCTCATCGTATCGGACAGAAGAACGAAGTTCGCATCTTGCGACTGATCAGTTCCAACTCGGTTGAGGAGAAAATTCTGGAGCGTGCGCAGTTCAAACTTGACATGGATGGCAAGGTCATTCAGGCCGGAAAGTTCGACAACAAGTCTACCAATGAAGAGCGAGATGCTCTTTTGCGTACCCTTCTGGAGACCGCGGAAGCGGCGGATCAAATCGGCGACCAGGATGAGATGGACGATGACGATCTCAACGATATCATGGCTCGGTCGGAAGGGGAACTGGCTACCTTTCAGCAGATCGATCGGGAGCGAGCGCAGAATGGCGATTACGGCCCTGGCCACCGTTATCCCCGGCTCATGTGTGAGGCCGAACTGCCGGATATCTACATGCAAGAGGACAACCCTGTCACGGAAGAGGTCGAGGTCGAGGTGTCCGGCCGTGGGGCTCGTGAGCGCAAGGTGACCAAGTACGACGACGGTTTGACAGAAGAGCAGTGGCTGATGGCGGTTGACGCCGATGACGATACTATCGAGGATGCTATTGCCCGTAAAGACGCCCGTGTTGAACGTCGCCGAGTCAACAAGGAAAAGCGTGGGAAGAAGGGCCAGGACGTCGAATCTTCGCCTGAGCCTTCTCTGGACGGCTCTGAGACTCCCCAGCAGAAGAAGCGCCGCCGTGGCCCTCCTCCCAAGCGCAAGGCTGAAGAGGTTGTCGAGGAAACCCCACAACCCAAGCGCAAGAGAGGCCGCCAGCCTAAGGTCCCGGATACTCTGAGCAGCGCTGACCGCGCCACGTTGAACCGGATTCTCGAGAGCACAATCCAGTCCTTGATGGAGATGGAGCAGGAGATCCCCGGCGAGGGCTCTGACAGCGAGGAAGGACCCGTTGTCCGTGCGATCATGGAGCCGTTTATGAAACCTCCGCCGCGCTCGTACTATCCCGACTACTACATGATCATTCAGAAGCCCATTGCCATGGAAGCTATTCAGAAGAAGGTCAAGCGAGACGACTACCAAAACCTGAAGGATTTCCGCGACGACATCCACCTGCTCTGCCAGAATGCTCGGACGTACAACGAGGATGGCAGTGTGTTGTTCCAGGATGCCAACGACATTGAGGTAAGTTTTGGTTTCTGAGCTGCTTCCAATCCAGGAAGATACTAATTTTGCAATAGGCCAAATGCGTGGCGGAATTGAAGAAGCACACCGAGGGTCACCCAGAGTTCGCCAATTTCGATGACCCCGGTGTCGGGGATGGCCAGTCGACTGGTGCTGAGACGCCTATGACTGGCAGTACCGCTGGACAGCCCAAGCTCAAGCTGACGTTCAGCAACCCTAATCGGGACAGCGTTAGCACTGGAAACGGCGCTGAATTCGGCGATGAGGAGTAGCACGCTTGAAGTGTGCCTGCCGGGGCAATACCCACCCCAACATGTGTAATCTGAAAGTCTCCTGTTTCTTTTCTTCTCTGTACTTTGAGGAGGGCGTTTTTCTGTGACTGTTTCAACTGGGTGAACTGGGGGGAAAGATGATGGCGCTGTATTCTGTTTCGTTCAATAAGCGATCTACTTTCCCGGGGACAGTGTGGTTCGTCCCCGTGCATGTGTTTTTCTGAAATATGTACCTGCTAGTTAGGGCCATTCGAATTGATTCTTCGAATCAGTGCAATTATCTTGTTCTTGTCTTGCATTCCGTAGTCGACGTTTACCGGATCGAGTGGGTCTGCCCTGTTCGTGCAGAACATCGACGAGAACGGCTGCCGATCTCTCGCTCACCGATCCTTTGCGGCATGTGGTATAAAAGAATGGTTCTTGCTGTTTCCCCGCGGTTCCTCTGCATCTTTCTTGTGTCTCCCTGGTCATGTCTGTGAATCAAGATCTCGCCGGCAAAGTTGCCATCGGTAAGCTCTATTTTCGACTTGAGTACTTTAAGTACTTTAATTACTCCAGTCCTGGAAAGACCAAAAGAAAGAAAAGAAGAGAAGAGAATTGAAGAAGAAGAAACTAATAATATTGACCAGTAACCGGAGCAAGCCGCGGCATCGGCGCCGGCATCGCCCAAAAACTAGCCCAACGCGGCGCCCACATCGCGATAAACTACCTCTCCTCAACAGCCGCCGCCGAATCCATCGCCGAGCAGATCCGTACCAACTACGGCGTGCGCGCCATCACGTTAAAAGCCGATGTCGCGCAGGAGGCCGAAGTGAAGGCGATGTTCGAGGCCGTGCACCGCGAGTTCGGGCGCCTGGATATCGCCGTCAGCAACTCGGGCATCGAGCATTTCGGGACGCTGGGCGAGGTCGCTGGCGAAGAGATTGACCGTGTCTTTGCGGTTAATGTTAAGGGGCAGTTTTTTGTGGCGCAGGAGGCGTTTCGCTATATGGAGGATTTTGGACGGGTTATGTTGACTTCGTCTATTTCGGCTACTAAGGTGAGACACACACACACAAAGAGGAAGAGAGAGAGAGACGAATTGTACAACTACTTACACTACCCAGGGCGTCCCCCGCCACGCCGTCTACGCCGCCTCCAAAGCCGCCGTTCAGGGCATGACCAAGTGCCTAGCCGTCGACTTCGGCTCGCGCAACATTACCGTCAACTGCATTGCCGCCGGCGGCGTCAAGACTGACATGTACACCGAGATGGCGGCCAAGTACATCCCCGGCGGCGAGAACATGTCGCCGCAGCAGATCGACGCCGCCCTGTCCAAGTGGTCTCCGCTCGGCCGGCCCGGCGAGGTGGATGATATCTCGGGCGTGGCAGCGTTGATTGCCAGTCCTGAGTCGCAGTGGTTGACGGGGCAGACGTTCCAGGTATCGGGGGGAGCGGCTATGGCTTAGGGCTTTTTATTTCCCCTGGGTTTCGGGTTTAATTGATTGCCTGGGGCTACTTTTGTTGGGAAGAAGTACTATTGATAATATTTTCGAGTTTATGTCCACATCTTGGTCCTAGAGTTTCTTTTCTAATCTTAGGTTGTTGAACCACCTGCTGCGTTTCCCAACATCCTCGAGAGTATAATGAGACCAGTACAAAATGACTTCAAAGCAAAAACGTCTACTCAGCAACCTTGATGCAGACCTTTCCAACATGAGTCCCAGACTGGAGGTACTCAAAGGCTTTGACAGCTTCTTCAGCAGAGAAGCCGAACTCCTTCTCAACAGGCAGACGAAGTCCCTTGCGCCCAACGAACCGCACAACCTCCTGCAGCAGCTGGGTAGACCCCACGGTGATGCCACGGACCACTGCACCCTTGGACAGCGCAAGGGTAGCAACATCGGGCATTTCCTTGGCCTGAGAGAGGAAGCCAATCACGGAAACGTTGCCTCCCATTTTGACAGAGTTGATACTCTCGGCGATGGTACCGGAGCCACCGTTCTCGAACACGTAGTCCACACCCTCGCCGTTGGTTAGGCGCAGAACCTCCTTGGACCATTCTGGGTGCGTCTTGTAGTTGACGCAGTAGTTGGCGCCGAACTTGGCCTTGACAAACTCGAGTTTCTTGTCACTTGAGGAGGTGATGATGGTGGTGGCTCCGGCGGCTTTGGCTAGGATCAATCCTGTGATCGACACACCCCCGGTTCCTGATAGTTGATGGATGAGCGACAAGATACCTTAAATAATTACCTTAAAGGCAAGCCTTTTCATACCTTGTAACAGAACGATTTGACCAGGCTTCAAGGGAGTCAAGGCGTAGAGGGCGTTCCATGCCGTCACGCCGGTGCAAACCAAGGTGGACCACTCCGAGAAGCTCTGAGGTGAATTCTCTGGCAGTTTGACAGCCGCAATAGCGGGGAGAGTGATATATTCACAGAGGACCCCATCAACAGGACCGCCTTGGCCATTCAGCCAGTCCATCTGCTGGCCGAAGATGTTGGTCGGGTCGAAGGTACCGATCACACGGTCACCCTTGGCGAGATTCTTGACGCCCTCGCCAACACCGACGACGACCCCGGCAGCATCGGAGCAAGGAACAACGTTGTCCTTGACCGGGAAGGGGTAGCCCGAAGTGGCGACGCCGATGTCACGGTAGTTCAAAGAGACCGAGTGGACTTTGATCAAGACTTCGTGTTTGGTGGGGACGGGGATTTCTTCTTGGAAGGCTTTCAAATTGCGGACTGAGCTCCGGGGGCCATTGATGCGGATGGCTGTCTGGGACATGATGGTCTGAATTCGATGTGATCTGGATTAGAGTGATGAGAGATGAATGGGGTTGAACTTCAGTCCGGAGTCGAGATCTACCTTTATATACCCCTGGTCTGAGTTCCACGTCGTTTGAAGTCTCTATTTGCTGATAAATTCTGATTACTAGAATCTTGATCACCTTTTGAAACCCATGAAGTGACGATGTATAGACTTTCTACGCGGGTGGATCCAAATCCCCAAAATTGGAGAGCGCCATACCCGCACTAAACTCACCTCTCCAAAGACTACACGCCTGAAGATAGCCTGCTATTGCCTGGTATTAGCAAGCACCATGATTAAATTGACATCGCTCGGAAAATTTCAGATCTCTGCAGCAAGAGAACATGAGCTTGGGATACTCGGGTGAATTCAATCGACCATGCTCCATCGCGCTGTCTGTCAATCTTCCCGGCCCTTTCTATACCTTCAGTCAGAGGAAATGGGATTATTTCACTTCTATCAACCCCCTAAATTGACCAATTGAGCATAAGACAATCATCGGCATTGGTCATTAACAGCAACATTTCATTGCGAAACCAAAGCACATAGATGATGGTCGAGCGATCTCCAAATTCGGAGAAGTGGATCGAATCTCATTTGGAGAATTGGACTACAATGATATGAGTCTGGAATTTCGTGATTTGACCATATATTTACTTGGCACGAATATTTCAATCATTTCATACGCTTCGGTCACTTTTGGGCCGGTCCATGATTGTCCTGCTTGAGAGTTTTCATTGATTTCTGGCTGATAGCCGTCTATACTCCACAAGCACCTCGCCTATCATTTGTATGAACGAAAAGGGCGAATTGCCGTGCATTATATGCGACCACACCGTAATGATCCGGTCTGGAAGGATGGCAGGTTGGACAGTCCTTTCAATAGAGTGTTCGTTAACGGATGAGAGTCCCTCGTAAACAACTTCTTGGATCCATTCAACGAGGTGGATTTCACGGTCTTAAGCATTCAGTACATTAATGACTGTTCTGAATAATAAAAGAAGGATAATAAAGCCCGGGGAAGTAAAAACACGAACCTGTCAAGGGCACATCATGCATCGTATCTTGGATGCAAACCAGCCATTTTTCAAGAAATATCGAGCAATCCAGACCACACAAGGTAGCCTCGATACTCCAAAGCACAGACTGGTTGTGTTTGAGATATTGAATACCAAGTTTGACCAATGTAGCAAGGAAATTGGTTGCATGGGATGCTGCCAGAAACGAGCTCCATTCGCGGTCCACGGGCGGGCTTGCTCGAATTGACTGAGCAATCTCGGCCGGTTCCCATGTGAAGATTTTCCTCGTTCGAAACACATCAAAGCAGTTACGAATATATGCAAGGCTCAGCAGTGCACTTGATGTGAAAGGCAAAGGTCCGTTGGGATCCAAAGGTTCTAAGTTGGACTCGGGGGTCTTTTGCCACGAGGAAGTCCACTTTCGCAGAGCAGACCTTGAATTAGTGTAGGGTCAGCGATAGATCCTTGAATTCAAGCTCGAACCTGAGGTGGGGAGCAAATGGAGCCTTTACTCGAAAATAGTCTGGGAGTCATTGGAAGAGGCTAGTGACAAGCTGCCAGCAAGGGATCTTCGAGTCCAGAGAATCTTTTGCAACAATCCATGAATCAACACGTAATTTGCAATTGGCGAGGGAGCCAGGGATTTGGGTTCGACTGAATGGTCCGAAGACAACAGGGCATCCAGAGTATCCTGGAATCGCCGCTGTTCATGGGGAGTATCTTGTCGCAGCAGACTCCAAGTAGTTGCGTCTGGTGCTGTCCACTCTGGACAAGAGCATGGTAGCTTCAAGTTGACTTCATCGCACCAAATGATAGGGGGCACATCAAACGCAATACTATGGATTCCGAGGAAGCAGAAAGCGAACAGTTTAGTGCGTCTTTCTGATTCCCGCCGGGCCCACTGCTTCCAATCTATATCTTCCCGAGCTTGCGGGCTTTCTTCCAATCCACTCAATCTTAGAGATTGTCCAAGTAGGCTCTGTAAGACACAGGCTTCATTTCTGAGGCTCGGATCGCTTTGCCAAGTAGCAAACTGTGCAAGGCAAAGTAGACAGCGCACTTCGTCGATAAATTGTCGTCTGGACGTAGCGTCTTCACCAGATGAAGCCATAGACTGCTTGGTTTCAAACTGTGCACTATTCCGTCGACTAGCAAATAGAAGGGACTTTGAATAGTAGAACAGTTCTGCTGCCGAAGTGCTCTCGAACCTGTCTAATGCCCCAATGGCCATCATAGCCAAGCACAGCTCTGGCGAGCATGACTCGAGCTTGAATGTTGGGGCATGCGTAAAGGGAAAATGGGGATAAAACCCAGTAAAGTACCCAGCGAGATAGCGAGTCAACGCATTGCTTGAAGGTAGTCTGGGATGAGGAAAGTATTTTTCTACTCGTCCTAGCGAGAGGAGTAGCCTGGTTCGATCTGATGGTGCAACAGTAGGACTCGCAAAATGCGGAACAATCTGGGTTGCTGTGTGAAAGTTGTCAGATGTTTCTATAATCAGACCATAAATGAGGCTAATTAAGCTCACCTAGAGACAATTGGGGCGAAGGGAAGATGGTCGGAAATTCATAAGCAGAAGGCCCAGCTTGGTTATTTCCGAACAATGGATATCCACCATGGCCTGTTTTACCCTCTTAATTTGATTAACTTTAAAGCTGTAGGAATGTTGAAAGTAGAGGCGACTGACCGATGTTTTGAAGCCCTTGCTCCGGTATAGGTGAAAATAAATGATTCTCTGACGGAGAGAACGCGTTTCTAAATAAAGTTAGGTATGTTAGACCACTCAAACCTCCTTATGAGTTATCGCAATAAAAAAAAAGGAAGGGTATATGGTTTACCCAAGAGGTCGGTCAGGATTAGTGAGAAAGCCCAAAGAATGGGGCGATTGGTAGGGACCAGAACTGAGCTCTGATCGAGCATGACATTGTCCTGTGGATCTATGATCCAGAGTTATATATGGTGAGTGGTCTTGGCCCGGTGTTAATTGTTCATTGCCATCCAAATTCTGCACAGGCAAGTCGCTGGAGTCCGAGTGATCAGCAATACGCTCATGCCGACGCAAAAGGTCACGTCGAGAGAATGATGCACCACAGCGACAAGGAAAAGGCTTCTCGTTGGTGTCTATAAGAAGTTAGAATTGATGCAACCGTAACTACAGGTGAGATGAACGAACGTCGTCTTGTGTGGCGTTGGAGATGCTCTAGCCTCCGGAATGCTCTCCGACAATACGTGCAAGAGAATTCTTTCCTGGTATCAGAGGCAGATGCTTGAGGCGTCGGCATCAATACGGGTTGTAATATGAGGCTGCAGATATCAAATGCGGCTAATGGATAGTCCAGTCCAGGAATCTTTTGGAGAAGACCTGGTGTGCCGTTGGGGAAAACGCCGAGATGACTCAGCATATTTGTTCGCCTCAGGCTCTCACCTGAATATTCCCAGCGTTAAAAAGAAATTAGAGATTCATGTGTTTTTTGCTTTGTGGTGTGAAATAATCATCGAGGAATCGAATGATATGAGTCGCTGTACTTTGTGATGCCAGAATTGTATACAGCCAGCAGCTATCGCCGAAACGGGAAATTTAGTTTCATAGCCCAAGTTTGGAAATAATAAGACGAAAAGGGTATGAAATACCAATGTACAGTTATCATAGATCACAGTTAATCCTCGACAGCTCTTAGTGCTACTCAGCGGTTCTCTAGCTAGAAGTGTACAAGACATGGGAAGCTATGGGCAACTCTGAAGGCATATCGTAACTCCTAAAAATATTTACAACCAGAATCTAGTTCTGAGCATAGGCTAAGAAATAAGCAGGCTACGCATCCATAGATCTATGGAATGGGTGACCTGATCGACCTGGAGGCTCGGGTTGAAGGGATCCGGGCCCACATCTTGAACCGCCCCTATTCTAGCGCCAGTCGGAACCTTCGCGTGCATCCTTCCGGGGGAACCTATTTAACGAGCTTGTTTGTGTCTAAATTCTTCAAGCGAATCAGGATTTCGCTCTTACACAACAGCGGAAAATGGCCGAATCCAACGAGATCAAGGCCAATTGGCTCGAATATCTTGGTCTCTTTTCCTTGCAGTGCCTTATCCCAGCGGTTTTCCTGGCTGCAACCCCAAAAGGGTCGCGTTGGCGCTATGTGCCCATCGCGGGAATGATCTGGATCACCAAGCATTGCATGCACCCGGTTTCAGACCGACGTGTCTTTTGGGCCTGTGGGGTTTCCATCTTGGTGATGATGGTGTTCCAGGCTATACAGTTCTTGCTGATCGAGCCACTTGACATTTCAGATGTCTCCCGCGTACGGGGAGAAGATGCAGAGGGATTCGGGGCTCGTGTGTATCAGGCATTTAAGCTGTTTCTTCAGCATCGGCATATCAACACGCCCTGGCAAACCCGAAATGTCCCATCTCATCCCGAGTACTATCGGCGTCGGGGAATGCCCACACCCTCTCGCGGGCGCTTTTTGCTTCGACAAACCCTTACTTTTGCGTGGCAGTACCTCGCTGTTGATATGTTTGGCACCGTTGGTCGTCAACAAGTGGAAAAGAAAGGGAGGTCTAGCGGAGAATTCTCGCCTCTCGAGTGGAGCGTGAGCGCTGAAAAATGGGTCGAGCGAGCCATCACGAATATTATTACTTGGTTTATCGTGGCTCGACTTATCCTCGACTATCAATATCGATTCAGGTCGATTCTTTGCGTGGGACTTGGGCTGGATTCTCCGGCCAACTGTCCTCCGGCGTTTGGAAGTATGGCTGATGCATACACAATACGGAACTACTGGGGGTGAGTTGCCCTGAGATCTAGTATCTCTCAGACCACCAATACGATTGACTCTAACTATTTTCAACAGCGTATTCTGGCATCAATTCCTTCGGAAACCATTTACCTCGGCCAGTAGCTTTATTACGCGGAATATACTCGGCCTCCCGCGACCATCTCTTTTGGAGAGATATACCAATATTTTCCTCGTCTTCTTTTGCTCTGCTACCATGCACGTCATGATAGATTATGTGCAGACGATCGCTGTGCAGCTCTCTGGCTCCATGCCATTCTTCCTGTCGTTTGTCCTGGGAATCATGATCGAGGATGGCGTGCAAGCGCTGTGGAGACGACTGCAGACTTCTGGAAAGATTCAAACAAGTGAAAGCCAAGTTCCCCCACGATGGAAGAGGATTGTTGGTCTACTTTGGGTAATGGCGTGGCTGGGAATTACTTCGACATGGTTCCTCCACCCGCACACGCAGTTACCAGAGCCCAATGCCTCGGTCCCATTCCACTTTGCAGAGCGGCTTGGTTTGGATATTGTGGGTGGTATACTTCTAATTGGCGGTATAGTCTTAGGTTGGGTGTTTGAAGTTGAAGTGTGAGATTTATGTGACCACTTCCAAAAAAAAGTACTTAGGGTTTGGTTAGAGGATCAGGCCAGCTTCTCTAAACATCCCAAAACTTTCCAACCATCCCTCGACCGGATTGTGGTCCTCATCAAACCCTGCCTGTCTCAGCTTCTTCAGACTCAATTGCCGGTCAAAAGTCAGCCAGTAGCCCACGCTATCCAACTGCTGATTCCCCGCGCCAACACCTCCACTAACAGCGTTTGCACGCCCACACTGTGCAAAGATATCCCGGTACTTGGTGATATACCTTCCAGGCGGCAAGTCCAAAGTATCGCCAGGAAGCTCGCCGACCTTCAAAGTATTATCTGATGCGGATGAGGTCTCAACAGGTCCTACACCCACGAGACCAAACCATTTTGCTAGCTGGGGCCAGATCTCGCCATACGTGCATGGCTCATCGCGATCAGCGACGTTGAACAAGCGTCCACCGCCACATTTCTCAGGATGCAGTGAGGCATAGATCATGAAACGCGCGAGAGTCTTGCTAGAGACTGGACTGAACAGCGCATTAGCAGCGGTGGCGTTACCCGGGAAGGGGACTTCGACAGCGACTGCGTTGGAATCCTTGCTCTCGGGCCCAACACCGTTGTTATAGGCGTACAAGGACAGGTATTGGGCCCAATGCAGTGCCAGGCTAAATTGAGAGCCGTTGGGCGTGAACCCAATCTTCGATGGAACGTCAGCTATACCTACTCACCAAGGCTTGTGTGATGTTGGGAAAAGACTCACGATTGCATCCGGGCAGACCTCACACCAAGTCCATTTCTTCCCTTGACTCGCTGTGCTTAGAATCTCCCGGTATACAGGATAGACGACGGTTTTTGCGTAGTCAGAGGGTAGGTCATTGACCATGTCCTCTTGCAAAGGAGGGGTGAAAGTGCCGCCAGGGGCATAGATGCCATATCCCTGGTGCTTATTGTTAGCACTCAGTCGATTAACTGGTTTTATGTAATGTGCATACTCGTGTACCACCCGGAAATGCGACAAACTTGAGATTCGGGCTGATCAAGTTGTGGGCGTCGATTACATTTTCAAACATATGTCGATTGACTGCGACCTCCTCGAGATCATCGTCGATAGCAGAGAAAACTTGAAAAATTAGACTAGAAATATTTGGAATTGACTCCGCCATTGTCACATACCCAAGTAGTAAACGTGGGTCACACTTTCGATGTCGGCATTTGCCTGCTTCAAGGAATTTGCCAATGTCGCCCCATCGCCGTGGCGAAGATTGATATTCGAGATCAGGTCTAGTTCAGGCCTGTGCGCGTTGATTTCAGGCCAATGGGACTGGGAAAGATCAAGCGGGCGGTTTGTGACCGCAGTGACTTTGGAAAAGGCGCCAGCATGAGGGTAAGGGCTGAGGAGTTGGTCAACCAAGGCCCAGCCGATGATACCAGAGGCGCCGTAGACAATGGCGTGCGATTTCCCGGCCATGTTTTATTGGAGAATTAAGTGCAATCAATACAATCAAATGGGGCGTTCGCCAATGCAACGTTGCTTTCTTTTAAGTACAGGGCAAGTGGAGACATGCGGTGCATCTGATTTTCGATCCAGCCCACTCATTATGAATCATTTCGAGTAATGCCGATTCACCGACAGGTGAATATTGATCCTGATATCTTCTAGTGCTCGACTTATTTAGAGAGAGGTTCCAAATGTGAGCTGCTATGATCTTGCAGTTTTGGTATTTGAGGGCTATTTCCACGAAACTTCAGGTCCAAACCAAAGACAAAACAAAAAAATAAAATACAAGCTCCTTGCAGGAAACTAAAACATCTACCAGTCAAATCAACAATCGAAGAAAAATAAAACCAGAACAGACATTGCTAGACAATGACCACGGTCCGGTTCAGGGATTCGAGGTAGGGTTGCGGCCCAGCCTGTGAGTGAGACAGTCAATAAATGCAATGCGATTTGGAAAAATAATCGACAAATGGCTTACCCCGACTAGGGTCGCATGCGCCACATTAACCTGCGCCCGTCCCTGGGCCAACGAGTCCGGGACCTTTACAGTGAAGTTCTGGTAGGGAGGCAAGCCACTCTCATGGTACTCGGGCTTGAATTTGCCGTTGTAGACAACAGTGCCCAGGACATCGCTGGCGACATTGCAGCCCTTTTTACCGCACGAGGCAATTCCAATTGCGACAGCCATTTCTTGGGAGGGACTTAAGGTGTTCTAGTGATTCAATTAGAACGTTGGGGGATTCCCCTTAAAACAAAGAAGTGGGAAAGCATACAGGTCGCTGGACCTGAACCGTGACATCGTCACCTCGACTGAGCTTCTGGCCAGTCGTAGGGAGTCCGATATGAGCGTTTTGAGCCAGAGCGATGCCGAAAAGGGCTACAAGAGAAAAGATCGACTTCATGGTGGCGGGTAAGAGTGGAGACCTTGTCGACCTTGGAGAGAGATAGTGATTCGAGTGGCGGATATAAAAGGATCTGTAATTGAAGCTGGGAGAAAAAAGAGTGATAGAGAAAGAGTAAACAGCAGCTATTTAAACTCCAGGAAACCTCGATTTTCGTGGTTTCACAGTAACCATGGTCGGGCGTTGATTTGCCAAGTCTCGCGGATCTCGGTAGCCCGCCACACTTCTCAGATCCATGTGGAACTCGTTTCCACAGGAAGGGGGCCAATTAAGGACAAACCAGGGTTTCCCTGTGCAACTACCAAAGGGGAGGGTTGGGGGCAAATAGGAGTCACAGCATCAGACAGACGATCATGGTGGTGCACTAGTGCCCATTGTATACAATAGCCGTTGTATATGAGAATCTAATAGGATTGCAGATACACTAATACTAAATCCTTCCCTTTAGGAACCCGTGGGTTGTGTAAAATTTCTGCTCAATGTCAAGGCCCCCAAAAGAAGAGCTATCAGATAAATGATCTATTCACATTCCCTTTTTCAATATTCCGGACCTTAAACCTGTTATGGTACTCGTGTTTTTTGCCGGTACGTTCACTTCTTGGCCTTCTTCCCAGCAAGGGCCTTGAAACATCCTGGTTAGGCCTTTTCCCTTTTTCACTTTCATGCCTGTAAGTATTCATTCTCTATCCCGTGGTCTTCTTTGATTCTCTAGTGGTGAGACAAGTTGCCGTTCTGATTTGATCTGGCGCTATATGAAGTAAGACTGATGGTTTTATTCAAGGATCCTCGGATGCAGATCAATATGGCACTAGGCGGCAAATGCCATTCAATTTTCAGATATGCTAGTTTTGATGTGGAAGCCCTATGTGAATTGTCAAACAAGAACCGGGAAAATATTCCTTGTTCATGTAGTCTGGATCAGGATCCGGACAATGGCAGCTTCAACTGGGCGGTTTCCATCGTGTTTGAAGATGGTGTGGAGTGGATTTTACGCTCACCAAGAGATGACAGCACCCAAATACCCAGTGAACTGGGTGCTAAACTGCTGACAAGTGAAACCGTAACGCTCAAGTATATAAGGGCTCACACTGATATACCCGTCCCTGAGGTATAGTCATATTGGTATGAAGATCTTTCCTTCCCCCTTCCCTCCTATTTTAGCTATGCTGATTCCTCATGAAGCTCTACACCAAGCAATAAAATCGGCATTCCCTACATCTTGATGAGCAAGGCGAAGGGTTGGCCTCTTGAGAAGGCCTGGCGGTCAAACAGTTCCACCAAAAACATGTCTCCAACAAACCAAGCTAAAGTGCTGTTTGAGCTGGGACTTATTATGTGGAAGCTTGCTCAATTTCGATTCGATCGAATTGGGTCCTTATTCGAGGAAAATGGTTCTCTTGTGGTTGGGGAATGCCTATCGCGAGCCCATATCCTCTACCAAAGAGACTCTCTAGAGGAAGTACCTCGAGGGCCTTTCACTAAAGATGACGAGTTTTGCGATAGCCTTATATCTGCCTTTACACAACATGCGGCAATTTTGCCACTGACACATCGTTGCCTGATTGCGCCTATTCCATCACGCTGCGACTATGAAACTGATGGTGATTACCGGACTGCGTGTGACCTTTGGAATGACTTTGTCACTGTTGGGGATAAAATTTATTCTGCCGAAAACAGGGTTGACTATATCATCACCGGTGATGCTATACGCGACCTCATCAGCCAGAAGACTATATCCACGAGAACTACTCTCTCAAAACCTTTCCCTCCCTATCATGCCGATCTGAGTGCCAACAACATCTTTGTTGACGATGATTATAAAATCACGTCTATTATTGATTGGGCGTTCTGTACATCTGTCCCACTTCCGGTTTTCCTAGCACCACCTGGACTTCCCCAGGGTCAATTTAATTGACTAGAATCTCCTCGGGAGGTACCTTGAGTTTAGGGGTGGGGTTTGTAATGCAACTGTCCGTGACAGGTTCGAGGATGACTGGATGGGGCTCTTTCAAAAGTCCTTGACTAGTATTCGGTGGGGTTTCTTGTGATAGAATGTGTCTATACACTTCTTCCTATTTCGCAGAGACAATCCAAACAACATCTTGGGCAAGACCGTGTGGATGAGTTTACCATGGACGCAAAGGAGGTTGAGCGGTTACTTCCAAGATCCCTCTTGTTGTTACCATTGGCTTATTGTGTCTGACAGGTCTGCAGGTGGATGGGAAGCCAAGGTGATCGGCGGGAGGCAGAGGGGAAAACACCCTTAAAAAACCCTTGGATTGAACAGATCATTGCCCGAAGGAGGTAAAAGGCCCTGCATCAAATACGAGGTGGCAGAGCTGTGTGAGAGGCGGGCTTTGCTGCGGTTCATAGATGCTCAGCCTCAGAGCCGCCCCCCGCAACCTTGTGTATAAAACCGACGCAAGGATCAATCACTTCCAAGAAAGTAACTCTCAACATGTGGTTTGCATATATTTATACTGCAATTTTATTTGGCATCCCAACTTCCCACGGACTCGCTGGCGACGAGCTCAGCCAACCCTTTTCGAGGGTGGACGAAGTCCAGCTGGGCGACTCAGCATCACTCGGCAGCTCAAATCTCACAATTCGTTCGATTGAGCCGGTGGAGGGCCTTCGATTATTTTCCCGTCAGCAAACACGCTGCCAGGATGCCGGTTATAGTAAGTCCCCAGACACATCAATACCCCCACCAAAATGCTATTATTTATTTAACACGACCTATTCTCTAGTTCCATGCCCCGACCAGAACGGCTGTTGTCCCAGTGGCTCGGATTGCACGCCGAACCAATGTTGTCCGGCGGACTACCAAGACTGCGGTAGCAGGAACTGCTACAACCCCGAAACACAACAGTGCTGCCAGCGCAACGGCCAGGCCTGGGCGTGCCCACGGGGACAGAAGTGCTGTAGCACTGGATACTGCTACGATCCCAAGTCCGAGCGGTGCTGTGACAACGGGTCCTGTGAGAAGGAAATGAGCTGCTGCGAGAACGAGTGTTGCTCATCCATTGCCACATGTGGTTCGAATGGCTATTGTGCTCCCAAGATCACAGCAGCACCAAAACCAAACCCCGCGACAGAGGACCTACCGGCACAGGCTACCACACAGACCATTCGCTTTGTTTATGACGGGGAGAGAATGGAAACCGTCAAGGAGGGGAAGTACACGGGCGAGAAGTATAAGGCTCCGCCTAAAGCGGTATGTTACTTGATACTATATGGCTCTTATTTTCAAAGACAAGATGCTGACAGTTTGTTTAGGTTATGCAAAATATGTGTGAAGGTAGGACCGCTGATGCACTCAATGGGGAAACTGATATTGACAGGGCTGTTTAGGAATCAAGAAATTGACTGGGAGCTACAGCGACAAGGCAACATTAACCAAAGCATCAAATAAACAGCGACGCAGAAATCGACGCAAAATGTGTACGAAGAATGGGAAGAGCGTTTGTATGACTACCCCTAAACTGGGAGGACTTTATCGTTGCTGAGCTTATTTCAAACCGTTTAGGCACGAATGCCGTCAATAAATACATAGAAAAGTTCTATCCCAATGGCAAAATCCCCGAAAAAGCCAGGGAGGCCATTGCTTCGGCAACGGACCTTCAATGTGACGAGGTATGTGTGGCTCTGGGAATTCTGCTACCTAGGTAGGAAGGTACTTGATGCTAATTGTTTGGACAAGTTCCCATTTGGTATGATTGTCGAATTCGGTCCAAGTTCCAATAGACAAGAAACCTAACACCGAAAAGCACGGACAAAGGAAGGAGGAAGTCTTGAATCTGGCACGACGATCTGCGTCCCCAGTACCGATAATGGATGGCAAGGCACCACCATGAGCCCGTTTTTCCGCGGTGCGAACAAAATCAAGTCGAACGAGCGCTTCACAATTGAGTTGGTAGGTTGGGACTGTGAGAAACAAGCTCCAAAGGCAAGCTCCCGACGCGAATTTAACTTGAATGCGACTGTGACAGGATGTGAGTAAATTCCTATCCTGGATCCAACGGCTTAACAGAATTTGGGATTGACAATCTTTAGCGGATGCCTACCGAGGCTTCGATCCAGAGAACCCAAAGCTGAAGGCACTGATCATGCCACTGGGAGATCTTGATGCAGGATCGTGGGTTTTTTTCTTGTCACAGTCTTACTCGGCCAAGAACGCTATGCTAATTTGAACGCAGATACTCCATCAACCTTACTACCGTGTCGGGAACAGTCAACGCCAGTATCCGTACATACGATGGCGAATCCTACGAGACGACCCAAGGACCTCATGGAGAGATGCTGTTTACATTACCGGAAGATGAGTTTGCGGTGAGTCTGGTGGGAACTACGATGGACGACGATGTCAAAGTCATATACGAGGCGAAGCAAGTCAAAACGAGTCTCAGCACTAGCACTAAAACAAGTCCCACTCAGCCCACGCCCACTCAGAATTTGGCGCTCATGAACAGTCCCGTTATGAAGGGAGGACTGGTATTTTGGTGCGCGGTATTTGGGATTATGGCTGTTTGGTGAAATGTTTAGTTTCCGCAGGATTTAGTATGGTGATGATGGTTACAAATTCGGGGTATTAGTCTTTCTCTTTTGACTGGGTTCAGTTCATAGTCACTTGCATATACTCATGCCTGTCGCTATATATAGTCTCATTGATATTCCAAGGGCTGTTCGAAACATTGATCTAAAAGCCCTAAATAACCAAGAATTCATGGCACACAATCAAGAGTCTTCCCCAGAAGCCAGGCGCTTTTTCAAAAAGTCAAAGACAACTTGATGTAATCGAAAGAAATTCCCTTGATGACAATGCGTGTCCCCGCCTTCGTCTGCCCGCAGACTAACAAGTTCATGCTCACAATGCTCAAGATGGCGGCTCAACAGTTCGGGCTGACCTTTGAGAAAATGATCGTTTTCTGCGTCAAGGATCAGACAAGGCGTCGTGATCTTGTCACATAGACCCTCCAGAGTATAGCTGTTGACAGCACGCATGAGATCCGCCTCAGATGCCACGCCAAAGGTCCATTTTCCATTCCGCAAAGCCCAGCGAACGCCCGTCGACAGAGATTGAACACCGCGAAAAATAAAATCGCAGGTCGAGTCATACTTGAGCTCGATGAGCCTTTGCACAAACCACGGCTGGTTAACTCGAAACGCGGACCCGAAATCGTAGACTCCGTCATCCAGAATCAGAGCCTGCAGTCGATGTTCTTGAGTTGCCCCGCGTGCTGCAAGATAGCCACCCATGCTCCATCCAAAGAGTGCCAGAGCATTGGGGTCGACATCCGCGCGGATTAACGCGTAGTCGACAACAGGGATTAAGACATTCTCCCAGTCCGGGCGGAAGTACAGGTGTTGTCGCCGCACAGCTGCGCCCTGTCCGGGACCATCGAAGGCGAGGAAATTGTAACCTCTCGCAAGCGCTGCACCTCCAATTGCAAACCATCCCTCGCTCATAGTGGAGTCATATCCACCATTGAAGATGATCGTACGTCGTGGCTTGTTCGATTTGTCAGGACTGACGAAATACCCAGGAAGTGTAGTGCCATCGTAGGGAATGCTGATCGATTCGTAGGCAAGCGTGGACAGCTCCATAGCCTCAGTGAATGCATTCTCAGATCTTTTATACAAATCCCGTGCGATCTCGTCGTTGTCGACGTTGTCGCGGCGGAAGAACTCAGCGGTGCGGTAGTAGTTGGACGCGCGCAGATATCCCTCGTAGGCACTTGTGTTGTTCTTCACCGAGGCCGAGTGCTTGGCATGCGTAACAGCTCGGTCGGCTGCCCTTTTCCATTCTTGTAGCCAGTCGTCCTCATTGCCTGCTCGAATGCGGGAGCAGATGGCTATGACTTCACCGAAGTCTGCTCCCCCATAGTTGCTGTACCCCGCAGCTCGAAGGGCTTCATAGCTGAAGCACTCGTTGGATTTAAAAAAATGATTGATCAGCATTGGAGGCAAGTGATTAAGTAGATACGAAATATAGCATAAACCCTGAGGGGGGGAATCTGAAGATTGCTTTGAAGATAAATAGCTCCATGAAGTCGGACCGACTGGTGAAGTTCGACCCGAGGCGCTTCCCCAAGTCGGACCGACTTGTCAACTCACCGAGGAATGGACCTTGCAAATATTCACTAGACAACGGTGCTATTTGTTGAGAAATGCTATTTTTTAATCAAACGAATATGAAAAAGGGGGAATTCACAGGATTTATGTTCATTTTATGCTACATAGTCTAAATAATCAGCTGAAAATCCTCCATCCTTGCTGGAAAAGCGTAGAAGGATCAGTCCCAGCAAACTCCTCGATCCCGGCTTCTGCAAAAGACAAATTGTACCAAGGGTCATCGAGTGGCATGCTGTTTTGTGCTGGGAACGAGACTCTGGTCCCAGTTTCACCTGGCCGCTCAAAGTCATACCCATCATCTCTGATCGTGAGCGGGGTTTGTGGGAATGCGTATGGATCTATTGTGTTTTGGTCAAGCCAGGGACGTGCCTGTTCGCTCGAGGGGCGTGTTGCTAGATTGGCAGTTTCCAGTGTGCCAGGCTGTTGCGCATCGATAGGATTTGTCGGTGTAGAACGAGGTGGAACGATGGAATCCGGGGAATTGCGTTCGTAGTTTCTGGGAACATGTGTTGCTGACAGATTGCTTTGCTGGGTAGCTGTCTTGCATCGTCTTCGGTAGGTTGAGAGATCTACCTGTAAGGCAGCATTAAGTCTTTCCCACTGTGGTCATCAAAAGTTAGACCGATTCGTATTAACCAGCGTGAAAACCGAATTAACCCACCGGACGTTGCAAAGCTCTCCAGTAAACTCGAAGTGTATCCAGTAAACGCAATATAGCCTTGACCGCAGATAATCTGTTCCCTGCTGTGTATGCCCCCGCAGGCCTCACATGCGATGCCTCCTCGCGATGGGAGATCTCAATAGCCAAGAACACAATCCCGGTTATGAAAGCACCATAACTGACAAGAGGTGGCAGGATTGTGACGTCGTCTTTGCCATACAGATAAGGAGCCAAAAGTCGCTCAAACATATCTGCATGGTATGTTATCTTATCCGCGCTGTTTTTCACGACATCAAGGTCTGTTGTCGGCTCTGTCGACGTGCTTGAAAATAAAGGGACAATTATTGAGTGCAAAGTAATGAGGCACTGGTGGTACAGGGCTTCAAAAAATAAAATCAAAATCTTGTCTTCTGAGGCCGGATCAGCGTCACCGGTTTGCTGTCGACTGGACACTGTAGTTTCAAAGATCGAGGTTGCGAGATTTGAGAGTTTTTGCACAGAATCGAGATTTTGAGCCGTCGAGGAAGCAGAGCAATCGTTGACCAAAAGCTGGACCTTGGCCCTAGAGAAAAAAAAGAGTCAATAGTCAGCGCTGAAGGTACCATTGAAGCTAGTGCCTATTCTTACCAGACGCCAATCATCTTCACGAACGCTGCAGCAACGGGAGGGTGGTTCGTCCCAATCCGAGGCTCGACAAAGCTTGAACACCAGTTTTGATCCATCTTCTCATTGAGAACGATCTCACAGCCTCCTGGGGTATATGATATCAAAGCCGGGAGTGGCAACATGGCAGCCTCTTGCCACGCGGACCTGATGTATGCCTCTGGTTCCATTATTATGCAGGTTGATACCCAGCAAGCCCAGAAGCATCGGCGGCCGAGCTCCGATTCAAGTGATAGGTCTGATTTTTCGTAGCCATTCCTGATCTTTTTGTTGTATCCAAGGAGATGACAGGCCCGGTAGGCCAGGGCTGGAGCGATGTCAATACAAGGGGTTTCACACGAAGAAGTTTCCTATTATTTCAGAATTGAGATAGAATGAGCTTACCAAGGCCAAGGTTCCCTGAATGTGGCTCTCCAATACCGAACCAATACAGTGATATGCATCCAAGTGCTTGGAAGACCATAAGAGACGGACTTTCCACGGCCAATGACATAGCCTCCTGCATGGCAGACCTTGCCCACGGGAGGCCACAAGAGTGATAACCACCCAAAACTTTCAATTCTGACTCGTCTGTTGCATCTTCATTTCCATCTCCATTCGGAGGATGAAGAAAACTTCAATAATGCCTCAGCTGACTGGCCCAAAAACAGGGGGGATGACATACAGTGTAGCCAGAGCAAAAATGCCCTTCAGTAAAACTCGCGGAAGCTTTCCGTCGAGATACTGTTGAAAAAGAACAGGCTTGCAGAACAGCAGAGAGGCGTTATAGATGCGTGAAAAGTACACCTCCAGAAGCGATAGCCCCAACGCACGTGGTGGCAGAGGTAGTTGGTCGGCATCGGAGGTCCATCCTTTTGTGATCGAGCTTATATTTCGTAATTGACTCGGGTATGTTTGAAACGCGTCATTCATTGACTCGACACCATCCACCAGACAGGAGGTTAGGGACCTAGTGGCTTCTTCGGCTGGAGCAGAAGTCGCTCTGTGTAGGCTGGTAGTCCCATTGCCTGTTCTGGCGTTATTTGGAGAGGAGGCGGGGTTATTATGATTGTTCTGACTGGGGATCAGGTTGTTCGACGGCAAAGATGAAGGTGGACCGGGCTCCTGTGCTTCGTAAACAAGAGACATAGACTCATCCACAGAACGTTCAGATAGAGGTCGTTCACGACTTCCATCAAATGCTCTACGCGCAAGCCGAGGAGTGCGCTGTATCTTCCGGCCCCGCCGATTTGGAGGGCGAGGGTAGACACAGGCAACCCGGAATCTCTGGCAGCGAGAGCATATAGGCTGCTCTCGACTGCATTTGAGCTAGACCTTGCTTTAGTAAAGTGATTTCATTTGGCCGAAATAGATAGACATGGAGTCACCTTCTGATCCCGACATCGCTGACATGCGGTGGTAGATCGTGGAGGGGGATGATCTAAATTCGATGGACGCGGCTGGATTCGTAAACTTCTGTTTCGCATTTCGGTGGCCATGGCTGCTGCGGTTGCGTGAAGCAGGTCGGGCATAACACGGCGGGAGATGGAACGTGACGGAGTCGGGCCGAGTCGAAGCTCTTACCGCCTGCGGCCCCGAAAGACTATTAGAGGCGAAAAATATGGTTGACATTAACCTTTTTTTTTATCGGTCCATAGGCTTCATTTGCATTCCAACCTTAACTATGTCCCTGTCAGCTATCTTCATTATGCCAAGAAGCGGGGATATTAACTCAGGTCCAGCGGGTGGGAGACGACCACCGCCATACAAGAGGCAGACCCTCCCTACCGTTTGGGATAGGTCATGCGAGGTGTTGAGTCTAGAGATTGCTTCATTGTGGGTGTGAGAGACCACTGCAATTCACGAGGAAACAGATTCATTCATTTTATATCACATATCTCCTCACTTGGCTAGAGGTATAGAGCCGACTCGGTTAAGCTATACAGCGACCCATCTGGGGGTGTTTTGACAGGGATCGACACATATGGAGACTTAAGCCCATACGCATAGGAGAGTGGATGCTTTATTATGAAAAGTAGTTTTGTCCTCCTTAGAGAGCCCAAAATTTCAGGAAAAAAAAAGATTACTATCGTTGAAATGAGAGATGTGGGAATATTCCTTGTCAGTGAATTTCTGTAGATACTTGACGTCATACGGTAGAAGGTGCAGCAGGATCCAATTCCTTATGATATCATGCAGCCATCCCGATGGTATTTAGATCCAGAGATCCCCAGAAACAATTTGAAAAACCTCAACCAATCTATACCACATTGTAATCAATTGTCCCATACTCCTTACCCATGATGGCACGCATTTTCATCACCGGCTCCAGCGACGGCATAGGCCAAGCAGCAGCCAAAATCCTAAGCGAGCAGGGCCACTCAGTAGTACTGCACGCGCGCAACGCGGACCGCGCCGCCTCAACACAACAAGCAGTCCCGAAAGCTGAAGCAGTACTAGTAGGCGACCTGCGCTCGATCACCGAGACCAAGCAACTCGCCAAAGAAGCCAACAATCATAGCCTGGGGACACAGGCGCCCTTCGACGCAATCATCCACAACGCAGGCATCGGGTTCGGGTCGACCTCTAGCCGCGAAATCACTGCCGACAACATTTCTGCCGTGTTCTCGGTCAACACGCTCGCGCCGTATATCTTGACCTGTCTCATGGACAAGCCCACGTCGCGGCTGCTGTATATGAGTTCGGATAGCCACTACGGCGGCGATGGGACTCTGCGGAATGTCACGCAGTCGCATTCGTATGGAGATAGCAAGATGCAGGACGTTATGCTTGCTAATGCGTTTTCTCGGCGGTGGGGCGATGATATCCAGGTTGTGAGTATGCACCCGGGCTGGGTACGGACGAAGATGGGTGGGTCGATGGCTCCGGGGGGTATGGAGAAGCCAGCTAAGGCGCTGGCGGAATGGGCTGTTGGACAGGGCAAGTTGGCGAGTCTGAAAAGCGGAGCTTTCTTCACGACGAGAGGGGAGGAGTCGGCGGATCCGGGGGCTGGAAATGTTAACAAGCAGGAGGAATTATTGAGGATTTGTCAGGAGGTCTCTGGGACGGCTATACCAGCTCATTAATTTACTGAATGTTATGGTACCTGGCTGTCAGAAACCGTTGCCATGCTATCCTTTGATATAGATGACTAGTAGTTTTGGCCAGAGGGGGAATTCCCGTGGATGAGCATGTCTTCTTCGAAGGAAGTGTAAACTTGTCTTTGGTTTCAACGGTGGGTATTGCAATGTGTGTATAATATAGCATGAAATAAAGACAGATTCATCTCGAGTACAAAAGAGCTAGCTAAACAAACAACACTTTACAATCGGACCTGTTGTACATCCGCCTATGGTGACCCATCAGGCGGGCTGCTGGGAATATTATGGTGCTTCCGAAGAGCCGACGTATTCGACAGTCGGCCATCAGCGAAAACACGAGTCTCCGAACGTTGATACGACGGGCTAGTTTTGGCAGGAGCATTCGGCTCCTGGCTATGAGCCTCGAGGGCCTCAAAAACATGACCAAAAACCTGGCGGTCGACATCGGCAGCCCATAGAAAATCAAGATGCTCGTAGTTCGGGATGGCCTTGGCGACGGTGTCGTGCGGCAAGCCGCGAAGCATAACCCCGATGTCGACAAGACTGTCGCTGCCACCGTACAGGAGAACAACGGGTGTTTTGATGTTGCGCGTGGGATACTTGACGGGCTTGTAGAAGCGCTCGCTGGCGACGATGCTGAAGGGCGCGTGGATTTCGTCATCGTAGAACTGGAAGTTCTTGTTGCGGATGATTTGGAACCAATGGACCACGGACTTGGTGCTCGTGAATGAATAGAGGTGCAGGTATGCGGCCAGCTTCTGCGTGCGACTGATATTGCGACACTTCCAATTAAAGAGGATCGACAGCGCGGTGTCGATAATGCGCACATAGATCGGCGGGTAGAGAATGGTCTGCCACATTGTGGTGGAGGAAAGAATGCTGCGTCGCCCGAACAGCAGAAACAGAAAATCTGGGGATGCCTTCATAAGGGAATCGACAATGCGGTTGCGCAGACCGGAAGGAGCCATTGCGGGCGCCAGCGCCACGAACACGTCAATTTTTTGGTTCAGCAACGGGTGAATGGAGAGAGTCGCGAATGCTTGCGCGGTTCCCTGAGAGAATCCAATATAGGACAGTGACGGTTGACCGGTCACTTCGAGAATATACTCGATACTGTTAGGGATATCGTGGAAGGCGAACTGGTCGATAGAGAAATCCCAAAACTTGTTTGATCCTGGGGAGCATCGCACAGATTTCTTCGCGTATTTGTTGCCTCGGTTGTTACCCAACCAGACATCATACCCCTTTTCGACGAGCTGGAAGGGCAAGCAGCGCTGCTCATTGGTAAGAGCCACCCACACTTCACTGGACATGAGCAGGCCGTGGTGCAAATAGACGACTTTCTTGCTGATACCGCCTGCACCCTGGTTGACACGCATCCTCTCTTCGCCCTTCCGGTACGCTAGCCGGTGCAGGCCGAGAAGATACCCGTCGCCCGTTTGCACGATGTGCTCCTCGGCTTCATATCCAAACAGAGCGCAGATCTCGGTGAAGTCGGACGCTTCCGCGATGGACGCAGCAAAAATCTCCTCTTTCGTGCGCTTGTCGCGCGCTTCAGTAGAAATGAAGATGTTGAACAAGGCCTTGGACTGATCATAGCAGAATTGGATGATCGGGCTCGCTGTTGGGGGTTAGTTTCAACACGACAGACCACTTTGCGGCAGTAGCCAACTCACGTAGACAGAAGGTAATCAGATGGATGATGGTCTCGAGTAAAACGAGAATGAGCGACCCAAAAAGCGCCAGGTACTCGAACCTAAGAAGAGGGTCAGGTACCACGGTCTCTCTCTGGGGAATCTGGGGGGCCCATACCAGAAAAGCCTCCCGATTAGTGGAACCCGCGCCATGATGAAGATCGACAGCGGCGATGCATAAGCCACACGCTGAAATCAAGGAAATATAGAGCCTTGAGCAAGGAGAATATATGAGCAAAAAGAAAGACGACGAAGCGCAGCAAAAAGAAAAGAAGAAGCGACGTCATGCGCATGTGAGAGGCTTAGCTCATCCACCCAATCAGCTGGCAGCTCGAATTTGCCGTGTCCGTCGCATTCTCCCCCGGACTCTCATCGCCGTTACAGCCAATATGCCCAGCTCGTGCAATGATATCCGTAAGTCGCACCGAAAGTCTCACAGATGCCAGGGGAGTGAGGGGTTTTGCCCATGCCACCTGCATCGTGGTGACACCCTACTCGGGGACCGAGAAGACCGTACCTCTCTCTCCACGTGAGCTAACCACACGCTATTCCCCAAAATTTAGGAGAGGCACTGGCCCAATGTCTCCAGGAATCGGACTGTATCATGGTCCAGCGTCACACGCCGCGAGAATGTCTCAGCTCGCCGCTTGCCGAGCAATTGCCCACGAAATGTCAGCAGCTGCGCAAAGGATTTAGCGAGTGCAAGTGAGTCGGGTCCCGACGATGATGAGTTATGAGAAAGAGCACAGGCCGAGAACAACTCACTAACGACGGGGATATTCGCTGGATCTGCAGACGCGGCATGGTCGATATGCGCAAACGGTTCCGCGGGAACCAGCCCCTCGCGGTGTCGAAGGAGCTGGAGAAGTCAGGTCCCTCGGAGCAGCTGTATGCTGGGAAGCCGGCGTATCAGACGGTCAAGGAGCTGAATGGCGATGAGGTGCAGATGGATCCGGAGAAGACGAGAGGGCTGTGAGGGGGTCAGCTGGTTCTGCACGAAAAAATATTGTGAAATATGGCATGGGCTGGCGTTATATTTCGCGTTGATTTGTGTTCTAGTACCTGGGCGCCACCCTGCACCTCGGGAGGCACATTGGGCATCTATGAATTTGTACGATATTGGACTTATGGACTTGGGCACCGTAAGTGATTGTTCATTGGGATTCCAAGAGGTAAGAGATCCACATTAGCATGAACAAGTACAATTTGATATAGATCTACTGCGTCTTCTTGATAGCGTTGGCCGCGGACGAGGGCGCGGAGTATAGCCACACAACGACAAAGGCCAGGAACCCTCCGATGACGGACCACAGCCCGGCAATCCAGACCCAACCGCCACTGATAGCCCAGCTGCGAGTATACTCGTCGTGCGCAAAGTGACGCACAGTGACCTCGTGCTTCTCCTCGATGTTGGTAAGGAAGGGACGCTTGTAGTTGACACGGAACGAGAAAATGCCATGCTGGTCCGGAGTCACAAACTGGGCACCGTACACGGTGCTGGTCTCCGTGCGGCGGACCGGCTGGAGAGCCAAGCGGTGGAAGGGCGAGAGCATGGTGAATTCGAGCTGCAATTCGTCTCCGGCGGGAACCTCGAAGGGCACATACTTGTCGTAGGCGTACTCAGACACTTCGATTTCGAAAACCTGCAGTCAGATAGCGTATTTAGTAAGAACACAAGCCTCTCTGGATATAGGCGAAGCAATTGTCTCGGGATGGACATACCGTTTCATTCTTGACCCGGTAAATCTTCGGGTTCCGCTCCGCATGCTCGGTAGCCAGGTGGTGCTGGATCTTTCCAACCTTCAAAACACCGGTTTCCTTAAAGGTCCACGCAGTCAACTGCTTCGCAAACTCCTGGTTGACAGTCGAAGTCTTCTTTCCACCGGGGGCCTTGACAGAGGCCGAGAACCACTGGTCCTCCAGGGCCTCGGCGGAACCGAGAACGGTAAAGCGAGCGGAGTTGCGAGCTTGCAAAGCCGACACGAGGCTCAGCTGCGATCCCGTCGCCTGGATATCCTCTGCTGAGGGGATCTCCTCCTTGGGGTTGTACCCGTAGGCGGTGACCGGAGCACGGAGAATCGGGGCGAGGAGGGGGGGTGTCGCTACCCAACGTCTGGGGTGCAGCTCGAGGGACAGCCAGGACTCCCTCGCCATCAAAGAAAGCCTTGACGTCGGGGCGCAGTGATCCCGGGCGTTGGAGAAGGAGAACATCGTGCTTTTCGGCGGCAGAGATCGTGTCGTAGTTGAAGTGGTCGACGGCAACAGCCGAGCGATCCGTCGAGAGATGGATATCGAGCTCGATGAGGAGAGAGCTGATGGCACTGGAGGTGGCGGACTTGCCAGACAGCGCAAGGAGAATATTGCCGTCCTTTTGCAGGAAGTCCAGAATGTGCTTTGGGGTCAACGAGGGGCCAAGTCCTGTGCCATTGAAGTGTCAATAGGCTATCACTCCAAACCAATTCCTTCGAGAAACCTCACCTTTGGCCTTGGGAGGCAGGATCAGGAGGTGGTCGTAAACTCGCTCGCCATGCTCGAACAGGGCGAGCTTGTCGCTCTTGGGCGATTCGAAGGTCAAATCGTATCCTCGCGCTGGAATTGGCATCGTCAGCAAGTGGAGCTTCAATTTCGATGGTCAATAATCAAACCACTCACATTCCAAGTCTGCCCACAGCTTCGAGTAGAGGCTCTTCTCTGTTGAATCTTCCTGGACCACCAGCAGGCGGCTGCCGGAGCTACTCAGTGCATTGACCGCAGCCAGCAAGCAGCAGAGAAGCAAGGCAAGGCACCAGCGCATTTTGGGAGAAATCCGCACAGCGGAGAAGCCAGGCCGAGGAGAAGAACAAGAAAGAAAAAGACAAGACAAGAAGATGGAAGGGACGTGACTTGCGTGGGAGAGAGGTATAGATACAGTCAGAAAGGGCGACGTGTTAATGGGGGCAGTCCGCCAAGACTCGCTGGGTCCTGCGCATCCGAACTTCGACTTCACCTCTTTTCCCCACGGCCTTCACTTTCCACCCGGCCTCGCCTTTTGCAGTCCAACCACCGGTTACTTCTCGCTCGATTGCTTTGTATCGTCGGTGAACAATTCACCGGGCAATTGACACTCTCTACGCCAAAAATCTCCTCCCCGAACCACTCGTCGACATCCGACTCCGACCGCAGCCATGTCTGCCCCCCAGTTCTGGTCGACTCCCTTCCGCTACATGCGCTGGGCCTCGCACGAGAAGCCCGCCATCTTCTTCTCCATCTTTATTGCAAGCCTGGGCCCCGTCGCGCTCGTCGGCTTACCCCCGCTCCGCCACGCGCTCGGTGACGTTGACCCGGCACCTATCCCCATGACATATCCCAGTAAGGCTGTCTTAGTTTGCCAATATCTTCGTGACAATTATATTTCTCCGGGCATATTGCTAACGCCAGTGTTCAATACGCACAGTTCCGCCGGGTCCACGAGTGATCCCTAAGGGCTTTGATGACGAGTAAAAAAGCCGCGCCTACATTGCAAGGAATATGGGATTACCTTTTGATTCGATGGGAGTGGTCTTTTGCAAGGAATTGAGTTCAATGGACGTGGGAGAGGCAAGAAGGAGCAATTCGGCCATGTTCGCCCGCAGGATGGATTTCTGTGCCAAAAACCCCGCTCATGAATATGATCCTTCATATAATGACCGGGATCGACTCTTGCTTGTGCTTTGATACCAATATTGTTGGCGCATGTGGCCTCGGGATAGTCGGGTGTCGAGGCTGTCGCGCAGCAGTGTATGTACTATGTTTTGAGAGTGATCATATAACCGACCCCTGTCGCTTTCCTATGTCTCAATTCTGGTACTTAGTGGGATTCTACTTTGTAGTGGACGCTTAGTAGGAAGAAGGAATGAGCTGGGTATTTGTGTTTTTTGGTAAACATGTCTATCCATTGCAATCACTCAAGGTTTGAAGTAGTTGTTACCATTTATAATGTCCAAGAGGCCAGCATTTTGCAGGCTCGATTGACACCTAAATATCGGAATACAGTTAGGCACAAAGCGAGGAGCCTCACTCGTAGAGCAGTAGAAATTGAGTCAGTTATTCTGAAATCAATCTCAGCACTGCAAGCTCATAGAAATATATTGCGGTAGGGGAGTGGAGATGAATTTGCAAGGAACAGATTCAATTAAGATCATAAAACCGATCCTCGTCAAAAACAATGAACAATCATAGCAAAGCAGACAAACGCCGCAAATGCTTTCATATCTACATGTAGGTCATCAGCAATCACTTTATCCAAGCGAGACACGCTTCCCCAACAAGTCCAAATCGAAACAAAAGCCAAGGCCAGTTATTCCAAGGGAGTCCAAACACAAAAAAAGAAAAAAAAGAGACTTGCTAAGCGAAGAAAAATCCTAAACACCGTCGAACAGCCCAAGCAGAGAACCCAAAGTACCCCCATCGATGAAGAGAGGAGGGGGAGCTCAATATCCGGAGTTCATTAAATCAGAGACAAAAAAAAGCTGATGCGCAGGAAGCCACCCTTTTCGAAAAAGAAAAAAAGAGGAAGAAGAGAGAAAAAAAAGTCCAGTAAACATGCACACACAGAGACAACACTCCTACTCCTAACTGGCCAGCTGCCATGGTGTGGCAGGATAAAAGTGCGGGACGAAGACCCTCCATTAGGAAGAAACGGTGGCATGATTCCAGTGGAGAGATTCCCATCCATGGCAAGGAAAATGGCAAATGAGATTCTGGAAACCTGGAGGGTTATCCTGATGTCCTGACGGGAGGGTGATTTGCTTTGCCATGTCCAACTCAGGAGCTCAAGATCCCAAGACGGAACAGAATTTAGATTGGAAACGGAAGCAGAGCCAATTCGGAAAAAAGTGCAGCAAGATCCAGAAGAAATTCGTCGACATCATCATTATTCCCGGGGCTCTCTGTAGTATAGTCCCGAGGGAAGAAACAAGGCAGGCTCACAGTGAGGATTAAGAGTGGACCACGATTGAGGAGAGAGAGAGAGAGAAGAGGAACCATCGAGGCATAAGACAATGAGAAAGTGACGCCATAATGTTTTTGTGGTTTTGTTGATCTTTTTCTTTTTCAATCTGTTTTTGTTTGCTGTGTTCATCGTCGACGATGTGGGTCTCTGTCCCTGGTAGCCTGCGGCGGCCTACTGCGCTCGTATTCCGGAGTGTATCTGGGCTCCATTCCTATCCGGGGATCCGGGGCAGTAGTGGGAGGGTAGGCCATTCCGGAAGTCACGGCTGAGTACTCCGGCTGGGAATCATAACCAGGTCCCGGGTATCTGGGAGCATTGCCTCGGCCACCCTCGTAGCCATAGCCCGTGGGAGCGTAGGTATATGACTGGTGGATATCCGCGGCGGTCACAACGGGCTGGCTGGGACCAGAGTAAGAGACTTGAGGCGGAGGGTATGGGGCTTGGCCTGCGTTGTATGGCGAGTGACTGGATGTGTAGGAAGAAGGGTTGGTGTAGGGAGCATTCTGGGATCCGCTGTATGGACTCTGGGAGTAAGGGTCCATGTAGGGCTGCGCAGGAGCAGCACTGAATGTGGTAGGGGAGGGCCCCTGTTGCTGGCGAACCTCATGGATATCCGATGTGGCATAGTTCGCTGATATGGTGTTAGGGGCATGCGATATGTTGACATCTTGAATGTAACTACCTCGCGGATACCCTAGGTCAGCCCGACGCGAGACATCCGCTTCCCAGCGGGCGGAGTCAGCCTTGAGATCAGCAATCATCTCCTGGATATTGGTTTAATCTCGTCAGTTGTTTTCATTTTGAGACATACTCTCTTCTCAGATTATAGCCCACTTACCGATGTGAGATTCCGATAGGCACGGATGAAAAACCCCGGACGGCCCTGTGGACATGGTCAGTCCAGCGCGCTTCGAATCATAAGAAGAATAACGGACCCCATGGCTGCCAGGTCTCACAAGCGCATCATTTCCAAGATAGCGACAAATATCTGCTTGAATGACTTCCCGGCTGATTCCATCACCGGGAATAAAGTACTCATTTTGACGGCCAGTCATAATGTGCCCCCAGGTAGGAAATGTCCCGGATTATTAAAAAAAAGAAACTATGTTTCCTTGGGTCCAACTGGCCAGATGGCAGACAATCCGGGGGAGGGGGGGGGAAGAATCCCAAAGAGATGGAGATGACAGGAGATGACTTTCGGTGGTGTGTGTTTCCGTTATATTGTCAAATGGTATAGTTTTCTATTAGGTGTCGGGCAACAGTCCAAGGCCGACAAATCAAAGACTTCGATGAGATCCGTGAGTCCAGGGAAATAAATAGAAAAGAATATCCACGGCAAAGATGATCCTGGTCGGGGATGGCCAAAGGGGAAAAATCCGGTCAATCCTTGGGGGAGATCCGCGCTGGTTGTCCAGTTGGGCAATTATCCTGGGAATATCGACAGGTTCACTTGGAGAGAACAACCAGACACCAAGAACAGCGTCGACAGAGGTGGTCGGAGAAAGAAGCGATCAAGGAGAGAGAGAGAGAGAAACACGGGGGAAACCTGGGGCTGGCTCCTGGGCTGGATTTGTCTGCTTCTGGGGTATACCAGATTATGACACTCTCCTAGAACGGGCAAAAAAAGGACCCAGAGGGGGAAGAGTCAAAGGGAGGATGAGAGATGAGAGATGAGAGATGGAAGAAGAGAAGAGAGGCCTGGGAGGAAAGAAAGAAGAGAGAAGAGGCGAAGAGGGGCTAAAGTGGGCTTCAGGTGAATTGGGCGGTTGGGCCGTCTTGGGCTGGTGCCACGACTCTCCCCACTCTCCAGGCCATCAAGTCCAAGCAAATCAAAGCCAGCCCAAGCATGCACGGTCGAATTCGGCTTAGAGTCTATGTACTCTGTTGTTCTGCTTGTAGCCGTTGAGAAGAAAAAGAAAAGAAAATCCTGGAATTCTGATAGAATTACAGGTTGACCCCGGTCAGGTACACGCCAGAAAAGCATACAAAACAAAACAACAACTGCACTGCCAGTCCATGAAAAGAGATATAGAAATGGATCGATGCCCTATTCATCTCTTGGATTGCTCCTCTCCTCAGTCTGTGCCAGCTTCTTGGATATCGAGAAACCACCCCACCTCGATCTGGTGGATCTACACCTGAACCCGTCAACTTCTCCCCTCATGATTTTCCCAGGGAGTATTGCCTCTGAGCAATATTCATATTCCCTTGCAACTTTTTCCGGATCCTTCGACCAGGCCATCGGATGATTTGGCGGTGGACAGTCGCCACCTTGCCCGTTGGGCAGAAATGCGTTTGGGCACGCACGCCACTGGGACTCCGATCGGAGATCACTGGCCGAGACATTGTGTGGGTGTACATAAAAGAAATCCCAAGAAGGCTTTTCTATTTAGTTTCTTTCTACTGGACCTAGGTATTTGGTCGGATTTGGTCGGATTTGTTGTAGGGCTGGAAGTTGGGGACTTACAAACTCTGCTTCCCCAATACCCTAATATCCTGGGTTGAGTATTTACACTCTGACTTACTTTAGTAAGATATTTATCTATAAACGTACTCGATTCTTTTATATTGATCTATGGGGTATTTTGTAGCCGTTCGACAATGTCAACACGTGCCTGACGCTATCCCTTTTTGGGACATCTTTCCAAGGGTCGCGAAACCCACCCGTGGACGTCAGTGATCTCTGCCATGCCATCATTTCCCCAGCGAGCCAAGTCTCCCGCCATGACGCAACGTCGAGCATGCCGCCAGATCCGCCCACGTCGCCCGACGTGAAACTCTCCCGCTACACTTATCGCCAGTTGCAACTACTACGGCAGGGCTCGACAGCGACGCCATTACGCGCGATTGCGCACATCGACCTCGATGCCTTCTACGCCCAATGCGAGATGGTGCGCTTGGGTACCCCGCGGGACACGCCTCTCGCGGTGCGCCAGTGGGATTCCCTGATCGCTGTCAATTATGCCGCGCGGCCATCGGGGATCAATCGAATGGTCACCGCCGCCGAGGCCCGGAAGCTCTGCCCCAATATCGTCCTGCAGCATGTGGCAACTTTCCGGGAAGGCGAGGGGGGGTCGCTGGGCGTATCGGGATGACGCGTTTAAGAATATCAAGACGGACAAAGTATCCCTGGATCCATATCGGGCAGAGTCACGCAAGATCCTCAAGACGATGAAGGAGAGCCTCGACCAGTGGGGGGCAGATGCGACAGAAGTCGAGCTTCAACGTCAGATGCAGGGGCTTTCAGCGGGCTTGGAAAAGGCCAGCATCGACGAGGTCTTCATCGATCTGTCCCCTCTGGTCTTCGGCGCCTTGCTACAGAGATACCCCGAGCTCCGAGCCGGTCTGCAAGATGAGAACCGAGACGCAGAACTGCCCCGACCACCCACTACTGCACTGCCGTGGAACCATGAGGATTGTCTGGTTGACTTGGATCTGCAGGAGTCGGAGGAGGACGATCCAGACTGGGATGATATTGTCATGCTGCTGGGGGCAGAAATTGTGCGGTCGGTTCGGAATGCCGTGTGGGAGAAATTGAACTATACTTGCTCTGCGGGCATTGCGCGCAACAAGATGCTGGCAAAGCTGGGAAGCTCGTGCAACAAACCCAACAAGCAAACCGTGGTGCGAAACCGGGCCGTGCAGCATTTTCTCGGGGGTTACAAATTTACCCAGATCCGAATGCTTGGCGGCAAGTTGGGGGATCAGATCACTGCGTTTTTCGGAACAGAGCAAGTAAGCGAACTGCTCAACGTGCCCCTGGAGCAGTTGCGGACTAGGCTGGACGACCACACAGCAACTTGGCTGTATGCGATTATCCGTGGAGACGACCGCAGTGAGGTCAATCCCCGGACACAGATCAAGTCCATGCTGTCTGCCAAGTCCTTCCGGCCCAGCATTGAGTCGATGGACCAAGCCGAGAAGTGGCTCCATATCTTTGCGGCGGACATTTACGGTCGTCTTGTGGAGGATGGCGTGCTTGAAAATAGACGTCGTCCCCGGGTCATCACACTGCACCATCGAACGGCGCAGTCTCGATCTCGCCAGATCCCAATCCCCGCGTCGAATGCGATTGACGAGAATATGTTGTTCGATCTCGCCAGGAATCTGCTTCGGCAGGTTGTCGCGGAGGGTCAGACATGGCCCTGTTCGAATTTATCCTTGAGCGTGGGCAGCTTCGAAGACGGCGTGGGCAAAAACAAGGCAATCGAGGGGTTTCTGGTTCGAGGAGACCAAGCAAAGTCTCTCGACCAGTTGACAACACCTCGAGAGACCATAGAACCACCCCCTGCTGAGAAGAAAAGGAAGGTTGATGACGGCGACATCAAGCGATTCTTTGCTATGCCGTCTCATGCTGATAGTTCCACCCCGGACGAACCGGAAAGTAGAACACTTCAGCCAGAACCAGAGCCAGCCTCTCCTACAAAGATTCTGACTGGGGAAGCCTCCAGTGATGGTCAGTTCGAGTCCACCGTGCCACAATTCATATGCAGCCGGTGCTCCAAGTCGTTTCCTGAACATGACAAGGCCGAGCATGACGATTGGCACTTTGCCAAAGACTTGGCAATCCAAGATCGCCAAGACGCGAGGAATACGCAGAATAACCAGCCGCTGCCACGCACCAGTAGTCCTCGGGCCTCGAGTGTCCGTGGCAGGGGTGGCAGAGGTGGTCGGGGCAAACCCGAGAAAGGACAAAGACGACTAGCATTCTAATGAGCAAATTGCGGTTGATTTATTGAGATGTTTGTTTTATGTTCTGCACTTTGCGAGCATCCTGCTATATACCCCATGCGAAGCTGCCATCTATCAGAATAAGCTGACTATGCGTAAGTTAGCGAAATAAAAGAAAACCAGACTACTCTGCTGTCTCTGCTGGATACAGCCTCGTTCTCTCTTTTTTTTCTCCTATTTTCACTCTCTCATCGCCTGGTTTAACCAAACAAGGGGTTTTGTCGACATCCTTGGGGGAACGTCGAGTCTGCTAGCCAGGCCCCCTCCAAGGCCAAAGCTTTAATGCTGTCATTTCTACGTAGACAATATTTTCTTCTATTCTAAACACCCTCGTTAATCTCGGCATACACTGTACTTGGACTCCTAAAGGTCTAAGAACGATGCAGAGGTCCACTAGCGTTGGCATTCATCCAAAGGGTCCTGCTAATTTTAGTTCAGAATGGAGAAAGCACAGCGATCAGTTCTTGTCGGAATCTCGGCAAACTAGGAGAATCAAAATTTGCAATGTGCTATAGCCCTTGCTATGTATGCAAATCTAGTATCTCATCAAATACGTTCACTTGTACAGCACCCCTCACTACTAAATTCCAACCAGTTCCCTAGTCGCTTTAGTTTTTACACAATTGAATGCCCGTACCGCGTGATCCCCTTGTAAGGCTGAAAAGGCCCCCGATCGCAAATCGCTAGGCCCGCGCCGTGGCTTCACTAGCCCCCCGCCATGGAAGAAAACGGCCCCCTTCATTGCTGACTGGCTTGGACATAGCCTTGGAGTCTACGGATCAAAGTTATAATAATGGAGCCATTTCCCTCTACTGACAAGCGAATTCTCTTTTTTCCTTTTTTTCTTTTTCTTTCCCCGAGCTGTTCTACAGATCCTTTTATCTTCACTGTGATCCTTTCCCCAACTATGTATATCCTCAAGTGTTTAGCCCTTCTAGGAGGCGTCGCAGTCTATGCAAGCCCAACGTCTTCAAATCCTGACCCGGCCCCGTCTTCTTCCTCTCCCGTTGCCAATAATAGCCATGCACCTTCCGTTTCTCCAGATCAAGTTCAGAACCTCCGGGCCACGATGAAACCTTCCGATGATAAGAAAGGGTGCTATATTGACTTCGATATGCCAGCCCTAAACTGCGTGGACAAGACGGATCAATTACTCGACTATGGCTATCCTTGGCCCCATGCTTGCTGGGGCGAATGTAAGCTCACATTTTTTTTTCTTCTCTTCTCTTCTCCATACATGCTAACAAGTCCCGCCAATACAATAGTCCACGAGGGAGTGGCCCCAGAAACAGAATTCACCAGACGAACTGTCTGCGGCGATGGCATCGCAACCCTCCAATGGAAAAGCGGGGAGCTTGTGTTCTCCAATTCCAAGTCGGAAGTCGTGCGCTTCCAGTTTAACAACGAGGTCGACGCCAAATATGCTCGGTATCGCGAGGGGGTGACGGGGGAGCCTACCCTCGGTCCCAAGGAATAGATTTTCCTGCCTAGGAAGAGCAGATTTATATTCATCATCTACTCTATGCAGAGGGACGATCCCCTCGGTCTTGGATATTGGTATATTTATATATGATTTATGGCGTGAACCCCAGAAGCTATGGACGAGGGACTAGGTGGATATGGGGGTCTAAGTGGAGGTGATCAGGAAAGATTGTAAGATGGACTTGACTTTTTGCTTGGATGTTTTTATATACCCCTGTTATTCTATCTAGTTGGATAGGAGTCTGAATATGCAAAAGCAGCACGATTGCCAATTTATCTACGGATATGGATGTCATTCTAGCTACTCAATCTATAGTGAAGCAGTTCGGCAATCGGATATACCATCAATTCGATTGAAAAGTAGTTCAGATTAGACGAAGCGAAGGGATCAAAATGCCATGAATTATACAAATATCAAGTTGTTCCAAATATAGAATCGTGGTATTCAGACTATGCCCATCCACCCGTGGGTGATCTGTCAGTCTTGGGGTTTGGCTGAGCCATGGATCACTCATCTCCCACCAAGAAATCGGTATCTCAACGCTTCATCGTAAACAATCTTATATTTCCTCGGTGGTAAAAAAATGCACATCCTCACTCGCTCAGACACTCAGCTACCAACACTGCCGCACGATCCAAGTGTGACATCAGCGAGCCGCGGGGTCGATTGACCTCGGGGGCTTGTTGGGGGCCTTCAGCTGTGCCTCCCTCGTCATCTGCACAGTTCTGTATTCCTCGACCATAACCCGCTTCCTTCTGCCGTGAACCTCCAGTTGACATCTCGCTAAATGAGTCCGGCTCGCCGTCACTTCCCTGACGAACCCCACCAGCCAAGAGGATCAACCACCTCTTGAAACGTCCCACCCGCTCGATCGTCTACAGCCAATTCGCGTCTAGTTCTCCCAATTCCACCGTTCACTGGTACTGCAAGGTAGTTTATCAGGACTGCGATCTCGTCTGCCCCCCGCTGCCAACGTCCCATGTCATAGGCCTGTAAAGCCCTTCTCCACTTCCCCGCTGCGTGCCATGCCTCGCCGACCGCCGCCCCGCGACTACTACGAAGAGGATGAAGAGGAGGTCTTCGAGAGCGAGCGCGAGCGCTACCATAAACCAAGACGGCGGGAGCGCGATTTCGACGACGAATTGCGATATCGCCGTCGCGGGCCTGAGCCGCCCGTCGAGGACCTTGAGCGTCTGTACATTCGCGAGCGCCCGCCGCGAGACTTTGTGCGCGAGAACTATGAGCCCCGATCCAGAGAGCGGGTCCCTGTGATCCCACGGCGGTCTAGGGAGGAAGTGCACGAGTTCTCGCCAGACAGAGAGTATGTCCCGCGACGCGAACGGGAAGAGGCGTATATTCCGCCGCCAGGGTCGCGGAGGAGACATTGCCCTCGCACGGTCGATGAGGAAGATCTCATTATGGAAGAAAGTGATAGACAAAGGGGTAGACGGCGTCGTGCAGAGCGTGAGCTGGAGAAAGAGGACCTAGCTATCCGATCAAGCCATCCAGGAGCAAGCCGCCAGTACGATAGCGAGGAAGAATGTCTGCTACAAGAGAGATCACCAAACGATGATCGGGACGAGGTCCACTATCGGTCATCTGCCTCGCGAAGAAGACCCCGTCTTCCAGAAGTGGAGGTGGAGGAGGAGATTGTTGACGAGATAGACGAGGAACAAGATCGCCGGAGCAGACGGCATCACAGAGAACGCAGAATGGCAGATGACAACCATGAGATGCCGGCGCGATGGAAAGAGTCTGAGCCAATCTCTTCTGGGGCCGAAGATGAGGATTTGCCATTTCACGAAAGAGACAGACGGGCACAACCCCCTCTCTCCTATTCAGAGTATGAGCCCGGGCTACGAGACCCGTCAATCAAAAACAGGGACGACAGTCCCAACGAAGCAATCAGAGTCTGTGCACGTTTCCGTCCCAAGCCACGACACCGATACCCTGGTGAAGACGACCATATTGTCGTTCCGCGAGAGCAGCGAGACCGAGACCGAGACGGACGACAGGGCAGCGCAGACAGCGAAGAAATCTACATTCACAAGAGGAGGCGCCGGCCGTCATCTCGTGAAGTGTCACCAATCCGGGCGCCCCCGGTTCCCCAGGATTCGTTTGTGCGCCGTCGTCCTGTCGAGAATAGTAACAATCCCTGTCCATAATGTGGCACACGATCACTGCTAAGATGTATTTAGGATACGAGGCAAACCGTCTACCTCGCGCACCTAGCCCCGAGTTGCCGTCCGTGAGGACTAGCCTCGATGAAGTGGACCTACATCATCAGTGTGTTTCCTGTTCCTGAGGAGCCAACCCCATTTGTTGTTATAAAGGCTAAGTATATATCTACAGCGGGAAAAGAACAGGAAGAGAGTCAGAGGAAGACATCGTCCTCGAACACAAAGACAGCAATGGATCTCTCTCTCCACGGAGCCATTCAACCTTCGACTTTCATAATCCATGGGAGGAAGAGCACGCCGTACCACGCCGCCAGCTTCGGCGCGAGCCAGAATCTATGCGCGTCGAGCGACCTCGCAGCCGTGATCGACACATGAGCCCCAGCGTGTCAGACATAGAAGAAAAGATTGAATTCCATAAACGCCACACTCGGGATCGCTCTAGCAACGCCGCCGACGACTGGTCGATGATCTCTGCGCCGAGAAACAGTGATCCCGTCGAAATGAGCGGGGCCTTGAACGTCGTCGAGATTGCGCCGCGGGATCCCTCCGAAGACGATGACGACGACGACGAGGTAGAGGTACACCCGCGCATGGGACAGAAAGTAGTCAAAGACCGCCGCGACGAACGCTGGACCGAGATTGCCAAGGATCTGGTGGTGAAAGAGGCCATTGAGAGGATGGGGTACGAGTATGACGAGACGAGGATGTTCTACTACATTTTTTCGTACCTTGAACGAGTATGGTTTCCTTCCTGGGCCCTCAAACTTGGGTGGAGAGCTCGATATTGGATGTGGTTTCTGACATTCTCTTGATGGAACAGGGTGATATCGACGAGCTTGTAGATTTGTCCGACGAGATCCGGCACGCTCGCCGCCGACGAATCCGTGAGATCAACCGTGAGCGTGCTGCCATGTCTCCGCCTGTTCCTCTCCCGAGCAGGATTCCGCCTCGCCCGGGGAATAAACGAGTGAGGGAGCGGGTGCGGATTGATTACACTTGATTCTTCTTTCATGTAGTAGAAGGTCAATACAAGGCAGATGTAGTCAATGAGTTATACGATGTGATATGAGTGGGAGGTCAATAATTAATGCGTACCTAGGTAGTGCCCAAGATCAATGAACGCTCTTTTCTCAACAGCCTCGTTATTGTAGAACGCCATGCCTCAATTGTTTCAATTCACCCGCTGTTGGATCTATCGAAGAAAATATCAGAATATCAGATGTGCATACCATATTAGGCTGTTTCAACGTCGGGAAAGAACTATACAGATGCTATATCTTGAAATCACCAGAAAGGCATAAACATCATGTATTATTAAAATATGATATACCATCTTACAAATCCACATCTTCCTCATCCGGTAGAGTCCTCCACGGGGCCGTACAACTCATGGGGGCTGTGTCTATGGACGCAGATTCGTGCATGACTCTCCGCGCAAGCAAGGAGTCTCTATCCCAGTCCGGGAATGGAAACTGGAACGGGCGCATTGAACCATCGCCATGCTCAGGAGAATCCGGCAGCCGACGATCGACAGCTGTGTCCCACGTATCGAGCACCACCTCGCACGCAGCACGAGCCTTCTTCAAGGACCGAAGATACCTAGTGTCGCCACTGGGCTGCAAGTTCGGCGACGGAAGCGGAGGCCAGGGACGCGAGACCGACAAACCAGCATCGTGCGAGTCAGGACCGCGCCAAAAGACTCGAAAATGGCGGTTCTTCTTCTCCTCGCCCGAAGCCAATGGCGACGCACCCACAGCCAGGTCGTACAAACCATTCATACGCAGTCCGCCCCCATCTCCATCTCCATCTCCGATGATGGTGAGCGGGATTGTCCACCGGCGTAACGTAACTAGTCCTGCCACTGACTCGGTGCGCTCCACCCATCCACACGACTCCACCGGGGGCTGCTGCACGAGCATTCGGCGCCAGCTCGAGTTGCATCGGAAATATGCATCTTTCTTATAGCCCACCAGGAACCCGTGCACAGCCGACGGCCCAAAAGCCTGACTCGAGGCTTGGCCCTTGCGCGGGAACCACCAGGGAAACCGGTCGGCTAGAAGCGGGTTGAGTTGCGGCTCGGAGGGCGGCTGAGGGGTGACGGGATGGAAGAATAAGGCCTGCTGGAGTGCGGACGACTCTCGGATACATCTCGCCCAATACCGGCTGGTTCGCTGGGCCAAGAGCAGCGTCTGGAGGTCCACTTGGAGGAGGATGGCTTCGAGAAGCTCTGGTGGGAATGACTCGAGAGTCATTTTTGCTGGTTTCTGGGTGGACTCAAAGATAAAAATCAAAATATAGAGAGTTTGGGGGCCAAGTAGTGTCGCGGATCTTAAAGTCGCTTGAAATCGGTATATCCTGGTTTAGCCTCATGAGTAGTCGGGGCGTGGAGAGGCTAAATAGGGGGCCAAAGCGATCCATACTCACCAAGGAAATGGTGAGGGATACTTTGCATGTCTTGGGGGCTGGAAGTAAACCGCTTCGAGTTCAAAGACAAAAGGGAACAAAAAGGTACGGTGGGTCGAATTGTCTGAATAAATGTCCACCATTGACCCACTCCGTTCTACTCAACTCCGAACTACCTGGTGGCGGCTTATTTCGACGAATCACTATCCACTTCATGTCTTCGCGTCAATACTCAGGCCCCCAATACATAATAGAAAGACGAGTCAGTATCCACCATCCTCTGAATCCGGTGTTTTCACATCCTCTACGGAGGGTGACTAGTTTTCGAATACACAATCATACACACCACATAGTGGGAAGAAATTGATCTAACTACCTATGGGCCTGGATTTTCCATACCTGTTCATAACATACTTGCTCAGTACACCTGCTGTATGTGAAGACTCTGCCTAGCAGAAAACCATGAATATCCACAGACCTCTGGGGCCCACCCCATCCACATTTGTCTGTCGGGGCTGAGAGCCTTGCGGGTGGATCTAGTATTGGGCAGCGAGGCACTTTTTGAATTTTGGTTTATTTTTAGTTGTTTTGATTTAATAGCCAGGGACACGCTCATAGCTTAGAAACTATACACCATACACCAACCACTATGTATCTTAGTGGCCCCCCAGGGCTCGCGATAGTTCTGATTTGGTTAACAGCTTTGCTGCAGCTGGTGACCTCTCTCCCAGACGTCGATGTCTCTACCCGTTTCCGCGTGGAGGAGGGCGAGAAGGGACAAGATGGCTACTACGGCGGCAGCTGCAAGGATGTGGACATGGACCTGAACGCCATCTACCAGGAGGCTATTGATATGGCTCAGGTGGCTAAGGATGCCATGGACAACTACTCCAAGGATGACCAAGTTCGGAAAATGCTCAAGAACTTCTTTGGCATCACCGAGGACAAAAGCACTCATAAAGTCAAAGATGGTCAGGACCGGTTCGATTTTGTCAAGAGTATGTTTTGCTTTTCTTTACCAGCAATCTACTTGGTCTTATAAGGGGAAAACAAGGCTGATCAAAGAATCTTATAACTTGTAAGGTGTGTTCGAGATTATCGTTAGCGACTCCAAGAAGAAACACGATGACACAACGCCATCGCTATTCTGTGATAGTGACTGGCGGTTCTCCACATCCTGGCTATACGACACCGACACAGGAAAGAAAACCGACAAAACACTGAGAGAAGACGGAAGTAGGTGCTAGTTTCTTCTTCACCCCTGGGTTTTGTTGCTAACATCTAATAGAACCCCATGTCTTGTACTGGGCACCCTTCTTCAAGACCTATACAGGAACTAAAGAAGGCTGCAAAGATAAGAAATTGGCCTTTGCGTTCCAAGGTGACGCCTCTTCTATTACAATTTGTCCTTACAGCCGGAATATGCCCAAGCGAAAAGACTCCCTCTCGGCATGGCATACAGGCGAGACTACGATCACCAAGAGGGCTTCGTTGTTGGGGGCTCTGTCCACGCCGGGTACATTCCTACACGAATTAACGCATCTTTTAACACATGGTTAGTCCCCAAATTCTCTCTCTCTCTTCCCCCTCCCTGGCTCTCGCTATTGGGGATACTTGACTAGAAACCAAACCGACTAACCAATCAATTCTTACATTTATCAAGGCGACGACCACGTCATCGACGAACAAGTCACCTGGTGGTCGAACTACGACTGGGACAACGCGCCAATTGACGAATCCTCGGACGATGACATGAGTGACAGCGAAGACGACGATGATGACTCGGAGAAAGACCAATGCGACAAACAAAAATTCGTGGCATACACCCCGCGGTTCTGTGGTCTGCTAGCCAGGAAATACCCGTACATGGCCATCAAGAACGCCGATAGTTACCGCTGGTTCGCGACGGCCATGTACATCCGCCAATGCGACTGGTCGACGATGTACTGCAAGCTGAAGGGCGATTAAGGCTGGGATATTCCGCGAAGATGTTACTAGGTACGGGTTGGTAGATACACAAGAGAACCGGGACATGGGCATGTCCTTGATTAATTGAACCTTTGTGATCTGGGGTCTGTCGCATTATTTGTTGAAGATTAGTGCGTTAATTCCAGACTCCGGGTATTGCATTTTTGTCACGAGGCACGAGGTGATTCACTGGGACGTTTAAAGAATCTAGATACCACGGGGAGAGAGGAGGTATCATGTGAACTATTAATATAATATCATTCGCATGGGAGCAATGACTTGTGATGTGGAAACTCGGAATGTAGACTGTTTCTCTGCTCGCACGTAACAAGCGACAAATTATGGACTCCCAAGCTTCATAACCGGATTTAACAACAATTATCAAAGTTAGATGATGGCAGCCCTAAATACAACTGAAACCGGGGGGATTTCCAGAATTTCCAATGATCGTTATAGGGCTTGAAGAGATCAAAACATTAAACTCCAATTGGCCCCAAACTAATATCATGAGGCTCAACCCTAGTAGATGCTATTTGAAATAAGCCTACCAGAATGCGTTTGTTTCTTTAAATCATAAAGGTGCCACATCATTTATTTCGAGAATCTGGTCCCTACGGATCCTCGACCCTAAAAGCTTTAAGAGTGGGACACAGAAACTATCAATCCAATCAGCTCGTATATTGATAGAAATGGATATCTTTGGCCTTATTTAATTTATAATCAAACAAATGCATATTCAACAGTACGCCTAAATTGAGGGATATGTCTTGCAGGGATCGTGATCATTAGTATAGATGTGTCTCACATAGTTTTAAAGATTTGTAGGGGTTATTTAGTTCAATATGTGTGGCTCTACTAATAACTAGCTATGGCGCCATATTAAGGACTGTAGCCTGAATCTGAATCCTATGGCTTGAGGTTTATCCTGAGTCATTAGATGAATTCATCAGTAGTATATAGTATCAAAGCCTATGGTCTTCCCGGTGGTGAATCGGACTGTGTTACCCCTAAATGAACGGATTTTAATTAATGCTATAAGTTAGTTAGTTGTAGAGATCATTTAAATATGAAATAGAAAAGAAGGGGGAAGAGAGAGAGAGAGAGAGAGAGAGGGCTGTGTACCCTCCTAATAATTAGTTCAAACTTATTAGTGATAGAAAGCTAAGTTAGTGGTCCCTATCCAAAATATTGAAAAGTGTTAAAAGAGCATAAGAAATAGGACAAGGAAGAGGATATAGCAGCTTGGATCTATAGATACAACAATAATGGCCTAGGGTCATACGCCTCCGACAGCTTGAACTTGTCCACCCGTCTATTCATTGCCCCTCTGCTAAGAGAGACTAAATATGTATAATTAGATCTCTTCTAAGATTCTACCAATTACATAAATATTGAATATGGTCATATTTCCTTTCTGTTCGTAAATTTACACAATCAAGTACACTCGCCAATTTCAGGACACAGCGAGGAGCATGGTCACGGATCGGGAATATATACCAAGGGTGTATCATTCAGATAGAAGTTTTAACGAAAACCCTTTTCATTAATCACGAGAGAATGCTTTCAAAAAGGCAGCCAAGCCAGAGAGAAGCAAGGAGAAACCTAGTCCTTATAAAACAATAAATAAAGCCTCATCCACGAGAAAACCTTGATACTTTTCTATGGGGGGGGTATGTTAACATCAAGTTGGGAGCCTCTCCCCTCGTCTCATAATTCTAGTATGGATGTTTATCTTCTCAGGCAATGTTGATATGAATATCCAGCATAGCTAGCATAGCTAGCATATCGGCTCTACGGCATCGTAGAGAGAGAAAAGATATTATTTCAATCATAGACCGAAATAAAAGATACAGTGAGGATGTTCTTCCACAATGAAAATGTATAATTGACCAGGCCATTGAATGTGACAACTCGAGATATTTGACATCCGAGGAACGACAGATATCTTGTCTCTCGACATTTGACTCGCGTTTAACATCACATTGGAAAACCAGAGTGCATGCTTAAATGTTTAAGACGCTCATGAGATAAAAGATGCGGTATCAATGGAGCAGTACCTTCCATCCTCAGCAAGGCTTGACCAGCCATCGCACCTTCCGGGGTTATCTCTTCAGCGCCTTTGCTCAAGACGAAGATTTTTTTGAATTTCCTTTTGCACGCCAGAGTAAACCCCCCACCGCGTTTTCTTACTGAGGGTTCTTCCGCCTCACTACTCAAATGTCACAGCTGGCAGACAAACCGCCCTCGAGTGAGGTAGCCAACACTTCTCCTGTTCCGAACGGCAACCACACGATTAGAAGGACTCGATCTTCGACGATGATTCACATTATTGATGAGCGATTCAACAACAGGTCTGCGGAGCGGACAGCCCTGCTTCGGCAGCTCAAAAAGGCCCTACAAGGACGAGATGTGTCGGTGCAGTTCTGGGCGTGTGTGCAGGTCTGCGATCTCAGCAAGCTTGAGTTCTTGGTCGAGTTAGCAGGCCTGTCGCCCAAGGCGATGGACATCATTACTGATCTCTGTTGCACTCTGCCATACAAATGGATCCAACGGCCCTCCCCTTTCGATGACCTCCGCACCATCTCGACGGCATCGGCTTCTGGTTCTCAACAGACTTCCTCTCGCAGTGCGCGGAACGGGGCGCGGGAGCGCGATGGACACAAGTGTGTTATCACGGGAACTCGCAAGGTTTATCAGGTTGCTCCGATCTTCCCCAGCCATGGTGGCAGTGAGGCTGTCAGCGACGATTCATCTGCGCCTACCATCTGGAAATTTGTGGATGTGTTTTGGAACCGAGCCACCGCCGAGCGCTGGCACAAGGCCGCGTTCAATGCTCTCGACGATTTCGAGTCGGCTAATGGTTGCACCAATCTGATTTGCTTGCGAAATGATCTCCGTGCGGCATGGGCTAATGGCCTGTTTGCATTGCGTCCCGTTTTTGTCTCGCCGGATAGCACCGAGATGGAGGTGGAATTCCATTGGCAACCGAAGCAATTTCACGAACCATACGATCATGTCGACGTGCTGAAAGTGCCCATCTCTTCCGAGGGCGTGAGTAGCGTGGAAGGCCTGCTCGTGGTTCGATCTACAAAAGAGAATGGCTTTCTTCCAATCGAATCGGGCGACCGGTTTATGCTTCGCACGGACGACCCGAAGAGCCGGCCACTTCCAAGCTATGACTTGCTGGATATGCAGTGGCATCTCAACCGGATTGTGGCCATGTCGGCTGCCCCTGAGATATTCAACGAGGACGACGATGAAGATGAAGAGGATGACGAGGATGACAGCTGCACAGCCAAGCCACTCTATCGGCAACCTCCTTCGGACGTGCTGGATTGGATTCAATACCCTTCATCGTCGTCTAGTAGCTGCGATGGCAGTATTGACAACAACAACCTGTACCCCGTGGTATCTACTGTGACTGGAGGGTGTGTTGGGACTCTGGCGGAGTGGATGGAAGATCTGGATTGCAGCTTTGCAACTCGAACGGGCTCTGTGGGCTTGGTCGCACGTCCATTGACTGATCACAGTCGAGTCATGAGAAGGACGGTGAACGATGACCTTCGGGAACCTTAATGCATGTTTTTACCATGCTGATCTGCCCATTATTTATAGAATTGAACATCTCAACAAGTCAAAACAATATGATTTTGCTGTTTCCCAAGGGTATGCCCATAGATATTGGGGGAAATAGCCACGATAGCCCGGCTGGAAAGCCACAGACGCCAATGCAAGCCACCCAACGCCCTGCTCATGGCATTGTCGCATCTAGACTTGATGATTGCCCGACTCTTCCGACGCAATGGACCCCCCTGGCGGAAGCTGACGGCACTCTAGATCGACCCCGGGCCTCTTTGCTGGTAACATGGCGCATTATTGTGGGTGTCTCAGTGATATTATACTAATAATATCTTGGAATGATCGTGATCCCTAGGGATTCTCCCTCTCGCTGAGCCGGTACATCACCCAGCAGATCGAGAATAGCCTTGCCGGATGTGAGGGGATACAGCATCAGCTGTGGTATGGCAGTGTCCGACATCAAATGAGCCAATGATGGCCCCACAGGATTTGTTTATTTTTATTTTATGTTATGTTTTCAATTTTGGTTTTCAAGACGAGTATTGTAGGCAGAGTCAGACATCAATCGATGGAAAGTGATGATCTTATGGTAGATGATGCGTCTATGGAGGAGTTGTTCGATCAGGCTGGCCCGGATCTTGGCGAAGAAGCCCGCAGAGTGAAAGCGTTCGTTCGCCGGACTTTACAATATGATCCTGCGAAGAGACTTTCTCCGACGGAGATATTGTTAGACCCGTGGTTTTGCTAGATTGGACAAACGACGGGGTCAATTCAATGAATGTATGCGCAGTCGAATGACACGTGGTTATTTATAGAGTATGTTACTGGATTGCTGTTCTCTTAGACAGAGAGAGAGAGAGAGAGAGAGAGAGATGGATATATATATATGTATATTATGACTCTGGCTGCAAAACCCCCTTTAGATTGAGAAATCGAAATAATGCGTCCTCGAGTTTACATAGGTATTACCTGACGTTATATCCTTATTGAAACTTTCCTTTCTTTCTACGCAACCCTCTAGGGTGTCTTTTTAGATCATAGGGTGCTGCGGTAGCAGCGCGTTGCTACTTTAATTAGAAAGAATTTGATTAGATCAATTTTTTTTCTGGGTTCCCCATTGCATTTTCCATATGCATGTTATGGTGCTTAAAATGTGTATTGATCATTTCATCATAGCTACATGAGAGTCGGCAATCGATCGATCGAAGTGATGGATGGGCCAACCATGGAACAGGCGGATTCGGTCGTCCTGCCAATTTATTATGTGGAGACAATATCCACTTGCGGGCGATTCTTGCCAGGGAAGGGTAAAAGAATTAATTGCCAGAAAAAAAAAAAAAAAAAAAAAAAATTAGGTCAACTTATTATCAGTATATATAATTCTCACAGAACGATCCAGCTTGACCAGCTGAGAATGTGAAGCATAAGGGAATTAATTCATGCGATGCGCCTTGACTGCTCGAGTGATCGTCGGATCTGGCGCGTACACAGAGAACACACCAAACAGAAACAAGCCCTGGACTGTGATTAATTCTTATTATGAGTGGGGTGGGTGTCGCGACTTCAGTGGCTTGACAGGCGACGGGCTAGATGATCTCACAACTTGGCGTATGTTTATTTTGCGCCCAGACCCAGAGTGGCAAAAGTAGGGGATTGATGTGAAAGAATCATCGACTTCAAGCATGGGAAGCTCTGGATAATTATTGGTATTAACCCTAGGTGCTATCTATATCATAGCTATTAGCTATATGATCTCCTAGTGTACGTACTGCTCTAGGACTATATTCATACCCAACTTGTAGTAATTGCCCCTGGATCGACACCCTGGAGCCAGGCAGACGCAAGAAGAAAAAGGAAGAAAACAAAAAGTGTGGCTTGCAAGCGAGTGTGGCTTTCTCCTGGGATATCCACGAATTACATCCATCTGGCGGGTCTTTTTCTTCCCCCCCCTGTCACACTGCCGATCGTGTTTCGCGTCCCTCGCCCCATAGGAATAGGGGGCGCACAATCCTACAAGATACTGCTTCTAAGCGTGATCAGAATCAAGAAAACTCTGTATTTCCACCTACAAAAAACAAGCCACATCCCATATAACCCTACTATAAATATCAAGTATGAAGGGCCGGAATGCTGTTCTCCTAAGAATCCGAGCCACGGTCGAGAGCTCCCGGCGGGCCATTGTCAGCGCGGTGAGTGGAGACACACGGAATGGGTATTTGGTTTACAGCGCGTCAGGAGTGCAAAAAATATGATTCTTTCTATTCTTCTACTTTAGAGCTTCTATGTGAATTGTATGAGAAGACGATAGACTATGTGCTGTAGAGAGAATAGTCAAGAAAGAAAAATAATAGAAAAAGCACACCTTTCCCAACTGGTATAATAACCAGGCTGACAGCCCCTGAACACCGGTCTGGTGGAAATATGAAATCCAATATGAACACATCGCCAGGTATCCACACAAGCGGGTATGTCGGGCCCTGGACGTGCGCCATTGGCCCCCCCGTGACTGTTTGGCCTATCGTCATTTCTCCCCTTCTTCTCTCTTTCTTCCTTCCTCTCTCCGTGTATCCAACACCTGTGTCCGTCGACTCTTTGTCCAACTCGTTCTCGTCTCGCTGTCACTCGCTCCCTTTTTTTCTTTCCTCGGGACGAGACCCTCGAAATCAACAGCATCCCCCCTATCCGTCCTTAGGAGGGAGACGATGCGAATTTTCTGAGACTGCAACGTCTTGCGAGGACTTGGAATACACGGCGAGGAGAGACCACTAGGTCAACACCTCAACCGTCGACTAAAGACCTGGAGTTGGTACGGCATATCCCTTTCTTGTTTTGTTTCCCCCCCTGACCAGGGTTGATAAGTGATCGGCATTCAAGAACGGTCGGCACACCACGGAGCACGAATTTCGATTCCATCCAAACTCGCGGGACATCTCACTCATTTACACTTGTTCGCCTCTTCGATAGGGAGTTCGAGCTGGCTCGACTTGGAAATCCACAAATCGAGGTGCTAAGACTCGAAAAGAGGACAATCAGTCCCAACTAGTCACCATGCAGCTCCCATTGTGGGTGTCGGCTCTGGTCCTTCTGGGTCAGCCTTTCATGGCCATGGCCGATGCTGATTACTGTGCCGAAGAAAACACGGCATCCTCAAGTGATGCATGTAAGTGAAGCCCCATGGGAACTGGCTCAATGTGATGGTGGCTGACAATTCCCAGCCTCGGATACATATCAATCTAGTGGCGCATGCACGAAACACTGCGGATCGGATTACGGGTTTGCCGTTTTGCAGGGCAAGAAGTGCTGGTGCTCCAACGTGGCACCATCGAAGAAGTCGAGGAACAATGATACCGCGAAATGTGGCAGTACATGCCCTGGCTATCCCAAAGAATACTGCGGAGATGCAGGCTCGGGGGTGTTTGCGTACGTCGAGATTTCGAGCGACAAGGTGACCAGCACCGCTGGTGACTCGGGATCCACGACCACAACGGTAAGCTACCCCTGGTTACTGCTTCCCCCTCTCGTTGCGCATTGTGACTTTTGTTGCTCCTGGGTTTCTTGGTTTTTTTGCATGTCATGATTTGAGTTTGACTCTGTCGTGGACCTCTTTTAATCACGCTTGGATAGGGGAGCACATCGTCAACTGATGCATCGAGTTCCTCGCCAACCACCGTATTTCCCAACATCACCCAATCGACCCGTGAACTCAGCTAATATCTCAACTCTAGTCCTCGGATACCACCACTTCGCCAAGTGTCGCAGTCGAAACGAATTCTGGCGGCGATGTCAAGACCGTCACCATTGGCAATTCTGCAGCGAGCGCTACCGGCAGTGCCAACGCAAAGCCCGCCGAGGAAAAGAGCTCTGGTCTGAGCGGAGGCTCTATTGCTGGTGTTGTGATCGGTGTGGTAGGCGGTCTTGCCCTCCTCGCGGGCCTGATCTTTTTGATCTTCTTTTACCGGAAGCGTGCTCGCTCGGGCAGCCCCACGCCGAGCCAAGATATGAGCGCCGTCGGGGGTGTCGCGGGTCGGAATTACACCGACAACCGCATGAGGACTGTTTACCCGAATGGTCCCCGCGACAGCAGTGTTTCGCTTCAGGACAACGAAGATTACTCTCGACCTGTCCTCCGGGTACGTTCACCACACATACCGTCATAATGTATCGCCAACCCCCTGCTAACATTGGGTTTAGCTCACCAACCCCGATTAATGAAATTAATCCAAGCCGACTCATTCTCTCTTCGCCTTCGCTTCCCACTCCTGCCGCCCGTTTCATTGCTTGCGCGAACTCGCAACACCCTTCCTGTTATGATACCCACTTGACACTTGAACCCTTTCCTTCTGTACAATGGGACAGCTGAGGAGAAGATGATTCGGAGGCGCAAGGCATATCGCAACTGGGCCGTCGATTCTGCTCAGGTTCTTCTCAACAGGATCTATGTGTGCATCTCTGTGGCCGGGCGTACAAGAGCCAAAAAAGAAAAAAAAAAAAAAAAAAAAAGAGGATGCGACGATGAAGAAAGACGAAGAGAAAACCCACAAAAAGAAAGAAGAGCCCGAGCTTTCAATCTTATTACCGTTCGGTTGATGGCCTGCCGTTGAGAGACGAGTTCATGAGCAAATATCATACATAACCTTGCATACATACGGACGGCCGGGTGTGATGCCCGCCGTCCTCCGCCAGTACATACTCCCCCCATCCGATCCGCCCCGTCTTGTCTCAACTTTGCTCTCTCTTTTTTTCCTTGTCTCCTTCGTGTGTTAGGTCAGTTTGTACCAAAGTGCCATTTTAATCCAGCATTTTCTGTCAGCGCTACTCTACAATACAATTTGTCTTGTCATCTACGTGATATACCCGTCGTTTTATGTTGTAGGGTCTATTCAAGGTTTTGCTATTCAAGGTCAAGAGATTCCAGGCAAGTTGAATATCATTCTACCTAATCCTACCCACTCAATTTACATTAACAGCTGAACTCTATCATATCACCAGATACAAGAAAAGAGAGAATTGAAGAAGGGTATAAAAAAAAAAAAAAAAAGGAAAACAGCTCAAATCCAAATGCCTAAACTCCAGTCGTCAGAAACCCAGCAATATCCGAATACCCCAGCGCCAGGGCATTCTCCACCGGCGTCCGATCATTCTCATCGAGAATCGTCAAATCCGGCCGATTCGCCGGATTCTGAAACAACAATTGGACCAGACCCAAATTACCCGTACGCACCGCACAGTGCATCGGCGTCGGAACACTAGCATTCACATCAGAGCCGCGATCCACCAAGGCCCGAATGAGAGCCGGGGCATGGGCATCGATAGCGACATGCAGCTCCGACTCGCCGAGCTCATTAACAACAGACAAATCGATACCGCGATCGACGAACAGCCGCGTTAGCTCGAAATGACGCTTCTTCAGCGCAATATGCAGCGCCGTGTTGCCTGTGCCGTCGGGGATGTTGATGTCGATGCCCGCGTGGACCAACGGGAACGCCAGGTGCGGGTTGTTATTCTGCAGCGCGAGATGCAGCGCCGTGCGGCCCAGCGCGTCGACGGCGTTGAGTTGCTGCTTCTTCCCCGCTGGGGGTAGGTGTTGCAGGATTAGTGAGAGCATCTCCAGCTCGTTGCGGCGTACCGCCTGGTGCAGTGCTGTCATCCCGTACGCTCCTGGCTGGGACAAGTCTGCGCCGCCGCGGCGCAGCACCATCTGCATCACGTCGAGGTCGCACGCATAGGCGATCGACGGCAGGACGTTGAACTCGTTGGCGTTGGCGCCGACCTCGATCAGGATCCGCACCATATCGCAGCGCCAGGTCTGCGCTGCGTGTACCAGCGCCGTCATCCCCGACACCACATTGCTGGCCCCTACATCGGCACCATGCTTCAGCAACTCAATCGAAACATCTGGGTTGTCCGAGTACACGGCCAGACTCAGCATCCGCATTCCGTCACTGGTATACGAGTTAGGGTTAGCGCCTGCTCGCAACAAGAAGCGCACCGCGTCGACTTTACCTTGCAGCGTTATTTGCCCTAACACCTCTTCCTTCTGTGGGCCCTGCATGTCTTCTGGGGGTGTTAGCAGAGGCGGGTCCTCGATTGTGTCTGGTTCGTCGATTCCAGGGGTTTGCTCTGGCAGGTAGGTGAAGCGGCGCTCGTAGAGCTCGCGGGGGCCGAGAGCGATGGCCATGGCGCGGGCTTGGAGGCGCGGGCTCAAGAGACTGTAGAGCTCTGAGTTGGCCTGAGTGAGGTTAATCAGGGACTGTGTGTCCAGGTGTTCTGCTGTTATTAGCATCAGTTCTCGCGGCATGTCACCAAAACGACTTATTGGGCCTTGGCTGTTGCTACTGGTTTGTTGGTTTGGAGGGTTTGGGTGAGAGGGTGAGAGGGATCTGTGTGGGTCAGACATTTTGATAGTTTGAGGGGTTATTCCTTTGAAGCCCTTCTCCTGTTGATTGGAGTGTGTTGTGCTGTGGTGGGTTAGGGCACGGTGTCCCCCGGCAGCAAATAATGAAAACTGGCAAGAAACTGGAAAAAAACTGGTGATCAGTAAGATGAAATCAGTGAAAACCTGTATAATCCTGTCACAATTAGCTGTCAATTGAATTGTCGCTGGAAGACTGAGTGATGACGAGAAAGGTTTGGCGGGCATCGAGCCTGTTTATATAGACCAGTCCAAGACATGCCTTTCGAAATCTTCCTCTAAAGAGTCTTTTGAGGGCGAGAACTGACAAAGAATACAGAGACCATGCCATTCTCTGTATGTCGGGCTCTCCCGACGTTTTTCTATTCTTTTCTTTGTTGAAGATGTATCCTCGTTTTTTGTCCAGGACGCTGTTCGAAGATGACACAGAGACATTGTCTCTTCCAAGTTCTTTGTCATTGGATGTCTGAAGGAAACATCGAGAACGAGACAAAGAAAACAAAGGAAAAAACATAGACGAAAGGATTGTCGGGAGTCCAAAACTAGACTTGATTGAGGGTGAAACCCTACACGACCAAATTCTTCGGCATAGCCCAACAAAGACCTTACCCCTATAGATGTCGAATGCCTGCAAGAGAAAGATTCGCCGGAATACTCCAAATAAAACCCATCAAACCTCTATCGTCACATTCAAAGTCAGATCCGTACACCCCATAGGAACAGTAATCCACGCTGCCTCAGGCTCAGAGTGCGAACTATAGTTATACTCCCCATTAAACACCATAATCTGACCCACGGTAGTCCCAAGCCTCTCCGCGAAATCCTTATAGGCCCCATATGTAAAGTGAAACGGAGAAATTGAACAAACACTGGGCACGCACCGAGAGATCTTAATTCAGGTCCCCCCAGGCAGAATCTGCGTCGGCGAGTCAACACCACCATCCATCTTTTGGACCTGTGCCCACACCGTGTCGAGCGTGACATTCAACTTGTACAGTGCCATTCTCTCGACCGTGTCGCCGGCAATCGTCCTGTAGTCGTGTGGGCCGCCTTTGAGGCAAGTTGCCGTGGCGTTTTGCTTGATGAGCAGGCAACTGTTGCTGTGGTCCGGGATGCAGACTTCTCTTGGGATCTGCAATGTGAAGCCTGCGTAGAGGTGCTCGACGTCGATTATGCGGTTTGTGCGGGCGATGTCGCAGGCGCCGCTGTGGAATTTGCGAGCTATGCTAAAGATTGTGTGGTTTGAATTTGTTGTGTATGTGGTTGTTGTCGTGTTGAAGCTGGCTTTGTTGCAGATGGTTTGGGTTGTATGGGCGATGGCTGCTGCTGTGGCAGTAAGAGTTAGGAGAGTCTTGAGGGATAGCATCATGTTGATAGACAAAAAAAAAAAAAAAAAGGAATATCTTCGAGATTGAGGCTCGAGGATAACGAGGAATAACGACCCGAGAACATGGGATGGCATGCAGTTAAATAGTCGGCTAGATCACTTAGGGCCCAGGATTGCAAAACCCCGAGCTTCCCCATCTGGCAAAAGCAACGCCTGCGTGCGTTGAACACATATAATACTTCTCCTCTTCCCCTAAAACGGTATATAGCATTGCGTATAAACTATTACCAACGGGGAACCAGGTGCAATAGACTTGCATGTTCTTGTGTCTGGCCATTGCCGAACTTCAAAACCGCATAATGCCCCATTATTGATGTTCATATATGATGATATTTATGAGAATTTGCTGGACGCTGGGTAATGTTTTCCTTTTCAACATCAAGCTCCATATCTCGCAGTCTTGGGTTTAAGGTCATTTTTCACGATTTGTGGTCATCTATTGATTTCTCAGGTAGCTATTTCGTGTTTAATGAATAGTTTTCATCCCAGGACCCCTTCGTTTCAAATCATCAAAGGACTGAAGCACAGGGCCATGACGATCTTGAAAGACATCCAACCCAACCAGATACTCCCCTTCCTGAAGGCGAGCCTGTGCAATCTGTCTCCCCGTTCGAGACCTCAACACAGCATGGATACTTTTGGTGATTCCTTGTCCAGGATATGCCACAAGGCCCAAAGCAGCTGCCAGTATAATCAGCTATATGTAAAATGCGGATAAGACTACTCAGGCAAAAAAAAAAAAAAAAAAAAAAAAACTCACCAGACCCAGCCTTCGCCCCCAACCCAATAGTCCCCTTGGCGAACCCCTTGATCACACCAAGGGGACCATTCTTGGCACCTTCATACGGTTGATTAACAAGCCCCGTGAATCCATCAACCATCCCATGCACAAAGTTCTTGCCCCCGACCATAGCACCAGACCTCCAGTCCGTAACGGGGCCGTGATCGGGCACCTCCTCGCCATATAAGCGGGGTATGTTTCGCAGACCCTGTGTCGTAGCGAGAGGGATGTCGACGATTGTGCCTTTGTACCAATGGGCAATGAACTTGCCCACGCCCTTGGCTGTTTCGGCAGTCATTGCGCCGGTGGTCACTAGCGTCTGAGACCGCGTTGGTGTGAGGAATGGTATGTCGGCTTGCTGATCTCCAGGTGACTGTCCCGCCCCTCCGGTAGAAGAAGATGCGGTTGAAGTGCTGGCTGCGCGGGAGATTCCGGGACTTGGAGTGCTACCCTGTCGACCTCGCTGGTACTCTTTGTATGGCTTGCGCACTAGATTGCTCGTGTCTTTGGCGACGTCTGTTAGGACCCCACCAAAGGCAGAGGTGGTCCCAGTGACGGGGTCCCATCGTCGATTCTCGATGATTATTGGCTTGGCATCATAGCTATTGCTGTTAGAACTGATTATAGTATTTCTTTGAAAGAAGGTGGAAGTACTCACCATTGGAGATGTTTTGGATCTAGGCACATATGGCCTCCCAAGATCTGTGCTGCTGCTTTGGATAAGCGAATCGGCTTGGGCAGGGTCTTTTTGTAGACCCAGACGGCGGGCTGATCAGAGAAGAATTCGCAACGCATTTTGTCGACGGGGAGGTTTTTATGGAATGAATCAACTGCTGCTCGAACACCGGCGTCTGATTGCATTTTGATGGAAATGTCTCTGGCTGCAGTCAATGTTTCCGGTTGTAAACTGGTCAAAATTGCATCGGCGAGGCTGTTGCTGTCGGCCTCGCGGTAAGGAACAGGCTGTGGACCGGCTCCAGCTGCGGCAACTACCTTGCCCCAGAAAGGTTGACTAGTACAACAGTTAATCGGATTGGGCAAGTAAGCTCCACGGACAGAGATGCAGTACTCACTCGCCAAAGAACGGCACGATTGCCGTTGGTCGCCCATAGCGTAGTCCACAGGCTGTTGTCCCTGCGCCCCCATGGTGCATCACCGCAGAAACGTGCTGAAACAGCCACTCGTGAGGACAGTCATCGATGTAGAAGATCTTGTCGGAGGGCTCTCCCCCGAGCTTACTCCAACCTCGGGAGATGATTGCCCGCACCCCGACGACATCGATAGCTTCCAGAATGGTTTTGGTGAACTGCTCAGGGTCATCGATCACAATGCTTCCGAACCCTACGTAGATAGGTGCAGGGCCAGCCTGCAGGAAAGCCTCGAGCTCGGGCGGAGGTGAATAGCGTGGTGTTTCACGGAAGAAAAACCCACACACGTCTAGTACAGTCAGAAAATAATCCCCGGGGGGGGTTGGTAGAGACATAACTAACCGATATGTGATGCCCAGTCTGTTGGTCTCGGCATCAGCGCGGTTGACCAGCAGTAGGTAAAGGGCACTTTGAGTGTCGAAGCCAAGTTGGGGCCTTCGGTAGCCGGGATGGGCTCCAAATCCATTGTTTTGCGCCAGTCATTAATCACATCGCCTAGCCTGGTTCTAGTCAGAACAAAGACCCTTTTCGCTGAGGTTTTGATGTTTACCCCTGCCAGGTCATCCACTCCACAATTCCGTAAGAAAGAAAGTTGGCCAGATTGGGGTTCATATCAGAGTATTTCAAGTTCGCCAGGGGATGGGGGAATGCGCGGGTGCTCGTCCAGGGCATAGTGAACATCATATGCACCGGGACCCCGAGGGCCTGAGCGCAGTGGATAGGAGCAAAACTGGAGGGGTTGGCGATAATAGCATCCGCGACGAAAGGTGTGTTTGTCAGAGGATCGTTCTCAACACACGACCGCCAACAACCATGCAGCATCTCAGAGATCATTGCGCGTTTTCGCTTGATATCTCCTTCACGGATGCTTTTGATCTGTGGGATTAATCCGGGGTTCTTGACCATGTAGGCCATCAGCTCTGCGGGGTCCCCGCCAATGGGGTAGAATTCGAGCCCCGAGTCGCGCACAAATGACCCAAAGACATCGTGGGTGGCTAGTCGCACACGGTGACCGTGTTTTTGTAGCTCGTTGCCCAGTGCAATGAATGGCTGCACGTCACCGCGGCTCCCCACTACCTGAATGACGACGTTCAGCTTCAGGTGGATTTCATGAGCGGCAGACTCTGTATAGGCCGGGGGCGGGCTTTCTGGCTCTTTTTCACTGGGCCAGGGAATGAGTTTACTCAAGGCACCACAGGCCTTTGAGTCCAGATCGAGCTCAATGCGACCGTCATCTGGAAGAAGTTACCAGCCTGTTCACCTTCCTGAAGGAGTCGGGTCAAACGATACCTCGAACATCGGCCTGGTCTAGGGGTATATCTGGCGACTCGTAGAGTGGATCATTTTCTTGAGACATGGTGGAAGGTGCCTGAAGAACCTTTGGGTCGCAGATGACATTTAAACTATTTCTTTGGTTTCGAGAAAGCGGGGGTTTCGCGGCAAATTGATCGACGCCAATGAGAGCTATTAGGGCGTGGCATCTACCCGCCTGGTGGAACTTGTCGCCACTTGGGCTCCAGTTGACTATTTGACATGCGCTGAGTCTTGCGACTCACCAACTAGAATCTCGATTGTATCTGTGTCTATTGCTCCAGTAATATATCCTTGCCTATATTTGTATTTATGCTTCGCCTGTCACTTTGACCTATACTGTTTTTATATTATTAATGTGAGAGAGCCTACCTAGGTAGGGTATAGAACTAGATCTTTACCAGACAAGTGATTCAATACCTCTGCTATTATAATAAAGACATCTTTATTGGATGGATGTATACTAGTCTTCGATAAGAGTTTAATTGATTCCTTCTTTGGAGACAACCCTCACCCTCTTCTTTCCGGAAAGGTTTGATACTTGCACTCACAGCACCCTGTCTCACGAATAGGCGCACCACTCTTAGTGATTTACATACCAGCGCTATCAGACCAGCAAAACAGGTCTGTAATCAAAATTATGCCCTAGATAGCACTCAATCCTGAAATAGACCGGATCTCTTGATGCTAGCCCGGGGCGATGTGCAGGGGTTTGCTAGAACGAATAAAGGTGACTAGCCTTGATCAATCGAGCGTCAACGTCTAACAATAAAACTTTTAGGCTTTGCAGTTTGTCATGACGGTCGTAGATGAAATATCGCCACCGACTCATCTGCACTGGGCTCTGTGCGACTGCAAAAAAGGGAGTTGTCGGGATGACGATGAGTGACCTCGATTATTCCACTCTCTAAGACTGCTCTCGAGTGGCCCAACAAGCCTCAAATGGAATGGAATTCTCCCCTGGCGCAAATGCTCATTCAAGGTCCCTGATTCTTTTCCTTCTGCATTTCATCGTCGATGTGTGACTTCACGGGTATTTAATCGCTGATGCCAAGAACCAGGACATTTTTTCCTTTTAGAGGATGGCGAGATGTGCATTGCGTTGACTCGGTGCGGTTCTTATCTTTTCCTTTTTGCCACAATTCAGATATTCGGTTGTTTCTTTTAACTTGAAATCATTATAGACCGTGAAGTAGATGATGTAGTTTGGCAAGCCCTAACTTGCGATAGCGGACAGGATACATCCGTGGATAGACACTTGATCTAGATAATTCGATATGACAACTGTAGAACATCTGAATAAGCCTGGTATGCCGTCATAGCATCTGCATTTCCTCCCCCAACTCGGCAAAAACATTCGATACCAACCAAACAGGATATCCGATGCGCCTGTGCTATCACGGTAGATTGGCCGCGAGAATCCCCGCTTTAGATATCTTCGCTTTAGTGCAACCGAGTGTCGCAATATGCGCAACCTTTGTCTTTGGAAATTACTTATTAGCCGTATCTTCCTTTCCTATAGTCGTGGGGTTTCGTAAATCCCATAGTCAAAAGCCACAGCGACAATATATCGACCTGTAAACAACTGCTACCGATCTACTACCATTTCCTCGCAGCCCTAACTTCTATGACGCAAGCCGTCATGGATCCCTTGAAGTACTCAGATGGTCTCTGGCGTATCGGATTAATACTTGTGTCCGCCACCGCCGTATACTATCTCCTCTCCCGGGGGCTTGGAAAATCCCTTTTAGCTCAAGTCACCCTCAACCGCAGAGATCGTACCTCCAGAATCCCACCGCGGTCTTTCTCTCCAGAGCAAAAGTCAGCTGGCGATTCTGCTTCATCCTCCAGCTACAGCCACACACTACCGCCCCAGTGCAGGCAAGTCTTGACCGAGAACAACAGCAATGCTGCACCCCCGCGCGACGCGAGAGAGAAAGAAGTGCGCAGGAATATCCTGCCCATGACTGCCGACTACCAGACCAGCCCGGGAAGCAAGTACACACCGACGGGGTTTTCAGTGCAGGAAGTGAAAGTCTTAGGCGACTTCCCAGATTACGCAACTCTCAGTGGTGTCCCACTACCCAGTCCTTATCATGACTTCGATATCGACAAGGCGCTGCCTCGGCCCTATCGTCCATTCCGATGGGCGTACCACCAGACCATGTGTATGTTTTGACACAAATACCCAATATTGAGGAGAAAAAAGAACAAAAAAAAAAAAAAAAAGCTCACTTGTATGCCGAATGAAACAGCACTTACAAAACTCGAAACGGACTGGTGGATTGAGCTCGAAAACACATACAAGAGCCGCATCGCGCAACGCAAAGATCTCTTCGCCACGAACGGCAAGGCCGTCCTCGACGCCCTCCCCGGTTCAGAACTGGCCTGCAAAGAGATGATGGAGATGGCGCTGCAGTTCATCTGTGCCAGGTATCCACAGTATTTCACACTGGAAGACAACCGCATGCTGCACAACCGCATCCTGGGTACGGAACAGGATATCCGCGCCAAACATCCGCTGGGGGTGCTTCTGGATAATGTGCCGGAAGATTTCGCAGTAATGATGCGGGACGATGTGACGGGATCCTATTTCCTGCGCGCGGCGGTGATCTGCTCGGCCATGGGGTGGAACGTGGCGACGAAGATTGGTCGTCCGCTGCATGAGATTCATGCGCCGATCCCAGATTACAAGGAGAAGATGCAGTTTTCAATGGAGCGGTAAGCTGTGCCTGTTCATTTCATCTTCTTTTTTGGTTTTTTGTTCTTTTTTTTGTGGACGAATCTCATATTTCGCGTACAGCTTCTTCACCAAAATGCCAACCGAAAAGCCAATCCAGCGAGCGTCCTGGGGCCTGGAAATGGGAGAGCCGCTGTATATGGCCCCCGGTGATCCGCAGGAGCAGCACCGACTGTCTCAAGATCCAGATCTTAGTATCAAGGATTGCTCCTTGCGCGTGGACTGGCAGACTCTCAGGCGGCTTCCCTTGTCCGGGGCAATGGTCTTCAACTTCAAGGCGCTGTTTACGCCTATTACGGAGTTCCAGGACGAGCCTGCGGTGCCGGCGCTGGTGGCAAAGATCCTGAAAGAAGCAAAGCACAGTTTCATGGTGTACAAGGGAGTCTGGCATGTTCAGCATGTTGTGCTGCCTAAGCTAGAAGAGTGGGCGAAGGAGCAAGAGGAGAACGGGGTCGTGGCCAAGGACTGGCAGGTTGCTACCTTGAGTGAGAGCCCGTGGTTTAGGGATTGGGAGGTGAAGTGGCACCGGCAGCAGGGATTTTAGATGATATTTCGTATATTTCGCTATGTAAATTTCCATTGCTTGTTTTCCATGTCACCCTTGTGAGCAAGGTATGTCGAATCACAACATAGCTGGGCACCTGAAGTAAAGCGCTCGGGTGGAGAATGGCAGAGTTGGAAGAGCGAATTCTTTGTCAATATGGCCAGATATTGCGTCTTATAATTGCCACGAGATGGAACGGATGTTGGGTGCATTCTGCGTCTTGATTATTTCCCCATAGATTGTTGGCAAGGAGAAATTTGACGAGTTTCTCGCAAGATATTCCGCAGGCCAGGGAGGCTCCATGACCCCTAGTACAGCACTTGGGGCATTTTGGAGTCGATGCACGGCCATTAGCACCGACAATATCTTCGAAGACGAGAATAGGCGCTATGTTGGCGAGAGCCACCTGAGTGGTTTGGGATCGAAGGCAATTGCCAAAGAACAGGTTCAATCGCCACCCTCGACTCGACTGTGCGGAGACTCTCCACCACTGTGTTCCCGACCGCCTTCGGATTCCCCTTCGTTGCTGTCGCGATCGAGATCCTCCAACTCGTCCGCCAGTGGACTAACCCGTTCGTCCAGTAGATCCAGGTCCTCCAGCTGTTGCCGCGGTGGCAGCTTCCATAAACTTGTTCCGCAGACACGATCCTTGGTGAGAAGATCATCGACGAATTGATCCATGTACGTAAGCACGAAGGTGTCGCGTACTCTGCGTTTGAGCTTCCGGTAGTCGGCCAGGAGCGGCTCGAGCGTCTTGTAGACATCAACCGCTTCAAAGGTCAGCCGCACATAGAATGCAGCCAAGGCCCGCAGGTACTTGAAATCGCCTCGTTCCTTGGCCACTCCATTTTCCGGGTCCTCTCCCTCTTCGTCACTGCCGGGGTCTGAGAAGTTCAGGTACTCGAGGATGACGTCTCGGTCGGGGGTGAGCTGGAGCATTTTGAAGGCGAGGCAGAGGAAAGGCGTGGGTTTTTCAGAGACACCGTAGATACCGCCTAGGCAGGACAATTCGACAGCGCGATCGCACAGAGTCGCCGCGTTTAACCCGAAACACTGTTCCTTCCAGTAATATGAGTCGGTGATGCGGTCGCGCACGGCTTTCTCAAACAGCGTCACAGGGTTGACGCCACGGACGAGGGTGCCCGTGTATCCGCGATTGTCAAGGAACGAGCTGGCGTCAGCGCGATGGGCAGCCATGGTGAGGGATGTCGAAGACGATGTGGAGACGAAGCCGAGCGAAAAACGAGGTCGACGCCAAGCCGTCGCAGCTCTTATCGATAGTCGCACGGCCAACCCCGTCAACACAACCTGATGTCATGAAACAACCTCCAAAGAGGCCCGTAAGCACACGACCACGGCCCCAAGAGAGGGCATTGAGCGGGGCTGTCATTTCAATTCTGCCTATTCTTTTTTGTTCCCTTCTTTTCATCCATCCATGCAGCCTGCCTTTCGATCATGGTGCTTGTAACGTCGTCGACGGTCTCCGCCGTCGTATCGGTGGGAGTGATCTGCATTTTTACCCTGCTCCTCTTTCTATCTGGATATGTCCTGCAGCAGCAGTCGGTGAAAAATATCCAGTATGCCCTGCGGCCACCCGATCAACGGCCGGGCGCAGGCGGCGGATCGACATTCCAGAGGCCCGGCCGCAAACGAGGGCCATCAGATTCAGATCTCGGCCTAGCGGCTGATCCAGGGATCGCTCAAGAGGATGAAGATCGTCACTCAGGTCACGAAGGAAACTATGCATACCTCCAGCTCCTGTCAGATCCGGACCCGTCCAACATCTGCTCGGCAATCCTCTTCTTCAAGCAGCTCGCCGCCAGCGAGACGGTGGTCCAGGACCGGCTGTTCATGTACCCAGAGGAGTGGGACCGTATGCCGTCCAGCAAGCTGGGCAAAACTACCTCTACCGCATTGTCGATTCTGCGCACCGCGAGTATCAAGTACGGGATATGGCTGCTTCCCATTGACATGAGCGGCACCGGCCGCACCCCGACCGACTCTAGACTACTGCGCCAGGGCCAGGTCCAGTTCATGCAATATGACAGCGTGCTCTACGTCCAGACTCCGGGGCTACTGTTGGATCCAACAAAGCTCGACGACGTACTCTTATCACGGCCTCTGCCGCTACGACATAACAAAGACCGGGTCGAATCATATAACAACGAAGCGTGGATCCCCATGCCACTGCGTTCCGAGCGCGATCCCGATCTGCCACCTGTCTATTTGATCACGGTCAACAGCCTCGAAAACAGGCGCGTCGAAGCGCGCACACACATCCCTAACGTTGCTCTCCCGGGATTCGGAAGAATAGTGACGGGCCCATCTGGGGTGAAGAAGCTGAAGAAAGAGCATGGGCCAAAACCGGCCTATGTCTACTTTGAACATGACCGCGATGGCCGGGTGAAGTGGGCTGAAAATTCACTGTTTGGGACCTGGCGCTCACAACAATCTGAGGTTTGTGAAGGCTTGGATTTTGACGATGATACTTCATGATGAGATACATGGCGTTTATTTTTATTTGTATATTATGCGATATGGTGGATTGTACATGCTGGCATATTTGGGTAGAGACGCGGCGTTGGATTGGCCTGGATTCCCATGATCAACAAGCGATGCAAGAAGCCAGGATGTTGCCAAATTATACCCGAGATGCAATTTATGAGTTCTGCAGTTTTTCTATTCCACGGCACATGCTTTTGGCGATGTAGTAGATAGCCTTACAATGGCCAAGTACCACGCAAGTCCGGTCAATATAGTCAGCTGGGAAATGACTGGTTATCCAGAAAGATTACTAGTTAGCCCAATTATGTTGGTATTATAAGACCGAAGCCAAGCAGAACTAGGGTTCTTTGATATTCGGCAACCGGGGCAGTGCCTCGTATTTCAGGCGATGATGAATCATGTCTTGAACTTACCCTTAAAAATAACATTAAACTGCAATCTACTTCTTCCACAACTAAATCCAATCTCTTATTGTATAGCAATTTTACCATGGACCCCTCCGAGATCCGCACATACGAAACCAAAGCATGGAACGCCCTCTGCCACTCCGGGCCTTCCCTTCTCCCACTCCTCGCCAAAGACTGCATCATGCTCTTCCCCGGCGGCATGATGCTCTCTGACAAAACTCTTCGCTCTACTCTCACTGGCGATATGTTCCAGCCGTGGGAGTCATACACCATTTGTGAGGATCGCGTGGTGCCCCTCGACGCCAATGGACGAGTTGCCCTGGTCGTGTACAAAGTCACTGCAGAACGGGACGATGTAAATGGCGGAGATACGGTTGCCTTTCGTGCACTTTGCTCGAGTATCTGGCGTCAGAGAGCGGGTGATCGGGGTTTGGGAGGGTGGGAGATGGTTTCGCATCAGCAGACTCCGGTTTTAGATACACCGTGGTGATGGATATATTCGTGGATTTTGTGAATGGGCCATTGAGTTGGATCGAGAGAATGTAGTTCTTTCTTTGTCTTCCTGCTTCTCTTTGTCTTTGTTACTTTGTGGTGAGTTCGAGACACAACAAATACTCAAATATATCAAGAGCACACCAACAGCTGTCCAAGTGCTATATTGAATAGTTATCCAATTTCTTCTCTTCAGTTTCCATATCTTTGCTCGAAATCCCTTGCCTATATCCCTACCAGTCATAAATTTCATCGATTATGTCTATCTCATCATTATGGAGCGTCTACATATCCCTCACAAATACCCCCTACTGAGGAACACTGATCTCATATCCCAGCAATACCTCCGTAGTGTTGCCCTCCCAGCCCCGGTTCCCACTAGTTGAGATCATAAATCGACAAGCATTATCAACATATAGCTGGGAAATGGTCCCGGTGCGATGACCAGGGATAATGAGGAAGGGAACAGTCGAGTGGCGGGATGCCTGCTCATGTTTCAAATCGTACAGGCGGAGAATATCATGAGAGGCGCTGGAAAAGAAATTAGAAAAAGGACACATACAGAAGACTTTCAAAGAAGGAGGCTTGAGTCTACTTACCACACAAGATGTCGCCCGTTTGGCATGGCTTTGAGGGCTGTCACCGGCCCACTCCCTTGTGGGAACTTGAAGGTCCGCTCGGGACTTCGCAGTCCTTTGTGAAGACTGAATTCTTCAACGGTGCCGTTGCGACGGCCCGCGTAGATATAGTTGCCATCGGGGGACCAGCAGGCGTTCATACACCAAGGCGGGACATTCCGAGGAGTGATTCGGGCGACGGGATCAGGTTGTCGTCGGTCCCAGACTCGAATCGTCCCGTCGATCGATGCTGCCAGGAACGTGGTATCGTTCCCAACGTTGTGTTCGAGAGATGTGTCCTGAGAGAATCCTTGACTGAACGCAGGTCTCTCGAGGTCCTCGGCCTTTGGGAGACCATTGACCGGTTGGACTGCTCCGGTGGGGTAGTCGGTGTCAAGTCCCTCAGTGTTTGGATTGTCTCCTGCAGTATTATAGGAGTCACCAACAGAGGTGTTTGGTGGTGGCGCCCCATTGGGTTGAGTTGGTAGTTCTGTATCTTCCTCGCCGGGGGCATCTGCATCAGCGTCTGCGAGGACACCATTGGCGAGAGCGCGACCAAACTCATCGTCCTCGTCGACCCCAAACACACCATTCGAGGGCTCCCCTCCATCGGCAGCCCCGCCATCTGCGTCGCCGAATAAAGAGTCGGCGCCACCGAAGAGCGAGTCTGCCGGTGAGCCCGCCTGCGGGTTCTCAGCAGCCCCCGAATCTCCGGATTCCTGGGAAGTATCCATCATGTTGGCATAGCCCACACCGTTGACTTGATAATTTGTTTGATGTATGCCATTAGGCAGCGGAGGGTCAATCGTATCTTGGGGAACCGGAAGACTGGACTCAGGCCGGAGCTGCACGGTTGAGATTTGACTAGCGCAGCCTCCGAATGAACGTCTGGCTTGCCCCGTATTCATATCCCAGTCAAGGACCCGCTTGTCCCAGCTACCAGATAACAGAGACTTTTCATCCGACGTCAGCTGTAACGTCGACACCGCTGAGGTATGCTGCTGCAGCACCGCAATTTCTTTGCCCTCTTCATGGCGCGCTGCTTGCAGTCGAATGGCACCAGATTCTAACCCAGACAGCACCCAGAGCCCCTCGCTTTGACTGGCTAGGGAATAAACTGGCGAGAGACTATTGCCATCCATGTTTTCCCAATATGTCATCAACACGCCGGCCTTAACCACGCTATCCACGAATGGATGCCGTTGAGCCACTGTCAGCATAAGCTTGCTGTTGATGGAATCTGCCCAATTGAATTTCCGAACAAATCCATCCGATCCACCACTAAAGACCCAGCGCATATCAGCCGTTGCCGTGATCGCATTGATCGACGTGCTGTGAGGCGCCGCGGTGGTAGGAGCGATATCATATGTGTTGGCTGTCAGGCATTCGGCGCGCACACTGGGATGATATATGGAGAAGGGGTCGGTCATGACCGTGTCCGCATTTCCTGGGGTTCCCGCCGCTGCGGCATCGGGGTTTTGTTGTGAAGCACCCCCTGCGCCCTCGGACGCTTGACTCGCATTCGAGGGGCTGTCGGCATCTTGGTCACCGTCTTGGTCGCCGTCGCCATCGCCATCGGGCTCGTTATCGCCGTCGCCGTCGTCGACATCGCGCATCGGATCATCGATCTCGTTGTCGGAGCTTCCATCCTGAGAGCCTAGTAGATTGCCCAACTATCAGCTTTGCCACGAGCAGAACAGACCTGCATTAAACCCACCTGCCAGATCGCGGTCGTCGTCGTCCCCCGCAAGCGAGGCCATGGTGGCAGTCGGAAGCCTGTCACACTTAATCCGCGCGAATCTAGGGTATCATCCGGGGGCAATTGACAGCCAGCGCTCAATCCTGGGGGGATATCAATCCTGCGCAAATGGTATTCGGCCGGCGCAATTGTCTCAGTCCAGCATGAACAACGAGTCCAGCACCGAGATGAAAATTGTTCGCGAAGGCGCAAGGGCCGACGTTGCGGACCTGGAGAGATTCCCGCGGCTTGGCGGCCCACTTGCCCCTTCGGTGCCCTGGGGGCTTCTCGGTCTACTTCGACAAGTTCTTCGGGGGCGTTGCCTGGTTCCCTTGAAGCAACAGGAGAATGAATTTAGGCAATCTACTGACTATGGAGGATAGGGCCCTCTGGTTTTGTTTGACGGGGCGTATTAAATATGCAGTAGGCACAATACGACAGTACGGGCCCCGTTCTATAGAGAAACAGAAAGCTCCCCACGGAAGAAAATCGTGGACGTGAATTTGTTTTCATTTGCCGACTCTTCCTCTTCTGTACTCATATCTCTGTTGCATCTTTTGGGATTTTTTCTCGCATTGCTTTATCTCCCGAGCGTGCTCCCATCTTAACATTGTTAAGAACATCGTACCAGATCTATTCCCCTCCCCTCTCGCATGAACTGCAAGTGTCTCGTCGTCATGTCGGGCTCACGCAGCAGAAGGGCCCAGGTCAATCATGCCATCCAACAATTCTTTCGTGACCCGGAAACTCCGGACACGAAAGAGGACTGGACCTTGAAACCCGAACTTCCTTCAGCCGATGAGATCCTGGGGGATGATCCCCCGAGTGATGAAGTACACCTTGCCCCAAACCACATATCCACCCCATGGCCATCAGTCCAAACCTACCTGCGGACTCACTACACGCTGGTGAGAGAGGATAGCGTGGCGCCGCTGAGAGATGCCGTGGCCCATGTTCGAAATGTCCCTCAGAGGAAGGACACGAAAGACTTGTCTGTCTATGAGAAGGTAAATGAACCATAATTAAACACTACTTTCTATTTGACCTTGATATTGACATGGTGGGAACAGGTATACATTGTGGGGGCTACTTTGGCAACTCGAGGCCAGGCCTTCACCCTTCGGTTTTCAACCAGACGTGCCGGCAAGAAAATTATCTGGAAGTAATCCAATCGGCTTCTTGAAGGCTCGGTTGTGGCGTTGTCGCCTGCCGAGGATACCTTTTCAACCAAATGCGTGGTCGCTGTCGTGGCTGCAAGGCCGCTGGACAAGGTCAACAGAGACCCTCCCGAAATCGACATCTTTTTTGCCAACTTAGAGGACATCTGCTTCGATCCACAGAAAGAATGGATTATGGTCGAGGCACGGTCGGAATATTACGAGGCCCACAGACATACGATGACGGCGCTGCAGAAGCTGTCTACTGAAAGGTCAGCACTTGCACAGCCCATTCATCTGCTAGTATAATCATTGACATCGTTTTAGTTTCCCTCTGAGAAACAACATTTGCCGCTTGGATTAAGCGATAGATTTCCCGGAGTCTGTCGCTGCCGATACTATCAGGGACCTCCGACCATTTGGCAACGCCTTCGTCGATATTTTGGGGCATGGCCTGAGGCCCCAATGGAAGGCATGGACAGTTTCCAGTGGGCCGCTCTGAGACAAATGTTGACAAAGAGACTGGCTATTGTTCAAGGCCTGCCGGGGACAGGCAAGACCTTCGTGTCGGTTGCTGCCCTCAAGGTCCTGCTCTCTCAAACATGAGGCCAGGTGACCCTCCAATCATCGTCGCTGCGCAGACGAACCATGCATTGGACCAATTCCTCAACCACGTCGCGCAGTTTGAGCCCAACTACATCCGGTTGGGTAGGCGAAGCACCGATGTGGACATTCGCCAGCGCAGGCTCTTCTCTGTGAGAAACGAACAGGGAAGGTGGGTGAAAGGTGGAGTCCCGCTGGCCAACAAGCAGCAACATCAGGATCTGGTCAATTGGATCGTTGGCATTCTTGATGCCTTCAGTGGGATGGAGGATAAGGGCCCGATCGAGAGCTCGTCCTTCCTCAGATCTGGTCTCCTAACTCAGGAACAATGCGACTCTCTGCAAGCCGAAGACAAAGGCTGGCTGGGTCTGAAGTCAGGAAAGTATGAGAGTCCAATGTCCCTGTGGTTGGGAGGCCGACTGAGGCAATTCGAAGCGGACTTTTCCAGTCCCAACTTCGTAGAGGACGAAATCGATCTGGAGTACGAGCAGCTGAGGCAACCCGAGGCCCAGCAAGGACTGGATGAGGATACTTGGGAGGGTCTCTGAGGCAAGTGGCTTGCCCCTGCAGAGAGTCTGCATGCCCAGGCCATCAGTCCAGAGTTGGAGGCTACGGCTCAGATGTACCTCCAGAATGCCGACTTGTGCGTGATTCCACCGAAACCTCGCGGACTTGTCTACAGCTTCTTGCGTCACCGGTTGGTGGAGATTCTGACTATAAACCCGCCAGACCGCGCAGCTGTATCAGGATTGCTGCAAAATGTTTAAGATGGGAAACTGGAGCAGGGATTCCACCATCCTGCAAGGTGCCAAAGTCGTCGGAATGACCACGACGGGTCTGAGCAAGTACCGAGGTCTTGTCGCCAGCCTGAACCCTCAAGTCGTGGTGATTGAAGAGACGGCTCAAGCCATCGAAACACCTGTCACCGTCGCCTGCTTTGAATCTCTGCAGTAGTTGATATTCATCGGGGACCACCAACAGCTAAAGGGCCAGTGTGCTGTGCATGAGCTGGCAGGCCCGCCGTTCCACCTTGACATCTCCATGTTCGAGCGTCTTATTACGAACAACATGACATTTACCAAGCTGCAAGAACAGCGACGAATGGCGCCCGAGATTAGAGCACTCCTGACACCCATTTATGGAAATTTGCTTGACCACCGCTCGGTTCACAAGCGGCCTCCAGTTTCTGGAATGGGAGATGTTCGACTGTTTTTCATGACCCACAACTTTCTCGAGGACAATGAAAACCTCGCCTCCAAGTTTAATGAGTTCGAAGCATCCATGGTGACGGAGTTTTACGCCTATCTCGTGATGAACGGCATCTCGGACCGCAAAATCACCATTTTGACATTCTATCAAGGTCAAAAAAAGAAGATTCTCAAGATGGTCAAGACCCATCAGCATTTGACCCGTAGCTTTGTGAACGTGGCCACCGTTGATTCCTATCAGGGCGATGAGAATGGCATTATTCTTCTTTCCCTTGTCCGAAGTCATGCATAGGAGACCGAGGGGATTGGTTTCCTTACCGTGGACAGTCGAGTCTGTGCAAACAGTGTCAGCTTGGCTAGTCCTCTGTGGGAAAAAGTGGTGAACATTATGTCTGCGCCATCTAACAGCCCCCGGCTCGGGAAGGCGTTGCCCATCACTTGCCAGACACATCAGAAACGGACGATGATCGAAGGTATGTATACGGAGATACATTGTTCTTTGTGTGAAGACTGGATGCTAATTGGGCTTGTCCACACCGCTAGATGTGGCCTACTGGAAGGATATTAAGGGAGGCTGCACCCTTCCATGCCGACAGGAGCTTCCGTGTGGACATAATTGCTCGATCCAGGGTCACGGGTAAGGACCAAATACCTCAATTTTTGAATGTCGAGGGTGTATTCTGACCTGGTGGAACCCCACAGATTCCACCATGACTGGGTGGTGTGCAAGAGAGTCGGCGCCTACAGGTATCCTTGCTGCGGCGCCAATTGCATGCAGAAATGCCATCCCGCTCATGACCACCGATGCCACTGCCCTGCAAGTGCAGCAGATCTCGCGGCGGCTGAATCTACTACTCCTAAGCCTATTCTTCCTGAATCTCCTCGTCTGTTGGAATTGAACACCGATCCCCCCATCCGAACGCCTCGTCGATTGGAGGGACAGCCTCGTCAACTACAGAGACAGCCGCGTGAATTGGAGGCCCAGAACAGATGGAATGCATTTGCCAGAGGAGGGGTTCGAAAGATTGACCGGGCGCTGAATCTCCTGGCCAATGCCAGCACTGCGGATGAGGAAGGCGTTCAACAGGCGATGCAGCAGGTGGACCAGAGGCTGATCCCTCGGAGGCTCCTGAAAGTCGAGGAAGAGAAGGTCGAGGAGAAAAAGATGTTGGTGATTGGGGACTTGATTGACCTGGACTGAGGGCGAATTGAAGCAATTTCTAAGCAGATCTAAATCGACATGGACACGAGTTTTCTTAGTCACCGGGGTTTTCCGAGGGAAACGAGTCAGCAGTCTGGCCGGAGTCTGCCGACTAAGCAGCTGCGTAATTGAAGCTTCCCCGCACCCCGCTTTTTTCTCTTGGCCGTTCGGCCTTTTCGCTCCACTGACATCGTGCCGAAGAATAATACTCGCCGTGTTATTCGCCAGTGCCGCCATGGCCTTATTTAAAGGGCCCAATAACCCCCCAAGCTGCCTGCAACCGTCTAAATTCTTTTTTCTCTTTAATTTCGCCACTCCACGGCAACCATGAGTGAATGTCCCGTCCATCGCAAGCCCGCCAATGTTGCTGGCGCCGGCACAAGAAACCCAGACTGGTGGCCCAACCAGCTGCGGTTGAATATCCTGCGCCAGCATAGTGACGCAACCAACCCCCAGAGCGCCGATTTTGACTATGCGGCGGCATTCAAGTCCCTAGATTATTATGGCCTCAAGAAGGACCTCCATGCCCTGATGACCGACTCGCAGGACTGGTGGCCTGCCGACTTCGGGCACTATGGCGGTCTGTTCATCCGTATGGCCTGGCACAGTGCAGGTACCTACCGGGTGTTTGATGGCCGCGGCGGCGGTGGTCAGGGTCAGCAGCGCTTCGCGCCGCTGAACAGCTGGCCTGACAACGCTAGTCTTGACAAGGCTCGCCGCCTGTTGTGGCCCATCAAGCAGAAGTATGGCAACCAGATATCGTGGGCTGACCTGTTCTTGCTCACGGGTAATGTCGCTCTGGAGTCCATGGGTTTCAAGACGTTTGGTTTTGCTGGTGGCCGGCCTGACACCTGGGAGGCCGATGAGTCCGTGTACTGGGGTGGCGAGACCAGTTGGTTCCCAAGTGGGAACGATGTTCGCTACGCTGCCGAGTTCGAGAACCAGAAGCAGCAACAGAGTGACATCCGCACTCGCGACCCCGAGGAGCCGCTCGGTGCCTCCCACATGGGTCTCATCTATGTGAATCCCGAGGGTCCCGACGGCAACCCCGACCCCGTCGCCGCGGCTCGAGATATCCGCATTACGTTCGGCCGCATGGCAATGAACGACGAAGAGACGGTTGCACTGATTGCTGGTGGTCACAGCTTCGGGAAGACGCACGGAGCTGGACCCGGTGACAAGGTCGGCAGCGAACCCGAAGCCGCCGGCCTCGAGCACCAGGGTCTGGGATGGTCCAACGGGTACAACTCTGGCAAGGGTCCTGATACTATCACCAGTGGACTGGAAGTGACCTGGACCAAGACGCCTACCAAGTGGAGCTTGGACTTCCTCGAATACCTGTTCAAGTTCGACTGGGAGTTGACCAAGAGTCCGGCCGGTGCCAACCAGTGGGTGGCCAAGAACGCCGACAAGATTATCCCCGATGCGTACGACGCCAACAAGACACACCGTCCGCAGATGCTGACTACCGATCTGGCTCTGCGCTTCGACCCGACCTACGAGAAGATCTCGCGCCGTTTCCTGGCTAACCCCAACCAGTTTGCCGATGCGTTCTCGCGCGCTTGGTTCAAGCTGCTGCACCGTGACATGGGCCCGCGCTCACGCTGGCTGGGCCCTGAGGTCCCGAGCGAGGAACTGCTTTGGGAGGACCCGGTCCCGGCTCGCAACTACCCGCTGATCGACAACGACGACATCGCCGCCCTGAAGAAAGAGATCCTGGCCTCTGGCGTCGACCCGACCAAGTTCGTCTCGACTGCCTGGGCATCTGCATCCACATTCCGCGGCGGCGACAAGCGCGGCGGCGCCAACGGCGCGCGCATCCGCCTCGCTCCCCAGAAGGACTGGGAGGTGAACAACCCCGCGCAGCTGCGCGAGGTGCTGAGTACACTGGAGGGCATCCAGCAGCGCTTCAACAGCTCCCAAAAGAGCGGAAAGAAGGTCTCACTGGCCGACCTGATCGTGCTCGCCGGCAGCGCCGCCCTGGAGAAAGCCGCCGGCGTGCCGGTCCCCTTCACGCCAGGTCGCACCGACGCCTCGCAAGAGCAGACGGACGTCGACTCCTTCAGCTACCTGAAGCCCGCCGTCGACGGCTTCCGCAACTACGGCAAGTCGACCTGGCGCGTGCGCACCGAGCAGTTCCTTGTCGACCGCGCCCACCAGCTCACGCTCTCGGCGCCCGAGCTGACCGTCCTGCTGGGCGGCCTGCGCGTCCTCAACACCAACTTCGATGGCTCCGCGCTCGGCGTCTTCACTCAGCGTCCCGGCGTGCTCTCCAACGACTTCTTTGTCAACCTGCTTGACATGAACATCGTCTGGAAGCCCAGCACTGCTGACCAGGAGCTTTTCGAGGGCGTTGATCGCAAGACCGGGGCCCGGAAGTGGACGGGCACCCGTGCCGATCTGGTCTTCGGCTCCCAGGCTGAGCTGCGCGCTCTCGCCGAGTTGTATGGTAGCTCGGATGGCCAGGACAAGTTCGTGAGGGACTTTGTCGCGGCTTGGGATAAGGTTATGAACCTTGATCGCTTTGATCTCCCGCGTTCACCGGCTGCGGGCCGGGCTCGACTGTGAATGCTGGCAGAGCCTGACCTCTTGAGTTTATCGACTTTTCTCTCGCTGTATTTTGTTTAATGTCTTCCCATAGCCGCTCACATACTTTGATGTATCCAATGCAAGTGCGACATAACACTTTCAATCTTTAAAATCCCTAGTGGTTCTAACAAGCCAGAGATGTAAGGCGTAGAAATAGTAAGTCTCAATTAGACACATAATTATTGGAATAACGTCCCAGATACGAGTGAACGTAAAATGATACATTAAAAGGTCTCCCCAACTAGAAAAATAAATAACTATGACTATAGCCACGCCCTGCGCTGAAACAAATCTAATCCATCCCAGTCCATAATTACAGGAAGCACAGATCCCAGATCCACTGATATACAAAAAATCACATCATCGCCATATACTGCTCCAGGCTCTGCCCGAGAACATTGATAAACGGCCACTGCGTGTTCTTGCGGAAGAGTCGAGCCCACAACTTCAGCACGGCCATGCCCAGCGCGCCCGGCTGTTGGGGCGAGGGAGCCTCGGCATCGTCGTCGAGATCGATGGATGAGTAAGCCTCTTCGACGATGCAGTGTGTCCAGCGCAGAATGCGGCTTTCGTTTTCTGTGAAGGAAGATCGAATGTTAGCGATTTTCTCTTTTTTCCCATTATTTTCCAATTCATCGGGGACAGTTTATCTTCCTTCTATGAAAGGGTGGGAATGTGCTGAAAATCCTCCAAATGCAGGCTAAAGGAAACATACCACTCAAGGCCTGGTCGGCACCGGCCTCAGCTAGCGTGAACAGCCATTTGCTGAGCAGCACCGCACACTCCAGACTGGCGATCGAGTGGCGCACGCTCCAGAAGAAGGCCTGGCTGCGCGCGATGTGGTCAATCCCCAAACGCACTGGGATACTTAGCGCATGGGCGGAGTAGATGAGCGCCGGGATGAGGCGGTAGCTTCTTTCTGGGCGCGGAGAGCGGCGCAGGGCGGTCGCTATACAATTTGGATCGCGGGTCTCGAGACGCCTGTATGGGCCCAGATTCAAGGATAGCCGCACGTATGCAAGACCCAAAAGCGAACTAGATGTGAATGGAATGGGGCCGTTGGCGTTGTGTGGGTCGAGACTTGATTCTGGGGCTTGTTGCCAGACGGAGGTCCAGGAACGCAGTGCTCGTCTGGTGAACATCATGGTTAGAAAATTTCAAAAAGATGCAAAATATCAGAGGCTACTTACTCGAGTTTGTTCAGCTCCTCCGTGGGCAGGGTAGTGGAGTGATTTCCGTTTGGCAGTGACAGTTCACTCACCATGTGGATTCGTTGGAGAAGGCCATGAAGAAGGATATAGTTTCCTAGTGGCGCAGGAATAGGGTCCAACGGCACGGCCGACCGGGACTTCTGCAAGAGAAGAGTCAAAGCATCTTGGAAGAACAGCTGCTGGGGACCCCGGTCACGCTGAGCAGCCTCCCACTCGACAGCACTACCGGCCGTCCACTCTTTAGTAGAGCAGGGGAGCCGTAGATGGATCTCGCTACTGCGAAGAGAGGGGTAGGCATTGTACGCAATGCTGTGGATATGGATGAAGCAGAACGAGATCAGCTTGGTACGCCGCACACACTCCTGGTCCGCCCATTCATGCCAATCAAGCGAGGCCGGATCAGAGCCTCGCGCATCTTCTGTCAGCCCAGACTCACGGAGATGCCGGACCAACAAGCCTTGCAGATGGAATGCCTCCTGGACCAGCCCGGCTCGCTCCCAGGTGGCATAGCCCATGAGGACGAGGAGGCAACGGATGACTTCCACCTGTCTCCAAAGGATAGTAGCCTCACTTGCACCCTGGGACTGTGAATCGAAATTATGGTAGGGAGGCACTCCCAAGGGTGTTTGAGCGTAGGTCGGTTTGACCGGGGAGCGCGATTCCCTCGACATCCGCTCGAACAGAATTGCCTTGGACACATAAAAGATCCGTTCGGCATTGCGGTGCTCGAACCTGTACTGGGCCCCAATTGTCATGATTCCCAGAATTAATTCCGGAGTGTGCTCGTTGATACGAAAAGTAGGAATGTGTAGAAAAGGAAGATGCGGATGAAACCCTTCAAAGTATGAAGTGAGATACCGTGTCAGAGTATGACGGGTCGGCAGTACGAAATCAGGAATCACATTGCGGAATTCCTCGAGAGATGCCGCAAGCCGGAACCGTTGGTCTTCGGTGACATTGAACCTAGAAGGTCTTTTGGCCATCTGGGGTGGCTCTGGGACAAGTCAGTATGAGCAAGCATAAATAGCCAGGACGGTCCGATCAAAATCCTACCGCTATCAGAAATGGTTCCTAAGCTCTGATCGCGCCGTGGCACGGACGGTAGCCAAGATCTGAATGGCGAGTCTCCGCGCGATCCCTCACCGGGGGTCTGTCGAGACCTTGCCGGCTCCTGAATCGATTGACGTCGCCCGCGAACATCGTCAAGCCCGAGGTCTTGGGTTTGTGTGATGTCGGCTTCGCCAGGAAGCCATTCAGCCTGCAGGCCAATCGAGTCCAGGAAATGCGTGAATTCCTGGAAATGGTTGAGGTTGAGTTCCTCCGGCAGATAAGGCAATGGTTGAGCTAAGTTAAGGGTTAGCTGAGGTCCACAAAATCGAATACAATAGGGAGGACGGAAGGTTTGCGCGATAATCACCAGGAAGAAGCAGTTGCGCCGCTTGGAGCATGTCCGGATCATGCACCACGCCCGGGTGGGCCTCCAATGCTGGATTCGGGGCATCGGCAGGGAGCATGCTAGCAGGGTGGCTTTGTTCTAAATACGGTGCATGCGATGTCCCAGCCCACTGGGACACAGGTCCTGGGATTGACCCAGCAGGCTGGGGTGGTGCAGCGTACTGCGGGATGGCTGCGGGCGGCGCAGGCGGATGCGTGGCCGAGAGTTCTCCTTGCGTCGACTCGGGCTGAGAATTGGGCGACGTGAGACCATCCTGATGAGCCAAGCGTGTGTGGCGCTTCAGCAGATCCCGTCGAGTAAACGACGCCCCACAGAAACAAATAAACGGCTTTTCCTTGGTGTCTGCACATCATCAGGTCAGTATTTCTTGGCCGTTGCGACCGAAGCCGAAGTCCAGGCGGGAAGGCGCCTTACGGGTTCGCACGTGGCGCTCGAGGTGTTCTGTGCGGCGAAAATTGCGGCCGCAATGGATGCAGACGCGCGCCTTTCCTCCACGGGCGCCCCGCTGCATCTGGGGTGATGGGGACGGCATCAAGGCATTTGGGGGATAGCTTGATGGAGAAAGTAGCTTGGAGAAAGTCGAGGCAAAAGGGAAGTGGGTTCTCACTTCATCCGGCTAACTCCAATTTCTTTTCTCCAACGCCGGAAACGTCGGCCCGAGTGCTTATCGCTTATCTTTTATCTACCGTGCCTCTGCTTGTTGACGTCCACATCCGTTACCATGTCAGTGACTCTTTTTCCTGGGGTAGCTGTTGTCACTGGTGCTGGCGGGACTGGTAAGTTAGGATATGGTGTTGAGCCAGCTCATGATGATTGACGTTCTCCGCAGGAATCGGAGCAGCAGTTGCTAGGGCATTTGCGGCCGCAGGATGCCAAAGGATCGCAATCACAGATCTAAATGGTTCAACCCTGCAGCGGACCCAGGAAGCCATTAATGCGGCTCACCCGGGCGTACAGATATTTGCCCAGGCCGGTAATGTGGCCGACGACCACTTCGCCGAGTCATTTATTGGCGCAGTCGTCAAGAAATTCGGTCGGGTGGACTACGCAGTTAACTGCGCCGGCATACTCGGTCAATCTTTACGTTCGGCCGAGACTGGTATCGAGGAATTCGACCGTGTGAATGGCGTCAACTATCGGGGCTGCTGGCTCTCTTCGCGAGCTGAGCTGAAACAGATGGTCAAGCAGGATGCGCTTTGCAGCCATGATCCCAAACGCCCCGCTCAGCGGGGCGCAGTGGTAAATATCGCCAGTCAGCTGGGCATTGTGAGCCGACCAACTGCTCGTGAGCTTCCTATGTCTCTTTTCACTATACAGTGGCAGATACTAATAACGCGGAACAGCGTCCTATTGTGCATCCAAGGCCGCTGTCATTGGGATGACCCGTGCCGATGCAGTTGACTACTCCAAGGATGGCATTCGGGTGAACTGTGTCTGCCCGGGTGTTATCGAAACCCCGATGATCATGGAGAACCCTGCTGTCCGGGAGACCATTACCCCCGCAGCGGAGATAGCACCCATGAAGAGGATGGGCCAGCCTGCCGAAGTGGCAGATGCGGCACTGTTCCTGTGTTCAACCCAAGCATCTTTTGTCCAGGGCCATGTGATGGTGGTGGACGGGGGGTATGTCACGGTATAGCAATATATAGTTGAAGTAGGTATGACAGCGATGATCTTTTTATGAAGTATAACGAGAAGAAACGAACCAAGTAAAATATTTATGCAGAAAATCCTGACTCTCCATGCAAACTAATTCTCGCTCAAAACTCGTCATTTCAATTAATGCAACTTCCTCCAGTCAACATGTGTTTCCCACGCATGACTAGCACGTAATATCTTTGCCTCCTGCCACAATCCTCCAACGATCTGCATACCCACAGGGAGTTCCACCTGACCATCTTCCTTGGCCGGAGCAAACCCCACCGGAATCGATATGGCCGGATGGCCGGTCACATTGAAGATAGCAGTGTTGATCGTAAGGCCCATACTGGGCCTGAGCGACTCCAAGGGAAGGCCTCGTTGGCCATGTTTCGGGGCAACGACTGGAGTGGTCGGCATAACCAGCACGTCGTATTTTTCAAAAAGAATCTCATACTTGTCGCTCAATTGGCGCCCAATATTCGCAGTCTTGCCATAAAGGCCTGGGAAGCGTGATGCCAAGTACAACCCATTGATAATGACGTTCTTCGTCGATGGGAAGGCTTGCTGGAAGCCCGCGTCCGTCCAGGGGAGGCGTGCATGCTCCATCTCAGTCATGTAAAGTCCTCTCCTCCCGGTGTTCTGACCCAGCAGAGTCTGTGCACCCGCGATTCGCTGCTGGATGGTCCAAATGGCAGGTCCATGCAAGTGATCTGGAAGAGATACTTCTTCGATGGTGGCGCCGAGGTCTTTAAATTTCTTCACGGCGGTCAGAACCACTTGTTTCACAGCTTCATCCACTGCGTTGTGTTCAAACCCCTCAGTTAGGATCCCAATCTTTACCCCATCGAGTCTTTCTGGACTTTGCTTCAGCGTGGCTGCAAAGCTCGTTGATCCAGGCTTCGGGCTGCCCACAGACCGGTCATCGATCCCGTCGTAGCCACTAACAACATCCAGACATGTTGCAGCATCCAGTGTTGTTCTGGTCAGCGGACCGGTGTGATCATTGATGGCATCTCCGCTAGAGATACCTGTGAATGGAACTCGTCCATATGTAGGCTTGAGTCCAACACCTGCATATTTGTTAGGGCTGAACCGAAACACCAATGCACAACAACAAGGGAATTCTCACATCCACACAGGGCAGCCGGCACTCGGATGCTACCCCCTTGATCACCACCAATCGTGATATCCACCATTCCCGCTGCCACCAAGGCAGCACCTCCCGATGTACTTCCACCAGCAGAATATCCGGGAGCATGCGGATTCTCTATTGTCCCCTGGGCACTGGTGTATGATGAAGTGGAATGACAGAGATTCTCACACGTCGACGTGCCCTCAATATTCGCCCCGGCTTCCAACAGCCGAGTCACCACCGTAGCGTCGGCAGTAGGAGTCCATGATGGGATGATATCGCTCCCCTGTAGCTGTGGCACGCCTGCGACCGCAATCACGTCTTTGAGGCTAACCGACTTGCCAGCCAGCGGCCCTCCATTAGGGTTCCCGCGAACCAGAAACCGATGAGCCCAGGCTTGTCCAAGCACCTGTTCATCTGCGCCTGGTCGTCGCACATTCTCACGCGGATATCGGATATGATCAGACTTAGGCTGATAGTCTGGGAGCGCAGACACGGTCTCTGCACAGTCATGTACGGCTGCTAGAAGAGTGTGAAAATCCTCGGTTTCGGCCGGGTCAATCGTGAGGCCGAGCGGCTTCAGCAGTGACTGGGCATCATCCAGCTTGACAGGATTGTCACTATCAAGGAAATCAAGATCAGCTGGCTCGTCTATACAAATTTCAGGGTTGGGCAGACGCACTCCGAAATGCTCGTGAAGAGGACCGACATGGTGGGATGGCAGTGGATGTTGTGGTCTGCCGGGGCACAGCCGTTTATGAGTGCCCGCCATCGTCGGCGTCTCCGACAAGCGATGCGACTGGGGCGCGTTACCTAAAGTCGTTGGCGAGCGCCATGAGAAATTGCCGACTGACCCCAAACGGGCCCCCACCGAAATTGGAGATAAACGGGCCGTATGGCGCGAGCTCACTTGGAGATGCCCTGATTCAGGGCTTGAATCATGGAGAAGGAGCTTCTGCTGTGCAACGAAGCAGTGGAAATCCCCCAGGGTGTTGTGTTTCGGAGTCAAAAGGTGCAGCGACCCCGTCGGCTCCGACAAGCATGGGCGGGGCTTATCAGTTATCGGCTCTCCCCCGCAGGTTACAAAAATCGCGCTCTGCAGTTCTCCTCTCCATTGACCCCACACAACATACAACATGGCCCCGAAGCGAGTTCTCATCACCTACGGGGTCGACGTCGATGCCGTGGCCGGCTGGCTCGGTTCGTACGGCGGCGAAGATTCCACGAACGATATTAGCCGCGGTAAGTTGCACGATGCATTGGTGTGCTTTCGATTCTGATCGGTATTCAGGAGTCTGGGCGGGAACGCTGGGAACGAGACGTCTGCTTAAGCTCTTTGACAAGTACAAGATCAAGACGACATGGTTCATCCCTGGTCACTCGCTCGAGTCCTTCCCTGAGGACATGGCGGCGGTGCGCGATGCAGGGCACGAAATCGGTTTGCACGGGTACTCGCACGAGAACCCAACAGATATGAGCATCGAGCAGCAGCGGGATGTGCTCGACAAGACCTATCGGATGCTGACCGAGTTTGCTGGAAAGCCACCGCGCGGCAGTGTTGCGCCTTGGTGAGATTACATTTCGATTGTTGCGTCAAGGTTTCTCGTATTTTTGAGCTATATTCTGATGGAAGTATTCAGGTGGGAAACCAGCCAGGAAGGTGCCCAGCTCCTCCTGGACTATGGCATCGAGTATGACCACAGCATGAGCCACGAAGATTGCCAGGCATACTACCTGCGCACCGGTGACAGCTGGACCAAGATAGACTACAGCAAGAAGGCAGAAGAATGGATGAAGCCGCTTCAGCACGGCCCGCAAACGGGGTTGGTTGAGATCCCGTCCAACTGGTATATTGATGACCTGCCGCCCATGATGTTCATCAAGAAGGCAGCGAACAGCCACGGCTTCGTCAATGCGCGCGACGTCGAGGATATCTGGCGCGACCACTTTGACTACTTTTACCGCGAGTATGACGAGTTTGTTTTTCCGATTACCATTCATCCAGATGTCTCTGGCAGACCTCATGTGCTGCTGATGCACGAGCGGTATGTTTTTAAGTGATGAATATCTTGATATTTCCTCACCGAGCTGACTCCAAACAGACTCATTGAACATTTCCTGAAATATGACGGAGTCGAGTTCGTGACGATGGAGCAAGTATGTGATGAGTTCAAGAAGAAGAATGCCCCGCCGGCTGGGGCTCTGATGCCGGCCAAGGCCGGGGCAATGCTGCACAAATGAAAGTGCCGAAGCACTGTCACATTACAGTAGTCCAATTACATTGTTTAGGTATTGCATATATCTTATCAGCCTTGTTTTATCTTGCGTAGCTCTATGTATAGCTGTTTACCCCATGGCCATCTACTCCAAATTCCTACAGTTACCCCAACATAGGCCTCGCCTTGCCGCTTCTCCATGCCGATTATTCCTGAACAGTAAGATTACTGGTCACGCTAGTATTCGGGATTTGCGAAGGATGAGATCCATGTAATCCTGTGATCTTAATCTTGACCTGACTCGGGGTCTGCTTCAACATGATCCGGTTTGGACAAAGCAACCATCTCTTCCTTTGTCTTCCCTGGCGACTAGATACTATCTCTCCCCCTTTCTCTCTTCCCAGAAACTTAGCTACACACCAAACTATCCACACGGACATTCTACGTCTCGAGGGCCAACTCACTCAGCAACGGTCTCGGGTCGGCCCGCCCAGTGAGGGATCCAAATCGCGCTATCACGCCCCTTGAAGGCAACCACTTTAAGGCAAATCACTTCCCAAGTTGGCTGTTGTCGGCAGACATACTCATTTCCCTTGTCAGCTGGTGTCGGTAAAAATGATATAACACAAGCCGCTTGGCCACGCTTCGCTCAGGCGGCTTTAGGAGGCCTACTATCGAGTCAGAACCTCACAGCTAGATTTTATAGGCCTACGATCTATCTATCTTTGATCTTCTTATTCAATCAAAAGGCTTTATTATTCACTTAATATACCAATCCCGAGAAGTACTAGTCTGTTTGTTTCTTTATATTCTCCTTCTTTTCTTCTTTCGTGGAATTTATTTCTTCTCCCTGTCTCTTTTTATTCTATTTTTCAAGGTTTTTGACAGCGCAAATCTATGACGGAGACTTTCATAAAGTTTTGTCTTTCTACTGTCATAACCCAGAAAGGGAAGAGTATGTGCCCAATGGAGGATCGCAAAGTTGTCTTGGGAGCCCTAGCTTCTTGTCAACCTCACGTAGGATATGTTGTGCAACGTTCGCTTCCGTTATAGTGCGCTAGAATCCGCACCAGAAATACTACTTATTGGTTAAAGTCCATATTATCTTCACCCAGGCCCCGATCTTTGTCTACACTTGCCAGACTCATCCACCTGAGCTTCTCTCGATGGGGAAACACAGTGTGGTGTCTAAACATTCTAGTCACCGCAAAACGCAGGAGCCTTCTTCATAAACTGCACGATGGTCAGTGGCTAGAATATATGCCAAACTCACTGTCCCAGAGGAGATAACATGACTGAATATCCTGCTCGATCTATTCGCCCTCATATATCTGATTATGTGAGCTCCGCGCTCTTTGGATACATTCATCGTTTCTGCATTCTCATTCCAGGACCGTGTTAGAGTCCGGGGGCCCGCCTAAGCGTCTTTGGAATACGTACGGCCCAACTGAAGCAACTACGTTCTCGACTATGCAGCTCGTGGACTCTGAGGAGGCACAGCGCGAGCGGTTAGGGATTCCGTGAATCTGGAGGATACGGTGGGAGTCATTAACGGCGCCGGGTATATTGTTACCATGATTCCGTATTGGGACTGGGTGCGACGCCTGCACGATCCTAAGAACGCGGATCATCTTGATGCGTCTTATGCCGTTCCTGTAGGAAAAGGTCTGGGGCGAGTGGACGCGTTTTGAGACTAGTAGGGACAGACTGTAATATGTTTCCAGTAACACTATTGCAGCGCCGGCCGACGCGCCGGAGATCAGGTACATCCCGTTCGATTCGGACCAGCTGTATCGATTCTTGACTTTTTTGGAGTGCGAAGAGGTTCTATCATGTCTGAAACGTTGGCTAATCTTAGTAGTATACCAAGTTTGCACACTGACGAGCCGCATATCAGCTCGGGTTTCACAATTTTGATATTTCGATCACTGAAATGTTTGTCATGGATGATAAGAGCTCTCGGATTCACCACAAACGTACTTTCAAGTATCAACATCAACTCCAACTTCCCCTTGGAGGGTGCTACCCCAACTCTCGCATCGCAATCACCCCTTCTCCACCCGGCGTTGACAGTCTAGCGTTATCAGTTCAATATTCGGTGGAGAACCCGAGCGGCAGCTGCCAGTGGCATCGCGCCGAAAACCCCAGATTCGAGCCTTAGCCCGGACAAAGATCTGCCAGTTCGAGTGGAAGAAACCGGGGAGAGATAGGTGCGTAAGTTTCTCGCATATCGGCGTCATTACGAGAGACCGTCCAGCTGCTGCACCCCAGACGGACGACTTTGACCTTGGATACCGCGCGATCGGCAGTGCCGGCACAACAGTCAAGCGAGTCACGTACGGGATCGCACTCCCGGGGCTGGTGATCAGCGGATGGTCTGTACGTGCACGTTGCAGCAAAATACCTCCTCGTGCGGATCCTCTGCAACTCGCGACACTTGCAAGCCCACACGGTCGTGCACTAGGGCACGTGGCTCGGATGTACGGTCGGGATGGCTGCGATCTCATTCATTTTAGCGTGCGCTATCCCCATCTTCAATTATGTCTTAGCTCTCGTCGGAAGCCTGTGCTGTGCCCCGCTGGCTACTAGCCTGCTGGGCTGGTTGTGGCTCCTCCCCCACGGCCCCTACCGCACCGGGAATTCATTCCCTCCGGATGGTCCTGTATGCGGTGCATGTGCCGATAATAGCGGGCCGTAAAAGCTTGAGTGGTTCCCCCTCCAATTCATTTCCTTGCAGAACTCTTTGCGTCTCATTTTTTGCGCGAGTGGGTCCAGGGTCAGCCTCAGCTATGAAGTATAGCTCGCAGCTTAGGGCTTGACCATTGAAATATCGTACCGAGTTTTATCTTCCCTATTCCCCTAGTGTTTGCAGTAGCGTACTCTCGTGTCAGAATGACTGGCTGATATCCATGCAATCCACCAAGTTGAGCGTTGCATAAATTGCGCCAAGCAAAACCCTAAAGTGGCTCCGAATCCGACGCTTCAGCTTCACCACGTGCGTCTTCTGTTCGTCTTCTTCAGTTTTGCCCTTTTCCATTTGATGGTTGCAACGTTCGGTTCTTTCCCTCTTTCTCTCTCCCCTTCTCCTTCCCAGCAATATAATAATACGTATATCCATGGATATATATGTATTCCACCTCCCTTCTCTCCAGGATTGTGAACCTTGTCGATCCCTCGTTATCACCACACACTATGTCGCCTCTCTCAACAATATGTCTCTTTCTTTTGCTCACACTAAATGTCACCGCCGCCGCAATCCCAGTGCCAGGCGCACTTCCCAACCGCGGAAATGACGCGCTCGCTCACACACCATCAACATCGTCACCCGATGACCACAACACCGCGTCATGGATCACACCCGTCTCCTCCCTGCACCGGGATATGCATCCGAGCCGCGCACCACGCCCGTCCCAGTCATGGAAAGACTACCTGGAAAGCATCCTCAACGACTCCGAGAAACTAACCGCCTTCCGAGAAGCGGGCCTCGTCCCCGGGTCGCGATCAATGTCCGGCATGGATCGCCCGGCGGCGATCAGCACGCGGATGCGGCAACTGGCACCCAACCTACCCTTTTTCGGGGGTGAAGAAGAGCATGGTGACGGTTCTGACGACGAATTCCTCGCTTCGCCCATCATGCCTCTCCCGCCGAGCTTTTTTGTTCTGTCTGCTGCTGTTCTCTGCGTCTTGACTATTATTCGCAGTCTGACGGCACGACGCAGGGAAGAGCCTGCTTTTTGAATTCGAAATACCGAGCCAACTACGACGATTTCTTTTTTCTTTTTCTTTTTTTCTCTCTCTTCCTATTCTCACTTCCTTCCGACTTCCGAATCTTCGGATACCTCCTTTGATTACTTGTCCGACACTTTTGTCTCGGGGCTGCTGGATTAGCCCCGTATTACTATCGCGTTGCCATTGCCCGCGGATTTGTCGACATACAATGTCGCATATAAAGGGACTGCTCAAGTTCTTCGAGTGTGATTGAGCGGTCCCTATATCTTAATGTTACTAGAATCGAGATGCTGGTATAATATACCTTTGTGACCAACCCAGTCCAGCCATGGGCCTAGCGAAGGCGAGAATCGCCCTATTGCGGAAAAATGGATGACAGACGCTGTTATGTCAAACGAATATCAGAGAAAAGAAATACCCTTCATTTTGCCAGGGGAGGTGAACCCTTTGGCATATCTCCAGGAAGATGTATACTAGAGCACAATGCTCAGTAACTATCAGTCCTTGTTGTCCAGTCACTCCGACTAACTTTTCCTGGACTTATATGTGATATATTACCCCTCCTCCTTCCTTCGAGCACAGGAATTCACAAATTATACTTGAATTTCTACTACGTTAATATGGGTCAATCAAATGTAGGTAATACCTTTCAAGGTAGCCAGATCCCAGAAGAGTCATAAACCATCGTTCCCAGTAATAGAGTCTTGTCTCGCGGGAAGACGACGCCCCCAGGTCAGGTCACAGCAGAGTTCATCTAGAAGCAGATACATCCGTGAGAACCCTTTCCCTTTAAATGCACGATAGAACGGCATCCCGTGCATCCTGTTTTCATCAAAAAGATCCGTTTCGTCCACATATTCCAAAATATAAGTCAGAATCGCCATCCAGTAGCTGGCAGACCTGGTGTCATAATCCCGGCAAAGCAACATAATCACAGCCCCGCAAAATGTCACAGGGTGAGGAATTCGCACGGAGTCGAGGTCCGGTGGGAAGCGGCCTCGACCACGGCCGGGGACTGCAGATGCAAGTCGTTCGTCGGAGGCATTCAGAAGATCGAGGCTTTCTTTAGAGAAAGATACTTCCCATAGCACATCGGACTTCCGGAATATCGATATTAAATGTTCTTCAGTGATGTGTAAATGCTGGACAGGGCGTTGGTATGGATATCCACTGAAGAATGGGCACTCTTGTGATAGATCCTGCGTGCAAGAAGTAAACCGCCCGCTTTGAATGGATAGCGAAGCAGTCTCCACAACCTCATCGGGGCACAACCAATGCCACACCCTATGTAGGTATAATATCAGCGATCGTATGTCCATCCAGTCACAGGGAAGTAGAGAGATACCCACGTCAACAATGGTGGGAACCCCGTAGACAGTCAGTAAATAGTTTCCCCGGAGAATATTCGCTACCCCAGCGGCGGTGAGTATCCTCGAAATTATTGCAACAAGCTGCCTGTCCAGTGCTCGAGTTTTGGACACCAAGATCAGACACGATAACGGGTGGAAGGATCGGAAGATGTGGGGACGTGCCACGCTATTGAATCATATCCATGCACGGACAAGCACGGATTAGAAAGGGCAAGAGTCGTTACGCGACTAGTCGATAGCCCCCATGTTCAACCTGTGGAGTTTGTACATGAAGGGGGCCAAGTGGGGGTTCATTAGAAGGGTTCGATGATCAGGAGTTTCGGCAGTGTTTTGAGGGGCCGCCGTGCGCTAGGGCTGGCAGGGGATTATGCTGGCCAGGGTCAAAGCTAGCAATAACCTTGAAAAGGGGTCTCTCGTCTGTGTGCCAAGTGGACGATCAAAATGTTCCCAGTCGACAGGTTTTTCTGCAAGTGAGGGTGTTGTTGCTAGAATAGAAATGAACTACATCGCGCACTTGAAGATGTAGAGAGAACCCTAATTTTTTTTTTCTCTCTACAAACCAAGAACAAACCAATATTGAAAAGAATATAAGGTATTTCACAAGCTATGTAATCACTTGGTACCTACATCCACCTCTTATCGCCAAGCAAAGGGGTGGGGGAGGGGGCGGCAGTTTAGCATCGGCATCGCCTTCCACCCAAGCCTCCATCGGATGCTCCGCCTCCCTCGCGTGCCCATGCGATTCTTGAAATGACTTTGACGCTGATGCTAGAAGCGGGAAAACTGAATGAGTATGTTGTCCTTATCGCTCTTTTTTCTGCTTCTTTTTCTCCCCTTCGCTTCTCTGTTTCTACGGGAGGCATTGATTGTTCTAAGTTCTTATGGCACGTGGAGGCAACTATATTTTCTTCAGGACACATGAGGTGTAGGGCAAAAACCCATCGGATCACCGGGTAGGACACCCCTGGGTAGAGCTTCGCACTGGCTGCCAGCTGAGGCCAAGTGGGTGGGTGGGTCGTGATCGTCATGTCGACTATACCCCATCCGTCAGAAAACAGGGTTATACGCCAATGGGGGCCATCTGGGCGTATAGACGGAGCTTTCCAGTACGGAGATTGAAGAGAAGAGGCAATGCAAGCTTCTTCCAGGGAGTTTCACGATGATGTGACAGTCGCAGATCATAGTTCTCGGGCCAATCGATGGCCGCACAGTGGGATATCGAAAGGAGGCGTTGACCTTTATCCCACCTTGCAATGTTCTATGTTTAGTTTTAAGTGGTATAGCAAGCCAGATGCAGGGATCTGATGCTGGGCCCTGAATAAAGCACTCCTGGTGGGTTGAACCCTTGTACGCCAGGTCCACAGAGGAAATCATCGGGGGGAAAAAGAATGGCCTCCAAGGTCGGATATTTATATATGCCGATATCCTCCCTCTCTCCCTCTATGTTTTTTGTCTTTAGTAAATTCCAATTTATACCTTAATACCCTCACAATGTTCATCCTTAGCGAGTGCTTCCCTCGTTCTTGTTCAGCTTTTGCGCAGCCCTTCTCCTTTACTGCGCCATTATTCAACTTCAATTCAACTCCCTTTCTTTCTTCGGACAACAAGCACAATACCACGCCTCAGCATAGCGCTGATGGATGGTTCAGCCATGACGAACAGCCTGAGCCGTCAACGGGTCCCTCCAAATTCATCTACGGCGAGAAGGGCCAAAACATCCTCTCAATCGACAATCCGCTCACAGCGTCGGCATCAAACACGCTCTATACTGGGAGTGTTTACAACAAAACGAATAAAAAGACCACACACCCAGTGGTAGTCAAGCATTCGCCGTACAAGGAGATGATCGAAGGCTTCAAGCTTCTTGAGAACGTCCATTCTCCTTATGTTGTCAAAAGCATCGGCTACTTCAAAGTCTCTGCATCCAAGACTCGCTCCGGCCAAGACGAGTACTTCTTGATCATGCCGTACCTTGATCAAACTCTGGATGAATACATGTACTGTGCAGGTGATATAAAGAGTCTATATCTAGTATTTGAACAGTTACTTGACGCCATCGTCGCCATGCATTCGCACGGCATTGCACACCATGATATCAATCCCAGGAACGCCATGGTCCAGAACGAAGAAGCGAAATGGATTGATTTCGATCACGCCACTAAGATTCAGAAGTCTTCCAACCGTCACAACTGCATGGGGTTCGCAGCCCAAGGTCGGTTTCATTTTACTACCACCCTAACTTTGTTGGTCGAATATTAACAAATCCACAGAAGTAATGAACGGCCTCCCATACCACCAAGAATTAGACTATATCGACGCACCGCCCCTCAAAACCCCATACTCCCCCCACAAAGCCGACATCTTCTCCATGGGAATGATGCTCGTCTACACACTGATTCTCCAAAACGAGTCCGCTACACTGGATGTCTGGGAGAACACGCAGAATTGCAACACGCGGCAAGAGGTCGCGGACGTACTGGGGTGCTTGGAGGGGTTTTGGAATACGAGTGAGGAAATGATCAAGCTTCTGTCCCAGGTGCTCTGCAAAGACGCGAGAAGTCGTTTGTCGGCCAGAGTGTTTTTATCGAGGTTTCAGGCTACACCGGAATATCGGCAGATCGTGGGATCTGACTAGAAGAAATAATATGGTTATTAATAAGGGTTGGATGGATTTGTATATATAATAAGGATATTCATTCTATGTAAATAGCAAAGGCGCAGGAATGGCTATGGCTTGAGATGTTCACATTTCTTATACTTGTCGGTTTAGGGTTAGAGACATGCTTGCTGCATTAATCGTGTGTTTTAATAGAAATCCACCTCCCAAAAAAAATACCGGGTTTACCTTTTATATGAACACATGAACACCCCATACAAATAATACCCATGTTGACATCAAACTAAGAAGTAACAACTGGCCAGGGCACCAAACAAATAGGGTGTGGGGGCCAGATAGCTACCAACTACATGGGTATGTAGGGCAGACATGAAGATGTCCCAACATGGTAGGAGACTTAATATCGACCCCTTGAATCTACTAAAGCCATGGCTTCTCGAGTCGCCCCACCCAGCTAGAGCAAATACGCCAATGATAGCATTCAGGCCTCTTTTTCTTCCTCTTTCTTTTTTTTAAACCCCTCTCAGGGGCTGTGCCGTTGTATGTGTATGTAGTCACTATTTATAGGGGGTCCACTGGCCCCCACCGGCGCGATGATCCCCAAGGGATCACGATCTGCGATGCAATTTCCCGGGTGCGATTTGAGCCTCAAGATCCGATTCCGCGCCTCGGGGTTTGGACTTGCTCGGCTGCGTGGGACTTATCTTATGGCTTACGATTCTTCTAGGATACAAGGCAAGATTGAATAAAAAAGTGGGTTCATTTTTTTAGACATGGACAGCAGAGGAAATGCCCATGAGGGTCCAACAATGCAACTGGAGTACACGGCGAACAATGAGAATGGGTGGAAACAATACAGCTGACGATAACCACCCAGAAGAAGATAGAGAAGAAGAAGATAAAGATAAAGATAAACATGAGAATTACATCAAGTTCCTTTGCGCGTTTTTGCAGTTCTCGGCCTGTTTCCAGAACATGAGGACAAAGAATATGTACGGATTTCACTGTAATAGGGGAGGAACACAGAAGTGGAAAAGAAAGAAACATGAAGGAGAGCTTAAGAGTCATCGACCAGACGATTTTGTCTCCAGGCCCGCTTGGCACCATCCAGAAGAACATCCATATTCCCGCTGTTGTCGCACATGCTGCGGAACAGACCGTCCTCGCGGTTGATGAGAGTCCAGGGGTGGTCGAATTCGACGACGCGGCCATGGTCAAGGACCAGGACCTTGTCATAATCGATGATGGTCTGCAGACGGTGGGCGATGGTGATGATGGTGCTGTTGCGCAGCTCGCGCAACGTCTCCTGGATCTTGGCGTCGGTGGCATAATCAATGGAAGCGGTGGCCTCGTCCATCATGAGAACGCGCGGGTTCTTAAGCAGCGCACGCGCAAGGCAGAGGAGCTGGCGTTGGCCCTGGGAAAGATTCGAGCCAGACTCCGAGACTAGACTGTCGAGGTTGTGGAAGATGTTTTTGTTCTCGGCGATGGTCACCGTGCTGCCGTTGAGGGCGTTGTTGTCGGTGGCAGTAAAGGTGCTCGACGTCATGGGAGTCGCTGTGCCAGAGGTATCGGAGCCAATCAAGTGCACACGGCGCAGGGCCGTGAAGATCTCCTCATCGCTGAACAGCCCAAACGGATCAAGGTTACTGCGAATGGTTCCGGTGAATAGTGTCGGGTCCTGGGGCACGATGGTGATTGCCTCACGCAGATCCCGCAGGCCGATAGATCCAATGTCGATGCCGTCGATCCGAATTTGTCCCTTCTCGGCTTCCAATCCACGGAAGAGGGCCAGTGCCAGAGAACTCTTGCCTGCACCCGTGCGACCCACAATACCGACCTTCTCACCCGGCTGTACAGCGAAAGACACTTCCTTGAGGACCGCATCCAGATCAGGTCGATAGCGCGTGGTGTAGCCATTAAACTCGACCGCGCCTTGGCTAGGCCAATCCGCCGCCGGTCGGGATTCAGGGATGATGGGCGCCGCCTCCTGATCCACTTCCAGGTACTCCCTCACTCGCTCGACTGAGTTCATATTCTGCTGAACCTCGGAGTAGAGCCGGACAAGCCACAAAACATTTTCTGTGAACGTGACCGCGTAGGTCAGCGACAACCCGGCGGCACCCGCATCAATTTTTCCGACGTTGATCAACACGAAAGTGGCAGAGAAGAAGGAGACCAAAGCACCTGTCCAGTCCACGCGAAGCGCGAGCCAACGGTTACTGGCCCAGAGGTAGATATGAGGCCGGTTGTAGGCGTTTATGCGACGGTGGTTGTCCACGATGAATCGCGGTCCGTCGCCATACGCACGGATGGTGACAATGCCATTCAACGTCTCGCCAAACTGCTGATACAGCGGGCTTCGCTGCACAGACTCCAGTCGCTTGAGGTCTCGAGAAGAATTCAAGTAAATTGCACCGAGGGCAGTGTACACCAAAGTGATGAACACTCCCGCAATCAAGAAGCCCGGAGTAATGACGGAAATCAGAATGACAATCATAATTACCGAGGCCAGACTGTGAAGCATGCCGATCGCCACAGGCGCCACTTCTTGGTCAACGGATTCGACGTCCTTGGAGAATCGGTTCATGAGTTGGCCCAGAGGCGTCGAGTCGAAGAATCGGAACTTGGCATGCATGACAGCCTTGAGAAGGCGATCATGGATTTTCCACGATGCGTGAAGCGAGCCCCAGAAAAGCACGGCTTCTCGGGACAGTGAGATCGCGATGTAGAGAAAACCAAGGAGTGCGTAAACCCCCAAGTAGTAGGGCACATTGACCTGACCGTCCGCACTGTCTGTCGAACGCGAACCGAGCTGGGGTGGGCTCCAACTACTGACCCGGGCAACGCTCCCAACATTAAATGTTGGAGGCCTCAGGTGAGCCGCGGCGGCGTAGCGGCCAGCACCATCTTCCGCCCCGACCTTGGCGGTATGGTAAGAGTTGGCCCACTGTCGGATCCAGATGTTGGTTGACACCGAGCCCAGCTGCTGCAAGCAGAACACCAAGGCGGCCAAAATCCAATAATACCATGGACCCATCGATTGGAGATACATTCGGACTGTTGTCCACTTGATGCTGCCAATTGCTTTGGACTCGGACAGCTTGGGTTGATCTTCTTTTTGCGATTTGCCGATAGCTCCGTTCGTGGTCCCATTCGTGGCGGTGGTTTCATCTTCCAGATCCGAAGGCACACGAGACAAGCCACGTGAACTGGCTCGAGATCCTGGCCGAGACTTGAGGAACTCCTCGCCGAGAGCACCGGTCGCTGCAACGTCATCCGGGCGACCTTGCGCAGTAATCTTTCCATTTTCGATAGCCACCACATGATCAGCCTGGGGCACAGCCAGAGCAACATTGTGGGTCACGAGGATGCAAGTACGGTTCAGCATCAGCGGTCCTGTAAGTGCTTGTCGGAAAATATGCTTCGCCGTGTGCGAGTCCACGGCAGAAAGACAATCATCGAGCAGGAGATGCCGGGCACTGCTGTAGATGGCTCGGGCAAGGGAAATTCTTTGTTTCTGGCCACCAGAAAGACTAATACCCTTTTCTCCGACCAGGGTCTGGTCACCGGCATCGAGAATTTCAAGATCACGCTCCAGGGCACAGGCCTTCAACACCGCGCGGTAGCGCCGCTCATCATACGGACACGCGAAGATGATGTTTTCCTTAACGGTGTCGTTGACCAACCATGCCTCCTGCGCGCAATAAGCGATGCTGTCGATGAGACCAGTTTCAGGGTCCACTGGAAGGTCTGCTCGGCTGGTCATTCCACCGGGAAGGTGGACGCGACCTTCAAGAAGCCTCATTTCTCCCAGCAAGGCCATGAGCAAGGATGTCTTGCCAGAGCCTGTAGGCCCAGCAATGATACTGAGGCGCCCAATGGGAAAGTCGACATCAACGTTGATCAGGCGGAAAGCGTCAGAGTCGTCATCGGAGGGGGTGTCCTTGAATGCAGGCTTTGAAGCGCCCCAAGTCAGAGTGGCTTTTTCAAGTCCGATCTGAGGAGGACCACCCGAGACGTTGCTGTCGCGCAGCTGGTCGTACTTCCCGGTCTCTTCTTCATTGAGATACTTGTCCACACGATCCAGAGAAACCTTCGATTCCTGAACGTGCGCGACCATATCGGCCAGCTGATCCAAGGGGACACGCAGCAACGAAAACATAGATAGCGCAGGGAAAGCGATCGACGGGGTCAATTGCTTCTTCTCAACGACAGTGTACAAGAAGAAAGACAAAAACGTGATCAAGATGGGGGTGCCGTACCAGACCGTCGCGGCGCTGGACCAGAGGATATAGCGGTTTCGCAGCGACTTCAATTCGGCCTGGCGCTTTTCGCTCACGATATTATGAAATCGCTGCTCCCATGCGAAATACTTGATGATGCGAATGTTCTGGAGAACTTCGTTCGTCGCGTGAATACGGGCGTCAGTGCCCTTGAGGATTGCGTTTTGCACCTTGTTGAACTGGCGAGCAATAAAAAGGTTGACCGGCAGCATCAGAACCATCAGGGCGATACCAGCAAATGAGCTGAAGCCCATGATGTGGTAGAGAAGAGTGACGGCCATGATCACCTGCACAGGTACACTGGCCCACAGGAAGTGAAGATATGCGCCGACCTCGCTGACTTTGAAAGAGTCGATGGCCATCAGGTTGATGATTGTTCCAACATTCGCCTGCATGGCCGCGTCGTCCAAGTCGGACTCGGGTTTGTGTCCAGACTCGGCATCGTTTTGAGTGGCGGCCTTCTTCTTCTTGCGGCCAAGGGAGAGCAGCTTGTTCTTTTTTTCTTCGGGTCCTTGGCGATGGCTGGCTCCTGGACTGCCTTTCGAGCAAATTCGACCGATGCACCTGCTTTGCGGCGAAGGGCCTTGGCATAGATCTCGCCGATAATGATTGCACGGATCTTCACGCCCATTTTACGGCCAATGAAAAGGGATTGTCCATCTGCCACGCCTTGGACCGTGGCGCAACAGAAAAGGAGAATGGCATACAGCCAGGCCGCACTGGGAGTGGTTGACCGCGGATCTTCGACATACTCGAGAATAGCTTTGAGGAGTAGACTGGGCATGAAAACAAAAAGATTGGCAAAGATCGTCCAAGCTCCCTGCAACAAAATAGTTCCCGCAAAGTATCGAAGTAGCTTCCACGCCAGGGATCCCTTCATTTGCCTTCTCCGGAAGTCTGCAATAACGGTGGCAGCCTTCTGAGACGCAGTCAAATTCCAGACATCTTCTAGCTCCAAGGGCTGTCGGTATCCTTTCATGACGAGTGGGTCCAACCAGGCAAATGTCGCGAGTGACAGCAAGCTGGCCATGGGGTGCCTCGGGGGTTCCAATCCATCTTCACGCTCGACAAAGACCGGCTTGTTACCTCGGCGAGTGGTGAGGGCAATGATGAGCAATAACGTACTCAGCGCAAACTGCGCGCTGCTGAAAACCAGAGCGCGCCGCGAAAGCGGGTGAATGACGGCGGAGCGGAAAACCATGACGTTGAAGAGCCATTGGAGGCCATACAAGATAGCCGTATGGGTCCACAGTCTCGGGGCCGAGAAGAGGTCCATGGTGGACAGGAGAAAGCGGACCAGCACCAAGAAGAGAATGTAGCCCCACGAAATCAAACCGGCCACCGCGGGGAGGGTGCCATGACGTCCCCAGCTATGACTGGACACGATAAAGATATGTAGAGCGACTTGCCCCACCAAAGCTGCAACTTCTAACGACACTATCGCAACCTCGCCGCGCGGGCGATCAACCTCGACCTGGGATTGCTCTCTCTGCATGGCCTGAAACAGCATTGCATCGGACTCATTTTCTTGGGGATCATTGGGAGTCTCATCTTCCGATCCATCATTCGGGACAACCTTATAGGCGACACATTTGCGGGCGACTGTGTAGCGATGGGCTAGACGAAGGAAGATCAACAGCAGGGACAGGCCGCAGGCCACGAGTGGCAGGATGGTCTGTAGTACACTATTGATAATTTTCGCCACGGGTCAGCAACTTCTCCCAACGATCGCACTGGTTGCCACGACTCACTTGCGTTGAAAACACGGTGACAAATCATCGATGCCCCAAACCGGGCCCTCGCATTGCGGCAACATAGTTGGGCGGGGCGCGAGGGGAGCAAGGAAGAGCTCTCGGACCTCAAAAGATCGCCGGGGGGATCACGCAGCTTTGGAGCTGGTCACCGCAGTAAGAATAGGCGCGGCCGGGATAGGATTTTTTCCCCTCCGTTAGCAACAATCTTCCATGACTCGCATGCACAAGACGGGCATTGCAAAGTCGGACGACAGAGACCGAAAGCAAAGGAAAGTCGAAACGAAATCGGGGAGGGGCCGTTTTGGCCTTGGTGATCAGGCGGGACTGCAGGAGAAAAGCGAGAGCGAGGAGAAAACGGATTAAAAAAAATTCCCGGTAAAAAATGGGGGGTCGAAGGGAGTGAGATGCAGCAAGATATAGCGTGGGGCGGGGAGAGAAAGGAGAAAAAAAAGACGGCAAGGATTGCGAGGCGTTAAAGCATCCTAAACCGGCGGTGGACGGAGTCTCGGTAGGGTGACATGGTCCGCCACCAAGTTCACACGGTGCGTCAAGGTACCTGTGACCTCAGGATTTCCGGATCCAGAACAATGTTATCCTTCGGGACCCCGACGGAATTCCCCGAACCCGATATACTTCGGTTGATTATGGATTATCGAGGGATAATCCAAGCTATTATTTATTGAAGGAAATAACTAGTTGACTGACTATACCACCACGGCGTCTGCAGAGGATTCAAGACGCAGCGCTGATCGCTTCTTATCGCAGAGCTGTTCCCCACCGATTCTTATCGCGTGTCTCCCCAAGAGGCTGCCTCTGCCTGGAAGTGAAGGGAGATGTCTGTTGTTTTCACTATGAATATGCCTCTGGATATATTTCCCTCCAGGCCCCCAAACTGACCAGGAAATCTTTCGAGACGTGCCACGGATCGCCACTGGGTCGGGCTTTAGCCGTTAAACGCTCCGACATCACCGGCCCACTCCCCCGGTCATCTTCTGACCCCCTCCCCCCTGCATTTCGACCCTCGACCACGGAGCACAGCGCTTCTCCCGATTTTGATTTTGTGTCTCAGTCGATTCTCTGAGTCATGGCGGAACGTATCTTGATGAACGAATTTCGGTCTCTGTCGCAGGAGAAATGGGTGAATATCGAGGTCAGTGCGGTGGTATCGCCGGCAAGGAAAGGAGAAAGGAAAATCAAGAAATATCGGTAACTAACCACTCGCTCAGCTCCACGACGATGACATCTTCAAGTGGGATGTGGCTCTGATCGTGCTCAACCCGGACTCGATGTACTACGGTGGCTATTTGAAGGCGTCCATGGCCTTCCCCTCCAACTACCCATATTCCCCCCCCACGTATGAACTCCCCTGTCGGATTTCCTATTACGATGTATTCTATGGTTGGCATGACACTAACCAGTGCGACCGGATGCTTTTTTCTTTCCCCAACAGAGTTCCGTTTCCTACAATCCATCCTCCACCCGAACATCTACCCCGACGGCCGACTATGCATCTCTATCCTGCACCCCCCAGGCGACGATGAGATGTCGGGCGAACTGGCATCCGAGCGCTGGTCGCCCGCACAGCGCGTAGAATCCGTGCTCATGTCCATCCTCTCCCTGCTCGACGACGCCGAGGTCTCTTCGCCTGCCAACGTCGACGCCGCCGTGATGTTTCGCAATAACCTCGAAGAATATCGCACCAAGGTGAAACGTGACGTCGAGGAGTCCAAGCGAAACATCCCACCCGGTTTTGTGATGCCCACCCACGAATCGACGGTACCCCTGCCGGTCGAGAAAGAAGATCCGGACTTCTGGGCGGACAGCGATGTCGATAGCGACGTGTTCGGTGGCAGCGACTCCGATGAAGAGCTGAACCTGGACCAAAGTGGTAGCGACGACGAAGACGAGGAGGATGCGCAGGACGACGATCGGATGGAGTTCTAAATGGGTGCTGGACATCCATGACTCCATGTCGGAAGTCGTTGCTTTCATTTTTATCTTCATTTTTTTTTTTTTTCTTTTCATTTATCGTTCGGCATCCATTTGCATCATCGGCGTATACAAGCGCTGGCGCCTTGTCTTTACTTCTTCTTTTCGATTGATTTTATGGGAGCTGCATGTCTCTACATTCTAGGAACAGGCGTTCAATGCATTACTTGAATCTTCGCGTTGATGGTCATTTCTGTAGCCTGCGGATCCCTATATGTTGCAGTTCAAATCCCAGGGTTCCTTGCCGAATACATTGGTATACCTTCAAATAGGTCGCGGCGACTCCATAAAATCTCAGCCTTAAAAGTGGGCTCCCGAAACTCTGTTAATGTAAACCATCGTTGGCCCGAGACCAGTCTCGAGAATAAGTATAACTGGTGGTATTCAATTTAGAAGGCATCCATCCACCTGCTGTTCGAGATACACTCTCACGGTCTTGGTGTGAAATGCGGGAATGCTCAGCATCTCATAATGAAAAGCCCTTGTGCAACCAGCAGTGGGAATATGGTTGTGTTGTTCCTCCAGAATATTTTCCTATGGGTAGGTACTGCTAGGAAAGTGTCTGTTCCCCCTTCTCTTCGAATAATATAGATTAAGTCTCCTTCTTTACTTCGGGGGGGAAAAAAAGACCAAACGCGATGTATCGACAAATTGAAGAAAAACCCATCAAGTTCTAATTATTATTAAAGGGAAGTTGTCAATCTAACACCTGATGCAGAGAAGTATATAATTTCCGAGATCGGAGGAACTCTCAACCCCAATATCTACTCTACACCACCATACTCACTTCAAAAAGCGCCAAAGAAAAAAGAATACCCAAAAATGGCCACACAAGCCCTCGCAAACTGGAGTTCATCCCTCGAATACAATGCCCTCTCCGCAGAAATAATCCACGTCGCCGTGCGCAGCTTCTACAACTGGACCGGCTGCGTCGTAGGCGGTAGCGCTCACCCCGCAATAACGATCGCGCGCAGCGCACTTGCAAGATTCTCAGGACCGCCAACATCCAGACTGCTGGGGTCAGAGGGTAGCATCGACGCAGATGCCATTCACGCGGCGCTATTCAACGGGATCGCCTCCCACGTGCACGACTACGACGACACGCACCTCGACACCATCATCCACCCGACCGACGGGGCCCATCGCCTCAGCGCTCCTGGTCATGGCCGAGTCATTGGACCGGCCTGTTTCTGGGGAGGAGTTCATCACGGCGTTGGTTGCTGGAGTCGAGGTGGAGTGTAAGGTGGGCCGGGCGGTTTGGCCGGAGCATTATGATGTGGGGTGGTATGTTATACGTTGAGTCCATTCTTCTTCTTCTTCTTCTTATTACAAGCATTGAAGGAGTTTATTGCGTGCAGACCAGAATGCTGTACGCTAATTGCTAATGTATATACTTGTCAGGCACATCACTAGCACAACAGGCTCAATCGGCGCAGCCGTAGCCGTCTCCAAACTGCTCGGCTCATCCGCCCCCCAAACAGCACACTCCATCGGACTCGCCGCGACGCAGGTAACCGGACTGCGAGAGATGTTCGGCTCGCACACAAAATCCTTCCACCCAGGCCGCGCCGCGCAGAACGGGCTCCTAGCCGCAATTCTAAGCGGCGAGGGCTACACCAGCTCGGCGCAGGTACTGGAAGCCAAGCGCGGGTGGGCGAACGTGGTGAGCTCGGCACAGCGGCTGGATGCCGAGGTAGCGAGTCTGGCGCCGGCGGGGCGGTGGGAGATCGCGCAGAATGCGTTCAAGCCGTTTCCGTGTGGGATTGTCGTGCACCCGGTCATCGACGGGTGCGTGTGGTTGCATGGGGAGCTGCGGCGACAGGGGTTGTTGTTGTCGGAGGGGGAGTACGAGATCCAGGAGGTCCGCGTGACGGTGCATCCACTGGTGCTGGAGTTGACGGGGAAGACGGCACCGAGGAATGGGTTGGAGGCGAAGTTTAGTGTATATCATGGTGGCGCTGTTGGGTTGTTACTCGGGAGGGCTGCGCCGGCGCAGTATGAGGATGCGGTAGTGGTGGATGAGCGGGTGGTACGGCTGAGAGAGCGGATTCATGCTACAGCAGGCGAGAACTTACGGCCGGAGGAGTGCCATCTTGCTGTTTCTGTGCAGCGCTCCGATGGATCTACCACTGTTATCGAGAAGCATGTGGATCATGCTATGGGCAGCGTGGAACGACCGATGGCGGATGTTCAGTTGACAGACAAATTTGTCGACCAGTGTATCCCGGTTCTGGGCTAGGAGCGGACCCATCGAGCGAGTCAATGGTGCTGGGATCTGGAGAAGCAGTTTGACATGCGTCGGATCAAGGATATACTTTAGATTCTATAGAACCTGCTACTGGGGCATATTGGAAAGCAATTCATAGCTGTGATCAACCACTAAGCACATTCTAGATCAATTCTCAAATGTATAGTTGTGGACAAGTATACTACGGTAACGATAGCGGCATAGCAAAGCGACAGTCTCGGTGTAGGAGTGTAGTGTTGGTCCGGTGTTCGACAAGCCAAGGAAAAAGAAAAAAAAAAAAAAACGGAAAGATAAAAGCCATATGAAATGTGATCTGCGCCAGTGTGTTAATCCATCCATCCAAATGCCCATGTTGCGGGGTCCGTCACAGAGAGGACCCAAGTGTCTAGTCTATGCGACAGCATCCTTTATCTCGCTGTAGATCGCGCCGAGCTCTTTGTGCAGAACCTCCTCGGCCTTATCGACGATCTCACCGATGCGGTCCTCAACGGTACCAGCCTGGGTGCCAGCCTTGTAGCCGCCGTTGGCAACGATCTGGGAGTAGTTCGAGGAGCCACCGCCGTTCCAGGCCAGGAGCTAGATTGTAGTCAGCGCTGATCTGCGAGCTGTTGAAACCACAAAACACGAGAAATACTTACGTTGGGGGTGTCGGAAGGAATGTCAGTAAGAACGCCCTGGGTGGCGACGGTGATGAGAGCATCCTTGAGCTTCTTGGGGGTGATCTCGGCAACAGCGTAGGCCGAGTCCTTGGAGGGCTGAAGCGACACGTAGTAGGCCAACAGACCAGCAATGTGCGGGGAAGCCATGGAGGTTCCGGAGATGGTGTTGGTGGCGTACTTGCTGCCGATCCAGGTGGAGTGAATGTTCAGACCAGGAGCGAAGATGTCAGTGCACTTGCCGTAGTTGGAGAAGTATGCCCGCTCGTCCGCCAGCGTGGAGGCGCCAACGGTTACAGCGTTCTCCGCAGCAGCAGGAGAGTAGTTACAGGCATCGGCGTTGTCGTTTCCAGCAGCGACGGCAAAATGGATGCCGGCCTCGACGGCCGCATTCACAGCCAGGTCGAGTGTCTTGGAGCTACCACCGCCCAGACTCATGTTGGCAACACTACCCTTGAAGCCCTTGGCCTTGCCGTCCTTGGCGGCCTTAGCCTTCTTGACGTGAGCCTCGGCTGCCCACTCAACGCCCTTGACGACATCAGACATGGAGCCCGAGCCGTTGGATCGCAGGACCTTGACGGCATAGACATTGGCCTTCTTGGCAACACCATACTTTTTACCGGCAACGGTACCAGAGCAGTGAGTGCCGTGGCCGTTGCCGTCCACATCGTCGTCGCCAGCCGGGATGGTCTTGCCCCACTGGGCACGACCCTCAAAGTCAACGTGCTCAGTATTGGTGCCGGTGTCAATCACGTAGGCATCAACACCCTCACCGCCTTCCTCGGCGTACAGATACTTGTTGAAGGTCCCGAATGTGAGACTGTCCCGGTGGGAGATACGGGCAAGACCCCAAGGGGCGCTCTTCTCAACGGCTGGGTTCTCAATTGCGCGAACCTCGGAGTCTCTCTCAATGTAGGCGACCTATTAAGAGAGAAAGAAAAAGCTTGATCAGCTAAGGGAGCTTGATGGACATCGCTGCCGCCAACGACAGGAAGGGTCATGACTCACATCCGGATGACGGCGGACTTGCTCGATGACATCCTCGTGGAAGTGGCCGGCATATCCCATCAAGGTGTCGGCCACGTGGAAGGTGTGCTTCATGCCCAGGAAGGCCTCGCTGTCAAAGCCGAAGAGCCCACGGCGCTTCAGCTCCATGCGGCCGCTTGAAGAGCTATGGATGTCCTGCACCCAGGTGTGATGAGCGGCAGCCGACGACTTATCGACATGGGTCTTAAAAACGACAATATAGGAGTCGGGGATTTCTTCAGAGTTCATCGCCGATAGGATCGGGGCAGCTCCCTTGTGGATAGATTCTACGTCCACGGGAGACGCAGCCGCCAGCAGCGGGAGCAGGGCAAGGCCGAAGAAGCCTTTCATGATGGGTAGACTAGGGTGACAAACGAAGGAAGAATGAGTGATAAACAATAAGATTGTAGGGAGAGGGAGAGTGAGATGGGGAAGTATAAAGGGCGATACAGGAGGGAAAGGAGGGAGATGGAGAGAGGAGAGAGGAGAGAGGGAAGATGAGGAGGTAGGCGTCAGTGACCTTATCTAGGGACGAAACGGCAGGCGGAGAGCGATGATGCAAGCGGGCGATTACGGTATGGTTACGGCGCCGGATGACCCCGGCGATTGGTGCTGGCCGTCGATCATAGTGGAGCTGCTGGCTGGGGAGAAGATCCATACGGTATGGTATGGTCACGGTGGATTGGAGAAAGACGGTCTTCTGTCTTAAGGGAGATAGCTGGGTTCTACAAGCTCCCTCCTACCTTCCTACCTCCTACCTACATAGTATATACTCCCAGAAAAAGAACCAGCCGATTGAAGATAATATGGACAAATGACTTGCATCTACCATTAGCTTGCTTGACCACGGCTTCTCCGGGTACCTGGCAGTGCCACGCACCGGTCGCACGGGCGATCCATGTCGAGTCGCGTGCTTGGGCTCAGCTGATGAGTCTCACGGGGTACCCTTCCAGCCGACCTACGCGAGGGAAGTACCTCGGAGTACTTACGCAAGGTGACCTTGTGAGGACCTCATCGGACCATACCTGGAAGACTCCACAATTGTGACTCAACAAATTGCCTAGCTGCCTCATACCTTCTTATCACCGTTTATCACCTTTTATCTGGTTTATCAGCCTCCCCCCGTAATGATACTGGGGCCTTCCCAAGGGTCCACGGGTATTTTGGCACCTGGTAATATGCCCCCAAGTCACCTGATAGCTCCTCCCCGCCGTTGACAGGAATGCGCTTCTCATTTTTTGTTCAAGGCATCATTGCTTATCATGCCAATGTTGGTCTGATCGGCTGGTCAGCTCACCCCGCTGTCTCCCATCCGGACCCGCTCACACAACACGTACCAATGCAGACCGCCTCAACCGTCCCGCCAAGTGCACATTCACGGTCTTGGGTGGCCATCCACCATCGGAGCGATCGTGGATAAGATTGGCCATGCCTCCATCGTCCCTCCACCCTCCCTCTCCCTCCGGGTCCGATCGACTGGCGGAAGAGCTCGCTCCCACCCTCGACCAGCTCAAAAATCTCGCTGCCAGGAACCCGATCACCCTCCCCGAGGCTTTGGCGGCGACTGAACCTCTTCTACGCCTCCGTCATACCTTTATCGATGATGCCCGACCGGGAGCAGCCAAGGATACCTTTCGACATCTTCAGGGCTTCCAAACGCTGCTGGGGTTAACGGATCGGCTCGTCGAGCTGTATGACATCAATGTCTTGACTCAGGAGGAAAGGAAACGCCTGCTGGGTATCCACAAAGACGTGCTGGGTGTCCTAGCCGAAGGCCTGAAAGATCATTCTGGCAACAAGCGATACTTTGTCCGGAGGATCCCTAGCGGAGGGACTGCTGCGCTGGAGCGGATTCTAACCGCCCTGGTGAAAAAGATAGACACCGCCGAGGACGATGCACAACAACTCTATGGCGCTATTCTGGCTGCTGCGCTCTGCCAGGAGGCCGTGGCGGGTGTTTTTGTAACACTGAACACAAAGTTTTTGCAGAGTAATACTTCAAGATCTCCGCAAGAATTCCAGCAGGCTGTGGATCAATGCATGGGATCTGCCGAGACTGTCGAAGTCCCCGAGCTGTTGGGGCCTTTCCTCCGCATCTGGTTGATGCACTCGTCCGCTTCATCGGGTTTCGACATATTGCGTCTGGCGCTACCTGCTTGTCTTTGCCAATTGGCCTCTCAATCCTCGAGAAATGTCGTAGCCTTACATTCCACCGGAATGCTGACCCCCATACTGCCCCTCTTGTTCGATAATGGCCGGTCCGACACTGAGAGAGCACTTTATCGAGATCTTGCTCAATCGCTCAGCGCTCAAGGAACGAGTAGTTTGGAAGATGCTGTTGCCTTGTACCGCCGGGCGCATGAGAGTCCGGAGGTCTTGAAATTTCTTCTGTCGGCCCTGAAAAACTCCAGAGAGCCTCCCTCGATCCAGTTTGATATGTCTCTTCATGGATTTTGTTCGGTCGAATTTGCAACTCTCGGCCGTCCGTTCCCACCAGCTGCGTCTGCCGGCTACACACTGGCCGTGTGGGCTCGATTTGATGAGTTTGACCAAAAGACCCATACTACAATATTCGGGGCATTTGATCCAACCCAGACCTGTTTTGTTCTTGCTTATCTGGAAAAGGACACGCGGAATTTCATCCTCCAGACTTCCATACGTGGTTCGCGGCCCAGCGTTAGGTTCAAGTCAGCACGATTCGAGCCAAATCGCTGGTACCATATCTGTGTTGTGCACAAGAGGCCAAGGCCTACATCCTCCTCACGAGCGTCTCTGTTCATCAATGGTGAATTCGTTGAGCAGTTGAAAATTGAATACCCTTCTGTTCCAGGGGGTGACAATTCCAATAGAGCACCTCGCGTCCAGGCCTTTTTTGGAACCCCCAAGATTTGGCAATGCGTCTCGGGAGAGGAGTGTCAAGCTCCCGGTGGTCTCTTGCAAATGGAATCCTTTTCGATGAAGCCTATAGCGATGACATGGTCGCCGTGTTTTACAACTTGGGACCCCGGTACTATGGAAATTTCCAAGATTGTCTCGGTTCTTTCCAAACGTACAAGGCCTCAGCAACTCTGAATCTGCGCAACGAGCATCTTCATCCCGGAAAAGAGGACTCTTCTGACATCGTCACCGCCATTCGACGACGGGCGAGCATCTTGGTTCGGGAAAGCACAATCTTGATCAATGTTTCGCCTGTCGCTGTTCTGGATGACGACGACAGCAATAACGTGGACGAATCACAGCTCATAAAATCTCTGACCCGACAGGCGGCCAAAAGTCTCCAACAGTTAACCAAGGCAGGTGGGAACGCGGTTGCAATCAACGGTGCAACTCCCGCCATCAATGATGGCCTGACACAACCTCAGGGAGTTGGCGTTCTGACGGGTAACCCAGTCGTTGCAGTACCCAGATCGCTGGATGATGCTAGTTGGTGCTTAGGGGGATGCGCCGCAGTGCACTTGACCCTAGTCCAGGCGGCCGACACCGCGGAAAGCACTCGTTTGGCTGTTGAGGCGCTCTACGAAGCTGTTCAGGACAACTGGAGAAACAGTGAGGCCATGGAGAAAGAGAATGGCTACGGTATCCTTGCAGCCCTATTGCGTGACAAGTTGGGATTCCAGCTCGGCACCTTGGTCGCAGCAAATAAGAGCACCGTGGTCGGGTCCAATGTAGAGGAGCAGCGCGTATTAACTCTTGAGCTGCTTCGCCTGACGCTTGCATTTGTGGGATATGACCTAGAGTACCCGCCTCGTTCTATAATCACGAACCCACTTGCTTATCGAGTGTTACTTGTGGACCTGGACACCTGGCGGTTTGCGGAGCCACCGGCTCTTGAACTGTATTATTCGCAGTTTCGCACATTTGCCTCTGAAAGCAACTACCGTCGATTCAACGCAAAGCGACTGGGGCGTATGCGTAAGTTCACCGGAACACCCCTTTCTCATAACTCAAAACATTCATGGCTAACTAAATCAGGCGTCAGCAAGAAACTGCTAGAGACTCTGAAGGGAGGGGAACTGACACAGGAAGCTTTACAACCGTGCCTCTCTGCTTTCAAGTCTTTGATGGAAACCAGTATGTCTCCTGATCTCCTTCGATCTCTGGCCCTGTCCATCACCTACGCTTTGCACAAGCCTAGCCCCTCCGCTGGCCTTCAGAAGAAAAAGAGCCTTCGGTTTACCGCGGCCCGATCACGATCAACATCATCGCGACCAGCCTCGTCAAAATCGGATTCGAGCAAGTATGTATCAAGCATCACAGTGGGCATTGAAATGCTACGGCTGTACTCTGAAGTGCTTTGCAATCCACATGACTCTGCGCCATTGAAAAAGTTTGCCAAAGCGGTTACGAACAAGGTTTGCGGAATCCTATTCAGTTATTTTTTCAAGGCTTTTTTTCTTACACAGCTGCAGTGGCTCTTGTATCTCCTATGTGAGGATGAACCCGAAGTGGTGGTACTCGCATGCAAAATCCTGGCTCGACTCATAGTCGTTCATGGCAGCAGCTACAGCAAGAAGTTTTCGGAGAAGACTGGTGGCTACACAATTTTGCAACAACGCCTGAAGAGATGGTGGAACATACCTGTATTATGGCCTATCTGCTTTTCCATCTTCTTTGGGTACGACGTCGCTTCGTTGGACCTTGACCGACCTTTCGACAAATTTGGACTCCTTGACCTCTTCTTGCCCCACGGCAAAGAAGATGTTATCTTCCCCGAAATGCTTCCCGTAATCATAGAGATGGTCAAAAGTGGCTTGAGGAGTGCCATTCTCGCGGGCGACGTCACGGAAATAAGCGCGAGGGGCCAAGGATCTTTGGATGATTGGTTATCCAAGTGTGACAAGCCGAAAATGGCCTCTTCGAACTTGACTGGTGAGTTCAAACAAGAAGTTTTTACTCGAGGCTAGCAGAGTTCCGTCGCTCACATCGCCCGTTCATAGGAATTGCTTCACTGAGCCTCGCCACCCATGGATTTTCTCTCATAGCCGCGGTAGTCCAATTTCTGACGGAGGCACGTTTGAGATCACGAGGCTTCCAGGACTTCACGACCCAATCCAACTATGTCCAGGAGCTTCTTTCCGTTCTCTTTCCCGTCGTCGTCGGTGCAGACACCGTGAGCCCAAACGCAGAGCTGGATTTGCGGCACAGTGGGCTTAGTTTTGATGATAGCAATCTAGTTTTACGGCCACGCTCGAGAGCCGCAAATACATCAACTGTCTTCCAGACCACCACTGTCGAGGCTGCAGACAGCCCCGATGAAAGCATCAACTCATTGCGGCGTGGCTCATCGTTTATTCTTGTTTCCTCCGATAAAGCGAAACACCAGCCATCTGCTGCTCGGATACGTCGTGTTTTTAACCCCAACTTCGACGCAGAAGGGACTGCTACCGACCACCCACTTGTCAAGGCCATTTTCGAACTTGTCCTTGCAGTTTTCAAGGAGCAGCTCCTGGTACGAAAAGATTTCTCTGGTCTAGGACTCTTCCTCAAGACACCCCCTGGATTCTTGGAACAACAGGCATATTTTAATTCTTGGATTCTCGACTGCGTTCTGGCAACTGTCCAAGATTTGCCAGTCTCTCAGCCCAATCTTCTTCGGGAACCACGAACTCTCACAAACCTTGCACGTTTTGCTACACACCTGGGGGAAGCAGTGTATGAGGGCTGGTTCATCAATGGGGCATCCTCCAGCTTCGAATGCCTAGGTACAGTCCTGGAGTATCTTCAGCGCCCCGACATCTGTCAGTTGAAGAGTATTCGATTGTGTAGCCAAGCGGTGGCCACTATCCACTCGACTTTATACAGAATTGTTTTATTCCAACTGTCAGAAGCAGAGGAGGCTGAGACATTGCCTCTTTTGAAGCGGTTGAATTACTGGCAGGTGGTGCTACTGTCGGCAACTGAACCCCAGACGAAGTATCTGCAGCTGTTGTGCTATTTGCTTTATACCAAGCTTATTAGCATTGAGCAAGATGTCCGCCTGGCTGCTGCCAGTCTCTGGCGGATCATCCTTGTACAGAAACCCGATGAGATGGCAAACTTGCTCACCCACGGGCCTGTCACCATTCAGCGCCGGCTTTCAGATGGCTTTGACGCCCTCGCCGGAATGGACGACGAGGCTTTTTTACAATGGATTGATGATCAACGTGAGGATCTTGACGCCTTGTTCTTTGGGGTTTTGTCTCGTTCTTGGGATGCCTTTGTCCAGGAAGAGAATACAAACAGCGAAGATTCGGCCAGGAGTCGAATCTTAAAGCGCAAGGATCGATTGAAACAATGGCTCCAGCTCGAGTCTCTGGATGAAGAGGTGACTCGAAAGCATCATGCCACCTTGCCGCACTGGATTTCGAACATATCTGCCTCGGAATTTCTCAAGTCTCAACGATTCATGCAAGATTTACAGGATAGCTCCGCTTTCATGTGGTCAGCCTTCTCTAGTCTACTGCTGGATCTCCGACGTCCGGGTGGTCTTTTTGCTGAGGAGAAGGAGCGCAAATGGAGGTTGGATCAGACCGAGGGTCGGAGTCGCATGCGGTTGAGGGTTGTACCGGTCGAGTCGGGCGAGCGACAGGATTATCAACCCAAGAGAAAGGCCTCTGAGCCCCCTGCCGTGAAGGTTGATACGCGCATCCGTGCTATCTCACATGGCGACACTTTGTCCACCCCCACAGCACTAACAGAGGAGCCAGAGTCTATGGAAACTGAAGCCCAGGACGGCGAGGCTGACAACCGGAGTATGCTCGAAGACAACTTTGAGATGATCGATGATCCAAAGGTCGAGCTGGAAGAATACGAGGACAAAAATCGCAAAGTGATGCGCTCTCTTCACCGCGGTGACCAGGTTCAGAACGTGTGCAACATGTCCCGAATCATTGGTCTCGAAGCAGTGGAAGGTCTCTTGATTCTTGGCAAAGATTGCATTTACATTCTGGACAACTTCTTCCAGCGAGCGGACGGCGAAATCGTTAACGTCTGGCAAGCCCCTGCCGAAGAACGAGACCCTTATGTGCGCATGATTTCAGGTCGAGAATCGAATGATCGCCGATTGCAAGATCGTGAGATGAGAAGCTGGAAGTGGTCAGACTTGGTCAGCGTGTCCAAGCGCCGCTTTTTGTTCCGTGATGTCGCTTTGGAAATTTTCTTCACCGACGGCACCAGCTATTTGTTAACACTTTTCTCTGCCCGAGCACGAGATGAACTGTGTAGTCAGCTCGGAATCAAAGCACCCCAAGTCACCGGAAGCACGGGGCATTCAAGGCCGGAGGATATATGGCGATTTGAAACCCTTCGCAGTCAAGAAGACGCGCCTCAATCCCTTGGTTCCAAATTTGCTAGTGTCTTCGGCCATCTCCCAGAAAACCCAGCAACGCGCAAATGGATCAAAGGCGAAATCTCCAATTTCCATTATCTCATGTTGATCAATACTCTCGCCGGACGAACGTTCAACGACTTGACTCAGTACCCTGTTTTCCCATGGGTCCTGGCAGACTACACGAGCGAGGAGCTTGACCTGACCAACCCTAGTACTTTCCGCGACCTGTCAAAACCGATGGGTTGTCAAACTCCTGACCGGGAAGCGGGTTTCCGCGAGCGATACAATGCTTTTGCAGAGATGGGAGACGACAATTCCCCACCGTTCCATTACGGTACCCATTACTCCTCCGCCATGATTGTGTCTTCGTACCTCATTCGCCTTCAGCCGTTCGTCAAGTCCTATCTTCTCCTACAAGGAGGTACCTTTGACCATGCAGACCGGCTTTTCTACTCAATTCGCAAAGCCTGGGAGTCCGCCTCGCGGGGGAACATGTCAGATGTCCGTGAATTGATCCCAGAATTCTTTTATCTCCCAGAATTTCTCGTCAACTCGAACAAATACGATTTTGGGCTTTTGCAGAACATGACCACTGCCATTGACTCGGTGGAACTCCCGCCGTGGGCCAAGGGGGATCCCAAGATTTTCATTGCGAAAAATCGAGAGGCACTTGAGAGTCCGTATGTGTCAGAGAACTTGCCCCACTGGATTGATCTGGTGTTCGGCAAAAAGCAGAAAGGCGAGGCCGCGGTTGAGGCTGTCAATGTTTTCCACCACCTGTCCTATAAAGGAGCCAAGGATCTTGATGCCATTGATGATCCGATGGAACGAATGGCGACGATTGGGATCATTCACAACTTTGGGCAAACTCCTCATCAGATCTTCCAACGGGCTCACCCGCCAAGGGAGGACCGACGATACCGCGTACCACGACTGGATACGCTGGCCGAATCTTTGACCCAAATGCCGTTATCGCTTCTGGGTTAGTATACTCTTTCCACCCCGGTCCTTTAAAGATAACTTTAAGGCTGACAACTGTCATTCCAGACATCGAAGAGCGAGTGGCCACCATGTCCATGAGACAAGACCGACTTCTGTGCACCGCGGCTCTCAGGCTCAATGTCCCACCTAACTATGACAACTATATGGAAAGGGGATTCTTCGATGGCAGCGTCCGTTTCTACTCCACAGACAGTCGCAAGGTATGGGTGCTTTACTACATTGATAGGGTGAAGCTGCTGACCATCCATCCAGCTGTTGGGACACTTTGAACACCTCCACATCGGCCAACTCTCTCATGCCAGCTTTGCGGATTCGCGCACACTCATCACCTGTGGCACAGACTGTACAATCTCCTTATGGACGATCACCCTTACCTCTAGGTCGGTGGACCTGCAGCCAATCGGATCGTTGTTTGGCCATCGGGCGCCAGTCACAGTCCTGGCCGTCTCGCGTTCTTTTAGCGCCTTACTCTCCGCATCAAATGATGGTCGGATCATGCTATGGGATTTGAACCGGCGGACCTTCTTGCGAGAACTTCCCAGCACTGGGGTGGTGAATGTAAGTACCTACCTGCCCGAGCTTCGTGCCATTACATGAGTCTTAACCTTCCTTTTTTTCTAGTGTGCTCGAATCAACGATGTTACGGGAGATATCATGGTCTGCCGTGGCAATCGTCTGACGCTTTACACCCTGAATGGGGCCGTCCTGGTAGACCAGCCGGTGTGCGAGTCTGGCGATGACCATGTCCTGTCCTGCGTCTTCTATGAGGGGGTGCAGAACGAATGGCTCGAGCGGGACTTGGTCCTGACGGGTCACACTCGAGGCGTCGTCAACATTTGGAGCAAGACCATCTGCGCCGGCCGATTTGAACTAGAGCTGATTCGACAACTGCATCATACCGACAGCAGTCGCGACACCGGCGCCAACGTCAGTTCGGGAATCAGCTGTATCTTGGCTCTGTCACATGTGGTGTACACAGGGGATGAAGCAGGTCGAGTGGTGAGTTTTTTTTTTTTTTTTTTTTCTCTCCCGGAAGGAGTAATTTGTGCTAATTGAACATTGCAGTATGAGTGGAATTGCATTCAACGTCGCTAGGTCAATGTTTTCGATGTGCAGACTTTCCCAGCATGGAGATTTGGCAACAAAATTCAGAATAGAGATGCGCATTTTCTTTCTTTGTTCGGTATATCCATTCGTTTAGTTTTCAAGAAGCCGGTCTGCATCAATAGCGAATCCATATTATGGCCAGTATGTATATATCCATGGATGACTTGCCTCAACCCCCGGGCGGCTATTGTTACTAGTTCCGTATACTCCGGAGTAGATCGCGATATTTAACCGGGTTCCGGTGAGCAGGACGCAGAGGGATTGCAGTGGTGGGCCGTTGGCCGGTCGACCATGCTCCGGTTGGGCTGTCGGAGTACTCTGCGCCGGGCCTGGGACTTGGTTATTTTGGTTCTCAAACTGGGAATGAAGTCATATTGAATTGAATAAGAATTGAATCATCAACGACTACAGGGGAGAAAGAGCGAAAGAAGAAAGAAATCATTGATTCGCGAAGCTTCGACGGTCAAGTCCAAGGTACTTTGCCGGCAGTGGTGTGTCAGTGGCATGGAGGGGTACCAGGTACAAGTGATTTCATAGTACAGCGTCATTTTTGCCCCACCGGCGCATCCCACGGCTGGCAGGTACCTCCGTTGGTTATGGCGGGGCCACTGCTGCTGGAGGTACCCTCAATCTGGTTTGGGTCCCCTCTTATTACTCTCGTCGCCACTCTTCTCCCTCTTCTCTTTTCTCTCCTCCCTCTTCATCTCACAAAACTTCTTCAATTCATCCACCTCGTTTCCTTCTTGGAATCATATCTCGGTTCATCCACTAGATCCGTGCATCATGTCTTCCTCTCTTGAACAGCTCAAGGCCAGCGGCACTGTCGTGGTCTGCGACTCTGGTAAGTCCCACCGATCATCCAGGATGCATGCATGGGAACCCCCGCTGACAGAGATATTCTAGGTGACTTTGCCAGTATGTATCCCGTCTTTCTCGATTCTCTTTCTGGATTCGTCGACTGTCCATTCCCACGGTGAAGGTTTTGACTAACGTTCCACAGCTATCGGCAAGTACAAGCCCCAGGATGCCACCACCAACCCCTCCTTAATCTTGGCCGCCTCCAAGAAGTCCGAGTACGCCGCCCTGATCGACTCGGCCGTTGCCTACGGTAAGCAGAAGGGCAGCACCGTCGACGAGCAGGTCGAGGCCACCCTGGACCGTCTCCTGGTCGAGTTCGGCAAGGAGATCCTCAAGATCATCCCCGGCAAGGTTTCCACTGAGGTCGACGCCAAGCTGTCCTTCGACACCCAGGCCTCCGTGGACAAGGCTCTGCATATCATCAAGGTATGTAACTGAAGGTTGATGAGCGATTAGGGGATACAGATCACTAACATGACCATTGCGCAATGTGTACAGCTCTACGAGGAGAACGGAATTTCCAAGGACCGCGTTCTGATCAAGATCGCCTCCACCTACGAGGGCATTAAGGCCGCCCACATCCTCCAGTCGAAGCACGGCATCAACTGCAACCTGACACTGATGTTCTCTCTGGTGCAAGCCATCGCCGCCGCTGAGGCCGGTGCCTTCTTGATCTCCCCCTTCGTGGGCCGCATCCTGGACTGGTTCAAGGCCGCCCACAAGCGCGACTACACTGCCCAGGAGGACCCCGGTGTCAAGTCGGTGCAGGAAATCTTCAACTACTACAAGAAGCATGGCTACAACACCATCGTCATGGGTGCCTCGTTCCGCAACACGGGTGAAATCACCGAGCTGGCTGGATGTGACTACCTGACTATCTCGCCCAACCTGCTGGAGGACCTGTACAACTCGACCGCCCCGGTCCCCAAGAAGTTGGACGCGGCCGATACCGCCAAGCTGAATATCCCCAAGCGCGCCTACCTCAACGAGGAGGCTTCGTTCCGCTTCGACTTCAACGAGGAGGCCATGGCTGTTGAGAAGCTGCGTGAGGGTATCTCCAAGTTCGCGGCTGACGCTGTTACCCTGAAGGAGCTGCTGAAGCAAAAGGTGCAGGCGTAGATTGTGTGTGATACCTTTTATCTTTCATTTCATGTTTTGTGATATTTTCTGGGTTTCATCCTGTGATATAATTGGCGACCCCCCAAAATTGCAATCGGTAGATACGAATTCATGAATTACTCGTGTTCTCCGAGGTATCCGAATAGTCCGGACTTCGGGCTATTGTAGAGTCGCTTATTCAGGGACCCCGCAGTTCGTGAGGGTGCATGTCCTTGAGATGTCTCAGAGGGAAGGGTGGTCTTACCCTGTGCCACGCGTTTCGCTAACGGGATAGCATTTCCCAGATATACTTTCAATGGTCTTCATTATATGACCTGAGACCAGAACTGGATTTTACTGCGTAAGTAAACGCTGGAGGTTGTTAAAGCCGACCTCGGGAAACGATGCATTATGTCATTCCTGCCGGTCCCGCTCGCCGCCCGCTTGGGAAGGTGGGGGAAATGTTTTGGTGTGGTATTGGGTATCTGCTACCCACACACACCGGTGTTTGTCTATGGCAGTGAAAGTACCGGGTACTTCCACTGTAAGTGGACAGTAGTCACGTCAACATCATCCGCTTATTATTCCTCCTCCTCCCTCTCCCTGCCTTTCTTTTTTTCCCTTCTTTTTCCCAGATACTCGCTTCCTTCCATCGCAGCTTTTTTTTATTTTAACCTCTCAATTCCAATCCTATCACAACCGTCATAATGGTTAAGGCTGGTAAGTCCTTCCTGTTTGGGCTTTTTTTTTGCTCCTAGGGTTTTGTTCTCCACGATCGGCCGTGGCAAAGGGGACCTTGGGGTGAGCAGATTTGAGCACCTTGTGATCCTGAGCTGCCACCCCTGGACCTATCGGCTTGCTCCTTGTCCTCAGTTCTCCACTGTATTCCAGTCTTATCTGCAATGCTTCCTAAGAGAGGCTGAGATTGAGACTGCTCATTTGCTGGAGTTGCTGAGATCAGCTTAGAGTCCGGGGTGATCCCAGGGATCAAAGCCCAGCCCTATGCCTTCGATCCACCTTCTGGAACACTTACACTGACATGAAATCCTAGTTGCTGTCCTCCGTGGTGACGCCAAGGTCGCCGGCACCGTCACCTTCGAGCAGGCCGAAGAGAGCGGTCCCACCACCATCTCTTGGAACATCTCTGGCAACGACTCCAACGCCGAGCGTGCCTTCCACGTCCACCAATTCGGTGACAACACCAACGGCTGCACCTCGGCCGGTCCCCACTGTATGCCAACCCTAGTCGGGGATATATCTTGTGGTTGCAAAACCAGCTGACACACACTCTCTCAGTCAACCCCTTCAGCAAGACCCACGGTGCTCCCACTGACTCCGAGCGTCACGTCGGTGACCTGGGCAACTTCAAGACCGATGCTGAGGGCAATGCTACCGGCTCTGTGCAGGACAAGTTGGTCAAGCTGATCGGTGCCGAGAGCGTTCTGGGCGTAAGTAGATGATGCTGGGTTGTTAGCTGCATAGCTATATGCTTATCTGTTTCTTTTTTATTCGCAGCGTACTCTGGTCGTTCACGCCGGCACTGACGACCTCGGCCGTGGCGGCAACGAGGAGTCCAAGAAGACTGGCAACGCTGGTGCTCGCCCTGCCTGCGGTAAGCAGATCACGTCATTGGAGAGCTCGGTGATCCATGCTAATGAGAAACATAGGTGTCATTGGTATCTCCGCATAAATCTGCCCTTGATGTTTTTTTGAATTGGGTACCCTGATATTCCCTATCTCCCCAAATTGCAGGAAGATGAAAAATTGCGGATAGTCCAAGTTTCATGAATCAAATGAATGCCATTTCTCTTGTGCTTCTCTCGTATATCGTAGCTCACCGCCTTCCCGACCGCCTCTCCCTCGGGGGGCCGAAATACCACGTTTCCCTGAACAGTAACAGCTCAATCAACAAACTCTCTCTTCTTGCCTGTTGTTCTGTTCCTTTCTTGTTCTTTTTTTAACTTCCTTCTCTTCTCAAAAGTACTGTCTGGGTGTGTGATACCCATCCAGCATGCCTTTCGAAGCTCGTGTCAAGTCCGTTCTGTCGGGCGACACGGTGGTGCTGGCGCATGTCGCCAATCCCACACAAGAGCGCATTCTCAGTCTGGCCTATGTCTCAGCACCAAGATTACGACGAGAGGGAGATGAGGTGGGTGATTGGCGTGAACTTAGGGCAATGGAACACACCAGTAGTGGAGAGGGCGTTTGCTTGCTCCCGATCTCTGATGAATTTCATTTGCTTTGCAAAGCAGACCAGCTAAAACTAATATGGAATTTTTTTTTATCATTAGGCATATGGCTTCCAGTCCCGTGAATTCCTGCGTGAGCTTCTGGTTGGCAAAGTGATTCAATTCCAGATCGTCTACACTATCCCCACGGGCGCCAAGCGCGAATACGGCATCATCAAGCTGCCCGGGTTCGATGCCTCGCTGCCCGACATCAGTGTGCAGGAAGGGTGGAGTCGTGTCCGTGAGGAAGCGGGCAAGCGGTCAGATGAGTCCGAGGAGACTCTAAAGCTGCTGGAGCGGCTGCGTGCCCTGGAGTCCCTCGCCCGCAGTGAAGAGAAGGGTGTATGGGCTGGTTCGGAAGAGGGCCAGATAGATACCAGCTATGAATCGTCATCCCCCAAGGCCCTGGTGGCCAAGAATCAGGGACAGCAGCTGGATGGCATTATTGAGAAGGTTCTGAATGGTGACCGTGTGGTGCTGCGTCTGCTTCTCTCGCCGAAAGAGCACATCCAGACGGTTGTTGCGGTGGCTGGTATTCGGGCACCTGCTGCGCGACGGACAACTACCGATGGCAAGGAACAGCCTGCTGAGCCCTTCGGAGACGAGGCTCTGCAGTTCTTTGAGTCGCGGCTGCTGCAGCGCAAGGTCAAGGTTTCCTTGCTGGGAGTCACACCGCAGGGCCAGCTGGTTGCTACTCTGCTGCATCCTAATGGTAACATCGCTCGATTTGTCCTCGAGGCTGGTCTCGCTCGCTGCCAGGACCACCACTCGACACTTCTGGGTCCCGACATGGCCCTCCTCCGCCAGGCGGAGCAGACCGCCAAGAATGCTCGGAAGGGGGTTTTCACCGGCCATGTGGGCTCCAAGGCTACTGGTGCGGCTGCCGCAGACTATATTGTCAGCCGCGTGTTCAATGCCGATACCCTCTTCATCCGCAACAAGGCTGGCCAGGAGAAACGGATCAGTCTGACCAGTATCCGCCAACCCAAGCCTTCCGACCCCAAGCAGGCCCCATTTGCTGCCGAGGCCAAGGAGTTCCTTCGCAAGCGTGCTATTGCCAAGAATGTCAGGGTCACCGTGAACGGCAAGAAGCCTGCTACTGAAGGCTACGAGGAGCGCGAGGTGGCCACTGTGGTGCAGGGCAACACTAACCTTGGACTTGCTCTGGTTGAAACTGGATATGCTTCCGTGATCCGACACCGCATGGATGATGACGACCGATCTCCTGACTACGATGCGCTGCTTGCCGCCGAGGCGGATGCCCAAAAAGAAGGCCGCGGCATGTGGTCTCCCAAACCGCCCAAGGCCAACCAATACCAGGACTACTCGGAGAGTGTACAGAAGGCTAAGATGGAGCTGGGTATCCTGCAACGGCAAAGGCGCGTTCCGGCTGTTGTGGACTTTGTCAAGTCTGGTTCTCGCTTTACAGTCCTGGTGCCTCGTGAGAACGCCAAGATGACTCTGGTGCTCTCGGGAATCCGTGCCCCTCGGTCTGCTCGCGGACCCAGTGATGCCGGCGAGCCCTTCGGCCAGGAAGCTCATGATCTGGCCAACCGCCGATGCATGCAGCGCGATGTCGAGATCGACGTCGAGACTATTGACAAGGTTGGCGGCTTCATTGGCTCTCTGTACGTCAACAAGGAGAACTTCACTAGAATCTTGCTGGAGGAGGGTCTCGCAACGGTGCACGCATACTCGGCCGAGCAGTCGGGTCACGCCACGGAATACTTTGCGGCGGAGCAGCGTGCCAAAGATGCGCGCAAGGGTCTGTGGCACGACTGGGACCCGAGCAAGGAGGCTGCTGAGGCGGAGGAGTCGGAGACTGCTAATGGCACCGGCACTGAAAGCGAGGCTGCCCCGACACAGCGTCGCAAGGACTACCGGGACGTGACGGTGACGCACATCGACCCGAGCACGGGCAAACTCAAGCTGCAACAGATCGGAGCCGGCACGAGCGCGCTGACGGAGCTGATGAGTGCATTCCGTTCCTTCCACCTGAACAAGGCCAACGACACGGCTCTGCCCGGTCCGCCCAAGGCGGGTGACTGGGTTGCGGCCCGCTTCACCGAGGACGGCAACTGGTACCGCGCCAAGGTGCGCCGCAACGACCGCGACAACCAGCAGGCCGAGGTGGTTTATATTGATTTCGGCAACTCCGAGTCCCTGCCGTGGTCCAGCCTGCGTCCTCTCACCCAGTCACAGTTCTCGGGCCAAGCCCTGCGCCCGCAGGCCGTCGATGCTGCACTCTCGCTCCTGCAGTTCCCTACGTCTCCGGACTATCTTGCCGATGCCGTCGCCTTTGTTGAGGAGCAGACTTTCGACCGCCAGCTCGTCGCCAATGTCGACCACGTCGACACCGATGGCACCTTGCACGTTACTCTGCTCGACCCAGCCGTCTCCAAGAGCCTTGACCAGAGTATCAATGCGGACATTATCCGCGAGGGTATGGCCATGGTGCCTCGCAAGCTGAAGGCGTGGGAGCGCGCCTCGGCGGACACTCTGGCAAACCTGCGCGCGCTCGAGGACGAGGCCAAGTCCGAGCGTGGTGGTATGTGGGAGTATGGTGATCTGACGGAAGACTAAGCCATGTAACTATGCATGTTCCATGTCATTTTCCCCCTTTCTTTTCTTTTTATGGACTATCATGGACTGTCATCCGGAGCGTTCTGTACAGAGGAATTAGCTCCGCGAAAAGAGCGTCATTACCATGATGCTCCCCGGTTTTTATGTAGCTTGTCGCTTGAATCACAAACGATTAGCACCTCGGATGTATTTTACCGATCTATGTAAAGAAGAAAAAAAGAAGATCGGCGCCAGGCCGATTAACTTCCATCTGTAAGGACTCGGTGCCGATCTCCGACAAACTCAGGAACCCGCAACTCTCCGCAATGTCAGATTTATTTTCACCGCCTCTTTCTTTCCCCCCTCCTCCACGTCCTCCCCGGAGATTGCGAAAGTTGCGAGGATCTTCAGCTCGTAACTACTAAAAGCCACGATGTTCCTCTGGCGCACCAAATCTCACCATAGCCAGGCTTCCACCGAGCAGGATGCCTCGCTCGCGCGCACGGCTTCCGCATCGAAGAACGACGCCTCGGCCTCGGCTTCGCAGGCTGCAGGCACCGCATGGCTTGCGGGCCATCTGAAACACCTGACGCCGGAGCAAGAAGACAAACTGCGAGAGTTTAAGGATGTTTGTGCGGAGCGCAAATATTACACCCCGGCTGGGGAGGGCGCTGATGCGAAGCCGCCCAGCCATGATGATGCTACTATGCTGTACGTTGTTATCTCCCGCCTTTTGGCACTGATGTTCTCTTTCCTGTGAGATTCAGTACTGATTAACTGTTTTAGACGATTCCTGCGAGCCCGCAAGTTCGATGTGGAAGGCGCATGGGGACAATTCAAAGACACGGAAGACTGGCGCCGCGACAATTCCATCGAGTCGCTGTATGAGAATATCCGCGTGGACTCGTACGAAGCAGCGCGACGGATGGTGCGTGATGGATTCTGCTAGATTGGTCCAATATCTACTGACGTTTATATCTTTTTCCTCCGTATAGTACCCGCAATGGACTGGCCGCCGCGATCGCCGCGGAATCCCTGTCTACGTCTTTGAGATCCGCCACCTGAACTCTAAGGAGATGGCCGCATACAACTCTACAATGAGCACCGGCACCCCCGACACGCACAAGTCTTCGACCGTCCCCGCGCGCTTGCTCAATTTGTTCGCCCTGTACGAGAACCTTCTCCGGTTCGTCATGCCTCTGTGCTCGTCGCTGTCGAGGCCCAATCCCGAAACACCTATCGTGACCTCGACCAACATCGTCGATGTGAGCGGCGTAGGGCTGAAGCAGTTCTGGAACCTGAAGAGCCACATGCAAGACGCCAGTGTACTTGCGACGGCTCACTACCCCGAGACTCTGGACCGGATTTTTGTATGTTGCATTTTGCTCTTATTGCCTTTGGTCACAGTGTCAGAAACTCATTGTTTTTAGATCATCGGTGCCCCGGCCTTTTTCCCTACTGTCTGGGGCTGGATCAAGCGCTGGTTCGACCCGGTGACGACATCGAAAATCTTCATTCTGTCTGCTCCCGAAGTGAAACCTACTCTCAGCTCCTTCATGGACCCGTCTAGCTTCCCGAAGCAGTACGGCGGCGAACTCGACTGGCAGTGGGGTGATATGCCCAACCTGGACGAGCCTGCTCGTGAGAAGCTGCAGGGCTTGGAACAGCCCGCCGCCGAGGGCCAGACCAAGAAGGAGATTCTCAAGGGGCCGCTACTGTTCCAGGGCAACCAGATCGACGTGCTGGGCACGGAGAATGGAAAGGAGCGGAGGGCGACTATCCCGGTTCCTCAGCAGGAAACGTTGGAATCTGAGACCAATGGCGCCGCCACAGCAGATCAAATCCCCTCAACTGCTGCGGAGGATAACGAGAAAACCGGCGGGGAGAATGTCGCCGTCAATGTGAACCAGGTACCATGCAATGAGACCCCGAACACAGTTGCCGCATAGAGCATTATAGAAAAGAAGGATTGTGAGCATTGCGGGTGTCTCGTACATAGAGGGGCCGAGTGTGTATGCCCAATTTGTTTTCGGAATTGTTGTCTTTCTTTTCTGTGTGTTTTGCGTTTTTTCCATCCTTGGTTATATTCCCATCGCAGGCTGAGACAGGAGAACCCGAGCCCGTCTAGAATTCTGTGTATTCATGGTTGATATTGGTATATTCTTAACCCCTCGTTAATGACATGATCTTCATGTACTGCAACCATCGGTCAGTGACGATATACGATCCACGATCATCTGGTAAAGTGGGTGCTTTGAAGTCAGCCTCCTCTGGGTTGCATCCAGCGCAACTCGATAGGTGGCTTCTATGCGGCTCTACCCATTCTCCTTGCTCTTTCCAGCCAACTAAGGGCGGTCCCCAAGTTATGGGTCTATACCCAGCTGCCTACTTCGGTGAGATCACCAAGTATCTTTACCCTGAATAACTTGACTTCCGCATAACCCAACTTGGGTCGAAGATCTCGACCCAAAACCCAACCCGGACCCAGTACTAGGGCCCCAATAAAACCTAATATAAACTAATTCGACCCAACTTTTATATAATTCTGATTATAAAGCTGCTTAGTTATTAGGATAATATATTATTATTAAATACTATTTTTGTTCTAATATAAATTATAATTATAACTCTTATACTTTATAAAAAAAATATTATATAGTAATAATATATTTAGAATAAATAATTTATGAATTTATGAATTTAAGACTTTAAGGTAAAAATTATATTATATAGTAGGTATATATAGGTGAAAGAAGATATTAGCTAACCTTTTTTTATACTAAACCTAAAAATATATATTTAAAGTCTATAGTAGTATTATTACTTTTTATATAAATAAACTATATATATTACAAATAATAAAATAGATATAAATCTAATATCTAAAATTTATTTATTAATAAATAAGTATATTATAGCCTTAATTATATAAAAGAATTATTTTAAATATTTTTCTAGATTTATATAAAATAAAAAGGTTAGCTAGTTAGGTTAAAATTTTTTAGATTAACAGATTAATCTATAGGCTACTTTATTAATCTATTTTTTACTATCTAATAAACTTTATATATATTAATAGTAGTATATTTAAATTTAGTCTTCGCTAAATCATATTAACTAATTAATAGATACTATTTATATTATATCTCTTATATTCTAGAGAGAGTACTAAATATAATTTTTAATAATCGCTATTGTTATATAGAATATATTCTTTTTATCTATAATAGATATAGGAGTTAAATAGCTCTTTAATACTATTTAAGATATTTTCTATTATTATTAAAAAAGAATAAAATTATAGATAATTAAAGAGTTAATAATATTTTTTTATATTTTAAGATTTAATATTAAAAAATAAAAGATAGAGCTTCTTAAGAGATTCTTTTTTATAATAAAATAGAAGCTATAAAAAAAGAAGAATAAAAAACTTAATAAGATTAAGATAAACCTAATTAATAATACTAAAAAAATAGGATATTATAATTAATAATAAAAAAGGGCTAAGTAAGATAAATAAGATAGATAAGATAGATAAAGTAAATAATTTTTAGTTATTACTATCTAAGAATAATATCTAGATATAGGTTTTAGAATAAAAATATAAGAGTTAAGATAATAATATCTTTAAATAGGACCTCATGACATATCCACAGGGGCTATAGGATAGAGAAGATATATGATAGCTTGTGGGGAGGTAGTTTGCAATGATCACCTAGCTTAATAAGTAGGAGAAATAATATTGAGTGTAGACTGATAAACTCTAAGAAGCGTATATATCTTAAGCTAAAATAAAGTTCCTATAATTAGGAGAGAATTGTAGTATAGAAGAGTTACTCTTTTGTCTGTCTATAGATATAATACCTTAAAATATGAGTAATTCCTTTATTAAATATGCAGATGAACAAGTTAACAGTTTTAGATAACTAAAAACTCCCATGGGAAATGTCCAGGTCTAGTGTATAGTAGCTATTTACCCGATTAGGCAATGAAGTGATCAATGTTGTCATGACTACTTTTTTTTGCATCACGTGAGCGTAACTTGATATTTCCTTATATTATAAATATAAGGAATCTAGACTTTACGGGCGAAAATTAATTTAGACAGGGACAGCCTCAAACAAAGCATTAGATCCCACGCCCTGTTCACCCGGCCGCCAAACCTTAAGAACTTTGAACTGGGCGCGCTCCAAAAGACTCAACCACTGCTTATCCGTACGCTCCAGCGACGAGAACATGGTCATCATGATGAGGTCGACGCTAGTATTGAAGCGGGGCACATTAGTCTCCGACAGGGTATTCTCGTTAATGAGCAGCACCGAATCCTCCGCCATCGCCTCTCGGATTTGCTGCAAGGCCTGCAGAGCCTGCTTATCAGGCCAGTCATGCAGCACAGTGCGCATGTAGTAAGCCTTGGCACCCTTGACGGGCTGTGCATCGAACATGCTGTAGCCCTGAGCCTCGATGCCTTGAGCGAGTGGGGGCTGGATATCCTGGATAACCTCGGGAAGGTCCTGTACGATCAGACGACCGGCGGGGTTCTTCTTCTCCTTGAATCGGGCGATGTCATGGCCCTTGCCACCACCAATGTCGACTACCAGCACGCGGTCTGCATCCTTGCCTAGTCGCTCATCCCAGGGGTAGAAGTCATACCACTGCTCGCCTTCCACAGCCCGGTTAGCTGTTTCCATCACAGTGTTGAAGGCATGTTGCTCGTCGGGGTTCTGAGCCAGCCACTCGAAGTGGTGCAGCTTGGTGCCGTATGCCTGCTGGAAGGGAGTGTCATAGGCGTCATCGGGGCTCTTGTAGTCTCTAGATTCCAGGAATTCCTGAGTATGCGCAGTGGCGCGCAAAATCATGTGGCTTGTCGTAATCAGGATAGTTAGCAAGCCCGCCATTTTCCCTATCGGCGACAAAGGCGAGAGCTAGGACCACCTACAAGTTCTTGATCACATCGCTGGGGGGGCGCCGGTTGCGAATCCCAGCGCCAGGGGCTGGGGCTGATATTTGTACACCTCGGTTTCGGTGAAGAGGCGATTGGCGCTCAGGAGTCGCATGACCCGAACTGTAGCAGAGAGACCAACTGGTTAGTCCAGGAGTCCGAGGTAGTGGTCGGTTATTAGCCGGAGAGGCTCTTACTTAACAGGTCCTTGTCGCCCTTGACCTTTTCGTTGTCGTTTAACTCATCGATAGTCAATGCAGCACCACCGGCAGCGGCAAATGCATCAAAAATTCCCATTCCAATTGCAGTTCGGATCGAGACCAGGGGGTGGGCCTGCGATGATCGCGGGGGGCGTTGAATCAGCAAAAAGATTCCTTGGTATACAATTCTCACGATCAGTTCGGTGATATCCTACCGCCCAGCAGATGTTCAGAAGCGACTGAATAGGGGGCTCGACGACCCCGCGCAGCTTGTCCAATACATCAAGGAGCTGGAAGCGCGCTGGGTCCGGAATGTCATCAGCGAGAGAGAGCTTGGATAGGGCTGCGTTGACAGCAGCTGTCAGTTCAGCGACGGTCCGGGCCATTGTGTATAGAGAGGTTGAAGAATGAAGAGGAGAAGCAAGGAAGGATTCAGAAGATGATGGACAATGTCAACACATTTATATTGTCAACTCATCCTGATCTGTATCCTGGTTCACACGTCTTTCTCCTCTCGTCCGCTGTCATAGTTCAGGAGGGGTACATACAGTGACACAGAAAAAGTTTCGACACCCTCGCCCCACACCTATTATTATATAGTATCCTGCGGGTAGAAAAATAAAAAATCAATCAAAATAAAGTACGAGTTTAATTCATATAATGTATACTAACTGTAACTCTCGATTCGCGAAACGTATCTATTAATTCTTATCGAGGTCCCATTATCTATAGAGAAGATAATGAAAATTCGGGGTAAACATAAGATATTTGATAGATGTATAAGGTAAAGCGGTGTGGCGGTGTTAGAAGTGGGTCAATTTTTGGGGGTCGAAACTTTTGCTGTGTCACTGTACGTTAACCGGCCTCTTTCCAGAGCGAGGGTCCGTAATAAATGGTAATTTATGAAAGAGGTGGATTATCTGCTAAAGTACGTACTTGGCAGTCTTATTAGCAACCTTAAAATTCAAATGTTAATCGGAATCAGCCGCCGGTATAGCCACCATCACGCTATGCCCTAGCTCTGTCTCGTAAGGTAATACTTCCTCCAGATACAGCCCCGCGGATCGGAACAGATGTTCGAATTGCTCTCGTGTACGTTCCTGTGCTGCCAAGCACGCCATCATTGCAATGTCCAGATCCACGAAGCTCCGGGGCGCCCCGGTGGCCGGACGAACCAACTCGTCAACCAGGAGAACTGAATCAGCGCCCATGGCCACGCGTTGGAGTTGCAGCAACTTGATACACTGATCGTCGGGGTAGTCATGCAGCACGTTCCGAAGATAGTAAAAGGAGGCACCCGTGACAGGTTGCGGGGTCCAGAAGTCGTGCGCGAGACGCTCAACCCGGGGGTGCAGCAGAGCGTTAGCGATAACGGGAGCGAGATCTTCGAGCACTACACGCCCAACAAGCTGGGGAAGTCGTTTCACGAGTGCCACACACTGGTGGCCTACACTGCCCCCAACATCCACAAAGAGGGGTGCCTCGGTGTGGGCCGCTTTGACCAGCCGCTCTAGGGGGAAAGTATCCAGCCAGGTGCGCTGGCCCTTGCGCTGCGCCGCCATCCACGCGCTAAAGTCTGCAAAGTAGCCTGGTTGAGTCGTGAACCAGGTAAAGACGGTCTGGTCCGTGTGGTGGACCCGTTGGAATGCCGTGTGCTTATGGTCTGAGGGGTTCTGATACTTGCCGGCTGCAAGGAAATCCGGAAGATCTACCCAAGCGGGCAGCTGGATGTCGAAGCTAGACGGGGGTTAGTCGTGCGATACATTGGCCCACGGACCTCCCATGAAGTTCACTGACTGGTGCTTGATTCCTGCTGCAAACCCGGGCACAGTGAGCGTCTGCGTGACTGGGGTGGCCTCGAACTGGTCGACGCCCGTTTCGGAAACGAGGTTAAAGGCGGCAAGATAGCGAAGGATACGACCCAACAGCACATCCTGTGCCCCAGTTTTCTGGGCCAGCTCTTGGACGCTCATGGACCGCCCTTGCGAGACGAGAGTCTCAAAGAGCTTCAGGTCAACGGCGATTTTGGTCATGAACAATTGCAATGGCTATAGCGTCATGTTAGAAATATTAGGCCAATCTGAAATATGGCACCTACTATGAAGGAGATCCGGTGAACGGTGTCCAGAGGGCGTTCCACGGCAACCTGGGCAGAGGAAAGCGCCTCGGACAGCTGGGTGCGAAGTTTGTCATCCTCAGGTGGCTGTTGGGTCAGCTCTCTGAGGCTGGCGAGGAGGCTCTGTATTTTGGCTGTAGACATGGTTTGCAATATCGCTAGAGAGGGCAAGAACTTTTTGTGGTGATATAAGGAGATCTGTAGGGAAACGCACGCTGTCTTAAAACCGCCCAAAGGAAGTACCTAGGGAGACCTAAGTGGATAAACTGGCATGTACACTGCATGTTGCGAGTCAAAATATGAGGAAGGAAACCCTAAATTCCGGTAAAGCTGGAGATTTTCTGTCTCGCGTGAATTCAAAAGAAATTTAACGTAGTATATTTCTTACCTTAATTAGAAGGAGTTTCTATGTTCTAGAATAGCTGTCTGTATTTCCAGAATCTTTAGATCTTTTCTTGGGCTATACAATAATGTGCTCGAGCTAAGTAATTCATGATAGGCTTTTGCATGGAAATGCATAGGTAATATTGAAATGTTTTACAGTTATGTAATATTCATCCTTGATTTCAAGACTATCCTGTGAAACAAAAATATTCAACGTTCTAACCCATTCAAGCTTGGAAAGCTAATTGTCTGCTAAAATCGCACTTCTTTTCTCCATTAAGCTGACTTGGAGTTTAAACCTACATATATCAGGATCAAGGCTTGATAACAAGCTGCGCTCTCAATTGGATATATTTCAAGCAAGTTATCTGACCATGTCAGCCTAGGAGAGTAGCGAGGATCGACCAATAACCAATGGTTCGGGACATTCCTACAGACCGACTTGACGCAATAGTTTCCAAGGTTCACACGTGCGTGCATTGCACACTGGCTGACTTCTTATTACTGAAAGAAACTTACCAAGTCGAGAGAACAAGACCGTCACTAGCACGATTAGGCGTGTGGCACATATACACTGGCAGGTAATTCATCCGTGAACTCAGGTTGTCCTGTATCCATCCTAGGATCCAGTAGAAACATTTAAAGTCCCGGATGGTTCTTTTGCAATTTACGTGTTTATATGGATTTGTCGGGCCAGTATATCTATAGTTTTTGTGAGCCTTACTAGTTCGTTCTTATTCAAATGCTAACGATATATACAAATTACTCTAAAATCAGTCGCTGTTCAATTTCCAGGTTCCCCTGGTATGTGGAAATTGCCCCCTCTGAAACTTATCCCACGCCTTGCGTGCCTCCTCAAAGGCATCGTAGCCAAACGCCCACTCCGTGAGGGCCGGATCCGCCAAGACGTTGGGGTACCCATCGTAGGGCTCGTACTCACGTAGCTGGCGGTCCCGTTCGCGCTGCAGGGCACCATCCGGCATGGACCAGATGTCGCGTGCCATGCCAACACGGCAATTCATCTCCACCGCTCGAGGCTTGCGGATGGTCTCGAAGACGGTCAGGATATCAGGAATCTGCGACTTGTCCTTCATGGAACCGAAGAGGACACTCAGCGTCGCCGCATCTTCGACGGCCAGAGCTGCGCCCTGGGCGAGATAAGGTAGGATTGCGTGCGCGGCATCTCCCATTAGCGCGATGTTACCTGATTCCCCTGTCCACTGGGTCGCCATATCGGTGTGGAGCAGGGTCCAGCGGGCACACGTCGTGGTCAAGCTTAGCAGACGATGATACAGGGGGTCCCATCCCTCGAACTCGTTGGCGACGTCGGCCTGGGGAATGGGCCTGGGTGCAAACTCGACTATCGCATCTAGGGGGTGGACATGGGTGATGACAATGTTCAGGAGCCCGCCTCGCTTGAGCGGGTAAGTCAGCGCGTTGCCCTGCGGGCCGATCCACCAATTGATTCCCTTCTCCAGTTCTTTCAGTTCCTCGTCTCCCTGCAGGGTTTGAAGGGGCACCGTCGCGCGAAAGACGTGGTCGCCGCTATCTCTCCAGCGAAATTCTTGGCCTAGCAGCGAGGTGCGCACGCGAGAGCGCTCGCCATCCGCGCCCAGAACCACGTCTGCGACTAGTTCCTCTCCACTGGCGAGCTGGACGAAAGCCTCGCCCGGGATGCCGCGCACACCGGTGACCTCCCTCTTGAACTCGATTACCGCGCCTTCACGCTCCGCGGCAGCGGCCAGCATATGTTGAAGATCGACGCGGTGGACGACAAAGTAGGGAAGGCCGAATTTATCCCGACAAGTGCCGTCCAGAGGCATGGTTGACAATACCTCACCGTCGCGGTAGGAACGCATCTTGTTCTCCTGGGGGCAGATGCCGATCTTGTGCACTTCATCCAGAAGACCCCATTCTCTGAAGACACGGCCTGAATTCGGCGGGACTTTGATGCCGGCTCCGATCTGCAGTTGAATGGTTCAATGTTAGACTGGTCTGTCTTACAGAGGAGGGAGGGTAGAGCAGACTTCTCCAAGAGCAGGCGCTTTCTCCAGGACAGTGACCTGGTGGTCAGCGCGTCGCAGTCCAATGGCAGTTGCGAGGCCGCCTAAGCCAGCGCCGACGATGATTATCGAGACACTTGGAGGCATCTTTGTATGTGACTCCACCTTGAAATGGGACACTAGATAGAAAATCTATTCAACTTTGGAATTTATGGAGTACGTGTACGTCAATGGTCACTTCCTACATGGGAGTTGAGGTGCGGATACGCTTGGGCCTGAATCCCATGTCAAATAATGCGATATGCATTCTAGGCTCCAGAAGGTCTGATGGAAGTATCTGCATAGCAGCAATCATGCAAGGCAGGCTGGACTAGGTATACGAATGATCATCATCCACCTTGAATAGGAAGGTTTGCTAATACCTTCTGACATTTATATATCCATTATTCCTAGAAAAGATATGTCCGCATATTACCATGAGTACTCGTTTTATATATGTCGATTATTTCCTGGAAAAGATATATCTGCATTTCACAATCACTGTGATGCTGATCGACACACTTAGACCCACCCCGCCTCACAGATAACGCACAACGAGAACGTAGCCATCAAGCACATAGTAATTGAACCAAACCATAGGTGGCATGTCAGGGTTCGTGAGCAGAGCCTCTGACATTGCAATCGATGTACCTAGCAAAGTATCATTTGAAGACAAAGAGACTACTAAAGTTTATTCCTATTTCTTCGGTTTTAACCGTGTTCCTCCGGGTATCACATTTTACTTTTCTTTCGAACATGCTTCTCCAAATACTTCGCCGTCCAGAATCCCAAACTCATCAACAGTGATATTCTCGAAGAGCTAAGTAGCTACAAGGACATAGATATCGCAAACAAAAATTTAAGGTGACACAAGATACTGCAATAGGTAAGGTGGAAGGGACTTGATCAAGTATTGCTCATATGTTCGCTTAAGGCCCCAAGAGGTTAAATAGACATTCGACTCCCTCATCCATACATCCGTTTTCTGATGCACTAATCCATGCACGAGCCACATAAGCACAGCTGTCCAAGGCTTTCTTCATTTTCTTCCGATAACCCCTCCAAGTTTTGATTTAGCGAGATTTCACAGCCGTTATCCCGATGCTCTTGGGAAATTGATCCTTCAAGATTTGCCTATGGTGATTCGCCAAATCAAGGATCTTGATTCGGCTATCGTCCGTATGGAATATGACTTCCACAATAAACAGCCTATTAAAGATAAGAGTTGTTCTTCCCTCCTCCTTTTTCTTTCCGTAGATTTCAACTCCCTTTTTTATTTCCAACTAGTTTTATTTACTATATCTACAGGTGCCCGAGCCTATTATATACACTTAACTCTATACAACTAGTCGGATGATATCTATAAAACCATACTCACGCGACTAAAGAAGGCCATGAAGCCTAGGTATAGCAGACTACTACCCAATGAGAATATTGTGCCGCAGATTGGAGCTCACTGGGAGACTACTGGACTTGATATGATGATGCTGACCCTATTCTCCTCCGAAAAGCGGACCAGTAAGGCATAGTACGATTTTGTTAAGAGAGCGGGTCTCACGGTTGTTAAAATCTGGAGCTCTGGCATGGGAGTGGAAAGCGTGATTGGGTGCGAGCTAGCCTAGGGTGTAACGAAAGGCATGATGCAAGTCACTTAAGTGATTTTTTTTTAATGTGGTTCTTGATTGAGGATAAACAGGCAGTGGCCGGGTATGGGGCGCACCCCCCAGCGCACACCCCACAACAGGATTTCTTTATGGGAACCTGGGGGATTATTGTCCCGGCAATCGCGCCTAAGCTTTTATTCATGATGGATTGGGTATGTCAGTCAACGTGACATATGCATTCAAGCTACATCATCCTACAGTGCATCTTTAGAAGGTGTGTTACACTACATAGAGTTTCCCTTTTGATGTGAGCCCTTCGAAGTTTGTATATGTTGGGACTGGGGTTCTGCCAGTCTTTCTCCATTGCCTACCTGACCGCCGCCTGTAGCGGAGCTGTAGGTCGCAGATAGTTTCGATTCTCTTCTTTTCTCCTATAGACCCTATAGATAGATAATTTGATTCTCGCACTCTCTTCTACTCCCTTTCTTTAGTACTTCTACTCTCCCTAGCTTCCTCTAATACTCCCTAAGAGGTTATAAGCCCGGCTATATACTAAATCTAGGCGAAAGGCCTATTTCGTTAATATAGCTAAGTAGTAGAATTATCTAAGGATTTAATACCCGATTTAATTTAACAAATTAGAGAGTAATATTTTAATTATATCTAATCTCTCTTTCTTCTCTAATTAACGCATTTTAATATCTTTTTTAAACTATTATATATAATATAGGTTCGATATTTTTTATTAATTTTGATACTAATTTTAACGACTAGGACTAATAGAGTAAAAGAAGTATTAAAAAATATATATCTAATTAATAAGGATATTTATTAAAGATTTAATTACTCTCCCCTAACTCTATAAACCCTTATAGAATATAGATAATTTTAACGAGTAGTTAAAATAAATCACTATTATATTAATTAATGTTAGATTAGAGAAACTAATCGACTCCGGAATCCTTTATCTATTTATAGGAGATCTTTATAGCAAAAAATAGATAAAGACCTTAATCTAAATAGCTATATAGTTACCTAATAATATAGTTATATAATTTATATTAATAATTTAAAATCGCAGTTTTCTAGTTTAATTTACTAATATCTTTATAAAGATAGTAAAGGACTCTTTATAAAAAATAGATAAGATCGCTATCTAATATATTTTATATAATATTTATTACTCTATCTATTCTAACTTAGATCGCCTAAAATATATATTAAAACGATAGAGTAAGGGATAGCCTATTATTCTAAAACTAAAATATCTATATACCTGTAAAGGGTCTACCAAGATGGTAAGGCATGAGGTTATTCCTAACTGACGGAAGGGGGTGAATCAGGTGATATTATATGATCCTGAAGGAAGTCAGAACTCGTTACTTGATCCACTCTACAGTAGAATGATCACGATACATAATAGAGACCCAGTCGTTTATATTATTAATAATACGTGGAGTTACGAAGATATTATATAATAAATTGATACTCTCGTATCTAGCTAATAGGACAAGATTTAGTCTTAATAGTAATAAAGATATACTGCTTTCCCTACCCCTTCCCCTTATTTCTTTACCTGATCAATAGGCCTTATACCCTACCAAGTATATTCTTTACAATACCCCTATATTATTATTTCTTTAATAATCGCTTAGATAAAATAAGAGCTATAAGGTATTATTAGTAAAAAGTCTTATAAATTTAATAATAAGAAGGATTTTAATAATCTTTATAATAATTTTCTTAAAAGACTAGTGTTACAAACCAAGCCACCTCACTTGCGCCAGCAGGGGTACAAGAGAAAACCAGAGCCAACCAACCCCGCGGTGATGATGCAGGACAACAGGGGTATGGGTCACGTGATAATATACCGCGATCTATTGCTAAGGAATGGTATATCGGATAGTATATCGATGGGACTACTACATGCCCGTATATAGTATACTATAAACGGGGGCATAGAATACTCGGCGAAGGATATATAAGGACACTCATTCATCGCGTATCTAGCTCTTCGTGTTCAACTCATATTATCAACCTTAGTTATAAGTTTAACTTAGATTATCTCGTTTATACTGTGATCCTCTCAAGATAACCCCTCTAGTGGTAAAGCACCCTCGGTACTTCTATCACTAAGCACCCCTTACCTTGACCGTTCCTCGATACCTCAATAGACCCGAGCCTATATAAGGCTTAACTAACAAGGCAATAGTACAGTTACGAGGCCAGATATCGTTGATACTAAAAGACCCTTGGCCTTCTAGTATAACTAGAAAGACCCACGTATCTTAGTATCTTAAGAGAAGTATACCTTCAGGTTCTAGCTAATATCTATAGGTAACTAATACGTAATACTTTAAACGCCTATCTTAAATCATAATATACGAGATATTAACGCTTCGACAACTATAGCCGGTAACAATAACGCTAGTAACCTTTCGCGTGGTTCCGCGAGCTAATCTACTCCGACCAACGCGTAACTCATAGATATAATTAATTAGCTCTAAAAGCAATTTATCTAGGAGAGAACTAGACCTATAGCGTCTATAAAACTACCGAAACCTAACTTCTTCGATAGAACTCGATCTAAGCTTCGAGGATTCCTAACCTAGATAGATATATAGTTACGTATTATTAACTATATAGAAGAAGCGGATAAGGTTATCTACGTTTCAACCTATCTTCGAGGATAAGCCTTTAATTGGTTCGAGCCCTATATCAGAGAGTTCAACGAGAAAAGATAACTAGATTAAGGAGACGTGATTTAGGCGATTTTCTAATCGTATACTAACTTTAAAAGAAAACTCGAATAGATATTCGGGGATATTAATACGCAACGGACCGTAGAGCGACGATTTAAATAAATCCGATAAACTAGTTTAGCCAGTATTTACGCCGCTAAGTTCTAGTAGATTATCTCGTATCTTAATTACGATAACGATATATATATTTAGCTATTCGAACGAGGACTTAAGGAAGAAATTAAAGACGAACTTATAAGAATTAATCGACTAATTAACCTATCTTAGATAATCGAGATAGCAGTTAAATTCGATAACTAGCTTTACGAGCGTAGATAATAACGACGTGAAATATAATAGAATAGCACTAGATATATCCTACGAGGATTCCGCCGCTACAACGATAGGCGAGGGCAAAGGTAGCAACTAGTAAGGGAATTATATAATAATAACCTTTATAGACTAAGACCTATAGAGCTCGACGTAGCGAGACTTCCGACTAAAGAATAAGAAGAACGCAAAAGAAAGAATCTTTACTTCTATTATAGTAAGCTAGGCCACTAGATCAAGGATTACCACAAGAAAATATTAGATAATAGTAATCGGCGATAGTAACTACGAGCCATATAGGATAGAGGAGCTTATAATACTACCAGAGTACTAGCTTAGTAACTCTACGTAACGAACGACGACCGTTAGGATAAAGAATCCCTTAGCGAAGACCCTAAAATAACTAGATATAACTCGAACCTAAGTACTACGT